AACGATACCGATACAGGCTGACTCATAATCCTTATGGTGGCCTCGCAAACTCCGGATTAAGTAGGCGGCTGGTGTTTGTGTGCACACTCCCATGCATGACGATATCATGGTAGGCATCAACAAAATGTTTGTGACAAGTAACACTGGCCCGAGTGGCTTCAAGACGTGCGACCATATATTCAGAGGGCAAGCCAAAGCCAGCACCATCACAGACATTCCGAGGATATCCACAACAAGCAAACGGCTCGTGCCGTTTCTACAGCTGCGTGAAGTTTCGGGTCGGGCTATGTGGCGCTTCATCTACGTTATCAAACTTCCACTTCGTACACACGATCTCATAGATCACCCAGCCATCCGTTTGTCCCAGTCCGTAGAACAAACATCTGGAGTTGAGAATTCAAGAAACTTAGTGTTTGAGCGGAATGTGCGAGTGATGGAGAACTATCGTGTTCCCAAAAGGCAGTAAAGAATCACAGGAAGCACAAGAACCTGAAGACATATTGGGTTAGTTTCAAAACAAATAACAAGTGGTTGCGTCTGTTTATGGCAAGAGAGAAAATCGTTGATCTCGAGTTTAGTAATTTATTATGGTGTCCTTGCATGTTCTAATCCAAGCACTAGAGAAATGTCTCGGTCGCTGGGCTCATTGAGTTATTGTTCCTCCTCGAATGGGTATACTAGTTGCCAACCTCCACTGTACACTACAATTAATCGCTAGTCATGGCTGCTTGTCACCAATAAGATGGCACCTTAAAGCTCGGGGGCCATAAAGAATAGAAATTGAAGCGATTTAGCATTGGATTAAAAGGATTGGGCAGGAGACTGACGAAATCACACACACTATATAATTTAAATAAGGTTCATATGTGTGGTTTGATTTGATGTGTTCAATTGCAAATAGCTGACCTACCACGTTTGGCTAGGCTTGGCATACCACCAAGTGCTTCTATACCATAAAGTGTGTTGGCTAGGCGCGAGTGTCACTTATATAATGGATGGAAAGTCTCAATACGAACTCATATAACTGTATACAGTAGCTACTGCAGTGTTAAAGCAGATATAGGAGTGAACCCAAATTACACCCAGCTAGGCTTCTGGATAGGTTCAAGCAGAACACTCACTATGGCGGTTCACTCAAGACTCTATCATCACAAAGCTAGGGTTCTCTTCTCTCCTTGCTGCCGGCGCCTTCTTTGGCGACGGGATGGTAGTCAACACTTGAAACTTGTCGCAACCACTGTCTGTACAACTTGCTCGAGCTTTTTAGCTGGTTCGGTAGACTCCTACCTGTCACTTGAACGAGGATAGCTAAACGGAGCTGCGTTTCACTGGTAAGACTGAACGCAGCCTGGCAAACACCGCCATGTCCAGCTCAGCAGGGACGCAATCTTCAGGTTATGGGACTCTGTGTACTGCTAGCCAGCAAAGAGACCTCAGTCTAACTTAGTATGAAGTGGAGAAGGCGGTGGACCGTCTGGAGTAAGAGTTAGAAACCACCACGGATGTCAAATGACGGGAACAAACAATTCGCGGACATGTTCGCCTTTCCAGAGAAGCTTCGTGATAACTGCAACTCACATGATTAACAAGTGAAGATGGCGGTCGAGGAATGGAATCGGGTTCAAACCCATTTTGTTATGATCGAGCTCATGGCAACCTGCTGTACAGTAGTGCTCAGGGGTTGCTTGGGTGGAGTGGCTTCAGGAAACGCGCTTGCGGATGCCAGCTCATGGCAGCGCGACCGGATAGACCCGAGGATACATGTATGTTGTGCAGAGTAGATGCTTATCAAGCTGATTGCCGTCGAGCACCATCATTTTTCTCAGGACAGGATACTATTGAGAAATATGAGAATTTTCCTGGACAAACGGATATCGAACAATTCTAAATACTGTGACATAGTTGATATCTGTCACAGGCCTGTTTTCTTTTTGGCTGGAAATGAGTTCTGGCTGTCTGGATTCTTTAGCTGAGGTTCTACGATTTTCTATGACCACTAAGCTAGAGTTGCACGATGCTATGTTGGGCTTAGTGCACAGTACCTCGGCTTTTGGCGATTGGATTGGTTCCGGGGGCGTGTCGTCGAACCAAATTTTTTGAAGCTCTCCCCAGTTTCCATCTCTTCCAACCAACAACTAAAAGAGCTTCGCCTCTCTCTCCATCTCTCTCTCTGCACCTTCTTCTGCAAATTTTTCATTCCCCCTTCCATTGTATTATCCCTTCCTTTTCTGTATAATACATTATAATACGCCACAATGCAGCGCGCTCTATCTTCGCGATCAAGGACTTCCGTCCTCAACTCGGCCGCTGCTGCCGCCAAGTACCGCCCCGGTGCTCTGTCGCAGCAGGTCAGATTTGCCCACAAGGAGCTCAAGTTCGGCGTTGAGGGTCGTGCAGCTCTCCTGGCTGGTGTTGAGACTCTGGCCAAGGCCGTCGCTACCACACTGGGTCCCAAGGGCCGAAATGTCATCATCGAGTCCAGCTACGGCTCCCCCAAGATCACAAAGGGTATGTGTCACCGCCGTCTTATGACTACCTCCCTCTCGACCTGTCGGGCCACACTTGACTAACATCTCAATTCAACAGACGGTGTCACAGTCGCCCGAGCAATCACCTTACAAGACAAGTTCGAGAACCTCGGTGCCAGACTACTCCAAGACGTTGCCTCGAAAACCAACGAGGCTGCCGGTGACGGTACCACCAGTGCTACTGTCCTGGCTCGCGCCATCTTCTCCGAGACCGTCAAGAACGTCGCCGCTGGCTGCAACCCCATGGATCTGCGCCGCGGTACCCAGGCTGCCGTCGAGGCCGTCGTTGAGTACCTGCAAAAGAACAAGAGGGATATCACCACCAGCGCCGAGATCGCTCAGGTCGCCACCATCTCTGCCAACGGTGACGAGCACATCGGTAAGCTGATTGCCAACGCCATGGAGAAGGTCGGAAAGGAGGGTGTCATCACCGTCAAGGAGGGCAAGACTCTCAACGACGAGCTCGAGGTCACCGAGGGTATGCGATTCGACCGTGGTTTCGTCTCTCCCTACTTCATCACCGATGCCAAGGCCCAGAAGGTTGAGTTCGAGAAGCCCCTGATCCTCCTCTCCGAGAAGAAGATCTCCGCCGTCCAGGATATCATCCCTGCTCTTGAGGCCTCTACACAGCAGCGCCGACCTCTGGTCATCATTGCTGAGGACATTGATGGTGAGGCTCTTGCCGTCTGTATCCTGAACAAGCTCCGTGGCCAGCTCCAGGTTGCTGCCGTCAAGGCTCCCGGCTTCGGTGACAACCGCAAGTCCATCCTTGGCGACATCGCTATCTTGACCAACGGTACCGTCTTCTCTGACGAGCTTGACATCAAGCTCGAGAAGGCTACTCCTGACTTGCTCGGCTCGACTGGCTCCATCACCATCACCAAGGAGGACACCATCATCCTCAACGGTGAGGGCACCAAGGACGCCATTGCCCAGCGCTGCGAGCAGATCCGTGGCGTCATGGCTGACCCCTCCACTTCCGACTACGAGAAGGAGAAGCTCCAGGAGCGTCTTGCCAAGCTCTCCGGTGGTGTTGCCGTCATCAAGGTCGGTGGCTCTTCCGAGGTTGAGGTCGGCGAGAAGAAGGACCGATTCGTCGATGCTCTGAACGCCACCCGTGCTGCCGTCGAGGAGGGTATCCTGCCCGGTGGTGGTACTGCCTTGATCAAGGCTTCCGTCAACGCCCTGAACGACCTCAAGCCGGCCAACTTCGACCAGCAGCTCGGTGTCACCATCATCAAGAACGCCATCACTCGCCCTGCCCGAACCATTGTTGAGAACGCCGGTCTCGAGGGATCCGTCGTTGTTGGCAAGCTCAAGGACGAGTTCGGCAGCGAATTCAACAAGGGTTTCAACAGTGCCACTGGCGAGTACGTTGACATGATCTCGGCTGGTATCCTTGACCCCTTCAAGGTTGTCCGCACCGGTCTCGTCGACGCTAGCGGTGTCGCATCCCTGCTCGGTACCACCGAGGTCGCTATTGTGGAGGCTCCCGAGGAGAAGGGAGCTGCCCCTGGTGGCATGGGCGGCATGGGAGGTATGGGCGGTATGGGTGGCATGGGCGGCATGATGTAAGATGTTAAATTTTTGCTGCTCAGCGACTTTGCCTTTCTCATTTTTCTTACCGTCACGTTGCTTGTATCAACAAAAAGATCTGGGGGGCTAGGGGCATTTGGCTTCGGTGTTACGATGGAATGCATTTTCTGGCCATGTAATCTCTCCACTCTACTCTGTCTCTGGCGAGAGCCTGTATCTTGTTCATAACTACATGGCATTCAGAGCGGCGTTGTAAAAGAGTTTGTATAATAGTCTAGAAGCGGCTAGCTAGCTAGCTTACATGATGACGAAAAGGTCAGACGAATCAAAATCAGTCAAACATTCATAGATGGTACCCTTCTTTCAATTATTGGGAAGAGGTGTTTCGTCAGGCAGACACATTTGGTTCGTGTTTTCTTGTCTGCCTGCAAGATGAATTTGCCGCATCGAGCTTGCTGACGAACACACATGGCTTGTGGTTATCTTGGAGGAGGCAACGACGATATGGTTTCAGGCTTCAATGTTGTCCAACAAACATGATGTATGAGCAACCCAATCGGGCTTGAACCAGATGCAAGCAACAGCTTCCTGACAGGCGACACAATGGTAAGTATGATCACGTGCATGTGTCGCGGCTGGCGGCTGTGATTGTGACTGTGACTGTGTTGCCCGCAACGACCAAGGAGGTGGGATGGCGGATCAAATGGCATTGGAGAAATGAAGAACGGATTGGCCCACCAAATGGTACCAACCCCACCATAAGCTGGGCCCTTTTGCTTGTGTTGTGTTGTTTTCCCTGGCATAACATAGCCCATTCTGACCGTGGCCCCGTAGCCTGACAAGGAGGACCCGATCTTTGATCTTCCCCTCCATCCCCTCAACTCACTTCCACTTCCCAAAAGCACTTGTCTTGCGAAAGAAAGATACCTTAGCTACCACCACACTAAATCTCTTTCTCCTTTCTCCTTACCGCAATTCTTCGGAAGGCAGCCAAATAAACGCCAGCCTCTCTGTGAGCTCCCCTTCTTTTCTTCCTCCTGTCCACGTCTTCTCTACAAATACTGTTCCTCACATACCTATCGCATCCGCGTGCTCTCATATTAAAAGTACCCCGCTGACCGCATCTCGCTTGCAGCTCATAAACCAGATCTCCCTCTGCAGTTAAGCATATACCGCCACAATGGTAAGTAACGCATATGAAGCTTCACACGAGACCGTGATACTAACTTGGTGTTTCCCAAGTCTCAATCAGGGTTCGTACCACTCCAATCCTCTCGGCCTCCATTACACCACCCCTACGACGAGCCTGCCATGGCCTGATCACGGCGGGCCTTCGCGCCGAAAACCACGCGATGCCTGATCCACCACGAAATCAAGTAGCTAACACATTCCGCTCAGAGCCACCGTCTCGCAGGACTGCATAAACGCATTCAACGACCTGAAGCTTCAGAAGAAGTTCAAGTACATCATCTACAAGCTGTCGGAGAACAACTCTGAGATCGTGGTCGAGGACGCCTCCACCAACGGCGACTGGGAGGCTTTCCGCGAGAAGCTCATCAGCGCTCAGCACAAGAGCAAGACGGTATGCCTCTACTCTACCTGGACATAGCTCAGTCCACCTCGAAGTACTAACAACGCTTCCAGGGTGCTGTTGGCAAGGGTCCCCGTTACGCCGTCTACGACTTCGAGTACCAGCTTGCCTCTGGCGAGGGTTCCCGGTTAGTCATTCCGACCTACGCCAGAAAAATGTGTTCAGAACAGAGATATTAACTCTCCCCAGAAACAAGATCACCTTCATTGCATGGTCTCCTGATGATGCTGGTGTCATGGTAAGCGCCTCCCCCCTGAGCTTATGCGTGACGGAACCCTGTTGACACGTTTTCTCCAGGCCAAGATGGTGTACGCCTCCTCCAAGGATGCGCTGAAGCGTGCTCTTAACGGTATCGCCACCGAGATCCAGGCCAACGACTCAGATGACATCGAGTACGACTCGATACTGAAGACTGTCAGCAAGGGTCTTGCCTAAATCTCCAGCACTTAGATAATATGGAGATGTGGAGAATGCCGGGGACGGTCCCTCAAGGGACGGTTGGCAGGGAAATGACGCTCATGAAACTGGACTTTCCTAGCGGGTGAGGTTGGTGGAAGGGACTCCTTTTGTCAGCGACCTTCTATCGACCCGTACGGTACGAGGGGAGGGCGAAAAAAAAACAACTTGGTTCTTCTCCTTCCTTTTGAGTTGTGACTCGAAATTTCAAGTTTGATGTTGGCGGGCTACCTAGAGGATTCTCGCGTATGATACACAGCAATAAGCATAAATTCCCCAATTCTGGCGAGGGAGCACTCTCGGCCCTTTCCTATCATGAGCACTATGTCCAAATCCTGCTGCTGGTATTATACGTATATGTGTTTTGTGTTATGTTCGTTCAACCCCTTGCTGTATCATGACCCATCATCTCTTGCTCTTGTAAGCTGCCTGGAAGGTTTCGAACAAGTCGGAAGCCTGCCTCTCGTCCCGTACTCTCTGCAACAAGAAACCCTTGAGGTCATCCCAGAACTCACCTGACTCTAACGTCTCGGTGCCACTGGCGCCCTGCGCGACATCCGCAGCAGGCGCCTCCTCGGGCTTCTTGGCCGCAGCCGCCGCACCGCCCAGGACCATGACGCTGAACTCAACACTCGCGCCGTCGTCCTCGCCCACGAGCTCCTTCAGGATCTTGGAGTCCACGACGGGCTTCTTCTTGTACAGGAGCTTGATCTTTTCCAGCGGCACGCCCGACTCCTCGACCACCTTCTGCTTCAGGTCCAGCACCGACGTGCTGAGCGGCTGCGACGTGAGCTTGATGTCCAGCGGCGGGTTGCGCAGCGACTTGAGCGTCACCCTCAGCGAGCGCTCCGAGCCGGGCGCGCCGCGCGAGTTGGGCTTGGACATGGGGCGCGGGGCGCGGGGGAGGATGTACTGTTTTGATCGGGGGTCATGTCAGTCGAGCGCCCTCTAAGGAATGGGCGGGTACGGTCGCTGCTGGGAGGAGCACACGTACGGCATTGCGGGCGGGATACCCCCGCGGGTCCTCGACGTGGTCCGGCGACAGCTTGACGGGGCGGGCGTCGAGCGTCGCCAGGAACTGCTTGGCGAAGGTGACCTCGGTCATGTTGGCGAGCTGGCGGGCCGTGTGGTGGGGGAACGGGTAGGAGGAGTAGAGGGTCGGTGTGTCTGAGGTGGTGGCGTCGGTGTTGGCGGTGTTGTCGCTGCTGGCCATAGATTGGGAAGATATACAAGCTGACTCGGGGATATGGACCTGTGGTGGTGCTACGCAATCAAGTTGGAAGTGACGCCACGATAGGTGGGATGAGGGACGGGGGGGATTTGAGGCTGGAGCTTGGTGGAAAGCCACGCTAGTTGTGATGTGGGTGTGTGTCCGAATTTGTAGTATAATAACTTAACTTACTCAGTACATTCAGCGATATTGAACTGGAATTTTAAGTTTATATAACACCATGTCGGTGTGATATATCGCTAGTCTTTATACATAAAGAGTGTCTTGCGTGGTCATCATTTTAAACTTTCAACAGCGTTCTCCTCACCCCATTGACGCTATTTGTTGTCAGTTACAGGTACAAAGTTTTGGACAGGCACTTGCACCAACTCTCAGGGACTCTAACCTCAGAGATCACATAGGCTAAACTAGTCCCGTTTTGGCGCTCTGCTCAAGCATGGCAAGTGGGGTTCGCTATGCTTATCGCGGTGTTATCGAGACGCCGCTTCCCAAACTTTTTGAAAAAGTTCTGGGAGTGGAACCGAAATCTCGAGGCTCGCTTTTGGAGTGCCAGTCCCCATACTCCGTCTTCCTCTTCTTCCCATAGACAATATACCCATTCCTGCACCTCCCTCAAGCACAACATTTCAAGATGGGTGTCGGACGTCGCATGCAGAAGCAGGGTCCTCCTGAGCCCCTCTCGGAAGAACATTTCGCGAAACTCAAGCGTAAGGCCGGTCTGCCTGTCGACGAAGTACCCGCCGAGCCTCGCACCAACAAGAAGCGGAGGACCGCCAGGGAGGCTGCCGCCAAGGGCAATGGAGTAGCCAACAAGAAGGGTGCGAAGCCCAACGGCGCAGCACCTGTCAAGAAGCCTGCGGCACCCGCCCCGAAAGTCAACGGCAAGAAGGGCAAGAAGGCGCCGCAACCCCAGGAGGACGAGGACGACGTCAGCGATGGTCTGGGCGACTTTGACATGGGCGAGGACGATGAGTTCTCCGATCTCGAGGCCGCCGACGACATCAATGGCCTGAAGGACGACTTCCTCGACTCCGACGACTCGGTCTACGACTCTGACGATGCCGGGCAGCCCAAGGCCATGTTCTCGGAAGACGAGGACGACTCGGATGCTGAGGAGCAGCTGACCGCCGCCAACATTGCTGGTCTTTCCAGAAAGCTCGACGAGAAGCTTGCGCAGGAGGAGGCCGATGCTCAGGCAGAGTGGCAGGAAGGTGCCATGCAGACCAACATCGTCGAGGACGACAAGCCTCACGTGCTGGATGACGATGAGGAGGAGGGATTGGTGGCAAAGACAAAGGCACTTCTGGCACCAGATTTGCAGCTGCTCCGAACAAGAATCACTGATACCATCCGAGTGTTGAGCGACTTTGGAAAATTGTCCGAAGAGGGAAGGAGTAGAGCCGAGTATACTGCGCAGCTGTTGAAGGATATCTGCGCATACTATGGCTACTCTGAGTACTTGGCCGAGAAGCTCTACAACCTCTTCACCCCACAGGAGGCTTTCGCCTTCTTCGAGGCCAACGAGACCGCGAGACCTATTGTCATCAGGACGAATACTCTGAGGACGCACAGGAGAGATCTTGCCCAGGCTCTCATCAACAGAGGTGTTGTACTGGAGCCGGTTGGCAAGTGGTCCAAGATTGGTCTACAGATCTTCGAGAGTCAAGTGCCTCTAGGTGCCACTCCTGAATATCTCGCCGGTCAATACATTCTGCAAGCTGCCAGCTCGTTCCTCCCCGTTATGGCCCTGGCCCCCCAGGAAGGTGAGCGCGTGCTCGATATGGCCGCTGCTCCCGGTGGAAAGACGACGCACATGGCCGCCATGATGAAGAACACCGGCTGCATCTTCGCCAACGATCCCTCGAAACAGCGTGCCAAGGGTCTTATTGGAAACATCCACCGTCTCGGTGCCCGCAATGTCATTGTGTGCAACTACGACGCCAGGGACTTCCCCAGAGTCATGGGTGGCTTCGACAGAGTTCTCCTTGATGCGCCTTGCTCGGGTACTGGTGTCATTGCCAAGGATGCTTCCGTCAAGACCAACAAGACCGAGAGGGACTTCATGGTTCTGCCTCATACTCAGAAGCAGCTGCTGTTGGCCGCAGTTGACAGTGTAAACCATGCCAGCAAGACCGGTGGATACCTGGTTTAGTAAGTTTACTCGTTCATACAGCACTGCATAATATCACTAACAAACCACAGCTCTACATGTTCCGTCACAATCGAGGAGAACGAGGGAGTCGTCAACTATGTTCTCAGCAGGCGTCCCAATGTCAAGCTTGTCGACACCGACCTGCCCTTCGGTAAGGAGGGTTTCACTAGCTACGAGGGCAAGCACTTCGACCCATCTCTCAACCTGACCCGGCGGTACTATCCCCACACCTACAACGTGGACGGTTTCTTCGTCGCCAAGTTCCAGAAGACCGGTCCTTCGCCTGCTCAGGGAGCCGGCCGGGAGAAGGTGCCCATGGAGAGGAATGAGGTCCATGAGGTCATCGACAAGACACCTATTACCGACGATGAGAATGGTGCTCAGGATGATGACTTTGGCGACTTCGACGAGGGTGCGGACGAGGAGTACATCGAGAGGGCTAAGCGTAACGCCATGAGGAGGAGAGGTCTTGACCCCAACGCCTTGAACAAGGGAAAGGCAGAGAAGAACGGCGTAAATGAGACCAAGGCCGAGAAGGCCGAGAAGTCTGAGAAGTCTCCCAAGGCTGCGGAAAAGGTTGAGAAATCTCCCAAGACTGAGAAATCTGCCAAGTCTGCCAAACCTTCAAAGGCTGAGAAGGCAGATAAGTCCCCCAAAGCTGATAAGGTCGAGAAGTCCCCCAAGACCGATAAGGTCGAGAAGTCCCCCAAGGCTGAGAAGGTCGAGAAGTCCCCCAAGGCCGACAAGGTAGAGAAGGTGGAAACAAGCAAAAAGGAGAAGAAGAAGAGCAAGAAGGCATAGAGCCTTTGCTAGCTGGGGAATGTAGATTATGGAATATACCAAACTGCAATGAGTTAATGTGTTTGAGCAATTCATCTTGTTTGACAACTACTTGCTCGACGCTTGTATTTGCTTGAAGTCGTGAGACGGCGTGACGGTGACTCGATATCATTGCTGCTTCTTCATTGCTGCGCAAATGACCCCATGAGCACCTGCGCTTGATACTCTCCACTCTTTTAAAAGGCAAACACTATCAACATCCAACAGAGATTACAATATTCTATATATACTTAGTTCCACTACTACCATATCTTCTGCCCCTACCGTTTTATTTGGTGAGCTCCAGCTCGAACCCGGAACCATCAAAATTTGGGCTTACTATTATACTGGATTATTTGCGGATATTGCGAGAGAAAGGCATGACGGAAAGAGAACAGCTTCCCAAGCCGGCTTCAGTGCCATGCAATCAGCAATACAGCCCCGGACTATCCGAAGCTGCAGACAACGTGTTTGTCTGTGCCGTGGAACAAACGCGCCGACTGATCTGGATGGCCTAGCATAAAATTCGATAGGAAACCACCATGCCTTAACATCCAGATGTTTCTTTGCAGTTTCCAACTATTCCATGGTTTAGCCTACAGCCCACATACCGATCCGACAGCTGTCTAAGCCAGAACTTCGACGTACCTAGCGTGGACGCTGACTGATACGAGAAGCCTGTGGGCCAGTGCCGGGATCCGTGGCAGCACTTCGGAGGTGTATTCAAGTCGGCGATGAGCATGGCCATCTGCCCCTACTTTGCCACGACTCTGGGAATTTCGCTGCCGGTCACCACACAGACTGGTACCGTATCCAGTTGTCACTTACTAGACCGTTATGCAGCTTCACCCGAATGACGAGCTCGACGACACCTGGAGGCATTCGCTCGCGGCACAAACACGAAGCCCGCGGAGCAAGTTCAGTAGATAACAACGAGTTCAGACTCAATCTTGGGACCGTTAAATACAGTGGTACGGGTAGTAATGAATTACACTTCAGCCACTTCACAGCCTCTACACGTATGTAATTATCTCAACAATAATGTACGACTTCACCAACTCGCCCAGACTACTCCTTCCTCGGTCAGGAGGAGCTCCACTTGGAGTATAGAAGCCCATGAAAGTCTCGACAGGATATTTACTAGCCGTTAAATACTGCCATAAGCAGATCTGCCAGGGGCCCAACGGGTTGCAGGAACATAAATACAAAGCGGCCTTATCACGCCCGACCGGCAAGTCCGCGGCGTCTTATTGCCAGTAAGAAATCCGTGTCTCCCATGTGAGCTTCATAGATTCAAGGAGATTTATCGCACGTATATGTCCCAGGACATGAGTGGTAGGTCTATAGGGAGTTAGGGTCAGTAATTATAGCCTACCACTGTAATGGGGCGTCGACCAGCTGCAAGGAGTCGTACATCACCTTTACATGGCCTTTAAAATTCTTATGTGCAAACATCTATTTTCCTAGTATGACAGTTTTACCTCTGTACCAGAGGCGACCCAGGTGATGGCAACCGCTTTGTTCGTCTAGGTAGCGTCTTAGATTTGGAGTTTAAGTTTCCAAAGGCCATCGGGAATGTGTAGTGATTTAGATCGGCTTATCGTCATTGTTAGTGGAAATGGTGATCAGCTGCAACAGACGCATCCGATCTGGATTTCAACATTCAACAACAGATCAGTGAGAGGTTTCCTTTCAAACTTCTCAGCAAACAAAGTATAAGGACATGCTAAGAGCTCTTGCTCCCTCATGATGAAAGAAGTTCAGTACTGCACGTATTAGAATGATGCAATCTCCCCGGCACCGAATGGTTCTTGACGAGTAAACCGCATAAAATTGACGGAGCCCCTTTGGAGGAACCCGAGGCATGTTGAAAGCGCCGCCCAGCAAGGGGTCGCGTGTTGCAAACCCCAGACTCTATTTCGTAAGCCAAGGCGTTGCGACTGCCCCAGACCGCCAAGCTTGCAATAACCTTGAAAAACATCCCGCCTTCTGCTTGGCGACCACTTGATCTGCCACTACAGCCAATATTACAGCGCGGTCGCGCAATAAGCCTGGAAATGAAATGCTTGTTTGGAATTGGTGAATAGTTGATTGATTGGTGTATTTTGTTTGCGTTTCACTTGTAGTGCTGGCCGGGCTCAGGAGAATGACGTATTCACAACCGCATGCCCGCATGCGATAAGTTGATCGCGACGGAAAGCATTCATGACAGGAAATGGAAGGCAGGAAGTAAATAGCTGCTAGACTAGATATTATTTAGTTGTCCCTCCGGCCCACCTTTACTGCGTTCTCACTTTCGGTCAAACCACTTATGCTTTTTCTCTAAGCACCTCAACTCCATCCAATTGCAACTCTTAGCATAGGTTCTGTTGTGTCCCGGTGTAGCACCTGACACGTGCGGCACAAGAATATCAACAGTATGGGTTTCTTGTCACGGAAAAAGCAGCCGAGCCCTGGCAATAGTCGTCAGCAGAAGAAATCCAGATCATGGCTCAAACCAGCAAAGACGTATAGCGTGGAGAAGCGGCCGACGTTCGGCCAGTGGTTGAAAGTCACCATATTGGACATCCTGACGATGATCGTACTGGGTGTCATCGCTCTGGTGGTAAGTTCTGTGAATCGTCTGGGGCATGAAGGCCAAAATGCTCATATACTTCCAGGTTTTCCGTGCTGGTCCAGCGGGCACACGAACGTTCCCTCTTACTGTCACCAATACTGGCGAGGTCGTCTATCCGCAGTTCGCATATCCATATCGAAAGCAATTTGTCGCGGCGTGGCTAGCCACCTTCCTAGCGGCCGTGATTCCGATTGCGGTCATACTGTTGGCGCAGATCAGGATCCGCAGTTTCTGGGACATCAACAACGGGATATTTGGTCTGCTATACGCCCTCGAAACCTCGTCAGCATTCCAGGTCATGATCAAGTGGTTGATCGGTGGGCTACGACCTCATTTCTACGATGTGTGTCGGCCAGATCCCAGCCTGGCTTCTCAAGGCCAGTTCAACGCGACGGGCTTGAACGGGGTGGGATATCAGAACTACATGTTCACGCAAGAGATCTGCACGTCGGGAAACCAGGAGGGCATCAACAATGCGTTGGAGAGCTTTCCAAGCGGACACTCCACCACCATATTCGCCGGCATGGTATTTCTGTATTTGTACCTGAACGCCAAACTGAAGATCTTCTCGAATTACCACCCAGCAATGTGGAAGTTGATCTTGCTGTACATTCCAATCCTCGGCGCAGTTCTGGTCGGAGGCTCCCTGACGGTGGACCAGAGCCATAACTGGTACGACGTGCTGGCTGGCGCAACCATCGGTACTGTATTTGCCTTCTCGGCATATCGCATGGTATATGCGTCAATCTGGGACCATCGCATCAACCATATACCCCTGAATAGGGGCAGTGCATTCGAGTTTAGGGAGGGTGTGGACGGCTCTGACTTCCTCTTCTGCGAGCGTGCGGGTTGGATTTCACGGCGGAAGAGAAAGAGCTCTGAACTTCCACTACCCGTGTCTAGTGCGAGCAATGGCTACAAGAACGGTCACGTCGATGGACATCAAAATGAGTACACCAACGGCGATAGCAACGGACATAGCAACGGTCACGGTCTCAGACATTCACGCGCCACCAGTAGTAGAGCTAGGAGAAGCGACGACATTGTATAGGGTATCAGGAGCACAAAACCATGTATCGTTACCAAAGAGAACCGTTGCTCTTCAGATTATTTGGTTACATGTCAGCAATAAAGTAATATGAATTTGTTTGCATCCGATGTTTTGTGTTTCTGTATGGGCACCCCACATCCACTCCAACAGTGCTGAGAAAGGAAGGTCGCTGTCTAATGGCTTCTCCATTAGGACTAGACTAACGTCTGCAGGCGCCCCAGATGATTCAACATATTGTGCTTTTGCTCGATACCCGTCGCTCTGCCGTTCGTATAAGTAGATGGTAGCATCCGTCAGGGGTGGGTTAGATAAATTTGCCTTGGCACACCTATATCAGGCAATCATGTCACCGGAAGACTGTAGATCGCTAAGGGGAGTCAGGTCTTGGCGCATGCTACACGATAGTAAGCCCCGCGGGGTCACAAACAACAACGCCCGCCAGTACCCGTTGTATAAAGTCTGGGCAATTGAGGATATGCGCTGTTTCCGCTATGTCATGGACATCGGTCTTGACTTTCAAAACTGCGATTCATAATTGAAAGCGATGGCTGCGACTCGCGGTTCAGGTTGCCATCGCGTAGTGATGATAGTCCTTGCAACACTATCGGGGAGCTCAGTGGCAATGCCCGCCAAAGCATACTCGCAATGCGCTCTCGACACACCGTGCAGGTCGAGCCCTTTCGATGCCATTGACCCGCAGCACTGGGTCAACCCTGATAACATGACCTGGGCAGATTTCATTGCGCCTCCTGGGACGAATTGGAGCGACCCAACACGAAAGGGATCAGGGAGGAACTTCAATATCGCTTTGGTCACCATCGACTACTCAGATCGTCCTTTTGTTGTGACACAGCCGACAGGGTCCACCATCTACGGCAACCCGCTTCCTGCGGTGCCTCAATTGACTCGGGAGCAAGTGCCAGCTTACTACCGAGACCTGCTGAACACACCAAACGAGCTCAACAACGGACATACTCTGCACGAGTATTGGATGGGCGACTCGCATGGGCGTTATGGGGTAGATCTGACTACTTTTGGTGCCTACGAAATGCCCTCTCTTTCGTGGCAGTATGGTATCACTACTGACATGAACGCCGGTGGGTGCCCTGTCGTGGGTTCTTGCAACCGTGATATTCGGACCGACGCTCTGGGAATGTGGCGAGCCGATGTAGGAAACGAGACTGCGGATGCGTTTGAACTAGTGTTCATCCTCACATCTGGTCAGGACGAGTCATCAACTTGGCAGGAGTTTGGCGAAATGAAGTTCCTGTCCAAGGACGATGTACCCGCGGAATTCGGTCCTCCTGACAACGTGGCCGCGAACCTCACAAATTACGCAAAGACACGCTATGTCGAGTGGACATCGTGGGCCGCGGCATCGAACACCTGGCCCAATGCTGGTGGCGGGTCTTCAACCCAGGCCGAAAGCTCAGGAATGTCAACATACGCGCATGAGTTGAGTCATCTCCTGGATATTGGTGACAACTATAACAACCCCTATGGCTCGCCACTTCGCCGTGCCTACGCTGGACCATTTTCCATGATGGACAGAGGCAGTTTCAACGGTCCAGGAGGACCTCACACCAGATGGCAGATTCCAGCTCTGCAGGGCGGCTCTCTGGGCTCTCTGCATACAGTTCGGGACAAGGCACAGCTTGGCCTGATTAGCAACTCGAGCATTCTGCATCTGTCACGAGAAGCGCTCGCGGACTCCGGGCTGATCGTAGCAAGAGTCACGGCTCGTGCCGTGGACCCTGGTGAGGATGGCCTGATCGGAATCCGAGTCAACATGGACAAAGACCTGTCACCAGCTTGCAACATTTCAACTGACGTGCTTTGCGATGGTGGCAGCTATAACCACTACCATGTGGAAGTCATTGACCGTATGGGTGCTGATTCCTTCCAACCGGACCATGGTGTCATGCTCAGCAAGACACGAGAGCAGGACACGCAGCCCTTCGTTTGGGTGATCGACGCAAACCCGCAAGATATAGAGCTGGTGGACTTTTACAGGCCGAACGGAAGCGCTGCCTACATCACCTTGGGCGATTACCGCCAGCTTGCCGATGCGCTTTTCCACGCCGGTACGCGTTCTGGGAGCGAGTCCGAGTATGTCGATGCGGCAAACGACCTCCACTTCTATATCGTCGACATCATCCGTGACGATACCGGAGTTCTCTCGTACACAGTTGGCGTGCGGTCCCTGAATGGCACTGCAGGTCCTAGCACCCACGGCATTTCGCTCGATCAAGGTACCGTGCAAGGCCAGGACGCCACTGGCGACGGTCTGTGGTGCGTATTCCCATTGACCAACAACGGCACTTTTGTAGAGGGTGGAAATGGTCACCCGGATGATGCAGCGCCGTACCTCAACTCCGATATCTACCGGCTCAGTACGGTTGTGGAGGGCGATGGGTGGCTTGTTGAGCTACCCAATGTGCTGACGACAACCAAATTTGGTTCTACTGGAGAAGCCAGAGTAGCCGTCAGGGCATCTACTGAAACTGCATCGGATACGGCCGTGGTCACCATCACGGTGACATCAGAGTCAGATCCAGCTGTTTTTGCCAGTGCGACGTGCCAAGTCCAGCAATGACAAGCCAGGTCGGGAACCATGCATTGGTTGGCTTAGGCATCAGAGTGTTCCTGTGTCAATAAAAGGCCATGATGAATGAATTAAGGATTCAGGCGATCCCTATATACGACTCTCTTGTGCTCAATTTCCTATTCGGCAACCTCGAGTGACAATGCATTCGTAGCTCGGTCATTAGCCGTTGATGTCGTCCTCGCCATAATAAACCATGCGAGGTGGGAGCTGCGTCAGACGGACGTTGGGGCGTGTCTATGAAGCACTAAACACGCTAAAGTTGGTCGTCGTTTAGTGCTTGCAGCCCTGTAAGCTTGATATTTCCGTCCATGAATGTGCCTGGGGTTAACTAGTTCTCCGAGTTGTTAGAGTACCAAGACTGATATTTTTTCTATATTCTAGTCCACGACGTACTCTAAATCGTTGATATTCACCATGTTCGTTAATAATCTCCTATCCTACTAATTTGCTCCGGATCCTGCGCTCCTTTTTGCCGACTCTTGCTCCTAACGTTTGCGTTGTTAACGTTGTGGTGTCCCATTTCATGTCCAAATCATGTCAAGTTCTTCTGCTAATATGATTACTTCAGTCCTCAGGTGTGTCATGAAATTTTGTTATGCAATATATACTTAATAGAAGCGTACAATGATACTTCGGTGGCTTAACATCATCCAACAATCTTGACCGACTCGTCGTAAATGGCATCCCAAAACAGGCAACTCTTGTAGTCCACCGTTCCTACTACCATCGACACATCAATGTTGACTCCGGCAGAGGAGTTCCCCGTCCATTGTGGCCAGTCGCTTTTGGCACCAGGGCTGCCGGAATCGGCCATGCTCGTCCACGCTTCACTCATGGCCGCCGCCAGAGACTGTTCCGCGGTCGTGAACGTACAGTTCCCACCGGGCAGTGGCATGTTGTGGGTTGTGTTGAACACGAAAGGTATCTCAGCAGTATGTGTCGCACCGACGTACGACAAAATCGAGTATGGAATGCTGGCGTACCACGCGCAGCTGGGCTTGTGGCTGAACTCATAAGTCCATGCCGGGATGCCGTTCTTCTCAGATGCTAAGAGAGCCCGGTATGCTGGACACTTATACGAGACCTCGCCGAGAATCGTCGACATGGCAGCGAAGTATGGGTACTGCGAGCTGTTGAACTTGTCAACCGAGTACGTCTCGTTGACTTTGGGCGCCAGAGGGCCAAAGTTATACGTGAGGAAATCGTCGTAGTCGGACTGGTTCAGCTTGAAAGTATCTGCGAGGTATTCACCAAAGACGAAAAGTGTTCCCTCTGCGGCATTGAAGCCAAAGATTGCGGGAACCTGGTTGCCTGCCTTCGTTGGTAGCTCCGGGATGACCTGGCCATCGAACACGGGTCCCCAAGTAGCACGAGCACCCTCCCTGTTGAACGGTGTGGTTGCTCCTGGAGCAACTTCCGATGGCATGGCGCTGTCTGCTGCTGTGAAAGCATCGGCCGAAGCTGAGAGCACACAGGAGAGCTTTTTCACTTGGTAAGTAGCTGCTTACGGCGCTGAACCCATGGACAAGGGATGCTTACATCGGAAGAACTGCAGTTCAGTGCATCTAGGAAATGCTGCTGCCAACTTTGGACTTTCTGAGGGGTGGCTGGGTCCCGGCCGCCTCCCGACTCCAGTGCAGCCGCGCTGAAGAGTTTAGGTGCTTGTGGCAAGGTGGACAAGACGTATGCGTCGGTCGCACCAGCGGACTGTCCGAACAAAAGCACTTTAGTGTTGTCACCACCAAAAGCTGCGATGTTTTCCTGAACCCATTGCAAACCCAGAAGTTGATCTTGGATGCCAAAGTTGCCCTCCAGCCCTAGGCTTGATAGGGCTAGAAAACCAAGAGGTCCGGTACGGTAGCTGATGGACACAATTATAGAGTCCGATGTTGCATAACAGCCATCATACGTCGGGTCCGAGATTCCTCCTGCTTCGTTGCTACCTCCATACAACCATACTTTCACAGGAAGTTTCGAGTCAGCCGTAGCTGTGCTTGGCGTCCAGATATCTAGATAGAGACTTCACAGAAATGGATATCAGTCTTGTGCCTTTTGGAGCATGTTTCCGAAAGACTCAACATACCAGTCTTCGCTCTGTGTGTTAGACTCAGCGAACAATTCGTTGAACTGTATACAAGAAGGTGGGGCGACTGTTGCATTGAAGGTGCCATTATAGGATGCAGTAAATGGTCGCGGTGCTTTCAATCGTAGTTCTCCCACAGGCGGTTGAGCGTATGGAATCCCCACGAAATACCTTGAATCCGTTCTGCTGCATTTTCCGCCTTGTATCGCACCATTTGCAGTTTCGACGATTTGTGCGACACTTGAGGATGCAAGAGCCAGAAGGCTTGCCATGAATGAGTTTGAGGTTCGCATGATGACAGACAAGTTATTGGCTGTAGCGCTTGAGAGTTACGACAAATGTCTGCAGTCATATATCGCAGAACAGTTCTTGGCGACTTGGCAATGCACCTTTATATGCGAACCTGGCAGGGTTCCGTGTAAGATGAACTCGGTGGGCCAGCCAGTTAGACGGTTGCCTGCGCTCGCATTCGGACTCGTAAGGCGTGGTCCATACTAAATAATGGAGCCAATGCTATACACAGCCCTATAATTACGACATGCGGGGTCAGCGAAGCTGCGCCGCCTCCACGGCCCGTGAGCTTTGCTAACCTAGGGCAAGTCATCACTACTAACGGCTTAGTGCACAATCCTACTCAACTCAACGTTCGCTATTTTGATTGCAGAAGGATTCAGGGCAGCATGGGCCCGGCGAACTACTAAGCAGTACTTGCGGATTGGCGCGAAAAGTGTGCCCAAGCCAGTTGCTATTCGGGCTGTTGAAACGAGGACTGGTGGCTTCCCCTAGGCGACGCGACGAGCACCACAATAAGCTGACAAGCAGGTGGAGGATGCGATTACATTTGGTGTAGTCATCTTCGGTCTTACCATTACCGATATGGCCAAAATCAACCCCATTGCCCTGTGTTATGCCAGTAGGTTTCCTTTCGATAAAAAGCATATCATGAAACTGCACTCCAGCCGCTTGTCGTTCTTTTCGATATCGTTGATAGTGGGTAGTCAACTGATAGGCGTGTTGCCAATTCGCAAGTTGTGAAGCAAGAGCTATAACTGAGCGATCCACTTGCTCTTGGAAAATACCCTGAAGTGTTGTGGTTCCAGCTCAACTCCGTACATAGTCGTCCCAATGGCGGCCATATCTATACACGGCTTTTATTGGCTCCGTGCATCTTGAAGCATTTGCCATACGGTTACATTGCACCATTTTCAAACAGGATACACCTGCGACCAATGAATACCCTTATGTACGTATTCGCGCTTCGATAAGTATTGACTACAGTAGTTAGCTCGAGGAAAGCTTGCCATTGCCAGCGCCACGTTGACCAGTAATCTGCTAAGATACTTCGTGGCTACCGTCCTGTACTCTGCCAATGCGTGTATAGCTCCTCCTGTTCGTATATATAATATCCTTCTATATTCTATTCATCACGCCTTGCCTCTGTCATTTTCGTCGAGGTCGCAGACGGATGCGATTTATAACAAAAATCCGCAACCCCTTCCCCAGCCAAGAAGTACGCAAGAGAAGGCGCTCGAGATACCGCTAAACTCTTTCCAACCCCAACCTCTGGTACGGAGAGGGGAAGCCAGCTATCCCGGATCAAGATAAGATCCTTGGCTGATATAAGCAAGTCGAGGAGTTGATGGTCGTGTGGTAGCGAGCGGTTATAGGGTCGATGTCATCGCAAAACAGTGGGTATCCACCGTCCCAGGTCGGCATCGGCCGACTGTGCTATATTGCCTGCACATCTTAAAGCGTAGTCGGCTCCGAACGATTCCGGTCCACTTGCCGATCCACCTCGCTGAGTATTGCCCATCCATGGACCGCAGTCTATGAGTTATGTATGCAATGTATCAGCCAAGGTCGGCTTCTCAACCGGCTTCTGTGCAAACACAGTCATTCTAGCTCACGGTCAGTATTTCAACAAACATAATAGTTGGAACCTCAAGCTCACAATGGGATGAAAGTGTGTTGGGCTGTGTTGATGATGTCTTTAGAAACCTGCCTAAGGAGAGAACGGGCCCCCTCTTCTGACCAATCCAAGACACCAATGAATATTGGCATGGTCATCGGCTCAATCGCTGCAAGGACATTTTCAGACATCATGCCACCGAGAGTCTGGAGTTTTTCGCTTGGCGGCCACTGATTTATAGGGACGGAATATTTCCTCCTGGTGATCTGCGTGAAGCCTTTTGCTTCTAGCTTCCCATGGTATCTCGCAACATGTGAGGCCGACATTCCCACTTTATGCAGGCCTATCAAAACTTAGCAGGTGTTGGCGTCATCGTTTGTAAAGAAGGAATCACCTGAACGGAGGTTGTAATTCCACTTATGGAAGGCAGTGCCGTTGCTAGAGTGGTTTGCAGACTGGAGGTACATTATCCACTCCGTGAACTCTGTCCAACCTCCGGGAACCAAGTTTTTATATATGGAGTCCAGCATCGTCATGAAGATTGGGGTGGGAAATTCGCCCAACATTCGTACGTGGATGAAATCGAATTTGTCTTGGAATTGCCAATTGGTCCTTACATCCAAGACTCTAAATTCGCAATTGGGGAGAGTATATGGGGGTTGCACAGGGTCCAAGTCCACGCCGAGGACCAGACAGTCTGGGTGTTGTTGCGCTTCAATGTCCATAAGCACTTGCACCACAACACATCATTGATCATGTACTTGCCGAATTCCTAGCTTGATTAGTGATGCGAGCCTTTCAACACAATGATCATACTTACTAGAGCCCATATTCCAGGGCCTGTCCCTATATCAAGTACTCTCCTTGGACGCTTGAGGGGCGTAAGATGAAGTCTGCCTTCAAAAACATGACGCACAATCAGGTGTTCTATCACTGCAAACAATCAGTGGTAATCGACGGCTTGCAGATTGCTACGCACAGTTCCTCTCTCTTTCTTTCTAGCAGAGACGATGTTAGGTTTGCATCAAACTGGACCTGCGTTACTGGCGGGCTTACCTGATCTTCGGGAAGAAATCCTTGGCCTGGACACTGCTGTTAATGCGCTCCCCATTTTCCCACGATTTGGCACTCCAGCTGACTTACCTTTGTTGACAGGTTTGCCGAATCTTGTGACAATGGAGCGAAAAAAACTCCCCGATTTTGATTTTGACTTTGAGTCATGCCTGCCGTTGTCTCCTTAGAATCATCTCCAGCATCAAACTCAGCCAGATTGGGGATGTTACCTCCTCGGATCACGGCCCGCCCCTACCCCTTCTGAATCCTCCGAGTCGCTTTCTGGCCAAAATTGAGTAGACACAGTGATGGGTGAATCGTCCAGCTATCTATCATTAACAACAAGAACAATGCCCTTTGAGCTCAAACGTATTTACATTGCTTTGCAGGTCCACGTTTGAGCTTCCGGGCTGTGGAAGCGGCTGGGTTGCCGACTCCCTCGCAGTAGAAATGCGGGACATGCCGCGCTCGTTTCCACTCCCCAGGCGTGGTGGTGAGACAGGCTTTGCAGGCTGTCGCCCAACGTATTTCGAATGTGGCTCCATCGAGTTTTTTCGCAACTGCAAGGGGCAGGGGCCACTATCCACTCGCCGTGGTTGAAAGATGTAGGTAATTGAATTGCAGCAGAAAGGAAGGCTCTGGTGTGCAGGGAACCGTCTCTCAGAGGTATTTCTTAGGTGACAAATGCCTCGAATCCTTTCGGCAATCTGGTATGGTTTGTATGTATTGAGCAACTTTGCATCACGTTGTTGCGTTGTTGCGTTGTCGCATGATGGCGGCCTGCCTCCCTGCTTGACATGGCAGGTTGTTGCATGTGCCGCTTGTTAGGGCCCCACTCTATGCTACACTAAAGAGGCTATCATTGGAACTATGTCACCCCTTGCCGGGCCAGGCCAGTTCGCAGAGCCTGTATCCTCGAGGCCACTGCATGATCCGCCATACAGTGTGCGCGAGTGCGATTGTTGCTGATAAAATCAGTTGGAGCTTATAAGTATAGAGCAGTGTTTCCCTTACTTTTTGCGCATCACTGGCGGTGATACCTGAGAAGTCAACTTAGAATCTACAATTGTAGACCATTTGGTGGTAAACTGGCTAACTAGCTCCCGCTAGTATCCATCGTTGTCGCTACTAGCCTCGAGACTCAGTCTAGACTCGTGCTCGCTTGTGACTGTGAGCGTCTTCCACAGCATATATTCTTCCTATCAGTGCATCCCTCGATGATGTCTTATGAGGCATGAAGATGATCACCTTTCATGTAAGTATCCGGTGGCGGACGGGCTCCTCTCGCTGAAACAAATTGCAGCCCAGTCAGAATAAACTGGGTCGAGAGGATTGGCGACGGCGACGACGCTGCTCCACGATGGCGGCGAGAATCGACTGATGCGACACGGTGTGTAGGGCGCGGGCGGCAGGAACGCTGACTCGGTGCTCGTGAAGGTACTCCCACAGCCACCACTTCTGTTGGCACTATCACCAGACGGTGGGCAATAACTGTCGTTCTTGTTTTCCTGGCCTCTCTGGTGAGAATGAGCTCAGAGTCGGTAACAGGGAGATCACGGCTGCGAAGGGTATGCGTCAACAGCAGCTGACACGGTGTAAATACAAGACCAGGCGTTTTGGGCGGACTTGTAAAAGGCAGTCTCCCTCTCGGAACAGCAGAAATTGAAACTATGCAAACCGTAGTAGCCAAGCAGTGGGTGTAGGAATTGGGGACAGACGACTTGAGGCTTGTCTTTACTGGTATAAACATAGCTACTTACGTTATCATGCGTTGTGCCAGTGAAGCCTCTGTCGGTACTTTCAGATCGCCCACTGTATCTCAGGGCTCTGTATTCTTATTTCGTATCACGACAACAAGATAGCTGATCAGCTATACGTTCGCGGGTGCGCTAAATCTTGTGTCTACAACTTGGTGGCAGGATCTAAACTTGATGGTAAGCGCGCATCGCAGAATTTTGGCACTCAGAAGCTTGACCGGTAAGCAGCTGGCAGGAACCACGGATCATAGTTCGTAGAAGCAAGATAACATATTTCACCGGTTGGTTAGGCACTATTTTTTTTGTTCGTCTGATTCTCATCCAACACTATGAGCGAAATCTTCAAACACGGCTGATCGCGCGACGTCGCCACAGTGCTGAACAAAATGCTTGGAATAAATCATCGTTGACGCACCAGGGTCCCTTTTACCCGACAACACAGGGGCTCTAGATGCACTGGATCTACTACTCGATGAAATCTGTTAACAAACGGAGAGGAGCAAGGTCGATCGCTCGATTCAGCAGATTGTAGACCTTTTGCAGGCTGGACTGCGGTCGTGACCATCTCAGACCCAAACCAGTCAAGTCACCTAATCATTATGATTGTACGCAGTCAGATCTACACGCCAAGAATGGTAGTGACCTGGCTGTTGATGAATTCTTGTAGAGATATTTGGACTTGGAAGATTGGAAATGCTGCTGTGATTTATGGCGGCTAGCCAAACGGCTGGCGCTATGTTCTAGAGTGGAAAGTGTAATAATGATATGATATCGATCAGAAGCTCTTGGTTGTACAATCAAGGCAGTTATCATGTTCATTTGTACGGCATACTATTACGCTACAATTGATATTTTCCAGGCCCTGCTTATGATCAAGGTCATCAGTCAGCTTTACTCTCTATGTAAACGACATTCTGTTTCAGTGGCCCTGATGTCGCATATATCATAAGAGACAATATGCCTCAGGCATGGGGCCAAGCGAATCCGACGACAGTACTGCGTCAGGGGTTGATCCTTCTTATTGTCCTGCTGAAGCTTCAATCCGCGTGGACGGATATTTATACACTCTCCATCTTTTGAAAACACTTTGCCTATTTAATAAATAACAACTTCTTTCCACCAGTGCTTTCTATCAAACGGCCAGCATCGTCCAACGTTTCCTTTATGAAACTCCCCACAGAGCTTCAGCTCCTTGTCTGGGAGATAGATGTACGAAGAGGAGGTTCTTTCTGTTTGACACTCTTTAAATATACAAAGGTAGCAGTTTTTAGTGGACAACGCCAGCACTATGATGCGGAAACCTGACATATCTGAGAGCGTCCAGACAATTATACAGAAACACGACGCACTGGGTTGTTCTTGCGAAGAAGTTGGCGTTTCAATTCTAACCCCCGGGGTTGATCAGCCATAGTGTACCTCTGTTGAGCAGGTATGACAAGTAGGTTCTGGAAAAACTCCTGGCCCCCGAGGAAATATATAGTGTATGAAGACGCCTCACCTTCTCAGTCTGGATGGAAGTACTTCGGATACTCGGAACGTCTGCCTGCAACAGTGATGGCACCAACGAGAAATGGATTCAAGGTCACTTTTGAGTTGCGACACTCATACGAGCGCTGTAAAGATGAGCAGCAATGCTCTCACCCTCCTTTATCACTAAGGCCTCTGGCGGAGCAGCTGATGGAGCTGTTCAAGGATCGCAAAGAGCCAGTCAAGATTTATCTCGGCTATGATAATCTATGAGCGAACTCCTGAACACAAAGAAAAATACTCAAGTGATTATCTACATTTGGCAGCGTCTGGATAAGAAGTTGGTGCTACTTGGTGGTTCAAATCCCGCACAACTTTGATTTGGGGTTGATGGTTATGATATAAGCAGTTGGATCTGTGTTAGGTCTGTTGCTGAAAACAATCACGAAAAATATACTGAATGGTTCCATTACTTAGTTAGAGATCTGGAACTGGAAGATTGTTACACCTGCACGATGAATCAGGACCGGTCAGAGGGTAGTGCACACGGGAGAAAGATGAATAACTTGCGGCTTGACGGCTGAGATGAGCGAATCGCAAAGATCGGTAGTGCGGCTTTTCCCACTGTTGATTTGAGACAATGGTGTCATCGCTTTATCGTGAGAAGCAGAAGTCGCCACTTTGATAGTTGTTGAGAGAGGCGGAGGGGAAATAAGAGCCATTTGATATTGTTTTTAATATAGATCTGACGTTGACACGAAGGTTTCCAGCGCCCACCCAAGTGATGGTATAAATCGATGATTCCCATCTGCCTACGTTCACCATATTGTAGTCCCAAGACGCACGATAAGTCTGGCTAATTATGGGAGGCATCGGCCGCGCATGAAGACAACTTCGCGGTCTGGTGACTAAGGTTTGTATCGATGAATGCAACCCAAACAGTGCGCCCTAGAAGAGCTTTCTCATACACCATGTGTCTGACCTCTATAGGTAAATCTACTGAAGAGAGTGAAAACGTGACATGATGGGAATTGAATTGGTAAAGATGACACACTTACTGTAGGGTACAAAGCATGAACTTCTTCTCGAGACATAGTGGCAAACTTGACGGACTCTGTAGAAAAGCAGAAAACAAGAAGGTATGCAAGGCGAAATTCCAGCCTCAGAGAACTCAGACTATTTCTTTCAGTGCCAGTTGTAGTGTCATCACGGCATTCGCTCAAAGCCCTTGACTGGCTGGCGTCATGGGTAAGGGATATTAATTTGTCCGTCTTATTGGACATGTTCTATTATTAAGAGGAATCTACGTAAAGCCAATTGGCCATGGGTATCTAATAAATGCTTTTGCAATACCGCAAACAACTCGGCATCCAATGTGAAAACAAAATAATGAAAGTACTGGTGTGTAAACCGTAATGATCGTGGTGAGACTTTCGGCCGCTCCATTTCTTTCTTCTCCAGCCCATGGAGGCGACTGCCTACAACAACAGACTTTGGATATCCGCTGTGCTCTCTAGGCTAATTCTGGAAGATTCCTTCAAGTCATGTATTAGGACGTTCATGAAGCTGCTGTCACCAGGCTTCCAGCTAGCCCTCTCTCCAGCACTGCTCCAGCGGCGGCTGCCTCTCCGAATATTGGCCATTGGCGAATTTATGAGATCTAATGGAGTAGTATCGAGGTCGTTTGACTTGCTACCGCTTATAATAGTCGGCTTGGCGGTGTCCAGGCTGCTGCTTCTGCTGTGTGTCTCGGGCTCGCATGGCGACTGTGGTTGCACATATGCTGGTTCTGCCATGACGATTCTGGTCGAGTCTTGAGATGCACGAGGCGTTGGCATACCCCATTTGCTCATGAGCTCGTCCATCATGATTTCCTGCGCCTGTATCCGCTTTCGTACTGCCAGGCCGGCTTCAAATTCATGCTGTTGCGGCGTCCTTGGGTTCTCTGTAGAGTCGCGTTCTGGGGTCGCAAGTGTCGCAAAGCCCGAGTCGTTGAGATGGGCTTCTTGATGTCGCTTTGATTCTTCGGAGCTCGAGTCCACAGCTTGTATAACCTCGTGTGCTTTTTCTGGCTGGTCAAGGGGCAATCGCAGACGCGCAATATTGGATGGACTTCGACCCCGTCCGGATTTCTTGATTCTGATGCTTCCGTCTACTTCTGGTGCAGGCGCTGGTTTCGGTCTGGTATTAGCTGCTGGGTGAGCGCCGTCAAATCCCTCGAATGAGACGGAGCTCTTGGTATTTGCGGTCTTTTCGGGAGCCGCAATAGATAACATGGAACGCCTTGCTTCAGCTGCCATGTCAATCATGAATTCTCCCATAAGTAATGGAGCGCCTCTTCCATCTTTCTTCACCTCTCGAAGAGTGCTGGCCATGTTGTTGAGCAATGGATCTAAAACGCTGAGCCATGCATCGCTGTTTTGTTCGAGACGTTGGAGATGAAGCTCTAAATCATCAGTGGTGTAGTTTTTGCCTTCTTCGTCTTCATTAACAGTCGTAGCTTGTATCTCAACCTTGGGTGTATTAGTAGCAATGTTCGCGACTAATTCAGCAATTTCTTTCTCCTTTGCCATTTTCTCCTTATGGATGCGCTCCTTGATGACGCTGCTGCGTCTTCTTGGCAAAACCTCAGCTTCATCCGATGAGCTCTCCTCTTCTAGGTGCTGTGCCATGATGGTTTCGCCTCTTCGAGGGAAAGAAGCTCGGTCCCAAGATGTCCACGGCGTCTGGCCGCCCGTCACATGAGTTGGCAGGCTGAAGCGTTTGAGAGCCTTGGACTGTAGTGTTGTTGGAAAGCTCGGTAGACTACTTCTGCCAGGAAGTTGTCCATTGCTCGGAATAACCGGTGCACTGATATCCGACGACGCACCAGCTATCTTCACTGGCAAGGGTATGTGGAGAGAAAGCCGCTTGGGAGTATACCTAGGCCGGTGTGGTGACTTGAACGGAGTTGAGGGGGCCACGGTTTCTGTGGTCCAAATATTGGACAACCGTAAGTGTGTTGTCGGCTTGGGAGCCAATTCATGTTCATCGCTAGGCTCAATGTTTGCTACCAGCATCAATGGTGAGATCGTAAGGTTGCTGGCCTTTACATCGACGAAGATTGCACTTGGCACTGGTTCGATTTCTGTCGCCAGTATGGGGGAAATTGACCAAGCACGATTTCCGGGTGTCTCCACAGATACAATGTCGGACACGGCTTCTTCGCCTCGCTCCATAGCACGAATGGTTTTTGCATTTTCGGACTCTTGGGCCTTAACCGCCATTTCCAAGCATACTTCTCCTGGCTCCTGTTGATTCTCAATAAATTCACTGATGGCTGCCGTGTGAGACATCCGGACCAGAGGCGACGGTCCTCGAAGGGATGCTTTGCGAGTCGGAACTGTGCTTTGTGAGAACCACCCAAGAACAGGCGAATCGACTGCTTCTGGGTTGGTAGTGGTCCGAGGTGATGGTCTTGGCCCGGAGCGAGGAAGATCAAAACTTCGCTCCCTCAACCCGTCAGACCGTCTTTGACGGACCATGCGTCTTTCGGCAATACTCAATGGCTTGTTCGTAGCGCTGCCAGCTGCCGAATCAAGGGACAAAGTACTGCCAGGATCAGAGTATGTCACATCTTTGCCTACGGCGCTTTGCAGATGAGATTTTCTGAGGGCATCGGGTACCGGCGCGTAGACCCGAGGCTGGTTTGAGATCATACTCTCATACGAGCCTCCAACACCGTCACCGACCACTAAACCAGGTGGTGTGCTGGCAGTAGTAGCATTGCTTCGCGTCGACTGGCGGTTGTTTGAGGTCGACGTGGAGCGTCTGAGGGACTCCGCTGTGATTGTCGATACGCTTGACGTAGATCGTCGGTGTGATTTACTTTGTCCTAGTGCTGGCGACTCTCTTGACACGTAGTATTCTTCCTGAGTAATGACGGCTGACTCCGAAGAGTTTGGAATTGTATGTGCTGTATTGTCCGTGAGCAAGGCAGATCCCACGTGACGTCGTGGATATTGTGCAATTTCCCCAGCGACTCCACTTGGCGTAGTAATGCCAAGGCCATGATTTGTTGCGACAGGCCTATCAGCTAGATCTATGTCTACGTATTTTCGCAGGGCGTGATCCGATTGAGAACGGGGAAGACCTGACCGTGTCTTTCTCATGATCATCTCATCAAGGGAAATTGGTCCGCTTGGGGTGGTCATGGCACCTTTGCTGGAAGTCCGAGGACGAACAACTGGGGGAAACTGAGCCGGGGATGGTGACGAGATTCGTGAACTAAGAGTGCTGGCAGACGAGGGTGATCTTGACACTCTAGGTGGAGAAGGAAACTCCATGGCGGCCAACATTCTTGGGAAACCTGGGGATTCGGGCTGTATGTTGTCCTGCGGTACAATTAAACCACGACCTGTAGCAATACTGAGAGGCTTCTGCAGAATTCTGGGAGACTTGGGCGAAGCGGAACCCGCATGTGAACTTGACAGGCTAGACTGTCGTTGTCTGGTGAAAAGGGTCTTTGGTGAAGCTGTTGGCGATACTCCGGCAGGGTTGAGAACAAGCTCAGGCCATTGGAACTCTTGAAGCTGTCCAGACGGTGGAGGCGTAGCTGGAAACTCCACCGTCGTATAATGAGGCTGGTGCTTGTCAAAATTGCGTATCGTTGAAGGCAATAATGGAGACTGTAGTTGATGCGCTCCCGCCAAATCTTGCTTGGGCATCCGCACGACTCCTGTTTGAGTTTCAGTTTCGGGATCCTGGGTTGAGAGAGAGTCTTCAGCCAGGCGACGAAGGAAGCTGGCGGCCTGGAGTCGAGCTTCGGTGAAATTCTTCAGGTCGTCAGGGCTAGGCTCATGGGACTGTGCCTTAATATCTAAGCTTTGATGTGACCAGTGCGATTTGAATCCGAGATTGTCCGTTGATGCTCCATGAGTCGGCGCAGAAGGGCCCGGAGCTCCTCTGGAAGTAGTTCGCTCAGGCCATTGAGGTGGCCCACCAGTTCCACGAGAACTTGATCTAGGAATCACAGGATACTGCGATCTGAACCAAGGTCCATCGGCATCCTGCTGATGAGGGATGGCAATAGTAGCATATGGGTAGCCTTCAATGGTTTTCTTGGCGATCACCTTGTCGGAAAGCTGCAACTGTAATGACTGTGTTCCTCGTTTTGCGGCTCGCCGCCGCTTCATCATAGCATGAATCGAGAGTTTGCTGTCGTCACCAGACCCAGGCGACCCAGACCGAGTCAGAGTCATGCAGTTGTCGTGGGCATTATTAGTCGGCGGTGCCGTGGTTCGGAAGAATTTCGCGAGCGCTCTCAGTTCGCGGTGCTCACTTGACTCTCGAGGAATGTCTCGTGGTTCATATTTGACACTCTTGTTTGGAGCACCGACAGCCTCCAGCATGTTGCCGGCTGACTGTGATCGCGGCAGCCGCGCGCGTCTTGACCGAGCCTTTTTGGCTACATCTTCCGGATCTGCTGGTTCTGGCCGTATGACGTCGCTACCGGCATTGGAATGATGTCTCAGCTCCGACCCTGCCGTCTCGAACATGATTCTTTGTTGACTGCACGAGCATAAACACCAGGAATGGTGATGAATAGTCGCTCGTATCACGCCGTCCCAACTGGGGTTTATGACAAGATCATAAGCAAGTCTCACGCATTTTTGCCCTCAACGCGGCAGCAATAGCTAAGTGCACTTCGGCTTGAGCATGACGCTCATTGAACGCGACTTGTTTATTGTCTCTCAAGACGCGACCTAGCAATAAAGTTTGGAAGGGACCCCCGTGGTTGACAAAGTATAAAGCCCAAACCTCAAAAAGCCACCCAAGGCGCCTGGATAGGTGATTTGAAGAAAACAGAGTCGCGAGAAACAAATGCCCGAACACAAAATTATCAAGTCCCGCTCAGATCTGCAGGAACCAAACAAGGTCAAGATAAGGCAAGGAGCCGGTCAAACGTGGTCGGGCCAATCCGAGACTCGGCAAACAACGAACCAGAAAAAACGAAGGTCCGGTCGAGAGAAAGGTAATTGCTTTTGAGTGACGGGGCACTGCCTTTAGGAAATACTCTCGTCTTTTGGCCTCTGATTAGTTATTCGATGTACTAAATTCTAGTCCACGGTGATGGACAATTGTAAAATGACATTCGAGAAGCCATCGTTGCCAACTTTGAACTAACTGTTTGCCGTCGTCAACTACATGATTTTAAGAGGATGGATCGACGGCTGATTTGGGATGTGCAGGGGAGAATACACCAATTACGCTAGTGAAGGATGCCGTAACTACCGCTAACCTATGAACGGATCTGGGACCTGGGTGAGTGGATTCGTCTGTTAGTTTGAATTACTACGTCAAACAAAATAGAGAATGGAAATCAAGTAGCAAATGGAGGCAGATGGTTTTGACTTGAATGACTTGCGGTGCTCTGATATGATATTTACCTCAACGTTTAGAATATTTATCAGGCATAGTCCTGTCAATGTCATGTTCGATCTTGCCGGAGTCGACACATATCCCCAGCCTCACATGGGCAGAAGATTAGATTTCTTGACGCTGTTCCCATCACGAAGGGATCACAGGGGTAGCGAAAGGAGAAAGCAGCACTTGCAAGGGAAATTAGATTGGACAAACGATAGCGCGATGCGGGGACATTATTTCTGCACGAGTAATTCTGCTAACCGACAAATCTCAGGGGCCTCCCCTGCTTGTCAAAAACAACAAAAAGCCCGACTCCAAAAGAAGCGTTGGAGCGTGCGCAGCCATGCTGTTTATCACTTCGTGTCGCTGTCGTTTCTGCCAGATCGTGAGCCTCTAGACTAGGCTCGGAATCGTACACATCGACGATTTTAATGCAGATCTCTCGGAGACTTGCGGTCCCACGTCGGTTGTCGCGCCATTTGATCCATTCAAGGAGTTTTCGTGGACAAAGGATATTGCATGGTGCGAGCATCCTGGTATGTATGTCGCTTACTGGTGTATCAAACGATGAGGTGAGGGTCTTCCCGCATCTGAGTCCGCTATTGATATAGGGACTTTTCAATGCATTTCAGTTGCACGTCGAATTGAAGCCTTCTCACCTATCAGTCTACAGTAATATTTACATGTAGAGAAACACGTCTCGATTTCATCTTTTGAATTCTCCAAAGAAACCTAAGTGAATGCCCATGGTCACCATACATTTCGTCGTCCAAGTATTTTCCCAATCATAGTAACCATCATCCAATTGACGACTGTCCTCGTATACAAAAAATTTAGTTGCGGAGGATTGAATCGTATAGTATCTACTTGAGCCATACGCACAAAGAAACTCACACAATCACATAAGTCGATATGTAACCTCGTGAATATGGCTGCCCATTAATTATATATTAACCCGTTGCATTTCCACTCATAATGCCTACTAAAGTATTATTGGTTTATATTTACGCAACGAATCAGATCTACGGCATCAGACTAGTGTATAACCTACTAAAATATAATAGCACTCAAGAGCATTTCGCCTTATACGACTGAAACCTCTTGAGTAAATAGTTCCGGCCATTGTGAACTCTTGCGTCCGATACTTGACACTATATGTAGCACGCATCCGGCTGTATATTCTATGAGGCATCCAGGGCTCTACTAAGTGGTGCCTAGCCATTGTTAATGTGACGTTTATTATCATATTTTGTTGCATCAGACGCCTGGTCACGTTTCAAAATCAGCAATGGGTAGTAGGTTTGTGCAAAAAGCTTTATGAGAGTTTAGCCACCAACTTCAGTTCCGGCGTTGTTCTACATTCTTCCCTGGGCTCACTGAGTTGCCGGATGAGCGGGTCACACACAGTAGCTGCATGACGTCAAAGCAGCGGACTTCAAGACTCATACAAATCCGTACAGTCCTCTGGACCTCCGCAAATTATCCCCGTACAACATCCATCCCGTCAAGCGTCATAATTGTAAGAAATCTGAGAACATGGTCAATCTACAGAGCCTCAACCCTCTTGCACCTTCTGTGAAGGAGTCGGCGGTCGTGTCAGAGTTGCGCATCTACCCTATCAAGTCATGCCGCGGCTTCACCGTGCGCCACAGCTATGTCACCAAAAAAGGCCTTGACCTCGACAGGAATTGGATGTTTATCGGCGAAGACAACAAATTCGTCACCATCCGTGATATCTCAGAACTGACCCTGATTGACACTGCACTGGCAAGTGCGGTGGGGCACAAAGCGGAGGGCTCCGAGGACGACCTGGAGTTGATCATCAGCATCAGAGATCATCCCGACAAGCGTGTGATTATACCGGCAAGACCAACTAGGGAGTGGCTTGAGGCCCATACAAAGTGCGAGAAGGTTGAGATCTGGGGCAATGAGACTGATGGTTGGGTCTATGGAGGTGAAGTAAACGCTCTCATCCGTGACTATATGAAGCGAGATGTCAGACTGGTCTACAAGGGCCCAACACCCCGTATTCTACGCGGGAATGGGGCCCCGGATCAGCTTGGAAGGGAGGAGGCCACGAATTTCCCGGATGTCTTACCAGTGTTGATTGCCAGCGAGGCGTCATTAGACGAGCTCAACGGACGGCTCAAGGCAAAGGGCACGGATGCGATCACCATCGAGCGCTTCCGACCCAACATTGTGGTCAAAGGAGGAACAGCATGGAGTGAGGATGACTGGAAGCGGGTCCGCATTGTCAATCGTAAACCGGATTCTGGGTCCTTCCTCGCAACCGAGCCTTCCACTATTGATATTGATGTTCAAGCACATTGTGCACGCTGCCAGGTGCCCAATGTCGATCCTAACACGGCGGAGAAAAATGCACACGAGCCCTGGGATACGCTTGTCAGCTATAGACGCATAGACGAGGGCATCAAATGGAAACCGTGTTTTTGGGATGTTGAGTTGTCCACGAAACGAAGGCACAGTCAGGGTGGGCATGAAGTTGGAAGTTATGGAAACGACACGGAGCCACATCTATATCAAAGGCTTTTGAGCCTAGACGGCATTGTAAATTTCGAGATCGATGAACTTGATTCAAGTTTATAGACCAAAGACTAAATTGAGATGGCGTTGCTGCAAACTATCCAAACTTTGCATACACCCATGGAGAAATGAAGAATGATAAGGGGAAAAATCAAAACTATAGGTTTTATTGCGACTCCTTGAAAACCAATCACTCAGCACTCATCTTCCCTTCCTTCGCCTTCTTATTCTCCTCCAGTTCGGAATTTTGAATCGTAGTCATGTTTGATCGACAAGCATTCGACAAGCTGCCCATCCCTGGTTATCGTGGTGGTTGAAATCGAGTACATGGCGATCGACATTCCTGAAGTAGCAAATAATCCATTCCGATATATACTCAAAAGCTTGCTTCCATGACGCTTCGATAGTCTTTTAGCCATGGTAGTTCTGCGGTTTGTTGCGCACGAGAGCCTCACCAGGATCTTGGTTGCATAAACCACAGTTCTTGGCGACGTAGAGGATATGTACATCGAAAGTCCCGGCATCCGCACGTGGTTTACTCCGCAAGGCAGCAGCTGTGATCTGTCCTCTGAGTGATGATTCGAAACCATCTTTCTGAGTACGATTTCGAGAAAAGATTAACAGCCACGCTGCCGTCCTCCCAACCTGTGCCCATCGGCATTTTTCTGATAGGTCGCTCAAAAGCTAGGATATGTCTCACTATAATCCTGTATTCCATAGTTTAGTCTATCTATAGTAGTATTGGTGTCCATTCCGAAGAGCCAAATTAGTCGTCGTGCCAGATAAACTGGCAGCTTGAATCCAGGTGGCATATGTTCCAAATATTACTTTGGGCTTGAATATGGCCAAACTTTACAGAAACGGCTTATTGTCCAGGCGAGTTGACAGAACGAACACAGGCACAGTAAACAACATACTCCGCCATTCTGTAAAACATAGCAGATTCAGCTTACCGCACACGTTCGTACATGTTGGCGTCGTTGAAATCCAAGAGGCTAAGATAGTGTTGTTATTCTTATAAAAAGTTGATATCCCTCTTCATGGGACGGCCCAAAGGTTTCACGAATCCACCTGAAGTCGAGTAAATAAAGAGCACTACACTCGTCATGTCGCAACAAACATCGATCCGAACTTACTGTGATTCTTACTCAATGATACTTACCAGCCGTAGCCAACCGAGAAATCTTACTAACTTAGATACTAACAACGAGCAGACTTTTCGAGTGAGCACTGCTGACTTCTATCGATCATGCTGTGCATCACGATTTGAGCTCACATCTATTTCTGAATAATCGATATTTACGTCGCCTATTGTATTTTCGGTGTGTCGCGCCATTTGCGCATCAGAAGTAGACCGCGCGCGGAGCTTAGCTGTTGCCCTATCTTACCACATTACTCCCTCCCACGGCAGCTTCTGTAACCACCACTCTAGCCCGGCCGCCAGTGATCAAAGACGCAAGAGGGATCAACCAGGTTACAATCTGAGTATTTTTATTTACAAGTTCAATTTTTTTAGCGACCATAACAGCATCCGCCCCCGACCTCATCAAGCCCGAGGATTTCATGACACGCCGAGCAGACCACAGCGAGCAACATCAGTTGCCAGGCGGCACCACCCTCCACTGCAGCCCATATCCATAACACCTGGTCGAGCCCGTAGCCCCCGAACTCCCGCCCTGACTCTGCTCGATGCCCTGCCCCAGGAACGTCTCCACGTCGCCCGCCGCGACATGGATGGGATCACCCGAGTCCTCGGGATCGGCGATATTGACCTCGAAGCGACAGCCGTCGTTCTCGACGAGCGCGTGCCAGACGCCCTGCTGGAACTCGGTGAGGACGTAGTTCCTGTTCGCGTCCCGCGTCGCCGCGCCGAGCGCGCCGCACGACTCCAGCCAGTTGCCGGGCCTGCTCGCGATGGCCAGGCTGCTGGCGCCGCCGGCGTCGCAGAAGGGCGTCGTGCTGCCGGCGAGCGCCCAGCCGCAGCAGCCGCCGGGGCAGCTGATGGCGCCCACGGAGGAGATGTAGGTGCAGGCCGGGCCGGAGGAGGCCCGGGGCGGGTGGGCGAGGGGTGTCGCGGAGCACAGGGCTGCGAGCTGCAGCATGGCTGCGAGTAGTGTTGTCGAAGGGAGATACATTTTGGTGGTGCAGACACGGTAGGAGTAACTTGATGGATTATTCAATAGTGTTAGTATGACGGAGAGATACCGCCCCAATGTGAAGGAGTTTGGCACGTCTACTATGATCGACAGTTATGGTTTGGTGTTTTTTGGTCAGCACTCTTGCATACCCGGCATTCGTTCCATTCCTTTCGGGCCTCCCAGCAGAGTATATATAATGAACCAGCTAGAGTGATTCGCGGTCTGCAGTGCAGTGTCTGTTATTCGATTCGGGTCATCACCAACAGCCCCTGAGCAGCCTGTTCTCCACTAGACTCATTTTGGCCCCGTGGTCACGGCCACTTGACCGGATATCGCATGCTGCACGAGAAGCCCCATCACATCATGGTCGAGCAGTGTTCCTACTCGCAACAAAAGCTGTGACGAGGTTTCGGGCCCAATTTCGCTCCAAGTCAACTGGTACGCCAATGGCGTTGTGTAGTTGGGGGCTCTAGCGGTCGACGGGGTCGGGCGGTTAACTCGAGCTCGCTGGGCCAATCACGGCACAGTCTGGTGAGACGGATTGCCCAATGGGGAGATGTGATGTGAGATCTCTTTGTTGCTTCCTCTGGGACAGCACAGTAGTATGGCCCCAACGATTGGAAACCAACGGATTGCGACCCCTCCAAATGGACCCCTCGTAGTGTGGTGGTGGTAATCTTGTGAGCAGTTAGCTCGCCGCCCGACGAACCCATGTTTCGCCCACAGATCGGCCTGCATGTGCATTGATTGTTGGCCGATCTTTTTGGTGGTCATGTTTGTGACACCAGGAAAGAGCCTCATACACACGTTGGCAAACACACCGGATCAACACTTCTTCATTATGGTCTGTTGCAAAGCCGACCAGCTGTTTGAATTTTATACACGCTGCCTCCTGCGGCATGAGCGACATGAGGTTCCATATATCATCAAAACGTCCATCTTAACCTCATGAACCTGAAACCAAGGTCTTTGCGCTAATAATGAGATGCTCAAAAAAATTCGATATGATCTAAAGGGGTATCGCATCATCGAGCAAAGACTTTGACAGTCCCATCTCCACCTGAGCTGACGACCCAGCGTCCGTCACTACTCCAAACGACTGAGCAGACACCTTCGCCTCTCATAATACGGTGCGTGGTGATTTCCTGAGTGCAGCTACGCTTTTCCAAACTCCAGAATCTGAGACTAGCATCATGCCCAGCGGAAACCAACTCTCTACCATCTGGCGAAAGTGAGAGAGCAGAAATGGCAGCGGGGTGGGCAAGCATGTTGTATGTACACTGGCCTATCCGAACTGTCAGCATTTGTTTGTGGGGGCACAGTACACGCCAAAAATTAGATAACTTACCGCTATTAGCATCGAAGAATCTGACATAGCGATCCTCATGGCCGCTAATGATGACCCCTTCGATACCGCTGCCAGCCGCTCCGCCGCCGCCCGTAGGTCCGGCTCCTCCTGATGCGGCGTTGGCCTCCTCATCACCCAGCTCGGGACCGGAGCTCTGCTCAAGGCCAATCGTAGTTGCAACGACAGCATTAACACTAGTCGACAGCGTGCCATCCGCTGTCTCCAGGCTAGCCATAGTGCCAATCTCTTCGCCCGTTCTTGTGTCGTAAATAACAATTGCCGCATCCGAGTATGAGACCACAAATGCCTCGCCGTTTGCGGATAAAGGAGTGATGCATGTAGGGCTAGCTTTCGACCCATCGGCCCGCGTCACACTGTGAACTAGTGTATGGTGGAAAGGCGTGTTAGACGTCATGCTAGGCTGTGGTGAGTTGGGGAACTGAGATCCAGAGCTCATGGAGTTGCCACGGCCTCGGCTTCCGGTAGCACGACGTCCAGACGCAGGTTGTGGTGATGTCAGTTGCGGTGGCGCGCTGACTGCCCACACCTTGACAGCACCATCTGCAGAGCCCGAAGCAAGCAGGATACGGTCTGGGCTACCATATGCACTTGTCTGGCCGAAAACGGCACCCAATGTTGCAGGTAGAACGCAGACAGCCCAGACAGCATCAGTGTGTCCGTCCAGAGTGGCCTTGGGGTCTACTCTGCCACGCTCCCAAACTCTAATAGATGCGTCTTGCCCACCAGAGAATATCCAGCCATCGCCTTGAGCACGTCCGCCAGTAGAGAAATTCGGTGCCGGAGACCAAGATGTGAGGCACAGTACAGCTCCGCTATGACCTCGATGAGTGAAATCTGCCGGCACATCCAGGTCAGATGTATTGGTGCCGAGGTGGCTGGGATTCTCTCGTGGTATGTGGAATCGCTTGATCAGCCCATCATCCCCAGCTGTGCAGATCTCTGGCTCTCCCGGGCTTCCGCCCCCGGAGAAAATGACGGTTCGTACTGTGTTAAGATGGCCACGGAGGCCGTAACGTAGCTTGAAGTTGCCACTTTCGGCCTTGTGGGATGAGGAGTTGAGTGAGAGTTCCTGGTCCAGACTCCGTCTACGTGACAGTGAAGTCTTCCTTCTGTGGGAACTAGGCGCTCGATTGGGGGATTTTGGGATGTTGTCGGCGGCGGGGAATACATCGATATCGGGTCGGTTGGCAGGCATGTTTTGGAGAGCTTGTGAGGATGTGGTTTCGGGGAAAGTGCCCTCACCAAAGTCCCACGCATCAGAATCCCCCACTACTCGCTTTTCAGGATCTTCGGCCGTGGTTTGGCGCGGATATTCGTTGTGGTTAAGCTTCATTGCAGCATCTTCGCGGCTGGTTACGGCAACTCCTACAGGCGCAGGCCATTCCGGCTGGTTATTGTAGGCAGCCGGTGGGTTGTCATTGGCCCGCACCATGGGAGCAGACTGCAACTCTTGCACATTCTGCCTCGCGAGACTTGGTATTTGTGACTGCGGCATAGGCGCAGGATGGTTTGGCTGAGAGCGAGGGCCTGGGTCTTTGGCGTGGTTCTGGTTCAGGTGTAGTTGTCGGAAGGCTGCGTCTAGAGGTTGCATGCCGGCGGGCACACCATATTCGCCCTCACGCATGTCTTCGAGCATGGGCAATGGAGGTGAGTCTCGAGGGGGCAGCGGGTTGGCGGGCGTAATCATGAGGTAGGTGAACTCGCTTTGGCATTGATCCAGAAATATCCTGAGTTGCTCGCGCTCGTCCTCTTCTTGGACTCGTTCGCCAACCAATCCCTCGAGGCCGGGAATGGGTTCTTTCGGCTTATCATTGGAAGCTAGTATTGTGTCAGTAATCCCTTCCCAAAGTTGGTCTTTTTGAGCCGACTCACACTTAAGCTTCTCAGCTATCAAAGTAGCGCGGTCGACTTTGGGCGGCTGCTTGACAGCATGCTCATCAGCTGTGCCGTTGCCGGATTCGGCAGTCTTTAGTCGTGCTGCCTGGTCTTTGACCTTCTTCTCGAGAATGCCGACATACTTCTTCAAGGCCTTTTGCGATGCGTCAGCTCTCCTGGTGGAACCTTCGAGAGCGGCTATGCGACCCTTCATCTCCTGGCGTTCGATCTCCCAAGCATTTCTGTCGCGCTCGTGTCGATGCCATTCGGTCTGTAGGAAGCGCATGACGCCTTGTAACGTGTATTCGGTAGCATGAGGTTGGTTTGTGCCATTTGCAGGCATTCCTCCAAGGTCTTGACCGCCAAGATTACCACCTCCCCCCATGTTTCCAGCTCCCATGGCAGAGACCTGTTGCCAGCTCATGCCCGCGAATTCCGCCCTGCTGACGGCCTACGGCTGTTGCTGGCGACCGTGCAGCGACGGAGTTGTTTGATATTCCGTCTTTCGCCTCTACGAGATGTGGATGGGTTCTTTCGACATGCACATCTGCACCCGACGTCGAGGGAAAAAGGAAGTGGATTGGGGATATGCGCGCGATCGGCTCGTGGTGGGTGCGAAATGGGAGATGCCGGTAGAGTGAGCTCGTCGCAATAGAAATGTTTGAGCTGATGCAATGCTCCCCAAAATGTCGGCAAAGCTTGTCGCGTGGGTGAAGCTGAAGCCGAAGCTGGACACAGAGCAACGTCTGCCTTTCAGGCTTGGCAGTAGTGATAGCTTTCCTAAAGTCGTTACGTTGCAGTAGTCGTCTCTATTAAAAGCGTAATTGTGGAGCGGAACAGCACGAAATAGTAAATGATAGACAACGAAAGAGAAGGCCACCTGTCTGGTTATGACAACGCAATTATGGTACACGACCGTACAGTGGTGAAGTCTTCTGTAGAGCGAGTACGGCGGGAGGTTTGCTGGATGGGTTTCGTCGCTTGATCGGCATCGAAAGGGCAGGCCAGCACAGCATCCAGGACGGACGTGATGGGCTAAAAGCTTTACTAACGTTACCCGGAGATCGCAGACATTTGATTCGGATCCAGACTGGCGCCAAATGGAGGTAAGCCAATGAGATGGGGATGGGAACTGGTACAAAAGGCGAGGCTGTCTCCTCAGGCATCAACTTTTCCCATCATCAGGGGGAAGGGGGGAGACAGAGCTTGGACCTGCATCGTTTTGTGTTCTGTGCTGCATCCTGTACCAAGACTACACACGGTACTTGAGATATGTACGGATACCGCCGCGTTAGCTATGTACGTACATAGCATGGGGACATGGATCTTTCAGTTCTGCTGGGGAGGAAGCACAGGCCACATGTTGTTATCTCGTCACCGTCACAACTGCTTACTCACATCCTGTGTGTTACTGCTCGCTGCTGGTTTGTTAGTCTCCAATCACTTTGTCGCTCTTGCTGACCACCGAGGCAATTCGCCGGTGTCTCTTGCTCTCGCAACCATCGGGCGCATGGTTAATCCGGGTTCTCAACCCAATGGATGGCTGCACAATTGTTAGACTTGAGCTTGAGAGAACAAATAGGAAAAGTCTCAAAGCGTCATAGAAGAAAGAGTCGGGTCAGGTTTAGATATCATCGAGGCAATAGCATCATGTCGGGACTGCAAATTCATCGAGTGTATTCATAATTGTTTTGCTCCTCTCAATATGCAGTGACATGTTTCTCCTCGTTTGACGCTCTCTTTGCGTGAGTAAAATCGCACTCTTCACTGGCGAACAGGCCGGAGAGTGGACCTCGGACATCCAATCACATTGGATTTGATCATAATCGTCAATTGGCAGCGCCACTATTATTCCCGACCCAGCACCAAGCAACCAAGCACTTCTTTGACCTGAGAATAGAGACGTCAACACTCCGACAGAGCTCTCAATCGGCCGCCACAGCATTTGTTGCTGCATCCCCTTCCCTCCACATCGTCAGATTCCGTCGGGACGACACGATGCTGCGACATTCTCTGGCTCGTTCGGCTTGGCGGACCACCAGGCATGCCGCCAATGCCACGAGAGCCTTTTCCGCGACTGCTCAGAGGCCCGCCGAGGTCGAGCTTACCATTGGTTCGTCAACCTCATCTCCATTGCCTCGACCTTGCCATATACATGTAGCTGACTGGTATCTAGACGGAAAGAAGGTCTCGATAGAAGGTATGATGACCTGTTGCACTCCCAGCACGAGCCCGGACTGACCCAAGAAACAGCTGGATCCGCCTTGATCCAGGCATGCGAGAAGGCCGGAGCCACCGTCCCTAGGTATGTCGACAGATAAATATCATCCTCGCCAGGACGAAACCCGTATGCTAATGCTCTACTTCTCAGATATTGCTACCATGAGTACGTTTCCCACGACGCCCTTCTCGGCCCACCGCCAGTGCAACTCGGAACGCGCGCTGACAAATGGAACACAGAAAACTAATGATTGCGGGTAACTGCCGTATGTGCCTGGTCGAAGTCGAGAGGGCCCCCAAGCCCGTTGCATCATGCGCATGGCCCGTCCAGCCCGGCATGGTCGTCAAGACCAACTCGCCACTCACACACAAGGCCCGTGAAGGTGTCATGGAGTTCCTGCTCGCAAACCACCCTCTGGACTGCCCTGTCTGTGACCAAGGTGGTGAGTGTGATCTTCAGGACCAGTCCATGCGATACGGCGGCGACAGAGGCCGGTTCCACGAGATTGGCGGCAAGCGTGCTGTCGAGGACAAGAACATCGGTCCCCTCATCAAGACTTCCATGAACAGATGTATCCACTGCACGAGGTGTATCCGATTCGCCAACGATATCGCCGGCGCCCCTGAGATGGGTTCTTTCGGACGTGGCAACGACATCCAAATCGGCACCTACCTCGAGAAGAACCTCGACTCCGAAATGTCCGGCAACGTCATCGATTTGTGCCCCGTTGGTGCTCTCACCTCCAAGCCTTACGCGTTCCGTGCCAGACCTTGGGAATTGAAGAAGACCGAGTCTATCGATGTCCTGGACGGTTTAGGCTCCGCTATTCGCGTCGACTCGAGAGGTCTGGAAGTTATGCGTGTGATTCCTCGCCTGAACGACGACGTCAACGAGGAGTGGATCAACGACAAGACGAGATTCGCCTGTGATGGTCTCAAGACCCAGAGACTCACCATGCCCTTGGTTCGACGTGACGGCAAGTTCGAGCCTGCCTCTTGGGAGCAGGCCCTGACAGAGATCGGTGCTGCCTACAAGGGCCTCGATGTCAAGGGAGACGAGTTCAAGGCCATCGCTGGTGCTTTGACCGAGGTCGAGTCCCTGGTCGTCATGAAGGATCTGGCCAACAAGCTGGGCTCCGAGAACTTGACCATCGATGTCCCTGCTGGTAAAGGGCCTATCGCTCACGGCGTGGATGTGCGATCTAACTACGCCTTCAACTCCCTCATCTGGGGTGTTGAGGATGTCGACGCACTACTTCTTGTCGGTACCAATACCAGACATGAGGCCGCTAACTTGAACGCTCGTATCCGCAAGCAGTGGATGCGCTCAGACCTCGAGATCGGTGTTGTCGGCGAGACTTGGGAGTCGACTTTCGAGTTCGAGCACCTTGGTGCCGACTTCGCTGCCCTCAAGAAGGCTTTGGCCGGTCCCTTTGGCAAGAAGCTCCAGGGAGCCAAGAAGCCCATGATCGTTGTTGGCTCTGGTGTCACTGACCACCCCGATGCCAAGGCTTTCTATGAGCTTATCGGTACCTTCGTCGACAAGAATGCTGCAAACTTCTTGACTGCCGAGCACAACGGTTACAATGTCCTGCAAAGAGAGGCTTCGAGAGCTGGTGCTTTCGAGGTTGGCTTCGTTCCTCCTTCCACCGCCGTCGCCGAGACCAAGCCCAAGATGGTCTGGTTGCTAGGTGCTGATGAGTTCGCTGATGCCGACATCCCCAAGGACGCCTTCATTATCTACCAAGGCCACCACGGCGACCGAGGTGCCCAGATCGCCGATATCGTTCTGCCCGGCGCTGCTTACACAGAAAAGGCCGGTACTTACGTCAACACCGAGGGACGTGTCCAGATGACCCGTGCCGCTACATCATTACCAGGTGCTGCCCGCACTGACTGGAAGATCCTCCGCGCTGCTTCGGAGTTCCTTGGTGCCCCTCTGCCGTACGACGATGTCGCCATGGTTCGTGACAGAGCAGCAGAAATCAGCCCAGCGCTCACCGTGTACGATGTCGTTGAGCCAGCCTCGTTGACGCAGCTCAGCAAGGTTCAGCTGGTGGATCAGAACAAGGGCTCAAAGCCAAGCGGCGAGCCCTTGAAGAAGGTTATTCAAGATTTCTATTTCACAGATGTCATCTCCAGAAGGTTTGTTGATCCTACTCTAACAATTCATGAAGTCGGAAGCTAATCATGGACCAGCTCGCCGACAATGGCACGTTGCTCCGCTGCAAAGGCGACCGGCAACCCCCTTACAGACTTCATGGCATCCGGTATGGGCGACGAGAACAAGCCCATGGGTCAGGTCGCTTACGGTGTATGAGAGGGCGTTATAGTATAGAGAAGACAGTGGATGAAAACGAGACCATCACAATGCGATTTCGAGGCTAGGTTTGCTTTCCCTTTGTTACATCATTGGTCTCGCATTGTATGTACTGTACATATAGGATGACAACGGCGGGGTAGAATGAGAAGGTACATAAATGTTCTGGCTCGTTGGCCGCTATGCAATGTGATACTGAGGTTATGCTGCTGTGTTTGAATACACCTCCATTGACTTACCAGGCCAGGAATGAGTTTTATGATGCCCGGTAGTTATGGTGTTTGCGAAGAGAGCGGGTAAAACCTGCAGTTGAACGTTCACTGCCTATCTATGTCACTATGATTTGATAAGAGACGCTTGATCCTGAAAAGGCTACTAAAAACAGTCTATTGAATCACAATCTCAGATTGTGAGAAGCTCTGCCGGGGAACTTTTGAGGTGGCTACAGAGTATGGCCCGTACAGCAGAAGCGAAACCTTTGATCTCCGCCAGTACTACTGTTTTTGGGCTAAACGCCTCTAATCTGTAATACCGTGTTTGGACCTCACAACTAATTCCGCGGTTGGGGGCCTAACAATGCCACTTTCACTGCGATTCCAACCCTCGCAGGCCGTCTGAGCCCCCAAGATGTGCGATGACGTGGTGCGCATGTGGGTGAATGGGCACCGGGTAATATTACGAATGATGTTGAAATAGTTTTCCTATCGTCCAGGAGGTTCGTAACCGTATCTCGCGCTTTGGCCTGGGGGACTGACGATTAACCAATAATTACGTCGCGATATAAGCACGGTTCATTGGTAGCCTCGTTGTATGATGCAACGAGCGAAGAAGGAAGCATATGGTACAAATTAGTTTTCTTACCACATATGATCATATGTTTATTTTATGGCAACCATGATTTTCGACTACAGTTATATTATTTGTCCATATAGTCTAGGTTCATTCTTAAAGTTCTATAAAAGCTCGCGCCGGAGATGCCATGGTACGTCGGTCCCATTGATCTTTGCACCGCAGCATAGTCACTGCCCGGCCTAGGATAATTTTCAGAAATTCAAGATACTGTATGCAGCTTCGATAACGCCAAGCCAATGAACAAACGGTATTGTGGCGTTGTCATCCTCTGCGCGTTTACCCGTGAGATTTTCCCCTGCCACTACGTGCGAAGCCTGCATAGGCGGGCGCCCAGATCCGCCCAATAACAGGGCATGGAGGGTTACACAAAAGACATCGCGAGCGAATAGGCTTTGTTAGCATGCTACACCGCTGCGCCCCCAAAAACGCGAATTTTTTTCACTGCAATTTTAACCCTCACGAAAGGCATGACATTGTACGCTTCGTCTTAGACGCGGCCGCATCGGCCCAGAATGTCTAGTCTCGACGGAAGATCTGGATTGCCGCACGGCAGATCTTCCGCCGAAGTGTGTATCTTGCCTGTCTGCACAGCAATTCTAACCCCCACAAAGGGCCCAACCTCTCGGGGCGTATCGAACCACTCGGTAGTCCATGTGTAACGTCAGCAGCAGTCATTGCTCGCTACCAGACGTGATGGATATATCGGAATATGAGTTGCCACTGGGTTCATGTCTTGATACGTCGGATCCTAACTATACTCGCGCGTTTACCCCATAATTAACTGTTTGGATACCCCCAATGCGTTTTGTAGTGTCTTTACTTACGCGCGACCTGTAAGATGGAGGCGAAGCTTAAATATACTTAGGTTCCAGCTCTGTCAAGCGTAAGACGTAGTGAGCAGATGGAGATATAGGAGGGCTTGAGAAATGGTGACTTGTTCACGCTAATAAATACAAATTATATACACAAATAGAGGCCACCGCCCGGGGATTATACGTAAAAGACGCCGCCTACGAGCTGCAGCTGCATTGCAGAGCCCTCTTCGCTTTGGGCACCTCCTTGATCCACCTCGTCTCCTCATCTTTATCACCCTGGTATTCAACACCGTCAAGCGTCTTGCCGGCCCAGCTCTCTTCGAAGGGGTGCAACGCCATCCACATGATGCGGTCCAGGACTTCCCTCTCGCCGTCCTTCTCGACTCTCTTGATGACTTCGTCCAAGATCCAGCTCCGAGGGATGAAGTTCGGGTTGACCTTCTTCATGGCTTGTCTCCTCTCCTCGTCTGCAGACCCAGACTCGCCCCAGTCCTCGAGGACGCGCTCCCTCCACTTGCCAAGCCACTCTCCGACACGCTTGCGGCCTTCCTCCTCGTTGGGTGCAGGGCCGCTTGCGCCGTCCTTGTAGAAGAAGACGCCAGCCTTGACTTCTCTGCTCTCCTGGGTATCCAGCTGGTGGACCTTGAGACCGCTGAGCCTCCTGAAGAATAGGTTGAAGTCCAGCTCCAGTGCCTCCATGGTGTCGAGCAAGGAGGAAAATAGCTCCTCGAAATCGCTCTCTCTGAAGTTCTTGAGACCAACGCGCAGTGTCATGAGGCGCTTGTACTCAGATAGGAAGACGTGCTTGTACTCCTCCCCGATCTGCATGATGACCTTCTCCGCGCGCTTCGTAAGGTCATCGACGTCTGATTCCTCGACGCCCTCTTCGACGAATTTCTTGTCGTCTACCTTGGCGCCAGCGCCAATGAGCTCGCCCAGCGACTCGCCGAGGCGGACAAGGTTCCACCAGATGATCGATGGCTGGTTGCGATAGCTGTAGCGCAGTTGATAGTCATCGTGGTTGGGCGTGTACGTGGGGTCGAAGTTGTCCATGAAGGCGAAGGGCCCAAAATCTATCGACAGTCCGAAGAGGGATGTGTTGTCTGTGTTCAACACGCCGTTCATGAAGCCGTATGCCTGCCACTTTGCGACGACCAGAGCATTCCGACGCACGATCTCACGGTATAAGCGAGTAAACCTGTTCTCGGCGCTCTCTTCCGGGCCCTGGATCTCGTCCTTCTTTACTCCTTGTGAAGGCTCGGCGGATTCGGCAGCCTTGCCTGGATCCTCCAATCTTGCGGGCAGTGTCTCCCAACCGCCGAACACATCCTCGGCAACATAGGTGGCCAGCTTCCTGATGGTGTTCCTTTCGCCTCGGGCGCGAAGGATATCGAAGTTGCCTATCCTCAACCAGCTCTGTGCGAACCGACATACGATGGCGCCAGGCTCTAACGTTTCCCTGCGCACCTTCACGTCAGGGGTGAGCGTCAGACTGAGCGCGCGGGTGCTCGGGATGTTCAGCGCATTCAGTGCTTCCGACACGACGAATTCTCTTATGCTACTCCTCAGCACAGCCTTCCCGTCCGCGAATCTGGAGTACGGGGTCATGCCCGCGCCCTTGAGCTGTAGTTCGTATCGCGTTCCGTTGTCGTTGGTCGTCTCGAAGAGACTGATCGCTCGACCGTCGCCCAGCTGGCCGGCCCATGATCCGAACTGGAAACCGCCGTAGAGCTGGGCCCAGGGGTAGCCGCCCTCGGATTTCTCCTCGTCCCAGCCTTGGATCTTGTTGCCGGCGACGGTGTTCAGAAAGTCGGGATCGCCGCGGGCGGTGGAGGGGTCGATGCCGAGGTCCTTCAGAGCGGCGGGCGACACAGAGAGAAGCTCTGGTCTCGTCGCACCTTCGGGGCGCACCCATGTGTATATCGCATCGCGGACCTGACGGGGTCCGATTTGGTCCCGCGGCGTCTTGTGGGAATCGGCGGGTGTTGGGAAGATAGAGTCGGCTGGAAGCTTGGAGGTGAAGTTCCAGGTTTTAGGGATCTCGCTTATGGCTTTGCCATGAGAGGCGCCGTTGGTCAGATTGGACGACATCCGTGGAAAGGGTTTCTGTATCAATAAGCCTGACAAAGAAGCCTGCCGCAATGTCTGGCGGTAGAGCATATGGTGTGGTTGGGCGTTCGAGCAAAAGCTCTATTTCTCAGACGGGGGTTTATATGGATAGCATTTTGTGCTATTTAACCGAGGATTATGGCCACTAACACTGACAGGTCTCGGAAATCGGTCCAGAAAAAGCCATTGGGTGCCGCCAACGTCGGCATCACATCATTCGCAAGTATGTATGCGCTGTGGCGATTTGGAATCACTTTTGTATGCAAGTGTGACAGCTCCGCTAGCAGCCATCCGTCCCCGGCGCTTTTCGTGGCACCCCCCCCCCCCCGGCCGGCCGAGGACAATCAGATGGCCCACTCCAGCAGTCAGAACCTTATAAATCTCATAAAAGACGCGGAGCATTTTCACCGGGGAGGTCTTCATTAATGAGTATGACCTGATCTCGATTTAACGAGTGAGCAGTAAAGTGTAGTGAAACCGCAGAAGGCGGCCTTGCTCAGGTCGTAGGAAAACGATTCGCATTACGAGCTGATGCCGTTACCACTGGTGGATAGCGTCATGGATCTGCCCCGCCATCACTTACATGTATATATGTGTATCTGTGTACGAATCTTTTGAACTCTGTTAATGCGGGCACAAGGTGTGGTAACACATCAGTGTCCGAATCGATGGGATCGTGTTTATCGAATTATCATACACAGCATATCCTCTATGCTGTTTGTACAGCTGCAGATCTAGTACGTTACATTTGGTCGAGCTCTGTCATCCATGTAACGGCAATTGAGTTCATGGTGGGGTAGAGTATATTCAGCTGGAGCATAAGTGCAGAAGTGGGCGAGATGATGCCATCAAGCGCCTGCGTAGACGACCCGCCGCTCCCGAGCTATGTGACAACACGAAACAGAGCATGAGGAGCTCCTACAAACCGATAAGAAGGACCGGCTCTCCGCTTCGCTCCAAACTTCTCCTCGTGACTTGCTCGACTCATTCTTTTGAGTTTATTGATGCATCTCAGACAGACTTCCGCCCTCTTGAGGTCTACTAGCACGCGCCCTCCCATCAGCTCAACCTACCGTCTCGCTATCAAGCAAATGCCCCTAAAGGCTCGGATCGCTCCACAGAACTCCTCGTTCTCGGTCCAGACTGCTAAAATGAACTCCGCCACATCTGCCTTCAAGCCGGACGCCTCCGGTGTCTCGCCGAAGCAGGCCGGCTATATCCCGCACCTGAAGCTCAACGATGGCAACGATATCCCCATGGTATGTTACCTCGTAGCGTCCAGGAAAGATGAAGCATGGTGACTCATAAAGGCCCTCTTAGTTCGCATATGGCCTCGGCACGGCCCGCTACAAGGGAACTCCGACCGAGGAGCCGGACCAGGAGATTGTCAAGTTGACCGTCATGGCCATCAAGAACGGGTATTACCACCTTGACGGCGCTGAAGGTTTGTGGTACTCATCTCTTCTCGCCCGAGGACTCGCTTGCTGACCGTTTTCTCAGTCTACGGCAACGAGGAAGAACTCGGCGTCGCCATCAAGACCGCCGGCGTGCCGCGCGACCAGCTCTACGTGGTCACGAAGCTGAACGGGACCAAGAAGCAGGACGTGCAGCTCGCCTTCCAGACCTCGCTCGACAAGCTCGGCGTGGACTACGTCGACCTGTACCTCGTGCACGCGCCGTTCCTGGCCGACACACCGGAGGAGCTGCAGGAGATCTGGCGCCAGGTGGAGGCCATCAAGGAGTCCGGCAGGGCCAAGTCCATCGGCGTCTCCAACTTCCTGCAGGAGCACCTGGAGGCCATCCTCAAGACGGCCGCGATCCCGCCCGCCATCAACCAGATCGAGTTCCACCCGTACCTGCAGCACGGCGACCTGGTCGACTTCCACCGCAAGAACAACATCGCCATCGCGGCGTACGGGCCCCTGACGGCCGTCACCAGGGCGAAGCCGGGGCCCCTGGACGAGACCTACGCGCAGCTCGCGAAGAAGTACGGCGTCACGGAAGGCGACATTGCGCTGCGCTGGACGCTGGACCAGGGCATCGTGACCATCACCACCAGCGCCAGCGAGCAGCGCCTGCAGGGGTACCTGAAGAAGCTGCCGAGCTTCAAGCTCACGCCCCGGGAGGTCGAGACGATTGCCGAGCTGGGCAGGCAGAAGCACTACAGGAGTTTCTGGAACGACAGGTTTGCAAAGGACGATCGTCGATGAGTCAAGACGAAAGAAGCAGTAAAGGATAACCCAAATAGCAGAAAATAACAAACATATACCAGTGGTTCTTCTCCGCCGACTTCATTGCTCCAGCTTGTTTTACACCCAAATGTCCCTTTGTGACTGCAGAAAAGTCATGTGGAGGCTTCGGTGTTTACTTCTTGACTTGACTGCGTTAGCGCTTGTCTACCAATTTGATAGCTTCACAGAAACCAGTTGTCAATACGACAAACATGAAGAGCAACGCGTCGAGTGGACATACTCCAATTTAATTGTTGGGCTAACTCAAGCTGGATATATCGTGATATAGTCGCCAACACCTTCAGAAACCTAACCAATGCATTCATCATAGCTCGTCATCATCAGTTTCCGTCTCGTCGCCGCCGTCGCTATTGAATGGCTCCGGCATGTTCTCCTTGGGCTTGTTCCTGCTCTGGAAAGGCAAAGTACGCGGCGGCGGAGGCTCATCATCTGTCTCATCTTCTGCTTCGACAGGCGGTGCGGCAGTTTTGGTATTTGCTGCCCGCATCTTCTTACCTGCCGCGGGCGCTTTCCCTTTCGCTCTGGCTTTGCCCCTCGCATTGGCTTTCCCTTTGCCCTTGGCCTTAGTCGCTGGCTGCGGTCCTTCATCGGTCTCTGCAGCCTCACTGGCAGTCGTATCCTCTAGCTCCTCGTCGGTTGTCTGGCGTTGGTCCATCTCCGGGTCGGATTCTGATTCGGCCTTGACGTCCACGGGCAGGTCTACGTCCATTTTCTCGAAACCATCGTCACTCTCGTCTTCGACCGCCTGCTGTGTAGCTTTCCGCTTACCTCCCCTGGATGTTTTGGCTTTGCTCACAGTGTTTTGACTGGCGCCTACGTTCTTTAGCTTCTGCGGGTCAACATCTGCGGAGACTAGGAGCCGCTGTTGTTGCCGGATCTTGAGCTTCTTCTCGTTCAGTAGCTGCTGGAATTTCTGCAGTAGCTGGTGCTCGTCATGCTCTTTGGCTTTGAGCAGGTCCTCTAGATGAGCTCTCAGCTCTTTTGTGGACTTCTCTAGTTCAACTGTCCTTGCCCTTGCAGCTGCTAGGTCATCGACAACCTTGGCGCGGTCGCTGATGGCTGCAACGCACCAGTCGAAGAGCTGGGGTCCGTTATCACTGCCATCTTTATTTTCTGTAATTTCAAACTCTTCGAGTTCGATATGACCGAGTCGGTGCTGTACCACATTAATGAGCTTCAAGGGTGATGTGCGTCATGGGGGGAAACAATACCTTGACACATAGAGTGTTCCTTCGTATTATTAATATGGCGCTCGCCTGGATCTCAACGATGACCTCAATATCCCTCCTATGGGGGTTGGTGGGCTCGATAAAGGTCGCAATCAGGATCTGCTCCCACTCCTCATCGGTGCATCGGGCAGACTTGTCATTTGATTGTTTGTTCTTCCATTCCTGGACTCTCCTATGACGTACTGTTCATATACAAAACCAGGGCACAGGTCAGCGGATTTTCAGGGTCCTGCTTCAGATACCCACAGCGGACGCTAGGATGCTGCACTGGCAAAGCGCATGGACAAACACGTGCTGGGGATTCAGGAACAGGCCACTGTGGGCCGTCGATCAGTGGAAATAACAATCTTACTTACACTTTGCCTGGTAGGCCGATGTGCTCTGGGTTCCAACAAGGCGTAGATCGAGAGGGTTTTTGGAGCCTTGTGTTGGAATGACTTGGAGGAGGAAGGATCCCTTTTCTGCCCCTGTTGCGTCATCCACAATGGGGAACCGGAAGACCGGGTGGCCAGCCATGACGGTGATGTAAGCTGATTTCGCGGCACGGTGACTACACGAGTAAGTGGAAGCGATCTGGCCCTCTTGTTGTCGGGTGAATGAGACTACGCAAGTAAATAGATGATCTGTTGCGCCGTCAACAGACGGAAAGTGCAAGAACTAGGTTTCAGCCTCTCCAAGAGCTGTGGTGGTGTGGGTGGAGATGGTATACAGTAGAAGCTGCTATGACGATGACGGGCAGAGTCTGGAACGAAGATTAAGAGGTCGCAGGAGGGTTACGCAGACGCTCCTGGGCAAGTCCCGAGCGTGATTCTGCGGCTTGACAAAGAGACGTGGACCAAGAAATTGATTAGGTGATGGGTACGACATGACCAGCATGAAACGACGATTTAAATACCATCTGGGTGATTCCCTACAATGGGATGCCACCAATTGCGAGTGCCTCGGGCCGTCCAGACACTCGTTCGCTGTGAGGTTACCTAGTTGCCCATTAGGTCGCCTATTAGGCAGCTGCAGGCACCAACCAGATTGGCCAAAGCAAACATTGAAGCTACTGTAAGTTTCTGCGGTGCAAAGTGGCTCCCAGGGCTCTTCAGGCTCTACGGATCCGTACATAGTATGAGATACGGGGTCCCGGGCGAAGCACTAGCCTCAGAAGGGCTCCTGTTAGCATGGAAATAGGACCTAATAGCTCAAATGAGCAGTCGATCACTCAATCAAGATGAAGGGAGACCTGAGAAAATTTGTACTTTTAATTTATTCCGTGTTCCAAAGGGGGCGGGTTCCGAGGCGGGCAGGTCTGGCAATCCATGGACTGAACTTGGTGTTTGGAGAGAGGGGGTTTTTCTTTCGTCGTATTTTGTATCAACCTGGAACGCGTTGCAGCGCGTCAGTTTGGCGACCATGGTGAGAACGGAAGAGTGTTTCATTGGCTCAGTTTGTTTCCTTTGCCACGTGATAAAAAGCCCGTAGTGCTATTATTACCACTGTGTGTGCGAACCAAGAGTACCTGCCATGTACGTGCAGTGGCCAGATCCTGCTTCAGTGGAGTGCTGAAGCGGGCTGAAATTGCTGTGCTGGCCCGAGCTGTGGTCCCCTGAAATAGTGAAATACCGGTGGGCACTGACGGGGTTCACTGATGCAAAATGGCCTGTGCTCCTTTCTTACCAGCCATCCGGAGCAAAAAAGAGCCCGCCAGAAGCTTTTTTTCCTCTGTGGTTTTTTTTTTTGCGCCTTTACGAGTGTCCAAGCCCCCTCCTCCCCTCCCCAACCTTCCAAAACGTGACGGCCCACGTCCACGAATAGCACACTCCTGCAACCCACATCAACATCCACATCCACATCCACATCCCCACCCACGCCCACGCCCACACCTACTGTATGTACTGGCACTGCACTGACCGCTGACCCACGACCCGGCCACTCGTCCTGAACATCACATTCTGTCTTGGATTGAAACCCGTTTCTCGACCTTGTTGCTCCCCCATACACTGTACTAGCAAACCTAGATTTCTTTTCCCAGAGCACACTTTGCAAAGGACAAGTTCGACAAAGACGGGCGTAACGTTCAGAGGCCTCAATTGCGACGTGCACTCACACCCAGACCTGTTTATGCGCAGCGCCAGCAGTAGCAGTAGCAGTAGCAGTAGTGGCAGAGCACCCCATCATCGCTAGACCCAGACGAACTACATCTCCATCGCACTCACACAACTTGCTTCCAGTGCGGAGAACAGAAACAGCTCATCGCGAATCGAACAACTCACCCCTTCCGCCCCCGCTGTCCTATTGCGACGGACTGAGGGGATCTCAAGGAAATACCGCCGTCATTTGCAGCTCGGCTCAGCTTCACTCGCTACATACAACAGCGCCACCGTGTTGTCGCGGAGACGATGCGCCCCGACCTTGACACAAAACCAAATTGACGTGAAAATGGTGATCCAACATTGAGAAGAAAAAGAAGAAGAAGAAGAAGAAGTAGAAGAAGAAGAAAGTGTCGAGTGCTGGGAGCCATTCCAAAGGGAATACGAGGCTGTCACGCCCATAAGAGCTTGGATTCAAGAGAGCTCCGCAGCTCCATCGCCTGCAACAACCGCATCAATATACAACACATTCAAACAACAACACCACCACGCGGCAGTCTGACCCCGAATTCTCTCGTTCAAATCCCACCCGCTCTACAACCCTACCAGTACTATCCATCCGCATGGTTTCCTACCTGAACCATGGCTCTACAACTCAAACCCAGGCAGCCCGTCGAGGACGAGGTCGAGAATTGGGACGATGACGACTTCATGATTGACGATGACCTCACATTTCCAAGTGCCTCGACTGCCGCCACAACAAACCAGCCACACCGCCGCGATAGCAACGTCTCATTCCGTTCAGAACGGGAGTCTCTGTTCGGAGATGAGGACAGGCAGGTCCTTCTTGCGGGAGAGGACGAGAAATCAACCCTGGACGCCATTTCCGCCGCCCAACACGCCGGCATTCCCATCCCGCAAAACGTCCCTCCATCCGCTCTAATAGGAGGTACCATCAAGAGATTAGGCGGAAGAAAGATGAAGAAGGTTATCTCGGAGGATTGGGGCGACGATATTGTACTGCCAAAGAACGGCCAGGCCCTCCGCATCAAACCTCAGGATGCCTCCCAATTCCCAGAGACTCTACGCCAGGTTAGCGGCTCGGTGACAACAAGTCCCATGAAATCCTTGATGAGCCCTCCCATTATTCATCGCTCTCCCAAAAAGGACTATACGCCTCGGGTATCGGCAGCCTTCACTTTGGATAGATTCCGGGACAACGATGACGACGACGATATTTTCGGAGATGGTTCCGAGACTATCAAAGCTCCGAAAGTTGCGTACAAACCCATCTCACTCATCACCCCGCCCACTCCTAGCAAGAAGGAAGAGGACGATGACTTTGAGATGGATCTGGAGCTGCCTTCTAGCGGCAAGCTCAAGCTTACTAGCCGTAGGGAGATTCCAAGGACGCCCAACATCAATACTGATGTCGATTTCGATTGGGGCGAAGGCAGCTTGGGAACAAGGTTTGGGGGTACTCGGAGGGACGGCTTTTCCAATCGCAGTTCAAGTGCATCTGCCATGAGCCCCAGCATTGCGAGTTCCATGACCGCTGAGAGCGAGGACGATGCTTTCGATGGTCTCATACTGCCTGTCGGCCCCCTCGACCTCGGTGAGCGACTCAAGCTGCGAAAGCAGAGTCGTTCTCCTTCGCGGCCTCCTTCCGCAGACAAACGGCCTCGGTCCGCCAAGCAGAACATCCCTCAGACTCCCATCACGGAAAGGGAGAAGGAAGATCTGCTCGACGGTCTCGATGTTGATGACGGTGACATCTTCAGCTCCGGCAAATTGAGCCTGCACCGCAATGTCAAGGTAAAGGAGACGCGGCAAAACAGTCCAGCTCGTCCGAAGGCTGCGCTTTCCTTGACTTTCACGAATAAGCCAGTTGCTTCTCAGCCCTCACGTCTACCCAGGCCGGCGGGCAGTAGTCATCATGAACGATCACACACCCAGTCTTCTCTAGAGCCTGTGTCAGAAAGTGGTGGTCCGATTCCGTACCGACCATCTAGGAGATCACAGTCTCGAATGGGGCACTCTTCTAGAGATTCAACCTCGAGCATTGGGGGTCCCATCACCCCTTCTTCGGCTACATTCCAACCCATCACTACTCCTAGAAGACGAGAGCTTGGCCAAAAGACTTCTCTTGGAGCGCTCAGAACCGAGCCGGCAACAACAAATGCTTCCCTGTTGCGACTCAAGAGGTCCCTTCCTGTCATGAAGCCTGCCGAATCTCCGGCACGCCCTGTGAGTTCTCGTTATGAACGACCGCCTTCACAGACCGAACCGCACAGGGCGTCACTTCAGGGCACCTTCAGGCCCAAGACTCCTGTTGATCGTAGTCAGCCGGCACCGGCATATCAAGGAAGTGCTGCACAAGCAAGAAAGCCCTTCTTGCCTGCCGGCTCTTCATCTTCTCAGTCGCATCACGTTGTTGCCAAGAACTCGCGTATGCTCCGGCGTCATGATTCGGACTTTGGGCCGGAAACTCGCCCTCTGTCTCGTGCCTTTTCTCGCTCTACGATGAGGTCGCCAAGTCCGCGCAAGCACCGCCACGTCCCTAGCATGGAGAAGGTGGCAGCTGAGCCCTGGCAAACGCTGAATAAACCACGCCGTGTCAAGCAATTCGGCGATGGCACGGAGCTGGATGCCTTTGACGACTTGCCCACATCAGCTCAGACCGAGTTCAAGTTCACGAAGTTGCCTGTAGCAAGCCGGGACCGTAATACACTTAGAAATAAGTTCCATCAGCATGCCTTGCCTGGTCGCGGCACTCCTTCGCCGGCCTCGCCTTTTACCCCTGCCAGAACTGATTACCAACCCCATTTCGCCAGAGACACTGCTGCTAGTCGCAAAGCTAGGGAGGTCAGTCTGGCACAGCGTGCTCCTCCTCCTCCTCCTCCTCCAATCACGCCAGTGGCCCCTCTGCCATCGCAACGTGTCGCTCAGCTATCGGCAAGGACACCACTGAACCCCCATGGCTCCGTGAGGTCGAAGAAGCGGAAGCCACCACAGCTCAAACCACATTTAATCACGAACATGAGCTCTGCCAAAGAATCAAAAGGTTTGAGAACACCTCCATATCTAGCTAGGCAGCAAGCTAACACATTTTGTAGTTGTCAACGGCATGACATACAATCCCGAGACTTGTAGGTGGGAGGGCAACGAGACCGCTCTTCACGCTTTTGATGTACAGGTCTCCACACCTCTGGCAGCATCAGTGCTGCCACACTTGATCCGTGAGAAGGAGAACACAACACCGCGGCCATACTTGATCACGAACATGGGTGCTTCCACAGGCGTTAAACGCGAAGGCAACATGGTTTTTGACCCGACTCACATGCGCTGGCTTGAGATGTCTGGCACTGGGGAAGACCCCTTAGAAAACTTCAGTGGTCTTGAAGATGATGACCCATTCAAAGACATACCTGACTTGGAGGAGAGAGAACCAGAGAAAGGCGAGAGAGGCCATGGTCGCGTTAGCGACGTCGGCAGCAGCGAGTGGCTCGTCGGTGAGGAATTTGACGTTGGTCCGGAGTTCATACGCCGTCAACGAGATGAGGAAGAGCGATGGCGCAAGAAGTGTGAGAGATGGGTCAACACAACCGAACGCGATGGTGATGCTTGGCGATGGGCACTTAGGGATATTGTCCAAGGCCCGTGAGTCCGGGCTTGAATCTTCCGATCTGTTCATCCAGGGCCTCATCTGCAACACTACGACGGGCTATGCATCGGTTTGGGAGTTCAAAGCATTATAAAACTTGTAATATTCGGAAGCGGAGGTTAGGGAGGGTCTTTGGAGAGACCTCACCGGCTGTCCTGCTTCTTTATGATAATCTTCAGCATATACCAGCATGACTGAAACGAAGGGATGGAAGACAGGTCCCGTCAGGCGGATTGAAATCGATACCATTATGAGGGCGGCAGCCCATGACAAGGTGATATTCCCTCCGGTTGGAATAAAGTTGGAATATGGTCATGCCAACTTAGGAGTATGGAAGAGTTGGTTTGGTTTTTGCATTTGGGCTATTGGCTAATGGCTTCACGACACGAAGGAATGACACGACACGAAATGACTTGCAATGCTTTTATGATATTCAACTGTATCTATAGGTTTACTACTAGCAGTAGTGAGATTAGCTCGCTCGATAGAGAAAATTATGTTTGTTTGTGTTCACGCTTATTTTAGCCTCCATGTTTTCTACAAGTGATTGATTTATGAAGGCTCTAAGCTTGATGCCCGTTCTTGTTTGTAGGTTCAAATGCTGTCTTGTCTGACTTCGTCATGAGCTGCTTTTTTGGGGGGGTTCTTTTCTTCTTTTTTTGGGGGGTGGGGGTGAGGGGTACATCGAAGTATTGTCAAGCAGGAGATTATTTGGTAGTAGGCATTGGCTATATGCAATAGAACTAAGCTCATCGTAATGATCCTTGACTATATTGCAATGTTGCACCGACGGAAGATCAATTCGTCCAGCATGTATCGATAATGGAACAGCCCTCTATCGACGCAATGTATACCGGCGTTTTGATCTAATTCTACTTGTCTTGTCATTCCCTATCATCGTCTTGGCTCTCTGTCTTATCTCCCAGAGGCCTTCCCGAGACACAAAGTCCCCATAGCCAGCATGTCTGAGACATGGCAGACCTTGACCTGTGACGAGTCTGCGCCCCCACACAGCATGTATTACAGCCAACAACTACCAGGGCCAAGCATTGCTAAGCACACGTTTTTGTATTCATGACCTCCACTCGACCAGGGAGACTCAATCGGACAGCAGCAGAGATGCCTTGCGGAAGCTTGAAACATCTTGCTCAAGACGGCGACCTCGAGGCCGATTCCAGTCAATAAAAAACGAATCTTCGCGACGTCATTCGTCCTAGTGGTGCCTCGCTCTTTGACCGATATCTCCGTTCGCAGTGACGGGGCTGGTGGAAAGTCCACGGAATCGCGTAGGAGAGCGGTGTGGCTATCGCAGGTTAAGGGCAACTGACCACGCCGTTCCAGATGCCCCGACGATCTTGATCCTGACCCGGAGTTGGGTCTTCCGGCAGGAGTCCCACGGGTGTCGTTTTGATAAAATCGTATTACGTGCTGTCAATCAGACGACCGTGTTCCTCCGTGTCTACATTATATGTGATGATGAGAGCTTCTCGTGGTGATGACCTGTCAAGGTTAATACTGTGGGCGGCATCATCGAGGCCCGCCTCGAATGCCATGCTGCTCTGAAGCCATGACCCAAAACTACTTGAAAATCTCGAGCCGGCCAAGAGAACACCACACATCTGCTCGTTGGCTCCTTTTGACGGCCTTCCATGGTCCCAGCGTGTATTCCTGTGAGTTAATGCTACTAGAAGATTCTGCGTTTCTATCAGGTCTATTAACTTGGACATGTCTATAGATAGATGATACGAACCGTATTTATAGAGATAAGTACTTGATACCAATTCTAACAGGTGGACATTGGACATAGGTCGTTGGTTCGTGTTTCAGGAGACGGCTTACTCGCCTAAGTAACTCGGCAAGGATTATAAGTTTACCAGTCTGGGAGATTATTCTTGCTATCTCATCGGTGTCTGACACTCTGCGTCCCATTTCTCTTCTTTTCGATAGAAATATAAACATATTCAAATCATAATCGGAGTCTAAGAATTCGAACAATGAAACTCAAGTGTCCGGAAAAATTAGGGTGGTACATATCGTGCGAGCCTTTGTCTTCATTGCCACTCAACAGCGTTCCGTACTTGGACTGGAATTGCCAGGTTGTTGCTTAGGCAGAGCTATTGTGCTCTTTTTTCTGTATTCATGTTACATTTTAGAACTTTTGCAGCAGAGCGAAAGGAAAATAATATATATACGCACCGCCATACATTCCACATCTTCACCTTCCGTTGCCCCGCCGAACGAGAGAAGTCATCAAAGAAAGGCCGCACAGATGCAACTAAAAGAGGCTCATCGTATCCGTTAGGGACATAGTCGACCATTCAGACCTGACAGTAATTCTGCATCCCTTTAAAATTCTCATTCGAACTCTGCTTAATCACCACATCGGAAACTTACCCAGCCTCGGAGAAGAGGAATTTAGAACCTGTCCGCTGTCTGGCGCAGGTTTGAAAGCTGAAACTGATCGCTCTTATCTTTCAGCCAAGAATGTCACGATGCTGTGGTGCATGGCAGAACACTACATGAGCCTAACGGCAATCGCAAGTACCTGGCCTGTATATGCTACTTGGAAGGTGCAAGAACAGATGACGTCGAGCTTGATCCGTTAGTAGCCAGTGCACGGTGGCTGTCTCTTGTTCGTATGCTTGAATAATTAGTTGCTGTGTTGCTGGGTCTGCGGAAGAAAAAAAAAAAAGAGAAATAAGATGCTATGAGAAGGTACACCTAGACAATCACATTTAGTTCTACCAGACCGTTTTTATGTGCCAAACTCGATCTCTGGTGTTTCACGTCTAATTCCAATTATAATCTGAAGTCAGTTGATTTCTTTCGAAATCGTATATATCAGCTGTGCTGCGGTCAAGCTTATCCTAGTGGACAAAATACTAAACCCCAAAATTTCGCACTCATTACCAGGCCACTACTTTCTTTTTCACTTGACGTCACAACCAATTCTAGACATCGTCTCACATATTCTTAGATTCCGAACCAACTACGACAGGCCTACTGCCTTAGTCCACACTATCATTCTGCGCCGCAACTGTCTTCAGCCCTTCATTCAACCATTATTGTGGCTTGAAAATCAACCGAACTTTGAGAGTGTATCTCCTGCCTCCTCGAGGTAGCTACCCACCCCAATAAACCCATGGATACCTAGGATTCCCATGACTGATGTCACAACATCTTAAGTGCGCGTTTCCCGATCAACCTATCCACAAAACACTAAACTCCCATCCAGGCATTGAACTCTCAACTTTCCCCAAGTTCAATTAAGATGACTCAATCATCGCCGGTCATGTCGTCCTCGGAAACCGTAGAAGGCCCCAAGTTCACTCTCTTCAAAATGCTCCCAGTAGAGCTCCGCCAAATGATCTATGCGCAAAGTTTCCCTCGCAGGATCCTGCGTCTCAAGGTAGTCCTGCGCGATGGGCATGAAGACGTCCTCATCAACGCCTTCGGACCTCCCCCGATTGCAACTGCATCAAAAGAAGCCTGGCATTACTGTAACCTTCACTATCAGAAGATTATATTTCCATCGGTCAACCTCTCGACGGACCCTCATTATCCAATTCGTCTCAAAATGTCAAATGGCAAAGGCACCTGGTTCTACCCTGAGGTCGATGTATTCTACCTCGACGTGGGCAATTGCACCAAGACTCGAACGAGGTACACCATTGAACTGGGTCCCAGAACTTATAATCAAGACCGTTCTATATCCGATGACCGCGTCGCACCCAACTTCTCAGATTTCATGAGAGCACTCCAACCCTTTACTAAGATATGCCGAACAGTTGTGCTGAATGATTGGAACAATCGCAACATCCTCAGCCATTTGTTTCTCGCAACAACCAGAAGACATTTCCCAGTCTTGGAAACAATTCATCTTGTTACTTGCAAGTGTACGTACCTCTCAGATATGGTTCGACTAGCTGCACGGGGCACGCTGCAGGCGTTTGGGGGCGAAATCGGCATGGTTCCCCTTCTGCAGCCCCTCTGGGCCAGAAGTATCAAGAACGCATATTGTGAACTACCAGACGGCCGCTGCTACCAGGGAAATATGGAAGACTGGATATCCGAACTGAAGGAACGCTGGTATTCAGATCCTGACGGGTCAATATCAACCGGCTGGGGTTTGATGGTTGCTCTGACGCAAGGTGCGCAGGGTTCCGTTGGCACAATGGTTTGGGGTATGGCACAACATTTCATGGAGACACAATTCTGCACTCTAGAAAATGGCGACCGCCTGTATAGGAAATGGTTTGCTTACATGATATCTACACCAAGTGATAGCCCAGAGGTCCTTGGGTTCACAGCGGAGGCGCCAAAAATCGACCCCGTTGCTCTCTTCCACGATGTACTTTAGATAGCTAGACGAGAATATCACACGATGTGGCATAGCTGCTACACCCCGGAGACTTGGCATCAGATCCAGTCGGGCATATTCAGTGAAAGGGAACGGGCTTGGAGTTGTTCGAGAAGATATGCCTGTGTTGGCAGGGTGGCAATGGTATCTGAGATAGAGTTCTGGTAATGCCTCTGCTGATGATTCTCTCCTAAGTGAATATGGACGTATGAACGTGAGCCTTTACCGCCAGTATACCTGTAATATAGCCCAACGGACATGGAGTATTGAACGTGTCATCGCGACATGTTCTCATGATCACCCTCTCCACCAGTCTCGCTCTCCAGGAGCGGCTTCACTAGATATGGTAGCAGCTCAGGTATACTTGAATATTTGCGTTTACTTCCTTGATCACCTTTATCAACTCAGCTGCAAAGCACCGGTATAATTGCACGGGCATCGCTGAGTACACTCCTCGGAGTCGATTATCTTATAGCACAGACATGATTGTGCGTATTCACACACAACAATAGGCCCATCCCAGCTCACTACGGACTGCGGGTACGCCTGATTATAACCATAAAGTCGTGCAAACTTCAGGGATACGGGCACCTATTAATACGATGCACAACATATATGCCCTCTAGCGCACGATGCTTGGCCAGGATCCGCATGTCGTATGCGCTGACTTCGACTCGAGTATCTGTACCCTGTTTGAAAATTAAGCGAAATATCAATTCTTCACGCGTAGAACCGATGCGATTTTTCAAGGTCCGGACGATTGTTCCGTGGCGCGAGGGAAAGCCACTGGGGAGGGGAAAGTCTGCTGCCGTTGCTGCTGTAGCTAGTATAAATACAGTCGCTTCTGCAGCTGATTTAGCAAGTATGGTTAATGTCAATATTACGACTACCGTAATAGACGACGTCGCGATCGAAGTTGACATTGGCGAAGGCTGCGCCCAGACAAGCCGACGTCTCCTCACTCCTCCGAGGCAATCCAGTGTTTCAACTGGCATCTAAACCACACTTCGGTTTGGAGCCAAGGCACACTCCTATCGGGTCTCCTGACCGAAAACATTTCGGGGTACAATGGCGTTGATAGGTTCGTGTTCTGTTTGATGACTGCCAGGATAGAACTAATTGGCGATCTTTCCCCCATCCCATATGGCTAAAAACATGTAATGTATGGGCGGAAATTCTTCTGCGTAAATCTCCCATATGGTGAACTGAAGCTCTATGGGAAGCTCATGGTAGAGCTGGGACTGTACTGCGGCAGTAGTAGAACAAAATGAAGTGTCGAAGGATAGCGTGGAAGTCGAAACAGAGTACTGTTGAGAGGAGCCTTCATCTCTCTTTCGTCTTTTACGAAACAACTGGAAATACGATTTGAAGTAGGATCGTGATAACTTCACATGCAGTGCACCGACAAGTTTTACTTACCAGAGTAATAGTTGATAGGTTCTTCTTCCAGGGCCGTCTATGGGAGATTAACATTTCCGCAGCGACAACAAAATTCTTGACTGTTCAGCGTGAGATGATTTACGTTCATATTCAGCAAACGGCTTTGAGCCAATCATCAAACATGTGCTGTTAGCTGACTAACATCTGGACTTAAGCCACATGACCGAGAAACCTAAAGTAATGGCACTCAAGGGCGTATGTGGCCCACGTTGTAACCATAGCCGAATACAAAGAAGATTTTGAGAACGACAGTCTAAAGCGAGGTAGAAAAGCTGTCGGCGACTATACTTGAAAGGTCCCTTTCCGATGGTTAGCAATGTCCGGACTAAGAGCATCAATGGATTTGTAGAGATCATGAGAGCAGCAGCTTGAGAAAACGTTGAAAGATCAATTAACACGGGATTTGGATTGCCAGATAAGATATCTGCAATGCTGCCAGCGTTGTAAGATACATTTGATCCGTCCTGGTAGAAGATTGGATGCCTGTAAGATATTATATGGTTACAAGGATCCCTTTGAGCTTTGAAGCCCGATGTGTCTGACTCTAATTATATCTGTAGCTGCATCGCACCACATGTCCGGCCATCATCTCGCATAGATGTTTTGACAAACTCGTTAATATTGAATGACAAACCCTTATTGGTGGATATTTCAGCAGTACCAAGTGGCGGAACAAGGGCTGGGCTCTAGAACGCAGGCACAATGAGCTCTCGGTGCCATGGCTCGGTCTACAACAGACATGAACACAGTTTGGTACTCCATAACCAGACCAATAGACATAAGAGTCATATAATCATTTAAAGATGTATGCCTAGAGCTTGTAAGAAGGCCGGTGGACACTGATCATCAGGGCGTAGGCTGATGATGAATCACAACTGGCCGAGAGTAGTGTTGAGGGACAAGTCCTGTCAGAACCAGAGTCTATCAAAGGCTCTTTCCGAAGCATTAATGATGTTCAGACAATTCGTTTCGTGACAATGGATCACATACAAAGCAGAAGGACTTAGTGTGAGCACTGGCCGTAAGAACGTGACACACTCGTTCCAAAAACATCAGTGAATGATGGCAGTGGGACACTTGCACGAAAAAAAAAATTAAATTAAAATTTAACGTGTATGAAACTTAAAAGACTTCAGTGGAAAAACCCATACTCCTTCATTCTTGCCGGCCGACCTCAAAAGAAGGCATGATTACGTCATTAAACGGGCAATCACCACCCCTGCCAAGGAGGCCTGCGATTGGTCGGAAAAGGGGCTTATGGTCGGTTTTCTGTTTCGCCTTCCATAATTACGCTAAGCGGGAGTCGCAAGAGACGCGATCATAAAATCCACAGCAGCGCACGGACCATTACCATCTTTGTTCCTCACACCACCAAATTCAAGCAATCTGAGAACTCGATTGAGCAAAAGCTCCTCCTCGAAGGCCAGCCGGACAAAGCGGCGTTATACTGTCAGTCTTTTGGCACTGTATTCTCTCATTCTTGCATCGTTTGGGGTTCTGGGGGCCAGTGATCTGTTCATCACGCAGCGGGCCACACTTTCCTTGCGCACGCTGTACTCAGCCAGATTTGATTGATTGACATCACGCTCATTCAACCCACAGTGCTTGGTCTGCGACCCACCTTCCCTTCACCATATTATTCTCTTTCGTCATTATATCAACGGTTGTCACAGAGATTGGTAACTGCCCTGCCTTATCGCGGTATCGTGCACATCATGGCGGGCAACAAGAAAAAGTCTCATGCTACTTCTCTGTGGCAGCGTCGGGTAAAGGTCGCAATGCCCAAGGCAAAGCAGGCCTTGAAGACGACTGCATATGCTCTTCTGGATGAGAGCGGCCAGAAAGTCATTGAGGACGCGATTGACAAAATTCTGGAGGTTGAGATGTAAGTACTGCTTCACATGATCTGGTGCATATATGAAAAGTCAATTGACACACCAGTAGCGCTAGAGCTGTGGAAGATTTGCCGCCTGGTGAACGCCTCGATTATGATCCTATGATAAAAGAGGCCATCGTAGAGGTATTCACAGATCACTTCGAATTGTTCAATTGGGATGTTAGTCATGACGCCGACCTTCAAGGATTGCAAGGCTGGGATGATGAGTCTTGTCCCCACGAACTTTTTGACATACATGGCACCTGAAGCTCTGAACTGCACCTGCCAAAGTGTTTAGTGGGAGGATCGTATTTGCCCATTGGCCGATATTGAAGTAGCCTTCGAGCTACAGAGACGACATCCTTATACTCAACCATAGCAGTATTAGGCATGGCTATCTGCCAGTTACGACAGATGGTGTATCTTATACTGCTAACCCTTTGGCCTACATCTACTGTTGACCGTCTTCCCGGATCACCTCATGTCAAAAGCTCATCATCGAACCATTTCCTTCTTCTATAAACAAGCATTCAAATACAGGCAGGCTACGCACATGTCTCACAGTTTCAATTAGCCGGATGGGGTTGCAATTCTAGAGCATAAAAGAGCGGCGCACGGAGTCATGGAGGAGTGCATTGGCGTTCAGGATCATCGTCTTTGTATATAAGAATCTTCATTTGTCTCGGACGAGCCTTGCAAACAGACAGACAGTTCATAACCATAGGACATGAGGATCTGCTGGCGTGAACGTGACTGCCCATCCAGTCCCAATTTGTTTTTACCTCAAGGTCAAGTGGGTTGCAAGACAATTGAACGTTACGATGGCTAAGTTCCACAGAGCCATCTTGAACTTTCTGTAGCCACGATTTGCTCAGAAAACAAACAGCATAAAGCGGGTCGCAACCGTTCCTCAGTCAATTTCCTTATGCCCTTACACCCAAGAGGTCGCCTGCCACCAATCACACCTGGAATTTGCCGCAGGATCTCGCACTAAATCAATGAAGGTCTGGTTGAGATTCAGATCCGTGAAGTTCGAGCCGTATGTGGGAAACAGAGGTAAGCCCCCCCTGTTCGGATCGCCAGTCTCTGCAAAACTGGTAAAGTACTCCTGCATATTTTTCGCAACCGTCTCGTTGGTCACCGTGCTGCTGCTGTTCACGAAGTAGCTGAAATAGACATCGAGAATGTGTGTGCCCGGCGGTACACTAAAAAGGTAGCTGTAGCTGTCCTGGCCCACGGCGGCTCCGAGGGCCTTACCTAGGAAGTACGCGTGACATGTGAACGTGAAATCTGAGACCGCGGTTAAGAGGCGAGAGAATGGCGTCGTCCATGGGTGGCTGCCACCGTAGACGGCTGGATATATCTCATTTGAGAGCTCCTCGAGCGATGCCTGCGACGCATCCGGGAAGTAGAGATCCATGTACTTGTCAAATGCAGACGAGTTGGTCGCGGTGGGGTCCGTGTATCGCTGGCCCTCAAAGCTGTTGTGGGCAACGATGACCTTGATATTTTTGTGGTACGAGCCGCTGGTGAGCAGTCTCTCGGGCAGGTCCGGCACATAATCGCCATCTGGAGCTACGCCGAATTGGAAGACGCCGTAGAAGTCTGAGGATTGCGCTAGCTTGTTGGCTATCTGGAGTATCTTGGTATCTAAATTGATGAGCTCCGCAAGAGAAGAGACATTAGCATTGGCTAGAAGTATAGCGTACGAGTCCTCAGCTTGGGAAGCGTAGGGTCTTGGAACGTAGGCGGGAGACTGGACAATGGCCTGAGAAAAGGGAGGTGCATCCTTTCTGCCTCCGTAAGCGGTGATATGATGAACGATGGAGCCACCTCCGGCAGATTCGCCCATAACGGTGACCCGGCTTGTGTCACCGCCAAACAGTCCCGCATACTTCTGGACCCAGTTCAACGCTTTGCGCTGGTCGAAGAGTCCTACGTTTGACTGTCCACCAGCCGACGTGAAAGAGTCGCCCTGAACCCAGCCAAAGGCACCAAGCTGAACGCATTAGTCGAGGTTGATCCCCACTCGAATTTTGGACAATGAGAAATCTTACACGATAATTCAGCCCGATCCAGATAACGCCTTCACCATCATCCACAAAGCTGCGATCGAGCAGGCCGAGCGGATTGGAATTAGGCGTGCCATACTTGGCACCAATTTGGAAGCCACCACCATGAATCCAAACAATCACCGGCTTTTTAACAGAGCATCTCTGATCCCAGATATCCTTCGATACCACGACGTCTAAGAACAGACAGTCTTCGCTCTCATTCTCACCAGGAGGTGCTGTCACAAGCGCACTGTTCTGCCAAGGCGTATAGGCCTGTGGACAGATCTTACCATACCTGCCGTCCTGGACGCCGGCGGAGCGATTGTTGACCGGGTCTTCCGGCGCCTGGAAGCGGAGTTTACCGACAGGCGGCGCGGCGTAGCGGATGTTGGAGAAGTTATAGTAAACTCGCTCATCTGGGGATGTTGCGATCTGTGGAGCGTGAAGGGCATAAGTCAAATCGACCACTGGCGTGCTCGAACTCTGATAAGATGTCGAACAAGTAGTGTTTGTCGAGACGCCCTTACTAGGCGGAATGGTAGAGTTGAGGCATTTCGAAGCGCTGGTCTGTGCCAAGAGCAGGGGCACGGCGATTGCGAATGAGCGCTTCAGGTTCATGATGCGTCACGCTACAGGTCAATTATGATAAGCGTGCCGACCAGAAATCCCACAACTGAGATGCATGACTTGTTTTCTATATTTCTATACATACTTCTGCCTATGCAGCTGTCTGTTGCCACTCGGATTTTCCGAAGGGTCAAAGGGGAATGCCGATATTGATATTGACAGGGGTCCACTTTGCTCCGTGGCTTGTGACAGCAGCGAGTGTGCATCTGGGAAATGACTTTAATCCTTGAACGCAGCTACGAAAGTCGGTTTATGTGGGGGAAGTGTTAGGATCAAGTGCTGGCCCATTGGTGTATGGCGAACGCAAATGCGCACATGTTAGTTCAGAGGCATACCGCAATGTCTTAAATTACATTATTAGCCTATATGATGCCATTGACATTGCTCTTGGCAAAGCGTATACTATTCTGATTCAATTCATGCCCGCTTCAGAACTCTGCATTTCATCATTGCATTCAATAACTTGACCCTGACCTGGCTTGCTGTAAGACCTTGAATCAACGATCGTGATCTTGATCTGAAGAGGGCTCCATTATTCCCACGCTACGAAGATATTTCATCGTTCCTGACTCAATTCCCTTCTTCTTGTCGATTAGCTTAAGGCACATACTCTTGATGTCTTGGCGGATGGTAGTGGACTGGTCATGCTCCACGATCCACTGCAAAACGGGCAGGAGCTCGTCTGACTCGAGGCAATAAGTCACTTCATCTTTGAGGTTGGAGAGTTGTTGTATCTGGTGCCAGGTTTCCAGAAGGAAAATGGCATTACCGGGAGCTCGATGGATGAGAGCTCGATGAATGAGAGCCCTCTTCCTGGCAGTAATCGGACCCGGGAGTTCTTCTCTGCTATCTATGAGCAGTTGCATGGTTTTTTGGTTGTTGTCGACCCCTGAAGCCGCCATATCTAACGGTGTTGCGTTGTTGAAGAGATTTGAGGGGGCAAAACTGTCGTACCCTCGCTCGAGTAGTGTTCTCACCACATGAGTCATACCACCAAACGCAGCCAGGTGCAGAGGTGGCATGTGCGTCGTATTCTCCTCGACCGGTATCAAACCGCCATCGCATGTGTACTTGGCCAGCAGAAGTGACTGGTCGTGGCGACGCATGGCTATGGCATAATCCAGGAGCGAGTAGATTATGTTATCTGCCTTATTGTAGCAGCTACTCTTGACCTCGAGTTCTTTGATGAATTGGCATCCACCTTTCACAAACTTCCTGATACCCCAAGGCTCGTCATACCATGCGTCAACGAAGCAGCCTCCATTAACGAGATATTCGACAATTTTCTCGTGACCGTGCATTAGAGCAAGGAATAGTGGAGTCACGGATCGACGCTTCACATCGAGATAGTTTGGCCAGTTCTCAACGCTGGCATTTATGAGTTTCCTGGCAGCTTCGGTATTGCCATCATCGATGATTCGAAGCAGCAGGCTCCGGTGTTCTTGGAAATTAGGGCGTAATTTGAAAAGTCGTAATCTCTCCACAGGGTCCGGAATGTCGGACTGGTGGACATTGATCACAACTTCCGCATCTGGGGTTCCGCGAACGAGCATCTCCGCAGAGGCTTTTGTGGTCAAAACCTCCGTGGCATAGATTTCGTCCTCCAGATATCGCCACAAGCTCTTACTGGACAATGCTAGATGGAATACATCGTCGGGATTATCGAGGAAGCTTTTGGCAATCGTAAGAAACACATTGTTAGGTAGTAGTTGTTTGTGTAAATGATTATGATCCAGTGGAGTAGCGCCTTCTTCCTGATTAAGAGGGAGTGAGGTATTAGGGACAGCTTCATCTTTTGGGAATGCGCATTTGGAAGACTCACCTCCATGGTCATGCTTAAAACAGTTAAAGATCTTTCGGGTCGGCGGAGCAATGCAGCCTCCATGGTTGAGAGCTTCTTAAATCTCAATGTTATGGTCAGGTTCATAATTTAATGACTGGTTTGAATTGTTAAGGGAAAGAAGGAGTCTGACTACTTCACATAGTGATGAAAGGAAGGGTAAAAGCTTGAAGTCGATGCAACAATGAGCTTTAGCTTAGGATTTACCAGATGAGCAGTTGAAGCTCCTGTGGTGTTGGGTGAATCAAATTGTAGACGTGTATCATCTGGGGGCCACGGCTTACAGGCCTGGCGCTTTTGCCGTCAAGCTTTTGATATTAGTCGTCGGAATTCACACGAAGTCTTGGCCATCAATATGCTAATACAACGGTTACAATTCTATTCACAACTTGGCCGGGGCTGCGTGTGACTAAATATAGACAAGATGCAATCCTCATGGAATAAAATGTTCACTACAATGGATAGTGTTGACAAAGAATTTTGATTAATTTGTGATCAAAATTGAAACAATAAGTGTTGAACCAAGAAATGTGCAATAGTTAACAAAACTACTAGGTAATATCCGAGGATGTTGAATATTTGCTTTCATCAAATATGGTGTTGTTGTTGATAATAGAAATTTCTTTTTGCAGTTGTGTTGAGGTCGACACACGTTCACAAGCCCCATACAAGGACAACGTGGTTATGAATAAAGTGAGAAGAAGACAGAATACCAGAGATCAAATCACTTATGAGAACAGTAAATTTAAAGTAATGCATGAGGACATATGAGATCCAGTGGGTGCATCATAAATGTTCACTGCACAAAGGTGGCCCAAATGCGACGGGTTGTTCAATCATGCCTTTTGATGTCTCAGAAGTCGCTAGAAGATGTTCACGTCAATCATTCAAGACCTCTGATGTCTCTGATTCGATTGTTGGAGTTAAAATCATCGTCTTACTAATAGTTGCTTACCCTTCTGAAAATTTTCCCTCGGTGATTCAATCCACCATGACGTCGACGTCCGTTACGGTATCAAACAGATCGAATGCCAGCCTGACGATTTGGATCGAGTGCCACTGCCTCCTGCTGTCACTCACTTCACTAGAAATCTTCAAGATACGTGTAAATGGTCGATAATAAAGTAATTTCATATCGGAAGCATTGAGATTGACAAGTGGATTGATAAGCTTAATGTCCAATTGACCCAGTATTTTCTGGGAAAGACTCTCACGCTTTCAATTTTAGACAACTTTCGCCTCTGGTGTGCCAAGATGTACCACTCAAAAAGTCACACAAGTAACTAAAGATTGATTCTCGAAATTCAAGCAGATCACAACCAATCCATGCAAGTATCACCATGATTGAAAGTAAGACTGCCCATATATTTGGAGTAATGCCATATCACGAGAGGAAACCTCATCGCTACAAGAGATTTTGATATGGCTCGCGCCAAGTTATATTCATGTGTACCAAGATCCGAGCACCTAGCTATGACTCTACATGCCTCGTTGGTCTATAAACGCTTTCCAAACTCCTTGAGGGTATCTCTATGAACAATGATTTCTCCTTCGCTTCTAAATGAACTGCACTTAGACAATCTTGACGAGGAGGCCAGAGACAGGAGAAAGGATACCACCGGCAACACCGTTGATGTCGACGACGAGGCTGTTGACATCAGCGACAACGGGACCAGTGGCGGTGCTGACGACACCATCGGCGAGGGTAAGGACAGGGGCGAGGAGAGGAGAAACAAGCTGAAGAACAGCCTTGATCTCGGGCTTGAGAGCAGCGAGGACATCTGATACATGTTAGTTCTGGTTTGTTTTATATGATTGTAGAGGGATACATACCACCAACGACGGCAGCCAAGAGCTTGTTGATAGTAGAGTCGATGTCGGAAATGAGGCCCTCAACCTCAGTTAAGAGGGAAGGGACGTTCTCGAGCTCACTCTCAACGAGGGGGAAGACAATGTCAACAACGAGGGGGACGATCTCGCTGACGAGGCCATCGACCTCGGAGACGACGTTGCCGAGGGCCTTGTTGACAAGAGGAACAACATCCTCAGAGACGACGTTGCCGAGAACGGATTCGATGCTGGACAGCTCAGCCTCAACGAGAGCCTTGACGCTGCTGACAGCGCTGTAGACGGTGACAACAGCAGTGTCACCACGAACGACATTGACACCAGCGACTTTGCTGACGTTGTCAATCTTGGGGAGGACTCCGTCGACCTTGACCAGGACGTCATCGACGATAGGGGCGGCAATGGCGGCGCCGAAGAGAGCAAACTTGAGGAACTGCATGGTAGCGGTTGAAGAATGTATTAGAAATTAAAGAATGACTTAGTTGGAGTAGTTGTTGTAAAGGAGTGACTGTAAGCGAGTTGGCTTGACTTGAGACTGAGATGGGCTGCTGAGAAAAGAATCGAAATCAGAGAGCTGGTTGACCATGGTATATATGGTTTCCAGGCCCCTAAACCGAGCACCCGACCGTACAGTCAGATCCTTGCGCCTCATTCGAGTCTTGGCCTCCCATTTCGTCACTGCGTCTGGGTTGTACATGGCGATAGACATTCGTCTCTTGCCCCGGCTATGCGCCAACGCTCAAACCGTGTGCCTTACAGCCATTACTCCCATCCCGGTATGGATACCATCGTGGACACCGGCTCCATCCTCAATGCCGTCGACCCTGGCCTGTCATCCCAGCCCTTGCCGACTTGGGAAATGCGCCTGCACGTTCCTGCATCGTGGGGCCCTCATCTCCCCGCATTCGGCACTACGAGCCGCTGATCGCAATACGACTGTCCCTAGCAGTAGACGCAAGAAGCTTAACACTAGCGTTGCAACTTCCCAGCACCTGACAGTTTGACAGCTGTCCCAGGGACTTTTGCGGTACTAATGTTGACTACTTCTAGTGGTCACCAATTGGTCTACAGCGGGCTACTCCACTGTAAGCACGACCTTGGGCATGCGTACTATGGAAGCCATGGCTGCCACGAGGGTCGTGAAAACTCCCGGAATGGTTCGTAAAGGGTCCTCCGCATCCAGCGACTGCTGAAGTTTGGGTGAGTAGTGAGAACTATGATGTCAAGCTTCGTCCCTCTTCGACAACGAAACATCTCAATTGGCGATCCCGATCATGAGAACCCATCAATAAGTCCGACTAGTCAGCACAGCGCGGTTTGCCTAGCAGCCCCCTTCCCCTTACATCTGATGCTGGGCCTTTGGTAGTACGGTGTAACTACCGGTCTGATCTTCATTTTGGATATCTGCAAGCAGTGAAGTAAAAATCTTCCATCTCGACGGGTGACCAATGGTAGGATGTCGCAGATACTGACCCATTGCACATCGCAGCCCCATCAGACTTGCATCTGCACTGTTTTATTAGGAAGCTGCTGGTCCTTCAGAGAACTGACACAAATTGTCTGTGCGATTGAGTTGTCAGGGGACACCATCATTAACGGCATGCATATGTGCGGATAAAGTAATGTCACCACCAATCGATAGTGCAAGGACCGCCTGTCTGTGCTCAGAGCGTGTCATGTCGAGACGATTGGAGGTGCCTTACGATCGAAATGAAAATAATATGGCTTAAAGCCGTCTGCTATTCAGGCTTGTAGCAGCGATCGGGTGATACGTACCCGTACTTTAGTAGGGCTTATGATTTACCTACCCGCGCCTATTATAGTCCTGCGCGGACTGCAATCGAATCGCAATAGCCTTATCGGTAGTGATTTAGCAAGAATCTAGTTTTGCATAGCGAGTTTTCACCCCATTTCATTTGTGTCAATCATGGTCCTTTTGCTCGACAAGCAATCTAATGCGAATTGTTAGGCAGTACGTATGTATGCTGCAGGTGTGTGCCTCGAGCGCCAGAGCCCCCGAGAAGCAAGATTTGTCAACTTAATCTCATTACTGTCCCTTACGGCGATGCCAAGCATCTCGACAGTCAAGACATCTCAACGGTCAGATCCCAGCAACAAACATCCCGGGAATGGATTTCGCTTGGCATAACCTGGCTTCCGTCTCTCACGCAAACCGTCCAACTTCGACGTCTAACGCCCTTTTGATCTGAGGAATTTTTTTTGCCCGTCTCGAGGACAGTGAGAAGTCATACCGAAATCCTGTTGATCCAAATCGACATAACACCTTCGGAATTAATAGTTGCGACAAGCTTAGATTCCTCCATTGGAGATGAAGTAGCACCGTGATTCATGAATACAACGGGGAGATGCGGCCCAAGCGACTGGAAATTCAGCGGGTTGTGGGTACATAATCCATTTGAACTGGGTTCAACAACTCACTGGGATCTGCCTGTCGCGATGACGATCATTACCAATTTAACGCGTATGTTTCACTTCACGATTTTTTTGTGCTACTGGAGACGTACCATTAGCTGCGGAAGAAGCCGCGATGCTTAATCAGTGCTTGGAACTCGGCGCAAAATGGCAAGACTGACGTTGAATCGAGGCAGATGCTGTTACTCATAACTACCTACTTTGTTTTTAACGTGCACGTCAAGGTGCTTATCAAAGATTTTTGAAATGTCGAGCGGTTTGAGCTGAGGCTAGTAAGGGAGTCACAGACCCCTATGGGCAAAACCTTTGCATGGGAAATACGGAAGCGTCGTCTGTGTCTTATGAATTGTACGACGGCATGGCAACCACGGATGTAAAGAGTAACGTATGCAACAACAGCCCTTCCGCGACCATATCATTGATCTTGATGACCGCCGGGTGTGCTCAGTTTGTTTCGAGGCGTTCCAAAGTGGTACACAAGGCTCGACATCTTGAGCGATGTTCATAATACCTATGGTGAGTACGCTGGTTGATGTTACGACGGTTTGAATATCTCGCCGTAGCATATCAAAGCTATAGCCAAAGTGCTACGCGCGGCTTCCATTCCCGTAAGGGCCGTAAGGACAACACCATGCGGAAATGACAACTTTTGACCATGGAACAAGCTGTTGGAAAAGTCTGCGGTTGGCATGACTCAATGACGGGACTCGGTATTCCATTTCGCCCGTGGCTCTTGCAATTGGGTTGAGCCTATGTTCATGGTCTTCTAGAACATTGGAAACCCAGGACACGAACGCGTCAGAATGTAAGAATACTGCTTACTCAGCCATTAAACTCAAAAACAGCTGCTACCGCAGTCTATGGCAGGCATTTGAGTCGAAATGTGCTCATGAGCTGCAGAATAGAGTTGGGAATGAGTTCGACTTCAAACAGCTTTTTCCAGCTGCTCCATCGGCTGGACCTTCAAGTCGCCGTTTTCAATTGTGTCAGCCAATGAGCTATCGGCGCGAAAGTGGGTATAGATCCGCCTCCGGGTGCGGAGAAGCTCACACCCTCAACGGCGGATGCTCGTTTTTATACCCCCCGATTTCACAGATTTGATTTGGAAATATCCATTGTTCATATTTCATCGAAATGCCTCAAGTTCTACGTCGCCGTGACCAGAAGCCTGGCGCTGGCTTGGAAGCCGTATTGGCTGCCCAGTCCAGGTCACAGAAGCCAGTGCCAATCCCCGGCCCCCCGGAGACCGTAAGTTTGGTTGTCTTTATATGCATGAGCACATCGTTGACGACAAATTTAGGCCGAGGAAGTCAAAGAGACTTGCGATTCGTTCACCCTCGAGTCTTTTACGACTGAAGATGCGTGGGAGCTTGGTCATCTTCTCTATGCTAGACTCCTGCCCTTTGCTTCAGAAAAACCTACCCTAATTTCCATCGCCCTTGCCAACAGCGGCCAAGTTCTGTTCCAGACAGCGGTTGGTTCCGGGACAGTGCCGGACAATGAGATCTGGGTCAAGAGAAAGCGCAATAGTGTGCTGAGATGGGGGTCGAGCACATGGCTCCTGCACTGCAAGTACAACGCAGACGAGGAGCTTTTTAGAGCCAAGTTTGGTATGAGCCAGGAGCAGGCCGGCAACTATGCTATTCATGGAGGTGGTGTGCCCATAAAAGTCAAGGGTGTTGAGGGTATCGTCGCGATTGTGGTCGTCTCAGGGCTCAAACAGCATGAAGATCATGGCGTGATCGTAGACGTGATTAGAAACAACTGGGAATAAGCCCAATTTAAAGATCTCTTCTCAGTAAATACAAGAGCACCATTTATACATAATTACACCAGTACATAAACCTATCACTTCGCCAAGGAAGGCTTCTGAATATTCAACTTTAGGCCAGGCACTTCCTCCCTCCTCACAATGTCTTCGTGGCTATAGGCTTCCACTGATTGATTGGCTTGTCTGTCGGTACTAGCCAGACAACACCGCCTTTCCAGCCTCCGCCTTGTAGTTCAAGACCAGACTCCCCGCAGAATTCGCCGATCTGTGCTAGTTTCGTGTCATCAATAGGATCGCCACCGCTACTTCGTATCAGCATGTGCCAGTCTTGCCGATTTGTTGAAGGAGTTGAGCAACTTACTATATCAAGCTAACGTGAGGTCCAAAAGAGGCAGTCCACTCCTTAAGCCACTTCTCCGTCTTTGGCCCGATACTGTCCTCGCCCTCAACGCCGCGAGCTCGTGCCAGACCAGCAAGGCTTTTCACTGGCTCAGTGTCGTACACCTTGATGTAGCCGCGACGGAAGAAAACGTCCCCCGTTCTGATGCCCCTGAATAGAATCTTGACTTCGTCACCCGTCGGCCAGGGAATTGAGTCCAGCCATTGCTGAGGGTTGTCGCCGTAAACAGACGGGTCAATATTTGATGTCAAGGTCATGTGTGGACTGAAAGGGGGTCCAACTACAGACGGGAACTCAGAAGGTAAGCTCTTGGTGATAAGTTCGGATAAAATTTCGTGGTATGGATGGTCCGACGGCGGCGCCAGCCACAGCGAAGAACCCGGCATTGTGAGCTGTCTTAGTCTTTTGCTTCTTGAGAAAAACCCAATGGGTTGACCGGTAACAATTGGTGTCTATATGAGATACACGTACAAGTAGGTCACTTTGATGAACCGTATGTCTTCAATGAGTTGAAAATCAGTGTAATTGTGACGAACCCCGCACTTATCCACTATTCGCCGGACAGCCACTGTTCCACCTGCATTTGTACTACCTCAAAGACAACACCTAGTCTAGGCAGCTCAGTTCTGGCTTATAAGTAATCGACGGTATCTTATATAGTATAAAAAACGTTCAGCTTAGCTCTTGGGGGTCATACAAGCCACGTCCCAGGTGTTGTATGTTTTTACCACATTGAACCAGGGCCACTGTCTTGCCCCTTGGTTACGGGCCTCACGATGAGCTCGCAGGCTCTTTCGCGGACTAATCAATAGATAAAGAGTGAAAAGGATGAGTTCGACGACCAAATATTATTAATTAGCGACAACGAGCCATTCTTATTGCCATTGAATACATCGCTGCAAAACCAATGACTAACTATAACAAAAGTGTAAAAACATGAGAAAGAAAACTATCTGAAAGGCCTATCGCACAAGCCTTGAATTGATCAGGCCATGAACAACTCTGACAAAGGCCGACACGATCCACTTAGCCTTTCTATCATAATAGTACAGCCAACAGTCACTATTTTAACATATAAGTTTTTTATAGTTACAAATTTTGTTAAAAGTAATTATTATTTTTAACTAATTTATTATATAACGTTTACTTTATCAAAAACGGGTTTAAATTAATATTCCTTAAATTTATATAATTTATCTCTTGTCATTATATCTTAATCATAACGAAGGAATCAAACTTGACTATCCGTATATGCTTAGTCGTCGTCATAGTTATTTGCTGATTCATTTCCCGAGGATGGCTCGGTAACGGTACCAACTTGTTGTCTTGCCAGATGAACCAGCTTATACACTCCGAAACCCACATAACCACCCGCAGTCAGGAGGACCACCATGACTGTTATCCCCGTCTTCATCGAGGTGTCGACGTACGAGAACCATAGAACGCTCAAGATGACGGTAATCATAGACGGCACAAAGAAAGTGATCGTAATAAATCTTACACTGAGTTCCTTTCTAACAGCTCTGTTCCATTTGATCATAATTTCTTGATTGAAGGCTATGAGAATGAATGGCACTGACAGGCCAGCCGAGACTCCCACTGATTTCTTAGTTAGGAGATTCTATAGCTCGACATTGGGGCGAAGGACGTACGCATGTTCCGAAGGACGTACGCATGTTCCGAAGGACGTACGCATGTTCCGAAGGACGTGATCAAGGCTCAGCTTTCCATTCTCATTGACGGGGAAAACGTCAATGTTGATGGCAAAGAATGCAGCCATGAACGACAGGGGTAACTGGGCAAATGGTCAGTCTTCTGAGATGAACAGCAAGGACTCTGCCGTTGCTTACGAATATAATAGTGACGACAGTGAACAGCATTAATGTTCTTCCTTGGCTCGCTGTTTCAATAGCTTGCTCTGACTCCTTTTTTTGCATATGAAACCGACGCGAGTACCTCTGCAGTGCTTGCTTGTTTCTGCTTCAGATCTAGCAAGGAGTATACCTGAGCAGACTGAAATGAGCGCCAACTTTCTTTGATACGGGATATACGCGGCAGCCGAGCATATACACGCGGAAACCACGAGAACTCACTGCCTTTGACGTCTTCTTTGCCATCTTCTCCATCGTTCCTATCCATTGTAGGTGACTTGCCAGGAGACGGTTGTCCTTTACCGATAGACAATCATCGTAAAGCTGGTCTAAATCAGGACGTTCTGAGATATCAAACATCTCCCCGGATCTGGTCTTCTAGCCCTCCAGAACCACGTGCTGAATACGTTCTGAGATATCAAACATATCCTCGAACTTGTTACTCTGGTCTTCCAGGACCACGCGCAGGATATTGAGTTCTTCTCGAATATCCTCAATCTCAACAAGGAGCCTGGCTTCCTTCTGAATGCTGAATTTGGTGTGATAGTCGTTGTCTTCCATATCTTCCATATCAGAAGTAGCAGCACGGCGAAAGTTTTCAAGCAGCGTCGCGGCACGGTCGGACTTGCCATAAACGATGTCAACTTTTCAAAATCCATTAATGGGTGCATTTCACTTACCGCATAGCCAATAGATGATTCAAAGAAGTCAAAGAAACGATACTCCGGCGGATTTTGTGATGATCGAAGACATTGGCGCAATGGTTCAGGATTACGTTTGCCAGCTGATACGGAGAGCTGACCGAAGCTCTGGTGGTGTGTCGCAAATATCGGAATATATTGTAATGGACGCTGAGAGGCTGACGTTTCTCTTCTAGGTGACCGCCACTGCGACCTCTGGACCTTTGTCCAGCTGCCGTATATATGTCTTCTTCAACACCCAACTGGCCGTGATCGGACGGCCGGGTGTGGTTCGTGACGATAGAACGGATACGTGAGTTCATTGACCCATGTACGTGTGCGCCGATTACGAAACCAACCTTTTGTGTGAGCAGAACTATGTACATTGGTATTTGTCTGCGGTTGGACAATCCGCACAATCGGTGGAACGAGATGTTCAGGATTTGCCTCCTTTGAAGATACAGGATGTCTTTGTGGTTTTGGAATTTTGGAATCCACCTCTTGGGTTTTCGTCTGTGGTGGTGTTGCATTTGCGACGACCAGATCGTCCAGCGGAACTTCGGCACAGCTGATGACAGTGTCTGGAGAACATCATTAGACAGATTTTCAAATTTTGCCAACGATTGCAGGGGACAACCGAGTAACTCGCCTCCATTGATCACCCATAGCCAGAGCTGGTCGACCATGAACATCTTTGGTTTATCCCGTAATTTGGTATATCTATTTACCACTTGGTCTTTGTCGCGGCGTGTCGTGTCCAAGTGAGTAAAGAAATACTGATCGAGGCTGCGTCGAAGCTGCAATGGCGGAGTCTTGTTGGGAGAGGCTGATGTGAGGTATCCATCTACCAAGTGCTTTAGTAAGGTAACTGGATCTTTTGCTGCCCAGGCGCTTGGGTCGTCCACTGGCGGACTCGTTTTGCCGCTGAGTTCTGTCTATTGGGGAGCTCGAGATCCCATTTTTTGTTTATCTACTGGGCGAAGAGCTTCTTTGATGATTTTGGCCATCGCTTCTGAATTCTTCTGCGTTTCATGATGTAGATATGGTGCCTGTAAAGGATGAGCTTAGTAGCTCCTTTGGTTCTTTTGGGATACGCACGAAGACCACGATCTGGACTTCGTCGGACTGATCCCCACCTGGCCCCGTCTGCATCCATTTCCCGGTCAGTCGCAGGAGTAAAGACTAGAGACTGAATGTTACCAACCTGAAATGGCCGACACCTAGATTTGCTGAAGGAGGAGCGGCCAGTAGTCGTGTTGTGATAGCGATCGCGAGTATCTGACAAACCCGCCAATTCTTTGAAGTCGCTTGAAAGGGCCTTGAAGCTTGGATAGATCTCACTCATGTGTCTTATCGTAAGGTGCTTCAAGATGTCAGTAATAACATGACAAGACATGGGGCGTGATGTTATACCTACCTCAACCCATTCCATCTGTGTTGTCTTTGAGCTAGTGCACAATTAATTACTTTGTCTCATGACTTACATTGTTAGCAGACAGGTGATACCATCTAAAGTCGCGGTGTTTCCCCTTCAGTGTTCCGTCTGTCGGGGTATCCATTACTGGGCTTGAGCCATATAAGAGTTCAAAGACTGACATCGACTTTTCCCGACGGTACTCAAAGTTTTTTGTCATGAAAAAGTCCAACACGGTAGCTAAGAATCCGTGGCATGCTATCATCTTGTCGCTGTCTTTGGCAGGGGCTTGTGGGCGAGTGACTTTATTCATTCGTGGCCGTTGACTTTGAGCATGCTTAGATCTTGCTAGTCCTTAAATCTCCTGGGGTGCTTCAAGGAGTGCAATGATGGTACTGTGGCCCTCAGCCAAATCTATTGCAGTACTCCCTTCCGTATCTTCGAGACTCTTGTTGGCACCCAATTTCAAGAGAAGTTGAATCATTCCATGGTTACGGTTTTCGACAGCTATGAGGAGTGGTGTTTTCCCATCCGGTTGTCTAGTATCGATGCTGGCTCCATCTCGTACAAGCAACTCGATTATCTTGAGGTCATTATTTTGCACGGCAACATGTAACGCCGTTGTATGTGTCATTGACTCCGCGTTGACCGACTGCAACTCGATGTCAACGCTTTCAGGTCTTGACCGAAGTGCCTGATCTGTATTGCCTGCTTTGATCATTTCGAAAGAAAGGGGGGGAGGTGCTACTCACGACCAGGTCAGCTTTACCGTCGCCATCTCGGTCATCTGCCATTTTCCCAACGTCAGGTCCCGAAGCCTCTGCCTCGCCATGAAGAGAAGACTCTTCAGCCTCTTCCGTGGACATGCGAAGATATTTGACGTTTGATGCGCTGTCTTTCTCGTTTAGTTCCCGGGTATCGTTGTTCCGCAGTACTTGGTTCGTCCCGTTACCATCATCATTTTCTCCTGAATCTTCCCCCATCTCTATCGGGTCTGTAAGTAAGTTTGACGTCGTGAAGAGCGTTTCTGAGCCTCCAACTACGAAACAACTTCAGCAGCTGAATGATGAAAAAAGCAACCACTTCAAAACATGGGAGCCTGGCCAGAGCCTTGGACTAGAGCTGCAGTCCCCTTCCCCCTCGACCCCGCAGGGGATAAAGGTGGCTGGCCGATATGTATAAGTACGCGGAGGCTGATTCGCTGCGTTGCCGCCCAACACCTATCGTCCAACGCGGGATGGAATAAGAACGCGGAAGCCCCTCAACACCACGTTCACTCATTCTAAATCTAAGACTCTAAAGTTTCTGCGAAGATGGCGCGTACGTGGTATCGCTATGTCCCACTTGTATGATTTCACCATGTACTCATGATCCTCAATCTCTGCGCGATACTCTTCTGGTGTTTGTCACCTCCCTTGAGAAGCTGTCGTGTGAACCGTGAGCTAATCGCGCATTCAGCTATCCTGTTAGCCGGATGCACGTCTTCAAATGGCCTCGAGAGTGTATATCTCTTCTGTCTTTCCTATAAGAGCTCGATCTCGTCTAATTCATCAGATGTGCTGGTGCTCAGTCCTGGCATCGTCGCTTACTTCTCTGAGGTTTTGGATACCGGTAACATGACTATCAAGGAAATTCGAGTGGGCTATATTGCAATCTGCATCGGCCTTGAATCAGACATCTGGTTTTGTTCCAATGACGCAAAGAAATTGGCAGTTGAAATCAACAGCCGAGAAATGGTGATCCTTTGAATATGCTTAGGCTCGCCGACTCCGCCAGGACAGTAACTTGATTCTATCCTTTAATGTGAATACGGGTCTGCAAGTCTGCTCCCCTTATTAAACTCACGATTTCGACTTCTGCAGAATTATTGCTGTTATTCTTACGCTGTTTTCCACCGCGATGCTGGCGACATTTCTTGGATGGCACGAAGAAAGTGAAGGGTCGGAGAGAGATGAAGGCTCAGAGAGAAATGAAGCCTTGGGGCAAGCAATCAAACCGTTTCCAACCCGCTCTATATCGTACCTGGTGACAGCCTTGATGTTCGTTGCATCAATACTGTCTTCTACGGAGGCACTTTGGCAGATCATATCAAGCGCGGGGGTGGCGAAGGTTACAGGGCTTTTGACATATGACGCCGTGGATACTCGCATAGGTGTAGCGGCCATGACTTTTGGGTGGGTGGCCGCCGCTCTCGCTTCGATAACGGCCATTGGTCTGGTTATTATGATTTTATCTATCCGTGTTTTTTCACAACTGGACGACTAGGTAATTTGTTGATTATGTAGATGCCTCGCTAAATTATAGGCTAGAATATACACTCCCAGTTATAAGAGCATAACTACAATTTTTACTATAAAAAAATAAAGCATTATACTGGCAATATGCTTACACTATAAACTCAACCCCCACGAGCGGTCTGAGAAGGAAGAAGTACCTCGTACTCCAATCAGATTCGGAGCTAGGGTGCATACCGGGCGTACATGAGGGTTCATGATTGGCTGTGAGTGATACGGGTGCTGACCAACTCCTCAAAGCCAGCGATCTCACGATTGACTTAATATTGAACTCATATCCCAAACCAAGGATGGCATTCTTTGGTCTAGAACCTGGCAAATGTCCACTTAGCACCACATGCATGACTGCCGACTGGTGCTAAACCCAGCACCCTAGGATAGAAGACATGCGAGATGCCTGTCGGCATCCCTTATAGTGTGTCGAAACTTCAAACAGCAGGTTTTCCGAGAGAGATAGGGTTGGCCAACTGCATCTTATCGCGAAGATGTGCGATTTTTCGAGTGATCCAAATTTTAATGCTGACCTTATAATGGTCAAGGTCAGCACACAGCAAGTTCTAGGCATCCTGGTTGAAGATCAAAACGTGAAATTACGAATGCTTGTTACTGTCTGTTTAGGATAATCGCGTATTGACAAACGTTATTCGCTTATATTGAATGCTGGATGCGATGCCTCCTTTTTTGGAGGCAAAGCTGCCCATAATTAGTAGCACCAAAGCATATAGATTAGCCTTGAACCGCTAGATTAGTACTCAGGTAGGTAACCACTGGGATATACCCGGTGTTGTATGTGTTCATCTCCGTATTTTATATTCCTTTTTCCTTTTCGAATGAATTTATCTATATGGATGTCGCTACAACGATTTACTATCACATACGACCATAGCTCCTAGAAAACTCGGCATCCCGTCCGCTCTGCCCTAGATAAACTGGGAAGCGCTGGATTAGTACTCAGGTGGGTGACCACTGGGGAATCCCCGGTGTTGTATGTGTTTTTTTGACTCATGAATTATACTAACATGGATTCGCACTTCGTCGTCATGAACGCTGGCTTTAAGCTGCTCTGCATCTCGCAGATGATATCACTTATCTGGGCGTTTGTTCCCTGATCCTTCACACCCCTTTTACTGAACCGGTTTAGTACGAACTCAAACTCCATCCCTGCAGCCGTCTAGTTGTTGATAGAGATACTTCACCAGCCTTCTCTCGCAGCAACAATACACGCTGAAATTCAGCTGGTAGCCAGCACCGACGAAAACAGACAACTCGTCCTCGATATCACTGCCCTCTCGAATCCTACACTTTATAGTCTATCTTTCAGGAGGTACTACGTATCTGTTTATTCATGATACTTATGCGAGAGCTTGAGACTGATGTAGAGCTCGACGGTTTTCCGTTGAAGAAGAAGTCCATGATCACGTCACCAGCATGGTTGCCATATCGCGATAGAAGCCTATAGGATGCTCCTGATGAATCTAAGCCCGGCCGCTTCATCGAGCCTCCGAAAGCTAACAAGCATCAATTGGAGAATTACTTTCCGCTCGGTGTCGGAAACGTGATACGTGATAGGAGATTGGTCGCGAAGCAAGATCCCTAACGCAGATCGGATTTGCGTGCTGACTCATCCATGCCGTTCTTAATCTCTGCCATTTCTCACGCCTTCGTACCCCCGGCTGCACCGTATGCCGAGACATTAATTGTGTTATTAATCCCACATAGGCAGCGCTAAGCGTGCCGCTATCCTTTCAATAGCGTGAACGTCGCCGACAAGAGAGAACTCTTATTAAGCTAACGAGACGGGCCATCATGGGCCCTATTATCCTCCCTCCTTTCTGCTGTAATACGAACTCTAACCCAAGATGCGACTGATCAGATCGCGGATTTCATCAGATTGCCGGCCCGGCGCCGATAACGGATTTTCCAGCCAGAACTCGGCATGTCGATCGCGATCATCCATGAACATTGCGATTCGGTCTTCGTAGAGCCCCTTGAGCAATTTAGAATCATGTGTAAGTGATACCTCACTGGAAGAGTCAGTAAACATGATCCAAAATTCTGCATGCTGAAAGGACTGGAGTATCTTACCCGTCTTGCACCGCTTGTGCAGAATAATCATCAAGATCTCTTATTTTAGAAGCCACGATGCCTCTCGCTGTAGATGTCTCTTCTTCAGCAGCAGCGGCTTCGTTTGCAGGAATTTCTGTTCTAGTCACTGTCTCAGAAAACATGATATTGCCTCTTCTTTTTGAGCTAAGCGGCGTGTCGCTTATTACGACATCGCTCTCTTTAGGTTGAGAGCTGATGGAGGTGAGCCAGGTGCTGATGCTTGAGTTGCCATCGCGACTTGTTGTGTTTCCAGTTGACTGCGCAATTGGAATGTCAGGAGGATCGTCTGTTATTCGCGTTGATAAGTTGCGTATATCCTCGGCGGTTGGAAGTCTAATCGTGCTCGCCTCTGTGATTTCTTTCATGTCCTCAAGGGTGGTGTGAATGGGGACGACCAGACCGTCTCCGTTTGCTACACTAGCAACAAGATGCCCATAAACTTGCCCCTGGCTTGACTCGACAACCCATGACCCTGAGTCTCCATTTTTGAGGTCTGCGACCTTGATTGTCAGCAGGCACCAGGATGAGTGTCAGTAGCACTTACCAAACCCCTGTTTGGGCGAAAGAGTCAAGATTTTGACGAACTCAGTACCGGGACTAACCAAAACTAATGCGGTGAGCCTTCTCAAGATAGCCGGTTTATACCCGTTACCTGACATCAGTATGACTTCCCTACTGTCAAGTTGGCTCTCGGCACCAGCTTCAACAATGTCCAGGAGTTCCTTGGAGGCTTCTTTCTCTTTTCCAAAAGTGATCTTCGACTTGTCTATCCTATTTGGTAGGTGTAGGTCAGGTGGTAGTGGTATAAGAGCCCAGTCTAGGTCGCCATGGTCCTCACGGTGATTTGACTCAGACAAGTCCACTGAAGCAATCTTTTGAGCTCCAGCAAGGTCAAAAAATGCTGGTGTTGAGCTTCTGGTGCTATTGAGTTCTGGTTCAGAGTTTTCTGATTCCGACGGTGAATCATGCGATGAATATGTATCGGAACCTGTGCCACTGCGCGACGCTTCATTACATGCAAGCACAATTTGTGATATCAGATGGCCAGCAGTCATACCGAATAATGTACCATCAACGAGCACATTGCCTCCAATGGTAGCCCAAGCTGGTGATCGGCCCAGTGTCGCCGCAATTGGAAGTCCACAAGCGGTGGCGAAAAACTCATGCTCGAGAGGGGCAGTCCAAATGGAGACTATGTTGGCATCGTCGCTCAGCAGCCTTGGTGGCTTCTTTATGTAATGTATGGGGAAGTCAGTATTAGATGCTTTCATGGTTCCCTGGATGTGGCTTTGTTTGAAGAAGCCTTTTATCTTCTTTGCCAGCTTCTTGTCGCTGTAGAAAACGCTCATTGGTTCTACGTCCTGCTCCGACAGCCCTACCATGTATACCTCCCACATGACAGCATACGGGAAAGATTCAAGTTTTATGTGCGCTGCCAACCCGGACTTGAGGAGATTCTGTAATTCTTCAAAACGTCGACGAGCATCATCTGGTACAGGCAGCTCTTTGAATACCCTAAGCGGTTGCCTTTGATGGAACTTCTCAACGCCATTTGTCTTGATTTGCTGGAGTAGCTTTGGAATCCCCCCGGAAGTGTCTGTTTCAGAGTATTGCGAGTGTTGAGTTGATGTTGCAGGCGAGCCAAATACTGGTAAACCCGCTCCTGTTGGAGAACCGATCCAAGAGCCAGTAGCCTGCTGGGAGCGACTGGAAGCGGAAGAGCTAAGATGATTTTCGCACAATGCTGTCTCATTCAGACCGGAGAGCCCTGGTTCCGGTGTGATTGCTGTGGCCGGCACATGAAGTAGCTTTAGCCCCTTTCTCAGTCTGGTGAGAGCTTGGGAGGACGTCCTAGCAGGTTGACCAACAGCCCTGTCAGTATCCGGGGCCATTAATATGCAGGACACTTGTATTGTTCTTGGATGGTGGAGAATGCTGTGTAGATGACTGAAACACTTCGGAATACATTGGGCCACTCCCCCACGTGCTTAAAGAAACGTCGGCTGCTCAGCTGAATGCTTTTATTTCTGTGGCTGCATGATGTCCAATAGGAAGCGCACTGCACACGTGACTAAAATGCACTTTCAATGCGGCTCTTATTGTTTAGGCAGCTGAAATTTACAGAGCTTGGCTTCTAAACGTAGAATCTCTGCCTACTTACATACCCGTAATGACAGCAGAAAAGAGAAATATTGTGAAACTAGGGGAGAAACTCTGGGGATGGAAGCTTTGTGTTCATTGCCGTGCTGGCAATGAATGCAAAGATCCTGGATGCCCTGGGCAACGTCACCGCAGCATACAGAGATACTATCAATTCTGCGAAGCCATACTGCGCCCCAATCCGCTAGATGAGCCGTTCAAGACGAAATTCATAGACGAGAACGATCGCCATCTACAGATAATCCTCAATGTCAAATCCAATCCCGAGTTGAGCCGACAAGAACTGAGAACTATCGTCTGGGGCACCAATAGCAGCGTCTCACTCACAACTATGTCGGCAACCATAGACCGTGCAGTTAGGACTATGTTGATGGTGGACTGTGTGCCTTCATATCAGCCTTCCGGGCGTCTCGAGGAGGGCCAATCGAGGCTTCCTTGGGGCGATGGTTTACCATTATCCAAGTTTCTCGAGGAAGCCTTCCCGAAGCATCAGCACCACGTGTTGAGCTCGATCAACCACCCGCGTCGTATAAAATTCAAGAGCGAGTTAAGGGCCGATCGACTTAAGAAAAGGTTAGGGATTACCTTCCGAGGCACAAGCGATTTACGGGATCATCTCCGACTAAGCTATACCTCTTCTGGGATAATTCTGAACATCTACCATCATGTAGGATTCCTCAAGGAGCAATTGATTTTGACGAAGGCAAAATCATGCGGCGAAGGTTTCTCGCAGTCAATCAAAGTGTAAGTGAACTTCTAGTTCAAGTTCTCAAAGTATCATCCATAAATGCTCATAAAACACTAGTTGCGGAGCACTCCCTAGACAACTGATGTTGGAGACGATTGATTCTCTGCAAGGCATCCTTTTCCCAGTAGCGAGTAAGAAGGCAAGGAAGTTACTAGATAGGCTCGTGGCAACCGAACAGTGGGATCCTGAAATAAGGATATATGAGTTCGGTACGATACGGAATCGTGAAGAGTATAACATCCCCTACTACTACCTCGCTGAACATTTATCCGAACTTCAGAATGGATTGGAAAATCCTCCACCACGGGGTTGGCTCGAGAGGCAAATTGAGCGGCGCACGGCAGATAGATATATGATGATGGCAACCCTGGCAGGAGTGGCATTTGCTGTGTTACTTGGTATGCTCTCACTGATCGTCAGCTGCTACCAGACCTGGATTTCATACCAAGCGTGGCAGCATCCCGTTAGCGCGGGCGGACCATAAAATGCGTTTTAGGGGACTAGGAAGCCGATGGATCATAGTCAAATTTTGCCTAAGGGCTCACGGACCAGATCAGCTTTTTTTAGGGTTTTTTTTCTGACACGTTTACAAAGCCCGACTTTCGTAGCTATCCAGGATGGTGCAAAATTACGTTCATGTTACGGCCTGTGATTGTCCTCATTCCTGTGGTCATTGTTCTCGCCTATACTTAGAAGGCGGACCCTCCAGTTTACTATCTACATGTTGCGAACATAACCAACATTGAGATCAAGAAGGACCACACCGCATGGCAAGGGGACTAATGACAGAAGACGACTAAAAGAAACTGGCAAGGCAGGCCGCTAGTGGCCAACAGGTCATGTGAAAAGTAGTGCTCACTGAAACTCAGCGGTACTCAGCAGGTAGGTCACTGAGCACATCTGAGCAAGAGGAACAACCAGTAAGGGAATTAATGGGTATGGTACTGAGAAGGTTAATGGTTACCTAGTGCCACCAATTAGGTAGATGCCTGAGGTGCACAGGCCACCCTGATAGTTGACCTGCAGGGATCACTTAGAATAGCTGAAGGACCACGCCACTGAACAACACTCTACGGAGGATCAATATACACACTTTGATCAGTATTACGATCCTACAGAGTAGTGTCGCCCATCAAAGGTTTCCTAGCTAGACTTCTGTTACCTTAATGATCAATCTAAGCATTTATCTTACCCATAGGTGAGGCCTAACAAGCCTTGACGGTTTTTCTTGTGACAATCATTTATCCATTTAACCAAGTTTAGTTGTAACTATTGCTCTAGTTTCCGCATGGCTAGCATAAGCCTTCAGCACTTATATGCTCTCTGCGGCTTCTAGGGGTATATTGGTTACATTGAGTAAGTTTTTTGAGTTTTTATAGGGAATATTCACGTGACCGTATTCTATCTTTAGACCGTGGATTTGGTATAAGCGCCTCCATTTTTGGCTCCCAAAACCTTAAGCTTTCGATGACTTTATGCCTAGTAGACAGCTTCTGCATGCAAGAGGTAATAGCTACGATGGCAATCCTGTTGCTGAAGTATGAAATTGAGGTGGGAACTGGCCAGCAGGGACAGCCTTCCATAGCTGTCTCTGTGCTATCTATGACTAATGTTCCGCCATCGCGATTGCAACGTGTAGACACGCTCCAATCGTCTGCTCCTCGACATTGATGGCCATGGCAAAAGACAGGAGGTTTGCAAGGACACCCTGAATGATCTGCAGTTATCCCAGGAATGACCTCTGCACTTTCAGCAGTGACCTCCCTAGCGGTATATCCGTCGGTATATCCACCCTTTACGCCGGGTAGATATGTCCTTGGAGCGCTGGATTAGTACTCAGGTGGGTGACCACTGGGGAATCCTCGGTGTTGTATTTTTTTTTCATCAATATTCTACAAAGATGAATAGGTCGCTTCTAGCTTGGAAGAGCTAGAATCTCTTTTAGGCGCCAGGCTCAGTGGCGTTTGCTGCACGGCAACCAGCGTCTCTCAACAGCGCCAATAGTTACACGCCAGGGTCGGTTTCTCGTACTCAAATATTCATGAGATTGCTTCTCCTGGAACAGCTATGATAAGCCCGCTGTCATTCGTGATACACTCATGGCTCCTCATTCGCCAATCATGCCGGGACCTATACATGTAACGACGGAGGTCCGTCTAACCAACGCAGCGATGGGTGAGCGTTTGTAAAAGGGGCCGGAAAAATCCGTCATAGGGATTGCGCGATTGGTTTTCCTGACTTCACTCAGCACCACGGGTCCTAATCTCAGCATATCCTGTGAATAGAAAATCACACCGTCCTGTCTTCACGTAAGCTTTCTGCGCATGGCACCTACTGTATCACCAGTAATTCGCTTTTTGGCTGTTCTAGCCCTCACAGTCATGTCAAAATACACCAAAATATTTCCGAGTATCAGACGAGCTCCAAGATATCGCAGCAACAGTCATGCCGCACTCTCTTCTACCTGTCGTCGAGGATGAAGGTCATACATATCGACAACACAGAATCACGATTTAACTGATTGAAGTACACACCGACACATCCCACGGCGTTGAGGGTATGCGCGCAGAATACAGATGCCTGCTGTCATCTTACCTAGTCTAGACAGGAGTTTGACGAGCAGCAAGCAGAGGACGAAATATTTCAGGCTTGGCAGAGGGGGTTAGAGCTAGGTAAATGGAGTATACTTGATATTGTCTACTGTTAGCTCAAGTCCAAACGTGTAAGTAGTTGCTCGAGGCTTCTATTCTGACCATAACTTCAAGAATCCGTTTTCTGAATTATTCTCACTTTGATCGTCCTACCCAACCTTGTTAAGAGTTTTAGAGCCACCTACACTATGCATAGTCAACCAATTTCGACTATGCGCTACGTTTTCTCGTTATCAGACACGAGTCTGATGTGTAAGAACCCCGCAAAATCAATGTTGGTCTAGTGATGGCTCACTCATGCTCATCGTATGGTGTTTAGTATATCAAGGACGCTGAACAGAAGTGTCAGAGTCGCTGTTACCCAATAGGGGCCAGAGGATAAGCTATCCGAAGCGGAACAACGTAAAAGATAGAGGGCGAAGATGCGCATTTTTGGTATACGTCATTTAGACGGCTATATTAATAGTAAACATATGGTCTCACCACCTCAGTCTAGCCCTACATATATATCTAATTCTAGGATGCATATGACCACTTTATTATATTTACAAGGGAAACATGATTAGAAAAATAGATGGACTTCCATCATCCTTGATGATACCACCAAAGTTGTCATGTAGTGGCACTTCGCTTCCAAAAATTGGCCTTCAAGGTTACTTCCAAGAATTCCTACTCGTACGCATCAGTATGTTTCCCTCGATGAAACTAATACTGTCAGGGTTTGATCTCAGGAATTTCTGCAGTTCGCTCTTCGCTGCTCTGACCGAGATTTCCCTTCTCTGAAGCTATCATTCTTTCCAATTCTGAGCCACAAGCCCTCATACGCTTTATGGACATGGATTTGGCTCTGCCATTCCAAGTGCTGTATTTGTATGGAATACCTGCAACATTGTGCTCCGCAGCGGATCTGGATCGTTGAACCATGACCTTAGTGTCACTTTTGGCTGAATCATTCTCTTCCAACATGTGTTTAGGCACACAATCTTCGTATGAAACATGCGTCATCGGCGTGCCAAATTGTTGTGATGTGGCTGATATGGCTTCAGAAGCGTTCCTTTTACTGACAGGTGTGTTTGGAGGTTGGGTAGTCGCTTTTATGAAATCGCCGGTATCTGGCGAACCGGGCCTATCGCCACAGTGAAGGTCCTGGATTTCATGTGCGATCCTCGAGCTTAGAGGCACCCTCGATGACGCCCCACTGACACCTCGTGGCCTGGTCTCGTTAGATACGGATGGGCGCTTTATGTAGTCAATCGTTTGCTCGAGCGCTTCTAACTCCTGGTATCCGCCATGATGTGGCAAAAGTTCAAGTTCGGGATACTCTAGATATCCAGTAGAACCAGGACGTATCCTTTGACCTTCTCTCCTCGAAATAACAGCTTCATCAAGCAATCCATCTCGAGTTGGAAGGAGCTTTGCAAGTCCGTCTCTCAGAGACCGGCCCAATTTGGCTGTCAAAGACTGTCGTTCCAGCGGTGCATGTTCGTCGTCCCCTGCTGGACTATGTCCTTTTTCAGTTGTGGTCCGATTGGTACCGGCCTCGAAAGTGTCTCTAGACACAGCGTAATCCTTTGGTGTCACACAATCGTTAGCGCCTGTAGCACCGTTACGTTTTGTCCGATCATGTGATGGCCACTTCGCCCATGATTCTGGCATGACCTTGGACTTTCCTGAGGCATGGATATGTGTCGTAAAACTTGGCGCCCGATGAGCACTAGACACCTCGGATTGGATCTGATGTTGCCATTCCTTGAGAATACGGTTTGAAGTCTCTTGCGAAGTGCTCATAAGTTGTATATCTTCCTGGCCTACGACAGAGCGAGATTTTGGTGACTGTATACCTGACTGGGTATCATAATTACTGCGACTGTAGACGGAGCTGGTATCACGAGCATGAGCGGGTATAGCTGTAGTAAGCCTGCTCGAAGCATCACGGGATTGAGGAACCTCCAGTGTAAAGTGTTGATGGTCATGACGAGGGCTGGCTTGGTATCGTTGTTGCGCATCACGTCGATCCGCCTCAAGTCGAATAGCTCGCTGCCAGAGATCCGTGGCAGTCTCTTCTAGCTTTAAATCCTTGTCGCCGGTGGGGAAATGCTGTCCTTTTCGCAAAGATGTCGACTGGTTCGGACCTGGAGCAACAGCACGACGTGACATAACAGCAGCTCCTACGCAATTTCGATGGCCATGTGGGAATGGACCAAGCTTGTGTAATGTATTTCTGTGATACCCTCTTTTCGGCAGGAGCCATTTCAGTAGTGAAGGCTTCCTAGAATGTCGTACCAGAGGGTCGTCAAACTCTTCTCGGAATCTGCTGGCTACTGAGCTGCTGGCATGGCGCCGGCCACGTGGCTCTGCAAACCTCTTAGCAACTGATTTCAATTCTGCTTCCCTATGCTTGAAGCTCGCGGTCTCAGACGCAGTTTCTAAACTCGAACTTGAACGAGCATTTTCCTTGCCTGAAATGACCGTAGTAGGCACCAGAGTCTGAATTGGTGCGGTTCTATAGGAGCTTGTCTCTGATTTGTCTGCGGCAACCATACCTCTCGGTTCAAGATCTATTCAAATTGTCAGCAAATGAAGGCTAAAAGCTGGCCCCATTAATATTTAGTACTCACTGTTGACTGCGGTTGTCTGGCTCAGTTGTAATATTCTCGGTGGACCGACAAACCCAAGACTAGAGACCGGTCGCGTTAGATCAGCACTACTCGGTCGAGTTGTGTAGCGTGAGGACAAGGATTCCTGCACCATTTGACCGCGATTGACATCTAGTGAGACGGCGCCACGCTGTTCTGTCTCCTTCGGGATTGAAAATGCTGGAGATGGCATTCCACTAGATCGGCCGGTTGTGGCAAAAGAACCTGGAACTCTGAGCAATGCTGATTCGTATCCCCGGTGGGAGGAGGACGAGCACGGCCCAATCTTGAATCTACCATTTGAACCCAGCTCACCTAGTGCAGAAGCATCTGGACGATCTTCAATGACACTGTCGCTGTTGCGGCGCGTCGAGGAGTGCGATATAGACTGTAGGGTATTCGACACGCGAAGCCAGAGGTCAAGAGGGGATATTTGATCAATGTGGGTGGTGTTGTGGAAGATACCGGTAGATTGCTCGAATTGGCTCTCGTCTTCGTCTAGTTCTGGTGTCAAAAGTTTGCCATCGTGAGCATCGTTTGCCAATGAAGATCTAGATTGAACAAGCTCGTCCTCGCGTGGGTAATTTCTCAAGCTCAGACTAAGCTGCTTGTTGTTTATTGATGTAGTTGATCCACGGAGGGGAGAGTAAGCCTTCTCCAGTGAGTCTTGCTCAAGTGTGGCTTGGACAACGTCTCCGTTGCTATGGGCTTCCAACTCCCCCTCCCGAATATATTCCGCAAGTTGTCCGGCACTGTACGAAAGTCGCCAGGAATCTATGGAGCTTGACCGGCGGACATTTGATGACCGTACAGGCTCCAGCTGAGGCGATACGGGCATCTCTGGCAGTGATCCACAGTCGCGAAGAATATTTTCTACCTGGGGAGCTGAATTGTCTTGGGAATGGATAGCACCGGTCGGACAGCTACTGCGATGTCGAAGTGAAGTGGCGGTATTAGTTATGATGGGCAGAGCAAGTGCGACCATTTCTTGCGCAGGGGTAGATGAATGATCAGAATTTGCGTCGTCAGCTTCGCAAACCGAGAATTCAACGTTCTCTCTTGGACCGCCTCCAGGAAGTTCCGGCAGCACTGGCGATGGAGACCTACACTGGGTAGCAATTGGCGGGGGCCCCTTTGTTTCCTCTTCCTCTTCGGTCTCGAGCTCCTCTTGAATTCTTTTCTGTCTGAGACGTCTCAGCTCGGCACGCCGTGCAAGTTCCTCTTCGCTGCTCCCAATACTCTGCTGTGATCGCCATTTAGATTGTGACTTTTGAGATAGGCGACGAATAAGCTTCGTCTTGAGGGCTCCCAGAGTGCTCGTAGGGGAGCTTCTAGGGTTGGTGTTTCCATCGTCACTGTCAGAATCTTCGACCTCGATCACCGTTGGATCCAGTGCAGCTTGATTTCTGGGTGTCGTCATAAGTGAGGGTGCCTGGGTGCCATCGAATGGGACAACGGAAGTACTCTGGTGTTGACTCAGAAGGCGAGGCTTGGGCAACTTGGCTCGAGCTGGCCGAGCGGGCAGCTGTGTTGCTGCCGTTGATGAATTGCGATTATGGTGAGCCTCTTGGTCACCGCAGCAATTGAGAGCCTGCATATTGCACAGCAAATCCCCAGATGCCAGTAACATCAGCGAAGCCAGGGCTGCAGTCCTTGTATTTCATACCAAGAAAGGCTCGATATTGCCGAGAGGGAATGCAACAAGCCAAGCCAAGGGCTTATGACGGTCCAAGAGCGCATGAAAAACTACTTGGGTCCGACGGGGTTCATTGATGGTCGATGTTGACATCTCCCCCAGTATGCTGGGGCAAGCGCTTCCTGGCCTTGGTATTATGCGATGCCAGCAGCGTCAGTAAGGAAGCTACGATGCAGTTCCTCCAATATGATGGGAAACCGCACCCCATCATGGCCGTGGCCTCCTTCAAGTACATTCATGTTGCTGGGGAGGAAACACGATGCTGTTTCCAAGCACCTAAACATTTATTCATCTACTGATTTCCCTAAATAGTGCACATCGAGGGACAGTGTGATATTTTTCACGCAGGGTGATCTTTGGTTGCAGTCATTGAGTACCACCAGCACTCTCGACAATGAATTGGCTTTGCAAACCATGTTGGGTTATGTTGGGTTATGTTGGCAGCCATTGGTCACTGTATTGGAGCATGCCAGTACCGCAGATGGCTCAACGGATGCAATCATCACGACATGCATGTGGGTCAAGGCGAGAACGAGGCATCGAACAATTGAGAAGGAGCATCCAAAGCTCACTCTTACTCTGCTTTCCGATAGTTGCCGAGGAGAAGCTCATAGACAAACGACTGGATTCTAGGCCAATAATACTGGGTACATGGAGTGGGATGTGACGCACGAAGAGAGGAGGTTATTCTTGAAGATTTTGGAGTCGAGACGAGACTGTCATGTATGTGGATTCTTACAGCGACGAATTGCGTGATGGGTATACCGCAAACCATTGATCCAAAGCCGACATCCGGCGGCTAGACGGGCTCAAACTGGCTTGGGGGAGAAAGTCGCTTGGTACGTCAATAGTGATCTATGAAGACGCTAGACAAGGTAATTTCACGGTGACTTTCTCTAATCACTGAAAGTCCATGACTGAAAAGTCTGCTACTCACTCGTAGTATGATGCAAGGGGCTGATTTCCATGATAGCCCACGGGTCAGAATGCTGGGACAGGTTGATTGGACTGTTCAAATGGCGCCATTTTCGTAGGTACATGAGCACCACAAGTAATCTAGCGTGGAGGCATAGTCGTGCACGGCTCGCTTACAGGTCGGGACCTTTTGAAGATCCCCCGCTTTCGGACCCTGAGTTTGGCAAGCAATTGGATCAATTTTTGCACAATATTGCCAAGCCCAAAAGCCGTGGCGCCATGTATTGACTGTCGTGAACTTGGGGCTGGGATCACCTCATCGTGTGTTGTTGGATAAGATGATGGTTTCCATGTGGTAATAATGAGAGCTCTTGGAACGTTGCAAGATGACCTAGACCATGTACATACTGGCTTGTATAGGGCTGGCACAATAGGAAGCTGGGTCGTCCCCCAGACACAGCTGTTTGCCATCCCACTATTTTTGGGCGCTCGGCCGGACTTTGTTTGCTGCCCCAGTCGCCCAGGTGCTTCAACCCCTCCAAAAGCGATGAGAAGTGAGCTGCATACAGCTACTAGGTTAGTCTAGCTCCAAGGCAAGACCCCTCACCGCCCGACTTTCGCCCAGTCTCTCGATTCCTCACATAATAAAAATTTGACTTCCCTCGAGCATTGCATCTTCTCTTTTCTTTCCTTCCATTCACCATTGAACTCCTTCTCTTGATATCCCTAGTTAAGAGATTGGAACCACCACCCTGCCTTCATTGTATGTTCGCCAGAGTTGAGCTCCTTGTCAGACTTTAGACCACCCAAAGCTGACAGCATCAAAGAATACCCCGCATATCACAGATCTCGCGTGTTACTGGCAAGATGGTTCAGTCCGCAGTTTTGGGTTTCCCCCGTATGGGCGTAAACCGTGACCTGAAGAAGGCAACTGAGGCTTGTAAGTATATCAATGGCACCCATACGCCGCGACTCCCGAGGACAGCATGCTGATGAGTTGTCTTACCTAGACTGGGCTGGCAAGCTCTCCCAATCTGACCTCCTCGCCGAGGCCAAGCGCCTGCGATTGGCTCACTGGAAGATCCAGAAGGATGCCGGTGTCGACATCATCCCCAGCAACGACTTCGCTCTTTACGATCAAGTCCTTTCACACATCCAGGACTTCGGTGTAAGCTCATACTCATAGATCATGCAATGTCTATCATCGCTGACATACTACTTTACAGGCTGTACCCGAGCGTTACAGCAGCTCGAACCTCGATGCCGTTGACGAGTACTTCGCCATGGGTCGTGGCCACCAGAAGGGTGGTGTCGATGTGCCCAGTTTGGAGATGGTCAAGTGGTTCGACTCAAACTACCACTACGTCAAGCCCACTCTTCAAGACAACCAGAACTTCAAGCTGAGCTCCAGCCCCAAGGCTGTTGCTGAGTTCACAGAGGCCAAGGAGGCCGGTATCAACACAAGACCTGTCCTTGTCGGACCCGTCTCTTTCCTTCACCTTGGCAAGGCCGACCGTGGCCAGAAGGTCGACCCCATTGATCTCTTGGAGAAGCTCGTTCCCGTCTACGAGGAGCTCCTCACCAAGCTCAAGGAGGCTGGTGCCGAGACCGTCCAGATTGACGAGCCCGTCCTCGTCTTGGACCTTCCCAGCAAGACCAAGGCTGCCTTCAAGCCTACATACGAGAAGCTCGTTGGCCTGGGTGACAAGATCCCCAAGCTCGTCTTCACTACCTACTTCGGTGACATTGTGCACAACGTTGACCTTGTCCCCAAGGACATCTACGCTGTCCACGTTGACCTCGTCCGAAACCCTGAGCAGCTGGAGACCGTCCTTGGTGCCTTGGGCCCCAAGACCATCCTCTCTGCCGGTGTTGTCGATGGACGTAACATCTGGAAGACCAACCTGAAGCGTGCCATTGAGACTGTCGAGACTGCAGTCCAGAAGCTCGGAAAGGAGCGCGTCATCGCCGCCACATCCAGCTCTCTCCTTCACACTCCCCACACACTCTCCAGCGAGAAGAAGCTGGATGCCGAGATCAAGGACTGGTTCTCATTCGCCTCTGAGAAGGCTGTTGAGATTGCTATCATTGCTAAGGCTGTCACCGAGGGTCCTGCTGCCGTCCGTGAGGCTCTCGAGGCCAATGCTAAGTCCATCAACGCTCGTGCTACCTCCGAGCGCACCAACGATGCTGCCGTCAAGGACCGTCAGTCCAAGATCCAGGAGGCTGACTACAACCGCAAGTCTGAGTTCACCACCAGAATCTCACAACAGCAGAAGAAGCTCAACCTGCCTCTCTTCCCTACTACTACCATCGGCTCCTTCCCCCAGACAAAGGAGATTCGTGTGCAGCGTGCCAAGTTCACCAAGGGTGAGATCACCGAGGCTCAGTACGACAAGTTCATCGAGCAGGAGATTGACATGAACGTCAAGATCCAGGATGAGCTTGACCTGGACGTCTACGTCCACGGTGAGCCTGAGCGTAACGACATGGTCCAGTACTTCGGTGAGCGCCTCAAGGGTTACGCCTTCACCACCCACGCCTGGGTCCAGAGTTACGGTTCCCGATGCGTCCGTCCCCCGATCATCGTCGGTGACATCTCTCGTCCCGCACCCATGACCGTCAAGGAGTCCAAGTACGCCGTCTCTGTCTCCAAGAAGCCCATGAAGGGTATGTTGACTGGACCCGTCACTTGCTTGAGATGGTCGTTCCCTCGTGACGATGTCCACCAGTCCGTCCAGGCTGAGCAGCTTGCTCTTGCCCTCCGTGACGAGGTCGTTGACCTTGAGAAGGCTGGCGTTGACGTCATCCAGGTCGATGAGCCTGCTCTGCGTGAGGGTCTTCCTCTGCGCTCCGGAAAGGAGCGTGAGGCCTACCTTGGCTGGGCCGTCAAGGCTTTCCGCCTCTCCACCGTTGGTGTCGAGGACTCTACCCAGATCCACTCTCACTTCTGTTACTCTGAGTTCCAGGACTTCTTCCACGCCATCGCTGCTCTCGATGCCGATGTTCTGTCTATTGAGAACAGCAAGTCTGATGCCAAGCTCCTCAGCGTCTTCGTTGACTCTGCCTACCCCCGTCACATCGGTCCTGGTGTCTATGACATCCACTCTCCCCGTATTCCCAGCGAGCAGGAGATCAAGGACCGCATCGAGGAGATGCTGCAGTACCTCAAGCCTGAGCAGCTTTGGATCGACCCTGACTGTGGTCTGAAGACCCGTCAGTGGAAGGAGACCAAGGAGGCCTTGGTCAACATGGTCAACGCCGCCAAGTTCTTCCGTGCCAAGTACGCCAAATAAATGGCCTTCGACGTGCCGTGTCATGAAGCCGAGTGTCCTGTCCCTCCTACTGAGGCAGGCCTCCGCTCACCGGCAAAGTTGTGGAGTGGAGTTGTAGATGGTTTTTCTTGTCATTTCCGTGAGACTGCATATATGCCCACAGCGAAGGGTATTTGATTCGATTTCAACATCGGCGTTCAACAGGCTTGGTTCAAAATTTGATCAAAAAGTTTCACAGGAAGGCGAGGATCGGAGCATTCAACACTGAGCATTGGGAAGGGAAGATATCAAGTGGTCCATCAACCGGGCCCTGGAGTGCATGGCGTTATTGATTTCTATGGCATGGTGCCAGAAGCGACCAAATTGGAGTCGTTGTAGATTAGAAAGAAAGCCCGATTCAACTGGGTAGTGTGCATTGAAGAGAAATGCAACATGACCACCATTCTTGGTGATAAACCACATATGTTTTTCAACTGCCGGGAAATGTGATGGTGAATGTGACGATGCCCGCTGCCCTCTCCATATTTGCTGTCAATCTTCAATGACTCGTATGATATTGATGGATTGTAAAAGCTTGAATTGGCGCAATAAGTACAGCAAATGATCCAATGCAAGGTAGCCACATAATAAGCTCTAGGGTGTTTCTAGTTGATGGCTAAGGCTCAGTGAGAAATTCCCGCCCCCAAAAGTGCGATTTCGCGAAATTGACATTCATCATCGAAGCGGGGATCGCTTATCTCGACTCTTACGTTGGACCTTACGACTACCACCGCAATTGCAATTTCCAGAGAGTATAGTGTATCAATCATGTCATCTAATTTTACTGCCAAGCGGGGAAGCATCATCTGTGAGGGGATTCCCCGAGGAGGGTGCCCGCAAGAGGAAGGGCGAGAAGCATTCCTATCAGGAAAATGCCAAGACATAGTTCTAGAAACCGGAAGAAGGCTGAGATCGTTCCCCGGGACTTTACTCTTTGAGCAATATTTTTGCGAAAGAATGAGAAAAAGAAGCGTATCACTTGTGATGGGGCGTGGAGTTCATAATATGAGCATAGCAAGGGGAATATATGGAAAGGATCCGGGGGCTTCAATCATTCTGCGACAATGGCTGCTGGGCGTTCCCGGGGTTCCTCACAAGGCTTAAAATATTACTGTTGATCCTCGGCTACTAGGGGCACTAAGTACGGGCGGCGCTGTGTTGAAGGATCGGGGCAATTATCTGTTGAAGGAAGAAAAGTCACAACAGAAATGAAATGAACAGGGTAACGACTCACGAAGGACGAAGCCCCGGTGCACACGAAGTCTGGGCCCGAGTCAACCGCTGAGATGCTAGCATGGGTTTGTAGATGATATGACCAATGATCTCGCGGCACAGTCGTGCCGGCGACTTGGTGAAACGGTGAGCCCCCCTTTTCGCTGGCAGGGTCCTTCCTTTTCGCCCAGGGTTTTGCGAAAATCGCATTGCTTGCATTTTTTGCGCTGATTTGCTGATTGATGATCGTTCGTTCGGTGTGGTAGAAACAGGAAGCGCTGTCAAGTAAATGGAAATAAGGTTGATTAACCAGCGCTTGGTGCGGTTTCAATGGGGCTTGAACAGGCAATCTCCCCAGGCATATTCCGTGATGATTGATGAGATGGAGAACAGGAGATGGGATGAGTAACTTGACATCCACAGCGATCGAATACTCTCGGCCGCCGTAATCGACCCTCGCACGGATGTGTAAGCCGGAGACTGATGCAGTGAATAAGCTCGTGGCGATGCACCAATGTGAGACGAAAGGTTGAGACTCGGGGATGGTGTGAATGCAACTTGATGATACTGATGATACCAAGTCAATGAGCAGGAGCTGTTTGCGATGCTGTCGCAAAACAGGTTATCCTGTCTTGTCTAAGGTTAGGTAGGGGCCTCGCCATGCATTGATCATGTCGATCAGGCCCAGGCCGACCATTGCTGTTTAATGCAGTGAGAATCACGATCTACCCCCAATCCGGTTCAACGGCAAACGGATGCACAACAACAACATGCGCGGTCACAAAAAGCATCGTGAAGATCATCATATAGCAGTAGTCTACTGCAGGACCAACATGTAAAACACTGGAGCTTTGCTTAAGAGTAACAGTTGAGCATAAGGCGAAGAAACCGGTTCAAGGATCTATCCGCGCATGCGCCGTTACGAACTTGCTGTAGTCTAATTGATTTAAGGAGGATGTGGCGCGCGCGATGGTGTCGGAGGCCAGGCGCTACGTTCGGGTGGCAGACAGTAAGTAAGTTAAGACATGCGTTTTGAAAACACGTTACCTGCATGTCGCACGTGTCCAAAAACTCTCGTAACTGTCGCTGTCCGTGGTGCTTCTTTTCGAAGCCATTGCCGGTCGCCAAAAAACAAGGCAGCCAAAAGGATCTCATTCCTGTGGCTCCAGAGTATGCACCACGTATTCAGCCGCTATTAGCTCAAGTGTAGGTTCCAAGAATAGCGGTGTCACCTAGTGGGCTGCTTCTCGAACAATAGCTGGTCTTTCGTCGCCTTTGCCCAAAGCCAGCAGTATGTATCGGGTTGGCTCTTCTCGCCAAGGGGCCATTACGAAAACACAATCCCGATGGAAATTCGACATACTACAGTAGGTGCTTCAAGAGTTACGAGATCGAGCGACATATCACCTGCCGAAGAATGGGATCATCTTCAATTATATCATCGTACATATTTACCCGTTCATCCACCTGAGACCGACACCTCTCGCTTTGTTACCTCGCAGATTCTGGTCAGTAACCCGTCGCAACAGCACAGCGGGGGGACGGGACCTGTACGTAGTAAACGCTTGAGAGAGAGAGTGTGTGTGTATGTGTGCTGGCGGTCAAAACTGGAGGGCCCTGTCCAGCCATTCAACGTGGTTCCCGAAGCCAGCAAGATCTTGTTTGACGGTTCTCCAGACGCCATTGGCCACTTAGCCCCGTCTCAAGATGGGACCTGCATCTATACCCTTGCTCGACATGGGTATATGGCCTAGCTGGGTCCACTCAGGGGCAGCCCATGCCCAGATGAGCGGCGAGAAGAGGCGCCAGGCACGGGCAATTCGGTCTCATTTTGCGCTATTCCTGCCAATTCGCCTATGCTGCGTCTTCCATGTCCACGCACCATGACCCGGAAACGAACTGGAGCGAGATGTGGTCCTTGTAATGATGGGAGGCAAGGGGTCCCCAATCAGTGGGTCTACCAGTCCTTGATTGAAAGAGAGGTCAGATTAATGGGTGGAGGCTGTGTTTTCCTCCAAATCCTGGGCAGTCTCCGTGCAGATTGGGTAAAAAGGACTCACCACCCAGCTTGAATATACCCTCTGTTTCTTTTCTCTACTCTCCTCACCCAAGTCTTTCTCTTTTCGAGTCCGTCTCAAGTCTCTCTTTCAACCGTTGTCGGTCATTCACAATCGTTTCCTGCGCCTACGCTGCAGCTTCGCTTCAAGTACACTTCTAGCAATACCTCGCGGAATCGATTTTCGCTCATTCACAGCATTTGCATCTTGCAAGCATCCACTCATTCAAACGACAACGAAAGTACATACTCTTCCAGAGATCAGATCCGATAAAGAGTCTAAATAGACTATCATAACATCCCGTGTTACGAGATCAAATCATCAATACCATTCAAAATGAAGTCCACCACCGTTGCTCTCGGCTTCCTTGCCGGCATGGCCACCGCCTCATACAACCACCCCCGCCACTTCCACGCTCCTCGTCCTTACTACCGCCGTGACAACGGTACCGAGCCCACTCAGACCACCCTGACCGTCAAGGTCACCCAGGTCCACACCATCACCTCGTGCGCTCCTACCGTCACCAACTGCCCGGCTCGCAACGGCACTGCTATCAGCGCCAACGATGCCTACGCTACCATCCCCGCCAGCGACCTGATCACCTCCGAGGTCACCCAGGTTGTTGAGCTCACCACCACTGTTTGCCCCGTTGCCGAGGCCTCCAGCATTGCATCTTCCGTCTCTGCTGCCCACAGCTCCGGTCTCATCACTGGTACCACCAAGGATGTTACCGCTACCGCAACCTCTGACAACTCTGGTGCTACCGGATCAGTCGTCACCAGCGCCTCCGTCGGTACCACCGATGTTCCTCTGACCTACACGGTTGGTCCCGAGACTGCCAAGTCTGTCATCACCACCACCGTCAAGAGCACCTACACTGCCCAGGTCACCGTCACCCTGACCAAGTCTGCTTCCACCGGCGCCAGCTCCAACTCTCCTCAGGGCACTACCACTGACTCTGAGGGTACCACCACCACCACCAGCACCTCCACTGGCACCCGCACCGTCACCATCTCCAAGGCCAGCACCGCTACCGCCTCTGGCTACCCTGTCGCCACTGGATCTGCCGGCGTTGAGGAGGTTACTGGCAACTCTGCTGCCACTGGTTCTGTCTCTGAGGGAAGCTGCGCCGAGGCCACCACTGTCACCGTCACTGCTCCTGCCAGCACCATCTACGTCACCGTTGGTGCCTCCAGCGCTGCCCCCAGCGCTGCCTCTGCTACCGCCTCGTCCCCTGCCGCTGCCACTACTGGCTCCAGCAGCACTGGCTCTGACAACTCCGCCACTGGATCTGATGCCGGTGACGACGAGAGCTCCGACGACTCTTCCGACGCTGACGAGTGCGATGCTGATGAGGCTACCTCCACCGACGCCGGTGTTGTTTACGCTACTGCAACCGCCACTGTGTAAGTTTGAACCACCCCTACCATAATAAGATTGAGAGACTAACCAGTAGACAGTGTTCCCTACCCCGTCGGTGGCGTTAACGGCACCTACCCCGTTCCCACTGGTGCTTACCGCCACAAGAACTAAGTTTCGGGCCAAGCTATAGCCATTAAGGGCTACGTAAAACGAAAATCTAGTTCTTCTGTATAATGTTTGGGAAATCTTAGTATCTAAGCGCCGCGCGCGGCGGCAGAGGGGATAGAGGAGGAGGAGCAGGGCAAAAACCTTTTGTTGTGTGCCGCACACCGTATACAAAATCTTATGGCTACGAAGTTTACGATAAACCCACCCACTTATACCATATGACCAAAGCGAACACACTTTTAAGCAAAATTCTTTATAGAATCAGGGCCGGCGAAGCGGAGAAGGGACATCCAATCTATTTTCTTGGGTTTTGTTGTTCAATACATAGCGCGAAGCTGTTTGCCCGGTTCTGGATGGCCGGGTTTTGGCTTGTGGCTACCATTTTTTGTTTGTATTCGATTCGTTGTTTGTAGGCGGGAGATTGATACCCCCTTTATTTTTGAATGGAAGACTTTTGATGGTGAACCCTTACCTACTTTTTCTTCGCTCCCTCATATGTGAAGTGTTGAATTGAAGCTCGGTGTTTGTTAGATGCCCCCCGGTTCCTTGAGATTCAGATAAGGTTCATTCTGCGTCACTACGATCGTGTTTCATCGGCATGCCGGTCCACATGTCTGTCGTCGTGTGGCTTGGGCCGCTGTTTATGTATCACAATAGGTGAGAATACTGCTAACAGAATCAACGAAGACAAGCACGCCACAAGTTGTTGGTCGCTATTTAGTGAAGCCACTACTGATCTTGTCCAGTTCTTTCGGACGATTTCTGTGACGGAATAACGGACAAATTTCTATGTACTTCTTGTAGATCTTATTGCTTGAGCATGAACTTCATATACTCTAGTCTAGCATGAACCTAAATACACGACTATGTGGTAGCCCTCGTGCTAACGAATTGATTTATAACTCGAGCCATATTCGAATGTTTTTACATTTAAGTAGTATCTTATACAAGGCGATATTCATAATCATTGATCTATTCGTTGCACATACCTGCAGAACGTCTCTGGTGCTCTGAGAGTCTCATCGCGATTTTGTCTTCTGCTATCTGCATTCACTAGATACCAGGCGACAGATACCACAAGTTCTTGGTGATTGGCTTCTCCGTATCCATTGTTAAAAGATCCTTACGGCGGCAGGCTCAAAGGTGTCTATAATTCGATAGACTGGTTAGATGTGAGACTCAATGACGTCAAAATATTGATTACAAGAAAAGATTTTCAAAATTACTCATGGGACGCTCAATCACGCGATTTTAGAGTATACTCGGTAATAAGCCTGCGTAGGGTTCATGGCTAACGATTATAGCGATGAATAGAAACTCTATTTTGGACGGACTTGAGGCTCAGTGCTTAATATACATCAAATGAGGATTCAGTGGGATAAGGGATAGTTAGCCGTGGGTCCGCCCGTGATATATACTAGTGTAGCGCTGTAGATCTGATCTGCCGTGAAAAGATAAACTAATAATTCAAGAGTCTGAAATTCAGGTATCTAGTAAATTTTGTTTATCATTAGTAGAGATGATGGTTAAATCTTCAAGTGAACAAGGATCAACCGTACACAAACCACCACCTAATCAAAATGAGGAAATAAATATTCAGACCATTTCCACAGCACAGGTGATCATCGATAGCAAGGAAGTTTACAAAACTTGTGATTAGCACTCGAGGTGATCACTACCGTGATACCGGAAGCTTGACTGTCATTGAATTCTCTGAAGTTATATAATTACTTTGTTTCATCTCCAATAGAATCTATTAACTGCTGCGTTTTGTGATCCTGACGAACAGCATAAAGAAATCTACATGGTCGAATCAGCGCCAATGGTAGTCTTTCCAATTGCGTATCTAGCCTTATCATCCGCGGCCAAAAGCTCTGTTGTTCGTGGCTCGCTCTCAATATCACTGGCCTTATCCTGTTGTGTTTCGACTGGAACATGGTCTCTTACGACTAGCCAGGTTGGGACCACCGAGATACCTATATAAGCCGGTTAGCTACTGTGAAAATAAGTGTCAGGGTGCAATCATCACTTACCGAGCAAGATTGTGGTTACTGCCAGAGGTACCCGACCACCAACCCACTTCTTTGTGTTCAGACCAAAGCTTACAGCCTGAGCGAAACTTTCCTGGCCTCTAAGAATTCCCGAGAATCTCGTCAACTCTGAGATATTGTCTGTCTTGGTCGCGACCAGATAGTACAGCCAATTTTGCAGGGCTTGTCGAGCAAAGTCCCACAGCAACAACACGAAGAAACCCTCAACGAAACCGCTGTCTTCCCAGTCATAAGCCGGAGGGTTCCTTGTGTACTTTTCTTGAATGACCCAGCCATAGACCCACGCAATGATATGCAGGACGATGACATAATAGTATCCGTAAACGATACGCTTCTTTACCGACAGTCCCTTATAGTCTAGTAGCGTACTAATCAACTGGGATGAAAGCAGGGTCCCGAAGTTCTGGACCAAGCCAATGAGGGCGCGGGCCCGGACGCCAAAGTAATATGTTGAGAAATTACCAGTATACTGGTTGAAGTACGCCGCCCAGAAAATCGGCAAGAGCAAGAGGATATCCTTGCGCTTGCTTACCTCCCATAGCGCCCTGAACTCGCCCGAGAACGTCTTCTCGGTCTTGATGATAACCTTGCTGCCGTCAGAACGCTGAACCTTCTCCGGGGGCGAGAGAGCCAATGCCAACGGTGCAGCAATACACTGCAGAGCGATGAAGACCAGATACGTCTCATAGCCAACCTTGCCCTTCGTCTTCTGCCCGGAACTATGGTTCAGGCCAAGCACAATTGCACCGCCGACGAGCGGACCGCCGGTGCGGAACCAGAGCCAGATGTTCATATATCGACCCCTTTTTCCTGGCTCGGGATAGCCGAGCGCAACAGCACCTTCGCTGGCCCAGAACAAGCCGGCACTGAACCCACAGGCCGCAGCGCCGACAAGGACCAACCAGACGTTTCCATATCGATTGTTGCAGTACAAGCCAGCAGAATAGATCGGATAGCCAACAGCACCAAAGAACAAGGTCCAGTTCAGTCCGATGCGGTTTGCGATGGGGGCGCCAAAAAGGCAAAGAAAACCCATGATTGCGAAAACCAGAGCGTTGGCCGCATTGACGAGGTAAGGCTCTTGCGCACCACCGGCACCCAGAGAGTTCATCGCATTCCATAGACCAGGTGCCAGGAAACCTACGCCACCGATCACGAATGCGTTGAATAAGGTCGTGTGGTACCAAGTCCGGCGGTGTGGGGCCGAAGCCGTGATAGACCCGGCGGCAGACATGGTGGGCCGACGTGCGATCACTGCTTTCAAAGCTTGAAAAGAGTTTAAAAGCAAGTCGATCTATTCACTACCTTTCTATCTAATACCACCAGTTCCTTCTTATTTCTTATATTAACCTTTAAGGTTGCAGATTCTTCTCTTCTCCACCGATGCGCCAAGAATTGGTGATAGTCCATGGCGATTGCGACATCTCTAACCCCTGCTAGTATGACTAACCTTTGTACGTATATGGACCGGAGCCGCGCGAAGGTAACGTTAACAAGAAGAAAGAACGAAAATTTCCGTCGAAAATTGGGACTATCACTGATGTTGAACAAATATTGGAAGAAAAAGTTCTCAGCCGAACACGACGTGTGGGCTGACTAGGTAATCTAGACTCCTCACTAACCACCAAATATATTTGGCAGGACAGCAGACCATAAGGTGGGAAAATACATGCGTGACAGCCGCCCACTTTCGTTCGGCTAACATCATTTGCTTGTGCGATTGGAGTCGCGCTTAGTCATAGTCGCAGGATTCGTTGGCGTATATCAGATTCAGATACCTCGAAACAAGCATGTACAGCTAACACCGTCTTTCTATACACTGGAAATTGTTTTGTTCTATCGAGAGAATCAGTAGTTCTCCTGGAAGGGTTCCTGCTCTACACCAAATCATCAAAGAACTCAGAGCCAAATTGTGGCTTAAAGTTTGGCTGAAGTGCGAGTGACTATACAAGTTTCGAACACAACTCTTGAAGGTCATTCGTGTACACGATATGACAATGTGTGCATGAATCCTTGATATGAAATGTTTTTCAGCTCAGGTGTAGCTATGGTGTGGTTGCCCTTTGTCGTTTTCGAGGATGCCCCTTTGTCGCGTCGACCTGGTGAGCCGGGAATGGCATAGATCCGTGGCCTCTTCCGGACAAAAGAACTTGATCCAAGATACTACACTTATATCACATCTAAATGGTTGAATTGAACAGACATCTGTGCACAGTTCCTTCCAGACCTGGGCAAGTTAACAAGATATGACCATGACCCATTTATACTCCGTATAATGGCATCGGCATAGCTGTACCGTCGAATTAAGCTTTGCCTAAAGAGCAACCTAAATCAGAATAGCTGCCGTGGCGATGATGGGAGCTAGCCACGCACAAAAGAGCAGGGCCTCAAAACCTTTGGCTGAAACTCAGAGGCGGGAGGCAAAGGCCGGATTCAACTCCCAACAGTATGTTCTTGTGAAAAGAGTACCCATCGCTTTTAGCCGGGGAACAGGATGGAAGAGCGAGTTGAGATACATAGGGAAAAGCTCCGAGGTGATGAGCTTGTGTGTAAGTGCATATATCGAGAAGTGCTTCTTATCATAGAGCCCAGTGCTGACACCTAATACAGCCCTACACTGTCGGCTATTCCGGCGCTCGAGAATCAGACAACGCAACGCACATGGAGATACTCCGGGACACTCTATCAGGAAACGTATACCAGCTCAAGACATCTGGCGTGTTCCCACTACGCGAACTCGTCGACGCGACCTGTCGATCACTGTTAAAAGCGCTCCACCACCTCGCAAAGCATGGCATAGTACACCGCGACGTCAGACCTGAGAACATTCTGTATAGGAGGGACCTTAGTGGCGACATAACACTCAAGCTTGCGAACTTCGGGCTGCGCATCGACACGAGTTCCTCCAGACACAACCGCAAGATTAACGCGTATAGGGCCCCAGAAGCATACACCTACGAGGCCCAGACGCATGCCTCGGACATGTGGTCGCTCTTTGCCACTCTGTGCGAACTGGCGGATCGTTATCACCCGGGCTCATATCGCACATACCCAGAGGCTTGGGCCAGGCTCTATGACATCGCAACTACGGTCTTCGAGAAAGGCACCCTGGACTTGCGAGGAGTCAGGGAAGCCGTCGTCTGGGACGCCGGTAGCCGCGCGGCGGCAGCGCAACTGCTTGACAAATTTGGTGACGGTACAGGAGTCGTCAAGCCGGGCACCCAGGTGTCTGGTCGCGAACTGACACCTTGGACTACATGGGTCGACCAAGTTGGTGGGTCTGCCGTGGCCAAGGGACTATACGAAGGCACATGGGATATATTACCGGGGTTACCGGGGCGCTCGAGACCAGAACTAGACCCAGGTCGACGCAATCGCAAGAGTTCTGGCCCATTCATAGCTAATGAGACCTCGAAGACTGTACCACAGGTCACAGGTCCACCGAGTACGAAGTTTGCGAGTACATACAACCCTTCCGAAAGGATTGCTGTCGAGGACGGGGTGAGGAATAGCATGTGCGAGAAGACCCGGAGAGTAACGGTGGAGGAAATAAGACAATGCCCGGACCCACAGATTGGAGAGGCCCTGGCTTCGGAAATGAACGCCTTGCTTCAGCTATCTGCAGAAATAGATGCCCCGGACAGATCAATGATGGCAGCAGAACCCGATCTCGCGGAGATCTCGGCGGCGCGGAACGCACTGGAGGTTCAGGTCGCGGGACTGCAAGAAGCTTTTTGGGCAAAAGATGACGTGGTCGCACAGCTATGGACCGGGGGGTGTTCATTACCATCAGGCGATGCAACATCTGCTGGGGAGCTGAATATGGTTGACGACAATGAAGAAAGAGCGAAAACCCCGCAGATAAATGGCTATTCACCGATCCAGGATAACATGGAAACAGACGTCACTCATAAAGCCGACCTGATGGAAGTCGTGCGAGCGAAGGATGCCATCGAAGCGCAGCTCGGGGAGGCAGTGGAAGCACGGGGATTTATCCAGTCAAGAATGACAAAAGTTTTACCATCCAGTGACCAGCTGAAAGCACAGCCCCAAATCCATGAAGAAATTCTTCGGGCCAGAGACACAGTGATCCCCCAGCTGGAAGTCGCGAATGTGACGTCTCAATGCACTACAGCAGCCGGAAGACACGAAGAGGTAAACGAGAGACTCCAGGAAGCATTGGAAGCGAAGGAAACCAGAGATATACTGATAGAGGCCATCGAAGCCATAACGTTTCTTGAGTCGAGGCTCAGCAAGGCGCTGGAGTCCAGGGATCAGCTCAAGAGCCAGCTCGAGGCTTTCGACGCGGAAAGGGTGGTCGATGTAAACGGAAGTATCATCTCCCGGGAGGATAAGGCATCGATCATATATCGGGGCCGGGGTGTGGTGGTCGATTCGGAACAGCCACCACACTCGAATAATGATCTCCAAGGAGATCTGAGCCAGATCCTCGAAGAGAAAAGCGCAATCGAAGCACAGCTGAGACAAGCAGCCACGGAGCGCCTGGCCGCAGAGGCCAAGCTAAAGGACGCCGTGGGCGCCAGGAGGTCTGCGGAGGAGCAGATTAGGAAGGCTGGCGCCGCACGAAAGGCCGTTGAAGCCTCCCTAAAGACAATCAGGAATGAAAGGGATGCGCTCAGGATACAGGCGAGCAGAGCTGCCGCTGATTCCTCGGACGTCAGCAATGGACGTCGGCGACGCTGGAGCGGGACTACTCGTACGACACAGGAGGAGAGCTTTGAGGGCGCTCATCTAATGAAAGCGCCGGGTTTCACCTATCGGATGGACCCTATGGTTGCAAAGAGACAACGACATTTCTCGAGCACAAACGATACTCTGGTTGACATGGATATCTGCCGCAAAATGCTGAATGTTAAAGGGCGCGACCATTCTTTGGTCAAACGGCGCAAGCTCGTCGCTGACTTCGGCGGTCCTCCGACCAGCCGGCGCAATCAGCACTTGCACGAGTTCGGGGTGGGACCTTCGGGAGGTAGACGCATGAGGATATAGTATCACAATGCGAGGTTAGTCGGTTGTCGAGTTGTACGAAACCTTAGTTTTATGGGTTGGTGGGCACTGGAACAACACACAACAGAAGCGACTGACTACGCAGTTCGTTGGTTTAGTCATTTTCTCATTAGATCATAGCTCGTAATATCCGAAGCCGTCAAGTATCCGTCAGTATTGACACTGGCTATGTCTTGGAATCCTGCGATTATCCAAGCAAGGCACGCTCATAAGCTTCCTGATCAAGGTGCCGAAGTAGGGCCGCACTCAATGCAGCACGACAATCCAAGATGGCGGGCGCGACGCCGTCTATTTGCTGCAGATTTCCGCGCATACTTTCCATATGATTGCCAAGCTGTGCTGCAAGACCTTGGAGCTCATCATCCTGAAGGTCGGTGAAGGCTTCGCCTGCGCCCTTCTCAGCAGCTTGCAGCCAACCAAGTCTTTTGGAGTCGTGCTCGTCCTCGTCATGCTTTATATCCGGTACAAGAGAATGCACCTTCCTCAGCTGATCTCTCCGACCTCTGATCTCAGATCTGGCATTGGCGCTGATTGTGTTGAGAAGCTTATACTCCATTTCTAGTTCACTCTCAGCACGCTCCTTTTCCCGTTGCAGCAATGTAACACTATGAAGTAGCGGATCGAGTTGAGCTTCCAAAGTCTGTATTCCATCCACAGTTCGCTCGTACTCAAGCTCATCTTCTCGCTTATGTGATGTAGTAGCCGGTGGGAATGGCAAGCCGCGACTAAGCTTGGCGCGCAGTCGATTGCTGATAGCGTTCAAAGCCGACGCGGCTTGAGAGTGCTTCGTCAAGTTATTGAGACGAAGCAGAACAGGACGGGAGGCCGAGTGTAAGAGGTTTGCGACGGTGTCCACAGAGGTCGCATCGAGTGGTGACCATTTCTCCTGGATGGTTTGTCGCGTAATGCGTCGAGTTTTAGTCGCCAGGTGGCGGTAAGAGGCGGGTTCCGGGGATGAAGATCGAGACCTGTCTCGGGAACCATCTTCTTCTGGAGGGGCCTGTTGCCGTTTCTTGGGTTTGGATGATATCTTAGCTGACTTCCTTCGGCTCTCTGCCTGACTCCGCCGTTCCACGGAATCCGACTCCTGCTCAGGTTCTTCCGTCTCCTCTGCCGTTTCGGTATTCTTAACCTGTTGTTCAGGACGGGGCTGCTGCTTTGTTTGGGGCTGTGCGCCATTATTCAGAGAAGGGCGGCCACGCTTTTTTGGGAGGATCCCAGGCGCTGTCGAAGCATCAGTGTCACCAGAGCGGCGACCACGCTTCCCAGGTTTTGCTTTGCTCATTTCCCCAACTTGATCGTTCCCAGTCGCAGTTCTGTTCTTGAGGGATGGCCGACCTCGCTTCCTTGCCCTTTCAGGAACGGCTTCAGGTTCTTCTTCAGCCTCGGCATCCTCCTCATCGTCGGGATCTGCTTCAGCCCTAGATTGCTTTTTGCTCCTCCCGGGCTTCGCCTTCTCTCTCCCTACTGCCGTGCGACGTTCCTTTCTAGTGCCTCTGAGCAAGCTAGAGTCAACCGCAGTCTCATCATCTGCCTCAGGATTGTCCTCCGTAGCTTCAACCGGTTTAGGGGGCCGACCCCTTTTCCTCACTTGTGGGCTATCTTGTGTTTGCTCAGGTTCTGCGACCTGCTGTGAACGATTGATTGGAGGCCTGCCAGGTTTTTTAGGCGGCTGGCTCCTTGCGACAGCGCTCATCTCCTCGTTGCGCTCCTGCTCAGCTTCTTGCCGTGGTGCCGCGGGTCTGCCACGTTTCGTTGGCTTGGACTTCTCAGCTGGCGGCTCTTCAACTTCGGGGCCGTTCGGTATCTGCGGATTCTGCGATAACGAAGGTCTGCCACGCTTCCTCTTCTTGGATGGTAAAGCTGCTACATTGTCCGGTTCCGGCTCTGGATCTGGCCGTAGAGATGCTTTCGCAGGTCTACCACGCTTTTTAGGACGAGACTCTTCTTGGGAATCCCCATCTGCGGCATTTGCTTGTGGACGGACTATTGAGGCGTTACTCGAGAGTGTAAGTTGAGACTGCGACGCGCTTTCGTCTTGTCGGGACGCGTTCGCAGGGCGGCCGCGCTTGCGCTTCTGGTTTGCTGCCTCTGCAGCCTAGAGGACATGTATTAGCTACAGCCGGGATAACGGGGCCTCAGAAAGACAATCCCTTACCATGCTCTTCCAACAACAAAAGAACCAGGATACTACAACATATAAATACAATTGTCACGATGCCGCATCATCGACGTGCAGCGCGTCCGCTTGAACTCGAGCTAATGTTTCCGGATAACGATAAGCCATGAACCTGGCAGGGATCGAAGCTGCAAGACTGTTTGTTGGGTGCACAAAAGTGGAGTTGGTGCAAAAGCCATTGAACGAGTTTCTAACCTTACCATGTACTAAACTTCCAGCATAAGTATTTACTGCAGCCAATCCACACCTGGACATCGCAGTTCCTACAGTACATTAGGTTACGATATTTACAATCTAGATTAGGTTTATAATAGAGCAAAGTAGTGCATGACTTTGGTAAAACCCCAAGACAAGATTGCGAGACGGCCCCGTAGCTGCATCGCATCGCTCAACGCCGCAGAGCAAGCAGCTTTCCTGGCCAACCAACCCTACAGCCTGCTGGAGCTCTCCCCCATTTGCTTGGCACTGGATTCGGGATTCTGCCTTCAGGCAGCTTAGCCTAGCGTGATCCCTGTCTGCCAGCACCAGGTGGAATCGCAGAGATTACCATCCAAGGGTCCCTTCTCTGTCCTTTTCATCGATACTCCTCTGCTCAAATCGCTAGATAGACCCCAATCAGGATATCAGGGACATCGTTCGTATTCCCCTTCTTTGCCTGTGTCTCGACTACAAGGGCCTCGGACGAGACTTCTTCTATACATTCTTGTTTTTGTCTCACCCAGAAACGAGAAAAACCCCCCTCCTCCACACTTACATCATAGTCAGCGGCCGAAGCCTATTGTCATAGCTCCCCGTTGATCCTTCATCCTCCCCGTCCATCCGCCTCACACGCAAGACACATCATCACGATGCGCTTCACTACAGCTCTCGCTACTCTGCCGCTCCTGGCAGGCGCCCAAGATGTGCCCCAGTACCAGGCCCAGTTCCAGAACTATCTGGACAAGGTCTGGTCGTACATCCCCAACCCGAGCAAGTCGGACCCCGTTGGCGCCGCCGAGGCCAAGGTTGGTGAGCTGAAGCTCGATGTCCTCTCGCTCAACAACTGGCACCAAGTTCTGTACAGCCATGTCACCCCGCAGCAGACTGCTCCTGAGGAGACTTGGGTCCTGATCACTGGTGGAAACAAGACGTGTTTCGGTACGTATTTGCTCCCTCTGCCTGGCAGTGCAACTGCAATTTATCCTCTGCACTAAAATGCTAACTAATACCTTGCAAAGGCCACTGCGACAGGATCGAGGAAGCCTTCAACCAGACTGCCGCCAAGTTTGCTGTCACCCCCGGCGCACCTCACACCGCGATCCTCAACTGCGAGAACGAGCCTGTACTGTGCAACTCTTGGTCTGCGCCCGCTGGCGCCCTTTGGATCTTCGAGATGCAACCTCAGCCAGCCGCCATCGATCTCTACGCCAAGCGCTTGAACTTGACCACCGTCACGAGCGACGATTTCGTCCAGTTGCAAAAGGACGGCCACAGGGAGTCGAGCAAGCTTCACGACGGCATCTTCCACCCTTTCAATGGTTGGTTCGCCCAGAACGGAGTGTCGACCCTCGTTGGCTACGTGCTCTGGGGCTTCAACCTGGTGCCCAGCTGGCTCTTCATGGTTGTCGTGTCCATGCTTAGCAGGACTATGATGTAAGTTGACCACCAACAAAGGCTTCGAGTGCACGGTATTAACAAATCTCAGGTCTAACCGTGTGAACAACCAACAAGCCGGTGCTCCCCGACCTGCCGCTACCGGTCAAGCTGTGCCCCGATAGACGCCTCGCCCGTCAGACGGCCGCGCTTTGGAACCAAGAAACAGAATTTGAATCAACACAAGGGTTCATTCAGGAAGGAGAACCAGAGTAGTCGTCATCTTCCCAGTTGAAGAGTTGCACGATGCTGGTGCGGGAGAAGACTTTCGGATCGTGTAGTCATAGTTACCCAGTTATTAGTTGTAATGGATACAGTCTGTCGTGGATGTTCACTCGCTCAGCCCTTCCGCTTGCAGACTTGCTGAAAATCTTTGAGGCCATCGATGACCTCGTTCCTGAGCTTGGGATTCGCTAGCCGTCCGTATCGTAGATCGCTCATGCTGCCGACGGTCTGCTTGACGGACTCTAGGAGTGCCGCTTCCTCTTCTTCAAGTCTCTGCACTTGCTGCTCCATGTCCGCCGCCGCAAGGTGCATCTCAGGAAGGATTGTGCGCAAGTCATGTTTCCTCGGTTGGATCGTATTCGAAGTAGGTCCGAAGAGCTGTTAGAAGCGTTGGTGTTAGGTGCATCTGATGGCTATCGACGTGCAGAGCTCATAGAGACACGGGGATATGAAGGAGGAGTGTCCGTGATTTCTCTTGACTTACATTCCTCTCGATTTCTATCTCGTCGTCTATGTCGTCGTCGAGTTCCGCTTCGTGTCTTGCTTGGGCAACCGCCCGGCGCAATGCCTTGCCCCGCTTGACTTCGCTGTCTATGTTGCTGCCGACCAGGTCTACCACGGCATTGCGCTGCTGCTGTAGATCACGATAGAGCGCACGGATCTGGGGAGAAGACTGTTGCGACTTCGGAAAGTACGCGGTGAATTCTTGCAGCGACAGGATGGCAGGAAGCCGGGCCGGTAACAACAAATAGTTTTGCAGTATGGTGGCTTCGTTGGGCGCCATTGTTAGGACTTGTACGTATATCTGCAGTCTGGAGATTGACCCGCGTATAGCTTAAGATCAAGCCAGCCAGCCCAAGGACTACAGTATATCTCGCAGCAAGATAAGACCCGGGGACAATGCACGAGTGCCTACGGATCATCCGTATTGTGCAACAACAATTTGTTGACCGGAGAGGTGTGGTGATATTGAAGCAGGAGGCGTCGGATAAGCAATCAATTAATTCAAGTTTCAGCATTCCACTCTCCGTCCAGGATACGCGACCCCCTTAGCGCCCCCTTTGCAGCGAGAGGGCAGTGAACGCGTCCGAGCGCCACTCATCTCAACTTTGAATGTCCTCGAATAAGGGAAACTGCCGTCGACTTACTATCAATGCATGTTCATACGGACTTGGTAGCAGATGGTGCCTTCTCTGTTCCAGCTTGACAGGTATGATAGAATTTATCGTGATCCCGATCCCTCAATGTGCTCCTTGGCTTCACAGACCCTGACAATCGCCCCAGGACTTTCTCAACACTAACTCAGATCTCACTTGACTTCTGAGCATTTATCAATTTTAACCAGTCGCCGGCCAAGGCGCTCATCGTCGCCAACTTCTATTACCGTTTGAATTATCGTGTAGCCTTCTGTGTTCACTTGAAAACTTTTCCGCTCTGCCTCGGGGAGCTTCTTCAGACCTTCTCATATCTGTCCATCCACAGGAGCAGCCTGCATCATGGCACCTTCGAAGCAAGCACCGGGCCCTCCCTTTGCGAAGGACGAGAAAGTGCTCTGCTTCCATGGTGATTTGATGTATGAGGCCAAGATCACAGAAGTCCGCAGTGCCTCAGATCCCACCAACACCAACTTCGCGACCATCAAGGCAGATGACGCCCAGTACAAAGTACATTACAAGGGCTGGAAGTCTTCCTGGGATGACTGGGTGACTCAGGACCGTATTCGTAAATTCAACGATGACAACAAGGCCCTTGCCGCCCAACTGCAGCAGGCCGCCCGACTTCGCACCGCTGGCGGTTCCAAGAGCGCCAAGAAGGCCATTGGCAAGGCTGTCGGTGGTGTCGATAGCGAGATGAGCTCCGCCCGAGGTAGTGAGGAGCGTGCTGCCACCAATAGCTATGCTGGAAGGGGCCCCAGACGAGGTCGCGATTATGAGCTCGAGAGTGTAAGTCGTCCTTTCTTTTTATCTGTCATTTCTTTTGCGCGTCTAGGCCAAGGAGGAGTCCAATGTACACCAACATGGTATATGCGATGACTATAAACAACAACGCTTTCTTGCTCGGCCTCATAACGGAGAAATTCTGCGTCTGGCAGTTGATGCTGCCTTCGGAAACCCCTCGCCTCGTCTTTGGGTGCCGTCAGGAGAGACCGGGTAGCACATACCGTGCTCGCTTTCCGTAACATATTTTCTGGATAGTACATCTGAACATAGTTGACTACTATCGTGGAATTGTTCGGTGGTGTTGATCAAGTGAGTGAAAGCCTAATGTTCTAACGGACCTTTGCTCATTCGAACAGGTTCATCTGGTCACAGCTCAAGCCAGCCTTCCAAGACGACGATGACTCTCATAGGACGATTCAGACAATGCCCAACAAATATATCAGCCACTGAGCTCCATGTGATCATGAGATCTGCGAAGCAAAACCATGAAATTCCATGCGTAGGCAGACCGGCACCAACACCTAAGGGAATGGCTGTCGAACTACCTGCGCTCGGGACATGGTACCAAACATCAAGGAGTGTAGCTATTAAGCTCCATGCTGGGCCTTCCTTTCTTGGCCACCGGTTTCGACAACACAAAGCACAACATTTCCGCATACCAGACTCACGCTTGGTACCATGAGCGTATATTCACCGCGACGTGCTTCGTTTGTTAGAAACGTCGTTTTTACATCGTCCGCGTCCAAGTCCAACACTTAGGCTGGCCTCACTTGAGCTGCGTAAGTCATCGCCAATGTTACCTACGCCAACCTCCTAGATATCCAGTGCATGTGGTGGCACAATGTGTCGGTCATACAGCCTCGAAACTCGATACTTACGGCAATTATACCTGGCACATATTGATCAGTTATTAAACCCAAGCCTCATCAGCTGGCCTTCACACAGGCGATATTTTTGTCTTTGAGGGCGGTTAAAATCGATGCTGACCTGAACAACACACGAGCATGTGGACTACTGCACAAGTCCTTGCTAGACACAAGCCAACTGTATCTACCAAACTCGGTCCTCACACCATTAACAATACAATCTGGTTGAAGAATCTCTCCCGATACAGTACCCAACACATGTTGCCAGGGATTCGCGGGCGGCTGAAGGTATGGACGTCGTGCTTTGGGACAGGACTGCGACAGGGCGCGTCTTTGTACTTCATTCCTTGAGGTTCAAGCCTAGACGCCTTGGCAACAAAATCAATTTTGTGAGGCTCCTACTAGGCACTTGGGAACTCTTTGCAGTATGCTGCAATTTCGTCACTTTGTTCAACAACTGGGTACAAAGGCCAAGGCTTTGTGGATGGCTTTGGGAAGCGAGTTCTGGCACTGTTCACAGATACCGGCAACAAGGCGTGCAGATTAATGACCCTCCTATTGGCTTTCTTCTCATGACGCTAAAGCCAGCAGTTCGATCTGTTTGTCCATCTTCATACTAGTCAAAGCAACCTGTGTTATTCGGTTGTGACGGGACAACCATCTATCTGCATGCGCCAAAGGCGAAGACCCACTCGGCAACCCTTCAACTCTATTTGGATGCAATAGAGGGCAACATCCTGAGTACCCACCGAGGATTCCCTGTTAGCAACCAACAATCAGTGAAGACCAGGTCTTCTTAGTCGTTACTGCCTTCATGTTGGGGTTTTGGCAGCTGGACAGCCTTTCATCTTGGGTCAGACATCCGGTCATCTTTGATCACAGTATCTGCTTTTCCCTCTCCCACCATTTCATCAAGAAAGAACCGAATAACAACCACGGCGATTGTTTGGTAGTTTGCCTTTGGCCACAATCCCACGCCATCTTCTTTTGGCTTTGGAAACTTTTCCTGGAAAGCATCCTAGCCATTGCAATTCTCTTGAATCTTGTCATTTCGAGACGGAAAGTTTTGCACACATAGGTTTTGCATTATTATTTCACGCGTTCTGCCATTCCCACAAACCATTCCCGCAAACATCCCGCAACACAACTCATATCGATAAACCACACAACCGTGAATCCCACCATGGCTGATGAGGAAGATATTATTCCCAGCTCTCCTCCGCCGATGGATGAGGTGGATTTTCTTGATCCTCCCGTCGTTTCTGAGAGAATCCATAGAGGCAATAACCGCGTCAGACGTGCTTTGCGCCATCGCACTGCCCCTGCAGATGCAGGTACTGTTGAACAGGCAAGTGCTCCCCTTGTTTCACGCCGAAGAACACGAAACTCCCATGGCCGGATTCCGGTTGAGGACGAGATCGGCTTCGAGGCAGCCATGGAGCAAGCTGTAGCAGCATCCCTCAAGGAAAACCACCCCAAGCCAAGCGAGTTCACAACCACCAGTACAGAGGTACCCAACCAGGGGAGCAAGGACAAAGCGTCCCCAGCCAAGGTTAAGACCATGCCGAGTCAGCTCAGGGCCACTGCTAGAACAGATGAGACTGAGGATGGCAGCCACCACGAACCAGCGCCAATGAAAGAAGTTGTGGCGCCCCAGAGAAAAGCTTTAAAGCGAAAAGCTGCTGCCGCCGCTTCAGCATCATCCGGACTGGCACCATCCTCCGAAGAGACCAGAGCCAAGAGGCACAAGCCGGCTATCAACTCAAAGCTGCCATCGTCGTCGAATGCGGTAAAATGGGCGAAAAACCCTCAAGATGACTACACCAAAGCATTCAAGCTCAAAGAAGCTCGATATTTTAAGGCGGGCGCCAGATCAGATCACCTACTTCGACATCCTCCCGGCACCAAAAATATATATGTTGATAAGAAGGGCAGACTACGGCTTGGCTCTAACGATGTTCCTTACCATTTGTTCACGCAGGACAAGCCTATTCACCCCAAGATCAAGCAAGCCAACATGGATGGCACTTTGACGGTGGAGAAGCTGAAATGGTTTAAAGGCATGCCACACCATGTCAACATTCCTGTTGCTGGCATCCCATCTGACAAGCCGTACCGAGGCAAGACCACTCGAACGGCCATTGAGGAACCGACCACCAACAACTCACAGCTTGACATACCCAAGCCCATCGACAAGATGCCGACCACTGATAACTCTTGGCTTGGCAGATCCCAGGCCATTGTCGAGGAGCCAGCCATGGATGAGGCCACCGTCGATGAGCCAATCATGGACGACTCCTGGCTTGGCAAACCCGAAGTTTCGGCTTCCAACATGTTTCGCCTTTTGCAGATTTACACTCCTACTTTGACCTTTGGACATTTGTCATACATATTTCAAGCTGCTAATCTCATTGATTTCAAACAGGAGGATGCATTCCATCAGCGACCGTCGATTAAGATTCCGATGCCTGATCTTTTGAAGGGCCTTCTCGTCGATGATTGGGAGAACATCACCAAGAACAACCAGCTTGTCCCGCTTCCTCACCCCAAACCTGTCACCCTTGTGCTCAACCACTATCTCGAGTACGAGAAGGCCCACCGCGAAGAGGGTTCCGCTTCGATCGATATCCTCGAGGAGACTGTTGCTGGCCTCAAGGAGTATTTCGATAAGTGTTTGGGTCGCATCCTGCTCTATAGGTTAGTATCACATCGTGCTGGGCACTCTTTTGATTTCTCTTGCTAACTTCCTGCCAGATTCGAGCGCCCCCAGTACGCAGAAGTCCGTGAGAAATGGACGGCGGAGGGTTCAGAGTTCCATGGCAAGACCCCCTGCGACACTTATGGTGTCGAGCACTTGATGCGCTTGTTTAGTAAGTCACCTGCACCCCACTAGCCAGTCCTGCTTGCTAATGGTAGCTAGCCGCACTTCCTGAGCTCGTCGCCCAGACCAACATGGATCAACAGTCTGTGAACCGCCTTCGTGAGGAGCTCCTCAAGTTCTGCCACTGGCTCGAGAAGAATGCTGGTGAATACTTCCTGGCAGAGTACGAAGTTCCCAACGCCGAGTATTCCGACAAGGCCAAGAACTAGGGTGAAGAGGAGACTTAGGACTAGGAGGATAGAAGTGGATTGTAACGAAGCAATGACTTGTAATACCCCTACACACCAACTTGCTACCGAAAGGACATGGAAAAAGGGAAGACATAAGGACTGTAACACTTTTCATGTACATGACTCGGGTGATCACACACCGCCGGACAACAACGGAAGCACAGCCGAAAAGAGCTGTGATTCTCATTTCGTTATGCAACTTTCGGTGTCGGTTGTCATCATAAGCACAAATCTCTTGAATCACCAGTAGTGCCTCTTTCAGTCTAGTGAGAGATACGGTAGCATGAACCAGGCCCCCCAAAAAAAAACATAAATGACATCGAGGCCATAGTTTACGTGAACGGTCGAAAAGCATCACACCTGTGATTGACAACACTATCTCTCAGCTGTAGTGAGCCTTCACTACATCGCTCGCTCCTGTGATTCTAACAGTAATTTTCTTTTCTTCTTTACTAAATATTCAGACAAGAAATAACACAAAGGTGCCCCTTATCATAGCGTGCACAGAACATGATGAGAAGTACCATAGCAGCAAGGAGGCTTACGTCTTCCTTTTGACAGGACTTGTTTTCAGGTATTTCTCGACGTAAAGAAATTCCCATCCGCAGTTTGTTCCATCTGTAGACCTTCTTTTCATTTTTATAAATGTAAATAAAAATACACAAAAAAAACCCCCCCTCTCTCCCGCAGAAACCAAACCAACACTATATGTGTCAACAGATCTACCGAGAAGACTGGTGCCAACACAACCAGCACCCGATCCGACACTGCCCCCCCCTTTCCTCTCCCTGGTCCCCGGCCTGGCAAACAAAACTCCGCCACATCGCCACCGTCCTCTGCCTGGACCCGGGCGAGTGCGTGGCGCACTTCTTTGGAAACGAGCTTGGGGAGCGGGTGGTGGTGGTGGTGGGATGATGGCTAGGCACTGGCGCAGGGAGCCGAGGAGGCGTAGGATGAGCATGATGGATCTGGTTGTGCTGGGGAGATACATGTATTCAGGTAGATATGCTTGGGCATGTAAAGGCTGATGCTGGAGCACGGCTAGCTGGGTCCTCAAGTTCACTGTGCCTGTGGTATGAGGTAGTTTGTGTATGATACAATGCTTGATTTTTATGTACAGATTGTTGTACATGGGAGTTGGTACGGGTGTTGCAGAGGCAATGGACCTTGCCACCCCCATTCTCCATACCACGGCTTGCCGGCTACTTTCCACCTTGTGCCTGGCAATCCAAAAGCAACTGTTCAAGGACGGAGGAGCACCTCGCATGTCCTTCACGGACTCATAGCCCATCGCTCACCAGCCAATCCGTCTCTCTCTCTCTCTCTCTCTCTCTCTCTCCCCCCCCTTCTCTCTGCCTCTCTTTCGTTCCCCAGTCCTAGTTTTCCTGCGCGGGTTTTACACGTTGTTCTCCCTGAACGGCCTCACCACGCCGACCCTCGTGGCCGGGGTCTCAAGCCAGAACCCCCTCTCGGGCCTCCTCTCGACGCGCATCTCCTTGGAGTTGAGGGCCTTGTCGACCTCCCGGACCGTGACCAGCTCCTTGACCTTCATGATCATACCGGCGAACTGGGGCGTGACGGGGTGGAAGACGGTCTGGGTCCTCTTCCGGAGGCCCAGGGCGGCGAGGACGCCCCGCGTCCGCTCGGGCAGACCGATGGCGGAGCGGTGCAGTTGGATGCGGAAGAAGGACATGGCGACGATGCTGCGCACTGTAGACGAGTTGCCGCTTGTGTTTCTCTGGGAGATAGCCCCCTTTTGGTTGCAGTCTGGTTCCTGGTGGTATGTATGTAGTCTAGCCGGTGGTGGTCCGTATTCCGGAGTTTGGATTATCCTCAGTCTACACCACAGATCAATCAGCCATGAGATCCCGTCCCAAATTCCAACATCCGTCGCTTCCCGCGAATCGTGCCCAGTTCTGGCACCGCCGAGTAAGAGCCAGGCGAAGCGACCCACAACTGGCCCCTGAACATTCGTCGCAGAACCTGGGAAAGGCTGAGTGGAAAACTTACGAGCAGCCCAATATGCTTATTGCTTAGCTCCTTCCGCCGTGTTATCTCGTCTAGTCAAGCCGTGGTGCTTTTCAACTATGCTGCCGCTTCCAAGATCTGTGAGGTCCCGAATTGAGTGTCGCGAACTTTTGGCCGAGCTCAAGGCTTATCGCTTATCAACAGAGGTGGGCCCTTTTTTCTTCTACTGTATGTACATATTCTACCTAGGTTAGTACTACGCCAACGCCCCCCCTTGGTGTGCAGGCTGCTGCTTTCTGCTCACACCCCAAGCTCTCGTTGAAATGTCAACGCCCATGTCCAAGTGCCAACATTAGACTGGACAAAACCCATGGTATTGCGGCAGAGGTAGAAACTATGCAGAATAGTTGTGTAATGTGCTCCGGCGGCGTGCCACATATGCTTATTTTTATTGGGCGACTCGATTCAAGCACGGGAAGCCGTGCATGCGCAGTATGAGATGCTTGACTAACAAGGACGACTTGACAATATATCATGAACTTCACTCTTCTATTATCCCAGGCTCATATCGGCCCAAGTCATCGAAATGCTATATCTCATCATTTCATGCAGGATGATCGCGTAGAAATCTAGTTATCGCGTTCCCCCCATCCAATCCGTTTCGGTGACGTAAAGCAGAGCTCCCATTTTCCCTCGCACAAATTTCATTCACTTATACACAGGCCCCCCGTCACTGTTTATTTGACGGAAACCTCAACTCGACCCTCACCGACCGGCCCGGCACCCGCAAGGGTGGGCAGCAGGTATGTGATGTCATCCCAAGGATGTCTGTAGAGACCAGTGCGGAGTCTCTTCTGGTCCAGGTAGTGGGCAATCAGACCGATGCTGCGACCCAGCACGAACAGACCGTTCAGGACACCCATGTTCATGTAGTCCTCAGCCTCCTCGGGGCTGAAGGCACCACAGTTGCGCATGAGATCAACGAAGCACACGGCAATGCAACCGTCAACGTTCAGGATCAGGTTGTCCTTCTTGGATGTGGTCACGGTCTCGACGGCAAGAGCGTAGTCGAGCAGCTTGTGGCTGGGGAACTTGGCCAACACGTACTCCTTGACAAGCTCGACACGGAGATCGGGGTTGTTCCTCGACTTGATACGGTGACCAATACCGGGGATGAGCTTGTTCTGCTTGCGCATAATGTCTACGAAGTCACGAGGGGTGAGACCCTTGTCCGAGGCCGACGAGAACTCCTGAGCGGCACCGTCAAGGGCACCACCGAATCGAGAACCAATGGTGAGAAGACCGGCGACCAGGGAGCTGATCAGGTCCTTGCCGGCACGGGTAGTGATGATGGTGTTCATGGCACCAGACACGGCGGGACCGTGGTCAGCAGTGAGCATGAGAACCATCTCCAAGAACTTGGTGGCGTAGTCGGGCAGACGACGACGGAACCACAGAAGAGACATGACACCACCGATACCAATGTCCTCCCTGAAGACGTCCGAGATGGGCATGCCGGCGTACAGAAGCTCTTGGCCACGGTCGTCGGAGATGGTGGAGATGAAAGCAGCAGGCTTACGGATGAGGCCAAGCTCCTGAGCCCACGAGTAGTCGAGGGGAATCTTGGGAACGACAGGCTCGGGCTGGGGAACGATGGTCTTCTCGTTGAGCAGCTTCTCGTAGACCTTCCTGAGGGTTACGGGCAGGTCCTCGAAGGTGTCAGGCACGTGGATACCGGCCTCCTTCATCTGCTTGTTCTTCATGGCAGCTGTCTCGAGCTGGGAGTTGGCAAAGGAACCAGCGTGACCGAACTGGACCTCGGTCTTGAACATGCTGGCGCAAGTACCAATAGCCCAAGCAACAATGGGCTTGGTGATGACACCCTTCTTGACGGCCTCAATGACCTTGTATTCCTCAACACCACCAACCTCACCAAGCAGGACCAGAATCTTGCAGGAAGGGTCGGCTTGGTAGCGGAGCATGTGGTCAATGAAGGTGGTGCCGGGGTATCTGTCACCACCAATGGCAATACCCTCGTAAACACCGTCTGTGTTCTGGGCAATGATGTTGTTCAGCTCGTTGGACATACCTCCAGACTTGGAGACGTAACCAACGGAACCCTTGCGGTAGAGCTTGGAAGCAACAATGTTGTCCATCATACCACCAGTGTTACCGATCTTGAAAGCACCGGGCTTGATACCACCAACAGTGGCCGGTCCGATGATTTGCACACCCTTCTTGCGAGCGACATGGGCAATCTCTCGTGCACGCTGTGTTTGTGTTTTCTTGTCAGTACTGCGGTTCAAATCTCGCCGCGAGGGCATCTCGGGAGGGTTCTGCTTACACGCTCAGGCACACCCTCAGCAATGATGGCGATGGTCTTGATCTGGGGGTATTGCATCAACTCCATGGTTGAGGTGTAGACACTTCGCGAGGAAGCAAAGTTGACAACGACATCAACGTCGGGGTGCTTGGAAATGGCCTTCTCGACCTGCTGGTAGACAGGCAGAAGGGTCTCGCTGGTTCCCCAGTACATCTTGCTGACGAACTGGCCACCGAATGTGTAGATGATACCGGCAACCGAGGGAGTGGCCCGCTTGCAGATGAAGTCGAAATCCAGCATGCCCTGGACGGCACGGGGCTGCAGACCGTAGACGAGACATCTCGTCTTGTCGCTGAAGAGGGCGTGCTCGGGGAGAGGGCTCAGGGGCCGGCTGGGCGCAGCGAACCGTGTGATGTTGTCGTTGGCGGAAAGACCACCAGAGGTGCCGTTGACACCGTTGGCCGGAGTAGACATGTTGAATATGATATAGTCGGATTCTCTGGTTCTGGCGATGGCGCACTTGTTAGTCACAAATCGTTGCCAATGGGGAGACGTTGGGATTCAGGTGTGTAGGGTTTCGGGTGGTGGGAGCGCAAAGCAAAGCGAAGCAAAGCAAAGCTATTCAAAAGTTGATGACAAGCAAGTGCGGTTGAACCAAGAGCGATTTCGAGTGTCCGCTCGAGGATGGCGTGTTCTCTGCTCGACAATTGCTTTCTAGGGGCTATGCCGCTCAAGGGGTTCAGATGTGAGGAGTGGATTTGCAAGTAGTACAGTGCCCAGCAAACCGCAATTCCAGAAAACCCGAGCCTTCGGGGTGTTTTCTGCAACTGGGTGATCTCTGCATATACCTCTAGAAGAAGAAAATCCTTCCTCCCTTCCTCCCCCTCGGGCTTCGGGGTCACACCCCGAGTCTGGCATTGGCACTGATGACGGGGGGGACGCAGGACGGGTGATACGAGTAAGAAAGTGGGCGGGAATGAGTGACATACCTTTACTTGTCTGCAGGCTTACTGCTGTCAGATGCCTTGATCAGAGTAACACACTATGACCAGTTCGAAGCAATGTGGTGTGGCAGCTTCAGAGAAAAGTGAATGTATCACGGAAGGAATGTTTCAATGGAGGAAGTGGAATCTTTGAGTGTCGAGCTTTTTTTTTTTCTTCTCGAGTTTGAAGTGGAAGCGACAACGGGAGGGACTTGGGCAAAGCAAGGACGCACAGATCAATGCAAGACAGACTGGCTTTTGGACTTGGGTTTTGGACTGGGACTGGATCAGGGAGAGTCGCGAGGGCCCGCCAGGAACAGCTGGAGCTCTTGCTTTGTGCTAGTGTTGGAATTGCGGATGCCACACTTTTTTTTTTCTTTGTCTTTCCTGTTCGGCGTTGCTGAGAACGTACAACAGTGGCAGGCTCGGCGCGTTCTAGCGGTCGGAATAGTTGGGGTAAATTTGTCTGGTCTGTTGAATGTGCTTCGTAGGCTTTTGCAGAGGATCGGAGGTGGCATTGAGCATTGTTGACCCAGTTGTTAGCCAAATTGGAGCCGCGATTTGTCGAGCTGCACCCGATGGAGCACTGAACCCAATCGAACCCCTCCATGACCCTGCTGATCATGGACGCTTCGCAGTCGCGGGCTGCAGGCTGAGGGGTGTTAGCAGCAGCCTAGCAGCGGCCTAGCACCAGCCTAGCACCCTTTTTCGCTGCCACTCTCGCCTGTTTGGCTGCCCGCTAGCTCGCCATAGGGTCCAGACATCCCCTGTTCCCGCCTTTTTGGTGGGGACTCCAGATTAAGGTACCGGTACCTGCCCGCGTAGCGGCACCCAATCCTGCACTTTCCCATCCCACCACGACAATACTGCACAGTACTGCGTACTATTCTAAGCTTTCAATCCATTAGCAAATCAGACCACATAGTCCCCCTCCCTCCCAGCACCTCATTCTCAGAAATTCGACGTCTTTCCAAGACAGCTATCTTCTGCAGTAAGACATCTATCTTACTGCAGAAGATGAATGCACGATCATAGTAAGCCGAAGGATTCATGAAGATTAAGCAAGAACTATCTCATGGTAACCGAGGCAATGTGCAGAATGCAGAAGGTGTGCTGGTTGTGATGCCAGCTCAAGAATACGCTTGTTCATCTTGCCCATCTTTGCAAATTGGATACTGTTGTAAAGTGGACCGATCAATTGATGGCGCCGAATAATAGTATGTACTCAACTTGCCCTGCGTTTCTGACCTCCGTATTTGGGAAGTTGGCCGGGCGATACCCAGAGGAGATAGGAAAGAAAGGAAGAGAGGAAAGGAAACTGAACACCGTTGCCGGATCGTCCCCAAATGTCATGTCCGATATCCGCAACACCTACGTATTGTTTCAACCTCAACCCATCACTAAAACACACCTGACATGGCCGGAATGCAATGTTCAACACCTTTTCGGAAGTCAGAAGAGGTGATGCTCCAGTGCTCAATCGGCTTTGACAGGCATGAGTGCATAGGCGAGTAAGGAGCATAGATAACGCAGACCCACCACGTGAATCCTTTGCGACAGAGTAAGAGAGAGTTGTATGGCAAGTAAATTCAGCGACAGGTGATTTCAAGGCTTGGGGAGGTTGCGCAACTGCCACATCCGGCCCCGGCCCCAGATACGTAATAACGTAGAACGTATGATGGCACTCCGCGATGGGTCCATATGTGATTAGGGAAACCTTGATGCTATACTCGACTTGGAGGATGCATGCGTGGGAATACACAGTATCAGATACTCCAGTCCCGACAGGAGGTGGTGGTCCGGGTAGTAAACGGGAACAGACGAGCTCGGACGCCGACAATTCATGCACAAGTAGTACGGAGCAGTGTTGTTGAAAGACAATTTGTGCTGTCGGTCCTGTCTCCGTTAGGTCCGAACGGGGTGAAGCAACGCTTTCTTGCTGTTCACTTTGCAGCAGGGCATTGCATCGTATCCGTCGGCCCCCGAAAATAAGTGGCCATTGGAAGACTCAATGAGAAAGGCCCCTCCCCAAGTGTTGACGTTGGGGTACCGGTACTTTGCGTATTGCTGACTGGGCAATTAGTGGCATGGCAGCGCCAGCCCAGCAGGATCTCCCCCCCAATAGTTTTTGGGCGGTAAAGGGACTGGAGACTAAGCACAGGTACGGGGCAGACCGATCCTGCTTAGTGTCCCCTCCAAAGCAATCTGCATCCCACCTTTTGTGCAACCCTTGAGATGCCCAGCCTAAGACACACCCGGGCAGAAATTAGAATCCAGGTGGGAAGCCAGAAGCACACATAGCATTCGGGCCCTGAACAACTGGCGGAGCTTAGATCTGAACCTTGGAAATTTTTGAAAGTCAATCCCCCGTTCTCGCTGCACTCACTCAAGTCTCAGTCCCAGTCTCAGTCTCAAAGAAAACATCTTCCACTTGGAGTCTTTTCTTGACCTTCCACTTGATTCCGAGATTCTTGCTGCAGTCATCTGCTCTTCCCCTCCTAGTCGCATTGCAAACTGCCCGCTCCGGAACTACCTGGTAGCATTTCCAAGAGGTAAGCCGTCATCTCGCTCGACCCCAGCTTTTGCAGAGAGTACATGCGATAGTCGGCCACCAGAACTTCTGCTTCAACAACTTTGTGAAGCCCGTGTTTGTTAGGCTGGCAGCTGCAATCGCTTCGAGAGAGCTTTCCCCGAGGGCTCAGTTGCTAACCAGACAGCAGAGAACTGAAGAACTCCTTCTCTACACGATCTTTTTTGGACAGTAACTGAACTGTTCACGTACCTGCGAATAGCTTCCTTTTCCCACACAAACCATCACACAACATGTCCGCCAAGTCCATCCTCGAGGCCGACGGCAAGGCCATCCTCAACTACCACTTGACCCGGGCACCGGTGATCAAGCCTACTCCCCTCGCCAAGTCCACCACCCACAATGCTCCTCCCAGGCTCGCATCCCTCTACTTCCCTGAGGATGCCGATGTGAAGGCTGTCCTGGACCAGGCTGAGGTTACCTACCCCTGGTTGCTCCAGTCCGGAGCCAAGTTCGTCGCAAAGCCAGATCAGCTCATCAAGCGCCGTGGTAAGAGCGGCCTCCTTGCATTGAACAAGACCTGGCCCGAGGCCAAGGCTTGGGTTGCCGAGCGTGCTGGTAAGGAGCAGCAGGTTGAGCACGTCCGTGGCGTCCTCCGTCAATTCCTCGTCGAGCCTTTCGTTCCTCACCCCGAGGGCACTGAGTACTACATCAACATCAACTCCGTGAGAGAAGTGAGTAAATCCCCTTGAAATTCATTCAATCCGCATTCCCATCCGTAATCCCGAAGTGTCTCTCCTCGGAAAACTGGTTTCGGTCAACTCGTGGATGAGGACCAACCAGTGAGGTGAAAAGAAAGAAAAAAAGAAGGCCAGCCACCGAGAGTTGAGAGAGTTTCTCGACATTGTGTAATGCACAATAACTCTGTGTAAACTCTCGTCGCTCCTTGGGAAAAGAGAGAAATTTGTTCGTTTGATGGTAGACAAAGATCGGGGTGGTTTTATGAACCAAATGGTTTTGTGGCATTTGGCTGCACGCATTTGCGTTATCTGGCTTCGGCGTCTATCAACCGAATCCGATGCCTTGCATTTGCGGACGAACGGAAACTAAACCACTTTGTTCGGCATCCACTTGGCACATACACCCACTTTCCGCATCAAGACATGCGTGGTCTGCATCACCCAATACCCCTGATCACGTTATACTATACTACAACTTGGACCTAAAATATCATACTAATTTCTTGCGTCAACAGGGTGATTGGATTCTTTTCACCCACGAGGGTGGTGTCGATGTCGGCGATGTCGACGCTAAGGCAGAGAAGCTTCTGATTCCTGTCGACCTTTCAGAATATCCTTCCAACGAAGAGATCGCAGCAACCCTGCTGAAGAAGGTTCCCCAGGGTGTGCACAACGTCCTGGTTGACTTCATCTCGCGACTGTACGCTGTCTACGTCGACTGCCAGTTCACCTACCTTGAGATCAACCCCTTGGTCGTCATCCCCAACGCCGACGCCACTTCCGCAGATGTTTACTTCCTGGATCTCGCTGCCAAGCTCGACCAGACCGCCGACTTCGAGTGTGGTGTGAAATGGGCCGTTGCCCGATCGCCCGCCGCTCTGGGTTTGGCCGCTCAGTCGAGCGCAGGCACAGTCAGCGTTGATGCTGGCCCGCCCATGGAGTTCCCTGCTCCTTTCGGCCGTGAGCTGACCAAGGAGGAGGCTTACATCGCCGAGTTGGATGCCAAGACTGGTGCTTCTCTCAAGCTCACCGTCCTGAATGCCAACGGCCGTGTATGGACTCTCGTCGCTGGTGGTGGTGCTTCCGTCGTCTACGCCGATGCCATTGCCTCGGCTGGTTTCGCGGACGACCTCGCCAACTATGGTGAGTACTCTGGTGCTCCCACCGAGTCCCAGACTTACCACTACGCTCGCACCGTTTTGGACTTGATGCTCCGCGCCCCCGTGGACAGCAAGGGCAAGGTTCTGTTCATCGGTGGTGGTATCGCCAACTTCACCAACGTTGCTTCCACCTTCAAGGGTGTCATCCGTGCTCTGCGTGAGTACGCCAAGCAACTCAACGAGCACAACGTCCAGATCTGGGTACGACGTGCCGGTCCCAACTACCAGGAGGGTCTCAAGAACATGAAGGCAGCCACCCAAGAGCTGGGTCTCCAGGCTAAGATCTTCGGCCCTGAGATGCACGTCTCTGGTATTGTGCCCCTGGCTCTTGTCCCTGGCAGATGGGAGGAGGCTCAAAAGCTGGGTGTCACTGAGTTCCAAGCATAAGCGAAATTATACAGTTTAGATGAGCAAATTTTGAAGGCCTCAGGAAAGCGGGTAGCTTCCAGGGCTGGCACGGTTATGTACGTTGATGATCAAACGGGAATCGAACTAGGCCACTCACAAATAGAGTGGTGACTCGGATAAGGAGCAGCGTTTGGTTCTGTCTGGGTTTAGAGGAATGGCTACAGTAAAAAAAAAACTGTGAATAGACCAATTTGTAATATGAATGCATTGCGATTGTCCTAAATTTCTCAAGACGACTTGGAAATTTCTGCAATTCTTTTGACACGTGTTTCACAGCAAGACGATCATCGGTGATTTCATTGTTAGTGGGGTGGACAAGAAAGATACGAGAAGAAGTGCTAAGAGACTTTAACAAATTCTTGCAAAACACTGGAAAAGATACCGATAAGCATATGCAGAAGGCAAGATCACTTTGCAGAGGCCTATTTTATGTAGAGCCTGGACTTGTGTGCGAGTGAACAGTACACCGAGGTCATCGCCGTGGTCTGATAAATGCTCGTTTGTTCTCTAGGGGTTGCTCGCAAGATAAAATCATACAAGATTTTTTCCTGCTGAGCATTTCACCTGAAGGGCCAGGAACATTATCGTGGTCCTAAAGACCTCGGTGCACGTGCAACGGCCAAGTTGAAGGAGTGGTCATGCTTTCACCCACGCATGAAACCAGGTGATCCACAACTGAGACTCGAATAGAGGAGCGCAGAGAGCAATCGCCGGGAGACATGGGCTTAATACACGTAATCGCGTAGGATATGTTTCAGACGAAGTTGTCCGTATCGTTTATTGGCGTGTATATACAAGCAAATCTGTCTCAATGCGGACTGTACAAGAAAAGAAATGACCAAGCAGAAACATGGTTTTTGCGGTTTGTTTGCCTGATGTATACATAGTATTACAGGAGACCGCGGTTCTTCACGCCTCGTCTAGAGGCTAGATGCTGCGACTCGACTCGTTCGAGGGTTTTCAAGCTTTTGGGGGGCATTGGCGCCAGTGATGAGACCTCGAGCGGAGGTTGGTTGTAGAAAATTGGGTCATAGAGCCCGAAGAGTGTACCGACCTGAACGTGGAGGTGCTTGAGCTGGGAGAACTCTGATAGGCAGCGAAGGTGATGTGCGGAGCTAAGATCATATCGTATCACTCCCAGACATTGAAAGTCGAGGTGCAAGCATTCAACCTTTTCTGCGGAATTTGCTAGTCGCCGGTCGATGCTTAGTCTCCGCCCCCATTACTAGATAAAAGGATTGTGGCAAGACAGTTACATAATCAGACTCTTTACGTGGTTGAATTATTCTAGAGCTTTAAGGCTATCTCTAAGATCCAAAGGGTCCATTATCATGTGTTCGGAAACACGTTTCCCTCTGGTACCGTACAACGGGCTTTTGAATCTCCGGGCCACCGGGGTCGCCCAAAGTGTCGATAGAAACCAGAGCTGAGCACAACCCGCTGGAGACACATAGGACACTGGAAAAATTGTCGATCAGCCTCATCTGTTCATAGAGTAAATGACTGGAGAGCTCCGGCGTAACAGGTTGCGAACGTCGCACCCAGGACAAAGCAAAAAAGACTGCAACAAATTCACCCATGACGCCACCAAACTGGATGCCGTAAATGTTTACAATCGGTTGTTGGCTAGGCATAATACATTAAATAAGAGAAAAACTCTTACGGGTTCATCTGCAGCACAAAGGCCAAGTTCTTTCCCTAACATGCGACTATTGATAGAAAACTTTGCTCGCCGAGAACCTGCTCCATGTCAAAGGCAATGTCGAGGTAGAGGACTAGAGGTCGCAACTCTGGATTCTCAAGCAGAGTTCGAGTTAGCAGGACCAAAACGCTAGTCAAAACAGCGAGATTAGCCTGCTGAATAATCTTTTCAGGTAGACATCCTTGGAAGTAACTAGATTTAAGCCATCCTACATCAAGTTTTCGTGTAGCATCTAGGGTTCTAGCAGAAGAAAGAAAGAAAAAGAGGAGGGAAAGAGAGGGAGGGAGGAAGACAGTGTCAACTTCGTGTACTTGCTGTCCAAGACTACTACCACACGATGCATCAGAGGTCGACTGGTGGCCTCAAGCCCGTATTTATGTCGAATTTAGTCCGCCAATTGCCCGCGCCGTGCTGAAGATATATACACATTTCATGGTCACTTAGATAAGGCGCGCAAGTTTCGTCGTCTCCAAACCATGGAGCATTTGGGTTATCCATCACTGTTAAAATGACTGACCCAGTATATTTTCGTGCGATCCGTCTCCAATTTATTATTATGACTTGTTTGAGAATTTGGGAGGTTACTACCTTAGTGTCGATGACGGTAGAATGAGGACTTTAACGATTATAGGAGAAACGATGTGCTGGGAAGAAAGTCCTTGACAGAGAGGCTACTCGACTCGGGAACGAGATTACTTACCAAGCGGAGGTACTAAAAGACTTGAAAGAAGAGAGAATCTAGCCATCAACTCCCAATGACCAGAACAATGCTTGAAGAAGATCTCTCATGCGTAACAACATTTTTAGGCAAAACAAACCCCACATAGAACTAAGAACTTGAAGCAAATACAAAATCTGATAGTCTTGAGGAATACCCGCGATGCTGATGTAGACAGTAGAATTGAATCGGAGGATGGTATCATTATTAGCGAAAGGTAATCAAAACGTACTGGCGGTTAGAACGAAACGATGTCCCCACCACCTTCAGCGGATATCGAATCAACAAAACACCCATCCGATTGCGCTGAGTATTTTCTGAGCTCAAAGTAGAATAACAGCATTATACCGCACTGGTCAAGCTCCTCAGGGTAAGTACACGACCAGATCCAAGCGGAATACGAAATTCAACTCAAGTATCCTTCCGGACATTGGATCTTCTTTGAGAAATGAACAAAACCGATAATAAGATCACTCTAAACCAGCCGGCATGAAATTTCAATTGCTCCACAGGGACGAGCAATACTTTGAGATTCTCAAAAAGATTGTTGTAGGAAGGAAACACGGTCTTGCTGAAACCTAAGTAAAACTATCGGCTATATTCTCGAGAAAAAGTGGAACAAGCCATTGGCTGCAGCGGAAATTTACGCTGATTTCCTGTCAATTCGAGATCACACTTGCATTTCTCCGAAGGACCACCAGGCACCGGGAAAACCAACAATGCAGAAAAACGGGTTGAATCTTCTACAAAATGGGCATACTAACGACTCATGAGATTGTTAAGTGCTCGGCAAATGAATTGGTTGGACAGGACGTCAGTCAGACTGGCCCCAAAACAAGGATGGTCTCCGAGAAAGCCCTCGGCAAGGTGCTCTTCATTAATGAAGCTTACAGATTGTCCACCGGAGATTCTATGCAGTACCAAAAATACATTGAGGACTGTTTCTCAAGATAAAAATCGACTGCGTCTTGGAGCAATGCTCGAACTGTTCTGTCAATGGCAAAATATGACTTCAACCAGACTATATTAGCGAAGGAGACTTGGCGGTATCATATCGACCCTACCCAACGTGCTAGATGAGCGACGAAAGTGAGCGGGGGCTCAGAAAAAGCTTCCGGCCAGTCCTCTGATGTAAGATAGGAACGGAAATTGGGGGCCTGATTTGAGCTTTGTGTGTCATGTTTGAGGTGATGGACTTGAGAGTTTGATCGGTTTCTTACGCGTGTTGTGCAGTGAGTGGTCGTCAGTGTGGATTAGAGCGGCCTGTTTCCAAAAGAAGTCGCCCCACTTTCAGCAATGGCTTGTTGGTGGCGGCGTATTGTAGCTTCAGTCTAAGCTTATTTCAGCCGCTAAACGACCGTCGGTCGTGGGTTAGGGAGTCATACGGATGTAATCAAAGGACATATACTACGTTGCCCACATGGTACTCGTCAGCAGTAATATAGTTACGTTCGAGCCTGCTCCATTCAAGATAACGAAATCATGCAGCATCACGCCAGAGCACAACGGTTTTTGAATCGACATGGCTGTTCAATGGGTCACACCGCGTGAGCCAAAAGCCATATCCCAGGTTGCTTGCGAATATCGTCGTAATGACCTTGTGCCTGATTTCCCAATACAGAATCGACATGTTGTATCGTTGGTCCATAATGCACCATTTCCAAGTAATGAGAGTCTTTTGGAGTTGGTTGTGATTACGCACACTATACTGGTATAGTCATCCAGAAATGCTGGAGCCTAAGGTATCTACGCGTTCCTACAACTCTTGCCCCACAACTAGTTCCCTATGAATAGGCCCACCCGTCGCATGGGGGAGCCGCATAGAGGCTCAAAAGTCAAAGCGAGTTAGAGCCGTCTAAATTGGTAGTGAAATCATAAATGGCCATTCAATCTCTTGCCCAACTTGCCTCGAGGCAACCATTGAAGAAAATGGGAGACAAACCCACCAGCAAACTCCCCGCAAAGAACCCCACTACCTCTTACTGGCTCACCCAACCTCATCATTTGGCCTCATATCGCTCGTCCGAAACCACACCAGAGGAGGTCGATGTCGCCATAATCGGTACCGGTCTGGCTGGGACTTCCATAGCCTATCATATCCTGTCGCAAAGCGAGAATGGCTCCGAACCAAAAGTCGCTTTGTTCGAGGCTCGGCAAGCCTGTTCAGGGGCAACTGGAAGAAATGGTAAGTAGTTCCCGTCGAGATCTTTCTTTGATGTTGGCCGTCTGACATGGTTGGGATTTCAGGTGGCCATGTAAAGGTGCAGGTTCCATCCCTGCAGCGTGTTTCTAAGAAATACGATGCCGCCACAGCGCAGGAACTCTTCTCGTGGGTTTCGTCTCAGCGCATAGCTATCAAGACCACAGTGGAGCAGGAGGGCATAGACTGCGACTTGCTCGTCACGCGTTCATTTGATGCCTATTTCGATGCTGCACAGGCGGCAGAAGTAAAGGCGTTCGTGGAAGAGCAGCGCCAGTCCGGTGCTACCTGGACCCAGGACGTCCAATGGTTTGAAGGTCCAAATCTGGAAAGAGTGAGTTTCTCAGCCCTTCCAATATGGCTGCAACTACTAATGCATTCCAGAATACCGGGATCAAAGGTCTGGCGGCGGCTGCAAGCGTCCCGGTTGTGTCCCTATGGCCGTACAAATTTGTTACTGCCCTTCTGGAGAGAGCTGTCGAGATGGGCGCATTTCTGTACACAGAAACTCCTGTAGAAGCTGCAGAGACTGGTGACGACGGTATCGTCACCCTGAAGACGTCGCGCGGAACCGTGAGAGCCAAGAAGGTCATATACGCAACCAACGGCTACACCTCTGCTCTGCTGCCACAGTACGAAGGTGTCATAGTGCCCGTGCGGGGACAGAACTCCATCTTAGTGCCTCTAGCCAAGTCGCATCATCCGCACCCCTCCAACACGTGCAACCTGTTCCACTCTCCTAAGGCGGTGGACTATCTCATTCCGCGGCCAGACGGAAACATCATCCTTGGCGGCGGCACGGCGGCGTATCGCAAGGACATGGAAGACCGGAACCCGAAGTGGTTCGATACTGTCGACGACACGACGCTGATCAACGAGAGCGTGAAGGCACATTTCGACAGGACGATGGCCGAGTGCTTCCGTGGGTGGGAGGACGCGGAGGCAAGAGCTGCCATGACTTGGACAGGAAGTGAGTTGTTCTTTCTCTCCTCCCGAGAATGAAACTGGGTTTTTTTTTTTGGAGAAACAAAATTGCTAATCACGCTGCAGTCATGGGATATACTCCTGATGGTGCACCACATATGGGTCGAGTGCCAGGTACCGAGAACCAGTGGATCTTGGCTGGCTTCAACGGGGGAGGCATGTCCTTGATATTTACGGCGACTCAAGAAATTGCCCGCATGGTGCTTCAGGGAATCGAGCTGGAGGAGACGAGTATCCCAAAGATATTTAAAACGACCGAAGACAGACTAGAGACGAAATTCGCTTGATCATGCGAGTTTGTCCCCCAAATTCAACATAAAGAGGTAATCCAGTCAGAGGCCTGGCGCCCTGGAAAGGTTTTCTTGCTTGTCGGAGGTCCGCTAGACAGATATGCACACAGGTAGCTAATGTTTCTTTACCTAATAAATAACAACATGGAACATATGTTTGCTGCTTTCTTCAAACTCTTTAGAAGGCTGTCCATTTATGGCCATGCAGGAGCTATGCCATCTCATGTAATTAACAGTGACGGTCTCCGAATGCCATAAACTTAATTGTCGACAGTACTCGGACTGCACTCATTGTAATGGCCATATATCTAGTGCCGATGAAGGGTGGGCTGCAGACGGAACGGGGGGTATGTCACATCTACCGGGCTGGGTCGGCTAAAACAATGGACCGTCCTGACCACAGCCGCAAGCCCAGATACATTACCCGGGCAATATGACGCTCAACCCCAACTGCCGGATTTGAGGAGGGAGACTACCAAGTGAAAGTTCGCACAGTAAAATTTAAGCTTATTTAGTCATATGGGATCTTCTGTCCAATCAACGAGCGAATGGTATATTGAGGCTAATTCAGGGGGTAGTGGTGGTAAGGGGGAGGGCGGGTGGTCTACAGAAAAGAACTGGTCTTGGCGGAACCTGGGGTACATGAACCGGATTTATAATATCGACCAATCAAACATCCAGCCGGGCGGACATGGGCCAGAAAGGACGAATGCCAAACTGGTCTTGTGTGGATCTAGCTCTCCATCGGCATGGACATGCCTGGCAGCTCCTTGATCCCTATTGTGCACAATGTCAGCCATGTTTCATTGAAATAAGCCAAATGATGACTAGTGATGCTGATATAGATAAGAGGAAAAAATTATGAAAGAAGGTAAGAAGATAAAACAATACTTACAGCCGTCATGATCCTCATTCACGACCTTCTGGACGGCACACTTGGAGCCATCGTTGATCTGCTGCGTCTTGAGGTTGGCACACTTGGCGCCCATGCAGTTGGAGGTGTCCATGGCCTTCTGCAGGGCGTCGCCCTTCCAGCCAAAGACGTAGTCAGCGTGCTGGCCCAGCCCCGTGTTGTCGCCCGTGCTGAGGTAGAAGGGTTGCGAGCCGTCCGTCGGCCAGTCGTTGGCGTTGTTGAACGGCGTCGTGTCCCACACCACCTCGTACATGAGCTGCGGGATCCGGACGGGGTGCGTCGACGGGCACGCGCCGCCCAGGGACAGGAATGTCGCTGGTCCGCTGACTGGGTAGGCTACGTGCGACTTGTGGTCCGGGCTGTCGAGGTTCTTGCCGTCCCAGCAGCTGTGTGTCAAGGTCAGTTTTATGAAGAGGTTATCTGAATTTCTGCAAGGGTTCACTCACGTGGGGAAGTGAATATTGGACCGAATTCCGCCCTTGCATTGCTTTGCTGGCAACTTCTCGGTGTCGAGACTTTGAAGGTCAGTTCGAAACTCATAGGAGGATGTGTACAATCGATGGATACGTACGTGGCATCCTGACAAGGAGCAGAGACATCGCCTCCATAGTTGGGGCCCGTGTAGCACCGGTAGCAGTTTTGCTTCTTCAGGGTTGTGTCGGGTCTGGAGCGCTGGAGAGGGTCGCCGACAAGCATGCGGAACCCCTAGAAAGAAAGCACCCAGTGATTAGCCATACAAACGTAGGCCACGAAACATTGTGCTCAGTTGACTTACAGGCTTGAAGGCCGTGATGCTGCCGGGCTGGGCGGAGACGTAGTATACGAGGATACCATCGGCCATCTTGTTGCTGTATGTGTCGCTGAATTGCAGCCTGTGGAAGTGTCAAAATGGGGATGTCACAATGGAGGTCTCGTGAGCGTCAAACATACGCAGCACCACGCTGGGGAACGCGCTTGTAGGTCCCGTTACGGGCCTTGAAGTACAGGTTTGCTGTCCAGTAGTTGGAGAAGTCGTCTGCGAACGAGCAGGTAGTGCAAGTAGCCGTGGTCGAGACATCGCTCGTCGTCATGGAAGCGTTGAAGCCATTGCCTCCCACGATCTGGTGTACGTGGGGAGAGGGTACGGAGCCTGGGTTGACCAGAGGGTCGAGACGGTCGATGACGAGCTGGGGACATCCAAAACGTAGCATAGTCGTCCCCCCACCACCGCCTCCACCCTGAGGAACCGCCTCTGCGAGAGAAAGCAGTGCTAGAAGCGCTGTTTTATGCATCTTGAAATGTGTCGTCGAAATGAGAGAATGAATCAATGATACAGAAATTGAAGCAAGTGACAGAACTGTACAGCCAGCCAGAACACCAGAGTTCTCGAAGGCCGTATAAGAATGGCAGAGGCCGGTTGCAGGAGGGGCCGGGTTTGGTGTCAGCCCTGCCTCTACTATTGCCGTTGTCCGAGGCAAAAAGAACTGCCGAATGGTATTATGCTTGGTCGTTGGGGAAACAATATAAAGATTATATTGAACTTGACATATGAGCGGCTGAATGCAAGTGGTCCACACATGATTGGGCGAATGGGAGCAACGCTGTACAACCAGCCTGCATTACTACACCACTCATCCTTCACAGTTTCTAGAAGATTTCGCCGCTGAAGGTCCGACAAGGAGTCACAAGCAATAACAATATGCCAAGCCAGTGGCGGCAAATATCTGATAGGTAGATCGGGGTCAGATCTGGACGATCATGTACTTATTTGTATGGTGGTATCGCTGTCATACCGTGGCTGATGTTAAAAGGGTTCGCAATTGGCCACAACTTTATCTCATCGTTGTGTCAAAGATAAGTGATAAATTGTCCGGTTCCCTTCGTCCAGACTGAGTTCCTATCGTGACCTCTCACGAGTGACGTCGTTGATGTTGACAAACTACTGCAAAGGTGGCTGACAAGAGAGGGAAATCCATCGAATACAGGAGTCGAAGCCACTTGGACATAGGAACAAGATTGGTCTATATCTGGAGTTTGTAGAGCAAAATGTGCGCCTGAGTGCATATTATTACAGTGGAAAGGCTAAAGCCACACCTGGCACCATTTCGATCCAAATTGGCTTTGTTCAAGTTTCATCAACGATGAAACGGGTCACTTAAATGTGGTGAAGTTGGCTCAGATTATGGGCAATACGAACGGCAGAAAGAAAAAGCATTGTATGCACCGGCTGGGTATGAGTTCGAGGAGTTTGGATTTCAGATTATAAGGGGCACAGAGAGTCGATCCTCTTTCTCACACGCTAGCCGAACGCAGGATCGGTTCCGTTTACTGAAATTCTTAACTCAATACCTGGACCTGTGGACAAACTATTTAATCACATGTGGTACTTTTTCACTCTTCAATCACATCTTTATTAAATGACAGTTGTTGGGCCAAGCGATACACAACTGCTAAGAAGGCATCACAAGCTGTCAGTGATATACACGGGTATAATACTGCAGATATGATCTGTGACAAAAAGCCTAAGAAATAATGTTCTAAAGACCTTACTTGTACGAAAATCGTAGACATATCTATTTAAGAGGAGAACAGAATGTGGAGAGAGGACTAAGTAATCCGTGAAAGCTTCTTCAAAACATATCAACATCTGACGTAAGCTTTGCTCTACTATCCGTATGCCATAGGGACAAGCACATAGTAAGCTGCATTTATCTTAGGGGGACGACAAACCACAGCAGCCGCACGGCATGTTCTGTGTGCGGTTAGACTACCATGACCATGAAGTTCACTTATACTTCGAAACCCAGCTAAAAATGGTGCCATCAGCTGAAAAGAATTCGACTTGATGGAAATCTCGGTCTTTCTCAGAACACCGTTACTGATATACAATCAGGTGGCTTTGAGATGGCATTGTTTATAAATCAACCAGGGCTCGGACTATTCGGACTTAGGACGGTTGGTAAGACCGAAGCACGTTAAAATCAGACCGCGATATAAGACTGCAAAGCCACCGGGACGGGGGATATCGATATAGGCCAATGAATACTTAGATCCACCTCGAAACTACACATTTGCAGCAGGACCACGTGCCCACATTGCACTGGAAGCGGCGCGAGTCACGAACAACCCAGCACAAGATGAGCAGCAAGATCCTCCCAGGCGGCATCTCCAGTGGCCTGCGCGCGAGCGATGAGGCCCAGGATCGTTCCCTGATCATGAGCACGATCCATCGCTACGCCGCCGTGGCCCGCGAATCGGCCGACCACGACGAGATCGCCAAGCTCTTCGTGCCGGACGGGTTCGTGCAGCTTCAAGACGGCCGCAAAGTCAGGCCAAACGAGCTGGGCCAGCTCACCCGCGCCAACGAGCCGAAGCTCCTCAGGCATCACATTACGACGGTCGACGTGCAGTTCGCCTCCCCGGGCGAGGTGAACTGCCAGACTTACGTCATTGCCGGCACTGACGTCAAATTTCCCGATCACTGGGGACGTTGGGATTCTGTTCTGAGGAAGCAGAGCGATGGGAGGTGGTTGTTCGCAAGTAAAACGCTCGTCACGGACGGAATAGCACCGGAAGGTTGGCTTGCTAGAACCTTGGAGCTACAGGCTGCTGCAGCTGCTCAAGAAAAGTGATCGCCACCTCAGGGTACTCTGTTTACCAATAGTAATTTCACATGCCTCAACACTAATGTGCCCAGCTTGTTGTATTCTGCCAATACGGATATAGCTAGAGTCGCAAATATATTTCGTGACCATATCTGCGTGAGCCTACCGCATAAGCATGTGTCGTATCAAAGTGTCGTGACATGTCCCTGGAAAATAACGCCTTGCGTGTGATATCCCTAATCCCCCTGAACTGTCGAAAGCAACCGTAACTCCAAAGCACAGAATGGTATGCACCATGTTCTTCGCCATACCTCCACTCGATCTAACTTCAAGAGGTAGCACCAACAGCGGTTGAGTTAAGGATGTAGTCGATGTGCGCTGTCTCGACATCCTTGGTGTGCTTCTCTTCCTCTTTCAGCAGCACAGCCAAAACTTCCACGGGCGGGTTCAGACCCAGTCTGTCTGCCCGCTGCCAGCGCTTCATCCTCTCGATGCCAACACAAGGCTGCACTAAAATTAGCATTTCCTCCCATCGCCAAATGAAAAAAAAAAAAAAAACCCCCCAAAACCGATACCGGGGGCCGGGGAGAGATGGTCAACTTACGCCATACTGATTGCTCACATCAAAGTACCTGAGCACCTTCTCTGCCAGCGTCAGGTCCTCCTGGTGGACCCTCTTGGACTTGCGCTCCCTCTCCAGCTTATTCCAATAAGCCGAGATCTGCCTGTCGCTGACCCTCGCGGCCCTGAGCTCGGCGTCCGACTTGTCCTCCCGCGGCTCCTCGAGGACTTGTGTGGCCACGGGCTCCGGTTCGGACCGCTCGATCTCCTCTTGCCGCACGTCCTCCTCGGCGAGATCTTCCTCCTTGACCTGCCTCTTCAGCGGCGAGGCCTTGATCGGGGTTGTGTCCTTTGCCTTTGCCGACTTGGGCACGGATTTCGTCACCCTGTGGTTGAAGGACAAGGTGGACTGCTTGCCGTTGGATGAGCGGGCGCCGCCTGAGCTGCGGCGTGTGACTGGCATCTTGCCTTGGATGAGAGTCGCTTCGATTTCTAACTTGGATGTATGGTGCTTGCTGATGGGTAATTCCCAGGTATCGTGATACCTTGTATGTCCGGATTCAATTGCGCAAAGCAGGTATTGTTTGAGATGGTCGTTTTAGCCCGGCTAGACTAGTATGGTGCTTGCAGTTGAGACCCCAAGGCAGACACCATGTAAGTTATTCCGTAATAGCGCTGTAATGACGTTGTGACCTCACTAACGCTGGGGAGAAGGAAACGCTCCAAGTTGGTGGGGCAACACGAACCAGGTGCCAGAGCACGTGACCGTTCGGCAGCCAATTTAATTCGATTATACTCACATACCCAGCTATTCTCAGGTGTACCGCAGAATGTCCATAATGCAAATTGTAATATGTATTAGGATTCGTATCCTGCATAATCTGTTGCAAAACGTCCATGGCCATTTTGAATTCATGTCATCACCCAAGTGGGAAGTAGCTACTTTGATTTTCCGGGACCTTTTCTCAAACGCCATTGCCAAGCAAATGCCATCACAACATGCAGACCCCGTCCTTTCTCGATCGTTCCTGAGTGCTGCCGAGTGGTTTTAGATACAATCAATCTACCACAAGAAACGTTGTGCCCCCGCCAAGTGTGCCACCCAGAAACTGGGCGCCTCATCATATGCCAGTTGCCTCGCGGTAGAAGGTTAAACTCCTGTTTGCTCCGGCCGTGACGAACATCTCGTTCTTCGTAGTCTTAGGTAGCCACTTGACACTCCAGAGAGCCTTGTCTGTCTCGTTGTGCGTAGCCACGCATGCGCTGCGTTCGATAGACCATACCTTGACTTTGCCGTCGAACGAGCCGCTCAGCAGATATTCACCAGTGTCGCTCCAGTCAATACTTGTGATCCAAGCAGCGTGGCCCGTTAGGTTACCGACGTGCTCACCGTGCTTCATGTCGTAGAGGGCAATGATGCTTGCGTCGCCGGCAGCGGCCAGTCTAGAGCCGGCTGGGGAGAAAGCGACTGCACGAACCGGCTTGACCAATCCTGCATCATTGTGAGCACTGCCAGCATAAAAGTGTTCGGCACCGTAGTGGATACGACCACAAGGCGTGCGTTACATACCAGGAAGGGAGTATTGGATCTTTCCAGTGTCATTGTTGAACACATATATAGCCCCGCTTTGGTGCCCCGAGGCAGTCCACTTGCCATCCCGACTCAGGTCGACGGAGAGACCAAAACTGCCCGAACCGCCGCTGCCTGTCTCGTACTCCTGGATCTTCTTGCCCTCGGGCGTCTCGAGGCTCCAGACGTTGATCCGCCCGTCGTACGTCGTCGCGGCCAAGTACATGCCTTCTTCACTGAGCGCGATGGCCCATACCTCGCCGGCCTTCTTTGCGCTGCTGGCATTTGCGCCGCCTGCTGTGTTGAGTTCGCCATGGGATTCCCAATCTCCCGAGCCTAGTTCAGACTGCTTCCAGAGCTTGACTTCGCCGCCGAAGCCTGCGGAGGCCGCTACCTTGCCATTTCGTGATACGGCGACGTGGTGACAGCCCAGCTTGTGGGCATTGCTGATGGACTGGGCAAGTGGGAAGGTCTGGTCTTTCGTGGAGTGAACGTGCAGCGTCGAGGAACCCGAGGCTGACAGTAAGGATGTGGAAGTCGCGGCAAGAGAGAAGATGTCGGTGACATGTGCTGGCTGTGAGTTAGCTTCTGCTACGGCCGAGCTGTTCGGGTCTCTTGAGCTGGGTTGAAAGTAGGTGTGGATGGAGGGGTGCGCAGGCGGGAATGCTAACCATTGTCCACGGTGTGCGTGGTTAGATACTGTTTAGACTGTATGATAATCAACACCAGCCTCTATGACAGTCACTGAAATATGCTTACCATGGTTTACCAATCCATGCGCTCAAGTTGTAGTGTGGGATGTTACTTTTTCTGGTGATGATGTTCAAGATTCAGAGCTTTGGTGGGGTCAATTTGGCGCGTAGTAGAGAATGATTGCATCACTGAACGGACAAAACTTTGCATACATAAAATGTTCAACACATGATAGCACATCAGCCTACGCAATTAGAAAGCACCTCCGAAAACATGGCCCATCTCGATCAAGTAAATATTTTTTTTGGTGTTATACATTTACACAGCCCTCTCAATGGGGGTTGGATATTGTCTCTAAGCCTGAACGCCGGTCTGATGCGATTTCCCATCTTCTTATTTCATATGGTTACCCTTGTTTTATACATGATAGCACACAGCCTTGTGGTTGTCCTACGCGGCAGCTCCTGTCTCCTCTGCGGGCTTCGAGGTGTTGGGGAACATGCCTTGGATCTCTGTTGCGCGGTTAGCATTGGTTCTTGGGCTGGCTATTCAAGAGAGGCCTCAGGAGGGGGCACATACTACCCATGCACGTAGGACATAATGTGTGCATCTTCTTGGTGCTTCCGCACGCCGGGCACTTATTCAACGATGTGACGTCCTTGAGAGCCTTTCCGGCCAAGAGCCTGTGTCTCTTCTTCATGTGTGACGTCTTCTTCTTGGGCACAGCCTTGAGGATACCCTCCCAGATGTCGCCTAGCAAGCCGGGGATGCTCTGCAGGGCCGCAGGGAGAGCGATGGCTAGGGATGGCCACGTGGGGTAGGACGACTGGCGCGATTGCTGTGCGAAAAGGAGAGTCGATCTGAAAGACGAAGCAAATGTGGTCGAAGACAATCGCGGTAAGAGCGATGAGACTGCCGAAGCAAATCGCAGTTGCTGAACGGCGGCCATGGTGATGTCGTGAGTCGGATCGCTTGTCCTTTTTGTTTCTGTTTTTTTTTTTCGCGCCCTCGATGAATCCCAGTGCGTTTTGTATCCCCCGGGTGGTCCCTCTAGAATGCGATGTACTGTGTTGGACTGGCCGGAGCGTGGAAACGTCGTCGTCGTGTGTGGCTCGCTGCGTTTGATGGATCGCTGGCGATAGCTCCAAAAAGTTTCACGGCCAAAAGCGCCAAAGCGCCAAAGCTCATCCGAACCCAGACCCCTGCCAGACCTGCAATTCATCCAGCGCTCCAACCCCCGGAACTGGTATAGTGCACAGACGCAGGCCGACCTATCAACGGCCCCCAGTCCGCTTTCCCCCTTTTGCTGGACCCTCAATTGCGGCTTGTGAGCGAGCAAGTGCAAGTGCGAAGACACACGCAAAGGGGGGACCTGAAGCCTGAAGCCAGCCCGACATTTGCGTTCGCCAGTTGCAAATACCGGAGACTGGAGAGACTGGACACTGGAGAACACTGGATTACACTGCACCGAGTAGTTAGTTGACCTAGGTTAGTTACATGCCTGCCTCCCCAGTCAAGCCCGGGAAATTATTGTCTGGCAAGGAACGAACCACCCCCCCCAAAGCCCAAGTCCAAAGCCCAAAGAGTCCCCTAAGTTTGAGTTGGCTGGAGTTGGCTGGAGTTGGCCTGACCAAAACCCAAGGGGGCCACGGCCAACAACCTCAGCTAACCTTTCGACCTTGGAGAAACCTCCAAGCTTCCGGACCCTTATTCCTACTTACTACATCCACGTTTCGTTTTGTTTTCGACAACGTCCGACTCCACGTCAAGTTTCTCCAGCTGATTTGTTTCCCTCAACACCACCCGACGACCTCTCTTTTTCCATTCTCTCCCCATTGAATCCGTGTCAAACCCGCGTGCATTCATTCAATTCCACTCTCTCCCTGCCTTGTTGGACCTCCTCGGAATACGAAACACGCCCATCTGCACTTCATCCCACACCACATAAGCAATGGCTTCCGCTACCGTCTACCCCAACACACATGTTGGTTTTGATAGTATCACCTCCCAGATCGAGCGCAAGCTGCTGAAGAGAGGTTTCCAGTTCAATGTCATCTGCGTCGGTATGTATACGAACAAACAAACACGGCTGGCTGGCTGCGTAACGCCGCATCCCTCTGGTTTCATCGCGGTCATGTCCTTTGCTTGCTGCCAGAAGAACCAGTCTGCTAACCCGCGCCAACAGGACAAACTGGTCTGGGCAAGTCGACGCTCATCAACACCATCTTCGCCTCCCACTTGATGGACTCGAAAGGTCGTATGCTTCCCGACGAGCAGATCCGAAACACCACCGAAATCCACCCCGTCTCGCACAACATTGAGGAGAACGGCGTGCGCCTCAAGCTCAACATTGTCGACACCCCCGGATACGGTGATCTCGTGAACAACGACCGCTGCTGGGACCCCATCGTCAAGTATATCAAGGACCAGCACTCGGCCTACCTGCGCAAGGAGCTTACTGCCCAGCGTGAGCGATACATCCAGGACACCCGCATCCACTGCTGCCTGTTCTTCATTCAGCCTTCTGGCCACTCTCTTAAGCCGATCGATATCGTCGTCCTCAAGAAGCTCTCAGATGTTGTCAACGTCGTTCCCGTTATTGCCAAGGCCGACTCCCTGACCCTCGAGGAGAGACAGGCCTTCAAGGAGCGCATCAAGGAGGAGTTTGCTTTCCACAACTTGAAGATGTACCCCTACGACAGCGAGGAGCTCGACGACGAGGAGCGTGCTATCAACACCCAGATCAAGGTCAGTCACCAGATACCCGACATCGTTTTGCCTGGATCGGCACTAACTTGAAGCAGAGCCTTATTCCTTTCGCCGTTGTCGGCTCAGAGAAGTCCATTATTGTTAACGGCAAGCAAGTGCGCGGACGCCAGAACCGATGGGGCGTCATCAACGTCGAGGATGAGAACCACTGCGAATTCGTCTACCTCCGAAACTTCCTTCTGCGAACCCACTTGCAAGATCTCATCGAGACTACATCGCAGATCCACTACGAGACCTTCCGTGCCAAGCAGCTGCTTGCGCTCAAGGAGAGCAGTGCTCAGGGTGGCAGCAGGCCAATTTCTCCCGCCGCCGAGCGGGAGCTGAGCCGAAACTCTCAGCGCATGACCATGAACGGCTACAACTAAATGTGCATGCTGCATTTGAGTTGTTTGTGCCTCTTGCGAGACCTGAGTTTGTTTCTAGCACCGTGTCTCCGCGAGAGTCCTTTTCCCATATTCCCACTTTAATGACGACAAATCAACAACACCTCTTTACGCTTCACGCGCGAAGCTTGGCGCGAAAGATACCACATTGCCCTCGGACGCAGCGCAAATTTCTTACGAAAATCGAGGATACCAAAAGGAGCCGAGTGCATAGAGGCTGCTGGAGGAGGGCGAGCCGGATATCTGAGAAATCAGATGGTCGACTGGTCGGAGTTCGGCCTTAGTTATGATTGTTCGAGCCTTGCTATGTCTTGGTTCGAAGTGCAAGCCAGCCAGCAGTATTTCCTCCCTGACAGGGAAACTTGACAGTTCTTATTATTTTCCTTGTAGTATTGGCCGAAGCTTTCTTCAATTTTTTTTTTCATACCATGCTCTAAAGACTAATTGAGATCAAGTTTGAAAACCCTACCTGTGCCGTGTTTATTCGAGAGAAGTGCCATGTGAGATCCTATCGTGCCGGCGGTGTTGTATCAAAACCCAGGAGTCAGCGAGGCCCGTATACTACAGCGCCGTGTGGACTCGCAGCCTGTAGTAGAGACGTTCGTAGTCTTTTGCTCTTTACAATCATGGCTGAGTGAGAAACTCATTCGGTTACAGTCATTAATGGCTAAAGGAGATAGCAATGGTCTCGTGCCCATTTAAAAAGGCACATCTGTTCAAGCCATGGGCTGCGGAGAGGTTCTTGGAACACCGTGTGCTACGTCCTGATATTGTAAGGGGCATCTAACACTTTGTGTTCACTTGTCCAAACCACGGAGCCTGGAGAGAGCTTGGCCAATCTTCCATGCCCCTTCCCCCTATGCGGAAGATTTATTTATTTCCTAACGCAGCTGGCCGAACCCCTGAAGCAGAACATCTTGGCTCCTTCTCATAGCAGAGCAATGACCACCTTGTCTCCTGTCTATATCGAGGAGCGTCGCGGTCCCCCATCCCAAAGAGCGGACGCGGCGGGGAAATCCGGATCTACGAGGACTTGTAGACGTAGTCCTCGAGCTCGCCGTAGGCCTTGTCCAGGTCGTCGTTGACGATCTTGACGTCGTGGGACCCGGGCGTCTCGTAGAAGGCGAGCTCGACCCGGGCCTGCTCCAGGCGCTTGCTCAGCGAGTCCTCGGTCTCGGTGCCCCGGCCCCGGAGCCGCTGCTCCAGCGTCTCGTAGCTCGGCGGCGCCACGAAGACGTACCGCGCGTCGATGCTCGAGGCCTTGATCTGCTTGACGCCCTGTGACGAGGATCTCGGTGTTAGTCTGTGTTTGCCTTTTTTTCTCTTTGTCGTGTCTGATAGGCTGGGGTGTTTTCAAAGAGCTCCGCTGGCTATAAAAGCAGACTTATGAGGGCAGGGTGGGAGGAGAGAAGAAGAAGAAGTTGTTGGTGCAAGAGAAGAAAGAAGAAAAAAGAAAGAAGAAAAGAGACACGCATACCTCCATCTCGATATCAAGGACGACGACCTTGCCCTTGGCGGTCTGCTCCTGGATGGTGGCCTTGCTGGTGCCGTAGCGGTTGCTGCCGAACTTGGCGTGCTCGACGAAGCCGTTCTGGGCGATCAGGTCCTCGAACTCCTGCATGGTGACGAAGTGGTAGTGGACACCGTCCTTCTCGCCATCGCGGGGCTTGCGCGTCGTGTGCGACACGGACAGCGTGAAGGTGTCCGGGTGCGCCTCGAAGAGCTTGCCGTACAGCGTGCCCTTGCCGACGCCAGAGGGGCCGGAGATGACGAGCGGTCGGCGATCGGAAGGAGGAGGAACTGCAGGGAGAGAGAGGGGTAAACCAGTTAGTTAAATGATTGGGTTATTTTTATTTGATTTGCCGGCGACAAGATGGTCCATCATGTATGGAGAGGTGACGACATACCGGGCGCCATTGTGCTACGGTAACGGGCGAAATAGAAGGGGCGTGGATGGGGTGGAACACTGAGCAGCCGTCTACTTGCACCGGTGATGTTGAGGGGCCGGAGGAGCATGTGGCAGGCCGGAGCTAGAGTATACAGTTCCGGGAGCCTGATCGGTCTGAGGCACAGGCACATCCATCCCACTTGCGCGACTTGGGCGGGTTCGATGAATTTTGTGGAGCTATCATGGTAATTGGTGGGCAGAAACTGCCATCAATATGTGCTGAGGGCAGGCGGTGAGAACAGCTGTTTGCATGGACTCATCTGTACTCATTCATGTGCCAAATGATGTGGAGTATCTTGGCCCATCCTCCCATCACGTTTGCATTTGCGACAGGGATCCCGTCTGCCTCTACCCCTGAATTTGCAGCGATTGCAGAATTGTGATTGTCAGACAGATGAATGACAGGTGGGAACCGCATGTTTCAAAATTACCGCATCCAAGGAGAATTGTGACGTCCCTTTGCAATACACATGGTCATGTTATGCAGAACCTTTTTATTAAGACATCGGCCAAGCTTATAGGTAGAGCACCTGGCATTGCTGCATGTTCAACGCGGCGATTTAGGTTCGACTGGATGGTCATGGCGTCATCTGTGTATGCAGTGTTCGGTCTGCTCGAAAGCGACAAGAGTGTGCACATGCCCCCCCCGCCTGTCTATACGATACTTGCATTTTCTAGATGAGTCGTTGGACGTCAATGACACTCCTGCTTCCTCCCTCTCGTGGACTCACTTGCTTGCGCAGAGCAATAAGAGGGCGTTGGAAAGACGAGCCGAGTCCGCACACCTGGTCTAACACTATGGTTCTTGGTGGGGACGGTCGATGGCGTTTGTGTAAACGGAAACCTCTCGTGTCTCCTTGGCCTCGATAGTTTTGTGTCGATTTCGACAACTGATGACAAGAAGGTTCCAAGAAAGGCCGACAAGATACTTACAAGCTGCACAGCCTCTCCAGCAGGTGAGACTCGGTCTTGGGCATACAATCATATAGGCTCTAAAAGACTTGGTCCTTCGTAATAGCCGTGGGGGAATAGTTGGATCATGCAATGAGAAGCCGGCAAGCAATACCAAGCAAACTCCAAGGACCAACTAGACGATGGGCAACCGTCCTAGAAGTGGCAGCGCTGAAGTTGCTGAATTGGCCAAAATTACAGTGCGACTTGGAAGTTATTGGCAAATTAAACAAGCCGTTTCGCATCTTGGCCATATTTCAAAACGGTTCGGGGCCCATGCAACCGTTTGTCAGCCCCCCGGAGGCAGATCCCTGTTCCTCTATAGAGATATGCAGGTACGATACCACCTCAGTCAGCACCCCCCAGCTTGTAAGCGAATTACTCTGGTGAGATGCGAGGTTTTGCTGTGGAAAGTTGTCTACAGGTTTAGTTACTTCGTCGGTTGGTTTCCTTCGGCTCTTATTCACCGGATGTCATGCAACGCAGAGTACCGCCGTGGGCGAAAGTCTTGTGATAAAACCCACAGAATAACTTTATCCGCCTTTGAATTGAAGGTGTACCTTTAAGCTTATACACTATCCTTCTGGGCTAAAAACGTGAAAAACATGCCAGCTCCGTTGATTGGCGGCCAAGAGTCGAAACCGGGAATTCGGTCCACAGGTGCATGTGCGACGGCCCACCCAGAACCCAGATCTCCAGGGTAGAGCCCGCTGCAGCATCCGCTAAGAGCAGTAATTGCCCAATCGGTGATCCACTGAAGTCATGGGCACAGGCAATGCTCCATGTCAATCTCGCGGCGCCCCCAAATCTGCGACAGGCGCTACCTAAGCATTGGCGGGCACTTGGGTAGGTGAGGCCAAGGGAAAGACAGGGCCAGTGGAAAAGGCCAAGAGAATGGCCAATGGAAAGAGAAAGGGAAATAATACACTCTAACCGTAGTTCTACAGTAGATACCCCCCCCCTTCTCCCCTCCCCATCCCAACTCATCAATAAAGGGCCGCTCCATCCTTCTGCGCTTCCGTCGCGATCATATTCACAGTCACTCCTTCAACTTCCTGAGTCTTCGTGGCGTGTTCGTCCGGGTGTACTTGCTTCCCCTCGTTTTATTCACTTTCAAACAAGACCATCTTCGGTTTTGCCTGCTTTTCTTGTCACTCTTTCACAAGCAATCAACCATTTGCATCTTTCTTGTAATCCAGAAAACATCTCTGTCGACACACACCACATCTTGGCCCTTTGGATATCCGGACGAGTTGAGCCCGAACGGACATAAACACCATAGAACGAATCGAAATACCAAAGACAAACAACAAGCCCACATATAGCTATCGCAACTAATATTCAACTGCCTATAACGAGTCTCAGGATCTGCGAACATGCTTGTAAGTTATGCTTTATGGCGCTTATCATTTGATTCCAGCGGGACAGTACCCAGCCACACACATGTACATGTGTTTGCCGTGCAGATCTTCGCGTGTCAACGGCGCAGGCGGCACAGCGGCGCAGCACACTTGCAAAACCTAAAACTGCAACATCTTGGCTAGAGTAATGGTATAATCAAATCAGACTTTAACTGACATGTCACCGCTGTAGCTCCAATCTGCTCTCGTTGCCCTGGGCGCGACCCTCACGGCCGCTGTCCCCACAATCTCGGTTTCGGGCAACCGCTTCATCAACTCCGACTCTGGCGATGAGTTCCAGGTCGTCGGCATGGCCTACCAGATCGGTGGAAGTGCCGGCTACGACCCCAGCCACGGAAAGGACCCTCTCTCCAACGGCGATGTGTGCAAGCGTGACGCCGCCCTCATGCAGGTCCTCGGTATCAACACTATCCGTGTCTACAACCTGGACCCCAACTTGAACCACGACGAGTGCGCCAGTGTCTTCAACAAGGCCGGCATGTACATGCTTATCGACGTCAACTCCCCTCTGTCCGGCGAGTCTATCAACTCCGAGTCCCCTTGGGAGTCTTACTATGCCGCCTACCTGAACCGTACCTTCGCCATTGTCGACAACTTCAAGAACTACCCCAACCTTCTCGGCTTCTTCTCTGGAAACGAGGTCATCTCCAACGTCAAGCAGGGCGGCACTGCTCCTCCCTACATCCGCGCCGTCACTCGTGACTTGAAGCAGTACATCAAGAACCACGCTGACCGTGCCATCCCCGTTGGATACTCCGCTGCCGACGTCCGTGATGTTCTCGAGGACAGCTGGAACTACTTCCAGTGCTCCATTGACGGAGAGGATGACAACATGTCTCGCGCCGACATGTTCGCCTTGAACAGCTACTCCTGGTGTGGCAACAGCACCTTCACCGAATCCGGCTACGACCAGTTGGTCGCCATGTTCAAGTCTAGCGCCGTCCCCGTCTTCTACTCTGAGTTCGGTTGCAACACTCCTAGCCCTCGTGTTTTCACCGAGATTCAGTCCATCTACGGCTCCGACATGATGAACGTCTTCAGCGGCGGTGTCGTCTACGAGTTTGCTCAGGAGGCGAACGAATACGGTCTCGCCACTATCAACGATGATGGCTCCGTTGAGCTGCTATCTGACTACGAGTCCCTCAAGAACCAGTACCTCGACATTGACTGGACCTCCGTGCAGAGCGTCAAGGCTAGCAGCAGCAGCAACACTGCCCCCAAGTGCAGCGAGTCCCTGATCAAAGAGGACGGGTTCAGCAACAACTTCACCCTGCCTGATGTCCCACCTGGAGCTCAGGACATCATTGATAACGGTGTCAAGGGTGCCCTTGTCGGCAAGATCATCGACATCAGTGACTACAGCTTCGACTACTCGATCAAGGATGCCAGTGGCAACGTAAGTCGAAGATACAACATCCAATTCAGCTTCAATCATGCTAATTATGTCTTCTAGACTCTCTCTGTTGTAGTGTCCCCTCTCGCGGATGACGGCACCAACGTTGTTGGAACGAACAACGGAACCACCAGCAGCAGTGGCAACAGCACCGGTGGTACAAACAACACCAAGAACGCCGGTTTCAGAATGGGCTCCAGCACTGCCGCCGTTGCCCTGCCTGTTGGTATTGCTGCACTTCTTGCTGCCTTTTAAATTGTAGAGTGTTGGGGAAGAAGGGGGAGAACTGCGATTCACCAAGTTTTCTGCGAGCCTGTCTTTGTTTATATGATACTCCCTCAGATTATTTGTGCTTCAGAGAATAGACGATTATAACGCTCTTGATGATCTAGTCAACTTTCATGTGCGCTTAGTGATTCTTCTCGACTATATGAAGCATCCTCAAGAAAGATGTTCGTAGTGTCTCAAGCACCAGTTCTGCTTATTGCCATCACGGCCAGCATCGCTGCTCTATATATCATGGATGGCACCTGGCATGACTGGGAATGTTTTCGGTCCCTCGTATATCTAGTGGATCCTGGGCGGCTTGTCCGATGGCGGCGGCCGCTCCCATGCGACCTGTTCAGCAGGAGCCAGATGACTGGCCCGCACATTCACCACCGAGTCAAAGAGCTCCAGCACCGCGCCGTTCCGGTTGAACGGACCCCCATAGTAGTCCTCCAGACAGTTTTTCTTTCTTTTTCATTTGCCATCATTAGTGTTATTGGCATTTCTTCCTCTTGTTCTTGTTCCCCCGTCAAGATACTTGTTTCAAATGGGTAGAAAGTGCTTCTGTGGGTGATGTTCGTTGGAATCGGGAGAGATCGAGTTTGGGATTTCGAGTTGTGTGACTGTTGGTTGTCGGCTTTTCGATGCATGATTTGAATTGCTTCGGCTTGGGCGTTTAACTCTTAGGACTGTGGGACTTGTTTCACGGCTGTCTATGTTGTATTTGATCGAGTATTACAGTTAATATTGGTTTGCTATGCTCATATGAACCTCGTGTTGTCGGCTGGAAGATACAATCAGTCACGGGAAGTTGCAGCACAGTACAAGCATGGTGCTCCTTTGCGGTCCAGTCAGACCTCGATAGCTGGAAATTCGTCAACCTGACATGAGTGACTTCTCTGTTGGAAGCCAAGTTTGTCTCGCCCTTCGGATACTACAATTTGTGGTTTACATGTCATATGGGCTCCGTCGCCTAACATTGGTACTATGAACTCGCTGACGGTTCTCGGAATAAGCGTTGCTTTAGAGCGCTGCCACTCCCACGATGATAATAAGTCCATGTGGTTGAGATTGGACATGACATTCCCCATATAGGTCTGTATTGGAACTCTTTAATGGCGATCGACACTGGTACAAAGAAGCAAAAGGTGGGAGGAAGGAAAAGGAAAAGAAAGAAGAAGAAGAAAAAAGCCTACACAGGCAATCTGCGCATCTCGAACTCGCAACCTGCAAAAAGAAGAGTGGCTGAGGGAGGACGGCTCAGCCAGGAGATAAGGATATTGAGAACCATAGGTTTGAGCGGATAACCACTACACCACCATGACCTGTGGTTTCGTGGAGTGTTAGTGGAGGTCCTTTCATTTAGCCCTATATAGCCTTGGGTCAAGAAGGGGATTGATGTTCGTCTCTGCAGTACATGGGGTAAAGTTTTGCTCTCGGCGGATGAGATTGTGGCAGTGTTGAGCAAGTTTTTCGGGAAGCCTCGAATTGCAACGACGCACATGAGCAACTCTTTCGGACTTGATCCGGCCCCATGACTACCTATTGCCCTGACCCTAAGAGCAGGAAATATGAAGACGTTGCCCTTATTCAGTACCATATGCTCCGTGTTCGGTGGTGTGGCATGCTCTCCTTGCCTTGTGCTTCCAGTTGCTTCATCGTGTCATACAAGAAGAAATCAATCAGTATAGCGTTGACTTTAGCATCTGGATGCTCTCGCTTGATCTCTCTTCGGATCAGTTCGACACACCAGATACTTGTCGCTGTAGAAAAAGTCAGTAAAAGGGGCAAAAAGACTGAAACATGCCACCCATACCTCGAAGTTGCATTTCGTGTCGACTACCATTCTCAATCATCTCTCCGCGGCTTATCAGAGACTGCAATGGCGGACTATAGCCTATGCAACCCAAGGTGGCCAAAATTTGCGGTACCCGGTAGTCGGCAAACATGGTGATCTTGTCGATGTCGTTGAACTCCCCCCAGCTTTCACCATTGAAGCAAGCCCAAACGTCGGCGACGAAAATCTGAGCCCGCTTAAGCAGGCGAACAGGCCTCCGCCGGCCATCAAAGTGGTGTTCATCTCTGAAGCAAAGAAAGTCGCTGGCCAGGGTGTTGACTAGCCTTGCAGCGGAACCGTTGGCTGATTCGATCAATTTGGTGATGCTACACGAGTACTTCTACAGACACCCAAGATTCTGTGTTGGCTTGCGCTTCTGACGGCTCGGTACAGTGGGTAGACAGATTGGGTGTTCGACCTACCTCGTATAACACTTGTCCAGCCTCTCTCAGGCACGACAAGCGTGATTCCAACAGAGGGATTTCCTCGTCTGTACAAGATCGGAAGACTTGGCGTAAGGAATCGAGGGTGCACTCTCCCTCATCTTGCCAATAGTGAGGATCGAGTATGGGAATCCCTTTACATCGTGGTTAACGTGACTGTCTCGGTGTGCCAATCTCAAATGACATGTGATCTGCCAGGGGTTGTCTGCAGAATCTCTGTATGTTGGACGACCAAAACATGGAGCGTTGACACACCTTCGTCCAAGGCGCGCTGCAATGAGGCGACTAGGCTCCAGTAGCCGGTCCATCTCTTCTCCTGGTACTCAACGGCGAATCGATCTTCCTCGGGCCTCAACGACCAAAATGAGAAATTGAGAAGATCCATGACGAAAATGAAAGCCAGTGTCGTTTCATCCTTGGTCTTTGGGTGTAGCTCGTGCTCTGACCATGTTGCTGTTGAATACTCTTTTTCCTGCATCTGTTGGTGAATCAGGGCTGCGGCGTTCTTGGTTGCCCGCATGTCCACGGCAACGTCGATACTGTTGTCGTAAACATATTCTGCACTTTCGAGGACGCCGGTCTCGGGTTCGTCCTCGATCTTGGGCTTCCCTTGCAGATGCTGGCGGAGAAATGCAAGCAGTTCGAGGTCGACTTCATCATCAGACATTGTTAAGCAATTAAGAAAAAACCCCGACTCTGATGACGACAGTAGAGATCCGACCCTGGCTTGTTCTTCTATTTTATTTATTCTTGTCGCAGTTCTTGAGTTCTTGCGAAGGGGTCTCAGACAAGAGTTGCTTTTGGGCTCAACTTGCGGCTACCCTCTAAAAGTTTGAACTGTCGGTGGAGCTCAGCCTGGCAGATTATAGAAAATTGCAGCAGATCAGATTATCTGGATCAACATAGGGCCAGATCACACACCAAATCCCTCAAACTTGTATCCTTTCCATGCCCATACTGCCAATATCAACCTGAAAATCGAACGTCTCCTTGCATCTCAGGCAGATAGGCTGGGCTACAACAGCCGTCGCCCGTCGCCCGTCGCCCGTCACCCGTTGTTCGCCGCCCTAATTCGACAGTCCGCAAATCGCAGGGTAGCGATTTCCTGCATTCGCCAGGTATTAGCCAGTGCACACTGCAGCTGCAGGCGAGTTGGACGCTAAAGCACCCTAAAGACCAATTGCGTCAAGTGCCGCCCACCCGCCGGCTTCAACAGCCCCACCACCCCCAAAGCCTTCAGCGTTTGGCGGGGAGCTTCAAGGTACCAGAGGAAAGGTACCAGACAGTAGAATCCTGGCACCGACGGGGCTAATAAGGAAGGTTGTCATCATCCCATCCAAGCTCTTCGCAAGTCTCCTACCTCTCTCTCTTAAGTACAGTACGGCAATCGCGCGTGAAGCGTGCACTGAACTTTTGCCGTGTTCAAATTCACAGCATCGACAGCTCACCTTTTGGCCGCTCTGTGGTCAGAACCCGACCGAGCCGATACGCGCGGCTTACTTCAGATACACACGTGCCTTGACATTCGTCTTGGCTTTATACAGCCTCCCCAAGGCCAACACGGGTGGATGCCACAGGCTTTTGAGTTAAACTTGACTGAGCAGCCTCATCATTACGTTTCCACACCGACTACGGTTAGGTCACCTAGTCCGCAGATATCCTCTTCCTCGGACTTTGATCTGGACCTCGACCTTGACATCGACCTCTTCTTTACAAGAGCACCTCTGGCCGATCACAACTCCTGCGCCATATGCATCTTCTACCACCGATACCGTGACGATACCTAGCCCAACATGGCAGCACCTGCTGTTACAACCACGCTCACACGCGACAGCTACAATCGCCAGTCGCTTGGCGTGTCTCTCAATGCGGCTGTGAAAGAGGTGAGACCTTCCCCCAAAACATCGCGGACCGGCGCATATGCGGTTGCCTTGTATGCGCAAACCTGCATGTCTCTTGTCGCGCCATACATGATCGTCCGAGCTTGTCTTGGTCTTGCGACAACAGCCTATATGAGATGGCACCCTCCCTCACATGCGCTTCGTCCCAATCCCACCACATGCTCGCGCACCTGGCAGATCGCAATGGAGCGCCGCAAGAGTACCGAGTTTGATTTCCGGCTAACAAATATCTCACAGGCAAAAGTTCTCATGGTTGGCGCCGGTGGCATTGGTTGTGAACTGCTCAAGAACCTCGTCCTTACTGGTTATGGCCAGATTCACGTCGTCGATCTCGATACTATCGATCTTAGCAACCTGAACCGTCAGTTCCTGTTTCGAAATGAGCACATCAAGAAATCCAAGGCTGAGGTATGGTGCGAACGAGGGCGGGAGCAAGAACGAATCCAGACCAGTCCGTACTAACGGAATGACAGGTGGCGAAAGAGGTTGCGCAAGTCTTTAATCCCAACGTCAACATCATCTCATACTTCGCGAACATCAAGGATGCCCAATTCAATCTCGAGTGGTTCCGCGGTTTCAAGCTCGTCTTCAATGCACTGGACAACCTCGATGCAAGACGGCACGTCAACCGCATGTGTCTAGCAGCTGATGTCCCTCTCATTGAAAGCGGTACGACGGGTTTCAACGGACAGGTCCAGGTGATTAAAAAGGGCGTCACAGCCTGCTACGACTGTATAGCCAAAGATGTCCCCAAATCATTCCCTGTCTGTACCATCCGAAGCACACCGAGTCAGCCTATTCACTGTATTGTATGGGCCAAGAGTTATCTCCTGAACGAGGTATTTGGCGTGAGCGAAGACGAGACAGCCTTTGACCATTCAGAAGATGCGGACAACGCCAAGGAAATCGAGGAGCTCAAGAAGGAAGCTGCAGCCCTAAAGATGATCCGGGACTCTGTAGGGACCTCCCAGTTTCCGCAAATGCTCTTCGACAAGGTCTTCAGCGCAGACATCAAGAGATTATGCTCAATGGAGGAGATGTGGACGACTAGATCAAAGCCCTCGGCACTAGAGTATGAAGCCCTTAAGCCCGGCGTACCGACCATCGACGACTCCTTCCTCGAGGATGACCAAAAGAAGTGGTCTTTGGAAGAGAACTTGGCCGTTTTTGAGAGCAGTCTTGACCGATTAAGCAAGCGCATAGCCGAGATGAAGACGGTGCAAGAGAACGGCCAGACGACAGAGCCGCCTACCATCGCATTCGACAAGGATGACCCGGATACTCTTGATTTCGTCGCCGCTGCCGCCAATATCCGCGCTCACATCTTTGGCATTGATCTCAAGACTCGCTTCGATATCAAGCAGATGGCCGGAAACATCATCCCCGCCATTGCGACCACCAACGCCATCGTCGCTGGCGTGTGCGTGCTAGAGTCTTACAAGGTGCTCAAAGGCGATTATAATGACGCAAAGGAGGTGTTTCTGACGCCGTTCGCCCCTCAACGACTTCTGGCACCAGATCGACCGCGACAGCCCAACCCGGAATGCCCGGTCTGCTCGTCCTTCTACACCGGCATCTACGTGGATCTATCTCGCGCAACCTTGAATGACGTGGTTGAAGACTTTGCAAAGGTTCAGCTTGGTTATAACGACAAGGAGTTCTCGATCACCAGCGAAAGCGGTCTACTATACGACCCTGACGAGACGGATTCACTCTCAAAGAAACTGACAGATATTGGTATATGTTATTGAAAACTTTTTATCACTACGAACCTCGCTGATGCCATACAGGTCTTAAATCGGGCAGTTTCCTAACGATCGTTGACGAGGCCGACGAAGACGTTTTTGTCAACGTCGTTCTGAGCATCCTCGAAACGTAAGTTCACCCATGTTATTCTACCAGGTCCACCACTAATGATTTATCTATCTTTACAGGAAAGAGACACTTGGCGACAAGCCTATCAAGGGTCTGGAGCCAGACAAGGCACCGGAGATTCCTCGCAAGCCTAAGAAGGAGCCCGTGCCGGAGAGCAATGGTGTTGCCCAGACGAATGGAAAACATACCCTGGGCAGCGATGCTGGACCCAACGATCTTAAGCGGGCCCGGGATGACGACGCAGACGCTCCATCATCCACCAAGAAGGCAAAGACTGCCCAACGGCCTGATGACGATGATATCGTCGTCGTGGATGATGCTGCAGCTCCGGGTGCCATTCTTATTGACGATTGAGATTACATCCAGCCGAATTTAAAATTGGCTTAGACATGTGATTAGGTTGCCGACAGGCCACCATCTAGGTTCAGCACAGCATTATGCGCATATGGGTTTTTGGCGAGGAAGGCTGCAGCATCTGCAACCTCTTCTGCCGTTCCGAAACGACCTAGAGGAATCTGAGCAGAAAGACCACCTTTCTGGTTCATATCTGGGCATTGGCTTGTACATTAATTATGTTGTACCATATACGAGAAGGGTTGGTTTCATTGGGGGTACAGGAATTGGTTGCCCACTCGACTGCCAGATTTGAGAGAGAGTTTGATCCAGGGGAGGTTTGGGTCGATATACTCACATTCCGTCATATCGGTCTGAATATACCCGGGCAGGAGGACGTTGACTCGGATGCCGAACTGGCCGACTTCTGAGGCGAGTGAGCGCGTTAGACCTAGAGTGCGCCGTTTTGCGCGTTAGATATCTCTGCCGCATGAGGAATGCATAAAGTTGTGTCTAGATGATTGCGTACCTACAATGCCTGCCTTTGAAGCGGCATAAGCACTGGCTCCGCGGCCCCCTTTGACAGCTAGTAAGCTGGAGATGTTGATAATACAGCCTGAGCAGTTAGTAAACCTCGCCGCGCGGTGGGAAAAAGGGTATCAGAGCATCTGACCCTTGGTCTTCTTTTTGATCATCCTTTGGCTTGTGACCTGGCAACCGAACATGGTGCCCATGAGGTTAGTATTGATGATACGTTGATTTTCGACATGGTCTCCTCTGAACAGCAGAGAGTCTTGGGTGATACCCGCCGCATTAACGAGGATGTCGATGTTTTGCTTCGACTAGGGCGTGTCAGTCGGGAAATAAGACTACGTGGTTGCGATCTATGCCACGGAAGATTGTGTTTCGTGTATAGGTGCAGCATGGAGGAAAAGACCAGGCCCTCCTTTCTTGCAGGCATAGAGACGAATGAATTCTGACCTACTTGCTTCATCTTATTCACCAGTTCGCTCCACCCCTGCATTTCGCTCACGTCGAAGGATTGAAAGTTATGATCCCAATCGGCCTCGGGGCTCCGAGGCGGCAGACTCTTGAGGGCACTCTGGAGACGTGCCTGGTCACGGCCCACGAGCGTGATAGACGCACCTTCAGAAGCGAATCGGTGTGCAATGGCGAGACCAATGCCACGGCTGCCACCCGTAATTACGGCGTGCTTGTTGAGGAGACTTCCCATCTCGGCTGGATCTTTAGACGACCAATCAAGCCGCCGAGTAAAGCAATGGTGAATCTACAAGGACAATATATGACAATCATGAGTGCCCTTTTTCGGAAGCGTCATCTGAGTATTCGTGGTTGTCACTGACGCGATGGGGACCGCGGGACCCGCCAGCAGCTGGCACTAACGCAGCCCTGGGAAGCTCTGACGAGATCTGACAAGGGCTGACGGCGCCCCATAAACCAGCGCCAGCAGGGGTGTGGACTGGAGATTTAGGGGCATTTCCAGAGGGGGAAGGGTACAGCTCGGTACAGTCCAGTACGGTACAGATGGATTTAATGCACCGAGGCTGCTTAACTAACCTAACCTTAGCCTACTTGTATGGTCAAGTGAACTCAAGTCACTGTATGCTCTCGTGGACGATACCTTCAACACAAGCTTTCGCCAAAGTTTGAGCACGAAAGACGAGCATTAGACACTACCCGTACCCAACAACTCCATGTGCAGCTTCTTCGCACTTTCCACTAGACTACGGCAATCATCGCGCTGTTCGACGCACTGGCCGAGACGAAGAGATCATTCATGCATACCCGCACGAGGCGCACGACCACCCCAGATCAGCAAGACACAACAACGGCGGGAGACACGCGCGGCACCTGCTACCACATCCGATGAATCACTCGCAGGCCAATGGCGCCGCGAGCGCTTCCTCTGAACTCCCAAAGCTCGTCACCTCTGCCGCAGCCAAAGCGGAAGAGAAGGAACCTGTTATAGACGCTGGCTTGAGGAGCTTAGATCATTGTACGTGGATGCTACTGTTTCGTCCCAGGTCAATCTTGTGGCCGTCTCCGCACCCGTACTAGTATGGGCGCATGGTATTCATGCGACCACTGTCTTGCACACCTTGCGACAGCGGCTGCTTCTTGCACGGGGTTTGAAAATGAAGAGCGCCACCGGCTGACCTTGTTCACAGACAGAAGAGCGCTCCCGAAATGGCGGTACGATCTGCGACAGCAACTGCTGCCCCTCATACGATGGGAGACACCATATCTGGCATGGCTGCAGGAAACACTGCGCACGCCGGCTTTGGATAGCTACTTTGCCATCACAGCGAACCTAGGCACGCACACCTTCTTCATGATAGGGCTACCAATTCTGTTCTGGTGCGGATACGCATCGTTCGGCAAAGGGTAAGTAAGATCGGTACATTGCTTCAAATGGCATGATAAACACAATTGCTCATGGGTGACAGGCTGGTCCATATTCTCGCCGCTGGTGTCTTCTTCACCGGCTTCATCAAGGATTTCTTTTCTCTGCCTAGACCGCTTTCTCCACCACTTCATAGGATTACCATGTCTGGCTCGGCGGCTCTGGAATATGGCTTCCCGTCCACTCACTCTGCGAATGCTGTATCGGTTGCCGTTTATGGCATCCTCCTGCTTCATTCGCCCGAAAACGCTTTTCAACCGAACACCAAATTCGCCCTCGAGTTTCTCGCCTATTTCTACACTGCGAGCATCATCTTCGGTCGGCTGTACTGTGGTATGCACGGGTTCTTGGACGTCATCATCGGCTCCATCATGGGCGCAGTGATATCTCTTATCGAGTTCTACTACGGTCCAGCCGTGGAGATGTACTTACGTGACCAGGCAGTCTCCGGTGTTCTGATCGTGACGCTGGTCATTTTTGTGCTCGTCCGCGTCCATCCTGAACCCGCGGACGACTGCCCCTGTTTCGACGACAGTGTTGCGTTCGCTGGCGTTGTCATTGGCGTTGAGGTCGGTACATGGCACTTTTCGAATTCACTCTACGCCCTGAACCCGTTCGATCTCGAGGCTCTTGGTTGGGTCAAAACCGTCGTGCGTATCCTGTTTGGCGTATTTTGTGTTATAGCATGGCGTGAGGCCGCCAAGCCTACCTTGCTCAAGGGGCTGCCTTATCTCTTCCGTGTTATAGAAAAGCTCGGCCTCGCGCTTCCGAGGCGCTTCTTCATGCCTGCTTCAGAGTACAAGAACATACCGCTCAGCTTGCGCGTTGACAACTTGGTGCCGAGCGTGAGCGAGATCCCCAAGATCGTCAACAATATCAGAAGAGGTGGCCGTGGCAGGTCTGTTAGCATCGGGCCACAGAGTGCGGCTGACGCATATGAGACACTAGCCTACAGAGACAGGAGGCGGCGCGAGAGTATCGGCAGCAATGGAAGCATACGGAGTAAGCCCAGCATTGCGGATCTCAAGGCGGGCTCCCCGCTGCCCGGAACAACAGAGGAAGAGCAACAGACCGGGCATAGCAGCGCTGTCAGCGGTGCTGGCAGGCTGGGCGATTATGAGCGTATGATGGGTGAGGGCACTGTGTTGGTGTCGCCCAGCGAAGACAAGGATGACCAAGACCCGATGTTGTTCGTTGGTCAGCAAGACGAGCTGGGCGAGAAGGAAGTCTTTGCTAAGCTGGTCAAACCCAGGGTCAGGTACGATGTCGAAGTTGTCACAAAACTAGTCGTGTATGGTGGTAAGTTTCCCTCCATTTTCTCTTCGAATGCAAGCTCCAAAGTTGCGTTGCCGAATTCGTGTTCCGAGGCAGGGATGCCAACAAATTCACGGATGCACCGGCTGTATCATTTAACAAGTGGGGGGCATGCCCGCACCGACTCTACACAAACAAGTGTGGCTTCTCAATGCTGACATGACCTCTAGGTATCGGACTTGTCGCCGTCGATATTGTACCCATCATTTTTCACTTCGTCGGCCTAGGGGTGCCGGTCATCCTAAATTATCACCACAGCTGATGTTGGTCACGCTGATATGAGAAAGCTGGGACCTAAATACACTATATAATGGAACGACGTTTGCATGACTGATATGGAATCTTTTTTTTTTCTTTTTTGTATATATTTGGCTTGGCCTCGCAATGGCCTGAATATATATCGACTCTGTATTGATTGGAGTGAATATAGAGTCCCAAAGCCCCTCGCATCGTTGTTACTTGTCATCTACGAGCTTATATTCTTGGCCTTAATTTTCAAAATGAAAGGACAGACAGGTTTAACGCTGTTGGGAATGTTTTCTAGTACAACATTGAACTCCTGAACATGCAAACAATGGAAGAAGGACGGATAAATAATGATTTGTAGTGATCTAAACTTTTTACTTTCCACATACTTTTTACTATGCTATCTACGTCTCAACCATACATTTTACGGCATCATCTTAAAGGGAGAGAGAGACAAACATGACCGCATGCGCTCTACAGCTGTCATCGCAGATGTTCATCAGCAAGACAAAACGCACGCCACATCTCTCTCCATCTTATCTAGGCGTCCTGGGGACGCGTGACCTCGACGTCGACGACGTGCGTCTCGGCGTCGATGACCTTCTCGGTCGAGGCCGGGTCGCCCTCCTCGCCCTTGGGCCGCATCTGCCGGAACATGGCCATGGGGTCGAACCAGACCTCGACCGACTCGATCTGCAGCTTTTCGTTCACCTTGGCGACGGCGAGGCCCTCGATGTCGATCGAGCCGCCGTGCGCCTTGAGGCTCACTTTTTCGCCCTTGCTGTGGAGGTGTTTCTTGTCAGCGCTCATGCTCCTTTTCGTCTTTTCGCTTTAGGCCTGGAGGGGACGGCGGGGGAATTCGGCCATGGGGACAATGAGGCACAGAGTGAAGGGGTAAAAGAGAGAGAGAGAACGTGTGTGAGAGGGGGACAAAGAAACTTACTCGTTGAACCCGCTGTAATCGGCCTTCATCTCGCCCCAGTGGCGCCACTTGAAGCTGACGGTGGGCGGGCCCGAGTAGACCTCGAGGACCTCCCAGGCGAACGTGGGCATCATGCGCTTGAAGATCTTGTGCGAGGCGTCGAAGTCGTTGCGCACGGGGCAGTAGTGCTCGTTGGCCTCGATGATGGCGTTGTACGTGCCCACCTTGAGCATGTGCTCGCCCGTCTGCGCCGGCCCCCCGTTGACCGAGAACGTGTACTTGCTCCGGTCGATCGTCCGCCAGTCCGCCAGGTCCGTCTTGAACGACGCCTCCACCTCCCAGTTCTTCACCAGCTTCTCCACCAGGTCCGGCAGCGATTGGGCCTCGTGGTTCATCTTCTTGGCTGTGTTGTGGGTTCAAAAGTTAGAAATGATGGTGTTCTCGGTTTTTCAGTCTTCGTCTTCTTCTTCTGATACCAGGGGGAGGATACGTACAGTCTCTCCAGATCTGCCTCGTCTTGCTATAATCAGGGGCTTTGCCATGACGCCACTTGGCGCTGTCGTCCTTCAGGACGGCATTGTCGTCGAGGACATAGTCTGGAAGTGACATGATGAGTTATGATAGAGGGAATACTGGCACTGTGATAGGTAGATGCGGCACGACTGCTTAAGTTGATGCACTTTTTTCTAAAAAAGCAAACAATCCCCAAGAGAACAACAGTATAACGTAAATTCACGGTGCTGAGGAGGGGGACCCCTCCTGTGTTTATAAATCCCCGCCCTGCCATTTGTTGTGCGACTTACCATATTTGTTTTTCTGGTCAGGTCATCTTGCTGCCGAACCATGCACGTTATCGCAATCTTCCCAGGGACGAAACGATTGCGTCCCCTCAAAATGCCTGTGAAAGCTCGGGTGTCGTCTCTTCTCGCGTCTCATGACCCTGGATCTATTGCAGAAGTGCATGATATTATCCACATATATTATCCACGAGCAGTATAGCAGACTGGCAAGGAACAGGGTCCTGCTCTCGACAGAGTGGTCAGGACATGATAGATCGGTCGGCCTTGCAACTTTCGTGCATGCATATACCTGGTCCAGGATACGACTTCAGAAAGTCGTTGTGCATCAGAACCTGTGGCAGAAAGGGGTCGGGTAACACGAATGCGTGGTTTGTTGTGTTGGATCTCGAGCCCATTGGCGGAAGCCGTTGTATCGACCTGCATGCAGCTATGCACTTCTACTCTCGGTTCTGCAGAGTCCTCGCTCTAGATGGAGCATGGTACGGTACAGCGGCCGAGAAAAGTAGTCGGCAACGCGGCACCTCGGCAGGTGGAAAGGGCCTCGATCAGATTTATGAAGGGATGAACAAGAGTCCTGCAAGGAGATCTTTGTTTGTGCATTCCGCAAGGCAAGGAGAGCATTACAGAAAGTCACAGATAGAAGCCGCGGGGAAAACCCAACTTCTACTTTCCAGGAAAATGATTGTAGATCTTGCATATGAGGGTATACATGTTAGGGGGGCCCTTGATCAGACCGGTCAACGACCACGCAGCGTTGCAGTGTGGCGTTCGCTTAATCGCGGTTTGATTTATGTACCCTGGAGAGTCGACGCCTCGCTTGAAACTAAATGCCTTCAAGTTATATGAAAGATTTATGCAAGTCAAAGGAATGTTGTAATAATTTGGTCCCCGTTAAAACCTGCTACGCCCAACTTTCGTCCGAGACTACGGTGGTGGCCCTGGTCGTCGTAGTTCGAGATGCAATGCTGCAGGTCTAAATTAGCAGCGCCAAGGAAGTAGTGGGAATCATTCCATTCTTTCACACGATAGCCGTATGGCCCAGTTTCATTGTCTTCCATTTCGTCACAAATCGGATCTTGCGAGGAAGTCAATCTTGTCATGATGGCCGAAAAGAAAAGAAACGTTCTGCCCACCGTTCTGCCAGATAAAGGATCTTGGGGATCCTTCGGCCCCGCTAGCCACAAGCTTCTCGGGCCGCACGAGCAAAACATGAAAGAGCACGTCTTATTGGTTGTATCCTTATCACAGGGGTTCTCCGCGGCACAGACACCCCCTGTTCCGCTGAGAGGGGTCAAGAAAGGATCAGGAAGGATGTGAATTCCCAGCTACATGATAGGCTACTTAGAAATCAGAACATGGTTGTCATTAGGTGCCAGCAACTCGCAGGGTCGAAGATGTGTCAGAGTTTCGAGACCACGTTCACATCGTTTACATCTGGCGTGGGTGGTGGTAGCGTGTAAGCACAACAAAAAAGCCCCCCCGAATTACAACAAAAATATAACAGCATTGCATGTGTGTCACATGTAAGGCTGTAAGAACTAGTGTTGTAGAACACAAGGAACTTTGCACCAGCCCCTTTGAATACAGCCTGACAGCATACAGCGTGGAAAAGTTCCGGAGCTGCCAGCACCGCCCCAATTTAACCCACATATCCCAAATAGCCACTTGAAACTAACCCCGGATCTACCTTTTTTACTAAATGTTATCTTCTGGGGCTACCTTGCCGGTGGTTCGATTTTTCTTGTCCTCGGACACCAAATGAGCCTAGAAGCCACTCAAGGATAAGGATCCGCTATTATATTCCAGTTCCGCTTGGTCGAACCAAAGACGGCCCTACTCTGGTTGCACCTCGAACAAGAAATGCCGAATATAAGGACCAAGATACGCGGACCAGGCGTGCATACCTCCCTTGCATTTTCGCTGCGTGCTATGAACTCCTAACCTTAGCACAAAGGAGAAAGCATGTTAAACGCCACGGCGCGACAAGCATGGGCTGGGTTGTCCCACCAGCATCCAAGTGTGGCCAGCTTCCAATTCGCAAGGTACGCACACGTGCATAGTATTGGTTATGCGACCAATACTATGGATGCTGACCCTTGTTTCCGGACTGACCTGCACCAATTGATTTCTGGAGCCAGGATGTTCTGGCGCTACTTCCTTACAGCGAGGCTTTTGTACACCACATCCTGCTGGGCAGGCCTTTGGCGATTTGTATTACTTCTCGCTACTCAGAGACAACGAAAGAAGTCTAGTGAGCCATGGCGCCTTATCAGAACGGGAAATTCGACCAACCAACCTTCATGGGTTCCTGGTAGCATGTAATGCCACGCGAGGTAACCCCGAAGACTCGCTACCACTGCAATGTATCTTATGTTGATGACAGTGAACAAAAGTCTTTGCACAACCTGTCCCAGTCGTCTCTCTGCTCATATCATTCCTGATTAAATTCCACGTGCGGCAGGATAGGCTGTCACGGAAACCGACATGATGGCGCCTCTGGATGACCTATTTGCTCGTTATACAGGACAAACGGTTCCAGTCTCCTTTAATGTCGGTTTCGTCGCTCTCAGCTATGTTGTGAGCCTTCTGGGCGCAGGATCAACTCTCGAGTTGATTAACCGGCGCACGTCGTTGAAGGGTCTCTACAATCAGTAAGTTTATATATTGACGTCAGAATCATCAAGGTGGGAATTACTGATCACCTTTACTTCTAGCTTTTTGCTACTGGGTGCAGCTATATCTATGGGAGGCATCGCTATCTGGTCGATGGTTTGTCTTGACTAAAAAATACAAACGATGTGAACACTGTACTGACCAAGCTGGCAGCACTTCATAGCCAACCGTGCAATTATCCTCCTCGATGGCGAACCAGAGGTCCAGATCGCTTACAATACCGGCATCACAGCTGCATCATTCTTTGTTCCTATTCTAGTTCTTTTACTTGCATTTGTAGCCGTCAACTCAAGCGACGAAGTCAAATGGTGGAGGGTCGTGGTCTCCGGATGTCTATCTGGAGGTGCCATCTGCGGCATGCATTATCTTGGCGACGCAGCCATAAGCAACTACCACTGCGTATACGTCACGGCAAATGTCGTCGGGGCTGCAGTAATTGCTGTCACCGCCAGTACCGTCGCCCTGTCGCTATTTTTTGTCTTCAAAGCTGCCTGGACCAACTCATGGATACGACGATGTGGATGTATGATCATATTGGCAGGCGCTGTATCAGGCATGCATTGGTGCGCATCATTGGGCACCCACTATGTTCTGCTGGAGTCAGCTGTCGGTGATAGCGACAGTGGATCGCGGAACACCACGACGATCGTCGTCATCTGTTTATCAGCGGCTGCATCATGCATCCTTGTTTTTGTTTCGGTCCTATCTGCGCGAAATATGAGGAAGTATGCCATCAAGGCGCAGCAGGTTGTCCTGGCAGTGGCGGTATTTGACAAGCATGGGAGAATTCTTGTCAATCCAGACGGCCTCGTTCCCAGCGAGAAGGTCACCGAAACTTTCCCACAGAAATCACACGACGATGTCTTCACTACGGCTCACCCGTTATTCCACTGGATGTACCGCGCATCCAGAAACTGGTCAAGCATCTCTACTTTACTTCCCTGGATTACAACGCATCTCGACAATCTGCCACGCACTACCCGCGGTGCTCGTCACGGCACCAGGCTGTTTGAAGAAAACGGCCAATTAGTAGAGAACTACGACATCATTTTTCGCGAGCTCTTCTGTCTGGCGGCGGACACGCTAGCATCCAGGATGCAGGAAAATATTCAAGATCTTGGAAAACTGTGGGGTGAAATCCTCCATACTGGCGCGGAAGTGAAAACGGCAGCTCGAATGTCGGAAACCTTTGATGTAGTCACCAGGTCAGCACCAAAAGAAGAGGCGAAAGATCTGAGTCAGCTCGAGAGAGGGATTAGCCAAAGAAACGACGGATATGGCCGTGGATCACTCATGTTCCTTGTGCGCCATGTGAAGAGCCAGAGTGAAATCGCAAGGCTGGAAGCTGCCGGCTACAGGTTTGCCGAAACACACAGAGTGATTGATATAATCAAATCGAGTATGCAGATTAAGACTCGCCACCTGGAACAGAAGCTGAGAGAAATGGCCAACCATTCTGAGCTCGACGGCATGCTCGAGCCAGGAGTGCATGTCGGGCTTTTCGCCTTGCGTGCCAGGGTGGACAAGTTTGGATTCGATGTTATGGTTGACGCGGAGACGCGAAGCAATCTTCCAACACAAAAATTGCCATATCGCAAGATGGAGCAATGGCAAAAGGACATTTTGTCTGACGTTGAGGGCTTGCCTGTACAAACACTGCTGATCAGACTTGCCATGATGCAAGACGGTTCGCCGCGCGAAGTGGAGTTTGCCAGTCAGCTGAGGAGCGCCATTGCAAAGCTGAGAGGCGAAATAGACGATACGGCACTTGACAGTGCGGTGCTATCGTCAAAGGTGGTCGAAGCTCCCTGCCTACCATTAGACAACACCCAAACAACACCTACATGCTCTCTCATTACCTTGCAGGTTGTCCTCGATATCAATAGCAGGATCCTAAATCGGAAGTGCGACTTCATCCCACTCCAGTTTCTCAAGGTTCATCAAATGGTGTACGACAACTCTGCCCACCATGCTGCGTTTTCACGGGCTCTGCATCGAGAAATGTCTTCCGTTATGACATTTGACCCTTCACCTCAATCAGTACATAGGTTAGGAAAAAGGACGTTGAGTCACAGCTCATCTATGGTCAACCTCACCAGACCACAAGATGGCTTCTCAGCACCATCCCAATCGTCAGGTCGCACATCACCCGTGTTCGACGAGCCAGAACATACTAAACCCTCGCTTTTCGGGGCATCATGGTCTCGCAAGAGATCGCCATCGAAGTGGCTGAGGTCAAACAGGAGAAAAAGGAGACGATGGCCAGCCGCCTACATATTCACACGCCTTCGCGGACAAGAGGTATCTTGCGCAAGAACTCAGTCAATCTGCAAACTGTCGACACGGGAGGTGGTAAAACAATTGAGATGTGTCGAGTCAAGACCCCGACAACGGCGATATTGAATGGAAATAATTTTGACTTCAATGTTGAAGCCTTCGAAAAAGATCAAGAAGTCACTACCTTTGTCGACGAACTTTTTGCCTCGTGCGTCGAATCGATGCGGCAATAACAAGGGAGATGTATAAGGAGGTGTAAGTGTATAAAAAGTGGGATGGTATCTGCAATTAGGCGCAGCACAAGGCATGATTCAAGTCTGTATGTGCGCTTCTAACGAGACTAGTTTTAGGCCCAAGGTCAACTAGCAAATTTCTATGTATATGTATACCAGTCTGGGAGCGATGTCAAAAAGCGCGAGAGCTCGGTAACCTTGGTGGAGATTGATTTCATTTTCGGCGTGTGGGACTGCTGACGGAGTAACGCAATAATATTGCAAGATACACCGATAGAATACAACTTCCTCGGGGCAGCTGTAATTGGCAGCAAATGGACTTCCTCAATTTCTTTGCTTTTCTGATCTCGAACTATTATTGGCGGACCTCGGCCACGATATCATTGGGGCGGATCAGTGGGCTTGGTCTGACGGGGGCATTAAACCACCACTTGATGAAGTGTCTGTACGTCGAGGCAACGAGAAACGCCAAGAACTTTCCGTGATTCCTTGACAACAGACAGTGGATCATGTGCAAACAAATTCCTTCCATGTACCGATAGCCATTTTGTGGGGTACGCCCATGTCCCTGGGTTCCTGCAGGTGACATGCTGCTATTCTCCGGAATCTGGGGCTCCGCAACAATGCCCAACTGGCTGGAAGGTCACAGATCCCACCAATCAACACAAACGGTTCCACTTCACTATTGCCGCACCAGGTATACGGTAATGAACAATGTTCCTATTCGCGCGCTTCATCTATCGCTTTTGCACTTGGAGCTTGACGTTGGGAGATGATAGTCCCCATCTCTGAGCGATAGGGTCGTTACACGACGAGGCATAGAGAATGATGGAAAGTTTATAAGTGGCCATGCTGATCGACGCAGCTCTTCCTGGGTCGTCTGAAAATGCGGAGAAAAATTAAACCACACTTCATACGCCGTCAAGATGCTCGCGTACGGTCTTCTAACATCCATCTGGGCCCTGCTGTGCCTCCTCGGCTCTGCTGCAGCCTGGACCAACCCTATCAACACTGCCGGCGGTAGTGACCCATTCCTCGTGTACACGGGTGGGTACTTTTACCTGATGACCACAACATGGACCGACGTTGAGATTTCTCGTGCGACTACCATTGCGGGCCTGAAGACAGCCACGAAGAAGGTGGTCTACTCGACCACCACAGCATCACGTTGCTGCAATGTCTGGGCGCCAGAAGTGCACTACTTTGATGGGATATGGTATATCTACTACACAGCGGGCGAATCCGCCGATCTCGATGGACAGAATATCCATGTCCTGAAGGGTAGGTGTTCTGATCAAACCATTAACGGTCCAGAAGCTAATCGCTGTTAGGCGGTGCTACTCCATACGACACCTTCACCTACGCCGCCAAATTGACAAGTCAGTGGTCGATTGATGCATCAATTCTGCGCACCAGCAGCTATGGCAACTTCCTGATGACCTCGTGTTTCAACGGCAATACATATCAATCCATTTGTCTGCAGAAACTGGGCAGTGACTATGTTTCCGGTAAGTGGTGAAACTATGTTAGGCTCTTGGGTGCCTTTGGCACTTGAATAATACTATTCCCATTATAATTCCTCCACATTGGTCATCTAGAAACGGGCGACCATGCTAAACCGAAACTGCGCTAACAATTTCGAAGTTACCGGCTCCGTATACACTATTTCTCAGCCAACGCAATCGTGGGAGACGGTCTCGTACCCAGTGAACGAAGGGCCAGCAGCGCTCTACTTCGGTGGCAAGACCTATATCAGCTACTCGGCCAGCTACTGTTGGAGTGCAAGCTACTGTCTCGGCCTGCTGACCTGGGACGGTACCACAGCGCCCACTTCGGCATCCGCCTGGACCAAGTCGAGCGGTTGCGTGTTCTCGAGCGCCAACGGCAACTACGGCACGGGACACAATGGCTTCTTCCAGAGCCCCGATGGTACCCAGACCTGGATTGTATATCACGCTACGTCCAACAGTGCCGGCGCCTGTGATAACAGCCGGTACACGATGGCTCAGCTATTGGGTACGCACTCTGATGGGTCGCCTAACTTTGGCTCACCGGTGGCCTTCTCGCACGCCTACAGCGAGCCCAGTGGCGAGTGATTTGGATCAGTGGTAGGGCTCGGGTTTGTATGTAGCAAGAGTTTTATAAAAGAAACCGCCTAATCACGGTTCTAGCTTGTCATGATAAATGCACGTACATATTTCGGCTCTTGCATTTCTCCCCGATTGCATTTTTGGAGTCCCAATCAATTCGATAAAGATCAGAGCAATAGATATTTATACACATTAGTTCTGCCCTAAGCCATACGTGCAGCCCTTTCTTGAAATTTCGTTGCTGACACTACGACTTTACGCTTTGGGATTCCGACTCTTACGGGTTCAGATCTTGTCACTAGCCGGACTCGTACACTCCTTCGTAGCAATAAACCCGGAATTCCAAGCACTGTTGCGACGAACGGCATGCCGGCCATCACCTTGTACATCACGACCCACTCCCCGAGTAACGCCATCGTGTCCTGCTCGTCGAACTATTTTTTGACATCCGCGGCAGTGGTGACTGCATCTCCCCGCCGATGCAGCTCGTCATTCGTCGGCACCATCACGATCAGGGTGTACGGCACCGCCAGAAGAGCAGCAATGGCGGCGGACGCAATGAGACGCTGATTCAGAGACGCTGATTCAGAGACGCTGCTGAGAAACACGAAGCCGTGCTCAGCATTAGCCCGCTAAGATCGCCGAGGAGGGACCGATGCTGTGTCCGCGCCAGTAGATCTCCTGCCATTGCCGATTGAGATGGGATTCAGAACCGGCTGGGATGTCTGTGGATGAGACGAAGAATTGCGAAGATTTTGCTGCTTGGGACTAAAGCCCTGGCGGTCGACCTAGCAGAACGGCAGGCACGGTCATATAGTTGATGGTTGTGTTCATGCTGTAGTAAACGGTGGTGGATATGATGCCCGGGGTCCTACTTATGAGTGAGACTCTCGTGGGGTCTAGGGTGCTAAGATTCGCTGACATATTCAATGATAGCGATGATGGACGAATCTATCACTGGCTCTCAGGTTCTACCAGAGGAAAAATTGAGTTGTTTATTATGGAATGATCACTGATATCCTGGATAGAGACCCCCCTAATTTCAGCACTGAACTTGTTCGATTACTATGCAGTGAATAAGTATAGAAGGCATTTATAAGAGCATCTTGATATATATCCCTTAAAAAAGTCCCACCAATTCCTCTCCTTCTAGGTAATAATAAATATTAATGCTTAACACACAGTCGGCATATATAAAGTCGAACTCTAACGACTCCAGCTGATACCAACGATACGTAGATGCTACCAAGTCGTCGTCATCATCATGACGACGACGGCAAGGCATACCGTAGGGGAAGAAGATCATAGCCTAGACAGTAAATCTGTCTGATAAAAGAAGCCTCTTATAGAGCCCTTTAAGCTTATGCTAGTTGCGCTTAGGACATCGACAGTGGTCTTGAAGTAGATCACGCATCCGGCCTAAGACATCAATCTTGCTTTTATTGACTTTGATACGAATATGAGGGGTTGGAAAGGCTTATAAGGTTTTATTCGACAGTAATCTTAGGACAAAGCTCTCCCATTAACGATACGTTGTAATCTGTGTCATATATGAAGCCCTCCATACCAATACCAACGGGTGTGTCAGGTAGTGACTGGAGAGTTTTCAAAGGTTCGGGTGAATTTATTGTTCGCTCAGCTTCATTATTTACATCATGTTTGTGACCACTGTTCTGGGAGCATCGCTCTTCCGAATTGGTCTGTTCCTAATATACAAATTGTAGTTTCCCAGCGTAGCAGTACTTTATTGGAAGAGAAGTGGGGTGATGAGGAGCTCACTGGAATGCCGGTGCTGGTCTTGCTACTAGCACCACTTATGACAACGACATCCTCAGGTTCTGTCACATGATATTTGGTTCCATTTAGAGGGCCACTAGCGGTACGAGTAATCTGAGTCGTCTAAGAAAGGGTATGGCAGCCACGTCTAAGGTCTGGACTTCGAAGAGTAATTCTACAAAAGGTTATCTTGGTGTTGAGATATTGATATTAGAAAAAGAAGCAAAAGCAGCGGAGACGGGATGAACGGGGGAGAGGACGTTGAAATAGACGGGATGGAGTGACCCGTGGTATATTGAATCGGATTCGCAATTATATGATATCGACCCTGCTCCTCAAAGTGTCAGCTGAAAAGCTCGATCTGGTGCTCGTCCGAACTACGGTAATACTCTAGGTGTTTCGTCGTCGAGATACTCGTCTGTGTCATGTAAGCCGAGGCATGCTTGAATACCAGAGGCAAACGAAACAAGTATTCCAGTACGCCCCTCGTGCTTGCAGCATCTCGCATTTGGTTTTTGTCAAGGGCTGCTTGTAGCATTATGCTAGCTTCAGCCTTTTGACATGTCAATTAACCTAGATATGTGACGCTTTGGCACGCTGAGTAGAACGGCGATATCGTGAAAACGTATAGTAAAAAGAATCGATCCATTCGGATTGAATGGTAGATAGTCGCGTATAGAGCCAAGACTAGTATCGCCTAATAGCAAGTCAACATCGTCGGGATTATTAACAATGAGTAGCCGATTGCTGGAGCTCTTCTTAAGGGCCGCCTTTGTTACTTGGTTGCCAGATGCGACATTGTCGAAAAAGAGAACTTGTTATTTAGTGAGTCGCGCGTCTCGAAATACGACTTCGTTCTCTTTGTATTTGGTATATGTGGGCCTAGCCTAGGGATATGTTGTGACTATGCGAGATAAAGCGTGTCTTTTTGTGGGCCGAGGCCAGAGAACTTTCGATTGCTAGAGAACTTGGAAAGATGATCAGTTATACACTTCTTGTCACGTATATCGTTTGTACGTAGCTTGGCGAGGGCATTGAGTAGGATTGTCGGCGGCACGTTTAGACTTCCCGTCTGCTCGCTCTTTCAGCCTAGCCCGGTCTTGCCAACGTCGAACTGCACCACTCCACCGTGCTGTCCGACGGGCTAATTGATAACTACGTCGCCTAACTGGATATCGTTCTCGTCGGCCGGCATTCATCTGACCGGCAGGAAGACAGGCTGCGACGACATTGTGGACAGCGACACGCCCGAAGATATAGATGTCGGTATCGGCCGACTGCGGGGGCGGTTATAGTAAATCGTTATACTTCTCGCCCATCATCTCGGCGGCGGCGGCGACCAGCTCGGTGGGCAGGGCACAGACCCAGCCGACCGTAAAATCAGCCGCCGCGATGGATTTGGCCATGGCATAAGATCAACAATTGCAAGTACTACGAGACTTGCACCTCGCCTATCGGCCTCTCCTCGAGAGCAGACGAGATGATTGCTCGTGAAGCCATGTTAGCGAAGGGTTAAGGCTGGCAGCATCTATTCGGGATTCTACTGTAGCTAGTCTAGACAAAGCGGGGCACAGCTGAGTCTAGGCTGCCAAATTGCCCAGCTGTTGATCGGCGGCCCACGAGGCAGACTGACAGGATACTCGTCCTAGACATTCAGCAAGTTGTGTCACACAAATAATGACGATGTATCAGGAAGTAACTTGGCAGAATTAGATGGAGAGTGTTTAGATGTGGTTCTCTTGCTAATAGTGGAGGTAAACTAGATTAGGTTAACCGATGAGTTAGATTAGTGGACTACGGGCCACACTGAGCCTGTCCACAGTCCCATCCTGTCCAAGTTAGTAAACGGTATTGCCTAGACTAGTTGAAATATATCTGATGCCTTTCTCTCTGCACGAGCGTGACTCTGAATGTCACCACTGCTGGCGGGGGTTTGCCAATAGTAACACACCGCGACAACAATCATGGTAGGGTCGGCGCTCCAAACACCCAATGCAACAGAAGTGACTCGAGACCGTCCAGCCGGAGTCTCGATGCGAAATTTTGGTGCACAGCCGATTGTGCTTGGTGTATGCCGGCAAGACATGGTGCTGCTACCTGGCAAGAACAAGCCACAAGCCTGCTCTCGTTGTGATTCGAGCATGCCAGTAAGTGGTGCAAATTCTTGGCTGCGGCTGATCTCGCTACACGAGACAATTGAAAAATCGGCAGTGTTCGATGCTGCACAATGCACCCTTTCTTCTGGGTCTTCGCCACAATCTTCAACAGGGGGTACATCAATTTAAATCACAGCTACCGCGCCTGGTATTTCGCTGCCGTCTTACAAGCTATATCTGAAGAGCATAGTGGGTTATTCACAGAACGAAATTGCTTTTGGAGAACGAAGACGGCATCCCCGGCACGCCATGGCGACGCCCTCGCAATTTGCCATCACTCAGCGAGGCGCACAGAACAGCATCCTACAAGATGCCATCGCTGATTTTAAGGGCGTACTTACCGATGACTGGCTCCAGAAATTTCGAGACGTACAAGCAGTTCCGAATGCTGATGCCGTCTTGGTATTTACCGCACAGCTCGACTCTGTAAACAGGAGCAGAAGAGGGCAGAGTTACGCAAGTCGTGTCCATTCGTTTCTGTCCTCGGTCCGTAGTTTTTGTGGTGTCGTGGACACTTTTGCATCTGTGAAGCCAGAAGTCGCCGCTCTCGTATGGGGGAGTGTAAAATTGACGATGGAGGTGAGTGGACACCAGCCTATGCTCCAACAGTGCTCAATCGTTGCAGATCATCCTGAACTATACTTCGTACTTTGAAGTGACGTCGAATCTGTTTTTACAATTGGGCAAACTCTTCCCGCTCTTCGCCGAGTACCAAGCCCTGTATCCTACCTCAGACCGACTCCGCCAGTCCCTGTACTATTTCCATGCGTCAATCATCTATTGCTGCAAGCACCTCGTGGTTATCCTGCAACGTTCATGTATGAAGGCACCATGCTACTGAAGGATTCAGCTAAGATTTGACCTAGGGCCACAACAGCTTGTCCAAGCTATGAGGACATCCTTCGAGCAAGAATTCAAGCATGACATGGATAACATTCGAACGTGCAGCGAACGCGTCAGAGATGAGATCCATCTAGCCAAAGCACAAGCTGATCGCCATGACCAGGAACTTCAAGCATTGGAGAGGGAAGTATCATCTAATGATAGGTCTATCATAAAGAAAGCATTGTTGAATTCAAGCGCAAAGTTAGAGAGGATCCGCGCGATGCAGCTGATCAAAAAAGGAAGGGAACATCGTGAGTTACAACTTTTCAATACTCGCCATTCCTGACCAATATTATCAGGAGAACGAATGGTCGAACTAGTGGAGGCTGTTTCGAGGTACGACTATGTAAGACTACTTAAACAGAGTCGTTCCAAGAGATTTCAGAACACAACGAGTTGGATTTTCGAAACATCCGGGTTCCACCGTTGGATCGACGGCAACGGCTCCTTGCTCTGGCTTACAGGTAAAAGTAGGTTCAGTGATATCGTAATTATATAATCAGTACTAATTGATACGAAGTTGGTTCAGGTAAAAGTATTGCTGCGTAAGTGCTTCACCTCAATTTGTTCGACAGCTGCTAATAGGAGCAGTGGAAATGTAATAGACCATATCGTCCGCATCAAGGGGTCTTTAGGTTGCATGGTCTCCTATTTCTTCATACGATCGGATGACCAAGAGTCCTGCACTGCAGATGCAGTCCTCAAGTCCCTTATCCGGCAAAGGCTGGATCCAGCCACGATCTCTCGAGAGGATATACCTGTGCTCCAGGCAATACATTCGTCCAGTTCGGACATTATCAGGTTGCTTGGTAGACTTATGGTTTCGCCGCGAAGTTCATACATTATTGTTGACGGACTAGACGAATGTGATAATTCAAATCAAAAACAGCTACTTGCAGCCCTGTCGTCACTAGCTCGCTCGAGCCCTAACATTAGACTGTTTCTTTCTGGTCGCCCAAGTCTGGACAAGGATTTGCGTAAATATTTCAAGGAATCTGTAGAGTCTCTCGTCATTGGCGGTGACTCTACAGGTGAAGATATCCATGCATATGTTGAGCATATCATCGATGAGAGGATTGACGACGGCGATCTTCGGGTCCGAGACCCTACTTTGGCGCGTACTGTGAAGCAAACACTCATTCGCGGTGCTCAAGGAATGTAAGTACTTAAATTCTCTTGGTTCATTCAATCTAACGTTTCTAGGTTCCTGTGGGTGACTCTACAAGTTGAGGAACTCTGCTCGAAGCACAGCGATCACGACATCCGTGAGACTCTTTATTGCCTGCCAGAAGATTTAGAGGAGACTTACCGTCGAGCACTCCAACGCATAGTGAATCAGAAACACCACCCAATAGCGCAGAGAGTTTTTATGATGATTGCCGCATCGAAGCAATTGCTTACACGAGATGAACTTCAGGAGGTGCTGGCTTTAGAGATTGGTCAGAAATTTATTGAGCCAGCCCGCATGATCAACGATATGGACCGCATCGCATCTTGGTGTGGAAATCTGGTACAAGTTGATGAAGAGGACCAGACCGTCCAGTTTTCACATTCATCGATCCGAGAATTCCTTTTGAAGGGACCTTTAAACCCTGAGCTTGAAGGATTTCATGTTGATTGGGAGTCATCTGACCACAATCTCGGAGAATTATGTTTGACTTACATTGATCTCAACAATTTTAGGCGGATAGTCGCTCGCAGAACCAAGCCGATAGTCTTGGGTAACCCGTTACGAATGGCGCAACCATTTCTCGGGAGTGGAAAACGTATGGCTCTGTTCGCCAAATTTTCGAATACAACAGTAAATGAGTCCTATGAGATAGAGCCGCAAAACTTTGGAACTCAACCCCAATCTTCCTTAGGTGTCGGTTTTGGACATCCCTTCTTGAAATATGCCTCCGTGTACTGGATTGCTCATTCCGAAAACTTCTGGGAGGAAGAAACTAAGACCTGGAAGATATGGAAACAGATCATATTCGAGGGCCATGAGCTGGCGAAGATACCGTGGCAGGAAGCTCCCCTTAGAGACCAAGGATCTATTTTCACTTGGGCTTTGCAAAATCGCCATTTTGCCCTAATGCGGCTCGTGGTCTCAAGCAGTTTAGTCAAAGCTTCTCAGCAAAATGCCTTTGTCCAAAAGGTTATAGAAGATGGCGAGATGAGAAATCTTAATTTCATGATAAAGAGGGGGCTATCTAGCGAGATTTTGAACTTTTCGCTACAAATGTCTGCAAAAATAGGTAATCTGAATGTTATCGAGAGACTGCTAACTGCTGGCGCTGATGTCAACGCAAAGCCAGCATATGAATATGGTCGGACTGCTCTCCAAGCCGCTGCAGAAGGTGGTCATCTAAACGTTGTCGAGAGACTGCTAGCTACTGGCGCTGATATTAATGCACCAGCAGGTATGCATGGTCGGACTGCTCTCCAAGCCGCTGCAAAAGGTGGCCATCTTGATGTTGTCGAGAGACTGCTAGCTGCTGGCGCTGATGTCAATGCAGAGCCAGCACGTATGCATGGTCGGACTGCTCTCCAAGCTGCTGCAAAAGGTGGTCATCTAAGTGTTGTCGAGAGACTGCTAGCTTCTGGCGCTGATATTAATGCACTAGCAGGTATACATGGTCGGACTGCTCTCCAAGCCGCTGCCGAGGGTGGTCATCTAGGTGTTGTCGAGAGACTGCTAGCTGCTGGCGCTGATGTCAATGCAGAGACAGCACGTATGCATGGTCGGACTGCTCTCCAAGCCGCTGCAAAAGGTGGCCATCTTGACGTTGTCGAGAGACTGCTAGCTTCTGGCGCTGATATTAATGCACCAGCAGGTATGCATGGTCGGACTGCTCTCCAAGCCGCTGCAGAGGGTGGTCATCTAGGTGTTGTTGAGAGACTGCTTGCTGCTGGCGCCGATGTCAATGCACCAGCAGGTATTCATGGTCGGACTGCTCTCCAAGCCGCTGCAAAAGGTGGCCATCTAGATATTGTCGAGAGACTGCTAGCTTCTGGCGCTGATATTAATGCACTAGCAGGTATGCATGGTCGGACTGCTCTCCAAGCCGCTGCAGAGGGTGGTTATCTAGGTGTTGTTGAGAGACTGCTTGCTGCTGGCGCCGATGTCAATGCACCAGCAGGTATGCATGGTCGGACTGCTCTCCAAGCCGCTACAGAAGGTGGTCATCTAAACGTTGTCGAGAGACTGCTAGATGCTGGAGCCGATATCAATGCAGAGCCAGCATATGAACATGGTCGGACTGCTCTCCAAGCCACCGCGGAAGGTGGCCATCTTGATGTTGTCGAGAGACTGCTAGATGCTAGCGCCGATATCAATGCAGAGCCAGCATATAAATATGGTCGGACTGCTCTCCAAGCCGCTGCAGAAGGTGACCATCTTGATGTTGTCGAGAAACTGCTAGCTGCTGGCGCTGATGTCAATGCAGAGCCAGCAGGTATGCATGGTCGGACTGCTCTCCAAGCCGCTGCAAAAGGTGGCCATCTAGATATTGTCGAGAGACTGCTAGCTGCTGGCGCTGATATCAATGCAGAGCCAGAAGGTATGCATGGTCGGACTGCTCTCCAAGCCACTGCGGAAGGTGGCCATCTTGACGTTGTCGAGAGACTACTAGATGCTGGCGCCGATGTCAATGCAAGGCCAGCATATGAACATGGTTGGACTGCTCTCCAAGCCGCTGCAGAAGGTGGTTATCTAACTGTTGTCGAGAGACTGCTTGCTGCTGGCGCCGATGTCAACGCAAGGCCAGCATATATACATGGTTGGACTGCTCTCCAAGCCGCTGCAGAGGGTGGTCATCTAGGTGTTGTTGAGAGACTGCTTGCTGCTGGCGCCGATGTTAATGCACCAGCAGGTGTATATGGTCGGACTGCTCTCCAAGCCGCTGCAGAAGGTGGCCATCTTGATGTTGTCGAGAGACTGCTAGCTGATGGCGCTGATGTCAATGCAGAGCCAGCAGGTATGCATGGTCGGACTGCTCTCCAAGCCGCTGCGGAAGGTGGCCATCTTGACGTTGTCGAGAGACTGCTAGATGCTGGCGCCGATGTCAATGCAAGGCCAGCATATGAACATGGTTGGACTGCTCTCCAAGCCGCTGCAAAACGTGGTTATCTAGCTGTTGTCGAGAGACTGCTTGCTGCTGGCGCCGATGTCAATGCACCAGCAGGTGTATATGGTCGGACTGCTCTCCAAGCCGCTATAGAGGGTGACCATCTCGATATCTTCAAGAGATTAAGGGCGGCTTAGCTACCGCACGTATCGGAATGGTCGGCAGACGTATAGATCCCGGCTTTGGCGTCTTCGTGGTTCCTACCATAAGTGTGGCCCTTCTGGAAACGCCTACCAAGATAACAGCCTAGCATGGAAATTGCTTAACGTTAATAACGGGCCTTTACTATGCTTTCCCCCCTTCATGCAGAGCGAAGCTATCCGCAAACTGAGAGGTCACACATTCCTGATCAGTCAGGAAAGGACTGACTTCTGCGACACTCATCGACTCGTCCGGTCAGCGATGCGCAACAGGGTCCAGAAAGAAGAGCCAGGGTAGATCAAGTATCCATCCCTTATCACGAAAATCGAGGAGTCTAACTATTTACATGCCACGTGTAACGATGGTCCTAAAGATGAAGGCGAATATCTAAAGAGAGTGGAAACCCGTATTTAAGAGGACGGAGAGCTATGTCATTCTAGGGAAGTATCAGCTGGCGGAAGGGAGATATCGACCTGCATTAGATATTACCAATGCTTGCTGTGTGCAGTACATCCTTCCGCACTAAACAGCATGGGTATCCTGGCTAACATGCTCGATGACCAAAGGGAAAGGGGGGTAGCACCCATCTAGATAGTTCCTCCTCAAGGTCTCCTTGCCCTTGGACTTATGCCCCAAACTCCGGAAGAAGGTGCACGTCTGTTTGTAGAAACAACGTCCACAATGATTCTCAGCGGATCTGCTACCCCGGAAACCGGTAACAAGGCTGTTGCTCAACATATGAAATCCCAGATGGACGAGGTGCATGTGAAGAGCCTACGACATTGGCTCAAAATTATAGCAAAGAAAGCCGTTTGTTTTCTTAGAAGTTATGGGGAAGAGCCTAAGACGTGATCGACGTCCATCGGTGTGATACAGCCAGAAATTTCTTCTCCCCTAGACTGCAGAGTGAACAGTGGGATAGAGCCAACGATGACTCGCCGCTCGTCTGTGGTTTCATTGGACTGGAAAGACAAGTGCGTATAGCATAGTAAACAGTGTTCTAAGAATATCATAAAAAATATTAGTAGATAGAGTAATTCAAAAGTGTTCAAAAAGCAGTACCGTCTCGTCGACAAGGGATCCCGGAGAAGCCGGTGCGCAAGGAGAATGCTGACAACTTCCTGAGGCGATGTGGCAGTGCCCTCGTCTATCATTCAAACATCCTTTCAGGCGTGAAAGACTCCGAAGGAAAGGGGACGCAGCAAATTTATCGTCTCGAGCTTCGATCGTCATCAGCCGTGTTCGCCGCGTACTACGTTGGCCCGGTAGATTACCCAAGCTGGCGTGCGTCTGTCGTGCGGCATTTCTGACATTAGCTGAATTATGAGTCGGGGGAAAATGAAAAGAAGAGGGGATGCCAATGCGAGCAAGGATGGTAAGACAAGATGAAGTATTTATCATGAAACATCGACCTCACTGTTGAGCATACTGATATTTGCGATCTCAACCAAGTCTCGTGGGTCTGTTCGTGTTGTTCTTACGTAATACATCGTGGCTGGGAACTCGGGGGCTGCAGCCGCACTGGCCCAATATTGTGGTGGCGGTGTCCTATGATAAATCATCTTCATGAACACGTGGTTCTTTATTGAATGTCAAGATCGAACTTTGACTGATATCATACCTACAGAAAAGTAGGTTTGTCAATTAGACTATCATTCACTATCAACTGACTGTCGAGACCATGTCGCTGATTCTACATTCCTAGCATGCGAGAGCCAAACGTATGGCGATATGGTTGATTTATTCAATTACTCCACAAACTGGTCATACTGCTTGGCTGAACCATATGAGATGCGCGCTTCAAGCCGACCGGGTGTTGATTATTGCATTTAGCAACGTCGTCTATTTGGCTTGTTCATTTCTCGTTACAACCAATACATCCTGAAGACGAACAACCATGGGTTGGTCGAACTTGGCGTTTCGATCGACTATTCTGATCATGATCCGCGGAATGGTGACACATACGAACTTTAGGCTTTCGAATTTCATTCCCTTTGGAAGAGTCGTGAAAAGCCCTTTCGTAGTTTTTGAAAGCCTTTCGATAGGTTTATACAATCCAACTTATCCCAGTCCTGGAGAAGCATTGCCACTTCGACCTTTTCCGACGTAACGTCTCCGTAGAGGTAGAATTCGAAGTAAAACTATCCAATGCTCGCCTACATCTTTTCTTGGAAAAGGATAGCAGGTTGCAGGATATTTTTGCCTTAGATGTCGTAGAACGCGTTCGGATCTCCTTGGTGGAATAACAGGAACGGTTTTTCTACCCCAGTGTGAGTTGCTGATAACACTCCTCTCGGGCAACCCCGGTTTATGTATGAGTAATGATGGCGTTGAGGGCCGCGGCTCGCTAGTTTCGTACAGTGAAGAGGTCGTTGTGGTGTATCAGTTTTGATTGCCCAATGAACACGGCTCTCTCGTTACTTCGGATCCCTAACCTCTTAGCACCTTTTGCTTCTTGCTTGCCATTAAAGCTTCCAGATGCTTCAAATTCTCCATTATAGATACAGCAGCGCCCTATAACGTCTTTGAGAAGATTTTATTAAGAAGAAAAGGCAAGATAACAGCCTCAATGACATGATGGTCTGTTTGCGAATAAGTTGTGGTGCGGTCCAAATCAGGTTGAATTTTGAGCATCTCTCGCAGATCAGCGGTGTCAAGGTTGTTCCCGCGCACCTTCCTCAAGAGTCTGTTTGATCTGTCTTCGCCATCATCCTCGCCAATGATAGGATGCAGTGATTTCTCTACCAATTACACAACTGCATCGTATATATCTTCATAGTCCTGATGGGGGCCATGAGACTATTCATTGGTCTGTTTTAGGTATACTTTTAATATACTGGTCTGATTATATCTGGTACACCTTCACTGATACGTGGCTGAAAACTCAAGATGTGTGCTCTGCTTTACTTAAGCTGTTCTCGGGTATCCTTGAGTTCCACTTGAAGCTTTGCTATTTTGTAGTTGAGCTGCCTCACCATTCACTCTGTCCCTGGTCTATCTGCTCTACTCATTTTGTTCAAGTCAATTTACACTCGTATGAGAAATAATGATGCAAATTAGACAGTGCCCAAACATTTAGAGCAAGGGATCATTAGCTACAGGTTCTGGATCCGACAAAAGTATTCGGCAAGGTGTTGTCTGTATATCGCTGCATGACTGATAGTCTGTGAGGGCAAATATGTGACGAATCTTTACATATGTCTTTGTGCTTGATCTTGTAGTCGTTCAGTCGTTATATGCGGAGCGTATAATGTTTTAAGAACAGTGTATTAACAAGAAACAAAGGGATCGCTGAATTGCCAATACGATCCATCATTTCTATGCAGTTTGATCTGGTTTGAACGGCCGTCTTAGGAAACGTTAGGCCAAGATAAGGCACGATATTATTTGAAAACGAATGAAGAGCTCATGGCACTGCGGTTCAAACACTGGGTGATTGAATATGAGGCAATCGCATAAATCCTGACAGTAAAAAGCATAGAGCAAAAGGTTTCTCGTATCTTCTATCGAGCCATGAACGTCTCTTTCACAGAGCATCTACCAAGTACGATGTTATCTATATCCGTGACAAGTTATCACCGTTTTCGGTGCGCCATGGGTATGTGCGCTTATGCATGCCGTTGCCGTGATCCTTGATTCATCCGTTGTCCGCTAAACAGTCATAGTAGAACTCATATTGACACTTAGTACCTGCCATGGTCAGATTGTTCGGTCACTTTCTGCTTTATCCAAAAGAAATACGAGGCCAGTAGCTCATCATGGCCCTTCCAAGCTCTTGCTCTTCAATAAAGAGAGTCCCGGCCACTTAGCTGACCGATGCATACACGGTGAGATTCGCGCCAACGGATGAGACATATCCAGCAGAATTGATAATGACATTTAATACCTACAGATGGTAAGATGGGCTAAGTGTACCATTCTTGATGTCTATCTGGAGTAAAAAACTAGTTCGAGGTTGAAAACATATGGATAATATGAAGCTGACTGATACAAAAGTATGAAATCAGAGTGACTTACAAGTCATGTGGGCACTACCATCAAATCAGCTTCAGAAGTAGCTAAATTCATTAGTGAGTCCCAAAATACCAGCATTTGTTCTTTTCAAGGCTCCGTCGGCAGGATGGGGGTTTTTTTGTGGTGAGTTTGACGAGGTTTTCGCGTTGTTCGTCCTCTTATTTTCTTCTTACCGCTTCTCTTCACATCCTCTCCACATTCTCTCGCGCCAGTCTCAGTTCGTTCTCACGTCGTTTTCGTCCCACACGCTCTGGATGGCAACATTCAGATCATGTAGCCCTCTGATGCCTGACTTGTAGCCGTCAATGGCGCCCTCATGAAGGTCTTGCACTTAGCGCGCCCAGCCAGCTCACATTTGTCGACATCAAAGATGGTGTCGCGCGGAAGCTTACGCTACGGAGACGAATTGTCCGTTTAATGCAATTATACATGGAAAATATGCTGATAAGAAATATTGGTGCGGACTTGTTGGACTTTGGAAACTGAGCGCGATGAAGTAGTTTATCAAGGAAGTAAGTCAATTCTGAGTCTCCCTTGATTAGCACTCTTCTAAGTTAGTAAAATTCCGAGAGATACAATGCCTGATCATGAGTGTGGGCACACTTTTGGCTGGTGAGCAAAGCTCTCACGAATATTATCTGCAGGGCTCCCCTACCAGATGTATAGTAGCTGACAATCTATAAGGCGATATAGTCTCTGAACACGAAAATCTCTCACTAAGTTTTAGGCATATCCAGCTTGTGAGCGTCGGTCGCATCGCCACTGTTAGCTTACCGCTATACGTTGACAACACGGACCGAAATGCTTCACAAGTCCTCGATGACAAGGTAAATCTCTTGGGTCGCGTCAGAGCAGACCTAAGCCATATCGCTCCAGACCAGAGGCACACAGTTAGAGGAGCAGATGGGCTGATGTACTACGAACTAGACTTAAATGTGGAATGGGTCTACTTGTCGAAATCGACATTGTTCACTCTAATTTACAAAGGTGAGTATTGACTTGAGCTTCGAATTCATGTGAGTAACTATGCCCACAAAACTAACAAAACTTCAGGTCAGTGCTATAGCTCAGTAACAATTGAATACATATAGTTCAAGCAAGAGACCCAAGCAAAGATATGGATGGTTGATGTGTTCACTGGCAATACAGTCGCATAGATACTTACCACCATCAGTATAGTACAGGAACCCCACCTGGTTACATAGCGTATTATCGGATTGTCTATCAATGATTCTCCACTATCCTACGTGGTGAGAAAGACTCCCTACGTTTTCTTACGTTTCATGTTTGTAGTGCAGTTATCCACCATGATCCACGCAGAGACCCCCACATTCTTTCCAATTGGGGTAGTCGCTATAGCGTGATCGTCGCACGCAATTCACGTGATAGCTGACGCTATACTGATAACGTATGATCCCGACGTGGTGATCCGAAGTTCCGATTAGATGTAGTGATGCATGGTGCCGAGACTTGGATTGATTTGTAAACTGTATCTGAAACTCATCGTCCCTTCGCGATCTATACTCTAGCTGCAATGACTGTCGATCCGATCCCCCATCTCCGCGTAGCGGTCGTTGGCGGTGGTCCAGGTGGACTGGCAACTGCTATCGCCTTGTCGAAGATTCCAAATGTTGAAGTTGTCATTTACGAGCAGGCAAGCGTACTGCGCGAGGTGGGCGCGGGTATAAGCATTGGAGCAAACACTTGGAATGTGTTAACTCTGCTTGGCGTGGCCGACACACTAACTAGCGGCCACGAGACTTGGGTTCTACATAATTCGTAAGTCATGAATTTCGACTGTGCGACAGGCCCGCGGCTAACACATGATTCAAGGAACGGCCGCTCAGGAGAGGAACTCGCGCGTCGTGAGAAGCCGCGAACTACCAATGGCCGTGCCCCAATCCGCACTCAGCGGACGGCATTACAGTCCGCACTCCTTGCTCATATCAAGCCGGGTGTGATTCAATTGTCCAAGAAACTCGACAACATCGTCGACAAGGGGTTCGAAGGCGTCGAGCTGCATTTCAAAGACGGCACAACGGCTACTGCTGATCTAGTGGTCGGAGCCGATGGCATTCGCTCGGTACTTGTGCCCCCTTTTCATTTCCGTCTTACTCCCCACCCGACAACGACTCGGAAATAACGTCTTCATCTAATACGAACCAAAACAGGTAGTCCGTGACACGGCATGGCCAGACTATGAGATCAAGTTCACGGGGACCACGATATGGCGCACGCTTCTGCGCTGGGACGAGGTGAAGGACCTGGACCCGCGCTTCGAGGTGACCGGGTGGTGGCACTCGCCGACGACGCACGTGTACTTCTCGCCCGTGGGCGAGGGCCTCTGGGAGATCGCCAGCCGCGCGTACCACGACCCGGCCGTTCACAGCGCCAGCAAGGTCAGCTGGGGCGTGCCTGTGGACAACGCGCACGTCGAGTCGCATTTCACCGTACGTCATCGACGCCTCGCTCCGCTCAATGGGCATCGTTTGTGTTGCTCGTGATTGCTGACCTTGTGAAGGAATACTTGCCCGGCATCCGCGAGGCTCTGGCTCGGGTCCCGCAGGGGAATTGGCGTGAGTTCGCCGCCTTCGCTGGACCCGAGCTTCCGCAGCTCACGGCTTGGGATAACAAGATCGTGCTGGTGGGCGATTCATCACATGCCCTGTCCGGCGCCTTTGGATCTGGCGCCGGATTTGCTATGGAGGATGGCTGGGTCCTTGCACAGGCATTATCGCTGTACAGAAACGATCTGAGCAAAGCTCTGCGGTTGTTCGACGAAATCCGGCTGCCGTATTACGCGAAGATGTATGCATACCTTGCGGAGCAGGCAGACGGTAGAAAGAAGAAGCTGGAACAGCTGGGCGACCCGTCTTGGGACGACAGGGTGAAGAATAAACTAATTGTGGATGGAGGTAAAAATATGGACTGGATTTACCAGAACGATATTGAAGCCGTGTGGAATGCTAAGATCACTGAACTGGATGGGCACGCATAAGTGGGTGAGGCTATGAGGTTATGATGACGAAGTTTATGCGATATGATTAGTAGACGGAATAGACTATTCGCATTTCTTAAAGTGGTAGTTGACGATGATCACGGTTAGCACGAGACATGGTGATTGATGGTTATTTCCCGAATCTATTCGTCTCCCTCTGCTCGAAGTTGCTGAGAATAGGCCATAATATACACCACGATACCGAACAAAAGGCCTCTTTTGGGACGAGAGATAGTACTCTGCCATGCAGACTCCCATTGATTTATATCCTAGCATGTATGATGATCTGCTACATGCGATCGATGTGCAGCTGCCCCCCAAATCCCAGTAAATAATACAGAGCGTGATAATTCTTCCTTGAAACGTTTTCCCACTGATATAAAGCCCTTCCAGTCCGTGCAAAACTATACACGTCCCAAAATGTAGGGCATCAGGGAAAGTAGAGGAGCCCGAAATGTGAGTGATTTCTAAAGGGGAATTGTACACGGAGCTTCCTCTCCCCGGGAGTACTACTTTTGGCTCCTCGCTATAACCACGCCTTGTTCCTTCTGGTAGCACATATTTTCCACTCAAACGATCTAAGCTTCAAGGCCAAAACAGCCAACACACCCCCATCTAACCATCCAGGGACAAGCCAGAGTTTAGATTGAGAGGAAGGGAGGAAAACCTCCACGCCCTAGATTGACCACCTAGGATGGCGCACAGGGGGAAAACCCATGCACGAATCGTGGTACTTTTTGCTATTTCAACAATGTTCCAGCTTGTCGACGAGCGAGGCCACATGTGTTTTATGGCCAGGCAGTCCCCAGAGGCTACCGCTCTAGAGTTTGGAGATTTGTTTTCGAGGCGTTGGAGTTCACCTCGTGGTTCGGGTTCGCGAGGGTTGTTGGGGGTGTGTGTGTTCTATTCTGCAATACCTTCAGAGGCCAAGCAACAACTTGGTGGGTTTGAAGTGGGTGGTCGGTGGCCGATATTAGGCCAGCAAGTTGGCCCGGAAGGTTTTGCGGGCTGCAAACCTTATATGACCACATATGGGCGACACCGGAGGGTTAGGGAGGATGTTCAGCGATGCTGTCTGAAAACTTTTCTTGACACAAGTCCGAGAGCGGGACCAAAAGTGTGGACGAGAGCAACGCGTGGTGATCTTCGCTCATCTGACGGCGACCACTATAGGCCGGGTGACATGGCCGGCAATATCGGCTCTCCAGTTCCTACTTTGGAGAGCCTTGTTGCATTTGCTGCCGGCAGATGTCTTTTGGGGTTGCAATCTCATACTGCTCAGCCGAGAGCTGAGCTGCGTAATGGGGGCCTGTGAGACTGTTCTCGAATATTGTGTCATGGGCTGCATCGTAGGTAGCAAAGGCGTAGCAGGAGCCTCGATGATGCCGTTTTTGAAAGTATACAAGAGCCGAGGATCCTGCAGCAGAGTCCTGATGTGAACAAACTTGATCATGTGGTCGCGAAGATCCTTCAAACTCTGCTGTGTCATGCAGAGTCTGGTGGGCGACTTGTCGTAGTGACCCAGGGCGGTGATGGGGACGACGAAGGCGCATTGGGCGTAGACCCAGGAGACCTCTGGCTTGGGCATGAGTTTGCCGCCCTTGAGCTGTAGGTGTGGCTGTTGATCACTGGGGCGCTCGGAGCCTTGGAATGCACGGAAGTCTCGCCAATTCTTAGTCGAGTGGACTCTCTGCTTCCACGGCGCCAAGTAGTTGTTGTACTCGCTGGAGGAATAGGCGGAGATCGTCGTGACGACTGCATGAGTCGAGTCTGGGTCATGGCTGAGAACGATGACCGGGTGGCCAGTGGCTCTCTCAGGCACATGACCGCTTTTAACTAGGCACTCGTGATCCTGTCCGCTTAGGTATTGGTCCTTTTTCAAGAATACAATCTCGCCAGGCTGTGCTTGGAGGCGTTGAGCCCGAGTGAATGATCTTTGGACCCAGGGCTGTTGATAGCCAAGGGCCCATGATTCTTGGGCACGCTGGAGCGAGAGTTGAGGGTCATGTCTAGATTGAGACATGATTGCGGTCAAATGATAATGCAAGAAAGTAAATCAACAATAGAAGGTATGATGACTGAGTGATACAGAATAGCGCGTTATATGGTCGAGGGTGATAACTTCTAGACTCGATCTTCTGGCAAAAGCGACTTAATAGTCAGAGTCAGTGATTGAGACAAGAATTGCAAGAGGGAGAAAAAAAAGAAGAGAGAAGAAAGATCGAAAGGGACGCAGTGGGAGAGGCTTGGTACTTGAATAAAAATTCTAAACTCTTAAGGTTTTTGGTGAATATGTTACACTAGCTGAAGATGCAGCAAGCTAAGGGGGATTTGGATGGCTGATGGGAACCAGCACATTGATGGGCAGTTGCCAAGGAGAACGTGTGAGCCTCGTATCCCTTCGAGACAAAAACCAAGTGCATTGATTAGAAGTATATTGAATGTAGAATGCTGACTTGAATAAATGCTCTCCTGACTCGTGGAGTTCGAGGGAGGCCCCGTTCTCAGTCTTATTGTTACGGACGTTCTGGTCACATTTGAGTTGAGTAAAGCTTGTCTGTTGACAAAATTTCGTAGAATTCGAGCCTGGGCCCAACGCCAAATACACCTAGCTAGCCTTCATGCAGCGATGATGCAAGTAATGTACACACCTTTATGACCTTGACGACCGTCGTTTATTCTGCAGTCAACTCCCCAATCCTCCTCTCGATCTCAGGGACTTGTCTTAGCATGACATCCAGATCTTCCTTCTCATCTTCCAGTTTGAGCCTCTTGTCAGCATCGAGCTTCGTAAAGATATAGTTGCCCTGACCGTCGAATTGCAGGATTCGGCTGTGATATTTCCACAAGCTTCTGCGGTGACTGACAGTCATCAACGTAATGCCCAACTCTTTTGCGGTGTCGTACATGACCTTTTCAGTTTCGAGGGTGACACTGCTGGTGCATTCGTCAAGAATGGCATACCGTGGTTTATGGTAGAAGAGGCGTGCCATGGCTACGCGTTGTTGAAGGCCACCAGACAACACATCTCGCCATTCCGCCTCAGCATCCCAGCCCTCCGGGTACAGTTCAACTAGGTGCTCCAGTCCGAGGATTTTGAGCACGTCAAGAAGCTGCGCATCAGTGACCCCACGAGCTCGGACAGCCCGTAAACTGTCAGGATATGTTATTTGCTGTCGAAGGCTGCCGCGAGATAGATATGGTCGCTGCGGGATGTAGAAGATGTCATGGAACGGAGGCTTATACACAGTACCACCGTAGACCGGCCATAGCCCACCCAGGATTCTGAACAAACTCGACTTTCCACATCCGTTGGGCCCAACGACGAGCAGATGGTCTCCCTGCTTCAGACTAAAAGAGAGAGCTTTGACCAAAACGTCTCCGTTAGGAGAGATGATCGGCACGTCGATGAACTGGATGTCCTTGCTCTCGACAACTTTTCCACGGCCTTGCAGTACCGCAGCGTTGTCCTCTGTTCCCGAGGTCGAAACTAACTTCTTCTCGAAACGGCCGGCCTGAATGTCATCCATGACGTCTAGTAACGAAGCAACGCGTGAGGTGTAACCTGCGAGCTCCATAATCTCCCGGTAAGAAAACATGACTCGCCCGAACGCATCAGACGCGCCGAGCAGCATCCTGCGATTAGTGACAAAAGTCTCCGTCCGATCTCCCATACTGATCACACCACCAGGGCCTGCGAGTTGGCCCGGAAGTTTGAAGAAGACAGGGACGCTACACAACAGCAGTCCAAGAGCGCCCCAAAAGTATTTGATGACAAAGTCTTCCATGACACCATGGTAAAAACGTTGACGCAAGATGTAGTTCACATGCTTGATAAGCGTGAAATAGCCTTTGTCAAGCGTATCCTTTTCAGCTTCATGGCCGGCGTAGAGAGCGATCTCCTCGCTATGATCAATCAACCGAGAATGCTGGAATCGGAATTCTCCCTCGAGTCGTGCTTCATCTGCAACATATTTGCCGAATGGTGGCGTGAGGGCGCGCAGGACATTAGCAGAGAGCTGCACCAGCAGTGACATGAATATAACCCCCTCCCCGCCTACACTCTTTGATAACGAGTACGTGTAGACGGTCTGCCGTTTGATTAGACATGGCACTTGTGATTCCAGCGGTCAGGATGTACTCACCATATCGAGGATAGGCTTGGCCAGGTTACTGTACAGTTCAGCCAGACTGTTTGAAAACCTGGCAACATCCACTGAGATGAGCTGATCTGCGTTCTTTATCCTGTCGTCCAGTGCCGATATGCCGTAGAAGGTGAGCTGCGACAGATATTTGTCGTGAATGTGCTGTGTCAGCCTCGTCCGGTATTTCAGCGACAGTTCGGCTTGATGATATGACAGCATCGAGTTGGTGAAGGTCGCGGGCATGGCAATTACCATCCACCACACGATGCGCAGCAGGAACTCCTTCCCATTTCCCTTGACGAGCGCCTTCACGATGGCACCGTCCATCTCGGCGACCTTCAGGCTGATCAAAGTCCGGATGACCAAGAAGATGCTGTGACTGAGCAGCAGCCGGCTTTCCTTGCTTTGCCAACTGGGTATCACGATCCTCAGCAGTTTGATCAGGGAGCGGAAGAACTCGCGATTGAGCTCGACCTTCTTCTTAGCCGTGGCATCTTTTCCGTCACTAGACGTTGTCCCCGAGCGCCTCTTGGCCTGCTCCCTAGCAGATGCAGCCTTCTGCTCGGATATGGCATGTCGCACACGGTTGACCAGGGCAACGAGAAGAGTCAGGTAGACGGCGCGCGAGATGCGCGTTCGGTTCGAGATATACAAGTCGGTCAGATGCGCGATGGCTTTCTTGATCGACCGATCGGGCAGGACCACCTTGGATTGGACCGCCATGGCGGCGGAGGTCTGGACCGGCGCAGCCCGTGGATGTAGTCGGGCAGGGCCGTAGAAAGCAGGGGGATCAGGTGAGGAGGGAGTTCATCGAAGCACAGCTATGATCAACGGGACGAGTTGTAGGTTTGACGGTTTGGCTCTTTTGGTCATTTGCACATTGCGACTGAGAACATCAAATGGGCTGCTGCCGATTTCGTGTGTCCAAGACGGACATGTAGAGCAAAAGCAGCTGGATCCTCGGCGGAGAGCAACCCCAGGATGCAGTGGCCGCAGCTTACCATTGGATCTGGTGACGCAGGCGCATTCAGTGGCATGTGATTTCCCCCGAATTCCCCAGCTTCAGGATGCCCCATCCCCTGCAAAGGCTTTGGCAAAATGGCCGCTGGGAAACGCTGCAAAATGCGGGTTAGTTGTTAAGGTTAGTCCAGAGTGGCTTTGCAGATGCTGTGGCTTGCCGTGGCGGTGCGTCTTTCTTTTCGTGGGGTAACGACAAGAACCGAATCCATTCCTTTTTGACTTTCGCCGTCCGCGGGGTCGGTCCTGGGACAAAATTTCTAGCTTTGGTCGTCGCATAACTACTCTTCGCGCTCCCGTCTGACTCACCACAGCACTCAACATCTTTGCGACGAGCGGCTTGACTTCTCATAACGTCCAACGCCAAACACGATCGCTAAAAAATGGCCGACGAGGAGGTTGCAGTCTACGACGAGGTCGAGATCGAGGACATGACCTTTGACGAGGCCCAACAGATCTACACCTACCCATGCCCGTGTGGCGATCAATTCCAGATTGCGCTTGCCGACTTGGAGGACGAGTCCACGGATATCGCTGTTTGCCCAAGCTGCAGTCTCATGATCAGGGTCATCTATGACATGGTATGTGCCACTCGCCTGTCCGGAACACCCACATCGCACACAGGAAAGGTCGCTAACACATACCAGGAGAACCTGTGGAAGCCAGAAGACCCCGAACCACCAGCCCAGGAGCAGTCCGCCGAACAGGTCCCCATCGCCGCTTGAATAAGTCACCGACCACGACTCCGAACGGTCGGCGCCGTTGTGCGAACGACACAATGTGCTGCGCAGTATTGCACAAGCCCGCCCGAGCGTCATCTCCGGCCCTGCACATCCAGGGCGTTATACAAGACTGGGTAGCAATAAGCACGGGGCCCAGGACTGCATGGCCACGACTTGGGAACGCTTCCCGAGTCTATAGATATACATCACGACTCTGTAGCGCCCTCCCGCTTCTCAAGTGGTCACCGCACTCACAATACCTGTGCTCCAATGCCACATCAAAAGAGCCCTACAATCCGCCATGTCGTCCCACGGCGGACCGGCCGTATTCCAGGGTTTCACAAGAGGTAAACATACCACACACACCTTAGGTTCAAGCTCATTGGACAAGAATACGATTTGAACCCGAGTCCTTCCCGGTCGACTATAAGTGGTGCTGAGAACGGACTGCTTTGCTTGATACTAGCTAGAGTGGACGAACGAGAAGCCGGCTTGGTCCAATTGCCGTTGTGCTCGGTTACCGAAGCGTGCAAGTGCTGGCACCGTTCCAGCACACGTACCCAGCTACTCACTCCATATCAACTGCTTGCGATATGGACCAACAAACCAAAACCTTCCTGTGTCATTAAAACAGCCAGATTCCGGTGCTCAACTTGTATACACAGCTTGGACTCCTGTGGGTAGCACTTGGCCTTCAGGAAGAATTGAAGTGCATAATTAGGTTTGAAGAAATATATTATAACCTCCCTCACGTTCTAAATCATCTGTCTTAGGTATTTATCATCCAATGTCATGTATAGCCAGAGCACTATTCATCAATGCATATATGCTCAAAAGGTATCCGTGTCCCATGTCCCGTAACCGTGTCCGAGTCCGGTGTGAAAATGCAACCAATAAAACGCCGTGGCAATCCAACCGCCGCCCTGGGAAAGGAGTGTTATGCTGTTGGGTATCTCGTGCTCTCATATGTCGTCCGCCTATCTATCTTTCTTTCCTTGTCGGCATGGCCCCTCGTCTCATAGAAGGCAGAGTCCAGCGATTCCAAACACGATCAAGCTGAATATCGACTTGTCCAATGCCGGCGCTGGAATGTCGGCGGCAGCTGCAGCAGCGTTGGTAGACGGCGAACCGGACGAATCGACCATCTCGGCAGTTGAGCTCTTGGCGACTGCTGCTTCGGGAACAAAAAACAAAACCGTTAGCCAGGAAACGCGAGATGGCGGTGTCTGCAGCAGTTTAAAACACACCTATCGTGCCATTGATGGCAGGCCCTTGGGGATACGAGCTGGTAGCGACATCCTGGCCACCAAGGAGCACTGGGACCTGAGCAGCAACGACGGTGCGTGGTGGCTGGACGGCACAGAGAACCGGAGCGGCGACGACCAGTATCAGATCGGCCGGCCGCATGGTTTGTTTGCAAAGAGCTCTCTGGGGGTGGACTAGGAGTGCATGGGTGGGAAGAGAGCTCCCGAGGGTAGAACAATTCCGTGTGGGAACGGACCGCTTCTGCCTTTTTAAGTGCAAAAGCAAAAAGGCAATGGAAGAAATCAAGATGGCCAAACGGTAAAATGGGCGTTGCCCGCGGCAGCAAGCCACTGGATAATAAACAATACTGGGGAAGATGGGTGCAGGAGGTGGCTGCAGTAGTCCGGGTGGGTGCAACAAGCAAGGTGCAGGTCGCAGGTTGGGGGGCTCTCTCGTGTTGGAGACCTTTGGAGACCTCGGTGGCACAAAAAGCACGGTGGGTAGAGTTATCGCTCGTGTTTTAGTTTATACAAACAGTACTCCGTACTTGCAGTGGGTAGATCGGCTAGGCCTATGTATTTAATATCAATGCAAATGCGGCAGCGGGGGCAGGCGATCGGTAACGAGCTTGACCAGTTCAAGGTTCTGCTCGGTCAAACTTGGAAGAGAACTGCTGTTACCAAGAATCGAGCCCAGACCAGATCACAACGCGACGAGGGAAAAGGTACGTGATGGTGTGGGTGGAATTTTCTAGCGTCAACTTGTACACGATGTGTTCTGCGTTTCTTCTGGTGGTAAGTAACTCTTGCGCCATCGGGAAAAACCTTCTTCATGTGCTGCTGTCGTTTGCGCCCGTTTCACAAGGCCTGCCTTGGAAGTTGACTCGAGGTTGGATGAAAGCGCTTGAGTCAAGGGCCGATTGTGACGGATCCACCAACTTCACATTGGTTTAACTGGAGATGATCGTCCTTATCGCGCAAGTCACGTTGCGGCATATACTTTTTGATCTAAAGTATGCTTACCCTTCTTTAACATGTTGGTTGATGACGGAAAGGGCACAGGGGTATGCGACCGTTTCGTGTCGTCGTTCTCGTTTCTTCGGTCGGGTCCCAGACAACCTGCGTCGCTCCAGCCTCCACGGAGGGCTGGTATCGTTGATCCCCGATGCACTACGAGAGCCTCACGCAAAGGGGGCAACCCCCAACTTATCTTTCCGATGGATGAGACAAAGCAGAGCGGTGGTCCAGCCTCCTCAAGCTTTGTGCTGAAAGCTTCAGCTCTCACGGCAAGCTAGCTGCATGCGAACAGGTCTATCGACTGCACGCCTGAGCCGCTTAACTCTAGCCCATCCCAATAGTTCAGCTCAAAAGTCATAGCTGCTGCATCGCTGCACTTTGGAGCAGAGTCTGACTCTACATGATTTTTCCATAAGCGCAGGAAACATTTATCATCTCGGCCGGGTAATGCCGCTTAGGCTGGGAGTCTGAATCTCATGGTTCTCGAATCTGTGACTTTCAAGATTCTTTCTTGGTACGCATCTTATCAGGGTGACTTATGCATAGAGGGTACGTCATTGGCAAGGGTTCAACGGGAGTGCGGCATGGAGTCTCCCAAGACATGATGCACCATATATGAGGGGGGTCATAACAGCATGTCGTGAACTTCCACACTGGGCTCTTGCAACCTAAGCATCAAGAAACATGCGCTTTATCTCATCATGGAAGCGCAAGAATTCCGTAGCAGGCATATTTGGACTGGTCTGGCTCATGTGCGGTATGCCATTGATTATCACGAAACTTGGTGCTCGGTCGCTTTTCGAATTGCGGCAGTTTGATAATAAGCAAAGTACTGTATCTGATTGCCATGAACGTTTTGATCAAGCACTTTGACCCTTACGAGTTCGTCCGATTTGACACTTGGAAACGATAATGTCATATCAAGACTCGTGCAAGTGCAACGAAAGCAAACGGCAGAGACATGGTCGCATCTATGTTCGTAACCATGTTCGGTCTTTTTCTTTCTTTTTTTCAATCAATGCTTTCCTTGGCCATGAGTGCCGGCGCCACCTGCGGACTGCAACCGGGAGTACTCGCGGGATCTTGTGGAATAGTTCCAGAAGAAATTGAAGTTTGTTGCATCGTCATTGTGCCATGCTCGCACCTATTGAGCACCTGGCGAGAGGGGAAAAGCACGAGCTGCTGTGTCCAGCGCTTGGCAAGGCGTAAGGCGGTTCTCCCCATTGCCAAGGAACGTTTTAAAAAAGAAATATGGGTGACTTGGCGTAGTGAGTGAGCCTTAATATAGCAATCGTAACTCGCGCGTGCATGAGTACCCTTTATCAGATGGAAATTGGTTTTATGATCCGCGGCTGCTGTCGCGTGCGCAAAACATCAAGTCCTGGCTTGGCGCTGTGAGGTACCTGGCGGACCTGAATACTCCGTACGGTACCGCCCATGGTTGATTTTCACCCTCTCTGTTATGTACTACGTAGGGTCAGTCGTCTACGGTCAGATCTAGTCCAGAAGAGCAAATGGCGGAATTTGGAAAGGTAAGACGGCAAAGAGCTGCCCCGCTAAGCCGAATACCCCTGTCGGAGTCAGAAGAAAAGATGGAGAGAAGGAAGCTGGAACCCCTCGGTTGGGTTCCCAATGGCAGAAATCCCATTCGTGGTGGATCGAATTGGCTCTTATCTGCTCCAGTTGACTGGTACCGTCGAGGCTCGGCTGCTTGTGCATGCAGGACAGGTGAACATGACAGTTGAAGAAAGCTGGAGTTTCATGGAGTTGCAGGTCAGAATTTAACTTTGCGCCAGTGACTGCTGCGCCGACATCTCCCCCAAGAGCATCGCGAGCCCTTTTCCAGCGCGTACTTGTGCCGGCGCCCTTTCTCGTGTCTGGCTTTCGCTGCAGCATAAACACCATCCATGACTTTCGCAAAGACGCGCGCGCGCAATACAGAGCAGATTTGTACGAAGAGAAGGCGACCCTCGGGACGCTCGTGACCAGCTCGACTTCTGCCGAAACTGCAAATACCCGCAGGCCTTCCCTCGATGATCCACGAGCTACCTACACATTGCGTAACCTAGGGGCCCAATGGGAACGCAATTCAATGTCCAAACCCGAATAATCTGAAGCAGAAGAGCAGAAATGGCGGGCGACGGTAGCAACAGCCAGGCTGCTGCCAAGGACACAAAGTCCGACAGCGATACGAGTGGGAATGCAAGATCCAAAGACAGCACCCCTACGACGACAGCCACCAGCGCTGTCCCAGCCGCCGCAGGTACTACAGAGACGCATAAAAGTCCCAGAAAGAGGCGCAAAGTCAATCACGGTATGCTGTACCTCGCTGCTAAATTCTCCCATTCACTCGACCCAATGTCGAGGTCGTATCCATAAAATATTGGCTAATTTCGGGCTCGCGTTCCTACAGCTTGTGTCTACTGCCGCCGATCTGTAAGCCACCCATCCAGTCTTGCCCAACATATGCCGCCATCCCTAGCCATTGGGTCCACGTCTGCGCGTATGCGCCTGCGTGAGGCTTTGTCCCCTATCTACCGTTGATCTCTGAGACAGCAGCTGCCATGCGCACGAACCCTGCCTAGCCACTCTCCCACATGGCCTTGATCTGATAGACCCTCCTCCTACGTGTTTTCTCCCGCCCAAGTATGACAATTGGCTAACACTTAGGCTCTTGGGCTTCTAGCATATGACATGCGATCTTGTATGTAAGATCTCTTTTCTTGCATCGTTCCCAGGAGAACGTGGACCAATGGGTCCACGCAGATGGACAATTCACTAAAGCCTGTTGGCGTCACTCTAGGAGAGGCCGTGTACGAGATGCATCAAAAGGAACATAGCTCATCTTTGCCATGACGAGCCCAGAGATCCGGAAGCAAAGAAGTCCAAGACTGGCCATACAGCAGCCAGCCAGGACGAATCAGAGCACCAACCTGACCTCGCGCGAAATTCCATAGACCAAAGCGAGACCGCGGCAATGGGCCCGCCATCTTTTAATGGCAATGGGGCTACCCAGAGCAGCAAGCAAGGTTTTGGTGCAGGTGCAGGTGCGCTGGGCCAGGCAAATCACCTACAGCTTGTGTCACCGAATCCGGTCTCCGGAATACAGGCCAATGCCTCTAACAGCAATATGAACCAATGTAGGTCTTGTAGAACCTTTATGAGCATTTAAGGCCACAGGAAGCTGAGGTGATCGTACAGTTGCCGGATTTTCTGATGCTTGGTTGACTGCTCAAAACCAATTTCACGATATGCACAGCTACAATCCCCAGTACATGCTGGCCCCTGAAGTCACCCATGAATTTAATCTCCTCAACGATTTCTTGAACACCAGTCTCCTCGACGACACTGGGGCTTTACCAGAGGATCAAAATCTGTTCAGAAATCACCAGTCCGACATGGCTGGCTTACCGGGTAGCAACAATCTGCTACCTCCCAGCGCCACGCAAGGTTCCATGTTGCCGCCGAATGCAGAACATGGCAGCTCCATTCCAAGACCAGCAAGCGTCATACCCGTAGACAAAACACGCGATTTCTATCTGCAAGCTGCTGATCCTTCTGGTAACGATACGCCAGAGGAACGCATGCAACGCGTCCTGAAGGCGAAATATGACGCAGGCTTGCTGAAGCCTTTCAACTACATTAAGGGGTATGCACGACTCGGCAAATACATGGATAGCCATATCGCCCCTCCCTCCAAGCAGAAGATCCTACGCCAGCTTGACCGCTTCCGCCCGAAATTCCGCGAGAAGATACATGCCCTTACAGATATGGAGCTCATATACGTTGAGATGTGGTTCGAGCGCACGCTGCTCGAATATGACAGAGTATTTGCAGCAATGGCTGTGCCAGCTTGTTGCTGGAGAAGAACGGGCGAGATATTCCGTGGCAACAAGGAGATGGCGGAGCTAATTCACGTTCCTGTCGAAAGGTTACGGGATGTGAGTCGAGATAAGGCAACAAACACCTTGACGTGGCGCGCTAACGATTCCTTGGGAACAGGGCAATATATCTTTGCACGAAATCTTGACGGAAGAATCCCTCGTTCGGTATTGGGAAGAGTTTGGAACGATCGCCTTTGACCCTGCTCACGACAGTCTGTTGACGGCCTGTGCCTTGAAGAATCCCGACGACGAGTCGAAAGATCCTATAGTAAACTGCGCATTTTCATTCATGATTCGGCGAGATGACCACAAGATGTAAGAATCAACCGCGCTGCTTACGTTTGATGCGTCACTAGACCTGAACCTAAAGCTGACCCCATACAGACCCAGTCTCATAGTGGGAAACTTCCTCCCACATGATCCCGCGCATTGAGCCCCAGACTTCAAAGAACAATTCCCGATCGCCCGCAGCCGAGATGAATGCTGTATTGTATATAAATATGAGGCGTCAAATGTGCTCCTTGTGAACAGGTATTATTTGCTAGTCCGAGGTTGGCCGATTGCGATAGATGACGAGAAGAAGTGGTGAGCCAAGGTGGTATACCTTATCCCGTGCACTTGACGGCGACTACTGAGCACAAATACTGGTCTACCAAGACGTAGTGACCTAGAAATATGTTGTTGCATTCAGTCTAGTGGGTCAATGTAAGGCAAATTGGGAGGTTAATCAAGTTGGATAGTATTCAAGGCAAGTGCGGTCCAGTGGGTGCCTGCCTTCCAACACTCAAGGCGTCATGCTTAACAATACCACATTTTTCAAGCTCAAACCTGAAATCATCACTCCTGCTGCATTTCGAAATTTGTCACTCATCAATCGGGTTTGCATGAACAACGACATTACATCTGCTCTTCTCGAAGGAAAACTGTTGCAGCGTTTTTCCTAGTGAATTCGTCAGTCCGCCATCTTTTCTTCCGCTGAATTACCAATGGCCCCATACTCCCAAACCACCACCGCCGGGAAAAAAGATAAACGTGTAGATGCAATCCTTGGTATGCTGATAGTCTAATCCGCCAGCTTAATCTGACTACTCTGATATCTGAACCATAGCTTTCGCTCAGGAGACGCAGAAGAGACTGCCTAATTTAAGAGACAAGAACCAAATCCAATATTTAAATGACGAGCTCGAGAAACAGATCCGCACTGCCAAATCTCTTTTGACACACGGATTTCAAAGGCGCGAGCAGCTCAACTTAACAGGCACGGATCTTTGGAACCTATGTGTTCGATTGAATCATGATAACGAGGACCAGTTGTTGTCTTTCCGCAGGACCATAACTCTTTGCAGGGTCCTTGCCTTCGAGCTTCTGATGCTAGCAACTGATATCAACAACAATGCACCACCGAATGACTTGATCCGCTTGGCCAAGCTTGCCATCAAAAGCGGAAAATCATGCATTAGTAAGTTGCAGGTTTCTCAAAAAGCGGATACCTACACATCTGCTTAAAGTTGTTTAGATGCAGGCGAAATCGAGTTTGCGCTTCTTGTTCTGCAGAAAGCCGTCGACTACAATGGGATTTTGCAGAAATTGGAGGACGAATTATCAGAGGACGAACAGACCATCCGCAGAAGACTTGAAGCAGAGTATTTCATTCTTCGAACAGTATTAGTAAGCAAGAGTATCACCAACCATGCAGATAGTCACTTACTTCGATTGAGTCGTGGAAAGAAGGCCGCCTCGATGTCGCCGAGCACATGTACGCCAAATCTGAGTCGTTATTGCAGAGGCTGGATTCGATTTCGGCTGAAAGTTTGGCCGACGCCCTCTATGAGATTGGAAACGACCTTCTCCAAAAGAGTGATTTCCTAATGGCCGTCAAGTGGCTCGAAAGAGCGTATGAGCTTATTAACAACCAGGAGCTTGAGCAGCTATCACGAGAAGCCGTCGAACTTCGTCTCTCCATACTGCACAGCCTCGTCCACTCACTTCTAGGTTTGGAATCTACCGAGAGCTTCAAGAGAGCAGAAAACCATGTTGCCTGCGTCGAATCGGAACTTGGAAACAAGCTTGTCGTCTTGCTTCTACGATTGGAAATCCTTCAGAAAGTACCAGCAGAAGTGTTCGACAGCGAGGCTTATGCAAATATTCTTCGACGCATGGTCCGATCAACAGCTCTGAGCGACTCTACATTCAAACTACTTACTAGCCACATTCGCAGACTTTATGACAAAAGCCCTACGCTAGCATTTCAAGTTCTTGACCAGTTCCTTCTTGAAAAACTTGTGCCTTCCGAGAAATTGGAGTGGATTGAACATGCTCTCCTTCTCAGAGTCCTGCTGGCAACGATTCATAGGGACATCTCAGAAACGGTAGATAACTTGAAATTAGTTTTCGACCATACCGCCGAGGGCTTGGGTAGGGCCTTGACTGTCAACCCAGCTCAGGCTATCTTAACGGTTGGCTGTATCCTTCGCCAGACTGACCATTACTAACTGTTATGTAGCTCCTCTGGAAAAAGGTGGAATCACATTCTGCACAAGGGCAACTGGATCTGTGCGAGTCATGGTGCCATTTGGCCACTCACATGTTACTAGAACAACGTGGGCTCATCAACACTGGAAAGATAGGCAGGTCGGTATTAATTAAATTAATTAATTAGTGCAATTAGCTGACCAAGAACCTCAGAAAGCTTATTCTCTGTGCTCTGGAACGAAACGACCTGGACACCGCAAGAGAAGTACTCATGTCTATGGATGAAGGGACTCGAAGCCAACCAATGACTATATATCTGGCTCTGAAGTTAGCACTTCGCATTGACGACTCAGAACTGGCTGTAAGTTGCATCGAAGCAGTAGGTAAAGCAACTCCGAAAGATTCTAAGTTCTTATATGCATGTTGCCTGGATGCACAACAGAGCGGGGACAAAGTCTGCACCTTGAAAGCTCTGAAGCTTCTTGCAGAGAGAAATGGGTTTGGCCAAGATGGCGAAATTCATTTTCCAGCTCTTCTCAGGTCGATTATCCGCGTTCAGTCGTCTTTTCTTGAAGCGAGGGATGCCGCCGTTGATACTGAAATAGTTGTGGACGATCTTTGTAAAACCTTCGAAGGCGGTAAATACTCCGGCGCATTTCGATCTATAGGTAAAATGCTAATGATTCTTTCCAGTTGTGACGATGCTTAAGCGCGACCCCCAGGCTCCTGATGGCACAAAGCTTTTTACCATTCCAGAAATCAATTGGTTCAGCAAAAACGCATACAACTTGGGGATCAAACATGTTTCCAATTGGAAACTGCGATTCGTTATCAGAATACTTGACGCTTGTATTTCAATTGCTCAACATTATCCAAGGGATATGCCACGCCATGAGATGGGAGACATCCTTCTAAGAGATATGTTCTGTCACTTCATGATTGCCACGTCATATATCGCACTGGCCCGCTCGGAAGACAACATCGAGACACAACTGCAGGATTATCTCAATTCGCGCAAGCATGTCAGAGCTTTTGAGACGAGACTCGAGCATATGCCTTCAAATGACGAAGAATGCCACCATGATCTTAGGCTGAAACTAGCCACACTATTTGTTTTCGATTTCGAGGCTTGTATACATTTAAAGGCGTGGGACGAGCTTGTCACTATTGCTCGTAAATCTGGGACTTATAAAGATCTACAAACCCTGCAAGCCATCGCAGACAGTCTACTTAGGGCTCAGCCACCAACGCAAGGTTCGTGTTAAGCTTCCACAAGGGCAACCTCGAGGCTGATAGGTACAGTCGTCTATTCAACATTACGGTCTATCATCAACGATATCTTCAAATTGGAGAAGTTTGATAATGGAAAGCTTGCGAAGTATATGCGCTGTCTCATGAATATCACGATGTCTGATGCAAAACTGTCTTTGATGCTTATTGAGGAAATATCTGTCATGGTGAAACAAGCAGCAGAGGTATCCCATCGTGGTCGCACCTGGGAAACGTGTTCTGACTTCTACCTAGACAAAGAAATCGTTTCCAGAGGTGGAGCTCGAGTGGTTTGCCACGACCTCTTACAACCAAGCGATTGATTATAATCTGAGCAGAGAGGATGAGCTTAGTCGGAAATGGATTGGCCACGCTTTCACATTAGCTTACCATCTCCACGACGGCGGTGTTCTGGAGAAGACAATGCAGAAATGTTATACCAAGTTGAGCTGGGGCCCAGGGTAACAGTAGATAATGGAGACAAACAAGGAGTCGTGATGAGAAAGTTCTGGATCCCAACGTTCTTTTACGTTCAGTGTCTCACAAACCTGCCCAAAAGTTCCGATTAGATCAACTTGACCTCTCCACAGGAAGATTTATAAGGCGATCGACTGCTGGGCCTAAATATTTGCTCGATTTCGTGCATTCGTACTTTGATGATGTCTGAGCCTACCTGGTGGGAACTATGTGCATTGTTATAGTCGTAGCTAATTTGAAGACCAATGTTGTCCCACATAGGAACAATTTTACGAGCTTGGCAACCTAATCAACCAAAATCGCTTCATTTCAGTTGTATATTTACTGTTCGTTGTCAATCGTTTCATCAATACGTCGTCATAATTTCGGGATGATCTAGCCGTCACGTCAAGTTAATGACGTCGATGATTCAGCCGTTGGCGCGTGCTATTTGTACTGCGAAGCTTGATATCACCACTAATTTGTGCATCTCGTACCAACTCCCGAGTCATGCAACATCGTCTTTGTCGGCTAGCTATTTCTACGAAAGATCAAAACATAAGTTACAAACAGCAGAGCAGAAGCAACTCAGGCAAAATGGTCAAGGACAACGAAACAGTCATCGAGTGAGTAGCGCAAGCACTAGCGCGCCAAATCTGGGATATCACTAACACCTGATCCAAGAGAGTTCAATGAGCTCGTCAACATGTCCGCCTTGGACCTCGAGTCCTGGCTCAAAGAAGAGTCTTCCGAGAGCGCGGGCTGGAACAAAGGTGACGGCTCTGGTGAAACCATCGGTCACGAGAGGTGCGGGTTCCTGTATTCTTTTTATTCCCCATGCCCATGAGTAAGTTACTAATAACGAGGAACCTCAGCGGAGGCAAAATCGTTGAAATTCTAACGAAGAACCCGAAGAGGGATCCGGGGAAGTACGAGCAGGATGACGTTGATCACATGCGCAAGGTCGTTGCGTATTGTAAGAGACATCTGGCTCAGGAGGGCAAGGCGAAGCAGGATCCTGATAGTAAGAGTGCGCGGAGTTTGAAGAACTGGGGCCATGATCCGCAGAAGGCTTAAGAGAGATCATTGACGCTACTAGTAACTTGATCTCAGTTTGACTTGTTTTCCTTTATAATATTAGGCCGCCTATCTCATGTTACACGGATTTTCGTGACCTTTGGTGACCCAATCGGCTGACTGGTAGGACCTGGTATGTTCTCTTTACTTCTCATCTTACACCTCCTACCCTTGATACTGGCGTGAAAATCACTGCGCTCTGCTGTGTTATGTCTGTGGAGAGTCGGCATCTCGAAACCATCAGCATGCGATCACATGTAGCCTCGGCTCGACTTTCGGTCCTGCGCGGCTGTGTTGGAATTGCAGTTGGAGTGCTCCGAGCGACCAGGTCGTCTGGGGTTGTTGAGTTTGAGCATCCGAGCGAAGAGTGACTCGAGCATCAGTGCACAGGCAGCTGCTACACCTACGTTTTGTTGTAGGCTGTTAATCAGATAACATGTCAGCAATATCGAATAGCCCTGTAGTCGCAGTGGTTACTCACTGCCCAAAGAACTAGGTCCAACTATGGCTGGCAATTCAATCAGCACTCATGAAAATCGTTGCACGATTTGGTGAGCTGGATATTACCCATAAAGCCTTGTTTGGGTATATGTCGTCGTCTGTTGCATGATCAATTTGACAAAGCCAATAACCATGGCGCTGGGCAGATCTAAGTACAGCATAAATTCTGATCTTTCTAGTCTGAGAAGCGAAAGGGTCATCGATATTTTCTCAACGGCAATACTTCTGACTGCCTTATTGAATGAAACTCATCTCGAGGTACAAGTACCATTCATCGTTGGTAACCGTATCGTAGTGTCATCCAAGAGCACCATTCGCTCCGGCGATGATCTACGTGACCAAACCTCTAGAAAGAGTAGTAGCTATCAGGTATTTAGTCCGAGATGATGATTTGGAGGTACGTTTCAAGATCTGCCACTCTCGGCCGATCAGAGACGTGAGATCCGAAAACAACGTAGACTCTTCATTAGTCGATTCGTTTTGCCCCTTAAACCTTGCGTATTTTTTTGATCTTTGTTGAAGAAGAGCGGCCTCGAAGCTAAAGGGTACTACTCTGCATAGGTAGGGACTTTGGTATCTGCTTCTGATTGCGCTCGAGACAGGGTCAAGGACAACAAGGTCATTCCGCATATGTAAACTTGGCCCCTCAAATTTCTGATATTATTTCAATTCCTGCGTCTGTCTGTAGGCCTTTGTGTAGTTTTATCCGCAAAGCTGCGTTTCATTTCTGTTCTCACTTGTGTCATGTTCTTGCTGCATAGAATACTGGCAACTCTTTAAAGAAAACAGGGATTTCCCCGCTGGTATAAACCATTTCGATGACTTCGTTACCATTCACCTCAACCTCAATCACTATGTACATGAGACCGGGTACTTCCTAGCCTGTCATTAATACTTTATATGGGTCTAGGAAGATCAGTTGAGAAGTTGGTATGGATACCTTCCTGCGCGTGACACTGCTTGTGGAACTCTGGCACAGAATTCTGACACCAACAGTATTGGAACTGGTTCAAATACCAAGATGGCTTTTCTAAGTCACCCGTCTATTATGTTAGGTACACCAGCATGAGTGGCGATGGGGCATACTTCGCTCACAACGGCAGAACAGCAGGCAACGGGCAGGTCTAGTTGATTTGGGGCAACAGCGGCGGTAGCATTTCCGGAACAGGCAAAAATTGTTGCTGGAACACTGACTTTTCGCAATGTTATTCCGAGCCGTAAACGCTACGATAGATGGTCACCTGGGCGTTGACTTTCTTGAAACACACAAGCCAATCGGCGATATGCTCGACACCTTGAGCGGTACGCGGCTGTGATACATATATCTGTAGGGCTATCTATCGCGGGATTATGACGTCCTGAAAAGGGAACGGTCGATGGTCACTTGGCGTAACTATCAATGTTTTGATTATGATTATGCTAGATCAGTGTTTAGCTACTCGTAATTAGGAGATGGTGGTAACATTCATGGCCGCAACCCATGGCTTCCAATAGTTTTCGATGGTGTCAGGGTCCCTCCAACCGCTGAAGTCGAAGCTGGTCAAACCCCAGGTGTCGCCAACCCCCTGCGCACCACTTCTGATCCGGTAGCTACCAGCGTAGGCCCACATCATCCAGCTCACGCTATGTTTCTTGGTGTACTCCTGCATACAGTTCTGCAGGGTGTCGTTGTATAATGTAGAATCTTGAGCGTGTCCGAACTCGGAGAAGATCACTGGAGTAAGACGCTGAGCCGGTGGGCAGTCGTTCGTGATGTTGCACGCCGGAGGGGGATCAATTCCAAGGGCGTTGAATCCGTTTCGATAGAGGCCGGCCTCAACGATAGCGCAGTCGCCGGTATCAAGGTCGTTGGACATTGGGTACAAGTGCAATTCCCAGACGATCTTATCAGCAAACGGGTAGCTGTCAAGATCGAAGTAGACGGGCTCGCGACGTAGAGCATCGCGAACGGCATCGCATTGGTAGCAAGGTGCAGTGAGGATGTTCTTCTTGGTGGTGAGAGCAGACAAATCCTCGTCGAATTGCATGCCGGACCAGGTGATCAAGATGTCGGGGTTAGTCTCATGGATAGCACCTGCGGCTGCGCTCATGTTGCCGACCAAGGTGTTCCAATTGTAGTAAAGGTCCGTAACATTCCACGATGCGCGCAGCTCATTACGCAGAGACATCGAGACGACGTTCGGGTGGTCTTTGGCCCAGTCGGCGACGTAGGAAAGTCCACGCTTCCAGTTGGTCACTTTGAAGTTGTAGTCGTCAAACCAGGCGCCGCCATCGTAGTGCGAGCAGCACCACATGGCCTTGCCAATGTGCACGTCAGGGTGGATGAAGATGCCCTTTTCCAAAGCAATCTTCGCAATATCTGACCAGATCTCGAATCTTCCGGTCTGAGGTGTCCAGCTGGGGTTGTTGGCTACAATGTTCTTGGTCGCCCTTGTTCCGTTTTCGTACCCGAGTGCTAGGATCAGGGAAACTTCGAGCGGTACATCTTCACCATCTCTCAGGTATATGTCGTCGACCATCTCAATCGCATAGCCCCTGTGACAATTAGTCAAGCTCTATGAATAGTCGGGTCACTGGCGACTAACATGCGAACAAAGTTCCACCCAACACTCTTGATGTCTTCCAAAATGTCCTCGGCAGATTTCCACTCGAGGCCTTCCGGAATCATCGTCTCCCCTGAAGCAAATATCAGTACTGTTCCATTGTATTAAAGCGGCAGTAAACTCACCGCTCATGGGCCAATTTACACCAGCCCAGGTAACGGCCTCGCCTTTGCTGTTCACGATGTCACGCCCTTGGGTATTGAAGGGGCCATAGGGCCATGCGTTCGTGGATGTATTATCGGCTCGAGGCATGACATGCGTCTGCCATCTTGGTTCATGGCGGCCAGGTAGAACAGGAGCGATTGGCAGCAACGATGCAGAAACGCATGAGGCTACAGACGCTAGGAGCGCCGTTTGAGCGAATGACTTCATCTTGACTGGTCACCTCGAATATCCAATGGCGTAGACACAGAGATCACTCGGATCGCAATGCCATGTCGTCCGGGGGAACCAGCGATCTTTATTGATAATTCTGTACCCTCGCTAGTGCAGGATCTTCGCTTCATTCGACTAGACACATGCAACATCGCATGCGGGGTTTCCAACATCGTGAGAGTTGCCAGCCATTCTGACCAGACTTGGATGCCGGCTCCGTGTTCCCCGCATCAGATCAAGGCTTTTGCGAGCCATTCACAGGCCTCAATTCACCCCAAAATGACGTTGGAGATGGTGGACAGTTGGAGAATCTGGGGACTCTCCCCACATGTTTGTGGGGTCAGCCAGAGGGTTCATTACCGGAGCACTGATCTTGGGGCCTTGGCACTAGAGATCGGTAGGCTGTTTCCGTTGAACTCAGTTTCTATGGGTACTGTAGCTGGTCTTCATTCGAAGCCTGAGGTGAGAACGGGTCAATGTCGTACGAGAACGCGCGAGGAAATCCCGTATTGTAGTGCATGGTTCCCAAATTGTTCACCTTTGAACCGTGGCGCGCTTGGCTTTTACAGGTTCCGCGCATTCCATAGGCGTGCAGGACTCTCGTGATGATTACGAGATCTTTACGGAGTCTTGATCGTAAAAAGCATTTTTGGAATCAAGCTATAATTTTTTCCGTGTGTATGTGACTGCAGAATGAACTAGAATGCGAAGGTATAATCATGAGGCACTGCGTACCCCATCATAACAGAGTCCTATATCCTCCAGCTTTAGGGAAGCGGGTAGCGGGTTCGCAAGTGGATCGATCCACTAAGGTTAACTAACCTTAGGTTAGTTAGTTATACTACTTATACACTTGTCTTTCGTTCTCCTCAATCGACTCCAAAGACGACTGATACAGGTCATCGTTAAACTCTGCGTACCAAGCGGCCTTTTCATATCCTCCGCTTAACTGCCCGCAATTTCCTGCACGATGCACGTAGTACAATATCTCCCCCAAAAGGCTATCTCTTTTTTTTCTTCTTCCTTTTTTTCTTTTTTCTTTTTGAAGGCCTAAGCCCACTTTCACCTAATGGTAGACTAAATGAACGTGACGCCATTGTGCTCATTATACCTTTATTCTATTTCGTAGCCAATTTGACTTTAATAAGTCCTACTAATTAGTTAAGATGAACAACGACTTTTTCTCCGGTGGAGTAACTATGTTATTGGTGTTGTCCTTAAGCCTGCGTGTGATGACGTGAAAGAACTGCATCCCTTCAAACCTGCCCGGTTTGTAACATCATAAACGAGTACCACAGCGTCGGATCGTTTCATACCAGTCACGGATGTAGCTGAAACAGGCTATTGGTTGAAAATTGTAGGTTAAAGACGCATGCGTGAATGTGCTTCGGTCTTCTTCCCATGCAAAAACGTGATCTGCTTGTAATCCCTGCTGCCGGCTGTTGGATCGTACGGAGGGTCAGAGTTGAATCTGTTGGCTTAGATCCTTATTTAAACGACTTTAGCTTCAAAAGATCATAACCTAAGTATAGTGAAAATGGCACTTGCCCCGGTAAATATGCTCTGCTTCCCGACATTATCCATCGGGTGAAAGACTTCTTGCACACCGTTTGACCTTACGGCTGCGTCGTCTATCCCAATAAAGTTTATTTTTGCTTCTAATAAAACTATACAATAATCAGGTACAACTAGCCATCGTACGGACAACAGAAGAGGAATCCTGTTCAAACCGAATCCAGTTGTCAGTGATCTTTAGGGCGCAAGATCACGATGGCCGCATTCGAAAATTTGTTGTCTTTGTTTGGTTCAATCTAGAGATTTTCTGACAAGCACTTGTTAGATTAGCTGTCGAATGCCTCTGAGATGGTCCAAGTAACTTGCAAATCGACCTCTGTGGTTTCATAATTGCATGCCCATTGTGAGAAGATTCTAAAAATATTCTTACAAGTTATGACCAAAAAAAGGAAGAAACTTACCTCTGGTGAGAAAGTAGAGCTAGAAAAATAATACCATAGAGTCTAACTATTTACCGTGCGGCATTTTCCCAATGAACTGGCTTGGGGCTGAACTGGTTTCGCTTTTTGGTAAGGCATCTCAATTGCATCGTTTTGAGTCTGGACGTTCCGTTCTATGTTAAGAAATTCCAACAGGACAAGGCTCAAAACCTTTGAGAACTAAAGATTTCCTTTATGTAAGCTCGCCTGGCTTGCTGGAACCATGTTTCTCTATCATAGCATAATCCTTCGTCTGATCCAAGGCAATTTTTGTATCGTCGTTGTCAAAAACGACTTAATCGTTGTGAAGGAAGGTCACTCGGAGGATGATGGGCGATTCTGTTGCGAAGAGTGAGATGATACAATTATCATTCGCATCCGGGAAAATTCGTTGTGGCATTGATGTGTGCTTTATCATAACCCATCGGCACGGACAAATTAGCGACTGGAACTGCGATTTTAGGTCCATCCGTTCTATCGGCCAAAGTGACGGGCTTTGATGAGCTTCGATGCTTGAGGGAATTTGGTTGAGGATGACTTTCCTAAGCACATGATCCCAGAGAGCAAGAGCGGGGAGAAAGGACTTTATAACGCGCATCATGATGCCGTGAGTTTCTTGAAGCGGATACTTCTTCAAGACGATGATCACTTTTTATTTCAACGGCAACTTGTGAGATCACGCTGGGTATCGATAGGCTGCTAAGGTCGCAAAACCATGCGGCTCGGCCATCCGAGCTTAGGTAACTGATTACGTATACACATGTAAGTGACAAGTGGTCCATATGTTGACCGGCGCCGTACTGATTTCACAACATTATCTGATTATTAAAAACTCCATGGTAAGAAGCAAGCATGATTAGATGGGCCAATCACCTGCCCACAATAACGCAGAATGCATTCACGCCTTGAGGGGAACAGCCGACCGCCTGACGACCAGATTTGTCGGAAGTGACCCCTGAAGAACTTCTGCTCATTTGTAGTGGTTTTACGCATCTCGGTACCAAGGCTAGTTTCCTGATAAATGTTAACCCCGAAACCCAGTAAGTAGTTGACCTCCAAAACTCCATCTATCGTATGTTGGTTAACGTGTTTGCTTAATCTTTTGTGGGTGCGGCTGTAAATCCCGGAAGAAAACATTAGAGAATGCTCCCTTGCGTAAGTACGCCATATTTTGTGATGATACTGGTTATTTGCACCGAATTGAATTTTGTGTATCGCCAACTATCCGCACGAGTTCCAAGGACTCATTATGCCAGAAGTGATACATGGACCATGGAAATACAATAAGTTCTTTTAAAAGTATGTTGGGCGGCTCTAGATCGTGCTTAGGAATTGACACTGCACATGGAACCTCGCGTCATGCATCAGACCGGGAATCATATATTTGTTAAGCTTTCCGTAATTGTGAATGAACAAGTACCAGTCACACTAAGGTTCTAGGTATTTGGATGAAAATAGTTTTGCCATGGCGTAAATTAGACATATATTAATAAACTGTAATTAGTAGCTAGCTTCTATACACGAACGCATTGACAAATTTTTTCCACCCAGACCACTTCTGATTGCATTATTCGCACATTCACGTTCAACAGTTACCTCTCAGTAGCACTGATGATGTGCTTCTGGCTGTCAGAATCGGTCAGCTCAATCCAGTCTCCACCAGCGCTACAAACGTAACTTAACTCTCATAATATTGTTCCATATATGTCCTATTGGAGGGTCGAAAAATATTTATCGTTTGCCTACGCCATATATACATCGAGGCAGACGAAAGTACATCGGATGATATAGAAAACATGTAGTGGATATCATGAGGTCTAGGTAATCTAAACTACCAGGTGTACGTATGGGTATGGAGGGGGTTTATACTCACAATCAATCGATATGAGGTAGTCATCGACGTTTAAGGTCTTCGTAGAATTGCGAGAATATAGACGTACGATCATTACCAATATAGATAAACACCCAATATAATGGGTGTAGCAAAAGTTGCTCTGCCTAAAACACCAGGTTCCTTGGCGCAATCCTATGGTACGGCTCGCAATTCCACCATTGACATTGGGAGTAAGGTCAACTTAGCTAGGGTTGAGTGGTTGAGGGCGCATGTTGCAATGGAGCTCTTGAATTAACACTGGAGTCATTGGGTTATTACATGTAGTTCTATTGCGAGGCTTGGTTTTTCTTTTCTTTTTTCTTTTGGATGTGTTTCCTTGCTAAACCGGTGAGATTTTCGTTATATAATCTTGTACGACTAGACTTAATGATTGTTAGAATATCGAAATGGCGTTCAAAAGTACAAGAGCTGAGAAAATCCTAGGATCATCCAAGGCTTGAATAGTCCGCCAAGTCTTCACAACTAATATGATTTGACAGAAACCATTTTTCATCTGCGATCAGACTTTGTAATCAGATACACCATAATTGTCTTAAATGAGACCATGATCTCGCCTAAAAGCTCCGGTTAGATTTCACAGCGTGAAGGCCGATTCCAATGCGGGCTGGGACTGCACAACGGATACAAGGGGCCGGACAGGGTTCTTATCCTCAGAGAACAAACAATGCAAGCGCCTTGCACATGCAATGATAGGGAACCAAAAGATGTGATATAGTAGATGATTGGGCAGGGTGGTGGACCTCTCAGAGGTTGCGATTGGTGGCACCAAGCTGCTGGGACATACTATTGATTATGCGCCCGTTTTTGCATGCATGACAGCAACCAAATGGCTCAATATCAGAGCCTCAGACTATTTAGACCGCGTTGAGCCCAGTATTCAAGAGGTTCCTCTTCCCCCAACTCAAATTCCTTCAATTCCCATTCCAGCCTTGTGTTATTGCAAATTTTGTCAAAAATGGCTATGCCCCTTCCCAGTACTACTCTCACACCCGGCTTGGAGTTTCGAGACCACTTCTATACCGATCGATCCAAGGTGTTTGATCACAATGCGGAGAGAGCGCGCGCCATTTTGGAAACGAAACTATCCGTATGTGAGCTTTAAGCATGTTACGATGTGTCGTTCCCGCCGAATTCACTGATGGGAGGAGAGAGTTAACATAATGCCAGGCATTGAACGGTTTGGAGGCCCTGATCCAACTCACATTCGGCGACGTCACACAGTCGAAAGCGCCGATATTCATTGACGCTCGGTGTGGAGCAGCCAGCATATATGACGCAGCTCCACCAGCAACCGAGCCTGACGTTGAGATTACCATTAAACCGGAGTATATAATCCAGTTCTCGGAGGGCGTGCTTGATCCCCGACTGGGCATGTTCAAAGATGCACTATTCCATGAAACATCCATGCCGAAAGGCGATATTCCGAAAGCAGTTCGCTTTGCGGACCTTTTGACTCCGGACCCCCCTGTCGCGCCCAAGCATGCTGATGCCTTCATTGGGCAGGAGCTTCCCAAGCCAACAAGTGACATCTCACAGGTCAAGAGAGACATACAGAAATTCGGCTACGGGTAAGTAGATACTCTTGAGGCTGTCGCCTCTGATCGATAGGCAGTATCGACTGATAGGGGTGGACAGATTTGTTGAAAATGCTCTATCTCAGGAAGAGGTCCGGATCTTGAAAAAGGCAGTCCAAGAACAAGCTGCAGGTGAACGCAAAGATGGAGTAGCAACGTTCGATGGAGGTCCTCACGCGCCCAATCAACGAATTTGGTATGCTCTATGGAACGGATTGCGTAATGCACATCTGACCAGTACAGGAATATAATCAACAGGGGCGACGAGTTTATTGACTTGCTCAACCATCCACTGATTGATGAAGTCATCCCGTGGTATCTCGGGGACCACCCCATAATTTCTTCTTACTCTGCGAATATTGCGCGACCAGGCAATGTCCCCATGCAACTTCATACTGACCAGATGGCAATTACACCACCAAGAAGAGATATTGCCTTCGGCATGAACATCATGTTTTATCTCGAAGACACCACAGATGTTAACGGCGCAACTCGCGTATATCCGGCCTCTCATCTAGGTAATGTCGCACCAAGTGACATATTCACGGTGGTAAGGAGTATTGTGCCGTCATCACACTTTCGCTTTCCGAATGCTGACACGAATTGTTCCCAAGGATGGCTCAGTTGCGGCCGAAGCACCTGCAGGCACGGCACTCGTCTTCGAGAGTCGGCTATGGCACGCGACAGGCCCAAATCGGAAAGAGACGGGCGAGCGACCTGTCATCTTGATATTCTTCATGCGATCCTTCGTGCGGCCCCAGGAAAATGTCTATCTAAGCTTGCGAAAAGAGGTCGAGGCCAAGTTGCCTGATCGCCAGAAAGCGTTCCTCGGTTTCCGTAGTGCGCCTGGAATTGGTGGTCAGGACGGCAATACTCTGGAAGGCCATTATGTTAGCCGCAAGGAGGACGCCATAGGACGACTGCGTGCGCCACACGAGGAGTAGAACTCATAGACATGTAGATATCCAGGGACGACTGTGTGCGACGATTTATCCACCAGATGCTTCCCATAACAGTAAGCATCTCGCGTATCAAAATCATGTTTTTGTGACGTAGGTTGGAATGACCGAGTCTTGGTCGGCCCATCTGGCTCGAAGAGGCACCTAGCTGGTATCTACTCGGGCTATGCTGTTAAAGCGTAGGTCTCCTGTGTCCCGGCAATCCAACGGAAGGATCACCCAAAGGAATCTATCGGATGCTCCAAGTAGCTGCCCATTTCATCTCTTCCAAGGCTGCAGCCTGAGTTCATGGTAGGCTACCCATTCATCCGAACTCGGCATGTCCCCAAAGCTACCATATTACGCCGAGTTCGAGCAACTATTCTCACCAATGTCAGATTAGTATGTCGGTACGCTGTACGTATTGCAAGTCTCATCTGAAGGACCCCTGTTCGGTTCGCCGTCTCGGCAGTGTACTATTAGCTTTTTTTGGGTTTGATTTTCATCTTATTGTTCCTCATGTTCGCTCTTGAGGTTATGCGTATGACCTTTCGTACTTTGAAACGGTGTTACTCCCCCAAGACCAGGTCGGGTTCTCAGTTCATGGATGCTGCGATAGTTTATGCTAGGAGTGCTGTTGACATAGCCCCTTCGAGGGCGATCTTATGTGGCAGAAATTTGCCCAGCTAGCATTGGAACATCCAGATCAGGGGAATCATATTTTCTTATGTATATATCTTGAACAAAACCGAGCCCGGAGTGTAATTTTTCATTCTTTAGCCATTTGGAATGGTGGATATGTAAATGTAACGGAATTACCGCAGACGATGCAGGCTATAACACCCAGTTATATGTTCGACTTACAATTCATGGCACCTGTCATTGAAGTGTTGTCATTTGTAAACTTGCATGGGTTTAAAGCCGAATGTTGACGTCCATACACTCGATCGTCCACTCTCGTCGTCCCAGCAGACTCCTCAACCACTCGATGCCCAAGCCCGTCCACTCAGCCTTGCGCTTGGTGAGCTCGTCAGCTGCAGCGCCTACCAGAGCAGTCGCGGTCGTGTTCAACATGTCGAGAGCGGTCTCATTGAAGCCCTTCTCTCCTTCCAGTACTGTCGTACAGTTCCCAGCGCAATCGTAGTAAGAAGACGGCGAGGACCGGGGCGCGAACCAGTTGCTGCTGAAGTCGAAAAAGCATCGATCGGACCAATAACACGACGTGACGAAGAGGATCAGGAGCAGCACGGAGCAGTACACGCACGGCCGATTCAAGAAGTATGTGCAGACGAAGAAGAGGAAGATGAAGGCGGGCGAGGCATTGGTGGGAATGAAGAGGAGTGGGAGCCAACTGCAGACGTGTAAGCGATCAACATTTGCTGTTCGAGGGAGAGAAGCGATGCAGTGAACATACCTCCTTAAACAGAACATGGCGACGAGAGTCCAAAGGAAGACGTCGGAGCGTGTGAGAGTGCTATAGATTGAGACACGGCTCACTGCTTACAGCAGCGCACGTGCAGTTGCCGTCGGGCGCCCGACGAGGTTATACGCACGACTTGTACCGACAGTTAATCAAGTCTGTTGACAGAACTTGTAAGTGAGGGTGGCGCTCTTCAGCAAGCAGTGGGTTCTGCCGGGTTGAGTCGAGGTTGCTTTTGCAGGTTGTCGAGAACTAAGAAGTAGACTAATTGACGTCGACGCAAGATGTTCTGCATCGGTGCCAAAAAAGCCCCTCCACTGCATTTGAAGATGCGTATTCTCGCTAGACTGGGTTAATAGACTGTCCTTCAGGCACGTTTGTCTGCTGTGGACCTAAAAGCTTAGGCCCGCGCCGCTGGTAAATCACCGCCTCCAGCGAGACGCCTCCCCTGCTCGCTTGCCGGACACTAACTTAGGTCAGAGTGTAGGCCGTTACAACCCACTTGAACGTGCAAATGGTTGCCGGCTGATTGTCGGACGCTCTCTGCTCCTGCGCAGAGCTTTTCCTCGAAAGCGTCACTCACTCGCTAATGTTCATCGGACTTAAGGACAGCCAACCTACAGTACGGATCCGTACATACGGTTTGAGTCGCCCGACACAGGCAAGGATCACCAATTGACAGCGAGGCTGGGATTCGGTCGGGTCACAGCATCACCAATCGCAGTTCCGCTGGACAGCTCACTCTGCATGCATAGCTGTCCAACGACTTGCAGGACAAGCGAATTTCGATCGTCGACAGCTCGCGTCGTTGGACACATCTCTCTCTCCTCAACCCTCAGTCCGCGACTGGATTACGACATCACTTTAACATTATTATCCGAAGCAGCACGACAGTTGCTTTGTTTTGTTGTTTTTGGTTTTGGTTTTGTTGTTCGACTCTGCGACTCGAGGCTCAATCGTAGTTGTCAATTGGCCCATCGATGATTGTTGCTCTCCTGCCCAATTATACTACAGTAGGGTAAGAGCTCGGCAATCGGGCCCAGACTAAGACGAACACAAGCACAAGAACAAGCACAAAGCATTGGGCAGCTCTTCCCGCTCCTGCAAAAAGTTCAGCCACTCGTGTACCTGCCTTCACTGCAGGTGACAGCATTTATTTGTTTGACAATATTCAATTGCCCAATTTCGTCTGACTGCAAACCGCAAACCGCAAAGCGCAAAACACAAACACAACTCACCTGCCCTTGTTTTCTTTTTTCTTTTTCCCTTTTCTTGCTTTACCTCATTCACACCTCCAAAACAAAACACCTCACCTTGGATTGACGAGGCTTCAATTCGGAGCCCACCGTCATCCCACACCTTGCGGCAGCTGTACAGAGTTTAACAAGCTCTAGCTGCTGCATTCGTAGCTCGCTGCTACAGCCAATTCATCATGGCGAGCTATGGCGCACCTGGTGGGAACGACCACCTCAGAGATATGCTTGCGCGCCTACAGTCCGGTCGCAGCGCTGGTAACACAGGCGACGATAACCTTTCGCGTTTTGCCACTCTGAACCAGGCCGCTCAATCTCATGGAGACTACTACGGCGCCGGTGCTAGTGGACACCAGTCCGAAGATCAGGATTCGCCTCTGATGACCGGTTCAGAAGTCTTTGCACCTCCCGCTGCTCCAACACCTCCAATGAACCATTTTTCCCACTCCCACGGTCCTCCCGGTCTCAACCTCGGGCCCATTGGCAGCATGCCGCCTTCTAACAACAATCAATCCGACCAGACAGCCAGTCTGCTCAATCTTCTCAAGTACAAGAACGCTGGTGCTGGTGCTGGTAGCGTACACTCGCATTCGTCCTCGCATTCCCATTCCCAGAGGAACTCCCAGACAGCCGCCCCAGGCCCTCCTGCCTTCGACTTCGATGCTTCTGGTAATCTGCCTTCCCACATCCCGACCCTGCATGCCCCCGTTCCAATGCCGGCCGATCCTCATGGTTTCCTGGCTTCGTTGATGAAGGGTGATTCCCATCACGATCCGTCAAGACAAGAGGTGTCGCAGCCACAAGCTGCAGCCATCAAATGGAACCAAGTACCAGGTCCTACCGATGATACTCAAGCCTACCTTCTCAACTTGCTACAGCGCAAGAAGCCGTCCCAAACAGACCACCCCTCGACGAACGACTCCAGTCAACACGCTGCTTTGACCCCGCCGTCCACCACGCAAGGTTCGTCGCGCGACCATACGAGAGACCTCCACTTGAGCTCCAAGTCGCCTGAGGACATCGCCCAGACCGTGTCCTTGGCACAATCTGACAAGACTAGCCAGCACAGTATCTTTGGACACTTGGACCAGTCTTACGCTGCTCCCTCGCCCCCGACTAATCCCAATTACGCCTCTCCAGCTTCCCAGAATGGTAACTCCCGCAAAACCATGTTCGATTACAAGGACCCGTTCGACGATCTGATCGAGGCACCTTCGCCTCACAACCGTACTCCAAAGTCTGTGACGTCGGGCCACCTTGCTTCCGGTGCCGTGCCTCCCAGCTTTCAGATCCTGAAGAAGGCTTCGAGCGCTGCTTCTTCTCCCGGTGCGCCCGACCACAAACGTCTTAGCTCGCGCCGAAGCCCTGTCATGACCCCAGAGCACGTTGCGCTTGCCAACTTCGAGGCATCTCGATACAGCAGCAACGGCTCGGCCGCGTCAAAGAAGGAGACTGTGTCGAACGCCATTGAAAACCTCGCTGGCGTGGCCGACGAGGAGGCCAAAGAAGCTGTAGCCCGCGCTGAACACGAGGAGGCAGAAGCCAGGATTGCTCGAGAGCTTGAAGAAATGATGGCTGCTAAGAGTGGCGATGAATTTGAGCGCAAGTCCGAGATTGTAGCCCGAGACATTCAGCACGAGCTCGAGAAGGAGGAAAACGCCGGCCTTCTTGAGGATTCTCTGCCACCGGAGCTGGCACAGGCTGTCCAGGATATCGTCGACGACGCGGCTAATACCCAGCCCGCCCTCGCCGACAGCTGGGAGAGCGCTGAGGCTGATGAGATTGTCGTTATTGAGGAAGTCTCGTCTCCTGTCCGAGTCTACAATTTCCCAATGAAACCTTGGATTTCAATCACTCTCCAGGATAACGACGAGCCTCGTCCCCAATTCCGTGATGAGGTTATTTTGGATATTGCACGTGTCAAGAAGGAGTTTGACCAGATTGACCGTAACCTTGTGTCCGCAACGGAGACCTACATCATCTATGGCATGTCCAAGGCCGGTGGTCTTCGTGTCATTCGCCAAGATGACGGACGGGATGCCAAGCTATTTACTGATACCAAGGATCGTATCTTCAATGTCTCGGTCTCTTCAACACCTGCCGATTTGAACTCTGCCCACAAAGAGTCTATCATTGGTACCGGTATCAGTGGTACCGTCTACTACACGCTGATCAAGAACGGTGACAAGGATTACCTGGACGATGCACACCCTGAACAGCATGGCTTTGCTCTTCCACCCGTCAGCACTCAAGAAGGAGACGCCCCTGGAGGTGTTCTCAAGACCCGTGCCAGAACTTCATCCACTCACCCGGAGTACTTTGCTGTTGGTCGTGGAAAGACGATCAGCATTATCTGGCCGTCTTACATTATGCAGCACAACCTCTTTAAACCTGGACATGACCGAGTCGTCGATACTGAAAGACTTTCGAAGCAGTGCTCGCTGAGGATCAACACCGGTAAGGCCGGCAAGGACTTCACCTTCAGTCAGGATGACACCACTATCGTGTCTCTCGACAAGTCAGGCCGCGTCAAGTTCTGGGATGTCCGGGACTTGACTGCCGCTGCTGAAGGTTCGGATCCAAGATTCCCAACTCCCGCACAAACTTCTCTGGAGGTGAAGGAGCCGCTCATGACGCTCACAACGACCCCCGAGAACGAGAAAGCGTGGCCAACCTCTGTTATACTGCTGGATAAGCAACGGCCGTATCAGAAGCGTTGTGCCTTGCGGTACATGATTGTGGGCATGAAGCAGAACCATACTTTGCAGCTCTGGGATCTTGCTCTCGGCAAGCCGGTGCAAGAGTTCAACTTACCCCATTCCAAGGAGTCTGATGCAGTTTGTAGTGTAATGTATCATCCGCCTACTGGCATGATCGTCGTCGGCCATCCCACCCGAAACTCTATCTATCTCCTTCACCTGTCTGCGCCTAAGTACACGATTAAGGGTCTGTCTCAGGTTGACTTCATTCAGAAACTTGTTGCCAGAGATTCGTCTATCCCAGAGCCCGATTCTACCGCCGTCATTAGTGGTGTACGCGAGTATTCCTTCTCTAACAAGGGAGTGATACGAAGTTTGGACATGCTGTGTCACCCTGCGGCAAGCACTGAGGATGATGAACAGACCCTCTTCGAGCTCTATGCGATGCACTCGAAGGGCGTATCTGGTATCTGCGTCAAACAGCACGAGCTCGGCTGGACAAAGGACAATAAGGTTGTCGCCCCTGTCGATGCTCTTGAGACTGGCGTCGTGAAGATCACCAAGTTGAAGGAGCTCCCGGCCGCCCAGCCCACCGAAGTTCCACCCACAGAGGAGTCCGTGTCGCTGCCTATTCGTACCGCTGGTCGCGCATCGAAAGATAAGGAGAATGCACAAACAACCTCTGGTGATGATGTCGGACGCAAGATTGCTGATGATGTTGCTCTCTCTGTTCTCCAACCCGAGCGCAAACAAGCTGAGCCTCCTGCCACTCCTCTCAACCAGGAGAAGGCAGAACGCAGATCCCGCAAGAAGAAGGACAAAGCAGCTGCGGCCGCAGCTGAGAGAGCTCTTCTCGCCGAAAATGGATCCTCGCAATCCGCGCAGAAGAACATTGAGATGAAGCCTCCTACCCAGGCACAACCATCCATGTCTGCCGAGTCTCTTCAGGCTGCTGTCAAGCAGGTGGAAACCACTGTCAGCAATGCCATTGAGCAGGCTATGAAGGAGAACCGCCAGAAGGTCGACAGTGAGCTTCGTGGTCGCGACAACGCATTCAAGAAAAGCCAGCAAAACCTGCTCGATTTTGTTTCCAATTCTCTCGATACCAATGTGCAGCGAGTTTTGACAGCCACCATTACGGATCAGATTGACACTCGAGTCCTTCCTGCCCTTGAAGAGGCAATGCGCGCAACCGTAACAGAGCAGATCAGCCGCACTGTTTCAGATCAGATCGACGCCAAAATTGGAGGACGAGTTTCGCACGCTGTCCAAAATCAAATGCAGAAGCTCCTCCCCAACGCAGTCGGACAAGCGCTGCTAAAGCCGGATTTGACCAAGGCTATTACCAAGCAGGTTTCTGAAGGACTGGGCGATGCTGTTTTGAAGACTTTCCATGACGCCCTTCATGACACCGTCGCACCAGTCTTCAGCAATATGGTTGTTGCTGCCGCCGATACGATGATTCTCGATATCAGAAAATCAGCTGCCTCTCAGATTGAGGAATTGGAACAGAAGATACACGCCGATCACAACAAGATTGATCAGCTTACAGACATGGTGACCCGCCTGTCCGAGACGGTTGTTACAATGTCCAGAAACCAGGCCGAGTTCCAATCGCGTTATGAGAAAGCCCAAGAGGAACTTGTCCGCGAACGTCAGTCGCAGAGCCACGCTCACGGTCAAAAACAGGTCCAGCATCCTCAACAAGGCCACCAACAGCAGCCCAGTTTTGGTGCCAGCCAGAACTCTTCTCGGCATCAAGCATATGCCAGCCCTTCTGCCCATTCCGGTAACCAGGTCGTTGTTCATGATCATGGTTCCACCGACCAGGTCCTCGATCGCCAATTGGCCGAACTCGCCAATCAAGTCGACAATGGAGAACTTGAGGGTGCTCTTGTTCGATGGCTCCAGTCCGATCGTAAGGAAGAAATCTTTGGCCACTTTTTTGCCAAACTCGATGCTCGCATGGTGCGCAACGTCTCCCCTCTCGTGGGTCTAGCCGTTATTGCCGAGCTCTCCCGTGATTTGAACACTCGTTACCTTCGTGAGAAGATCTTCTGGATGTCATCTGTTGTCGGAGGACTCAGTGATGCCTTACCAAACATTGTAAGTGTCGAAGTGATTGAAGATTTAATCTCTCCAACATTTGCTAACAAATTTGTGCCACAGGACGGTCAGGTTCACGAGGTGATCCCAAACATCCTGAGTGGTTTCATCAGCCAGATGGAGAGCCTCTACGGCCGCGTTATGACCCAATTGCCAGGCGGCGATCCCATCTTGAAGCATATTTCATCGACCGTCAGCAATGCTAGGCGAGTGATCGATGCTGCTATAAATACAAAACTTACCGACTACTAAGCGTCGTGTTCCCAATCTGGGTATCAATATGTATAGATTGTTGTACAGATTTGGCACCATTTTCCTTCTATCAGTTTGTGCTTCTGCCGTTCCGGGACGAAGTTTTCACGAATCACGATGGGACGATTTTACCTACGGCTCTCGGCACCCATATTACGGACATACCCCGGTGTTCACGGTTGTGGTTCATTGCACGCACGTTTCGGCGTGTCATCATGGTTAATAGTGATGCATCCGTTCTATGAAACTCGACTCTGCTATGTTGTGGCACTGCGGACCGGGCTTCTCAGAATAGATGCATGGTGGGGAGGAGTTAGATTGCGGTTGTTATGTGGAGTGCAGATCAAGTCTGCTTGTAATTATGGTTCTCGTAGGGGTGGTACTCGAGAGCATTTGCACAAAATAAAATGGCGCGGACCCTATTGGTTCACAGCACGAAAGTTTGAGAAGCTACTGTATTCTGACTTGTTCACCTGAAAATATATCCTAAACGTATTGCACGAGACAACTTGTCCATTGTGGCAAGCAGAAAAGTAGAACATGGATTTAACAGCACTTGGTCAACCTGACTATCTTACGCGATATGTTCGTGGTTCTATGCCGGACTTTCTTAAACGTGTCGTTGTTGTCTGTGAACCTAATGTCTGTTAAGGATATCCGCCACAGCTCATGAATTTGACAGCAAGAGTCGCAAGAATAAGTAGAAGCACCAAAACAGCCACCCACCAAAGATAGGGCGCCCTCCTCGATTTTGCATGCTCCAGGATGTCGCAGCTATTGATGTAACGCTCGACTGTCAAAGTACCGAGTGCAGGAGGATATACACGGGTCAGGGCGGCAGGTAATGTATGTGTACTATGAATAAATAAAAGTATTTACATGAAAGTCTGTTTTTCTTCGCCGCAACTCTGCATCTCGGCATGCTGATTTCTACTGTGCTGAACCAACGAGACGACCCCTGTCTACGCGAATGCAGCGAAGCCAAGCTCAACAGCAGCACCGGTGGTGATGCGGGCGTGCTGGAGGACGTGGTCAAAGTTGACCTTGTCCATGGTGTCCTGGGCCGTGTGGATCGATTGCAAGTGGTCCTCGAAGGCAGACTCAAAGACCATGGCGGACGGGTAGCCAGCCTTGGAAGCAGAAGCGTGGTCGGAGCAGGCGTAGCCGCACTTGGTGTCGACGTAAGGGATATCGGAGTACTGTCATCACGGTCTTGATCAATAACGTGTGCAACACCGATAATTTGGGGGCAGGGGGGTCTCTTGGGCAACAGTGCTTACAGCGTCAAGAACCAGGCGGATGAAGTTGGTCAAGGCGGTGTCGACGTTGTCGACGATAAGTCCCATCTGGTCCGTCTTACCGGCACCGACGTAGCCGGTCATGTCCTGTTGGAGCATAGCCTTGACGTCGCGGCCTGCCGAAGCGTAGCTCTGGAAGATGGCCTGGCTGCCGAGCAGACCTCCTTCCTCAGCAGAGTACCAGTGGAACTCGATGGTGTTGGGGGCTTGGCCGGCGGCGACACGCTTGTCGCTGAGGAGGACGCGGAGCGCCTCTAGGATGGTGATGGAACCGGAACCATCATCATCTGATTATGAATCAGCACAATACATCATACAACACTCAAAAAAAAAAAACTAACCAGCACCAGGAGCGCGGCCGTTCATAGGGCTAGCCTGGTTGATCGAGTCCTGGTGGGCACCAAGGACGATAGTCTTTGTGCTCAGGCCTGGAATGGTAGCAATGATACTGCTCTGACCCCAGGTGTGGGGGAAGAACTTGGCGGTGACGCCCTTGGCGCCTGTGCTGGCAATCGTGGAGTTAACCAGTTGGCCGAGCCAGGCAGAGGACTGCTTTCCGTAAGTCGACTTGTAATAACGGTTCTGGAAGTCGGAGAAGGTCTGGAGGTTTGACTTCATCAAAGTCTTGTTGAGCGAGGGCAGCAGAGCTTCAACGGCGGTCTGTTGGGCGACAGCCGTAGGGAAGACAACAGCAGCGGCCTTGACCTGACTGGTAGTAAAGTCGTTCGTGAAGTCGGCAAAGTCTGTGATATCGAAGAAGTTCTTGCCCTCCTATTTCAGAGTTAGGGTATATTGAAAAGAAACTTGTATAGCTACTATGTTCCCAAGCTTCGCCTTTATTGTCTGTTCTAGGTAGGGAATCGCCAAGAATATCTTCGCGGCGTTTAAGACTGCCAAATAAATAAGCGATAACTTACAGCCTTCAGGGCATATTTCTCTGCCTCTGTCACTTGCTTGGTCACGCCGGGCGCAAGCTCGATGGTATATAGTTGTTGTGCCTCCTTACGTGCCACATTAAGGGCCGTCGCAGAAGCGACAAGAGCCGCGAGGAGAAGGGATCGGACCATGTCGTCGGTAAAGTGAAAAGTCACAGGTCTATGAAAGATCCAGAGGATTAAGAGTGAGGTAATGAAGCAAGGTAAAACGACAATAAGAGGGTGGCGTATGGTTTGGTATATATAGTGTGGTACCCACGACACTCACGACATGGTGTGTTCAGGTCACTGATGAAATAGCAATCGCCGGGTTTGGCATGACAAGACAAAAATACTAATGTGAGCTGCACTGTACTCTGCAGGGAGCCTGCCAATCAGCAAGACTTTGAACCTTCCAAATGGGGATTTGGTTGTATTCGACCCATCGCCAAGAGGCGGATCCTTGCATACCTGGCGAGAATATGGTCTAACCTCGATGCTGCGTTGCAGCTTGGAAGCCGTAAGAAGATCGTGCTGAGGTTACCTAGAATGGATAGGATCACGTTCCACTCACTCAGCTTCCAAGAAAAATAAGAAAATACGGGACAGGCTACTAAGCCATGTGATGTAACCCTTGGCAGGGCACGGTAGATGATATGTCTTCTCTGCAGATCACGGTAATCTGGGCCGAGAAGAAGCTTATTTCAGCTCGGTCACGTTACCAAGATCTAGTTAAGATGACTTAGAGACTTGAGAACTTTTGTAAGAAAGCGCTCCGACGTTCATTTGGTGCTTTGATATAGTGGTCCGCTATATATATAGAGAGAGAGAGAGAGAGAGAGAGAGAGAGAGAAAGAGAGAGAGAGAGAGGGAGGAGAGAAAGAGAGAAAGAGATAAGTCATAATCGACGCTCGCCGCGGAGCATTGCTAATACAACGCAGGCTATCATAAAATCGCCTTGTGCCAGTGAACAAGCAATGCTCACAACTATTGCCACAGACCTACGACACTGCAGAAGTCCTGCTGACTCTAGAAGACCAACGAAATCAAAAGTCGATGCACGGCGAGACTCTATCGGAAAAGACAGACGCGGAAATGCAGCGCTGGTTCTGTTCCCCCCTGTGGATCATGATGAGATGATGGCATTGTCGTACTCGAGGAGAAGCCGAGCTTAACAGAGCTTAGCAGAGCTTGGGTTGCAAAGAAAGGAAAGCTAGCAGTGGCAGCTTCCACAAGCATCGTAGTCGCCGAATCGTGTTGTAATAGCCAAGCTTCGTACAACTTGCCCCACGTTCGCGATGGCAGGTCAAGCTCTGCCGTGCTGGCTTGGCGGTAATGCAGGCCCTAAGACGGGAAGGTTGGAGTTTCTGCCAAGCCTTCAGTATGATTGTGGGTAAAGAAGGATCAGACCTACTCCAAGTGTTCAAATAACAGCCAAGAAGACCGCTATTTACTGTACAATCGGAAGAAATCCTAGTGCAAGTATTGGGTAATGATCTCCTGAAAGATTTGAACTGGACTGGGAAATAAAATGGAATAGCTCTGCCTGATGTATATTCTATATCTTCCATATCAAGAGGAAATTTCAGCGATCGACTGACAGGGGAGTGCAGTGGATGGGTAGTATGGGGTAGCGGGCGCAGGGCACCGAAACTTTGGCGGGTCGCCTAAGGATCTTTTATCCTTAACCTTATTTCTCTTATCGGATCCACCCCATTCATACTCGCTGTCTTCGTCTTCAGGCGAAGTTCCTTAACTCTACTTCGCTTCTGGCCATAGACACCACAATGAAGTGGTATTCGTGCCTGCGACGAAATCTATCTCTCGAGGCTGCACCAATGGTCAAAGGATGTAGAAATGTATAGAACGGAGGAAGAAATTGGCATCGCAATCAAGGAAGCGGGCCTTACCCGCGAAACGCTCTTTATCATTGACAAAGTTGCTTAAGGCATTGACGACAACCCTGTGGCAATCGAACCAAAGTCTCGAGAAGACGCAGATCCAATACTTTAATCTGTATGTCCTTTGCCTAATCTATACGAAAGTTCATCTTTACTTAATGTCGTACAGAGCTATCTGATTCACATTCTGTTCTTCGCCACATCAGATGCCGACTTTCAGCGTGCTTGGAAGTAAACGGAGGAGATTAAGAAAGCTAGCAAGGCTATGTTGATCGGGGTGAGTAACTACCTGAGGTCTCAAGTCCAATCAACATTCTGGAGCGCAACTGATTTACATGCTCTCGGCCACATCGAATGCCATGAGTATCTTCAACGCGGAAATGATCATGTTCCATGGCTACGCCAACATAGAACCCAGGTTGGCTCGTTCAAGGGGCTGACTCCTGCCTTCCAGGCTCCTGATGGGTCTTTGCAGCAGCTCTTGGCGCTCATAGCAAACGCGCACGACACCAGTCATGTTGTCGCACTTCTCGCTTGGATAATACAGAGCAACATCGTTGCTGTTGCCACCACGCGGAAGCCTGAGAGACCGGACGATCATTTCTAGGCTCTGAATATCAAGTTGACACACGAGGACGTACGAGAGATGACGGTTGTAAGCTCATATACTATTTTCGCACATCTAAGACGATCGTTCGTGAGAATTTCCAACGAGTTTTCTGAAGCACTCATCTGCCAGTTCCTCACACCAATCAGATATAGTTGATTATTGGCGCACTTCATATTGAGGCGTTAATGAGAATCTAGCCCGGCATTGGCCAAAGAAACCGCATAAATTCGATGCGTCCAAGATCGTCATCTTATGTCCAGTTTATCTGTCCATAAGACGCTTCTTAATGGACACTGCGGCTAACTCGGCTTATGCGGGTCTGTTAGAAGCTCCCATTTGGAATCACTGGATATAAATGGGTATGATGTACATAAGGTGAGCATGTTGTTAGAACCTGCCCTCAAATGCTGACTGCTACCCATAAAATTGTAATGTTGATGGGAGAGCTTCCCTGTCTCCGGTTACAACCCAAAGTCGAAACCCGATCTGTTAGAATGCAGTCATGGCAAGAGAAGTCTCCACGCAATCCAACATCATTTCCAGTGACTTGTAGTGCGGTGTGTGTTCCAAGGGACGATCGCGTCAGAGCACAGTCGCCCTTTTGCTCCCAGAAAATACGAAAATGTGCAGGTTGCTTTCACAAATCACTGAGTGACCAGACCTTCGGAAACTTTGGGCAACGGCACCGGCACGTCTCAATGGTAGTGGCGCACGGCGATCAGCCACTGGTGGGGCCACGGACGGCTCAATTATGCCGTTGTCAGAATACGCCGCTGATAGGTTGCGCCAAGCTGCTTTATAATATCACGATTACAGATCCAATCATATGATATGAGCGTGATTGACATGTTGTCGTAGCTCTGCGTAATTTGAGCAGTATAAGTAGTGCCATAATGATTTTGTTACGTTATTGAGCCTCAGGCGTCTCCATTTCTCAACGAACCCATTGATTTACACGTCGGGGAACGCTTACCTTAACCTAATCGTATGACTTGAACCTATCGCCAACATGAGCCAACAAATTAAAGCATGGACGTTCACTCATGGAGGGTTTCCGAATGCGCTGCAACAATCGGGACTTCCAGCCGACGTAGCACCACTCAAGCCATCAGAGATTCGTGTCCGAGTCAAAGCAGCAGCCCTTAACCCCGTCGATATTCGGATAATGGGAATCCCCTTATGGCCATATATCCCAAGTTCCGTTTTCCCGGCTCGCAAGGGAGTCGGCGAGGACTTCTCGGGCGTGGTGGAGGAGGCAGGAAAGGATTCCGGCTTCAAGCCTGGCAACGAGATCTTCGGCATCATCCCATACCTCCCCGGAGGCACCCTCCAAGAGACAGTCAGAATCGACACGCATTCCAAGGGATCGATAGTACTCCCGAAGCCGGCCGACTGGTCCTGGGAACAGGCCGCCGCGCTCCCACTCGTGTGGCTGACGGCCCAAACGACCATCGCCGCGGTCGCGCCCCATGTCAAGAACGGGAGGGTCGTCATCCTGGGCGGCAGCTCCAGCTCCGGGATGTACAGCGTCTATCTGGCGAAACAGCGCGGCTGGGCGGTGACGGCGACGTGTTCCGGTCGGAATGCGGACTTTGTCCGCGGCATGGGTGCGGACGACATCGTCGACTATACGACCACGAGCGTGCCCACGAAAGTCAAGGCGTTTGACCCCGATGCCATAATCGACTACGTCGGAGGGACAGAGTGTGTTGGCCTCGCCAGGAGATATGCGACCGTCGTCGGCGACAAGACGAATCGCATGGCCATGGGCGGCCGGAACGTGTACTTGTGGAACCCCCGGATGATCCTGCGCGCTCTTCTGGGACGGCTAGGGCTGGGGCTTTCTTACACATGTATCGATCTCGAGTTCAAGGCCGCATACTTGGAGGACCTTCTGCTCCTCCCCAAGGACAAGATTACCATCGATAGCACATTTGACTTTGACCAGGTTGTGGAGGCTTACAAGAAGCTTAACACGGGACGGACAAGGGGAAAGGTGGTGATTAAGGTCGCTACGTAAACACAACGCTATGGGAGGGAGAAGGAGGTAGACTTGAGAACGATTCGGTCACATTTTTAGAGCGACTACAAATACCCGTAATTCATCTGAGACTAGGTATGCACTGCAACATTCTGCGGCTCCTGAATCCTAAGTAGGGTTCTTATTTCGTTGGCAGTCCCTAACGAAATTAGAGTAATTCCCGATAGAAGTTATCATCTATTTCCATCAAGATTCTCTTTGATCAAGCTCTCTCCTTGTAGAATATTTTCTGCGCCATCGTTAACATCACAGCTCGGAACAGTGCTTCCATCTCTGAATCGCATGGAGCAAGACCGTTCGTAACGCGAGCGCTACTATCGTGTAGATCGCCGTAGATTGTCTCGTTGACATCTGCGCATATTGCCTCCCAGTTCTTAATCCCAGGCGAGGAAGGATATCTTGTTCGAATCGCAGAAACTGAAGGCGTATATGGTTGTCTCCAGGCTCTTGAAAATGGCACTTTTCTAGGTTTCTTTTACCTTTTTATCGTCCCACAAACGGTACATTAACATGTCTAAGGGTGAAAGATTTCGAAGCATCCCATCGTTTTATTGGGGACTCGTTCGCACCTGGTCGGCGCAATCAGCGAATACATTATCAGCATGGGACTAGAATTCCGCTTAAATAAAACGCTCATATTTCAAAGGGACGATACGTAAATCTTTCGGGTAGGCTTCTGCTATGAGTGAAATGGCCACCGGCATGACGTAGCGTTTGACTGGCTCTTTTATTTTTATTTTGTTAATCGAAATACGAGGGGGTTTGTAAGAGGACAGAGGTTTTGATTTACGAGTGTTGTCGCTCTCTCTAGTAGCTGGCCTTGCAGTTGTCAGGGCATTGACATCCGGCTTTGAAGGACCACTCCCAGAAGCTGGAGCAGGACTTTTCCAAAGCTACACAGATAGCAATTTCCGGATCTTTTGATTGATGGGTTAGAGCCTGGGTCTATCATTACAGCGGATAGCGAAACAGTGAAGGGGCCTACCTACCGAAAGTTGCAGCGATTTGTAGGTGTCGGAGTGTTCTGTTGGTGGCACGGTGGTGTAGCATCGAAGACTTTCACAATTTAGCAGACGGAGCCTACCAGGACGCAGAACTCGGTCGTTTCGGTAAAAGTGTCTGCTTCGGAGCTACCGTGATGACCTCCTTGATTGATTCTATGAATTTTGGCACACTTGGTGAAGGGGTGAAGCTGCTCAAACTTGGAAATTCTTCAGTTCTGGACCAAAAGTGAAGATGGTTGAGCACCCTCCTGTACCGCTTGCTTGGTATGGCAACCGTTGTGACAAGTGGCTCAACTGGAACGGTAGGCGCTGCAGTAGCCACGTTGGGGGCTTTTGTGCTGGGTTTGGGTTTCTTTAACGGCCGACCGTTGAACTCAAAGCTTGATTCAACTGCAAGGAGCCATGGGCACGGGTTCGCTGTCAAGTAATACCTACAACAAGTACAACAGCGAGATAAGCTACGCATTCACCAGCAATATCACGGACAAGATCTACTGAGTTATCTGATCTGTTTTCAAATTTGAAGGAAGGTGATACATTCAAGTACTGTGACACCTCTGTCCTCCTTGCACTCCCCGTAAATGCTCATCTTTGAAAGTACAAATGCTCCCAAGCCCGCTATGCGTTGACCAAAACCCGCCCACACTCCGAATGTCTGGAGTTAAATCAGCCCTATATTCCCAACGCCGAAAAGTCTCAAAGTCCAACACAATATCCCATTCGCCAATCCTTAAGCCAAGAGATGAACGCCCCATCCAGCGACTCCGTGCTCCCCGAGTTTCACGTACATTTGTACAGGACGTGTAGCGACGACGATGGTCATGTAAACGGGTAATCGACGGGAAGATGTCTACCGAGGCTATTTGAGACTGGGAGAAAGTCACAAATCCACCCAATAGTTGCTGATCTTCTGCACGGACAGACCATGGTTTGTTGCGCTCTTGGGCATTGGTCGCATCCCCATTTTAGGGTATTGATGCGTCATCAAACACAGCTTCGGCGTCGAAGAGGCTGTCAATGTCGTCGACATCGACATCGGCATCGTCCTCATCAGCCTCCAGGGCCATCAGCAACTCATCCGCCAGGCCAGTGAGATCGTCGCCTGCGTTCTCGCCATCGCCTAGCCTTTCGGTTACGGCAGATGGAGATACCGGTTCGAGAGACTCGGGGGTGCGGTACGCCACAGGTTCTGTCGTCACAGCTTCAGCGTCGAAGAGGCTGTCAATGTCGTCGACATCGACATCGGCATCGTCCTCATCTGCCTCCAGGGCCATCAGCAACTCATCCTCCAGGCCAGTGAGATCGTCAACCGTCTCGCCATCACCATCGCTTAGCCCTTCGGTTGCGGCAGGCGGAGACAGCGTTTCGAGAGACGCGGGAGTGCGGTATGCCGCGGGTTCTGTCGCCACAGCTTGCCGGATGTCGGTCTGATGATGAGGACCATGGCTATCAGCTCCACCTTGGTAATAGCTCATGGCCGTGGCGAGTGCATCTCGTCCGACATGCAAGCGAACCAGCTCGTCCCGTTCAGCAGAGTCCCCCATGCGCCTGGCGCGATCGATGGCCTTGCTTAGGCCGCTGATGTAATTGGCTGCGCGCTCTTCGAAGCGACTCTTAGCGGCAATCAGCGGACGATGGACCGGCTTCTGCGCCCGATCCATGTCCGATGTGTCGCCAATCTGAGCCATCACTTCTCTGGCAGCATCCAAAATCGCGCCAGCACTCTCAGGTAATGGAACAAGCAGGTCATAACAGAGCCCCATGTCTGGAAAAAGCGCGCCGAGCCTATCCACCCATTGCTGAACCCCATATGCTGACGCCTCACGAGCGCGTACCCCGCGCTCGCAGTGCTTGAATCCGGAGTGTAGAAGGCAGAGTGCCTTCAGAAGTGGCTGGAACTTCAACCCGTTTGAACGGACAGACTCTTCCAGATCCCCCAAGACGGCCTCGTTGGATCGTCCGTCTCTGCCGTCGCGAAGACATGGTATACCCTTCTTCACGCACGCCGGGCACTGTTCCTCGCTTGAGCATGCAGTTTTACTCCTTCTGCATGCTTGGCAAGCCTTGCGGCCAACCTTCCTCTTCTTGAGTTGGCCTTGCGTGCCATCTGGCGATTCAGACGGAGATGTTAGGGCCAAGGGATCGGTGTATGTGGGTGAAGATTCTTCGGGCTCCTCCCGCTTCCTCTTCTCGCCCTTGCTACGCTGCAACCCGGCACTCTGTGGCACTGATGGGTTTGCGACCGAAGGTACTCGGTGCTGTACCGGGCCGAGAACCACCGCAGCGCTGGTAAGACGTGGGGTGGTGACTTCTGACTGCGCCCACTCTAAATCTTCGCCGGTATTCTGCTGTCCGCTGTGGCCGGCCGCCGAAGCGAAAAATCCAGACAACGGGCCTAGGTCCTCCTCCACACCAAAAGGGTAGTCGTCATAACTGACAGGCTGTGCTGCGGCCTGCCAATCTAAACCCCTAAAATTGATGAGAGGGTTCTGGACGACTTGTGCACGAGCATACGCATCGTTGAACGAGGATGCTGGGACAAGCCCCTGGGCCGGATATGTCTGTGCCATGCCCAATGGTGCTGGTGGAAGATACTCCATAGGAGTGTTGATGAGAGCGGGATTTGGATAGGAGCCAAAGCCCGAGATCTGCGATTCGCCCATGTAGTGTCCCATGCCTCGAGGCATATGGACATAGTGAGACGAGACAGTGCTAGGGTGGACGTATCCTCCGGCACTATTTGCCTGTGGGACCTGTAAGTGGCCCGCGGGTTGTGATGCGTACCACGCGTCTACCGAAGGGGCAACAGCATCTGTCATCTGAGGGACCTGGAGGTCTCCCATTCGCTGTGACTGGTGCTGTGCAGTAGCCTCGGGAGCCGCCTCTGGGTACTGCTGCCAGAGTTGTGATGCGAAGAAGGCATCGAAGTTAAAGTCCTCCGAGTCTCCATTATTGTAACCCGACATCTTAACTCGTGACGAGAGGAAAGTATGCAGAGGTTACGATATGAAGGGATGGATGGTGAGAGGGATGGAGGGATGAAAGTAAAAAGAAACAGGTAGCGGGATAGGCGAAGCTATACAAGACGACGTAGAGGATAACAGTCAAGGCTGATATCGCTCGCCGATGTCTGAGATGTTCGTTAGACAATACAAATTCTTCAATGTGTATGAAAAGAAAATACGTACCGATTGTAGAAGCTTGGAACTTCAGATTGTCTTGACACTGCTCTTTGGTTTGAAGTTGGGATTCTCGTCACACTGGTGTATGAGTTGAATTTCTGATTCAGGTCAAACTGTGGCATGATTCGGGGACGAAATAAATGGTACTATTGATGAGAACTCCAATGGAATTTATATCCTCGCTTGAGCATATTTCTTTAGTGTTGTCTCGTCCAGATCCGCCAGAGGACCTTAACAATTGTTAAGCTTCATGCTGGATATGTTTCGGACAGGCTGAAAAAAATCACAACCAAAGACTGAAGTAAATTTTAATGATTTTGGACCAGCCAAAACTGCCTCGCATCCACCCATGGGCCAAGTGTACTGATGGAACCGTCTGCGAGAAGAGTGCTGATATGGAATATTGTTAGGGGGACGCCTGTTCCGTCAAGCAGAATCTTAACGTGCCTGTGTTCATGGTACTTGTTGTGGAGCATAGCACCAGCTCGCATTGGAAACTCAAACCACTGCTCTGTGCTAAAAGATTTTTTTTTCCTTGTGGAAGAGTTTTCTTCGTACTGTGACGGTCTTCTGATTTTTTCTTTTCTTCTGGCCCAGCCCAGGTTTTGGCAAAACTTATTCAGGCAGCACTGGCGTAAGCAATGATTCTGCTTTCGAGCTCATAATTGTTAGGAAGATTAGATAGTGCCATATGATGTTCTGATTTTATTCGGTACAGTGGTTCGGTTTGAATTTGTTCAGTGCTGCGCTACGATCTGCATTTATTCAGTGCTGTAATTTGTTCATCTACACTAGAATGCTGAGAAGAGGCATCGATGCGTGCTCATGGTTCAAATTACACCAACGCGGAGACGTGCTAGAGCCTTCGACGAAATATCTGTCGTCGTTGTTTCGATGATTGATTTATTGCTACTCCGACCGTACCTGGCGGTGTCTACCTAGCGTTGTCGCCATCTACTATAGCATGACCGTTGACTGCCAAGAAATGTCCGCACTAACAATTTACGAATGCGGTAATTTGCAGTGGGGACAAACCTGGGGTAGTCTAGTCTGGCTGTTGAATCCAGGACCTTCCACACATGCATGATCTTGCTCAACCCCCACCTCTATGGGGCTATATCCAGCTCTGCCATGAACCTAGTTCGGACGAGACAAGCGTATATGGCCGCCATAATCTTGCTCGTCCGTTGTTATGCTCTGTTCTGAACCTGGCTCGGGAGTGCGACAAGTGTATATGCATGATGTGACATCATTTTGTGACAATCGGTGAAAACTTTTCTCTTCTCTGACTGCTGTTCTTCCAAAATGTTCTCTGCAGAGGCATTCAGCTAGCTGGATTTTCCCACAACGTTTAGCACATCCTGAGAAGCATCTTAGCTGGGTCAGATCTACGTTATTGTTAGACTAGTCGCGTGGTTCTGAGACTGCAGAGAACGTCCGATGCCGGTTGGGGACGTTCTTGGAGTAACACGAGGGCTGCACGCAGAGCCTTTGTCGGAGTACATCACGGAACGGAACGCACAACGGGCGGCTGCTTCCTCGACTTCGTGGCCCCTCATCGAAACTGCCCAATTAGAAATGGTGGGCCTTCGCTCAGCCTCCTCAGGGCAAATAATGGTACAAATATAACTGTTTCAACTCAGACACCTTTTTTCCTGGTGATAATACAGTGCAAGAAACATCCTGCTGGCTTCTATCAAACACTAGTCAGGACAACTGCATCAATTCATTCCATTAATTTTCAGTGACCATTGACTCCAGCCTATCAGAAATGCCGAGTCCGGTGCTATTCTACATCATCGTGGGTTCTTCAAAACAACGGCTATTATTTCATGTCGTGGCTAAAATATATCCTGTTCAGTTAACATTCGGTCTAGTTGCAGCGGCAATGTAAGCTATCTATCACCATGGCGTGTATGAAGTGTTTGTTCTAGATGTATTGTGTTGTTAATCCAACCTGCTCAAGCTATGTCCTCGTCAGTTCCAGCAACTTGTCTTTGCCAATCTCGCTGGGCACTCGAATCCTTACCATCATCCTCCCCGTCCTCGCGACCGCAAATGTGTACTTGACGCCGCGTTTGCAGTCAATATCTCGAGCGCAGAAGGGTCGGGCGCTCGCCGTGCTCGTCCCCGCAATCCTGCAAGTCGCCCAGGGAATCCTGACCGTCATCCTGGCGACTTTGGCATTCGAGGGCCTGATTCCGGGTGTCAACCTGAACTGCAATCTACATAACGTATGGCAGCAGCTGTGGAAAAGCCATGACTCGCGGTCTATCGAGAGAATCCAGGATGCGTTCAACTGCTGTGGGCTGGTCTCGTTGAGAGATATGTCGGAGCCTCACCACGGGACCGACACGGGCATGTGCAGTTCGCTGTATCACAGATCTAGCCCTTGTGCCGGCCCCTGGACTAGTGCTATGCAGCGTAACTCGGGTGTCGAGTTCGGCGTTGCCATTGCTGTCGGGATACTGCAAGTATGTACTCCAGAACACCACCTGCCTCCTCATACACTAACCTGGTAGTTGTTGGACCTTACCCTATTCCGTTTGGGAAGCGTCCTCTCCCAGTCGAGGCGAGGATTCAGACCGCTTCTCCAAAGTTCGAGATCAGGCCGAGACGCTCGGTTGCTGGAGAACGGCCCAGACGAAGAAGACCATACCGCCGAAGCCGAGGATGTTACCGAATCAGGGACTCAAGACTACGGGACCACAAACAATGGCGCCAATCCCCGTGTTGAGCCTTCTAATCTTGGTGACGACGCTAGCCCTTGGCGAAGCTGAGAGGTTCTACAGCATGACGAGCAGCTACATCGGTTCTGTCTGCATACCTAGCATGACAAAGTTCGCATGTGTTTTTATATTTTCTCTACACGTGGATGAAAGGTGGACAAAAGTCACGGTTCTCTGCTCGATTCAATTCAAGAATGTATCTTGCGAGATACACGGAACCAGGATAAAACAAAAGTGTGCAAGTCGTAGTTCTTTTAGTACCAAGTATAAAATTTATGAGATAGAATACCAGTCGCTCAGAGACGCCAAAGTTGGGATACTTTCTCTTGTATAGGTCGCTACTGACGAGTAGACTCCCTACTAAAGGCATCGACGCCATGATTGGCAGCGATAAAAGTGACTTCTATGATACCTCTATGCTGCGCCTTTCCCTAGAGACTATCCTCTGATCATTCGAGGACTGAATGTGTAGATACCTTGCCATTCTTGTTGCAGTACCAAAAGAAAAAAAAAAGAAGTATTAGTGTTTAGCCACCGCCGTATTCATGAGGCAACGGTACAAGCTTGTAAAAAATGGCCCTGGAGGGCTTATACACAACGTGGTTCTCTTGTAGGATCGAGTGTCTCAGAGAGCCATGATTAAAGCCCATATCCGTTTTCAGCAGAAGCATACGCAGGATTTCTTACATCTAGTTCTTCCGCCGTAGGCATAGAATGACCTAATGCTTCGCGGCGTCCTTCTTCTTCCTCTCGGTTTCGACGAGTCTATCGAACCTCTTGAAAGCCATGACACCCTCAAGGGAGGGAGAAATCGTCCAAAGCCACCAGACCTTCCCGCCCTTCGGCACGCGGTGCTTCTCCAACCTGGTGCTCGCCATCCACCAGGACTCGGTGACATGGATCACGACGAACGGGACGAAGATGGCCTTGACCAGCCACCGATACCCCTCGGCCCCGAACGGGAAGAACGCGTCCAGGAGATTCCAGGGCGCCGTTCCCGGTCTCACGAAGCCCAAGGTCGCGGCACAGACGACGTACAGGCCGATACCGAAGAAGACGACGAGATCGAGCCCCGCAGGCGGCGCGTACCGGTCGATCTTGATATCGCTCAGGCCCAGCTTGGTCAAGGCCGTCTGCGCCATCTCGACCAGCTTGACCCGAGACGCGCCCCAGTTGGGCAGCGGGGGGTCGATGGCGACGGTGTGGGTGCCGGACGCCGACCTGATGGTCAGGGCACCGAGCGACATGTCCGTGATCTGGGGCCTGGCGGCGGCCGAGGCCGGGAGGCCGTTGAAGGCGCGCAGGTAGAGCTCCAGCTCGCCAGCGTGGTCCTTGTTCATGTGCGCGACGACCCGCGCCTTGATGGCCGCTTCTTTGGCCGCGGCGTCTGTGTCGGCCATGCTGTGGGTATTGCGCACAGCCTACAAGGTATCGCGGACGCGGCGTTGATGTGCAATGCGGGGGAAGAATCACACACGACTCCTTGCGTTTGTCTCAAGGCTACGGAAGGATCGCTGATTGGCCCAAAGTCAGTCGGCGAAATGAGAAAAACCTCGAATGCGACCTGTCAGATTCAATTGCACGGCCGCTGGTGTGAAGTTAATGATCTCTTCCGTGACGACGCGTCGAGCCAGACCCTTGATGAAGATCACATCAGAATGAGGAAGTCGCTCGTGGCATGGTGGCATTTCCCATTTGTCCCGTCCCTTACCTGGGGACCCCCACTGAAATTGTTTGCTCTAATTTCCGACAGGGGGGCCCTAGATGCGCTATCTGAAGATCCATCCGGTTGGGCCATCCGAGCCGGTGGACATGCAAATAGCTTTGCTTCTCGTCTCGCGCCACCACAACCTTTCCCCCCAAGAGGATGATCGAGTCTGACGCTAGGCAATACAGCTGTCAATAAATCCCCGATATTTGCTTCTGTAAATGTCGACTCGTGAAAGTCCTGAGACACTACGAGGTCCGAGCCGCCCGTTAGACTGATTATTATTCTCGTTTAAGGAAAAGAAAAGACAAGCCGGCAGAAGTTCTCGGTAGATGGGCGCGAGGACTTCACGGGTTGAACGGCCAAACAGCGGTCTCTCACGTCTATACGTACCGATGGACTGAAGAATTCAGTCCCATGGTCTTTTGCATCGCTTTATTGCCACGTGATCACTGAGTTGAATTGTCACGCATACTTGATGTTCTAGTGTTACCTATGAAAACGCATTTGGCAGTTTCATATATCTCTTGGGTGGGACAACAAGCGCTCTATCGTCATCTTCAACGATCTCACGACGAGACTTCATCATTCCATGCACACAACGTTGTGTCCTCTGCCCGGACGTGGGCGGCCAAACCTTGAGATGTGACCACTAGTCGAACGCTGCCCAATAGCTGCAAAACGGGTTGCATGCATTACATTAGTTAGTCCCGGACGTTGCTTTTCAGGTCCCGGCCGAGTGAGAATCGCCAGTTCGCACGACAGCCTGTCGCCTTGGTGAATTCTTCTTCCGAGGGCGGTTTCGATTGGATTGTACATCACACGCGCGGATTGCAGCGAGGCAAGAGAGCGCGAGTGGATTCATTTCTGCCGCTTCTGTATGCTGGAGGCACAGGCAACCGGAATAGGTCATCCAAACTAATGATGGTGGGTCATTCGTCAAACGATTCCAAACTGATGGATCGCACCACCCCAACCCAGAGAACCACCTTTCAGCTCTCGACCAGGCTCTTCGCAACGCAGGAAGATACCCATGTGTATGTATGTGACGAGGCTTGGAGTGGGGTTCTACTGACATCTTTGCCCTATCGAAATAAACTCCGCATCGCTTACAGGATGCCCATGCAAGCAAGCACATAGTAGTCGTCCCCGCTGCAAGGGCAAAAGGTAGCCCTCCTTACAACACAGTAACATCTTCGCTGGTTGACACCAAGCCATAGCAAAGATGGTGGTGAATCATCGTAGATGCTTAAGTCAAGTCACAAGTATGTTGAAGCTTCTAGATTATAGATCGGGACTGCTAGTCAATTAATTGGGATTATGGGTTTGAAGCAAACATCGACGAAGCGATGTCAGAGCAATCCGTGCGGATGCGCCTAGTATTTGTCAGTGCCAGAGACAAGGTTACCGCAATTAATCCTGCATTACATGTTGGCGCCAGCCAAATTACCGAAAGCAGCCACAACCAGTCAACATACGTACATTTGTGGCACCACTTTTCGCGATCCATGAATTCAGCCAAGGCAATGGCATGGCCTGTACGGGAAATCTGTGCTGAGTCTCTTATCATTCTTCGTCGTTCGTTATGTTACACTAGCGCTGTCACCTCGATGACTTTTCCCTGCCTTCTTCCATCCAGAACGTCTCCTTCCTGACGTGTATGCCGGGCTGACTTGCGATGGAGTCGTTCGACCGATCATCGCCTTGACCGTAGTTGACGGCTATTTCTGTTTCCGTGTGTCCTTGACGCCTATCGCCTAGTTCCAGCTGACTATCCGCATCATCGTCGCCCCCTCTTGTAGAAAATATGCTGGAGAATTTCGATCCCTTCTGTCGTGACGTCAACTTGGTGCCCCGGGTGCCTGAAATTGGTTGGGACGCTGACGCCGAGCGCACCGTCGTGCCGAAGATCTTTGGTACGGACTGCGAGAGGAAAGCGCGTATCGCGGGCAGACATATAACAATAATCGAAATGTTGACCTCCAATGCCGTCCATATAAGAACATCGACGTAGTCCCAGGTCGGGTTGAGGGTACGAGCGAACTGCACAATATATCTCAGGCGAATGCTGCTCGTGAGCAAGATAAAGAACCCGAGACTGAACATCACGACGATGTTGATCTTCTTCCGCCAGCTTGTGTTCAGGGTGAGCAAAAGGGGCAGAGGCAGCACAAGGAGCAGGCAATCCTGAAATATTGAGATCGCGCCGGCCGTATAGGTGAGAGTGTTGACGTTAAAGCAGTGATGGCTCCCATAAGTTCCTTTCCAGCCCTCCCAGTTGTAGTTTATAGGCCAGCATTGAAAGATCTGCAGGAAAATCAATAGAATAGCCGTCAATGCCACGAACCCAATCGTTACGTATACCGCAATACGAAACCACTTATTTGGGAAGATCCTGAGAAAAAAGCACAGCATCACAATCTTGCATAGAGCCAAAAGTGCCAGGTAGAAGCTCTCATCGACGAAGAAGAGCTTGAGCGCGGTAGTGATAGTTGCACTGCTTTCTGTCCAGATATCCACGCCAAAACCTGTCAGGCGAGCATATTGTCCAAGTATCGTAAATGGAAGATAGAGCGCCAGGACCACGAACATGATGTAGTCGTCGACTCCGTATTCGCGCAAACTAAACTTTCGAGCGATAATGTGCATGATGACACAAATCAATGTGAAGGCTTCCACGCCGATGAAGCCCCAAAGATCTTCCCTTCGAGAGCGGTACGGTCGTTCGCATGCCTTGTCCTGGATCCTCGATATCTCTTTCGATCATGTTAGTTAAATCAAGCCGTTGATGGGATTCGATAGACATACCTAGCGCCTGTTCAACAGTACAGGATGATATAACACATGTTTGTACTGTGTTGTACAAGCCAGTATCAGTACAGATACAAGTCGAGTTGGTGACGACTTTGCAGGCGGAGGCTGGTATCGCTCCAAGAATGCATTCGACCTAGAAGCTTTGGTCAGCCAACGTGATGACAAGGTAATGTTCAGCAGCTGGAGAACCTACACCGCACCGAGGAATGTCATTAGCATATTGTAATAGGTCAGCCTGGCATACCGCGATCAGGAACGTCAGCAAAAGCCAGAATGCGTGCTTGAGCCGCATTGTGTCGTCCGACAGACTAATTGAGTAAAGAAAAATAAACTAGGGAATGTTTCGAAAGATGAATGTAAGGATGTTTCAGTATTTGAAAGACAGTCAATCCGAAGTGCACGGTTAGCAGCAACCGATCAGCCAGATGGTCGAGATCTCCAGGTCCAGAGACAAGACTAATGCGCTGTTGATCTGCCGTCTGAACTGCTGGTTTGTTTTGAAGCCTGAGCGCAATTCCCAGTCTGTTAGTGGGCTTCTAATCGGTATTGCTGCCCGTATTAGTGAAGTGAAGCGGTGCCCGGTAGGCGGTTCACCTGTTCGTCCCACACAGCTGGTGAGCCGCGATGACTAGTCCGAATGATAAAACACTAGAATGAACTTCTTGGCTAGTGAGTGTAACACACAGGACCGCTGGCGGTGTGTTGACAATAGTTCAAGTGTTTCCCATCCCATAAGCACATAGTAGTTCATATCACACACAAATGTAGTCGAAAGGCGCGTTGGGGACGATGATGAAAGACAGCACGATAACGTGAGACAACCAGGCCGGAAACTGTTGATCTTCCAGCAAGACTGCGCAGTGGCTGTCACGGTGCGCTGTGAAATTGCAGGCGCGGTTGACAATTGCAGAGGTTGGCACTTGACTTCAATATTGCCTGCATGCAATGAATAGGGACATCAAGGATGTGGAACCTCAATAGCACCAACTATTGGACACAATCCCCAATATGTGTGATGCGAGATTGCAGTGCAGCTTGAACATGGGTATTTACTTGCTTTGCCCGGGATAGGCGGCAATATACTTGACTACATAGTTGCCCAATCCTTCGCCTCGAGGCCTGCACCTGTCAATGCAGGCCACCGACTTGAAATGTTTCGAAAAACATGAGTGGGAGTGACAATGTTTCGTGTCAGGGTGCCACGCGAGATGCTCAATAACGATGGAGGCATCCACCATTCGACCTTCCGATACCGTACACGGCTTGACTGCCAAGTGTGGAATAGCGGAGGGGGGAGGGATGTAAGCAGACACTTTCATGGGCATGCCTCGGGAGGTTTCAAGGTTCTGAATGTAGTGTGAGATTAACTTTTACCATGTACAGATCCGTCGACGACAAGGGCAAGCCACGGCACTGGAAATAGATCCAAGCGTCGATCTGGAGACTTCAGTTGGCAGTGGACCAGCCCCGCTCACTGTGATCAGGTCGGGCAGCCGGCTGCTGGCCCGCTGCGTACGGATCCATACGGGTGCAACTGTAGCACTGTTGGATCTTGCGCTAGCCTCCTGTCAAGGAATTCGCGAACTATGACTGGTAGCTATCATGAAATCGTCCAATCCTTCCATGACAACGGCCACTTTGGCCTAGGTTAGGCAACATTCTAATCAGACATCGGTTCTGGAAGTGTGACTGGTTTGAGGTTCTGTCGGCCAGCTGGCGTCGACCATGTCAAGTTCAAGTGACGACCTCTAATCCTTCTCCTGCGCGCTCTGACCCCGCCGGACAACTAGGTGCTTAAGACTCACACTCTAGCGGCAGCCGCTTCTGTATGTAGTAGAACCTGAACAAACTCTTATTTGTAACAAAGCTGTCACGAGAAAGCGCTGGATCCTATCTCGTGGATGTAGAATATGCCTCAGAAAGAACTTATCGTCAGGTCTCGCGATACATGGCAAGTCGAGTCAGGGGGCTTTGCCAAGTGGCTTACAACTGTGGGGCAACAATGGTCAGGATGGTTCTTCTGAGTACCTCTAACCTTCCGTTCGATTTAAACCATTCAAAGCCCTCGGACGCAACCTACTACTCCTATCCCAGAGGGCAAGCAGAGTGAAGCTACCAAATAAACCTATATTACCAATAGGCGCCCCGTGGCTTAGACGATAACTAGATATAATTGGTAGTGTATGTTGGCCCTGCGTGCCTATTATTTATTGAGTAAACCTGGTTTACTGCCCTTGCGGTGGAACAAGTCATCCTAAACGATGGGAGGCTCACTGCAGGTCCATCGAATGGACTTACGCGATCATGCTGGGAATACTGCTATGAAAGGCATTATACGTCACCAGCGAGGTTGACACAGTACTATAACCTCGGTGGGCGGCAGTATAATCCGACCTTGCACCACCCACAGGCCATCGATCCAACCAGATCATGTAATTGTTGATCCACAATCCAATATATTGTATCATGTTGCAGGGCCTATATTCGACGAATTAACTTGCGAGTGGAAAGTGTACATTCAGAAACGTGTACAGAGACGATAAGCTTGGTTTACGTGCGCCTATTGCGCCTGTCCTCATGCAACTCTCAAGCACCATCTACATATATACAAACAGCCTCTTGACCTTTGAGTCTTGTCAAAATTCTTGCCTGCTTTGCGATGCACCACTAGGTCGCTCATGCCTCAGAAGCTACGCTTTAGATGCACTGAGAATAGTATGGCGATTGTGATTTGCATGTTGCGCCAGACTGTGTTTCTAGTCAGCTCGAATATCCTAGGATGTAATCTAAAAAGGAATTAGGTACTTACGGTACAGGTTGTGCACCCAGTGTACCCTGTTCCACCACACTGCTGGTACTGAGCCTGCGCACAACTATCACCACCAGTTGATCCACCAGCTGCGCTGGTCTGGGCTGGAGGCGTTACTTGGATGGCGGTACCGCTAGGGCCGGCACCTGCCTTACATGTGCTTTCGCAGCCCGAGCAAGATAAGCCGGGTGTCCTTGTCTTGCCCCCCGGAACTACGGCGGGACCGGGGTTGACGTAGGTCGAAAGCTTGGCGTGGATGTTGATCAGAACACCAGGATCGCTTGCCTTGATAGCTCCTGGGAAGCTGACACCAGCCGGAACTGCATTTGTGGACGTGCCGCCCTTGACCGTGATCTGGTAGCAGGATATATAGAACTGGGCTCCGCCAGATGAAGCCGCCGTGTGCAAGGCAATGACTTCGGCTCTAAGTAGATAGTCTCCCGCTGGTGTGTCCGCAGGGATTGGGACGTCCATTCGGCCGCAACAGCTGGAGAGGTCCTTGGTTCCCCAGAAGTCATCGTCGCCAGATCCGGCCCCTGATTTTGGTGACCAGGAGTTGGCAAAGATCTTGTAACTGCAAGTATATCATATCAGCATTCGTATTTATTAGTTGCCTTAATCAAGAAGGTATGATGATGGCCAGCAAGGACAGAAGAACGTGCCGCGACGTTATGAATGATGTGGAACCCTGCTTACAAAGGACTAGATCCATCTGCTTTCGATGCATCGTCGACTTTGCTCAAATAGACGTTGACCGGACCGTAATGAGCACCTCCGATGGCCTCGTTCGCGCAGCTACGATCACCAGGTTGCTGTCATTCGCATAATGTGAGCTGCCATCTCAAAAACGTTGTTTTGGCAATCCTAAGAGTAATCGTACCTGGTGCATCTCGACTGTCACCACGGAGCCTGGTGCAACGGCACACTTGCCAGACACGCCAGTTGTGCCTCCGACATTACACCTGAAATCTGTGCTTGCGGGATTCGTGACCGGGCTGTTCGACTTTGGTAGACGGACACACTGTCCGCCAAGGTCGACTCCATCGACCCATAGTTCTTGGAACGTAGCATGAGCTGAGGCCTGGCCTACAGCCAGGGCCGAGAGAGCAGCATACAGATTGTACTTCATGGTGACAATTTTGAGCTTCTTGATGGGGTGTGCAAAACGTGGCTGCTCAACGGACTGGATCTAGGAGAGCACTTTTGCAGGTTGATGCGATCTTTATGGCGCATAGTCGCACGCATCCATCCTGCACATTTTGTCAAGGACCTTGTCACTCCGTGCATTACTACTGGAAATGAAACCTCATCCACCTGATCTGGCCGCAGCATCGTTTCCGCTGCTCGGATTGGCTAGATAGACAGTTGCATTGCGGATGCAAGTGCCGAGGCGGCTGAATTGCCTAGCACTTCCCCACAAAATAATATATCTGTGAGTAGAACTTTGGTTCTCGGCGTGATATAAAATAGTTTATCTATCGGGTAATATCGAGTTGTCCTGTGGTTGGTCCAGTGAACCGCCACGTGAGATTGTGGCGGATCATGCATATCAACATCCCGATCAGAGCAGTTTGCAGCTGCAACCCAGATAACCCGGCATGTACACATGAGCTCATTGCCTGATCAATCATGAACAGTGCAGAGAAGTGATATATTTAGTCGCATGTATTCAGATTTCTGCACTCTTTTCTTGAGATCCCAGATAAAATCGTAGAGGCGGAGATGGTTCTCAGTGTCGAGATAGAAGAAGCAAGATATAGTCCCAGTACAAATTCCACAGGTAGAGCCCATTGTAAGCAAGGACCTGTTTAGATCAGAGGACATTGCAATAAGACTGCTGGATTTCTATGCCCAAAAATCATTATTGCCATTGAACGTTTGAGGTACTCAAATACCATGCTGCCAAAAAAATAAAATAAGGCCAAGCCTTTGGCTTTCAACGAAATCTTGCATAAAAACACATGGCGGATGTTGTGGGAATGATCCTTGAAGTACTCAGGTTATCTGCAGTAGTTCGCTCAAGTGTTCGATAATAGTCTCAAGGATAATGGCTTCTGTTGCGTTGTGGCACAAAATACGGATCTCGGCAGCAATAGCCCGGTGTGTACCATCAACAGTCTCTCTAGAACCACCAGATTCCCCAAACTTCGGAACAATTGTACTGAGCTAATCTTCTTTCTTGGGGTCTTGTTCATTAGAGAAAGTGGATTGCTAAGTCGCAGCTTCTTCACAGCTTTAATAGTAGTCCTCGGGTACTTCTTTCTAGCGATTCTCCTAGACTCCGAACCAAACGAGAACGTGCAAAATTTCGCTCGCTCTGAGATGCCGTTTCTTTATCCTCCGATAGAACCTGAAGTTATATAACATTAATCTTACCTTGGCTCTCAATAACCTTAATCATTTTATGGAGCTTTGAGAACAAGCTTTTATATTATGGACAACCAACGAGCATGAGTTTCAAATATCACACTGTATATTAAGCTTGTAAAGTCAATGAGGCAACTTTGTGAAATGATTTTGAGCACACATTCGAAGACATGCGTTGCTGATCTCATGCTGTGATCTGGACCCGGAATAACAAGAGTCTGAATCACAAAATTTGAAATGGTAGCATCGAAACTCAAAATTTGCTCAGGAGATAGAAGTGGAAATGCTCTTAGAACTCTGGCTCGGTTTTTGCTTAGCAGAGGGAAAGGTAATACCAACGAGAAATGCAAATATGCAGTCAATTCATGTTACAATCCTAATACCTTATACCCACCACCATGTATCGAAGTGCTTGAAAGCCTCGCGCATATCCACCTTACCCGATACCCAAGTAAATTATATGTTACGCCAACTACTTGGAATGGTTCTACTGAGCATCGTAAAGTGGGCCACTGTCGAATGTCACGACGATGTAGTAATCAAACGCCTGAGTGGGAGAATTGGGGTCTGGAGGTCGAGAAAATATGAATAAAAATATTGTAGGCAGAGTCGTGGGAACGATCAAACTAGAAGATATGCGTGATGCACGATGACGCTCTGGGGCTCGCGCTTCGTCATAGACAACACGAGGAATTGTGATGTTTAGTGCGATAGTATTCACCGCTCAGGTAGACTGAATAAATCAAATAAGTCTTCGCAGCTTTACCCGGAGAAAAATCCCATTTTCGTTCTCCATTTTGATACACCTTTACTATATCAAATGACTAACTATTAGAAAAGATGACGACGCGCAGCACATACCTGCAATGTATGTCGGTGCCGATCTTGAACTTTGACGAATATCATTTTCCCCATCCTCTGTAGCTATATTGCCCCGTTCATAGTTGTCACTTATGGCTATATAGCATGCTCCACTTGATGTTTGTTTGATTAGTGTGACAACATTCCCCAGCGAAGCTTAGTAGACCCAGTGCTTCACATCCCTGGAGTCCATCCTGGTTGAGTCTTGCAACAATTTGTGCCCTCGTTAGTTCAGCATTGCATCGTGCCAAATGCTCTCACTCCATTGACACAGTGTCAGACAAGTCTTTGATGCGAACTCGTCAGCTTCCCCGTTGTGGACTTAATGTATCTGTATTGTCTACGAGCCAGTCACGAAAAGAACTGGCTCTGACTCTGAGGTTTCTTACGCAGCAATGTGAATCAGGCATCACTCGTTCCCATACAGTTGCTAACAATGCCTGTCGACTATTCTGACCACAGAGCTGCGAGAAGTGCCAAAATGAAAACTCCTTCGGAAGTTACAAATTTGAGTCGGTCGTGGGCATTACTTTGCGATCCACAGGTCCTTACAAATGTTTGCCATTCGTGTTCCATTCTACATCGCTTTGTGAGGGAAAGTCTAGGCCCCTTGGAATAAGGCACACCTCCACAGCTACTAAATGATTGATGTCGGGAATAGTTTTCGCTCCTCGGACTTCGTGAACGCCTCGGTCATACGAGCTCAACGCGGGTCCGCTAAGCTGCATTGCCACTCAACAATACCAGCTCACTGTCGGAAGAACACTGATACAATTGACAGCATACAGGGGTGAGAATATAGAAGACCTCGTTAAGACAAAGAGATCGTCACACCTGCTGCACTTGTTCGCTGCCAAAGGTTGCTGTGGGTGAAATGATAAACACATGTAAGTGAGCGGGAATAACAGGATGCACGCGACAGTCCGCTATCGTATGTGCTTGCGCGTTGCCCAGGCTGGGCAATTGTTGACATGGACATTGCTGTGGCAGCATGTTTTCTCCACTGTCGGATCCCGCTTGACAAGAGATACTAAAGATAGCTTGGTCGAAGCGAAGTGTTAATGCGGAGTAGATAAGATGCGAGCTGCCTTAATGGGATATGTGGCACACACAGTCCTTAAAACACCGTTAACATGTTATGGATTCTTTCCAGGGTATCTTTCAATAGAAACCAGATATGATCCTGGGGTTTCAGTGATTACGAAGTTTCGTCGTACCGGCCTTTCGCCGTATATGAATATTTCTTGGATAATTGCCAAGACTTCACAAAAGTGGCAGTCGATTGCGTGATTGAGCAAGGCTCTCCGGCTTGGCAGCGAACTGGCGGCTTGGGGGTACCCCAAGTTCCGGATGTCAGCCAATCCACGGCGTCTGGAGCCGCAAATTTTTTATACACACCCGGTTGACCTTGCCCGGTATTGCATATCGTCTGGTGTAGCAATCCAGCCGAATAAAACTCCACACCGAGCGTTGAGTCCGAGGGCTCACCTGGCATGTGACCTTCGAATGATAGTGAGATACGAAAGCACGCTTGCCGTTAGAACCGACTTGCAACCTTTATATTAGTGTCGCCCTTGGGCCTGCCAGAAGCTGTCATCGAATCAACTGAAAAGATATCGATTTCCCAAAGTTTTGTGATCAATCTCCATACTTCCATAATTGCAATTGCCACCACGGCAGCGTAGTCTTGCAATAAGCGATTGTTCGACTTCCAGAATCTCTTGTCCTTGAGCGATCAAAATGACGTTTGCAGTGCTGCCCGCGCTCATTCCCGACATTAGCCCGGTGTATGATGTGTATTTCGAAGCCTTTAAGAATGGGAAGGTCCTAGAGTTTCTATTTCCAGGAGGCGTTGATCGTCAAGCCCACAAACATGGCATAACGTTGTGGTGGCATCAGGATTTGAATGGCTATACCATCAAGTGTGTAGACGCAGATACGGGTTCCATCGTGGGCATGGCTCAGTGGGAGGTCTTTTGGCGACCGGGAAAACAGAACCTTTGGATGTTGCCGAAAGGAGCAGAGTGGCTCAAGGGGGACAAGCGCAAAAAGGCAGAGAGTATACTTATTCCCGACTGGACCATGAGAGACAAGTTATTTGGTGGGCGGAAGCACGTCTGTGAGTCGAGTCGGCATGACGCATTCTGTGATAGTGCTGACGACAGATGAAGATTGCGTAACGATGGCTGTACACCCAAAGTACCAACGGAAGGGTATTGGCCGGTCCCTCACTCAGTGGGGCGTCGATATCGCCGAGCAGTTGGGCCTTCCGATCTATCTTGAATCCACTGACGCAGCTGTGCCGCTGTATGAGTCCGTTGGATTTCAGAGAGTGACACACGAGACACTTGTCCATAAGGCAATACTCACGGGCCAGAAAGAGGATGTAGTGGTGCCCATATTCGTTAGGATGCCAAGTAAGGCCAATGGACTCTCGTTCCAAGAATGGGCAGGCAAGGGGTACCCAGATTCGTACTGATGTGCGCCTGTATCCTGTAATCAATCAGTATTGCGCAGCTGCAATGAGCAACTGGCAAGTAGAAGCCTCCATGAATAATTTATTCATCGTTTGGGTACAAAAAATTGTTTTAATGCTGTTGAGCGGAGACATTTCACAAGCCGGACAAGCACAAAACTTTGACACCGTCCAAGGGGAGGGTCCCGGACTCGTTTCCATGCTTCGCTCCACGAGCATCCACACTAGATGCCACGCTTCTCACCTCAGAATCCCACTAACTGATCAGTGCTGTCATCCATGTGCAGCAGTGTCAAACTCGGTGATGACTGCCAAAGATGTTTCGCCAACCCCCACAAGAAGAGCTCTCTCTGTAATATGCACTGCCAACAAGGACTTGTTTTTGTGTTCCTCTCCTGAGTTTGTAACAACCTGGAGGGCTTTTCCGCATGGTCAAAAGACATCCATAAAAACCACGCTGTCATCTCAACTCTGCCAGTAGACAAGGTTGAGGGAAGTGGTCAATTTCTGAAAGAAATCAACCGCGGTTTTGGCGTCCAGCTACATTGTTGATGTTGTACCAACAACAAGTGGTTAATGCGCCTGGTCGGATCACACAAAGTGAATAGCCAATGGCAATTGCCGGGGCTTGATCCGAGGGGATAAAAAGGTGATGCTGGGTTGGATGCTTGCAAGTATGACCACAGAGTAGCCCAGCTTTCACACTGAGCATACACCTGCCGGGTTACAACAGGGTATACGAGGGTACTGAAAGCGAATAGCATGGCAGGAGGCACATCAGATTCCATGGCACTTCTGTTATAGCCGTATGACCTCCACTTGTTCGGACGGAACAATTCTGGCGGATAGGTCATCGGGAGGATGAAGTGCCGCAAATCTGATTGTCTGTGGCCATTACTGAGCTCTCCCTCGTATCACCATATGTACCAATGGTCAAGTGACCATTGAAATCCAAACAGACAGTAACAATTGATAAACATCTCCCGGGCAACCACGCAGATGACCACCAACGAAACGATCCATACTGACCAGAGTACAATTTCCAGTGACATAATGCTGACGAGCGGCCACCAGACCAGGGGCTCTTACATTCAACTCATAGCAAAAGTCCTCGCTCGCCGCAAGGGCATCTGGAATGTCCCATCACCCTTCGACCGCAAGAAGTCTGCTAGGCGCTGGCTGCTTTTCAGCAGCGCACGGCATCGCAAGAACAATCGAGCAGTGTAGAAAATGAATTTGGACGACTATGAGCGCAAGACTTGAAACCAAATGAGGGCTTAGGGTTAAGTTCCGAAACACCGTTCCCAATAGCCAGTCCGCCTGCCAGGCCAGCTGGCTCCTCTCGCATAGCAAGCCTCACGCGGCAAGCACATCAGGACTGCTACGGACCCCGTACTGCGACGTGCTATGCGGAGCTTAAGACTGACCATGGGGTCGTCAGACATTCCTTTCGGAAAACGGGAGTCGGAGAACTGTGGGGGAGGCATTAGTGCAAGTTGTGTGATGCCCGTATCCCTACCAGAGGGAGACAAGGCGAGAGAGCTTCTTCTTGAGGTTACGATGAGACAAAATCATCCATGACCGCGATCGTATCTCGATTGATTGCTGACCTGAAGCCCATCTCGAGTACTGATCCAGGGATTCTATCGACGATCAGGCATGGCAATCACAGAGGTGTGATGTATGAGAAGGAAGTAAACATTCGAGACCCGCGTCGCGTCGGGGCTTCTGTAATTAGTGAACAGAACGCGCTAAGCGAGCGCCGGCACGTGCTCTGGACTAAGGTTAGTCCAGTCTAGTCTAGTCTAGACTAGCCTCAATATTCCAGACCGTAGCACAGTCCACCATCCACTATGAGCTTGCTGACCAACACTGTAAGGATCCGTATGCACAATCAAATTCGCATACAGTCCTCGCCACTGCGCAATATGATCACAAACTGAACATTCTGTATTGCTCGAATCTGATGCACCATACCCTCACACTTCCAACTAGGATTGAGAACAACTGCTGCTCAGATATCGTCGCTATCAGCTAAACGCAATGAGCAAGACTGCAGCGGCGACGCAGGGTTCTCTACACGCAGCTCTTGAGACTATAGGAACCAAAGCCTTCGACCCCACCAGCAATGATGCGTCTCGTGCAGAGGGCCAAAAAGAATTTGGCGTGCTCATATCAAGGTAGGCGTGGTAGGCTTCAATCTATCAGCAGTATCTGATTGTTCCTTAGGACGGGAACCTCGTCACTCATTGCAGCGCTCAATGCTTTGATCAAGCCCAGCCGAGTGCCAAGATGGTTGGCTCTAAGATTTATGGATGTTCTCACATTGCTGCCTCAAAGACCCGACGGTGTCAGAGCCACGCTAGAGTTTGTTTTCACAACTCATCCCTCGAGCACCGTCAAGGCTTCCGAGGCTGCAGGTCCGCAGAAACGTGGCGCAAACATCACTATGGAGGCTCTGAAGATAGCGGCCAACCTTTTGTCGGCACCACCAGCTGGTGTTCCGCCCAAGGAGTGGTATCCGGGCATAGCGCCTCAGCTCCTTGCACTGCTCGATGGCACGGAGGGCTCGGACCTAGTCAAGGTCGCTTCCTATGTGATTGGATTCGGCATATTAGGTAGGAGGCAATTTGGTGCGCCGGGCACGGCAGGCTGGACAGCTTTCGCAACCCCGATGCTTGCTGCCGTCAATCCATCCCTGTCGCCCGAGAAGTCGACTGGCGAGACACTAGTATTCAGTGCAGGTCCCGACGAGGTCGTTGATTTACAAAGAGAAACGGTCATAGTACGATCTGATGACTTGGCCCATGCACTGAAGCGTTTGACCGCACTTCTGAACTCGCATCCTAATCCTGGCTTGTCCACGAGGCTTCTCTCACCTCTTCTGAAGCCATTATGGGCACTCAGCTCGTGGCCTGATGCGGACCAAGAATGCAGCGATGCCTTCTGCACCCCCGCTAAGAAGTTACTAACCATCTACTTGAAGATTTCAGGAAGCGCTGAGAGGTACACTGCTGTTATTGAAGATCTCTTGTACAATGGAGACCGGCTTTCGGATGATACAGTATGGCAGTATGGCTCAGAAGGGTCGCAGATCAAGGCACAACGTATTCGCAACACCAGGTCTCAAGCTGGTATTCAACTAGATCTAGCTAGTTTAGGAGCCAAAGCTACCTCTCTTGTTGAGCTCATGCAGGACGCTGCCTCCGAAGCCGACATTTCGAAGGTTTTCCTAACACTCTTTCGGACTTCATTCAGACAAGAAAAATCGGCTCAGGCAATCAAGATCAAAGTCGACGAAGAGAAAGTTGATGATCCGATGAAACGTATTTTTGAAATACAAGTTCTCCAGACTATGATGGACAGGATACCTGAGAAGCTTGTGGCTGGCTCGAAGGGTCTGCTTGAGTTGGCTCATCAGGTGCTGACTGATTACGATGCATCTTCCGAGAACCCGGACTCTGTGGCAGTTGCACTGAGTCTTCTTAATATTGTTATCACAGCTCCCAGCTTCCAGAAATCGGACGTTGACGGCAGCCTTCTTGCGTCCATCGAGGCATCCCTTGGCAAAATCAGCTCGGGGAATCATCATGATATTTCACAGACGGCAAATAATCTTTCCCTGCTTCTAAAGTACAGAGATGAGATTGAGGACCCTTCTGAACGCCCGACCGCACCTACAGACCGTCAAGTCGAAGACCGCAAGACTTACAACCTAGCTCTATCTTACATCACTCAACTAGACTCTCCACCGCCTGTACGCTCCGAAGGTCTGAACCTCATATCAAACCTTATTAGGGCCAACAGCCCTATTCTCGACATTCAAGGTGTTCTTGTTTTATGTTCATCCCTGCTAGGCGAGGATGAAGACTACATCAATGCTCGAGTCATGAAGCTCTTTGTTCAGCTTGCAGAGAAACATCCAAAGTCTGTCATCAAGGAACTGCTAGACCACTATGTCGACGCCGACGAAAAGGCGAACGTGGATACGCGTCTGCGCTTTGGCGAGACCATCCTCCAGGTGACCCAGCGACTAGGCAATATGTTTACTGGCGATGCCGCAACGCAGGTCGGCGAGAGCATGCTCTCGACCGCCGGACGGCGCGGTCACAGGCCCAAAACGGAGGAAAGGCAGACCCGCGACCAGCGGCTGCGCGAGCGAAAACAAAAGGCCGCCGAGAAGGCCTGGGGAGGCGACGTGCCCGATCTGAGCGAGCTGCAAGAGGAAGGAGGAGGCCAGGATCAGAGCGAGGAGGAAAAGGCCAGGAATGACATCTTGGCTCAGATCCTGCAGGGCTGGGAGAGCAAGCGCGGCAGCGAAGATGTCCGTATCCGCGCCTCTGCGCTCTCGGTCTTCTCGATTGGCTTGGAGACCAACATCTCCGGCTACGGCTCTACCCTGGTCGAGGCCAGCGTCGACTTGTGTCTCAATATCTTGACCATAGAGGCCGAGGTGGAAAAAGCCATCCTTAGGAGAGCCGCCATTATCCTCGTATTGACGTTTGTTCGAGCGCTCGCCGACGCCAAGGAATCGGGCAGGCGCCTGGGGTTCGGACTGACGGATGCGAGTCGCGAAGATATTACGAGGATATTGGAATATGTCGCGGGCGCGGATAACGATGGGCTGGTTCAGCAGCACGCGCGGGATGTGGTGGAGAGTCTGCAGAACTTCCAGATGGCCACCATGTTGCCAGAGGCGAGAGATCCACCGCCGGGATTGGCGCACATAGCAGGTCTGAATTTGGGCCGGCCTGATCTACCTAGTTTGGAACCTCAGTCAAGACCGAGAATCGAAGAGATTGAATAGTCCCAGTAGCTTAAAATACTTAAATACAATATCATGCCGAGTTTCTTGAAAGCGCGGATTTTGCTTGGTATTTACCTCGCATATCTCGTCGATAATACCCCTTCTTGATTGCCAGGTTCTGTATGCTTGAACCGGACGTATCCTCCCCGACTCAACGACCGAGACGTCGCTGTGGTGACAACGCAGGCATGGCATTGCATCTCATCATTCCATATCAATATTCATGGGAATACCAAAGTCATCAACCTCCTCCTCCGTCGTAGTCGTGGTCGTCGTGGCTGCTGGCATCTCCGCTTGAGGTGAAGACGGTCTCGCCAAGTCCCTAGCCAGCTCCTCTGCGACGTCCTTTGCAACCTGTGCCTTCTTCTCCTTCCTCACGCCCTCGCAGTGCATCTCGTACCCCTCCATCTGCATGGCCGCGAACCTCATCAGCTCCGCGAAGCGTGTGACCGCCGCCTCGCGCGGCGTGTCCCTGGGGTCCGGACCCACGGGCGGCACGCTGGCCCAGCCGAAGTCTGGGGGGAGGCCGTACGCACGGCGTGGGTCGCGCGGCTCCTCCAGGCTCCGGACCAGCGCCTCCTCGTCCGACTGGGTGGGCGGGAGCCGTCTCGAGCGCGGGGGCAGCCCACCGTTCTGAGACGCGTGCTGCAGCTCGGCCGCTGCGGCATCCCGGTGGATCTTCCGCGCTTGCTGCAGGACCATGGTCGCGATGTTGCGCTTCACGGCCGTCATGTGGTCTTCCAGCTCGGCCATGGCGCGGTCGACGCGCGCGGCGGTGGAGCCGGTGCCGTCTTCTCTGGTGGTGGCGTCGGCGCCGGCGGGTGATGACCGTGGCTGCGTGTAGTCATACGTGGCCGGGACGAAGATCGCAGGTGTTATGGAGATGAGATCCGGGATATTGTCTGGGATGATCTGGGGTCCCGCAGGCGGAGACGGAGCCGCCGATGAGGGCTTGCTCGGGGATGCAGAACCAGAGCCTAGTAAACCACCCTGGATGGCGTTTGGATGCGGTGACCCTTGACGTCTGCGGCGCGCGCCCGGGTGAGGCGAGCCCTGACGCTTGCGCCGAATCTCTGGGCGTGGTGAACCTGGCATTGCTTGTGCCTGGGTATGTGTAAAGTAATCTCAAATTTTTGTGAGTACGCAGCCAAGCAGTCAGCGAGAACAGCTGGGCGCTATAAGGTCTTCCCTGTGTAGATGTTGCCAGACTCCAGCATCTCTAGTATAATGTCCACAGGTTTGACAAAGCTCTTTCTGACTTAACATGAACTAGGCAACGCTGAAGGGAATAAGCAAGTCATCAAGTTATGAGGCAGAATTCTCCCGAACTTACCATGTAGATCATTTGAGACCAAGTAAACAATACCTCAGTCGCAATGCAGATGTCCTGGTAACATTGAAGAAAGCTTCCGCGTTCATATCTCGCGGGAGCATACTATCAAGTGGATGTTTATGTTGGTTGAAAGCTGGCAAGTGCTTGCAGAGAGAGTTGCCTTTGTGGCCCACACCTTTCCCAGACCCTGAAGCAACAGCGCTGTGCAGGGTCCAGTAAGCGCACTTCGCCCTGGCAAACGCCCAAGCTGCTGGCAAATATCAAGTCACTGCATCAACGTCCTCGGCATTTTATTTCGCTATTGCATATGACTTTGTGACAGAACGTGCTTGACACGAGAATAACATGGTAGTAAAATAGCTCGACGACGGTTTGTCTATCTGTATATTTGAATTTATTTCTAGCAGATATGCGCAACTAGTTTAGTGGTTACAAGTGACAAGTTCAGCTAACCGCCATGCAAACATAAAAATATCGGGTTTGGAAGGTCACAAATGCGAACCTTGATCATCACCTTCAGGCGACACTGCGCGTTCCTTATGAGTAAGACAAATCAGTGTGCTATGCTACACTTGGTAGCTTCTCGTCAGCCTCTGCTATGCAGCAAACCCGAGTTAGCGCCTATCCGGCGAAGATATTTGACCACTCCTGAAAGCATGTGTGGTGAGTATGCGCCAAGTGGGAAGCGGCCACGACGGTGTGTCTTTTGATGAAGCCAGGAGTGGACACTGGCTACGTGCTGGATTGCAGAAGAACAAATCGTTGGGGATTTGACATATATACGAGTGCGAAGCTGTTCAAACGTCTTCGCAACTTCGTCGGGCCGGCATAGCTCCCAAATATTGATTCAAGTTGGAGGAGCAGGAGGAGCAGGATGACCTGTCGAGTACGATGTTCATCATCATCTTGACGGTAAGACCTTCCGCACATATTCTCTACCGATCGTTAATGCCGACCTGAACAAGTCCTCCAGTCTTCTGTCCTTCCGCCGGCGCATCCAAATGAGCACCACGAGTAATACGAACGAGTCAGTAACGAGGTGTTTGAGGGTTGTCCAAAAGAGCCACGACAGCCAAGCCCTGGGGGTTCTCTCCTTTTTCGACCTCCATTCTCTTCCTGTTGTGATTTGTTCTCTCAAAGCCGCGATCTCGGTAGATAATCGGACGAGCGCCCTTTCTACTTTGCGTGACCACTTGTCGCCTTTCTTGAGGTATTCGCCTTCTTCGTCTTCATCGTCTTGTAGTTCCCTATATGCCCTCTCAGCGGCATCATCCTCGCTCATAGGACTCAGGACTTTCATAGGCCCCTCCGTCCCGCTCATAGGCTGGGCAAACCTCCTCGCCGGCTCAGCCGACTTGCCCTTGGGGCTCGACTCGCTCGTACTCGGACTGTTACTCTTGATCTGGTTCCAAACGAACTCGAGCTCGGCGACCAGCTCCCGGGCGTCCGGCGTCGTCGCATAGCGGTGCATGGTCTCGATGAGGGCCTCGATGTAGCGTCGTTTTGCCTCTGTCCGGCTCAGTCCGCGCTGGGCGTTCCAGGCGTCCCACTTATCCTTCTCGCGCTGCAGCTCCTCGGAGCTGACGCCGAGGGCCGAGGTCGAGGGCCGCTCCATCACGCCGTCGACGTCCCCCTCCATCGCTTGCTTGTACAAGCCATAGAGCCGCAGCCGGTCCGAGGGCGGCGGCCGTGATGCGCCAGTCTTTGGGATCTTCTTGACCGTGTTTAGCGCGTGCACAAACACCCGATCTGTTGGCGGGAGTGAATTAGCATTTGAAATGACATATCAAGCCACCTCGAAGGCGTCGGAATGTGGGCAGGCATATGGGCACGTTGGGAGTGTTGGTGGTTTGGTTTGGGAATGTGCGGCTAGGGGCCGTTCCGAGATCGCGCTGGACGTGCAATGTGGGTTTTGTGCAAAGGCAAGCAGCATTAAACGAACAACTCACCGACTGAGTCTGCCATTGGGACCTATCGTGTGCGTGGCCCTGACTCAGGCAATCACTGCTTGGGGGTGAGTACAAATGTTATGTCGTTGGTCGTTGCGCGTGGGCGCCCTCCCTCCGCGCCTTTCTTATCGTGCGTGGGCTGTTGGCAACGTGAACTGAAGCCGAGGAAGCGTATGGGTATGGATGGATATGGGTATGTAACGGGGATTGCGTATGGGGATTGGGGTAGATGAAGTGAAGCTGCGCAGCGATCGAGGCACCCGCTGCCCAACGGACCGAATCGTTATCCTATCAAATTATGGCCGTACAAGACAAGTCGCAGAAGGGTGATCAAGCAATGTTACGGGTACAACGTGGACTATGTATGTATTACATATGGCGAGTTATGTCACGATTGGGATGTTCAGTTTAGTTATCGCCAGATGGGTCCTCTAAATTAGCATGTCCCCCCTTTGCCTCGGCGTAACTGGGGAAAAGCTTGGCGGCTTCCAGCTCTCTGACTCGGCTGCTGAACGACAAATCTGCAGCGGTTAGCAGTCCGTTTTGGCGGGGTTAGTTCACCCGAGAGAGACACGTGAAACGGGCAAGATACCCGAGTACGCATCATTGATGGTTGGGTCTTTCAAAGGTTCGCCAAACTAGCTAGAATTAGTCCAGCTTCCTATCGATTTGCTGCTGGCGACCTGATTGGAATTGTTTCTAAGGCATGTTTCCATATCATGGTTCCGACCACAGGCTTGCGGCAGTAACTGGTGTCACAGGCATCCCATGGCGAAGAGAAACTGGACCTGTAAATATGAGTTCATGGTTGTCCATGAAACATAGCAGTAATCAGTGCCATGGTCTGTAGTGAGTCGGGCAGTTTCAGTTATGTAGTAGACAGAGCTCTGCCCTTTATGCCTTCCACTCCGCGTAAGCCGCCTGTTCCTTCATCTTTTTGTCGTGCTCTTGCTTCTTCTGCTCAAAGCGGCTGATCATCTTCCTGTTATCCAGAGCAGCTTGAGCAGCTTTGGTTCCTGCTTCCTTTTTGCTCATGGCACTGCCATAGCCTAATTTGAAGCTCTTGACACCCCATCCATCGAGGTAGACGCCGACGGTGTACCAAGGCAACCCAGTCTTCTTCTCCTTCTTAGGCTCGCCTTCGTCCTTATAGTCAATTCTGATACCTTTGGCCCCGATGGCTTGCGCAAGCTGGACCTTCGCATTCATCTCCACGATCCTAGCCTGAGGTGTCGTTTCCGCTTGAGAGTCTGGACTTTGAACGCCCGGGATGTGGAGAGAGCTGTTTCTGGGGGCTGCTTGCTGGTATCTGAACTCTTTGCTGAGCTCTTCTCTGAGCTCGGTCGTCCACAACGTCTTAACCCATGACGAGGCGCGCCGCAACCCTTGATCTGCATCACCCAAGATGACACCCGCAATGTATGCTTCAAATAGATCGCCTTGGATCTTATCATACACTTTTTTCGTGGCAGGAGCAAATTCGTTTCCTCCCAGGAACTCGGGTGGGAGCTGCAGGCGCCTTTCTAGCTGATACTCCTGTGTATATCTAGCGAGTGTCTTGTTTCGGACGAGCAACTCGCGGTATTGAGAGCATCGTCCTGCTGGCAAGTTGGGAAATGTCTGATATATGAACGCAGATGACATAAGATAGAGGTACGCATCGCCAATCCATTCCAGCCGTTCGTAATTCTCGGCTACATTTCTCGAAATACCACAATGGGTGAAGACTGCCCGTTCCAAGGAAGCATTATGAATACTCTCTAATGGAGGCTTACGATGTTGCAGGTCGTCTTGTGTCCATGGCGTGAGTGTGACCGCGATGGGGGCCTGGCTCGACACAGATCTGGAGCTTTCCAATCTGATGGCTTTCATGTGCGAGGCTGAAGGTTCGTGGTCCAGGTTCCCTAGTGTCGAGGATATCTCAGAAACAATCGACTTAAGATGGTCTGCATTGCCATGTTCATGGGGCTTTCCTGCCATGATGCCATGCTTGAAATCATGTGCAGCTCGCAACAAATCTTCCGCTTGGTGAATGATCAAGTTTACCGAGTCAAGATTTTCGGGAGTGTCAAGAGGCCATGCCTCGGAGAGTGACCTTTTTGACATGATGGTAGTTGCTGGGCAAGCGTTCTGCTGTCCAGCTCTTATAGTACCAGGATTCGGACCCAAAAGGCCGACCAAACCAAGGAAGAGTAACGGCCAGCTTATTTCACATGAACCAGGTCCTCCCTTCTCGACAAATTCTGTCTCGTAAATCTGTTGACCCCGTCGATGGGAATGTCCCCAACGCCTGAGCCTTTGAAACTCGGTCGAAATAACTTGTGATGGTGAGTCGCACTGCTGTGTGCCAAGTTGTAGCCTTGAATTTTCAAAGGTATTTCATTTCGTACTGTAGTCTAGCCCGAGAAATTGGGCCAGGGTGCTGTAGCGCACGATCAGTCTAAGCGGCAGCGGCAAGTGGGGCCCTTCCTGCTGGGTCTTATCGATAACAACCGTGCATCATCCGGTCGCGCGGAAATTTGGTCATGGTGAATGAAGCTCCTGAGCTCGCAGTAAGTGTGAATTCAATTGCAGCCACCGTCAATCACAGAACCCGGCGGCAAGATGGCAGTCCCACGAACACGGGTGCTCGCCCTGATGAAGGTACGCTCCATGCTAGCGCGACCGGGTGCGCAATAGCAGCTGACGTTGATCAGAAACAATGCGAAATCTTCTCGACAACTTTCAACCCCGGCGGCGTACGCATGGGCAACAAGATTCTGCGACAGCGACTAAAGGGACCTAGCATGGCTCAGTACTACCCACAGAGGGGCCCTGTCTTGAAGGATCTGTTCAAGGAGTTCAAGGGTCTGGAGCTTGAAGGCATCGACGAAGAGTGGGAAGACTGGCAGGAGCATCTGGCCGGGTTAGTGGACCGAACATGGATCGTGTGCTATACTTGGATGCTAACGGTGTCTCTAGGCGACAGCAGCGTGGAAAGGCACCGCCAAAGAAGAAGAGGGGACCTCCTCCAGGTAAGGCGGAGCTCGTTCAGGGGTCAACGGTATTATCGTTATGCTAACACTAGTTTACAGCACCGGGAGGCAAGAAATAAGCATGTTACGATAAGCAGCAATATATGTATATGTACAACATCTCTGGCGTTTTGGGCCTATAGAAAGTACGAATGCTCAGGAATAATGAGTACTGAATCCTTCCGTCGTCCATGTTTGCAAGTGCGGGTCCTATTCAGTGCTGGCCAGTGACCGCGATCGAGGAATGAATCAATCCTCCGCAGAAGACCATGAAGCTTAGGAGAAAGGCGCCTATCCCGAACCCACCTTGAACGTCACCTTTCGTTGCTGTCCAGACGAGTGCGACGACCAAACATACAAGAAACCCAAGGCAGCCGCAGAGAAAGAATATGAAAGTGTCTATCCCTTCAGTGAAAGCAAGCCCCCAGCCGACCGATGTGCCCTTTTGAGGACAAGGCGCTAACTTTTCTCGCAATTTCTTTGGTATCCTGGAATACAAATTGGGGAGGACACCTGCGTGTGTTGGGTTTTCAAATAGATGTACCAGCAGATTGGAGCCAATCGGCGGCATCAAGTCTGCCGGCATCGGGTCATAGAAGTACTGATCTTTATGGTTGTCTGAAGGGAGGCTAGGATAGGACCGTATATCTGCAAGGTCCTTATGGTACATCTCCATCTGTATATCTCGCATCAGCGATTAGCTTGCCTTGTACTCGAGAATGACAGACTGACCTGGACAAATTTGATGGACTTGACTCGACGCAGGAGCGAAAGTGGAAGTTTGCTTCGATTTTCCCGATACATTACTCGAAGTAGGGCAAAGAAGTCCTGATCTGAATCTACCGTACAAACTTCGGGTTGACGTAGTTTGGATACAAAACGGCCAAATGGGAGACATGTGAGAACGTAGTTATGTTTGTCTTCGGCCTCATTGCTTCCGAGTTTAGTTCGGCATTTGCCAAGCTCAATCTTATTCTGGCCCTGCCAGAATATTGGAAGTCTAATATCGGGGTGCCGGCCCCTTTGCTTGCTTGGCAAAGATGGTGGAATCTTGGAGTTGGTGGCAGGAGCCTGGGGAATCTGCGACTCCACGTCGCCGGTTGAGAAAGTCTGTATCCCATACTGAGATAATAGGAGCTTCAATTCAAGCAGGGCTCCTTGCCTCGACTCAGAATAATCGTCGTACAGCTTCTGGCCACATTTCTAACCTAGGTTAGCTTTCAAATAAGAGTGGTGCTCATTCATGTACATACGCAAGTATAATATACCCTCTGCTGACTTGTTTGTAGTGTGGGTTTACGCAAGGAGATCCCCACATTGTCGAACCATCGTCGAGCATAATCGAGTGAGCGGATTCTGAACGGAAGAACTAGCGGTTGTTCCACGAGAGCCCTCACATTTTCTCTGAAGTAGTAGAAAGGATCGGTCTGGAAAAGGAAGTTCTTGAGCAAGTCAACCTGGGCGGAATCTTCTTGTTCGATATCCTGGATCTCAATGTCCCTATCGGTCTCAATTGGGAGGTCGGTCAAGTTGGCGAATTGAGGTTCTGCCTCATCGTCTTGCGGTGCGGGTAGTTGGAACCAATTGCAAATCTCTTGAGCCAGTGCTTCTCGTTTTCGCTCCACAAATCTCGCTGCTCTTATCCTCTGGCTATATGACTCCGATTCCTTCATGTTTTGGGCCAGATTCTGTAAGTCCAGACTATACCTAAAAAGGAGCCGAGTAACATATGCACGGGAGACGTTCTTGGAATTCAGTCGAAGAAATAGCTGCGGCCATAGATACTGAAGTATGGTATCGTAAATCAAACCATTTACTAGCGAATCCACGGCGTTCGGTGACTCTGTAGGTTGAGCAGAAGTTACGCTAGACTTTGCACGTTTGCTGCCATCAAAGATGGAAGTCATGTTGGATGATATTGCGTCGTCTAAAATCTCTTCCTCATAAACGGTGTCAATGACAAGGTCGACCTTAGGTCCGAGGTGAACATTCTTGAAACTCTCACTGTTCAAGTCGGCATTGATTGTTATTGGCGTTTCGACATTCCTGGGATGATTTGTTCGTCCATTCTCGTGGTCATCTTGAGATACACCAGTATTTTTGCCTCCTGAGTTGCGATTAGGCAGTGAGATTTCGAGTCCAGCATTTGGCACGAAGGGTACAGCTACCAACTTCTGTTCATCATTGAGCTCAGAATCGGCGCAACTGCTCGTTGGTGGATCTGACTGAGATCCTGCTCCCGTACCAATAGACTGTTTTTGGCTGCTCAAAATCTTGTGAATGATATCACTGCCTTGTCCTGGGATCTCAACTTGAGATCTATCCTCCAAGTTCGACCTAATGTCTTGTTTGGAATTTATGTTGTATTCAAGGAGCTTCTGGTATAAGTGCTCTTGTTGTTTGATGACCTTTGTGGCATGCTTCAATGTTTGTTGCGGTTGCACTGGCGCAGGAGGTGAATTCTGTAATGGCCAACTGTTTGAATCTGGATAACTGTTTCCGAGACTTCGGTTATGTTCGATGCATGCATAGCCCACTCGAATTGTTCTTTTTGTTATCCCATGACCGCGTTTCCCGTAGCTGGAACATCTGTCAATTGCATGCTGGTAGTAAAGACATCCGCAGCCACTGTATATCTCAACAAGTTGATAGCACATGTCTGTCAGCCCACCCACGGATGTGGACAACGCCTAACGAGAATCACGTCTGGGTCATCCAAATGTAGGCGGCTTATGAAGGGCCACAAAGATCAATGATGAAACTGACAATGGGTGTGCGGTATTGGTCGCTCGGAAATCATGATATATGAGCCATCAGCTTTTGAATCAACTGAGAAGTACATGTCTGCGAGTACATGTCTGCCTCACGGGGCTGTGTACTTTGTACGGATCCGTACATTAGTACATTACTACCTGACTCCACTTGACTGCATGGCTTACCTGCACATGTGCAGGATAAAGCACACGGAAATACCCCGCCAGTACGGATTACACAGGACCAACCAAGCGTGTGGTTGGTGCACTGATATTTCGGTCATCCCTTACATCAATCTCAGAAGTACAGTAGCATAAATTTCAAGCCTTGGTGTCCAAACGTGCTATCGCTCTCCTTTAGGTGCCACCAACAACTTATTCATTGGTCAACTCAACAGCTTTTGGGCTCCTTTTTGTTGAAGCAATGTACCTGTATCAGTATTGATTATATAGTGAGTTTAATTTTCCTCCTATACGTAGGGTAGGGTAGCTGCCAAGACTGCGTTCTTCTTCCGGGTGTGAATATTTATTTCATCAGGATTGCATTTCTTGCAAGGATAATTACTATGGCAGGCATCACCTTATATCCCTAACTCAGGGACCCCTAATGCCCTTGCTGGCTCTGTACTGCGGGAGATGATTGAATATTGGCAACACTTGTCGTCGCAGGGTGAGTTCCTGGTCCTAGATAGTTCTGAGCCAATTTCGGCGAGAGCTACTATGAATTAGGGGCACAAAAGTGATGCATTTGGAATGGACACGCAAAAATCCGGTTCTGATCCAACGGTAAGAGCGAAGGCCAATTTTAGTGGCTTTCCGGTATCGTCAGCTTAAGCCTTGGGGACGCAGGTCACTGTGGCTTGCAGATATTCACCGTCGCCCATTTCATGAGCTTCTTTTCATGGTCAACAGTGAAGAGTAACTACCAGTCTATTTAGCCATTTCATTCAATGGTGATAATTATACCCTTAATAGCCTACTGTCAATAATTCACCTGTTCATCAGAGCTTCAATTGGGTGTTTTTTTCAAGGTCAAGTGACAAGGTTGCAGGTTCTTATCAGCATCGTGACTTCAAGATGTAATATCTCTCTTCATTATGCAGTACATGCCGAGTGGCAGTGGCATTGTCAATAACGTTCCATACCATCGAGGCTCAGTGTTAATCTTAATAGGTCAAGGCTTGCCACTAGAACTATGCAAGACGCAACGATGAGCAAAGTTGAATCGCGCCAGTATTGTTTATTCTTAAATTTGTCCTTGTCTTTGTCTTTTTCTGGTCTTATATTAATATTGCAGCCTTAATTTCGATACATCCGCGTGATGTTTCTCTATAACTGAAGGCGTCTAGGCTCACTTCTCTGAGCCACTGCTCACTGACTCTTGAGAACAGTTTTGTTTCTTGATGAAATTCAAAAGTTCTTTTCAAAAGCTTCCTCCGGATCTTTCTGTTCGTCTCCCGGTATGCAACGATTTATACTTTATTATTATCTGGCGTCCTTAACGGTCCAGCTTCCATTAAGGGCCCTATACCTCACGAACACTCGAAGCATGCAGTCTCTCTTTCTTGTGATTGCCAGCATGTAAGAGTCTTACCACCTGTACATGCCATATGGCTTCTTTTTGTTTTCTAGACGCTATCATGGCAGATAGAGGTAGACAGCCACACTTGATGTTCTACTGGCCAATGTGGGCGGCCATCTTCTCGATCTGAACCAATCATCGGAGCGCAACCACGGAGCACGTGAAATACTACCCCTATACTCTTTTTCTTTGATGTTCATGTATTTTTATATTCGAGACCTTGCAATCTCCTACTAGATAATATTGAAGCTTTGTTCAATACTTGTCGCCGATGTTGCAAATTACTCTAGGTTCCCTTGACCTGCGTTCCCAGAATTTGATGTTCTCGTCTTTGTTCAAAAGTTTCGACCAGCAGTGAATTTTCGTGATACTCTACACATAATCGGCTACACATGTCTAGATCATGCCGGATGTTTGCTCATGTACGCTAACATTTATTATTGCTAGCAAGCAAAGCATGATGTATTTCACTCGCTCTAGGTTGCTTGTACAACCCTCACAGAGGATCAAGCGACTTGTTTTAGTACCCCTTTTCGACGACTGTAGAATAGCAGTCTCACATACTCAGCTGTATGCGTCTACATCTTCCACTTTGGAGTCTTCTCCAAACCATGCCGCCATTCCCGTTCTTCTGGCAAAGGAGCATGGTGTTTCCACAATCCGCTTCATTATATCCGCAACCTGCTGGGGTTCATTCACATTGTGTTTCTATCCATCCATAAATACGCAAAATTTTATTGCACTTTATACACTCCGCTTAGTGATACGGACCTTTCCGGACCCTTCCGGCTTTCTAATGGAAATTATTCTGCCACTTCTTCTTGCCTGGTAGAGGACAATTTGATTGAGACGCTCTGCTTCTGTGATACGGACCCCTTCCGGACCCTTCCGGCTTCATAATACAAATTTTTCTGCCACTCGTTTTCGCCTGGAAAAGAATTCTAACAGCTAACCGAAGGTCTTTGTTGTTCAGTCTTCACCATCACATCCAGGGCTAGAACCAATATCAGAAACCACACCGGTTACTCTGATTTTGGCTTGCCAGATCCAGTCCTGATAATTCGTTCACACTCCCTCTCAGACGACAGCACATAATCTGTCTGATCCTCTAACATCCGTGGTAGCCACTCTTTCAGATCGGCAACTAGGTTCTAACACATTCAGACAGGAGCAAGCTCATTGTGAAGGACTTCTACAGAATTTTCATCCGAAGAGCTGTGTTCAATGAAGCCTGGTTCTCGTCTTAAGTCCATCTGATATCCCAGAGACTTATTTTGTAAGTTCATAAAAGAATACCCTATTCGCCATTCTCTGGCTGCTCTGGTTGCCATCAACCAGCGGACTAATCGGTCACCACTTTCCCCTAAAAGCCAATATTTGAAGAACGTGCAGCAGGCACACCCTCAACTGCTCTTGCCAACCAACATCAAACTGACGAAGAAAGACGCTTTTTTTGCCTATCATAACCCAATCTCTTTCCATCTACCCTCTAATCTTCTTTGCACCTTCGCATTCCTTGGGCTCTCGAAACCAGGTACTTGGGACCCCTTGCCCCTGTGACCCATCTACAACCATCACTCTCTTTACCATACAAATCCCATCTATCCATTTTATTTGCACATCTCTGTCGTTTCCCGGTTTTGCATGAGGAACTAGCAATCCACACACTCTGAGAAAATTCAAAAGCTCTCATACTGACATTCCATCCATCTCAACAGCTTCATCAGGAGACGCCCTCAGCATGGCTGGTACTGGCACACCTTCGACCGATCCCCCTGGCCTGGACCATACGAAAAGCTCCAAGACTGCATCGGCCGAATACCATCACAGGCTTGTCAAGGATGAATCTCCTAGAGCTGAAGGTAGCCGTAAGCTTCTCTCGCAGCTGCGCATTGTAAGTGCCATTGATCCATTCAAAGACTCCTGACCGCTCGATAGCAAGTGTTGATATATATCCCCGCCATCTGCATCTTTGATACGTGTACGTTTATCGGTACTGACATGGCTCGATTGCAGGGCTCTGATGGATCGCCCTGTCAAACCAAGAAGTCGCCTGTTGTGCTGGCCACTGACTGCTCGGAGAACCAGAGCCGTCCTAAGGTATGTTTGTCGATGTGTAGACCAATTGAACAATCTGACCAAGAGCCGAAGATCAAGCTTAGTCACGAGTACACTCTCCCCACCAACGGAACTACTTCTGCAATGGATAACCCTCTTGTCGATAGCCTTCTCAAGAAGATAACCGAGAGTCAGACCGAGTCTCATCACCCTCTAGCTCGAAAGCATCACAGCAATTATCTTGCCGCCAACGATAATGCCATCAACTCCATGTCACCTACCCCTGCCATGGACGGTTTTGAAGCCGCTTTCCCCAAGATTCGTCCTGGCGCTACCACTGGCAAGGAGAATTATGCCTCTGATGGAGAGCTCACCCGCTTGCAGCAGCAGCTAGCAGCAGCTCAGAGCAAGATCTCTCAGCTTCAAGAAATCCATCAGACTAGTGAGCCTAAAGCAGATTTTGCTCGTGTCATGCCGTTTGATACCAGCTATGCAGATGGTAACTTCAGATTCCCTGGTCCGGCAAATCTGCCTCTTGGTCACACTCCGACTATGAATAATTCTTGGTCGGGCTACGATGACTCGAGATCTGACACCAGCGATGCACTTTCAGCCACCGGCTTCAACCGTGCTCGCCACATCTGGAATGGCCCAAAGCCGGACCAGCTCCCTGGTGTAGGCTTTTCTGATGCCAATCTCCCTGGGAATGTTCCAGGTATCGCCAATCCGTGGGGACCGCGTGGTAGTAATACCGGTTACCTGGATTCTGGCATGTCTTACAATGCTGCTCCTGGCCCCGGCCCTGAGCCTCTCAGAAGCGTCGATCGTGTCTCCCCTGACTACGACATGACAATCCGAGGCCCCAATCGACGAAATGGCCGCGTCGATCGTTTCGGCTACCCTGCTTATGGTGCTCCTGGCTCTTACGGAGCCGGCAATAACTTCAACCAATTCGGCCATGGCCCGTATGACAGTGCTCCTGCTCACGGCAACCAGTACGCCATGAGCACTACTTCGTACTCCAGCCATCAGCCCAGCGCGATTGGAACTCCCTTGTCGCCTCTTGCCACCGAATTCACGGCTGGAACCGGACCCTGGAAGACCGAGGTAAGTCTAAACAGTGATATACACAGAACTCTGCTGACTATTTCATGACGACAGCCAACCACTGTCGATGGCCCTACATATCTTCCCACAACTGAGCCGCTCAACTATCGCCGCCTATTGGACAGAAACGTCAACTGCAACTGGAAGTACATCGTTGACAAGATTGTTTGTAACAATGACCAGCAAGCCTCCATCTTTCTCCAGCAGAAGCTTAAGGTCGGTACGCCCGATCAGAAGTACGAGATCGTGGATGCCATCATCCTTCAGGCACATCCTCTGATGGTCAACCGCTTCGGCAACTTTCTCGTTCAAAGATGCTTTGAGCATGGCACTCCTGAGCAGGTTATCAAGATCGCGGAGGCTATTCGCGGTAACACGCTGAGCCTTTCTATGGACCCTTTTGGATGCCATGTTGTTCAAAAGGCTTTCGACTCTGTGCCCGAAGACTACAAGGCCGTCATGGTTCACGAGCTTCTCCGTCGCATCCCCGAGACTGTGATCCATAGATACGCCTGCCATGTCTGGCAGAAGCTCTTCGAGCTCCGCTGGTCAGAGTCGCCTCCGCAGATCATGAAGTATGTTAATGAGGCCCTGCGTGGCATGTGGCACGAGGTTGCCCTTGGCGAGACGGGAAGTCTGGTCGTTCAGAACATTTTCGAGAATTGTCTCGAGGAAGACAAGGTATGTCGGATTACCCGAGAACTATGCATCCCATTATCACGCTAACAATGCCAGCGACCTTGCATCGAGGAGGTCCTTGCCAATATCGACATCGTCGCGCATGGCCAGTTTGGTAACTGGTGCATCCAGCACATCTGTGAGCATAGTGCCCCTGCAGATCGCAGCCGAGCTATCGACCACGTCATTCGCTTCGCGGCCGAGTACAGCATGGATCAGTACGCCTCCAAGGTAGTTAAGAAATGCCTGAAGATTGGAGGTGGCGAATTTCTAAGCCGTTATCTCGACCGCGTTTGCGAAGGTCGCGTCGACCGACCCCGCATTCCCTTGATCGATATCGCCAGTGACCAGTATGGCAACTATCTAATTCAGTGGATTCTGACTCAAGCCAATTCTCAACACCGCGAGGTCGTTGCCGCTCACATTCGCAAGCACATGGTTTCGCTGCGAGGCTCCAAGTTTGGATCCCGTGTTGGAATGCTGTGCACCAATCCCGCTGTCGCTACTCGTCCTGGTCCTGGTGTCAATAACCTAGGACGCATGCCCGGCCCCCGATATCCTCGTTCCTTCCAGTAAGAGGCGAGTAGGTGACGCTCTATCGAACCATCGAGGTGCTGCAAATGCTGTGATACTTTGCAACATGGCCCAGGGCTGCACAGACACCTAGTTTGGTCTTCATCTAGCACGTTCGCGGCTGGCCCTTTTTCTATGCGTTTATTTCGTCGTCATTCTTTTTTCTTCTTCTGTTTCTTTCTTTCCAGACTCGTCCTTCAGCCACACAAGCTTTCATGATACCAACGAGTCTTTTTGTACGTCATCATGGTTCCCGGAAGTGTGAGTATTGAATCAACACTTAGTACAAACGGTCATCAGGCGTTAACATTGTTCAACAGGATCGGCAACAGCTGACTGCAACGTCTTTTAGCTGTATTCCCTTCGTAACAAATTCCTGCTTGCGACCCAAGGCCGTTAACCACATTCCATCAGTTTCAGCCCAATCATCGACATCTGACCATCTTGCGCGATCATTTAGTGAAGAAAAGTTCTTTGAGAACGTATATCGCAGCAGGGTCTGCATGCCGGGGATGCTTTGGACACGTTATAGTTAGGGTTCTACGATCTAAGCCACAGCATATTTGAGCGCCAAGCAATCATGGTTCGCCTATTCTTGCTGGGCCCAAGCAGTTGGATGAGCGGTGGACAGAGCAACCTCGATATGAATTTGCATCAATCCGACCCAATGGCGAACATGAGCGTCACAACTCGTGGCTTGAACCTAGCCTATGGAGACTTGAGTATCATCTATCGTATTCATTCTGCGATTGTATTTCTTACAGAGCGTTGCACAGAAGACCTGATTTACTCGCCATGGCAATGGGAATCATCCCGGCGAAGGATGGATCTGACGGAAGTAAAATGCAGTATATAATCGTCCGCATTGGAATTACTACGAGTTTGTATGACTGAAGGGAGATGCTACCAAAACCGGAGAGAGCAGGAAGCTAGATTGCGAATGCCGTTATTCATCTGACTGTTTTTCTTTTTTCTTTTCTTTTTTGTTGTCTGTTTGGTTGTGCTGTAAGGGAATCTCTATATGCCTCTGTTTGAACATGAGAGGATTACGTATATAAGTGTTTATCTCAGTCATTCTCAATAACAACGCAGAGGTTTTGAAACAAACGAGTTGACTTATAATTTATGAATGCTGTCCATGATATGTAGGTGTGACTGAGTACGCGATACGGGGATCTCAGGGCGTTCCATCCTGGTTATCCACTGCTGGTTGCTGCAGGCCTCCAAGTGTTGGTGGGTGGGCAGAGGCAGAGTTGGGATTTCGTAGGGCCAATGACGCGTTCACTTTAGCTTAGGTTAGCTCAGTGAGGCGGGAAGAGACATTAATGGTTCAACTAACGTGATGGGGTACTATCATGCCCCATGGCGGGGTCGGTCCAGCATGGAACTATGTCATAGGGAGCTCATGCGCCCATGGAACGAGACCGACCTTTCAGCTTGTCAGACGAGGCTGATGCTATTCTTTCCTGGTGCCGACTATCCATTCGGGCCTCTAAGTTAGTCTGGCAAGTAGGATAAGTTGGCAACTTGGCAAATTTGCTTGGGCGCTGCTGCTGTTTGCATTGCTAACAAGCTCATCGAAATTTCGTGCTCCTGATATCCGTACTTGCTTAGAATTACCCCGCCAACGCTTCTTAATTCCATTCCAACTTTAGCAGCTACCAAGCTTGCCTGAGATTTATACCTGTCCCCTTCTGCGCTCGACTGAACATATCTATACCAAGTGCTTCCTTTGGCTCAATTTACATAGACATCATCGTGAGCATGGCGCCCAGAGTGGGCTTCGGCAGCTTCTTGCTGATCTTGGGCATCGTCCTGGTGCTCATGCCTGGCAAAGTGGCAGCGTTCGGAGCTGGCAACATCCCATCCATCGCACAAGTCGAGGGTGTCAACTGGCGACATGGCGACATCGAGGACATGCTCAAAACCATCACCTTTCTGCACGGCAAGAAATGGACAACACTTCTGGTTCAAAGGACTTACTTTGGCAACTGGCTTCGCGATTACTCCCAGGCCGTGGACGTCGGCAGTCTGAAGGGTGTCAATGCTGCGACTATCCGCATCCTCGTCTGGGTTCTGTCCTTCCTGGCCAACGGATATGCGACCGAAGAGTTCGAGGTCACAGAGGAGCGCCTTGGCGTATACAGGCCAGAAGAGCACATCGATAACCCACTTGGCTATGCTGATGGAAAGGATGCGCGCGAGTTCGACAAGCGCCTGCGTGGCCCGGTGTCGCCAGAGGAAACCGAGATCGATCCTAGAACCGGAATGAAAAACTACATCGCTAATGAGTCTGGCGGCTGGGCCACCAGTGCCGGATATCTTCGTTTCAGTTTTGCGCGCTGCATTCATTATGGCAGACTCTATACCAGCGGATCTTCCCGCAAAGGTTCTGAAGATGATCTCTGTGAGGCGCTGCGGTGCCTGGGTCAAGCTCTGCATTGCATGGAGGACTTTGCGGCTCACAGCAACTACTGCGAGCTGGCGCTTCGCGAGATGGGCTTCCATGAAGTCTTTGCTCACTGTGGTACTCAAACGGAGATCAACTTGAAGGGCAAACATGTCTACCCCCTAGTGACGGGAACGTTTGGTGGTGTAGATTTCTTGCATTCCGTCCTCGGAGAGGCCAACGACCATTTCACCCAGTCCGAGGTTGATGAGCTGGATATTGCATTGAAGAACGCAGAGGCAGCGAGCAAGGGCGGCGCAGGTGGCACACGTGGATTCGGTGGCAGCAGTGGCTCCATGGACTTCATCTCTCTGGTCGGTCAATTGCCGGTCATTGGTAGTGGATTCGCTTCCGAGGCTCGCGACTTGCAGCGTGCGGCTGAGCAGCAAGATGAAGAGAACCAATACAGGTCCCGTGGAGATCCAAGCCGAGCAAATGTGAACCAAATACCAGGCATGAGTGCCGATTTCGACCCTGTCAAGACCGCTGCACGTATCTATCCCATACTTCAATTCAGGGACAAAATCGTCAAGGCTATCAACAGGGGTATTGCCAAGATTCCTGGTCTGGAAGGTATTTTGGAGCACATCAGCGAGACGTTGACGGCCTTTGTCTTAGGTTTACTCGCCCCTTTCATCAGACCAATCATCACCCAACTCACAAAGGTCTTGAAGGATGGTTCGTCTGGTGTCATCGCTTCCAGCGCCAATTCTCAGCTCGAGCCATGGAAAAACCCCAACTGCACCGATCCAACACACTCTATGCTTAGCAAGGATCATTTCACCAACATCCTCAACTCTTGCGCGGGTAGAGTTTCGGCCACCGTCCTGCAATATGTCGTACCGTAAGTCCAACTTATCTCGATGACAGTAATACTGCTGACGTTTCCCTAGACGTGTGCTCTATGCCTGGGAAAATACTAATGTACCAGTGAACGAGGTCGTCAACGATGTTGTTCGCGCGTTCCACCATCCCGCGATCCGCGACGAGGGCGTCGAGATTCAGCGCGACATGTTCAAAACGGTCAAAAAGTGGGTAGACGAATACCCGCGCCGTCATGAACTGAACCATATCCTCGGCTCGGCCAGCGTCAAGAATGGCAAGAACCATATCTTGGCCAACGCTAGTAAGGGCCACTCCCACGGAGGCGGCATCTTCGACAATGGTGTCGGTAACTTTGGCGGCGGCACGGGCCATGGCCACCCCGCCGGCAGTCTGTGGAGTCAGCTGCAGACAAGAGATCTCGATGCCATGGGTGTTGGCGCTGGAAGCGGTGTTGGCTATATGGGAGCCGCATCACCACAACCCTCGTCTACTCCCGTGGGCCGTCCTACTGGAGAGACGTACGGATATCAGAGCTCAGCAAAACCTTCTGGGGGTGAAGCCGATAGTTACTTGAACCCGAGCTCTCAGTCGTCCAGTGGTGGGGGATACGGCGGTCGAACACCTCAGCCCTACGACCAAGGTCAGGGCTACGGTCAGCCTCAACAAGGCTATGGCCAAAGTCAAAGTTATAACAACCCGGCGCCGCAAGGCTACGGCCAAAGTCAGGGCTACAACAACCAGTTTCAATATGGAGGCCCCCCGCAGCAGTATGGTGGCGGCGGCCAGTACGGCGGCCAACAACAGCAACAATGGGGTGGTCCACCCGGTGGTCCTCCCGGTGGTCCTCCCGGTGGTCCTCCGCCTGGCTATGGGCCACCTCCGGGACAATGGGGCGGTCCACCCGGACCACCACCTCCCCAGGGTTATCCGGGTCCCGGATATGGCCAGGGACCTCCGCAGCAAGGCCACTCGGGATACCCAGGGCAGCAGCACGGACATCAAGGCTATCCAGGGCAGCATGGAGGTGGCGGTTACGGATACTAGATTGAACAGGATGTACTCCGATACACGACGTTACGAGGACGAGGCACTTGTTTGGATCCAGGGACGGATTATACCTTAGGCTGATTAGTTCGGAGGGGAGTAATGATGTGGTAGATCAAAATGGATTACGGAATAGCAGCAATATGAAGTATCGACACAGCAATTTTTCTTTTCCTGTCTTCTCTTCACTAGAAAAAGTCATCCGATGCTCGAGGGAAATCTTTGCCCGTTCCATATTCACGCTACTAATGCCTCTTTGAAAACAAGAGATTTAAAAACTCTTTTGGAAAAATAAAAATAGAAAGGCTTTCGATAATTTCTTAACGGTGGTTTCCCGGTCTATAACAATTTACCAAGCAAAAAGCGTACGTAACGTCAAGCGCTTCAGGAGTTTACATAAAACTGCGGTCGGCTTGTAGTTTCACGAGCATGCGAAACGACTCTTTTAACGAATCGTTCAAGTGGACGGAAAGTTTCATCTTGATTCTCCCATCTCCGGATATTCTAGTACATTGTCATACTTCTAAATGAAATTAACGCTCTGCTACTGCTGCTGCTGCTGCCGCTGCTATTGCCGCTGCCCTTGCCTTGTTCCTGAGGTGTAATGATACATGGTAAATCGTGAGAGTGAAGGGTCTCTCGTGATCGACGCTGCTGTCAACTCTGGACGATTGATATTGATTTACAACTTTGCCTTTAGGGCTCCCTTCGGCAGGGTTGTTGCTTCCTGGTTCATGAGGACCTCGCCGGTCTTCTGGCCGTTGCCAAAGAAGATGACCTGGACGGTCAAGTCATCACTATATGTGGTGTTAGTGACTTCCGGCTACATTTGCGATCTCTTTTGGGTTGGGAAACAAAAGAAACATACCGGTACCGTCTCGAGAACGGCGAGACCAACGTGAGCAGTGCGCAAACCTGCTCCTCATTCCTTCCACCTAGTGCATTTCGAATCAGATGCGTGGCGACGTTCTTGTCCTTGACGACGAATCTGTCTTTCTCTTCAGCCGTGAGTCCCCATTGTTGTTGACGTATAGGAGTCTTCTGGCCGTCGTCTCCCTGGCCACGCTTGTGTGCCTCGACGGGCAGATTACCCTGTCCTTGCGAGCCAAAGATCTTTGACCAGACGCTGTTGAACTGCGATCTGGATTGATCCTTGGCCTGCTCGCTTTCGATCCACTTGCCAACTAATCCCACGACCTCCTCATTGGTCAGCATCTCCCAGAGGCCGTCGGTTGCCATGACGACGAAGTCGCCCTTCTCAGGCTGGATCTTGGTAGAGGTAACTACGGGCTCGGCGGTCACGTAAGGGGGTGTCTTGAGGTAGGGGGACTGCGAGCGGCCGAAGAATGAGGAGCGAAGGCGTTCTGAGATTTCGCGAGTCCACTTGTAGCTGGCGTCGCCAAAGGCACGGGTCGGCTCGAGACCGCCCAGCACACGGCCATTGCGCACAACATGTTGCTCCTCGCCAGGGTGAGCCTTGCGCATGCGGGCTACCTCGTTGGGGTTGCTACCAGTCTGGTCCTCGGACAGGGCGGTGGCGGTCCACTTTGAACCGCTGCGGCGACCCAGCACAGCGCGGGAATCGCCAGTGCAGGCAACTCGCAGAGTCTTGGAAGCACTATCGTAGAAGGACAGTAGGGCGCAAGAGCCCGACAAGGCAGGCCCCAAGAGCTCGGCTGCCACGCGCTTGGAGTTGGACTTCAGGACCTTTTCGACACTCTCGTGGACGATCTCGTGGTCCAGCCTCGTGAAGCCGAGCTTCATGGCTGCCTCGATGGCTTCTGGGGACGGGGCGGAGCCAAGGGTGTTGGCGGCCTTGTACGTAGTGTTCAGCTCTCGAGCGACGTAGCTGATGAGGGTTTGGCGGAGCTTGGCAGAAGTCGTCCATCCACTAAAGTTGTCAATACGCAGGCCAAAACACAACTAACGGCAAGATGCAACGTACGCATGACCGTCAAACACTCCCCAGAACATCCAGTCGTTGCTCTCTTGTTCTGCTGCGTCCGGCGAGGGCATCGAGACCTCGACGATCTTCTCGGCATGATCGTCCTCGATGGGGTTGTTGCTGGCTAGCTGTACAATATCGTATCGCAGGACGCCCTGTCCTCGGTTGACGACGAAGGAGGCCTCATTGTCGCGCAACTTGTCCGTGGCTTGGTCGGGGGTCAACATCTCCAGTACGTTGTTGCCTGTGCCGTCTGCGGTCTTGGCGATGGGTCCTTCGCCTACAAAGGTTCCGGTATGCAGCTCATCGGCTCCGACGACTAGGACGTTGCGGGTGGTGGCGGGATGCTGGGGACCCGCTCTGGTCGAGGTCGAGTATTGGGCTATGGCTGATTCTGTATCGTTGCCCTTGTAGCCGTACCAAGCGCCGTAGCCGACGAGGCCGCCGACGAGAGCCACGGAGACTCTTCTGAAGTACATGGAGGCCTGGAGAGGTTCTCTCAGAGCATGTTGTTGTTGTTGTGGCTGCTGCTGGTCCTGCTGAGATAGGGCGGAGGTGGGGGCTCGCTTGGAGGCGAAAGCTGTCGACGTGCTGCTCAGCGATCGAAGCTGAGCAAGTCTGGAGTTGTTGCTGACGAAGCCGTGCTGCTGGTGGGCGGCCAGACTAGCCGGTCGCGCGCGCAAGATGTTTATGTTTGTGTTGGTATTTCTCGATATGGAAAGTTGCCGGACAGGGCTTTGACAGGATGTCCGAAAGGCTCCCTGGGCTGCGCGACGCATTTGGTCACTGGCTGGCTACTGTCGGGCTCCTGAATAGTAGAGCGCCCGGGACAGTTGATGTGAGAGCGGGACCAGACTGTAGTATACTAACCCAGGTTAGAATGAGAGGCTCCAGTATGCTTCGAGATGTTGGAATTCTGGAGTCGGCAGGTGTCGAGGTACCGCAGTAAGTCAGGTTAATTAGTGCTGCATCGCCTCCAGGAATTTCAGTGGGCCCACCCCCAGGGGGCGTCTTCTTGTTGTGATTAGGGGCCCGGGGGAGAGCAGCACCAGCCTATCGATAAAGGCAATGACCTGAACTTGTTCTAAGTTGACAACGCCGCGGTGCAACACCTAAATGTCATAGGGGTGTGTGCCTGCACATGCCTTTGTTCATCACTACAGTAAATAACAATAGCAATACTGCCTTGCCGCTGTGAGAACGAGATCAAGACTACTACGTCCACATGTAGACATTCGTTCCGCATCTTATACCACGGGACACCCCATTCATTCATTGCATCCAAAGGCTCTCTCCCATCACTACAAAATGGAAGCCTCACAGAACCCCGCAGCTCCCACCTCGGCCATGGACCGCATGCGAATGCAAGCAGCCCAGAACCCAAACGCTGCTCACCGTTCGTTTGACACTTATCCATGGTTAAAAGATCCTGTGTTTCAAGTGAGTGCTGTCCAGGCCAGGCATTCTGCTCCGCTACTCTGGAACTGACAAACCTCCAACAAGTCGCAACTTGCCACTGCACTATTGAATCAAACTCATCTACCCCCTGCAGAAATCGCCCTCCAGTGCCGTATCATTCGATACGACGAGAGGATAGGCATCAAGATCGACCGTGCCAGGTACCGGGAGTATCGCTCTTCAGAGCAACGTCCCATGGTCATTGTTGTTCCTCCGGTCATTTTAGAACAGGAGGCTCTTTTTGAAGTGAGTGTCTTCCCTCTCGGGGCGGGTGCCCAGTCAAATGCATCCACATGCGTGTACGCCTGGACAAGACTAATCGGGTGAAAAGCCTGATGCCACCAAGCGCAGATATGCAGCAATATACAATGACGACTTCGATGTTGACACATCTGAGGAAAGCATAGACCAGGACGTCCCGTCATGGCAACGGTCTGCTCCCAAGGCCGCCCTCTACGTCAATAAGGACAATCTGTCTGCCGTCGACAGCCAAGACAAAGAGCCATATCCAAAGAAGTTTGAAGAGATCATCGCATTTCTACAAACCGGCAAGGAGATACCTGGTATCGTCAAGATACCTGACACAGTTATTGATGACCCAGTAAGTTCCGCTTCAGGCCGCTGTGTCTTCAAAAGAGCTTTGAAACTAAAACATCCTATCAGTCGATATCAACTACAACTGGCCGGTCTGCGCCCCTTAAACCGTGGGAAAAGAAAAGCGCCGACTATGAGGGTCCTCAATGAGATAGACATTTGGTCATCTAGATCCATTGCTCTGGTCGTCTGTTGGCGCCATCCTGCATCAGGATTTTCCCCATTAGACTACTATACGAGCACATGTCAGTCGCCTCGGAAAGCCATCATGGCGTTTTTTAGTCATGGGTTGATGATATGAATGGTTGGACTCGAGCTGAGCCCCTGTGATGCGGCAGGTATAGGTCCACATAATGTTTCACGAACACTGTGAAGTACTACCGGACCATGAAGCATCATGTAACGCATCAAGATGGTGAGAGGAAGTTCACGCACTCCGTTATCGACCTTATGGTCAGTTCTGATCGCCAATCAGAACGGGAAGTGCTTGGAAGGTTGCCCAAAATTGGCCGGACAAAAGCAATCGCCAGAAGAGCGGGTGTACTCGCTAGTATTTCATGGCGCCAGTGGTGGGAAGAATATGTGCGAATGCGCCAACTCTTTGTCTCCTGTTATCGTGGGCCTGGTCTGCAAATTCCGGTCTGCCTTCTCTGCCAATGCCAACCCCCGATACTACCGCAACATTAGAAGCTGTTTTCGGTAAATCATGAAGCTCATGAAATGCGGGAAGACTCGGATCACTGCAAGGAATCCATAGTTTCAGCCTCGTTAGTACTAGCCGATTCCCAACAATTTGAGTTCCTCTCTTCCACAGTCCTTGAGTTCCGTTGTCGATTAGCTCGACTACGGAGGATCTCTTCGGAACTCGTGCTCATGAGCACGTGTGCAGTTTTGCAGGTTGGCTGTTTTCAGAATCCAGAGAAGGGGGGCATGTTGTGGACGAACCGCTCGCGTTGTGGTGTGACTCATGCTGTGCTGTCCCTCGGCCAACTTCTCGGATTTAAAATGCCAAAGTGTGGGAGGCGTGAAAATGAAATTGAAGCTTGGCTGGTACGTGAAATCCAGTAGTTGAAATTCCTTTCAGCAGGTCCAAGGAGTTGTGTCTAAGACCGGGGGAAAAATGAGTGCGGGTTTCGGTCTGTGCTCTACTATGTTTTTGATTACTATAGGATTGAGATGGTCTTTGATCCAATTATGGCATTTGTCTTTGTACTTTTATACGCTGTTCAGCTTCAGAGCCTTTTGACACGGATTTTTGTCTCTTCCATTTTTTATATCTTATTTCCTGCTCTGCCTTGCGCCCTTCCGGTGACTATAAAATAAGCTGGTAAATGATCCAGGGTTGCAAAGCTATCACATCGGGGTCACTGAAGCAACCTCAAACTTACGTTGCACTGGCAATGATCTACCGTTCGTCCTTTAGTGACAGCGATTACCATGACTCTCTCTATCTCAATTGTACGTTCCACGCACTAGAATGTCGGGATACTCTCAAGTAGCCCAGTTACCGATCCGCCTAGAGCCATCAGACAAGTAGGAGTAAGAACTAGATCCTCTCAACTCAGAGCCACAACATTGACATATTGAATGACCCAAGCTACATTTCGGATAAATGTACACGACACAGGCCTAACACAAACTAGCACTTGCTTCTGGTCGGCCATACGTGCATCACTTTCGCAACAAAGTCAAACGCAATCGAAGTAATGATTCTCAATTTCTCTACATGTATTCATGTCCGCGTCAAAGACGAATGGTCTTGCTATAGATCATGACCAAGTTAGCGAGACGCTCGCTTCGGCCCGCGATGCCGAACCTGGTGGGTGGTTTCGGCTTCGCCGCCATTCTAAAACACATATATACTCGGGACCACAGCTAGAAAGACGCCGCCGACGAGGAGCACTCCAGTAAGAGAAAGAGGGTAGCCCAAGGCTCAACGCTTACAGCCGCCCGCAGTCTACGCTGGGTACCACCTCCGAACGAGCGCAGACTCTTCAGGAGCGGCACATGTTCCAACTGTACTGTAGCTTAACTATATAGACCCCCTGGATTGAAGCATGCCACGTTCTAGGGACTTCACTCATGCGACGTTTCACGAATTCCGAAGAAGCCGCCTTCCGGCTGTGATGGTTGGTCGATGAATTGCCAAACAAACGGCCCAAAATAGACAGCGAGAAAGTTGGCGGGCCCTTACTATCCCGAATAGGTATATAACTGAACTTATGCACGTGGCTAGACTAGACGCTGTCGTGATGCATCAAAAATGGCAGAACTGAGGGATTTCAGCTGCAAGTCGACCGAATAAGGGTCCTGCGTTGAACTCTCCATGCTGATCCGCACCTTCCGTAATTCCTCGTAACTCAGTTATGCAACAAGCTAACATGATGGTTTATGATTGCAACCAGATTCGTATCGGGCTAAGGCTTTGCTCTAGGATGGCGCGTCGGACCCACAGCAATAATGAGGGAAGTCAACGGCCATGCATGGTCTTTTAGATTCATCCTGGCCGGCTACACAAGTGGTTGCGCAGCTGCGCAGCTCGATGCAGCCTCAAGGACTTTGATCGTCTCGGTAAAGAGGACGGTGCCGCCCGGTTTGTCATATCTGGACCATCTCGGATGAAACGGTCCGAAGCAGACAAGTAACAGTAGCTGCGCCGCGTCGATCTCTTCCCATGATGCAGCAGACCATGCAGGCATACCGAGATGTGTGTTTACATTTGACGGCAGGCCCGATGAACTTGAAGCTTAGGTTGGAGGCTAGCCTATAAGGTGTAAACATATCATAGATCATCTGATCTTGGTGTCGTCAGCAACATTTAACAAATCTGAAAACAACAACTCATCCAAACCTGCATGAACTAGGCATCCACACATAAGCCGCGTGACCTAGGTGTTACTGGAAATAGATGATCAGAGAAGAATATCAACAGGTATAATATATCACTTCAGTATTGTAGGCAAAATGGCGGCATTTTTAAGCCCCTTCTGCTGAGATGCATGGAACACTGAGAAGGATTCGCTTACGACGAAGGCCGATAGTGCCCCGGCGCATCACGGAGCCCTAAGCGCAGATGCAGACACAAAGCTTGCAGTTATTTTGGGCCAGTTGCATATTCCCTTCTGCTTTTTGGTAGCCAATCAGGCACGAGGATAATCTTGAGCTTACGAGCAGGAGTCCAAAAGACCTCTCATACTGCAACAGCGGTGAGACAAAAGCAGATCGGCCTTCACTTCACCCAAATGAGGCTTCCTTCAACATGCAGGAATATATGCTAGCCGTGGCCAGGCTGCTAAAGTTCGTATTGGCCGTTATGATCTAATGTCAATGGTAATATTGCAGGATGTCCAAAAGGGCATGGTGCAGAGCCAAGTCCTCAGACCTTATCGAGCAGCATTTTGTGGAAGTATATTGGCTTGGCCGTGACTGATATCGGCACGAATCTGGCTAGGTCTCGCTGCGGATGAACAAATCCTGGGGCGCGGGTCACAGACTTCTGTGGTGCGATGACAAGAGAAATATATCTGCACATGCTCATGCATCAGGCCGTCTGATTAAGGCAACCATTGGATATATTGAGCTGCGAAAAGAGGGGCCCAGTAGAACGTGCGCTTCCTGATAGTTTCTGTGGAACTTGTACCGAACTCGCTACGTATTCGTCTTTTCGGTTTCCCCCTTCTGGTCCAACGTCAAGGTAAGTATTACCTGTACCATTCAATTGACATATACCTCCAGGCATAATACGAAATCTGCCTGCAGGCAGATCCACTTCAAAGTAGACCCTCAGCCCTATGCAGCTTACCTACATAGGGCTTTGTGCGCAAGATCTAGGCTTTTGTGACCTGATCAGGACGATTCCTCTCGAGTGCGGTGGTCGATCTACTGCATAAGCGAGTTATGCATTGTGACTCGATACATGCAGGAAACCACGGCGTAGAGTCTGCATATCGCTAGAGCTTCTCGAAGAGTAGGTCATTGTATAGCAGCTGACAGCCTGAAACGGTGTAGGCAGTTTCAAAAATGCTCCGTGGCATAGATTTGCTTACCTGTGTCCTTGTTCCGAATCTCTAGTGTTGATCCAGATACGGGATGGCGTTGAGTACGCGGCTTAGACACCAAATGTTGGCCTAGGCAACTCTCGTCAGCTCATATATCGATCGAATGCTTCTTTTGTGAATGTCTGCCATATAGACCACCATCTCGATGACCGAGGCTGACCGAATCATGGAAATGATTTGTTCATGCATGAGAAGATGTTCGCTCGGTACCGCGCCGCTTGTGACGATGCATCCACTGGTGTTGGAGCTGAGACGATGTCGTGGCCCCCAAGTCAATACCCATCATGACTCGCATATAAGAAGACCAAGGCCTGTGTCTTGTAAGGAGAGATTGGCATCTAGAAACTCTCACCTAAAATTTCAACAGCAATATATTCCCAAATGACTTTGACGCTTTGGAGAGACTTGACGCCTTTAGCTGAGCCTATGAGGCGGCCAACTATTGTATCGCCCCATATACTCGTGATAGGTGGTGGAGTGACTGGATTAGTAACCTCATGGGCCCTGCTCGATCGAGGTTACAGTGTCACTATTCTGAGCTCGTAGGTGTAGCGAGGGTGGCGCAGGGGCAAATACCCGTTGCTAACGTCAAATGATTAGTGCTTGGGTTAATGAAGAAAGTCGCCTAACGTCTCAAATTGCCGGTGCTCTGTGGGAATTCCCGCCGGCTGTTTGCGGCTCCCATACTGATGCTATATCATTGGCACACTCGAAAAGATGGTGTATGACGGCCTATCGTGTATGGGATGCGATAGCCTCCATCCCCATACTAAGCGAGGAGTCAGGCGTGCGGATGATGCCGTCAGATTTCTTCTTTCCTGATATAGTCGAAAACGATGACGCACAGTATTCTAAGATGGTGGAGATTATAGCGAGTGGTGTCCGAGGGTTTTACCGAGGGGCCGACCTGATGGACGAGAGGAGAGTCGACGAGTCCTATGGTGCAGTCGATGCATATGAGCTGATGGCTCCAATTATTGACACCGACAAGGCTATGGAGTGGTTGACACGTCTCGTGCAGGACAAGGGCGCACAGCTCGTGACGGAAACTATCAACGACGACCTTCTAAATGTCGAAGGGAAACTCCGAACGCGATTCGGTGCTGATGTTATCATCAACTGCACCGGCCTGCAAGGACAGGTTCTAGCTGGCGATTCAACCGTGTACCCAATCCGAGGAGGGTTAATCCGCGTGATCAACGATGGGTCGGACTTTCCGAAGGTTGAGGCAGCTCTAACCATCACAGCTGATGCAGTCCATGACTCAAACGAGATCGTTTTTCTTGTACCAAGAAACGACAATATCCTGCTGATTGGCGGCATAGCAGAGCCGCATGAGTGGGACTTGAATCTCACGTTGGACAGCCCTATCATACGACGGATGCGGGAGAGATGCGAGGCATTCTTGCCAGATTTGAAGGCTGCCCGTGTAGATCCGGATTACCCGTTAGCACAAGGTCTCCGTCCATTCAGGGGAAATAACGTGAGGGTTGAGCGCGAGCTGCGAAGACCCAACAGCCGAATTGTGCATTCTTACGGCCAAGGGGGCGCCGGTTGGTCGCTATCCTTCGGATGCGCTCATGACGTCTTGCTGTTGGTTGAGGAGGTGTTGACAGGCGTCGCAGCAAGATCGATGAGAGAAATGGAGAGCGAGCGCAAAGGCATGAAGTTCAGAGGCACTAGGGAGGCCAGAGCGGCACTCTAGGCTAGGTGTAATCATATTCACTCCCACTCTCCTTGCATGTATGTCAGGTTACAAGGGGCTCATAGCAGGCTGTTTTGCAGGTTCTAACCGGTACGGAGTAAAGGGATGTAGTAGCGACGTCAGGACCACGTAGTGCATTATGTCAACGCTGACGGAATGAAATCATGCATGCATGTACGTATGTATGTATGCACTGACCGCGCTTTCCAAGCATGTCAGTCAGGGGTGTAAGCAAAGGGCAACTGCAGCTCACTGACAGAACAAAGACTCCCACTGCTCCAGACAGATTACTTTAGGCTGTGTGTGTATTTAATTTATTCCACTTCCTAGCCCCGGTTTTCTCAATGGAACCCTACAAAATATCAACACGTTGGTGCCGCTGGGTATGATTCCGCTCGCAGCGAACTGCCACTGCCATTCAGTGGCGACGAGTAGGTACGTAGGCTGCTACACCGGCTTTCCTATTTCGTGTGAATGCTCACGCTCGTGGATGGCCGATGTAACTGCGTTAATTACATAATATGATTATGGCACACGTGTAAATCTCACCACGCATGCTGCCAATGCATCATGTCTCGTAAGTACTTTGGCATGGGCATACTCATGAAAACCACTCGACGTGTTTTCGTGATGTGGCATTTGGGGAAGATCCGACCGCCTTGCCACAGGTCACGCGTCCTTTGATCCTGGCACTGATGATAAGTGACACTTGCCTGATCTACTCTAACGACAACATGGACTTGACTTTAAAACTTCAAGAGGAGTCGTAACGTTGCGAGTTTCATATGGCTGCGGAATTTACTCTTACGCTTTCGACCTCGCGTCCTTTCTCTTTTTCTTTCCGTCTTACTATAAGCCTTAACGGACAAACTTGCAAGGCTACTTATATTGGTACATGCTTGTTGGAGAGAACAGCTGCTATTGTGCATCAGAGCGATAAACAAGCTGCAATATTTTGGATCCCATGATTCACGTAATATTAGTATTGAACTTAGACCGTGTACTTATGTAACGGAGCATACAATAGCGTGGGTAACATGTATGTTACAGCCCCTAAGGAACGGCGAGGCATCTTGTTTGAAGTCGTCATTTCGCTCCAGCAAGAGACAATATGAATTGGGAAAAGATTTTCGTGATGTCCGGTCATGACTCTGTCAGCGCAGGTTCCGGTTCTGCGCTGCCTCGAAATATTCACGGCGCTCTTTGATTGTGGTTTTTGGGGTACTTCCTTCGTGCTCTTTCTGAAACATCTCAAGAGCAGTTGCCATCCTCCTGAATACAAAGAGCCCGCTTTTTACTGCTGCGATACTCGTAGATATGAGGATTAAGGTAAGCAACCTCTCGATATGTCGAAAACCGATGTATATCGGGAGTCAAGCAGCTGCAGTCTGAGAGAAGAGATGATATGCTTTGCCTAACTGGCCAACAACTGCTACAGAAGCCATGAAGTCTAACAACAGTGTTCTACCATTCACATTCAACGAAATATTGCCGAGGAAGTGGCAAATGTGCGGTAACTGGAGGCTTAACTCGGAAGTTTTACTGCGTACTGTAAGTACAGTACATAGCATTAGGTTAGTACAGACAACCAAGGAGTGCTCTGTAGTGAGGCCAAAAACGCATTGTGGATCTTCTAGTCTGCTAGTAGGTGACCTACATGTGACCTCGGATTGGAGCATCATTGAGTAAGTTGTGGTTAGACCTGGTTAGTCTTGTCTTAGATTTTTATTAGTCTAAGTAGTTAATTAACTAGTCTCTAACTTACTACACACCTATGTAATCCGTGGATGCGGGCGGCGCCTCCCACGGTCACGTGACCTCCCCATCGGATTTCCCACAATTCCGCGTCGAATTCCCACTGCAGCCGGTCATACATACTTCAACATAACACCTCACCAATCCGACATCGTCAAATTCTCACCAGTCGACAAGTCATCACAAATCCATCAAGATGGGTAAAGTTCACGTACGTTAGACTGTCGCCGCCTCGCCGGAACCAGAAATTTGCTGACAGAACGAAAAGGGTTCCCTGGCTCGTGCCGGCAAGGTCAAGTCTCAGACCCCCAAGGTACGACAACTCCCACTCCCTCGATTATCATGAGCCCATGGGTAGACAAACTCCGCCGACGGAAGATGCAAATACCCCCCATCGTATCCGTCACCCAGCCACTTTACGCATCACCTGAAGCGCATTCAGCTTGAGATGGCCATATTTTGCCACCCACAACGGTGCTTTGGAAAATTCCGTACTTGCACGACAGCATCGCCAGAGTCTCACCAATAACGACCTGCATCTTTCCTCGCGATACAGCCTTCTCATGGGCTACCAGAAAGCCATTGTACGCGGATAGACGACTAACCCTCACGTCAAACAGGTTGAGAAGCAAGAGAAGGCCAAAACCCCCAAGGGCCGCGCCAAGAAGAGACTCACTTACACCCGCCGTTTCGTCAACGTCACCTTGACCGGTGGCAAGAGAAAGGTATACACCGTGACAATTGGTATTTGCATCTAATCATGCTGACAAGAGACAGATGAACCCCAACCCCGGCACCTAAGCGCATCGCTTTGACGAGTTTGAGAAAGGCAGCCGACGTCGTACGTAGGGGATCGGAGGGCTATGAACGCGTTTGGGGTTATTCCACTCTCTTTCTGCCCAAAGCATCCGACCCGGTCGCATATGACTGACCATCACCACTGCCCTGGTCACGTTTGGGAATGAAAGGTTCATGAAGTACGGAAAAGGATGGATGTTTTCTCTGGAGTCATTCAAGTCTTTTAGGGCTTGGTCGTTTTCGCATTTCCCAGCATCTTGTCTGTACATGGCAGATATCCGCCTGATACGGCGGAGGCAAAAAAAAAACCCCCCTACCAGAGAATAGAAATATGTCTCTGGAAACCATTCATGTCCCTTGACTTCACGTCGAGTGGAGCTCCATCAGTGTTGCAACTGTTTGAAGCTATTTTGTACCCATCAACCTATTGCTGAGATTTCAGCGTGCGCAAGTACTAACCTACAAGCAGGCCGGGATCTGTGCGCCACTCTTTACCACACTACGCCAGCACATCCCGGGAAGTATGCTGACACCCACAAGTTCAACAAACGGTCAAGTAAGTCATGTCGATACGAAATGAGCGCTCGAACGTCATGTTCCACCTCGATGCCGCTCCCTGGATGAAGGCAAGTCTACGGACCTTTGTGCACCACAAGAAATGACTCGAGACCGCACGTGTGATATTCCACCGTTTTGACAGCGTTCTACTATAGTTGTTCGTAATCCTCCATATTGGCTTCTTGCCATCCCATATTTGATGATATACCATCGCAAGCAAGAAAGAAAAAACCTTCCCCGTAAGCCTTAGTCAGTTATCTGGCATCTCACGTTTAGATCTACAATAAAATTGATTATCAAAACAAAGTGCAACACCATGTCGTTCTAGTTGATCATAGCCAAACTGGCAGTGATGTAGGATAAATCTAAATGAACGTGTCTTGGGCTTTTGAGTGGCTCGTTCCCCGGGCGACTTGGTCCCTATCGTTGACCATCCCACTTGTTGGGCTGGACATCTACAATAGACCCGGCCTGAAAGCAGTATCGATACCAAACTTCGTGATTACGGTCATTGGTCGTTGGGGATGGGGTAACCCTTGGCTCACCATTGTCTTACACGATACTCGAACCAGTCAGAAGAATACCCCAATCTTCCGACTTACGAAGAGACCAGAGAGATGCGTGTCGGGCTATAAACACTACGACTTCACCATGCAAGACTGCATGCTCGCGACAAATCGTCACTTTGTTGATGTTCTCTCCGAGGGAAACTGTTTATGATTCCTGTATACTTTTCTCCTTGGTCAGTCAGGGAAGTTTTGGGCTTCTAGCCGCCTGTACGTGTACAGATCATGCAGTGACAACTATCCGAGACACTCTGGAATCTTGATTGAGAATTCAGCTGTCCAGAAATAAGCTGTGCCTTTCTAAAGAACGCAGTAGTCGGTCATGGAAGACGTGAGATTACATAGAATTGAATCACCAAGGGACTCCAAAACAACCATCGTAAGTCTTCTATATCAACACTAAGTAGCTCTACAGACGATTTAAGGAGTTATCCGTAACTTGAACAACCACTAACACGACTCAGCATCCTTCTCGGACAAGGTCAAGCCGAAAATTCACCTCGCCGCCCAGTCCATAATCGTGGGACTGTCCAAGATACTCGAACCAACGGTCGTCGCCGAAGCCGGACTGACTCCATCCTCGTTCGCCTCTCTCTTTGCAGCCGTCCTCTGCTCGGACACGACTGGAATCCTGGGCCCTGCTCTCGCCTCCATCGGCGGGTTCGGCAAATCCTTCCACGCCCTCGAGTCGAAATTGAACCTCTCGCCCGCTTCCAGCGGCGGCAAGACAGGACTGTCGAAATTCATCGTATCTGCTCTTCTCACCGGTGGCAGCGCCGGGACCGTCCGTCGTCTGTCCTCTACCGCGCTGACCTGGCTCTGGTTCCGTGTTAGGTTCCGACCTCTTGCGCTTGGGCTCGGCGACGGGGCAGTCTGTATGTTCAGGGCAGCACCCCCGCCGGGCCTCCGTAGCTTCAGCGGCGCCACGGGCTCCACGCCCTCTGTACGCGTGCTCGCGAAGCCGGCGGCCAAAGGGCTATGCACGGGCGTGTCCCTGCCAACCTCGAACGTGGCTACGCTGCCACGACGCGGCGGCCTCGGCGGTGGCGCTCCTCGCCCCGCCCGTCCTCTCGGGGGATTGGGCGGTAGGGGAAAGCTGGGTGGAGCAAAGGTGGTCGACAGTCGTCTTCGGTGCCAGGCCCGGTCTCCGAGGCCGTGGATCCCCGCCGAGGGCGGCGGGCTCGTAACGCGCGGCGATAGGGGAGCTGCGCCGCCGTCGCCGCCATGGTCCACGGTGCGCCACTGCACGGCCGAGCTGTTGCCTTCGGAAGAAGAAGAAGAAGGGGCCTTGGGCGGGCTACACACCTCATGCATCAGGTTGCTGTACAAGCTGTCCCTGTCTTCAGTCTGCTTCTGCCTGGCTCCCGAGATCATCAGCGCGCTGGGGAGAATCGTCGCGCGCTTTGCGCCCCTTTCAAGTGCAGGCGTCGTGGGTACCATGTCGCCCTTGATCGTGAGGTGGATGTCGTCGTGGACATTTGCGTTGGTAGCCAGAAAACCTAGTGGCTGCTTGTCGTTGTGCTTTGCGTCGTCTTGGTGTTTGGATAATATGGTCGCCACGTGCTCGTCTTGCATGTTCCGTTTCTTTCGCTGAGCCCGGCAGAAGAAGAAGAGCGCGGCCATGAGGACGGCGCCAGATATCGAGCCGGTTACTGCGGCTACCGCGGCCGCAGAAGCCGGCGCATGGTCCACGGGCGGTGTGGTCGTGATTGCAGCGGGCGGAACTGTGCTGGCGACGGCGATGGCTTCATCAACGTGGTCGGTCGTCGCAGACGTGGACGGTTCTGATGCCACGGCCTTCTTTGAGTCGGGAGCGTAGCTGTACACTGCAAGGTTGTCGCTTCCTCCACAGGAAAGCTTGTTTTCGCCTGAACACGGGGTCGTACAATTGTCGGCTTCCAGCTTTGTTGCGCCAGAGGCAATTTCCATGCCACAGTAACATTCACTTGGGTTCGGGTCAGTGGCGAGATTCTTCGTAGGAACTAGGAATGTCGAATATACATGATGCTTACCTGGCGTTCTTCAGCCCTGCATACTTGAAGTGCTCCGGTTTCCCTTTCGGTGGGCTAAGTTCCATACATCCATCAAGACAGGAGTATGGCGTGAGCTCTGTCTTGTTGACAGAGGACGGTGACGCGAAATCTGCTTCTTTCCCGAAAGGATGTCCTGACCGGTCCAAGCCTGCCTGACCGTAGCATCCCATCAACTCATAGTTCGCATTACCGGCCGCCAACGTCGGCTTGAAGGCGATCGATACCGTCATGGTTCGGGTAGAAAGATCGTCCCCTTTGACAGAACCATCCCTCTTGACAGGTGGTCCAAGAATCGATGTGGTGTGTCGAGCATGTGTCGTGAAGAGTAGTCCACTCCAGAGCATAGCCTGGAGACAGAATCGTTTCGTTTTGGAATCGTCCAGTAAAAATGACATCGTTCTTGTGCCGTCGTCGACCGAACATGATGATCTCCATGACTAACTCTGGCGTTTGCCATTGCCGGGCACCCTGTATACTCTGAGGACCACCTCTTGTCGTCCATGATAGTATCTAAAGACAAAGCAACGGTCGGAAACAATGGCCGCGACAAAGACAGAGCCTTTGAATCCGGCCTGAGAACCGGATTGGTTCAATCGCGTAGACCATCCTGCTATACAAGAAAGGTAACAAGCATAGCCTTCAACGTCGATGTTTAGCCCTCATTCCTGGGGTTCACTTCCCATGACTGCGCATCGAGCACGGGGTTTCGTTTTGCAATTCGCATTTGCCAGAAGCGGAACAACAAATAAAATACCGAGAGGATTGACATAAGAGACGTCTTCGACCACTTTAAGACATTGGGCTTGAAACGTAACAAAAGAAATGCCACCCATGGCGTGAGATAAGCTAGCGATTGCACAAGCGATAACGCTCATAATCCCTAGCTAATGACACAATTGAACCTACCGTTTCGAGCCACAGCCGTGACTTGATGAGATCACAAGGACCCTGATGGATCTGAAGGACTCGGTTTGAGAAAGACCAAGCAGCTCGATTGTGTTGTGTTGAGGTTGGGAAGGCTGGGTTATTATCTCTTGATAAGCTAGCCGCCGCTGGGGAAGATGACGGCAGCCTCAAGCTGCAATGGCGCGGGACATAATGTAATATTATGAGAACAATCATTTGCTTATCTACAGTTCAAGATACGCCCAGACTAGAGTTCAGAGTACACTGCAGATCGTATCCTTGGCCGTTCTCTTCCTAGCGATTACTTAGGCAATCTCAGGAATCCTCCAAAGAGCCCTTTCAGCGGTCGGTTTGTTATCTTGCGCATTTCACTATCTCCTCGTACCAATAATCAGACGTAGCACCTGCCGCATTCTGCAGCAAGCCGGGGCGAAAGAGCAATGAAGCTGATGATAACAGAGCACGCAATCTGGTTCCTCTCTCTATACAAAATCTCCAGCGTTCCCAGTTCCGACCCAAAGAGTCCGGGAAAGTCATTGTCGCAATACAACAACCTCGAATGGCCCTACGACGACGAAACTGGATGAGACTTGACAATGGATGCAAGTAGCAAGACACCAGTGGCGGTGCACGTGCTCATTACCCTATTGGGAGCATGACCCGGGATGTTCATTACGGGGAGGGTTTATTACCGGAAGCAAAGCAGGAGTTGGGCTCGTCGAACGTCTATCGGAAGGTTGAGCAACGCAACAGCGATTCTCCAACACCTCTCCAGTTTGTGGGATGACCTCGATCAACATCAGGAGTTCCCACGCGGGATGCCAGATCTGCGCAAAGATGTCAAGTGCTTGGATGCATGTACTCGAATTTACAACACGAGGGACGACTGGATGAGACTGCGAGACGAGACTGCCTCGCTGCCTCGCTGCCTTGCCTGCCTGCCGCCCGCGGCACCCCCCGCACATGGCCTGACCATGTTCGAGGTCCCCACCCTGCGCCCGGTGGGTTGAGGGGCTATCCCAGGCCATGGCTGAATAGCCCCCCACATCCAGCGGTTTCAACTTTGCAACTCATCTACAACACAGTATTGGTCATGCACACCGAGTTCTGCATTGGGATAATCGCTCCGTGGCTGTTTTAGTGCAAACTCGCATGGGGTTTTTGGTATGACCGATGATCGCAGAGGACTCCTAATGCCTCAAAAGCCGATGCAAAAAGTTTTTCCGTATGCATGAGCTTGCATGAGTATGGGACCGCGAATAGCGGCCCAGGCCTTGAAAAGAGTTGCGAAGAACTACCCAGTCGTCGATATCATCTCCGCGGTGTTTCTATTAAGAGGGAAAAAATGCACTTCCGACACCCACGATCCGATTCCCACGATTCCGAGCCGGACAGCACACCTTTTCCTGTCAGACGTGGCTCCGTTTCTTGGGCTGGAGGTCGAGAGAGATTGGCAGAGTACGTGTAGTTAATTCTAGGGTAAATTATAATCATCGAGCCTACCGGGGCTGTCTGTCTCGACACTGTCTAGAGATCCAGGCGCTCGTACTATGGGATGTGACTGGTGAATGTAGTGGAGCCGAGCTAGTGCTTGGTGCACATGGTGCGTGAATAGTCGCTACAGTTTGAGACGCTTCAAAGGTCTACAGACAACGTCATTGGTCGTTTCGGGCTCTCTGCGGTTGGGACTATCAGGAAACAGAGCCGACATTACACTAGAGCCTCTCGCCGTTCGTCATGACCGATTGTTCGGGATTGCTTATCGGAGTCTTGTGTTGGTCAAAGGTGATGGTGCTATGACTGATCGTGAACTCATTGTTGCTATGGCCAACTTATTTAAACGTTCGAAGCCCATTTCTGGGAGCTTGCTTGAGCCCGACTGACTGCGCTAAGATCGTGTCTGGGATAGTTAGGCTCCATTGAGATCATGTACACATCCGTCCCGCCGTAGTCATCAGACCCACAAACTGTTATATGGTGAGTGTCGCGTGGCAAAGCGACTATGCCCTGATATCTGCAAATCTCCGGGGCATGTTTCGCTGGGATGTCCCTAGGCCTTTTTGTGAAGTCGGCAAACGGGCTGATGACCAATTTGCTAGGGGCGTACTGGCATGATTTTCAGGGTCCTGTAATCGGTTTGTTTATTACGGCCAAGCCTGCTATACTCGTGAGACAGCAGTGGTTCAAAAATATATCATCCAATATATCTGAGGCCATCGCAAATCTGCTCCCAAACAGAACAGTACAAACATGCTGAAGCTACCAGCTAGTTATGCTGTGCTAAAACAAACACGGGGCAATATCCGAGATTCTCCAGCTTGCAATGCGAAAGTGTGGCGCATAGGATCGCTCGCAGAGTTTCTCTGAGTCGAAGATTCAATACATTTGCAAATGGGGTATTGGTAATTGGCTAGCCATTCGAAATCAAGGCTGGCCGATCAACGTCTCACCTGTTCATCACTGGTAGAGCTTTGCATCTTGTCTAATCACTAAGATAATGTAATCGCTTTTCAATACCAAATTGACATGGCCATTTCCCTGGCCAAATTTTGAATCAGAGCTTGATGCCACCACGTACGGAACAAGCACGGGTCTGAATTGATGCGATGTAGTTTGATACTGTTTACCACAGAGGCGCAAAAAGAAGTGCCGGTTAATGGGGTCAGTGATCGTCCTGTCTTGCTTGTTCAACGGTTGCAAGGTTAACAAGACAGTTAGCTAGTGTAGCTGCTTCTCGGCCATCACCGCGGTACATATCCGTCGAGCGAGATGGGAAACAGGTGGCGAGGCTGATCAAAAGTCGCTTGCACCTCGAGTACTCAGGGCTGTACCAACGATGGCATGCATCGCGCTGCGGATGAACGTGTTGTAAGTTGTTTTCCTGAGTCGCCGTGGCATGATTCTGATCGTTGGCAGCATGCCCGCACACTGGATTGATGGATTCGTGCTCAAGTTTAAAGTTCTACGAATTTATCAGTTCTGCACCAATGGCATACACATTTCCCGGCTTGCATTTCGGTGCTTGATAACTTCGAGACAAAGCCGTGCCCGATTGACTTCGACCATTCGGCAGCTAGGGATCCCCGGCCATAGCTTTACACCGGAAACGGTATAGAGAGACCCACTATGTCCCTCGCGTTGCACCAGCTCGCTCGCATGGGCTATTTTGAGGAACTTGCCGGCTGTTGAAGAATGAAGGAAGAATAGCTTGTGATCCGTGAGTCGTGTTGATGCTAGCGTCGACAAGCTTGCCGACCGAAAGAGTTCCAGAATGAGTCCTAACTTTAGCAAGCTGCAAGCAGCAATGATGAGACTCTCCCGTCATAATCAGAAGACGATGTCCAAGCTCCCCTTCATGCTCCGTGAATGAATGAATGCTACAATGAATGCTCGGCCAGCACGTTTCCTTTCTGGAACCGAGTGCGGGATTGAGGTGCGGTTGCGGTTGGGAGAGTGGGGGTCAGCCTGCCCGCAGCTTGTGATGAGTTCCATGCACCAGCAGCGGATTATCCCTGTTTGTGGAATGCCCTGCAGGTAGCGATACCTGAGGGGTACGAGTACCCAGAGGAACCAGAGGAACAGCAGTCTCATAGTGTGGGTTCTCTACTATTTGAACCCTTTGTGAAAGCATGGCCTCGACTCCTTGTAGCTAGTAGATCTGCCCAGTAAAACGGCGACCTCTCTTGATCGACTTCGGGAACCGTTCGCCGGCGCTGCAGCAGCAGTAACCCCTCAAGTTGACGCTCAAGCTTACGGATTAATATATTCTGGATCCCAGTAAATGCTTGTGATTGAATGGTGTCCCAGTTGATGGGTCGGGTTCAATGATTGTAAGTGGATTAGTAAGTACTATGATCAACACTGGCCCGCTATTCACCCAGGGTCTTCTTCTTCGTCTTTGTTGACGCAGATGCGACACACACAAAGACCATCTTCGGTTAGACGGGTCACTTTTGACCAGCCGTGGGTTTTTCGTCCGGGGATATTGAAGAGTCTGAGCCGTTCGGGCCTACAACAGTCAATTAACCCAATTTCACCTGAATATGCCGTATCCACAGTCACCACTTTACAGACTCGGTTGTCGGTATCATCTCCTCTTTGGCGAGGCTGAACAGGGCCTAACAGCAGGAAGCCTCAGGAGGTTGCTAGGACTCATTATTTGCCATCCGCGAGCGTTATTTAGTTGTGGGTTTGTCGCGGAGAAATGGACCTCAGTGAAGAGATGAGGAGCATGCATGTTTCCGAGCATCGAGTTAGATCAACTTGCGGAGATCCTCCTTCACCTCAGTTACTGTATATCTTTGGAACGACGGAGCCAAGCAGCTTGTGCAGCAAGTATCTAGTTCCCGTGTCTGGAACGAGGGCCCGCGAAGTCGTTCATGCCGTTGACCACACGAAGGAAGTGGAGAACAGCGGACGCAAGCAAGGTACGATGCGTCACTCGTGCGGATGCTGTTCTTGACAACCGTATTAAGCAGTTTGCACATTGCTTGAAGCCTCTCAGTTTTAGCATACACACCAAAGATCTAGACCCGCGAATCCGAGTTGAGCCAGTTGAATTTTTCCGGTGGTCTGTTTACGCGAACTAGGCTCGCGACAGCCGCCGAGGGCTGCACTGAATGAAAGCCATTCAAGCCACTCTTGTTTAATACTCCAAATTGCCATATTGCCTATTTGAAGGACGTGGGATGAAATGACCAGGGCACGACTGTGCCGCAACGCTGAAGGGCCTTCATCGGATCTATGTATCCACCTCTGTGCATTCGTCGCATCTTGTACATAGAGCCATTTCGAACACGATCTGAATTGGTTCGGTTTTGATATTCTTTGCCGACATGGATGGAATACAGCGATGGGCCTGAGGATTGCAAATGCAAGGCCTAGGTAAAGTTATTATTGAGGTCTTCCATATGGATTGTCAGCAGTGGTTGTGAAGATTCTGCCAATGCTACAGTACTGTCTGCAGGTGACGAATCGTATTTTCGTTCACAGAGTACTACCTACTCTTTACGATTCGTATTGAACTTCACCTTATTTCCATGTGCCACAAGTTGCGCTAGATCTGGCCAAGATGATACATGTGTCAATGAATATCTTTTGCCTTTATGATCTTTGAATGCATCGTCGTGGAGCGTAAGAGGAGAACGATGACTGTCACGGATTATACTGTGCAATGGCAACGCGAAAATCCGTACTTTGCTCTACCATCATGATCCACACCAATATATGATCGCGACCGCATACTTGGTTTCGCAGATGACACAACCGAGGCATGCGTTGGATGCCCCCGTCATCCCTGTTCAGCATGTATCCGGGCAGGCAGGCAATGAGGGTCAATCACAAGGAAGTTCCCGTAAGGATCACTGGCTTCGATAATAACAGAGAACTGCATACTTCAAGAGTATCCAACGGTGATAATGAAAGATCGGCGAGAGACCGGCGCTGACGGTGTAACATGCTGGCCGAGGCTGCAAGAAAACTCCGGCCATATGGTTTACCCTGCTTGAGGACCCACAAGCCCTGGCCTCTTCCCTGCTAGCTGCCAAACCACTGAAGGGCTTAACGGGCTCAACTGGGACCACTGACGACTTCGCAAAACGTGGTTCCAACCTCCTCCGCATGCGACAATCAATAGATTCGATCGGGTCTATTGAGCTGCTGCCCGGTAAGTTCTAAATCTCCCATGCACGGAATTATGAGGAGTCCTGAAGGGGAACGGGATCGGATGTAGTCGGAACGTAGGCGCTATATGGCGTCCCCCTCGCAGTAGCTGCTCCATTTCTCATGGCTGGCGCAAACATGGGTAGTTAGGTACTGTAGCAGCTATTCTCATCATGAACGCCTTGCTTACATTCTCCACGTTCTCATCCCTCCCTCCGTTGGTGCATGCATATTCTTCAATCACATTACTCGCGTTAATAAGAGAAATGCAAAAGACCGTGAGAAGAGAGCTTCCCCATCGAGGTTGAGGAGGGGAATAAGGTTGGCTGGCCCAGAACCATATGAGGAAACATGACAGCAACAGGCAAGATCAATCTTGTCCAATATAAAACCTTAGTTATGGGTAGATACGTAACCCGCAGGGCATCCATGCATCATGCTGCCTCAGTTGCGATTCAAATAGCCATGACGAGGACGACCGCTCGTGCCCCCCACCACTATTTTACATAGTAGTAATTTATACTACAGTACTATGTATGTAATCTCGTGGGCAGGCCCACACTCGCTTGGCGGATTTGGGTTCATTCGCATTTGGGTTGCGGTATGAAAGCTCTTGTGTGCAGGGGACTCGACGAAGAGTCGCCGTAGGATTGGCCGACTTAGCGGAACTCCCACTCGAATATGAACATGGGGCATGGTTTTACAGCCGACCACCATAGAGACTGTCGCAGCGTCCCGCCGTGTCGGAGGTACTTGCGAGTACTTGCCGAGATGAGGCACACCAGCAAGTGGCATTCATTCTGCGTAGCGTAGAACAATTACCAGCATCAACCCACTCCACCACGCAGCCCAGTCCGAGATGTCTGGTCAGTCATTGGAAGAAGGGTGGGACGCTTGGAGCGACCAGTGCTGCAGGGCCCTCCACTCTGGACCACTGACTAGATCCTACCTACATCACCCATCTCCATCCGATTCTCGCGCCGGCTAAGGCCAAAAGCAAGTGCCTTGCCTCACAGGCTTCGAGTGTCGAAACAGCATCTCACGTAGACATCCCCTCCTGTGCAAGACAGGACTGGCGTTATAGCAATCCAATTCCACGACACGGACATGCTCTGAAGACCACTCCCCCCAAGAAAAAAAACCGTGTGTAACGCGACCAGCACAAGCAAAAAAATTAGAGTTCCATCCGAAATTGACAGCGGCCGTGGAAAGAGGTGTGTGGTCCAGTGAGTGTCAGCAGAAGCTTCAGGCTTGTGACGTGGGGAAACTGGAACTGGAAGCGCACCAAGGTCCAGGTTCCAAGCCAAGTCAAGTCGAGCCGTAGCACGCTCGAACTCTCCCGGTCGGTCGCACACACACGAGCGAACGAGGGGAGGTCAGCCAGTCCCAGTCCCAGTTCTCGTTCTCATATGTACGACATGGCAGCCGTTGAAGTTATGCCTTTTACAACTGCGAGTCCCTCAACAGCAATGAATCCCACCTCGACGGAACACGACTACCGCTTCCCCCGAAGGCCCTTTGAGGAGTCTTCGCCCGGGCACAGCCAGAACCAGAGCCAGAACCAGAACACCGCCGACCGTCCAGCCACTGGCAACGGCACAAGCGACAACACCAGCCCCGGCGACCTGCGACTGCAGGAGCTCAACCTTGACCTCGTCAACAGCGGCGGTTCCGCGCATCACGACCTGTTCAACCCCTCGATATTCTCGCCGTTGGATGATGGCAACGCCCCGAAACCCGAGAGCCTCGAGCAGATGCAGCAGAACGACCCTCTAGCCACCCAGATTTGGCGCTTCTTTAGCAAGACGAAGCAGAACCTGCCCAGCCAAGAGCGCATGGAAAACTTGACCTGGCGCATGATGCACATGAGACTGCGAAAGCAACAGCAAGAAGAAGAAATGGCTCGGTATGTTCCTGGCCCGGACACTCGCTGCGGATCTTCTAATATTTCGAGCAGCCAGAGACAAGCAGCGGCAATTGAAAACGCTGCATCTGCGAGTGCTTCCACATTCTCTTCCAGTAACGCTCTTAATGCAAACGCGAGCAATGCTCCAAGTGGCATTGCTCAGCTTAGAAAAACGTCGGATCAAAACATCACTCAGGCCCAAACCGACCCAATGAATTTGGATGACTTCATCTTCAGTGAGAATGTGTCGACTCCAGCGGGCTTATCTGTTGACCCTGCCTCGCCTGAGGCTCAAAAGCAACTAGACGAGAAGGCGGCCCACGCAACAGCTGCTGCTATCCCTATCAAATCCCGCAAGGCCTTACAGCAGCAGCAGCAGCAACAGCAGCAGCAGCGTTTTGTTCCGCAATCAGTCCCAGTGCCTCCACACATCCGCGGGCATCAAGACGAATTCGGATACATCAATCGCCATCATCGTAAGACTAGTATAGATGACCGCCGCGTAAGTACTTTTTACATACTATTGCATTCTGCACATGGCACCGATGCACTGGAGTGCTATCTCCAAAACAGGTTGCCACCTCTACCTTAACCGAACTTGATAACTGATATCATGTCTAGACCCGCAACCTCAAGCGCCCGGCTGAGTTTTCTCCTCAAGTGCCGGCTACCAACAGTAATCTGAACTCTAATGAGTTGGATGCGGATGCAGATGTTCATGAGTATTCTCTAGATCATTCGCATTCAGCTGCCGTTGCCTCTGCATCCCATCATCCAGGTGTCCCATTTGCCCTAGACACCTTCCAGATGGAGCATGATCCCATTATCACCTCGGCTGGCCCATTTCAGCAAAACTTCTCTTTCTCGCCAGGGACGTCACCCATGGTCACGCACAATTCATTCCAGAACATGTATAGCCAGTCTGGGCTGGGTCAAGGCTCCATGAATGCCAACGACTTCTACTCCCCGCCTGCATCTGCTTACCAGTCCACTGCAACTACACCACACCCCATACCCGAGAACGAGAACATATTCTTCGGTTCTATAGATATGCGCCATCAATCCCACCAGCCCTTCCAGAGTCATGCCGCAAATCACATTTCACAGCAGTTCATGTATCATGGCAACGGTAATCAAATGTTTGCACACGGCAGCAATGCTCCAGATACATCATCTTCCTTCGCACCCACGAACAATTTCGGGCATATCGACCCCACGCAGGTCTTCCAGGAGGATCACCCGGTGCGATCGCCCGGTGTGGGCATGATGGAGCATAACATGTTCAGCTTTGGTGCTGAATCAGACAATGAAGATGAAGGGGGCTCATTCCCGGATCGCAACCTCGCGCTTCACCAAGGGTTTTCACCTTCTATGGAGGAGTCCGGCATGGACATGAACAGCTCTAATGCACTTGGTTGGGACCCATCGCTGCCTGGCTCTTTTAGCACACAGGCCGCTCGGTATCCTGGTGGCCCTCCCCGCAAGCAAGTCACAATTGGCGGTACTACTACCGACTACGTCGACGCCAATGGTGATTGGGATGGGCAGGGCAATCTTTCCAGGTCTCATTCTTTCAGATCAAGTGACAGGCGACAGAAGGTACCGCGAAATGCGTCCATATCTGGTATTAGCATGGGTGGCCGTGGCAATCCGTTCGACAGGCTAGCACAATCTAATCCCAACTCTCCGCCCGCCGATGCAGCCGGTAACGCTTCTGGCTTCTCCTCAGTTGCTCCTAGTCGGCCTGCATCCCCGCTTGGCTCGAAACAAGGCTCTACAAGCAACTTACAGAATGCGGCAGGAAACCAGGGGGATGGCAGCGCTCCCACGACTTGCACGAACTGTTTCACTCAGACAACTCCACTTTGGCGTCGAAATCCCGAGGGCCAGCCACTATGTAATGCATGCGGTTTGTTTTTGAAACTGCATGGTGTGGTCCGCCCTCTGAGTCTGAAGACAGACGTTATCAAGAAACGCAACCGAGGATCTGGTGCTAATCTTCCAGTTGGAGGCACGAGTACAAGGTCAAAGAAGGGTCCAGTGGGGACGGCCTCTGGACCAGCTTCGCGCAAGAATTCGACGTTAGGAATTTCTACGACGCCCAACATCACTCAAGCGACAACACCACCTTCGACGACTCGTGGTGGCAGTGCCAATGAGGGCGAAAGCCCCGCAAGCGGCGGCGCTGGTGCGTCTGGTGGAAACACCGCAGGTAGTACACCAACGAGTTACGCAGGCTCTGCGACCAGTGCAGTAGGCGGCAAGGGTGTCATTCCGATCGCAGCAGCTCCCCCCAAGAACACTCCTGGTCCTGGTGCTGCTTCGTCAATGACACGCAATGTCGGCACGACTGGCTCCTCCAAGCGTCAGCGGCGCAGCAGCAAGAGCGCTGGAAGCAGCGAACTGACGGGCGGCATGGATATCGACAGTCCTACCAATTCGACTGGTTCTAATGAGGCAGCACGATCTATTAGCTCAACCAGCGGATTCATGGCTGGGATGCCCAATCCTGGCAGTGTAGCATTGACCAATGGGTTTGGCATGACGCAACGACCAATGATGCCTCCGGGTTTGATGGGAATGTCTGGTGCTCCGCCAAACGGGATGATGCCACCCGGTGCTGGTGCCGGCCCTCAAGAATGGGAATGGCTAACAATGAGTTTGTAAGCACTGTGCTTGCATGTATTTTCTTGCGAGAACGACTCTGATCCAAAGAGTGGCGTTCATCTCTTGAGGAGCGATCTTGAAGCAACACTTTCCAATTACGACACTGCACTTACCGGCGTTCCTGTTTCATGCTTTTATCTGCGGCCTGGTGGACGCTGCCCTTGATACCCCCATTCCTTGGGTTTTCGGCTGGTCCTTTCCAAGCTGGTCCTTATCATCAAACCTTGGTTGTGGTTATGCACGTACAGATGGGTCTGTTCTGTGCTTACAACGCTCGACCGACGGTCTTTTGCAAGCCGAATGAGTATAAACTTTCTGCATTGTGCTCTTCTTGGAAAGCAGAATAAAGACTCGTCGAGTTTGCACATACGCAATGTTCATCTGCACACTCATTGCTTGAGGGATGGAACCGAATGAGTTATGCAAAGTCTTGTCACGAATATCTGGTTGCATTGAGGTGGAAGAAGGCAGTTCTAATTTCAAGTGATGCTAGGTGTTTACCACGGGACGGCTTATTTGTTAGACGGATTTTGATACCACTGTTGTTTGAAGTAGAACAAAGCCATGCGGGGCGGGTCTGAGGTATAGCATTGCTTGCCTGCTTTTTGCTGGTTCGCGCTTTTTAGGTGTTGATGGGTGGAATTTTGGTCACTCAGTATACACGATGAAGGCGCTCTTTTTAGAGAGATACCCTTTGTTGCAGATCTGCTACGTGCCATTGCACGACGATTAATTTGACGACCACATTATCACAATGCTTAGAACTTGACTGCGTGACTTTCTCTGTGTCCTAGGGGCGGACTGACTCTGGCATTGTGAATAACAACACGATTATGGTGATGTGTTGCTCCCAGAATAAATTCAGCCCCATGAGCCTAAGACTGCTCAGTATTTTGACCATTTTGCTCTGCAATGCTGATAACAGCATGCCCATCCACCCCACTTGCCCCTTTTCTAGTTGTGAAATGAATATCCTGGTGTAAGCTCGATTGAGTGCCCGGCGGACAGGGTATTTGTGCTGTGAGAATTGGTCTGACCTGTAGCCCTCATGTAAGTATCTCTTACATGTTTTGAATATACGATGGCTGTTGCACTCTTTCTTTTGATGTTGACCCCAACGCTGGGCACGGCCGATGAGTAGTGCCCCATGCGCATGTTTTCGGGGCAAAACCACGAGAAACAACACCGAACTCGCCCTATGCTTCGGATCTTCCATACGTCATAGTTATAACGTATATTAAAGACGGCTAGCTTTGAGCCGTTGCCAGAAGCAAGGCGTCCGTTCATACTTTGTTTAACAACCGACCTTGGTCAGAAACGCAGCCGCTTCGATTGCAGCAAGGAGGAACTTTGGGTATTGAGCTGTTTCCACAAGGCCGTCGTTGCCTTGTAACTTGCGCATCTACATCCCGTCCCAGCGCTTCTTCCTTCCAGCACTACTCGTCTTATGAAGATAAGACGGCCTTAGTTCGCTTAATTGGGCAGACACTGCCTAATTAGGCAATAGGGGTAGATGTTCAGGCATTTAGAGAGCGGTTGCTCGCAGATGGTTGCAACCAAGCATGTGTGCACCCACTATCGTTTACAATGACTCGCCAATCTCCTAAACGGATAGTCGGAAAATGCTGATTCGAATCTGAGGCGTCTCGATTCTTTTTTCTTTTCTCATGTTTTGTTTTTCTGCCTTTTTTTTGTTTTCAACCTATATGTTGGGACCCACTGCACATAGTGTGGCATTGACGTACCACAGCTTCCAAGGCCGAGTATTTATACGATCAAGAAGTTGGATCCCAGTCTTCTCAACTCGATGAGCCAGCTTCTGTCCGTGTATTCGGCTGCGAGTACGTTATTCGCGTCATCAGGCTCTTGTTTCACGGCGCTGAGGCCATCACGCAACTGCCAGATTTCCCGGAGAGTCTCTCCAGCGGATTTCATCATGCCCCAAGGACATAATTCCCACATAGCATTCAAGCGCCAAAGTGTCCATGCTCTGCTTTCATGTGTCGCAGCTTCCACTCCCGTCATGAAGACAGGCCAAGTGGTATACTTGAATAAGGGGTAGGTGTTCGGGATAAGCGACAGTTGAGATAGAATCGTTGTTGCGAGCTCTTTCGTTGTTGGTAGCGACGGTAGCGACGAGACCAATTCGTTGCCCAAGGCTTTCTTCATGACGTGTTCCTCGAGGCCAGGTGCTGCGAGTAAAACGTAGAGACAAACTCCGGCCCGGTATGCATATGCGATGTACGTCCGCATTCGAATTTCTAGCTCATCGACCTCTCGAACGTGAGCGTTTGCTGCACTTACTCTAACGGCCCAGGACTCGGGATTGAAGTCTTGCGCCTCCCTGAGAAGAGACACGAAGCAGTCCATCTCCTCAGTCGTCGGTATGGCGGTTTCTGTTGAATTGATACTTCGTGCTAGGCGCGATATCCGTAGGATAAGTAGCAATAAATGTGCAGGGCAGCTGTGGTAGCTGTTGGCCTCGGTGCGGTCGATAATAGATCGTATATCTTCGATGTCGACGAGGCTGGCACTCCGAGCTCCTGCTGCGGAATTCCAAAGCGAGTCAAATGTTGTGCCCCATATGTAGTATGCTACCGAATCTGAGGCGACGTAGTCACGTATGCCAACTGTGTCCTGCGTAAGCTGTAGTACCGACTCTCTCGTGTCGTGTGGCGTAGGATCCGGCTGAAGATGCAGGTCTGATATCGACAGAACGGCTTGTTCGATGTCGGTTTCCTCATCAGGTCTTCGTGGCGTCAATGCATAGTTCGAGGCCTGAGCAGCTATGAGAGATCTTGCCGCCTTCATATGAGATCGCCAGCCCCCCTTTCCCGAGTCTATCAGAGCGAAGTTGACAAAAAACAGTATGGTGGCGAGCAATGCGTCCTTTTCATCGAATTGGTACGGCCTGTCGATGGGAGTCTTGTTCCTCTCGAGCACTACTTGCAATCCCTTGATAGCATCATGGCGAGCACGTAACGCGTCTACAAGTGCATCTATTGATGCCTTCTGGGAGTGCTGGCTAGTCGGAAATGAGCGTCGTGCCAGGTTGGAGTAGTGCATTGCAGATGAGGCGACAAGTATGTGTTGCAGAAATGAATACGATGTCGACATGGCAATGAGCTGGCGAAATGGATTGCCAGCTAGGTGAAAGGAATCGTGCGTCACCAATTCCTGACACATACGTTTCGAGACTGCGGAATGTTGGCTTGATTGCGCAAAGGGGACCAAGAGAAAGCTTGAACTTACAGTAATTGAGGTAGAATCTCGCAGTAGTATCCATGTGTTGGAAAAGTGGATCTGTGAGTATAATGGGCATGCTATTATTGTTCACCATTGTCATACCACTTCTGGGCAGTGGCTCTTGCGCACGAACAAGAGCTCGGCTATGGTCGCCTGTCCTTGGCGGACTACTTGGCTCCGTCGATGCGAACGTCTGTTTCCCAGCCATTCGGCCCCGGGAAGCGACAGCATTTGTCCATTGGTAGGCCTTACCGTACCCAAGGCACTCCTGGCCTGTGGCTAAGCACTTGTTACAGCCAGGTATGGATCGATCGCAGCGCAGGCGACGCTTGCGACAGTTTTGGCAAGCCTTGGCCGTGGCCATGGCAGCGAACGCTTGAACCGTGAGAACTGAGGAGGCTCAGTGGTATGGCGCAGTCTCGAAGGCCGTGGGCAAAATCACCTGGCGGTCATCCGAAATCCATGTCCGCGGCGCCCGAGAAACAACTTGGAGTCATTGGCGATGACCGGTGATCAGGCCTTGAGGCTAAGCTTGCTGGCTTGATTCCATAGCCTGGTGAGTCAACATGTGAGATGTGTATCCTGACTGCCCCTTTGAGAATGAGTTGCAACAGAGTTTGAAGACAAGCCCAAGAAGTGCGGCAAACCGGGCACCCTTTACATGAACCAGTGACGACCATGTCAATTCCCTAGCGCCCATGGGTTAGGTAATTCAAGCATCGAGTCTTGAAGGGACCATGCCCTATTTGGAAGCCAAGACACAACTGCTGCATATTTGACTGGGTCTTTCTAGCGCCATCCGACGCACTGAGCCCTGTGGCACCGATTCTTTGCTGGCCTTGCCACCAATGATATGTAATGCCCGGTCACGACAAATGATTCAGGGTTGACGTATTGAAGTCGGGTATGGAATGCGCACGATCCAGTCCTTGCGTCTAGATTCGCCAACGGTCATGACAGATCCGACTTTACTCGATCAAGGCACAGTTTTGCAATTTGTGCACAGTCGACTCAGCTAGCTTTCAGAAACCCACTATAGATTCCACCGCTTTACAAATCCTCGCCGCGACCTCAGATGTATAAGTCTGGCGTGTCGCCAGAGGACCTGACCATGACGTCGACAAAAATTCATACCAATCCTGTTGAGATTATGATACTGGACTGTAGTTGAAATTCAAGCCCCAAGATCGAAGCAATTCGAACGGAAATTCCTCACAATGCCGTCAGTTATGGAAGTGGGTGAAGGTGTCATAACCCCAGACAACGGACTTTCCGACAATGACGCCCCTGAAACCCTCACGAAGACCGAAATCCAGCGCCTCGGGCGACAGCGTCCTACGGTCTTCACAAAGGCCTCCACGGAGGTCGGATTCGTGGTCACGATTATCGTCTCTATGATGATGAGCGAGTACTTCATCAGTGGTTTCAACATCGTCTTGCCCACCATTGCCGACGAGATTAGCATTCCCGATTCTCAGCGGACCTGGCCTTCTGAGGTCATAAATCTTACCACGGCCGCACTGCTTTTGCCCTTTGCCAGACTCAGCGACCAATATGGCGGCCGGGTCATTTTCCTGTTGGGACATGCATGGCTCACGATCTGGTCCCTAATCGCCGGCTTTAGCCAGAACCCGACAATGCTAATTGTATGTCGTGCGATGCAGGGCATTGGTAGCAGTGCGTACCTTCCAGCTGGTATATCATTGCTCGGTACTGTGTATCGACCCGGACCGAGAAAGAACATGGTTTTCAGCTTCTACGGCGCGATGGCCTGCATTGGATTCTATATCGGTATTTTCCTAGGTGCGGTAGCCGGACAGTTGTTGACGTGGAAATGGTTCTTCTACATTGGTGCTATTCTTATGTTCATCAATACGATTATTGGATTCCTTGCCATCCCGAGACATCTTGGCGACGGCGATTCGAGCGCACGCATGGACTGGCTGGGTGTAACCACCATCGTACCTGGCATCATCCTGGTGGTCTATGCGTTGACAGACGGTAGCCATGCGCCGAGCGGATGGCGAACTCCGTACATCATTGTCACTTTTGTTCTCGGAGTCATCTTGCTATGCCTTGCCGTCTATATCGAGGGCTGGGTAGCATCGCAGCCTTTGCTGCCCGCTGAACTCTTCCGGCCAAAATACATGCGGCGCCTCGCACTGTCCATGTTTTTCTCATACGGTGTATTCGGACTGTTCCTCTTCTATGCCAGTTACCAGTAAGTTACTTCCTTGAAATTATCAATGAGTTCTGAGGCTGACATAATATAGACTGCAAACTGTCTTAAAGACGACACCTCTCCAAACGGCTGCATGGTTCACACCTTTGGCTGTTGGTGGAATGTTCCTTGCGATAGCCGGCGGCCTCCTTCTTCATCTTCTACCAGGCCGCATTCTCTTAATTATATCAGGACTGGGATATTTGCTTTGCGTACTTCTCTTTGCCCTCATGCCCGCTCAGTCGGAATCCGGCGGACCCTCGCTGTCGTTTCTGTACTGGGCCTATGTCTTCCCATCGATGATATGCGGAACCATTGGTGTCGATATCCTTTACAACGTCACGAACATTTTCATCACCACAGCCATGCCTGCGCGGCTCCAGGCCACTGCCGGTGCGCTAATCAACAGCTTGTTGTACCTGGGCATGGCGTTCTGGCTGGGGATCGGAGAACTTGCTGTCTCGACTACGGTGGATTATCGTGGGGAGGGCAACGTCAGTCTCAAAGAGCAGTACCAGATAGGCTTTTGGTTAGGGGCTGCATTGGCTGGCTTGGCGTTGTTACTCAACGCCACTATTAATATTGGAGAAGCGGCTGCCGAACTGACGGCCGACGAGAAAGAGAAGATAAAGTTAGAGCAGTTGCAGCAGCAGGCACAACATTAGTTGTCGTGACTTTAGGATCGGCCTTAATTAGTCATGATCGGCGTTACGGACATATATAGACAGATTTTAGATACCCCGCGGAACCGTTATATAGTGATTTATTTATACTCTATTGTCACAGTGGCTTTATTAGGTACATAAGCATTTTGGCTGCGCATTAGGCTTCAAGATCCGATTGTGTCTGCTGCTGCAGTAATTGCAGCAGCAGTTCTGATCACAAAATCAGCCGCCGTGGAGACATCACCAGCCTGCACAGCCTCGCTAATACCTGGGAACGTGACAGCAGTATAGCCTCCATGAATTAGCTTGGCGGTCGACTAGGTATAGAATCAGGGCAACTCACCGGTGTCAGCCCCTGGAGCAAATATGAGATGCTTAAAAAACTCTCTCCCCGGAAGGCCACCTTGAGACACAAAGCCGCGCTGGAAATCACGATATTTGTGGTTGATGGCCTTGATATGGTCTAGATTATTAGATCTCAATGCTTCTTTGATCTGTTGCTCGAGTTGCAAGGCGTTTTGAGCGAAGTTATCAATGGCGGAACGAAGAGGGCCTGTGTTGAGAATCGTTGTGCTGCTGCTGATTATTTCTTGAAGATCGTCATAGTATCTGTGCAGCTCAACGGAATAGTCTGTCAAATTGAAGGGGATCACATCTGAATCAGCCAGTGTATAGGCTAAGACAGACAGGAATTGGGCCACAGACTTGTGAGCCAGGAAACCTGGGTCACCAAAGTTCGCCATCCAGTGATAAGAATCATAATTGCTGTGGTAGTGATAGATTGGGTCTTGGTCAAAACCCACTGCTCCGATATCGAGCTAGATTAGCGTCAACTTTCTGTCACTCCGTATTTAGTACAGAAGACCACGTACCGCACCGATACCGTTATGAACGAAAGCAGTATAATCACTGCCACTTCCCAACACACCTATTTGGCCCTCGAGATCTTCATCCCACTGATCGTACATGGTTATGTTACGGTCCATCCAGACAATCTTTTTCATTGTTTCCTGGACGATTTGGTGGAGCTCCGGACTCGCTCCAAAATACACGTGTGGACCGGAAACCCCGATGTCTACGTTCAAGTAGGATATTGCTGTATCATTCAGCCAGGGAATGTACTCCTCAACGAACTCGGTGGATCCGACAGTGCCATACTCTTCACCGTCCCAAGATCCAAGAACAATGTTGCGCTTGGGCTTCCAGCCTTGTTTGAGGAGTTCCCCGAACGCTTTCGCGAGCTCAATAATGATGGCAGTACCAGAGTTGGGGTCGGCAGCACCGCCCACGACCCACGCGTCACGGTGGTTTCCGATCACAATGGTTTCGTCCGAGTTCGTTCCGTTGATGACACCGATAACGTCCCAAATCGGGGTGATGGTCTCATTCATCAAATTGCTGAGTCTCAGCTGCACACCGGGAGCAGGACCAGTGGAATAAGAGACATTGAGCGCACCAACCCAACCGATGCGGTTGACTTCAGCGCCATCTGTGCCAAAGCCGTCGAGGGCTGCTAGAATTGGTTTGGCATCGACCCACGAAATAGGAATTGATGGAATATGAGGTAATACAGCAGTACCATCCGTCCGAGGAACACCTTCTTTGGAAGGATAACCCGGCGTTGTGGGGTCTCCAGGATAGATCGATAGAAACTCAACACTTCCACGTTGAACCGAGGTTGGATTCCGTGCTGGGCCATCCGGGTAAGCTGCGTAGCCATTTGCTTCTGTAATCGAACCGTCGTCCGCAGTGTCGGTGAAGAGAACAACGCCGATCATGCCGTTTTCTTGTGCGTTTTTGACTTTTAGCCCACGGAACGGGCCACCATACCTCGAAATGGCGATTTTGCCTTCAAGCGGCACACCAAGTGCTTTCAATCGCTCAAAATCCATCTGCTGACCTCGACCAATATATACATATTCTGCTGTCACATTACCGCTGGCTGAGTAGCCGTGAAATGTGGGTATCCTGTTAGGATAGCTAGTCGTCTCATCTGCGGCCAGCACGGCCTCCTCCAAGACTGGCTGAAATGTGCTACTATTTGAATAGCTTAACGTCAACGATTTGCTCACTGGATAGTTGATGAGCACATCGTAAGCGACGATAGTGGAGTTTAGACCACTCTCAGCCCATCGGTCAGCCGTCCACTGTGCCATGCTCAGATTTCTCCCAGCGAGATGAGCTCCATGCGTATAGTAGTAAGACCACTGATCCAGGGCTGTGTTTGAGACCGAACCAACCAGCATCTCTTCATCTGGTCCTAGGGGAGCCCGCGGCGTAACTTGTCGTATAACATGGTGCCGGTGTTCACGACGCTCATGTAAACAAGCATTGCTGTTCGTTGCAATGAGTGCAATAATTCCAAATAGCTTCGAATTATGCATTATATCTGAATATTAGAAATGGAACTTGTTATATGACAGACCACAAGGTGCAATGCCACTTGAATGTTTTTCCTAAGTTACATGTAAGGAATCAAACCAACCCCGCAGAAGTCATCATTACTGCGCTGTGCTGGCGTCCTGCCTTACGTGCAGTCTTCCAAGGCGTTAATCACGGCTTCCGTAACAGAAGTCCCGCCAAGGCAAGGTTGGCTCGGCAGAGCCGACGGCGCTGATGCGAAATGCTGCTGCGCTCGCTGCAGCGTTCGTCTGCCTCGTTCTATCCCCGCCTGCGGGTCAACGTCATGATAGTTCGCTTGCTATTGTAACACGAAAGTAAATTCCAAACAACACGACCATAAGTATGACCGACATCTTGGCACAATGCCATGCAGCGTACTAGCCAGCATTTGGTAAACTAGAGATCGGATGATGGAAATCACTTGACTCTGTTACGTTAAGGTTATACCTAGGGCCTACGTACCTTGTGGTGCAAAGGCAACAAGTCCCGATCGGGCAGTGACCCCAACTGCCGGAACCCCGCTCATTTTCTTGATACCCAGAAGTCAGCGAAACGCATGAATCATACCAAGAGAATAAAGAACAAGATCAAATCTCGGAGACGACTATTTCGCTTTGCAATATTGCACAACATGGGAAATAAGCTTGAGCCATCCCCATCAGCCTTGAAATGCGCTAAACACCTAGCTGATTTAATTTCGCAGACAGCTGGGATGTCTTATTGTGTCGAATACGATCATAACACAAATGTTCATCCTCCCATAGCTGTTATAGAAGGCTATAGTCTAGGTACTCGACGGTAACGGGCGGCAAGGCTTTGCCCACACATTGTTCACCTGGTTGTGGTAGGCACAGAATGGTAGTCGCCGGGGGAGGGCCTGGGGCGTGCCGAGCTTGCGCGCGGTAAGGTGACGGCGACCAAGTGTGATTAATCCACATACCATTACAGTTAAATGCTGATAAATGGTGTATAATAAAGCTACTTTCCCAGACAGATCGAGGGTAATGACTACCAAGATTACGCAGACGTTCAAGGGCCGTGGCAAGCCGAATTGGCGTTGATCTTTGGGAAACGTGTAACTCCAGAAGGAACAGGGAAAAGTCTCAGGAAGGACTGGGTGGAACTTTCTGTCGTTATAAGACACCTTGTGCTTAAGTAGACAAAATAACAAAATCGGCAGATAAGTAGTAGAATTTCAACAAAGGACTTGTATACGTAGGGTAAACTGTAAAATGTGCCAATATGTGTGTAATGAATCGATTGTGACCCTGGCTAAAGCGACGACTGAACGAGAAGCTCTCGGAATGACATAAGAAACCATTTTCAGCCTCGCGAACCGCAGATTTAGAGATCTATGGTCCAGACTTTCTACCATAGACTTAGACAAAGGCGTGAAGGAGACGTGCCAGGCAAGTGATTCGAGGAGCATCAGGATTGTTCGTATGAGAAAGACATGTATCTAGAACACAATATGCAAGATTTTAATCTTGATCACTCCTGTATCATAAACCAAAAGTGGTGCCACAAAAAGCACAATACTTATGCCTCTGATTTCAATAAGATTCAGATACAATCCTGAGACTATCTTGAAGATATTAAACAATTGATTCGGAGGCAGCCTTCGATCGATTCTTCAGAATTGTAAAGCTCTTACAATGAACCAATACATCTATTATATCTTAAAACTCAGCTTCATCCACATGCTCTGAAAATAACGCTCGACTTTGTTGATCGTTATCCCTAATTAACACAACATATCAAAGGTTAAGCCTATGTAGTAGCGGATGACATGAATTCAAAAATAAATAGGAACATCAAATGGTAGATCTTGTGGCTTGTTATTGCTCACTGCTCTTCACAGGTTTTGGAAGCATTGTGGTGTCGGACGATGTATTTTTGATACTGATCAAAGGAGTTTTGTATTAGGATTCTGTTGAAACTCATCCAGGAGGCGTATTAGTGACATCCTAAGTCATGAGAAAGCGGTGATACGTGGCCACTTCGCACTGAGTCACCTACGGTGAGCTCTGCTTGGCGGGCATCTTAATCGCAGGCAGGCAGGTTGCGACGGACGATATCATGGACTTAGACCAGCCGGGAATAGCACTTGTAGCTATGTCAATGTTAGCAAAAGTGGTACCGCCAGTCAAAGTGGACGACAAACCCATGAATCTAGCGACTTCCTTTAGAGTCATTGATCGACACCCTTCCTCGTTGATCTTCTTAGTGTGTAATTTGGCTCTGGCCAGCCAATGTTGCTTTTCGGTGGACCAGATGTTCTTTCCACAAGCGAAGAGATTGTGATCATACAGATAGCTTTTAGTTAGACGGCGTATGGAGGCCTCATTGTTGTAAATTTGCAGGCGCTTTGCCTCCTCTTGAGGATCCATGATAACTTCAAGCTTACTCGTTAGGGCGGGAAGCGAAGCAAATAATGTTTGGGAAGTGTTAACAATAAACGAAAAAACAATACGCTCAGTGGGTTGGGAGTTTAAGTGAAAGTAAAGGGTCAACAATTTGCAGTTCGTAATTGATGGGGTGATAAGCAATCACGATTGTTGATTCACATTCACCTTAGTACTGCGACAGCGCAGTCACCCTGACGACGGCATATGGCTGCGTCCTGCCGTCGTCCCATCTCTCAACCCAAATCCAGGAGAAATGAGTTTTAATTGCAGTGGATTACTAGGTGACGGCGCCATAAATCAAACAATAGTGCTTGTAATTTGTTGTCACCTCCAGGATTTCGAAGAGGGCATCCACTACGTCGAGAAGACGACGACCATACATGTTTAAGCACATATTCCTTATCATGTACATGTACAAGGTAAAAGTAAAAAGAAAATTCCTTCTTTACTTTCCATATTATCAAACCGAATATGTTAGTCATCTTAGCAATAGTTGGTTGTTAGGAATCAGAGATTGAGGATTGGAAAAATAGGAGACCCACGGGGGATAATGTCAAACCTAATTAAGCATAAGTATTTAATGAACTTCATCACTAGGGGCACAAGCGCTTGCCAAAGATTGGTCTAGCTGACAACTATGAACAGGCTCTAAAAGTACATAGCAAACAGTATTGTGGGCATGGAATAAAGGCTTGGAGTGAATTAAGCATCAAGATATCTTGACAGATCTTGCTTTGTGGCATTTCAGTACCTCTTCGCCCTTCATGAGAAAAATTAGTTATATTAATGAAATCTAAAGGATAGTACTCGCTCCCTGTAGCAGCGATGTTGAAATTTTTCTTAGCCTTTGCTCTCTTTCAATCTATATATGCATGGTCAGCTAGGCCGCATCTAAAGTCCGTTCTGGCCAGCGCAAACGTTGTCGAAAAGGTCATATCTTTCACAATACCTATCTTGACGATCTGCCTGCTTTAGGTGAAAGGCATCCATCCAGCAGTCTCTTGGTGCTTTCCTCTTCCTTGCAAATTCATTTGTAAGTATGATCACCATCCCAGTAATGATACGATCCCTCACAATTGCCCTTAGTAACGATAAATTTGGCATTTGGAGCAAGCCTTATGTTGGTAAGTTATATCCACTGTAAAGCGCAGGTGAAGCCCTAGAGTGTCCTTTCGGCAAGGCGTCATCCATTGGTTCAAGCTTATTCGATCGATCTATGCCCTACCAACAGAAGGCAAACGGATTTTACAATCGCTGGTTAATGACACGCTTCACGATAGCATTTATTGCACTCAGGCCAATCACCAAGGCCAAAACTGGTCATAAGTGGTCGCTGATTTCTAGTAGTATCTTCGAATTGACTAACATGCTCTTCCAATTCACTGGAATGTCAAATAGTAATAAGGATTCGACCAGCGCAAGCCCAGACTACAGCATTTAACGCGCCAAGGAAACGACGATGCTTTTCTTTCCTGGTCCAGCTTCGAGTTACCTCCTGTTTATCGTCTTTGACCCCACGACACCTTTTCGCAGACACATGCACTCAACTTTTATCCCCAAGCGCTAGCAAAGGATACCCAAGACCATGAACCGCAACAGAGACTCTATTATGTCTCAGCAAAAGTCGTCGATCTCGAACCCACCTTCTCGAAGTATGGCTTTCGCGAGCCCATCATGTACACAAAATTTCAACGATATTTAATTGCCAAATGTAGAAGACGGCCTCACCATGCAATCGAGGAATACTACGGAAGATACCTTGTCGGTATGGCGTTTAAGCCGACATATAGGAGAAGCCACACTAGGCGGCATACTGGGCGATCAAGGGGTTTGAGCAGAACTGCAACAATTAAATATGCAATTACAATGTGGATTCTTGTCATGTCGATGAATACTTCGCCATTGCTCAGCATGAGCACAGTCGATGGTTTCCAAATTCATTACCCAGCGAGCCGATGTCATGAGCAAGATATTCCCTTGTCTAGTGAGCAGCAGTTACAAATGCGAATTATACTTCAGCCAAAGTCAACCGACCTCATATGCAAAACTCAAAGTTATGCCATTTGCGCACAGTATAGCGCTCTGGGTTGTTTACCAATGCACAGTGCGCGCTCCTCGACTTCCGTGGTCATAAGACGCATCATCTTCTCTGGGCCGAGAAGACGATTCAAGTACTGTTCATTGATTATGAACATCTTATGGCACCACATAGCTTTATGGTATATCAGTTGCGTATCTTTCTCCTACACTATCGTCTTGGCATGACTGACAAAAATGGGTTTTCTTCTATAGCTAGAGATCATAGATAGTCCTAGTCGCAACGAGTCACATAAGGACAGCGATCTGCTAATAAGCCATCCTTCGAGTATTCCAGAGAAATGGTACAAGGGCTGAATGATGTAACTGCGACGACAATCCGAGGAACTCAAACGCTGTCCATGGTGCCCGGCCCCACTGCCGATCATTCTATAGCCCGACCCACCCCGCGCGATAATTCCGGGCATTCGCCAATCAAACTCCGATGCTATCACACGTTGCCCCTGGGAGAGCATTTGTCTCTGTCAAAAGACTCGGCGACTTAAAGAGTACGTGCAGGTAAGCAGCAGCAGTAATTGGGCGTTCGGGCGGTGCCCTTGCAAGCTTGTTCAGCTCCGAATATGTATGCCAAGACTGCACTACGTGATTATTTCCAACATCATCTGGAAATACTACCTTGCAATATGCGGTCTATGATATCGTGCTTGCGACATGCATGGCTTACAAAGTGACGCGATCAGAAATATTGCCCCGCTGCTGCGTATGCTGGACGGGAATGGATGCGAGCAAGCGTGAGGTCAAAATCGGCCTTGGGTAAGAGGATAAAAGCCGGCCATTCTGTCGGTCTGAAGGGTTGTAGCATGCATACACTTTCGTCAATCACCATGCATGGCTTAGCAAGGGCCGGTACAGCAGGCGCCTTCTTGGTGTCCCTCGTGAGCGCTTCGTTCGATAGTAACCTCAACTATGACAGTCCATCCAAGCACGGGCGGCATATCAACCTGGGTGTTAATGTCCCCAAGGTTACGAGACGTGCCTTCAAACGAGATGCTATAGCTTATAAGGCCGAAGAGCTGAACTTCACTCATGGCGTTGCTTCTGGGGATCCATGGCCTGAGAGTGTGATCTTATGGACTCGAGTCGCACCTAATTTAGATTCAGACCGGAGCAATATTACAGTACAGGGCACAGTAGATCTCTACAACCACGAAACGGAGAAATATATCAAGGCTAGCGCCAATCCGATTTGTGTTCAGTGGAAGGTCTTTGGGTCGAGTGAGTCCAAATATCCGACCAACGACAGCAACGTCGTGTCGCAGGGTCAGGCGTATACCACAAGCGATATCGACTACACAGTCAAGGCATGTCGGTTTTTCTGAAAGAAGACTGCACAATCAACTAATCTCTTGCAGGTTGAAGCCACTGGCTTGCAACCATTTTCGACTTATAACTACCAATTCAATATTTGTAACACCAACATCACCAGCCCGCTCGGTCGCACTAAAACCACCCCTGCTGCGGATGATGATGTGTCAGAGCTGAAGTTTGCAGTATTTAGTTGCGCCAACTACCCAAATGGTTACTTTAACGTATATGGAAATGCGGCGAGAAAGGATGAGCACGATTTCGTCATCCATCTTGGTGACTACATTTATGAGAATGGCAACAAGGGCGAGCGTGCCCACAAACCCGCCAATGTTCTCTTTAGCTTGTGGGATTACCGCACCCGTATCGGCCAAGTAAGCCATGTTACGCGTTGCACCAATTAGAAACATTGCTGACGAGGAGTAGTACCGTACTGACCCAGACCTGCTTCTCTTAACACAGAATTTTGCCTGGATCCCGACCTGGGATGACCACGAAGTGGCCAATAACGGCTACAGAGATGGCTTCAGCGCTCTGAACAACACCGAGGAGTCTTTCCGGAATGATGGCCCCAACATCAGTGTAGACCAGCGCAAGATGAACGCTGTCCGTGCATATTTCGAGTGGATTCCCATTAGGTCAGTAGTGTACTCGCATCATCTAACACATTGTTTCTGACAATTGGACAGACAGATTGATCTTGACGATAATTTGCGTGTGTGGAGATCGTTCCAGATGGGCAAGCTGGCTGACCTGATCATTCTTGACACCCGTAACTACGACCGAAGCATTACCTCTCTGGGTGAGCCTCTTTCTAAGTAAACAAAACTTTTGATGTAAACTAACATAAATTCCAGATTGGAATGACGACTACATCCAGATCATTAAGGATGAAGCCTCACGTTCTCTCATGGGCTCACATCAGGAGAAATGGTTTTATAACCAGCTCACAGTATCGTCAGAAAGAAACGCCACCTGGCGAGTGATTGGAGATCAGATCATCTTCTCTCGCATCAGAGAGTCTTTTGGCTGGAACGGCGACAACTGGAATGTGAGTCGCAGATACCACACTGCAATAATCAATACTGACGAAGCTCAGGGCTACCAAGCCAACCGAAATCGCACATTCCAGCATCTGTATGACAACAATATCCAGAACAACCTGTTCCTGGCTGGAGACAGTCACCAGAATTGGGTAAGATGATTTAAAGCTCAACGACGCCTCGCGCTAATGATCTGTTAGGTGTCTGACCTTGCGTGGGTTGGTACCAAAGACTACAACAACGGTACTGGTGCGGGTGCCATAGGAGTCGAGTTTGCCGGAACTGCTGTGGCTTCCTCAGGAGCAAGCGGCAACATATTGACGACCAGAGCTGCGGCTCAGACTCGTCTCGACGATGAGTGGAATTCTGAGTTACAGTGGCAGGACGGTTATTACCGTGGTTATTTCCTCCTCAGCTTGACCCCTGAACAGGCCACTGCTGAGTTTTACGGTACGTAAAATATTGCGTGGGATACTCATCGAACAAAAACTAAAGATGAGAAGGTTCTCCGAGTGTTGCCTTAAGGAACCCGTGGAATCTACCACTCGCAAACTTCACGGTTCTGAGCGGCGACAACCGATTGTCGCGTCCGATTGCTGGCGGTTCAGTTGAAGCTGGTGCTTTGCGCGGTGGCCAGGTCAACCCCACCAATTTGACATTGAATACTGAAACAGGCGAATGGGAAATCATTGGATTCCCCAAGATGTACATTACTAGTACCAGTTCTTAAACGTTTGAGTAATAATATCGAGGGCATTAGTGCCAATCGCACTGCAATTCCACAAAACGTTTTGTGTTGCGGTCTGGGCTGCCGTGATCAAGTGCCCCAACCCGCCAATTTGAACACTCTAGCCTAGAGTATCCCTCAATCCAGCTTTCGGCACTGCAAGTGTAGCTGCAGCTCCAGTTATGGCAGGGCAACTGGCGTGGCCTGTGTACACTACCTACCTCAGATTGCAGTCGCCAGCTATAGAGCAAGTCTAGGGGCTCTTCCGCCTGGTCTTCAGCTTTTATGCAGAATGTCAATCTGGACTTGCGATCATATATCCGACCACCTACGTGCTTTGGGTAATGACTTCGTTATAGCAGAACACTGAATGGATAATGGCGAGTATGTCACGTCAGTCTGTTCTGTCGGCCGTGCTGGCGTCCGTTCCTGTTACGACCTACATCGTCATTCAGAGTTTTGCCAAGAACACCCGAATATGCTCGAAGGTTGGCGCATATGTCGATTGGTCGGTTTCTTACATATATATGGCGTAAAATCAAGTGTTGCCATCGAGCTGCACTTTTTAATTATCGTCGAGATTCATAGAGGAATCACAATGTTCAATTGATAGGAAGTCTACGATCATCACTAACATCACACGTTCATAAACCCTTCTGTAGAGCTACGTGTTAATCGTTTTTCTTTAAATTCTAAATATAGTGAGTACATATCTTCCCGGCCCTAGCCCGTTTTATAGAAATGTGTAGCTTTTATACAGTCTTGGCTCGAACAACCAGCCGATTGTTATACGTAGTAACTCAACGCCTATTAAAACTAGCCGCTTGCCTAGCCGCCATAGCCATGGCGTTCGCGATCTCTGTGGCAGCCTCAACATTGTGATCATTTCTCTAGTTTCAATATTGAGTACCTTCAAGAGGAAGCAGAGATTTAGTCGTACTCTTCTTTTGGATATCGATTTCTCTTTGGGCTTGCTCTGCCGAATTAAGATTGTCCTCGGGCGCCCTGATATGGCTGTTAGTAGACCGGGTACTTAAGGCGTTCGGGTCTTTCCTCATAAAGCCTAGGTTAGTCAGCTACAGCTACCTCATTGCGGCCGCGGCATACATACCTCGTATGTAACCTAGTCACGTCCGCCTGTGAATTTCAGTGAATGCAGGGCTAAAGGGAGACGGGCTGGCATGACTACGGCGCCAAATGGGATCGGCTCGCAGGCGGCAGTATAATCATATCTGCTTGCTTACCACGATGTGGGCCGGCTGCATGTGCTGCTCTTTTGGACCCGGCGCTTAGATCATGGCCACAGCGGGGTCTGTATACTACCTATGGCGCTAATCAGCGCAAGGCAGCTGTTTTTGGTGCCCGGCTTCAACATCGAGGTGGCTTGTGCTACAAGGCGACTGCCCCATGAGCTTCATCGTTGGTTTACCACTCACTCGCCGGCATTAATTACTACATCCATCCAGACGAGCTTCAGAGTGCTCCTTCGAGCCCGTCTTCCCACCGATAGTATCTGAGCCTCTTGGATCATAATATTTTATCACGTTGCGCTGCCGCCCATAAAGAGATGGCTACAGGCGTTATAACTACTGACTGTCATGGTGCCGGCCGAGGTCATTGCCATAGTTCAGACTGGGAGGACGGCACAGCCAAGCATCTTGCTAGCAGTAAGCACCGTCTCAAGGAGACTGAGGGTTTTTCATTATCACGTTTAGAGAATTTGCCCGCCGAGCTGAGAACCCTGCTTCTCTTGAGTATGCCAGACCTCCCAACGCTGCGCTCTCTCGTCCGCGCCTCTCCCATTCTGCACGCCCAATACCTTGATAACCGTAACAATATTCTTTCCGCCTGTTTGGACTACGAAGTGGATGGCTTCCTGATCGATGCCTACGCTACTGCCATGTCTCGGGCGCGTGAGCTTGGGTCTCCCAGGACTGACAAGAACATTACCGACTTTCTCAGTACCTATCAGGCTTGGCTGTCAGGTTCAACTCCCGTTCCAGATATCAAATCAATTCATGCCAGTCGTATCCGTTGGTTAGCGGCCTACCACCTGTCTGTCGCCCGGCCTCTGGCTCACCTATATAGCAACTGGGCACTCGCAAACCTCAATACCGCGACCCTCTCGTCAACGGGCCAGCAAGGAGCAGCAGCAGTAGCAGTAGAAGAAGTAGCTTCTCCTGCACAAGACGAGCACGACGTAGAACTGAGTAGAAGCGAGGAGAGACGCGTTTTCCGAGCTCTTTACCGGTTTGAGACTTATCAGCACCTCTTCGGCCAGAATCAAGCCCCACGCCACGGATCATTTCGTCATCATGAAATTAATGACTGGTTCTTTTGTATTTTTGACCCTTGGGAAGCCGAGGCCATCGGATGCATTGATATCTTTGTCAGGCTTAGATACGAAGACACCTTCAATGAAATAAATAAAGATCTGCACCCTAGGAATGCCAGGTTCAGGCTCGAGAATGGGGTTTATAACCCCGAGGGATCATACGACCTAGAGATGGAGCATGACAGTAAGCATGCAAGAAGTGCTTTTTCATACTCCAAGTCTATCTGAGAGTGCATTGGGCCAAGAAGAAATATGGCTGACTGTCGACAAACAGGCTACATGGACGGCACCGTTTCCCGCGGCTTAAAGATGACAGCACGGCTATTAGGAATCGACGACCACGAGAAGCTTGTCTCTGAAATGCAGCGGTGTCTTACTCACTATCGGGACTTGGATGCACCTGTAAGGAGTGCCCTCGGGTCTGAGGCACAGAATGATCGGCGTGAGATGTCGACTAACTTCCCCAACACGAGGGACGAGGCCGAGCAGAGGCGGGACCCCATAAACTTCATTGGAGACACCGCGCCGCCCGACGGGCTGCCAATCGCGTGGGTTCTTTTGTGGGGTGGCAAGTATGCCAACATTTACGGAGAATACGTGCCGCAGTCAGTGAGACGATGGGGCTATGTTATGTGGGATGAGCGTCGATGGGCTGATATGGGGGCTAAAGATCTTGTTGCGAGACAGTGGGAGTCGTCGCCTGAGCTGGTTGACGAGATTGAGAATGATTATTGGTGGAGTCCCGTGGCAAGATGATGTCGCCAGGGCCCTACGTTCTGGGAGGATTTGGGCTTATTCAAATAGATAGTTCCAAGCATTCATCTATGAGCACAAGCGTGAATGAATGTTAATCTTGTTCCTGGGTAGCTCGCTAGAAGCTGGACGTGCCCTGTACATTGCCTGGTCATCTACAGTCCATCTACAGTCCATATGTTACACATACACTGTCTAAACAATTCTTTGCACCAAGTGGGCAAGTCACGTCGTGGTGAGAGTTTACCCATTCCCACGAGGTGAAGGGACTCACCGCAGGTGTAGAGTCCACTTAGGTCTCTCGCTGAGTCCACCGAAACACTGTATATTCATTTCGGCATGCTGTAACTCCCCATAAAGAGCGGATTGGATGGATCAAGAGCGGAAGCATTGAATGCGACACGCGAATGACAGATTGATGCCAGACAAATGACCTTTCTGATATGATGAATAAGTCGTGCAGTGAGGTGATATTTGGAGAAGAAAATGACTCTGCATCTTGCTTTCAGATCGCATGGCTAGCCCAGTTGCTGTGCTCCAGGGTACGATGCGTTTGTGTGCACTATCCATAATTCGTAGGTACTCCAGCTCCTGTACGGATCCGTAAGGTAGACTTTAAGTTCATGGCGTATGCCTTGGCGTAAGCTAGAACTTCATCAGCAAAATGTACCGCCTCACACTTGATGCCATTGCCATTATGTCCACCCATACTACGGATTCGTACATGCAGTGCTTTGAAGTCTGGGGAACCGACAGTAATGCAAACATGGACCAGATCGGGCACTCTGCAATCGAATGGTTGAGTGGGCACGGTTTGTTGAGAAACAGGAAGCATCACGTGATCCACTTTCCTCAATTGAACCTCGGCTACCTTTGAGCTGGAATGGACCCCTTGGATCACGGGCCCATTGGGAGCTCCGGCAACTCTAAAAGACCCGACGAATCTCATCGCGAGGATAACCACCACACCACGGGTTGTAGCTCGGCTTATATTGCCGCATCTTCCATCTGACCTTGGAAGCATCTACTTTTCAAATTTTCTTGTTTCTTGCAAGCAGTTTTCAAAAATGGTCTCAGTTCCCAGCAAGACGCCGCGCCAGACGCTGACTGTTGTGGACAACAGGACGGGCAAGGCGTATGAACTCCCTATCAAGCACAACTCTGTCTTGGCAACCGACATTAAGAAGATCAAGGCAGATGGTGGTCCTGCAGAGGATGAGACCAACCAGGGTCTCCGTGTGTATGATCCAGCATACATGAACACCGCAGTCATTGAGAGCAAGATCACCTACATCAATGGCCAGGAGGGTGTGTTGAGGTATCGGGGCTACCCCATCCAGCAACTCGTGAAGAAGAGCAACTTCTTGGAGTCTGCATACTTGCTCATCTACGGAGAACTGCCCACTCAGTCTCGCTACGACAATTGGCAGAATGAGATCATGAATCACACCTACATCCACAGCGATATTGAAAACATGTTCAAGTCGTTCCGATATGACTCGCACCCCATGTCCATGCTGACATCAGCTTTCGCGACCTTGGGATCTTTCGCCCCCGAGGCCAACCCTTCGCTGGCTGGGCAGAAATTGTACACCAATGCGGCTTCCGGCAACCTGGAGGCGCTGAAGGTGCTGGACAAGCAGATTTTGCGGATCATAGGAAAAGCTCCGACGCTGGCTGCGGCGTCCTACAGAATGCGCCAGGGTCGGCCGTTTAACAGACCAGCACAGGGCTTGTCGTACACAGGTAACTTCTTGTACTTGCTAGACCATCTGTCAGGGCACGAATACCAGCCGCACCCAGTGCTTGAAAGAGCTCTTGATGCGCTCTTCATCATCCACGCTGATCACGAAGTAAACTGCTCTACGGCGACCGTTCTTCAGGTTGGGTCCTCTTTGGTAGACCCGTACTCCATGGTATCAGCTGGCTGTGCGGCACTGTACGGACCGTCGCACGGCGGTGCATCCGAGAGTGCTATCCGCATGCTTATGGAGATTGGGTCTCCTGACAACGTACCAGCATTTATGGAGAAGGTCGAAAAGCGGGAACGTGTCCTGGTGGGATTCGGCCACAGAGTCTACAAGAACGTGGACCCACGGTCGACCGCAATCCGCGAGTTGGCGGAAGAAGTCTTTAAGGTCACTGGACGCAACCAGCTTCTCGACACGGCGCTGACTCTAGCCGAGTACGCAAGGAAGAGCGAGTTCATGAAAAGTCGCAACCTCTATCCTAACGTGGACTTCTACTCTGGGCTAATCTACCAGGCCATGGGCTTCCCACTGGACTTCTATCCGGTGCTATTCGCTGTGCCCCGATGTGTGGGATGGCTGGCGCACTGGAGGCAGATGATTCTCAACCCGTCTGGTGTGAAGATTTGGAGACCGCGGCAGCTGTATCTCGGCGAGACTGAGAGGGAATACATTGAGAGTAAGGACCGGAAGGAGAAGTCAAGTAGTGCTGGACCCGTCCAGGTGAACCATGGAGGCGACAGCAAGAGACATCTGTTGGCGTCGTACAAGGACGAGACGGGCCATGTTTGGGGCAAGGCCAAGCTCTGAGGAACTAACCTTGGACGTGTTTGATTATGGAGCTCCTATAACTTTCTGTTACCTGTATAGCCTGTAGATATACCATAGCATCGCAAATGGCTGATAGCTTATCACTTCATGAAATACGAACTGTGCGATGCTGTCCTGATAGGTGACGCCGAGCCGTCCAGCGTGGCCCGGAAGCACTACGTTATGGGTTGAGGTTGTATCCATGTGGGCTTTTGCAAGTTTTACCTGATACACTAGCAGTCTTCTAGAAGGATGAGATACCCCACGGGCTGACGTTCATCTGTTATGTACCAGGATAAGAGTAAGTACTCAACCAAGCTGGTCGATGGAGCGCTGTGGAAATCCAATTCAATGTCCGCTTAGTCACCCGATGGCAGTGGGGATCCCAAGGTCAGTCTACTATAGATGGTTTGTTTCATCGCTTCAGCTCCAAATCGAAACACTGACACGGGACGGGACTCGTCCGAACGTTGACGAGATGCGGCAGTGCGCGAGATGATCAGATGTTCAGGGGCTGTTTTAGTGGGCTGCCTGATGGAATTTAGCGGGCACTTGGCGGCGGATAGACAGGATGCCGCCGCCAAGGGCTAATAACATATTGGCTAACATTGGCTAACATGTTGGCTACAGCCACTCCGAGGCGCGCTATTCGCCAATGGACCACGCGAGATTTGACGACAGCTCAATCAATCAGCTCGGCCCCCTCGTAGTTAATTCAGGTGGGCTGCCGCTGACGTTTTCGTCCCCGGGACTGGAATGACTTCGTGTTCTTTGAGATGACCTTCTCGCCGATTTGCAGTTGCTGTTCACTCCTCTTTGTGGAATAAGAGTATCGTTCTTTCAACCATCTTGCCTCTCTATTCTATACCCTCTGGCTGGTCCTTGGAGCGCTGTACATCTTATTGCATACGCCTAAAACTCTATACGCCGACCTCGCAAAAATGGCACCCGTGGAACCAGGCACCCGGAAGAGGGTGCTCAAGGTCATCTTCATCTCGCTGCTGCTCGACCTGGTATGTGGCATACTTGACTCATGTGAACGTATGTCTCATGTCCCCCAACACATGCTGACGCGGTATCGATAGATCTCTTTTACATTTATTCTCCCGCTCTTCCCGAAACTCCTCGAATTCTACCGCAACAGCGAAACAAGCTCCGAGTCGCAATCTAGTCTGCTGGCGCGCATCCTCGGTGGCCTCAATGCCTATAAGTCAGCCTTCGCGAAACCGATCGACTCGAGATATGACATCGTTCTGTTGGGCGGCGCCCTCGGCAGTCTGTTCTCGCTCCTTCAAGCCGTTGCCTCGCCCGTCATAGGACTTCTTTCCGACAAGTATGGAAGACGTAGGGCTCTGTTGGTCAGCATGGTCGGCAATATCCTGTCTGTCTTGCTCTGGGTCGTGGCGGTAGACTTCAGGACTTTCCTGGCCTCGCGTGTCGTGGGCGGCTTGTCTGAGGGCAATATTCAGCTTGCCACTGCCATCGCAAGCGATATCTCCGACGAGAGCAATCGTGGCGCGACCATGGGCCTGATCGGAGCTTGTTTCTCCATTGCATTCACGTTCGGGCCCGCGCTCGGCGCATATCTCAGCACTATCACGACGGTAGCGGAGAACCCCTTTGCCACAGCCGCCGGGGTGTCACTCTTTCTTATCGTTGCCGAAACGCTCTATCTCTACTTGGCACTCCCAGAGACACTTCCAAGCAAGGTTGAGGAAAAGAAGAATGCTCCTGCCACCAAGAAGAAGCCTGCCTCGGCCAAGGCCCAACCAATCCAGCGCTTGAACTCGCACACGATTCTGAACACGGTGCACTTCGTTTTTCTGCTTTTCTTCTCCGGCATGGAGTTCTCGCTTCCATTCATGACCTATGACCTGTTCCATTTCAGCGCAGCTGACAATGGTCGACTACTGGGCTTCGTCGGGCTCATTGCCTCGGTCCTGCAGGGCGGTGTCACCCGGCGCTTGCCTCCTTTGCTATCCGTCCAGTGCGGCGTCTTATCATGTCTTCTCGCATTCAGCTTGCTGTGCACATGTCGTAGTGTTAGTCATCTCTACATGGCCGCTTCGTTCCTGGCTTGCACCTCGGCCACGGTTGTTAGCGGACTCAACACACTGAGCAGTTTGGAGGCGAGCGCCGATGAGCGCGGCGGCAAGTTGGGCATGCTGAGAAGTATGGGGCAACTAGGACGTGGTCTAGGCCCGATTCTGTTCACCAGTGTGTATTGGTGGGCTGGCAGAGACGTTGCGTACGCGCTGGGCGCTGCCGGCATGGCTGGTGTGGCTGCTCTGGTTTTCCTGGGTTTGCAGGCACCACCAGAGCCAGATGAGCAGGCAGAGTTGTTGGAGAAGAAGGAGCTATAAGGTGAAGCTTTGTATATGTAATAACACCTGTAAATAACAGCGTCATCCTACGCACTGCATAGTTGTGCTCCGCATACAGCCATATTTTAGATTTCAATGTATGCAAGGGAGCCTCATTTGAATCACTATGCTATACAAATTAAGCGAAAATCGTATACATTTGTCAAAAAGACTTACATGCAGCTAGCTAGGTTAGCACTATGCGTGTAGTCAATGCCTTTCCCAGCCTGATGAGTAGCGCCGAAACTATGATTGAAATGACTAACAGTGACTCAATTACGGCTTATCGGCCAAGACACAGCTTTTAAGTAAACGTTCGCGTCTCCGATGTGTCACGCAACTCCACAATCAGGAAGTTATGAAACTCTATTTAGGTTCGTGATGTGACGGGGACTAGGCGAACCTCTTATCATCATCATAGTACTCCCACCGGCGCCAATCGAAGATGGCTAATACTACAAAACTACAAAGAGCATTTCGTTCTGAACGCCTGCTGTTCAGGGCCATAGAGGACGACGACGCAGACAGGCAGTGGTTCTATACCCAGGTCCAGTCCGATCCAGTCAGTTTCGCATCGCTCGATTCAAGTCTGCTGCGGCCCCAGATCCGGAGCCGCAGCGATGCCAAGCTGTCCGATCTCCAGAACATGCTGCTCGGCGTCATGATCTGCCTGCCCCCTAACACGTCGTATGACCAACCAACACCAATCGGCATCCTGAGCCTAGACGACGAGGCCGGGAGCAACTATCGCCACCACCACCGGCTGGCGGTCCTGGCCATCGCCGTCTCTGCAGACCATCAGGGCAGCGGCTATGGCGCGGAGGCCATACGCTGGGCGGTGGACTGGGCGTTCGAGAGGGCCAACATCCACTCGGTCAGCCTCGCGTGCGTCGAGTACAACGACCGCGCCAAGCACCTGTACGAGAAGCTGGGGTTCGTCCTCGAGGGCAGGCTGAGGAAATGCCACTTCCACGAACGCAGGTGGTGGGACGTCCTCATGTTCTCCATGCTCGAGGAGGAGTGGGAGGCCGTGAGGGAGAAGGAGAGCGATGTCCGGAGCGGGATCGGGCAGGTAGTTGGTAAACATACCTATCTTTGACCTGATTGATATCTTGCCCGCATATCACGAGGCTATTCCTTTCCCTCTTCCCTTCTGTTTGAACGTGGTATAGTCATATTTTGACCTCGTTGCGTCTGGACGACTGCGGTGAAGTCTCTGTCGCGTTCAGGCTACGATTCCAAATTAATGGATAAATTGGAAAATATGGTCTATTGGTGGTACTTTTCAAGTACACAGGATTCTCACGACGGCCAGCTGGATGTCCAATGTGCTCAAAGCAACAAGTATACCTCGTCTGAGGTATGAGAATCAAAGAAGGTTTTGCGTCAAGATGTGACAAACTTCCACGGGTGCTTGGATGAATTTGCCACGAAAGAGCGATCTTGAATTTAAAAGTAATGGGAAGGAAGTAGGTAGCACGAAAAGGAACGACTCGTGCGCTGGGACTAAATATGCCGGATAGTGATGGACGTGATGAGCGGCTAGTGTAGCTGGCAGTCTTATAGTTCTAAATAATTGAGCTTTATCCCACCAGCGGATACCTGTAGAGGAACTTCTTGGCCTGTTGTATCTCCGTACTCGAAGCTATGATGTGTAGGAAGTATTACCTGGGGCTGAGCACGGATAACAAATGTCCCTAGGGGGGGGGAGCGTTGCGGCTCACACCGCTTGACGCAGCTCGTAGGTGACAGTATGGGTGGTATTTTATGTGGTTCAGGGAATTTTTGATATTCTTTTTGTTACTGTTCATGGCTGGTGAAGTTGTTGTAATTTTTATTGCGTTCGGCTACCTCACGACGAGTGGCAGTCGCTTTGCAGATACTGCGCGGCTAGACAACTTTTATTTGGTACTGCAGCTGGTTTGGCAACGACCGTAGACTTTTAGACTTATTCGATCCATCACATATTTAGGTCTACAGTTCGAGCCCCATTCTCTTCGTCGTTTTATGTTTTCAGTAGTTTTGTCTTTGGCCGTCTGTAACCATTAACCGTCTAAGAATTTCGTGCATACTCGTTATTCCTCGTCCCATCAAACTCATCGAATAGCCAGCCATTTTAAACTTTACCATTCGTTCCATCATGACTATTCTTATTATTACTCAATGCTAGTTGAGTTTAGTTCCCTCCTCAGAAGTTCTCTTGCTTGCACAACCCAAATTATACATACGAAATCCCAACCACATTACATGCTAGTACAACCATTAAGTAGCTCTAAGAGCCCACTCTGTCTTAATTGAAACCTTTAGCCCTGTGATCCATTCAAAGTGTCGTTCACATTTTGATATCATCTCAAGTTGGATTGGCCGACCCTCACCCCTGCTTTCGCTTCTTCATCCACCCAGCGCAGAGTCCAATGGACTGCATAACAACAAGAGTGTATTCAAGGGCGCACAGAGGTACCAACCGGAGGGACAAATCGGGGTACTTGTCAATATAACCATAACTTATAAGATAGTCGTGGTGTACAAATTTGAGAGCCACTACGAGGTCGGCGGTGGCCAAGGCAAAGTCCATGATAGGGAAGAATAGTATCAGAGCAAATCTCCGTGCTTTTTTAAGAGGGGCAATATTCCTGGGGCGGGTTTCGTTGCCGTCTGTTGCGTGCGGTGCAGGGTCAGTTGTTCCTGACTCCTCAGTATGGTCAACTTGTGGTGGCTGAGTTGGCTGCTCGATACTGGGAAGGTATGTGACAAGTAACACAGCAATCAAGTTCCAGACGATATTGAAGTTGACTAGGATACTCGACGCCGTATGGTCGTCTCCAGCAGCGACTATTTGAAGTAGAGAGACCAGAAAGTAGACCACAAGTGTTGTCCGAATGGTAAGGACAAGTGGAAACCGTGCTGTTATTTGATTCCCCATCTTCACGGATGGCAAGAATAGGTGGTGTCTTGCTTCAGAGTGCTTGTGAAATATGCTATTATATGCTACTGACCGTGGAAGAGTGAGATGAATGCAGGATCACAGTTTCTTAAATCGATGAGACTTACGCTGCTCTCATATTCCATTGCTATTCTCGGTGCGCTCTGTGTTCGTGATGTTACGCAATCCACGGGAACAGCAATGCACAAGTACACAATAGTATCATCATCTTGTTTCCTCCAACCTACAAGCAATGTCCTAGCGGTTGACTTGTCGGCCCGTAGAACTTCATGCTGCAAGTACCCGAGATCAAGGTGTAACTATCATACTAAAAAAGTTGAAAATACAAATCAATTAGCTCCGATGCCATCCCAATGGGCTTACAACTGCAACAGTGTTGATGCCGATAAGGAAGTGGTGCCCAGCAAAGGACTTGCCGAACGGCCTTTAGCGGGTACCCTAGTTCGCTGATGCTTCCACTGGGCGATACATTGGCCACCGATAGCGGTTATCTCCCTCCAACGGTGACACTACTCAACAATCTTGACTGTTGCAAAGTACATGGTTGAGGTCAGCTTCATTCAATCAAACAATCAATCACACAACCTCTATGTCTGATTCAAGCAGGTAGTCCACCTCCGCCCTCAACGTATGCCATTCACTGAGTGTTGATTAGGTCGATCTCAGCATGCCTGCGTTGCAGAAAACAAAAGCTCAGATGCACGGGCCCAACCCAAATCCCTTGTCAACGTTGTCGAACTTCCAGTTCTGAATGTACTTTCGTTGCTCCAAGAGCTGCTCGTCCTTCAGCATTGCCTATGAATGCTGGAGGTAAGTAAGTGCACGCGTGATATCTCACCTGATGACCACTAAGTATTTGAACAGTGATAAGGTGACTTTGCTCGAACAACGCCTAGATAGTGTCGAAAGTGAACTCAGAGCGGAGATCCAAGCACTTCAGAGGACAATTGAGCTAGTCCGACCTGTCATCCCATCAAAGGTCGTCCAGGAAAGTAACGGTGATGACAGTGACCTCGTATCAAGGCACATTGTCACCGAGGAGCAATGGCACGATCTGCGAACATTGTATGTATGCTTGAATCGAGTCGATGGATCGTTGACACTGAAAACGTGTAGTTTTGACGAGAATTGCACCTCCGTCATTGCTTTTATGGATGACCAGCTATACCCAGCTGGTGATACTGTCAGAAGACATGTCCTGTTGTCCACGGTAATATGTCTTGTTGCTTCTCGGGCCATTATGCCTGAAAAATATCAGCTACTCCTCGAAGAAGCCGATGATATCGTCAAGAGAACGTTTCAAGGACCCACCCCTGATCTGTCAACGACAAAGGCATTGATGCTTCTGACAGCATGGACTGGGCGATCCCGCCTTTGGGGTTATGTTGCTTCCATCGCCGCAGAGCTGAAATTGAACACTGCTGTGCTACAACTTGGTGATAATACCGTCCACCAGACAGAAGAGTCTGTCGATCATGCAAGGACCTGGTTATCCTTGTGTTGTTTCGATTTGGCGTAAGGGCTATAGAAATATTGGTGCAAGTTCCAATGCTAACTTGAGATTGTCAAGGATAAACCTCAATCGTCCGTTCGTCATCAACCGAATGAGAGACTACTTACCTTACGTAAAGAACCTTCTCGTATCGCCATTTACGCGACCGGTTGATCATCGAATAGCAGCTTATGTTGAAAGCTTTGCCATTGCGGGTATTTGTATCACCAACTGACTCTTTGGACGGGTCACTAACACAAACCCCAGCCGATACTAAAGCTCAACTACAAACCACGAAACTGCACGTCACACCTCTTCCGCAAGATGTCACATCTCTTCTGGATAACGCCAACGGAAAGATAGATAGGTGGTTTTACGACATTAACAACACCATCAATCCTCTATATCAGACATTTCATGGACGACAAGATCGAAATCGTTTTCTCGTTCCGTACAGCTTCTTGAAAATGTCAGAAGTCAATCCTCTCAGTATATGAGGCTCCGCTGACCACTACTTTTGGCAATGCAGATACATCAACGGCTTTGCGTTGTATGGCACCATATCGGACAGCAACCCTCCCGATCTAAAACGACGGAAATACCTTCAACAAGCTTTGGACAATGCCATTCTCGTGATAAAGACACAATACGACTCGCATGCTCTCCGCAAAGGACTTCGATACACTATGGTGAGGCCAATCCCCTAGCCTATCACTCGTGTTCACGCCTGAAAAGACATATAGGACTACAGCGGAATTACTTCCTACTACGCGATAAACTTTTTGTTCAAGGCTATGAATGCTGCTCATCATTATTTAAATTACTCAATGGTTTTCCCGACACTGAATCAAGCTGCGGAGATGTTTGAGCAAGCTGGAGCTGTAGAAGCCGCCATTGATATTCGCAGAGAGCAGGACAAGCTAGCGCTGCTAACTAATACCGTGCTATCCCCTGAGGTTCTGGAGCACGGGAACTTAGATAAGGATGCAAACGCCTTATTTGACATACCCAGTTTCTGGGATGAGGCGGTTCGTATTTGCTTTCCCTTCGCATTTTGAAATGGCGAACTGATGACATGTAGAACTGGGATGACGCATTTCCTGAAATGAATGTTTATACGCTGGACTAGAGAACTGTCTCGTACACATCAGGCACAACTCATCAGTTCCTGCAGAACCTCCATTCTCAAAGGAGTGCTCTCCGCTTTCAAAGAACATATCGGAAATGAAGATTTTCTTTCTGTCCGATGTTTTAGTATCGCTTTTAATTGTAGCTTTCCAACATTACTTACATCCGTTAAATCTGAGAGAATCTGTTCAGTATCGGAAGCATCCTCTCCAGTCGCGATTTGATCACGCTGCAGTGCTGTTAGTGTTATTAAATACTTGCAATGCGATAGTAAGGGCTTGCCTTTCGGTTCTCGAATAGATTTTGTAGGTACATACCGATGAGCAGCAGGACCTGGAGCGCGAAACAGGCAATAATGATGATAAACCCAGTGTGGTATCGCGGCTCCTCTCTTTCAAGAAAGACTTGGGGTCCGATAACGTTACCGATACAGTAACTGACGAACACAGCTGAAGTGAATACATTCTTTTTACTCCGCCCTGCTACGTTAGCTTGCACTAGGCTCAAGCCCTGGACGAAAGCAACACTGAAGCCGACGATCAGGTAGTAGCCACTAGAAGGAGCGTTAGATAGACCAAAGCTTTTTCGGATGCGACTTACAAAAGGCGCCCGAGGCCTTGCTCTTCAGGAAGTGCGTAGATGAGTGAAGAGCCAAGTATAGCGACCAAAACCCCACCTATCATCAGGAAGTGTCTACAGCCTGTTGCTTTCGCTGCAACATAACTGCAATAGTTACTATTGTCAGTGACCGGCCTGATTGCAAACTCAAACTCAAACTCAAGCTTACCCTGATATCCACAGAGCCAATACCTGTGCTGCTCCACTCGGCATACCAAGTAGTGTAGTCTGGAACTTAGTATATCCAAATCCGTTGATGATAAGGGGTCCAAATGCTGTAACAGCCCCATTCGGAATGCAATTCAGCAGCACGAATAGATTCATCAACCAAAGTCTTGAATCAAGCAATGCTTCCTTGACCTGGTACCATTTAAATGTCTTATTGTCGATACCTGTCTCATTCTGAACGAGTCGAAGGACTGCTATCTCCTTTTCCTCTGCAGTGAGCCAACGTGCTTGGGTTGGGTTGGAAGGTGCAAAAATCGTGAATACAACGCCCCATATGATTGTGGCAGCACCAAAAATGATGAACGGAAACTTCCAGGCAGGAACTGCGGCATCGATGTAGCCGATCCCGTAGGCGATCAGACCACCAAAAATCTGAGCAAAACCGTTCATGGAAAACCAGATACCGGTCCTAAAAGGTTGTTCGCTCCTTGGATGATAGTTAGCTGGTGAACAACAACTTTCCTAACGGTTGTGAAACCACTCGCCTCTTGTAGAACATGGTAGTCATGAGTACGAAGCAAGGAGAAACGCCGGCCTCCAACGCTCCCAGAAAGAACCGGGCTGCTGCAAGACCAGCGAAATCATTTGCCGCAGCCATGCATAAAAGAACGAGGCCCCAGAGAGTGATGAAGATACCGCAAGTCCGAGCGATGTTGAATTTCTGGAAAAGATAACCAACTGGAAACTCGAAGACTAGGTAGCCAATGTAGAAGATGGTCGTTAACCAAGAATACTCGGCTCCGATAAGGTGTGCATCGTCTTTCATGCCCCAAAGTGCGGCGTACGAGACACAAGACTTATCAAGGAACTAATTATAGGCAATTTAGCATGAGGCTAGAACTGTCAAGAATTGAGGTGACACATACTTGGATCATGTAGGTGACCATCAACAACGGCATTAGATGCAAGTCGATTTTTCGCAGCACTCGTCGCGCCACCAGCCCATCAGGGTCAATATCCGTGACGACCCCTCTCAGAGCAGTGACTCCGACATCTGCTCCGTCGATGGGACCCTTCTCTAAAACGCCTTTGACATGGTCGCTATTGCTGCTGCTTTGCCGCCCTTTAGGGTAGAGTTCGCTGCTGGCCATCTTTGCTTGATCCGCGGCAAGATTGATGAAGTTTCTGTATATCAAGAAAACAAGGACAGTCGGCAATGAATTACGACTGGGTGTTGGTGTATTTATCGCCTATATACTACAATCCTCCTATCTGCCGTCCGAAGGTCTGGTTGTGGGGTCAAACCCCAGATAGCCATTATATCGGGTTACATGAACCGAACCAGTCTTGGTCCCACGACTATCATCTGTTTCGTGGGTACAACCTGGCAAACCATGCTGCGTTGGATATCGTGGATAAGTATATGCAGGCCCAATTTACTTTAGTCATGCGTTCTCATGCGGAGGAGGAGATAACGAAGATCGTGCGGCCTCGGTCCCACCGAGCGGTCCGGCCGAGGGCCGAGTGCGCTCTCAGTGCTGTATTGACCCTGTGAGGACAAGAAGCCAGCTACGGTAGAATGTTTTATTTTATTGGCATAATTTCAGTTCATGTCTATAGACAAAAGTTCTTAAGTTCCTGTTTGAACATAAAACCTGACATGCCCAAACAGGTTCGCGTCATAGTTCTCCTCGGGCCCCCAAAATTGCAAGAAAGAACAACTAAAACTCAACTCGAGAAAAATACAAATTTCAAATAATGATAATGCGTGTTTCCGACAAGGGAAACTCAAATGTCACTCTACAATCAGATGGCGTAGTGGACGAGGTCATCCATGCGATCGATAACGCCAACGATGAATTGAGGCGCTTGAACTTGGAGGTAGGTCTTCCTGTCCTCCATAAAGATGCGATGCAGGAGATGCTAAACTGTACAGATCTACAACAATCCTGAAGTTTTGTTCCAAGAGACCAAGGCATGTAAATTACTGTCCGACTGGTTCGAGGCAAAGGGGTGGTCTGTGAAGCGGGGTGTCTATGGCATTGAAACTGCATTCGAGGCTCGCTTCTCCCTACATGAAGGAGGAAGAATAGTGTGTTTCAACGCAGAATACGGTAAGTTCGAGAAGCTTTTGCAACCCTGTATCCAAGACGATCGTGTGCCTGACCATCGATAACAGACGCCCTCCCCGGCGTCGGCCACGCCTGTGGACACAACTTAATCGCAACTTCCACATTAGCGTCGGCAGTAGGCGTCGAAGCCGTGATGAAAGCCCATGATTTGCCGGGAACCCTAGTGGTAATGGGCACGCCCGCCGAGGAAACCGGTGGTGGAAAATGGATCATGGCCAAGAACGGCGCATGGAAAGGCTTCGACGCCTGCGTGATGACGCACGGCATGCCCGACTTCAGCACGCCAATGTGCCTCACCAAAGCCTCCTGGAAGATGCGCGCCAGATTTCACGGCAGGACCGCACATGCTGCGGCCGCGCCGTGGACAGGTCGCAACGCTTGCGATGCTATCGTACAGGCGTACAACGGGATTGCTTTGCTGAGGCAGCAGATCGCGAAGAATGAGAGCGTGCAGGGCGTCATCCTTGAGGCGGGCAAGGCGCCTAATTTGATTCCTGACTATGCTGAGGGCGTCTTTAGTGTGAGAGCGCCGACCTCGCCGAAGTTGGAGGAGCTGAGGAGACGATTCGACCCAATTTTTCATGCCGCTGCCGCAGCAACCGGATGCACTGTCGAGCTTGAATGGTGAGAACACACGCCTTATCTTCGAGAAGTCAGGAGATACTAACGTTCTTTTGCAGGACTGCCCTATACGAGGATGTAGTGACCAACGAAGCACTAGCGGAACAATATCGCCAATACATGATCCAGCATCTAGGCTTATCCCCAAAGCAGATGTTGCCGTTGAAAGAAGCAGCGATAAAGCACGACCAGTCGGGAAGCTCGTAAGTTCAAAGCTTCCTTGTAATTAATGACAAGTTCTGGGCTAACACTTGCAACCGTAGCGACTTTGGCAGCTGTAGCTACATCTGTCCCGGAATCCAGGCAATGTTCGATATTAATGCTGCCGATCTACCACATTCGGCCAAGTTCAAGGAGGCAGCTGGCTTGGAATATGGACATAGGGAGGCACTGCGCGCTGGCAAGGCGAACGCGCTAATCTGTCTTGATGTTCTAATGAACAATGGGTTTGCGACAAGAATGAAGAACGAATTTATAGAGGCCATGAAGCGAGCCGGTCGCTGGGAAGACGAGGCATAGCTTTGACCAATATGACAGAAATACAGCGGATGGGTCTTCTTAAACTTGCATGCCTGTAGGTAGCAGGAATATCTGATATTTGTTTTCATTCAACCTCTGAAGGTTAGCAAATATTGGTTGATAGAAAGCAGTGAAGCAAACTTCAGGTTTCACTTTTCACTCTTTCTGCATTTCTACAGGCGATTTGCATATTGCTGGGAAAGTACAGGCTGTCTCAATCTTCGTAAAGGAGTGTATCATTAGAAATTAGTTTCTATGCTTGTTTTCATGCTCATTATCCAATGCTCAATGCTCAATGCCCGTGACGCCGCTAATGCAAAAGAGTCCCATAGTCAATTTACAAGCCGCACTGGCTGACAGCAACCTGGGTGGCGGTCGCATCGACGCGACCCAGAGCAACAGCTTGGCCGTTGGTCAGGTCGTTCATGGCGTCCAAGGCAATGTTGAAGCCAGCACCGGCATGGTCGATGGCGAGAACGTTGATGGATTTGCCGTTGTAGCTAAGTTGCCAGCAAGTACCGCACTATGGCAACGTCAGAACACAATCAGACCCAAGCATCGGTTTTCATCATGACATACCTGGGGAGAGTTCCAGCCGGAGACGGCGGCAGCGGCACCAATGTATGGGAACTTGGCGACAGCGCCCTGTGTTTGCCAGCCGTAGCGGGTGATCAAACCATTGGCGCCGTCAGAGCAGGAGACAGCGGTCAAGGATCGGCTGCCATCATCATACCCGGTGTCGTAGGCGACTAGTAAAGATGTCAGTTAACTGGATTCTGGCTTCTTGCCGTTCAGAGAGAGCATACCTGTGTCGGCTGAAGCAGCGGCAGCGAGAACAAAGAGCCCGGCAATCTTGGAGAAGAACATTTTGATCAACGGTGTTGTTTATTTGGTATGAGAATGAGTATTGATGTGTTGTAACTAGAGTTTGAAGAGACAATGTAGTTATTTGCTGTTGAGATTGGTGTCGATGGCAGGAAACAACTCCAACTCATGGAGCTTGACGTTGCCTCTATATATGTGATTGCATGATCCCCTAGTATCAGCAGATTCAACACTGCCGGGTTATCCTACGTGACATCGTGACATCGTATCGATAGTTCCTGAGCGCCATCAGCATGGTCCGAGTTCCGCAATCGAACAGCCGTTCTCTGGTGCGAATCCACCACATCTCGTGTTGCTTGTGAAAACTGTGGAGTTGGTTTTTGTTGTTGTCAATGCCGATCTCTTCGTATTTGCCGGCAAACGTGCCAATTTTAGTTGAGTTTAGCAGCGTCTATGGGGCCGCAGCCACCTAAGATCGCGCTAATGCTTGTCCCCAGATCACCGCAAGCCTCATTTGTCTTGCTGACCGGCCGCTCCGCTTTGAACGAATCAATGATGCATTTCAACGGAGCATTCCAGGGTCTCCGTTGAGGTGACCCAGCCGCCATGCACTTAACCTTAACGGCCACTGAAGTAAGACATTGTACACAGCACTCCGTACACAGGTTGCCAACGATGGTTGATTGATTGCATTGCATACTAACTGACCTAAGTCAGTCGCTAAGCCCCGTCAGGCGCGGTTAACCGCCGATGGATGGTAAGCAGGTAGCGCCTAAGTAACTTAGTCTACAGCGCTGCTGCAAATGGTCAGCAGAAAAAAAGTGGTCCAGGGAATGTGGTGAGATTCAGTACCGACCCGATGCGCCTGCATTTGCTTGTTACAAGTGATCCTGCTGTGTGTGAATATGATCCGAAGTCCCAACGTGACCGGGGAATTAAGAAGAACCAAACGACGTAGACGACCCGCAGCGGAATTTCCAGGGTCCAGCAGGTGACCTAGCTTTCAATGCTACGCTCCCCATAGCTACCTCGTATCAGCGACTTATGACGATATGGCACATACAAAGCAGGCGAGAGCCCCTCTGCCAAGTCTTTTGGATTTTGCACCGGCCATCATCCACTGCTTCAAACATTGGCGGAAGCAAACAACTGACAAACAATTCATCCCCCAGATGGATTAGCATCTTGCTTCTTTCAGCAAGTCTGACTTTCGCGTTAGTCGCGGCAGGGTTGGTCGACTGATAACCACATAGCTTACAGTAAGTGCAAGTGAGCACTAAAGTTCTGGGGCTTAGTTGGCGTCCACAAATTTTAGTACGATCTTGTACGTTACCATCAAGCAAAGCAATCCCATCTTGCCATCTCATCAACAGCTTTCTTCTGGTTGTTTTATTAAAAGCCCATGGAGGGGCGATGAGTTCTTGTAATCCATCCACGAATTATCAACATGCTTTTCCGAAATTCCGACTTCAAGGCTGTTCGCGGCAGGTCGGCTTGTTGGAGTAGTCATGAGACACGTCCGAAATTTAGACACCAACAGAACATAGAGTTGATCGATTCGGTGAATTCGACAGCGTTGAATTTGTCGATGTACCAGTCATCGACCCAGGAGTAGGTTAGGCTCTCATTCTTGACTTGATTCGCACAGAACAAGATCTTTCGAGCCCTTTTTTCTGCCTTCCTCTCTGCTTCTTGAAGTCTCTCCGTAGGTGACTTCTTTATTATGATCGTGATCCCAATTATGTGATAGAATGGCTTAGGGAGCTATCTCGTCTTTTCCATGATAAGGTCACGGGTGAACGACAAATCACCTTGAGGTCGAAGAAGGCGCATACTTGCGTCGAATTAGTGAATTCACATCAAAATACTAAACGACGGTTGCTGATAATCTGGGAGAGGTTAGGCACATACGGATTACATGATTGTAAAGTTTTGGGTTGCGTGGTTGGTAATGCGGCTGAGGGAGCGTTGCGCTAAACCCAATCACGTCGCGCATTATCTCGCCAGACATGAGGCTTCAATTTCGATAAGATCCACGAGTTACGCCGACAATAATACCCTAAGGTTAATCGGAGGAAGCACAAACCACATCGGTCTTCACCAGAGATTGTCTGTTCGGGTAGTAAAGTGCAGGTACGTATGTAACTTCGGGTATGTACATTAAAATTAGCGACCAAAATCTGCTATCACACCAGCGCCCGCTGCCCAAAGCCCTTTCACAATGGTCTCGGACGGATCTTCCCGTTGTTTTGGCATGGTAAAATGAATTATCTACAACACGGCTCAGGCGCGTTTGTTGACTCATCCGACCGCTTTCAGGCCCGAAACTGCTTTGGCCCTTTCATGACACTCACGGCTTAGTTTGTCATTGCACGGATTCTTGCTCCCATGTCTGTCGAAGCTTTGAAAACTACGGAGAGTTTTTATCGATTATTTTCTAAGATCCACCCTTATCAGCCAGGCCGGTCGTCTAGTTTCTTTACTTGAAAGTGTTCCGACAGAGGAGCTGACATCTGTTAGAGACTAAAATGCTCGCAAGATCAAATATGAGCATCGGTGTACGTTAACATACATCTTTGGATTATCAGAAGCCAGAACCTTTGAATACAAAATATGTGTTTTCCTAAGCCTTTCGTGCTGGGCCTTTTGTTGCTTTCGTCACGAACTTCAGACGTTCACTACTCGTCAATACCCCTGTGATAGACACGTCATGTATAGTGATCATTATTAGTTTATTGATATGAAGTGTGATGTAACAGTGAGGAAGAGAGCTATCTTCTGTGTCACTGAAAAGCCACCTAAAATGGTTGCCCTAGTTGAATGCTTGAGGCATCCATCACCCTGCAACGCCAATATGTGTTGCCTTGTATGAACAGATCTAATTATTACTCGAGGACGTACAAAAAACGCCTGAAGAATATACTTTCATTCCTTCGAGAGCTGAAGTGGCGGCACAAGAAGGGCAACCATCAATGAAACCAGCCAACCCCATCGATGCTTCCCAGAATTCAGACAGTTCACAACTAGATATGGAACAATCCACGCGTTCGAATGAGGACCCGAATATGGAGAGAATGTCTTGTTTGTGTACGGTTTTTGGTACTCTGCATAACTTTGGTTGGTATAGGGAAAGAATTGAGTAGCAAAGGTTATAGAGTCATGATGCATGGTGAGTTAGACCTCTTCTTGGTGTTACAAATGGCGGTAGTATTGTAAAGGGAAAATGCGTCGGGTGTTCGTCGCTTTCGTGATTGCTGTACTTCCCGCGTAGTTCTGAAACTCCTTTCTTTATTTTCTTTCTAAGCACTGGTACTGTTAAGGCTCCTACAAACTTTGTACCCAACATCTATGCTGTGGACCAGGATGCAAATTTTTTTTTTCGTTTCCTTTTTAACTAATAAGCGGTTTATAGTAGCTTGAATCTCTAGTTGAGATTCAATGCAACATGTATGCTATTAAGAAGATAAGTGATAGATCAACCAAGCATACAACTGAAGGATTTCCGGCAGGCTTTCTTCCTACGTGTAAAAATTAAGACCACGTACAGAACAAATCCTGATATTCAATCAATTTGAACTGAAACACTACCTAACGCCCCAAGGGCGTTCGCTGTTCTGATCGGACACATCGATGTCGTGCATAATGTCACGACTCTCGCGACATCTCCTAGAAACTTTCAGATACCAAAAAACTCGCCGTATGACTTCATTGACACTGGTACGAAACTCTCATTCGTTCTTGACCCTATCCATGACTTGGTGACTAATTCACTGTCTCTTTACATTGACTTTGAAGGAGAAAATATCGTCAAACACGGCACCATATCATAGCTTCAACTCTTTGCTTCTTAACTAAAGAAAGTATTGAATTTACTGACCGTCCGAACTTTGGTTCTAACAAATCTACAAGATACCGAATATTACATGACTTTGATAATGTCTCTATTGCTTCCTAGGTAACTGAACAGAATACAACACCATTTTCGAACAATGGCAAATGCAGCTAAAGCTACGAAATGGGCTAGAGGGGGCTAAGGAGGCGTTTTCTATGCTTCAAGGCCTGAATTTCATTGAGCTTATGCGTTGTATCAACTAGACAGAATTTGGGTGATGTTGTCACACGTTTGTGTTACAATGGAGGGCTAGGGTGCTGGTATTAACGCGCTGAGCCCGACTCTCTATCACATATGGAGGATTCCAGCCCTTATATACCCTATTGCAATCCGATACCCGATAAGCTCTGACAGATGTAATGGTGTGAGGGCGTTCCTCAATACGTGAATTTCAATAACGTCAGTATCACGGTTGGCTTGAGTGAGCCATCCATGAAGGCCATGTCTTAGTAAGCGGGAGAGCTAATTCAATTTATTTTCCTCATTTTGAAGTACAAGAGATTTCATGACATCATTGTACGTTCTCTTTGTTTCAGTATTGCCGACTCCCGTTTAGGATCATGTGAAGATCCATAGACCTAACGAATAGTAGGATAGGCCACAATACAGTCATAGCAACGTATCATCCAGTAATAAACTTGCTATCAAAGGCGGCGACTGTAGAGGCCTAGAATTTCTAGAGCCTTTAAGATGAGATGGCATATTGAAAGCTCCAGTAAATGTCTTATTACGTCTATTTACCATAGCAGTGAATTGGAAAACCAAATATACAAAGCCTAATTCTTAGAAAGAGACGATCATGAATGTTAAGAGTTAGTTGAACTACTTTAAAATACGGTGATATGTATAAGAGTTTAAAATTGGGACGCTACAGAGCTACACATTAACTTTCCAGTATCCGACGAAAGGACTACTTCTGAAAGAATAGCAATATCAAATGACTCATTCCCCGAAAGAAAAAGAAAAGAAAACCGTACTGCAGAGGAATTTGGCTATTGAAGTAAATAGTATAGGCCTTTCCTAAAGCTCTACATTGACAGAGAATGCAAGCGATGGAAAACTAAGAGTCAAAATCCATATGGATGAAAACACGATGATTATCACAGTGGTACTCCGCAAATCTGTTTGAGCGAATAGGATATTGGCGTGCGAATCCTGCTTGAGGGACAAAGATAGAGCCATTCCCCACGACGATCGAGATCTCTGGAGGCTGTGGTTCTCAACCTTTATAGCTGCGTGAGATCCAAGGTCAATGGATCAAAAACGTTCGACGATATGCGTTAGGTACCGCTTGAGTTCTGCTATGACTTTATACAGTCATATTGGAGCTGAAACACCCGTACAGTACGTACTCAAGTCATGGTTTCGTCCTCGGGACGTTCCTATGTATGATGGGACTAGGCACACAACACCGTGGGGAAATTCTGAATTGTATAGATGTACAAGTTCAATATAAATAGAGTTTGCATCAGCTGGGAATTTCCATAGCCTGTCAGCCCTAAATGCTGACTACAGTGGGCCAGTCTGCCAGTGTAGTGTCATTCGATAACGCCCTCAGCCAATGACCCCACGGACAATTCGTGGTGGTTTAGTTACACAATGTACGAACTGCTTCGTTTTTGCATGAACAAATCTTCACCTTGCATGCTACAGAGGCCCATTCCTCAATATTACAATATTTATCAAACAGGATAGTAGCTTGAAACCTATATCCACCACAACTTCTCACTAACTACCCAAACGTTCTAGACGTTAAGAGTGAACATTTCTGGTGCAAATCGAACCCTGGCTGTTAAAGAGAGAATTTGAAGTTTGACTTCAGGGCTCAAACTATGCAGCTCGCCGTTCTTCAACCTACCTCTGCTTCAGCTTCTATATATGTTATCTTGTTAATTACGATCCGTGACAAGATCTCCAATCTTAATAAACGAGATCTGGGATTGATTGGTCAGTTTAAACATGAGAGTTTCACGTGTTGGATTGTTTGTTGTCGTGTCAATGCATCAGAGTTTCTTAAAGTCGAATGCCTCACTCATGCCACCTTATCTCGCTTCTCATGCCTACCAAAATCTTCTGGGGTTGTTGACTGAGATAAAAATCAGTTAAAGTTTACCTATTGCAGGCCACAGACTACATTTACATAAAGTGACCAATCTTTACACATGAATATAGAAATTGTTGGTCATGGACATATTGCCAAAGCCAAACGGGATTTCTCGACGCATTACTTTTCGAGAGAAACATCAAGCTGTCACCTGGTCCCAAATGAATCCTATCACTCATCCCATCAACGCAAAAAATGAGGGTATTCATGAATTGCAACAACAAGTTGCCGCCATACGGAACATATTCCCAGGTCCGCCCACGGAAGTATGTCCAATAGTTCTAGGTATGTTTTGTCCCGCAATAAACGGAATGTATAGTACGCCTAATAACCAATTGGTAGTTCCTGGATTTAACGGATGGGGGACGGCCCTTCCTGGGAACAGTGAACTACTTTGGCGGCTTTGAAAGCTTGCCGTTGTTTCTGTCTCAGCTGGGCTATATTGTTATATTGGTTCGCATTGGCCCGATTTCAAGTAACAGAGAGCGGGCTTGCGAGATCTTCGCACAGCTCACCGAACCTTTGTAACATACCACAAATTTGCAGCGGAATGGTCGATAATAACTTGAATAGTGGTCGAGCCAGACCAGTTGCGCCACCGCCACCACCACCACCACAACAGCCTCCGGAGTCAATACCAGTAAATTTTGGTATTAATCACCCATCTCCATTTCCGGCTTTAGTCGCGGCTGCTGTAACCGACCAAGCAGTACTTTACGACACTGCCGCAAACCGTCTTCCAGCTGACTGGGCATGGAGTGCTACCAATAGAACCAACTTCATCTGTCATTCGCAGGGTGGCACAACTATCAGATATCTGATCGAGCTATTATCTGGAGCGAGCGATCCCGACCTACCACAATTTCTCGGTACCAACCGTCAAAGCTGGGTCAAGTCTGTGGTAACGTTGGGAACCCCTCACAAAGGCACAACTGTGACGGAGGTAGTAGATGTGAGTTATCCGCCGGGAGTCTTATTGATAGTAGACAACATCTGAATCTCCAGCAGAGTATTCTCAATCCACGTGGCTTAGACCCACTCATAGACTTTGTTACCTCGTGCTCATTTGAAGATAAGGGGCAGAGGCTTTACGATCTCCACCTAGACCATTGGGGATTTCATCGCACCAACCCAGGACAAACCTACCAAGAGATGCGTGCGGAAATTGCCCCTACTATTGCTGCGTGGTGGGCTGGACCACACAATGGACTTTTCGACAATAGTATTCAAGGTGTTACCGCTCTTGACTTGTTTGCCCCGAATCCGTCACCAGATATCTATTACTTCACAATGTCTTTCTGTGCTACTCAACCGTTTCTAGACGTCATGCTTACAGCCCAAGATGTCAACGAATTCCTGGCATTGTTTCCATTGAACTGGCTCTGGAATCCCCTAGGAGTATTTGGAAGAGTTGCAGCTCCACTTCAATCACTTGGGAGTATACTAGGTGTCCTCCCTTCACTTCATGCGACACTTACGAGCGTCACTCGCATGGCAAACCGCCATCTTGGGAAAATGGGATATTTCTCACAGATTCCTGCACCTGGCACACAACTGCCCCGGTCAGACATGCTCCCACTCATAATGTTTTTTGCTTACGCCATGGGAGGACGCAATACCACACCTCCTGGGTGGCCAGCTGGCAATTCAGAGGCATTTAAACTCAACGATGGTATAGTTAATACTGAGTCGATGGATGGCCCGGTTGGAGGACCTGTGAACTATGGAAACTTTACACAACAGCTCGCTGCAACTGGTGGTCAATTTGTCAAAGGAGAGTATTGGCATTTGGGAACGAACGGGACTGTAGATCATGCTGATCAAGTAGGGGTATTTACAGATCCCATCACGGTAAGGCTATACCTTTACCATATCTTGTTGACCTCAATTATAATAAAGATGGATCTAAAGTCGCGCTGACGTTTGATATAGAATGCTGAGGTCAAGGTTATGTATCTGTTGTTTGCAGAGCTTGGAGACCGTCTGCTGTAAGGGCCAAGGCTGTAGAAGCCTTGTAGCAGGTGTCTTGGAGTTAGTAGGCTTGAAAATGTACTCTGCAGACTTGAGATTTTAAGTCAACATCATTTCGCCTGCCAATGAAGAGGGGGAAAAAAAAGCAAAAAGAAGAAAGAAAAAGATCGGCAGACAAGCCCGTAGTACCAGGTACCATAAGACTAAACACAGCTAGCTTGAAGTCGATACGATTAATGATATGACGCCCCCGACTTCTCGAAGTCTACCGCAACGATGGCAATTCTCTCAGTCTCAGTGAACTCATCCATGATTATGAATCTGCGAAGGTCGAGTCTAGGGTCTGAGCTGTCATTGCAAACCCCACTACGTACAATGCGTCACATTCACTAGGACTGCCACCGTACAGCGCTTCCACTTGTTCTGGGGATGATACAAGCGGCGCCTTCGCCAGTCCATCAGTAAATGAATCTTCGAGTTTGGGCGATAAAAGCAACCCGCGGATCAACCATGGGTTTCACTTTTGATCCCAAGTTTGCTCGATAAAGTTGTTTACATGCTCGTCAAATAGTCTAGACTCATCAGCAAATCCCCCTCTTTGGACGGGAGATAAGTATACCTTAGTGCTGATTTTCGTGGTATAGAAGACAGCATAGTATAAAGATAGGTTATTTGTAGAGATAGACTTTCAATAATTCTTATAGGGAAGTCCGATAGGCTCAGAGACGAGCTGCGCATGAGTTGAGATTTTACGAAATCTTTCCTCCACACCCCGCCTGTCATAACTGGTTGATCACGCAGCTCCCTTACTGGCATACCATGTTGGAGTGCTTCCAGAGCCGTCTGGATTGAGCAAATGTCGCAGCGAAAACCAAGCCAACATGGCGCAGCCACGTTATCTTCTCTTCTTCAGTTGTGATAAAATATGTAATTTCGTCTTCCGTCGTCACTCGATCTAGAATTCTGAAGGCCACATCATTTGGTATTTGCTCAAAAATCTCTTTAGAGTCTATTCATAGTCACTCAATAACCTTCTTCACAAGATAAGTGACATGTATGGATAATTCCAGGACACATTTAACATCTTATAAATACAGGACTATTAATCGGGCACAGGCACTATATTTGACTACCTTCTCCGATATTCATTTTGCGCGTGTTTATCTGAAAACACTCTATATTTCTTCTCAACCCTAAGGGTTATTGTCTAGAGAATATAGAAGCAGGGCAGCACCGTCTCTATTCATTACTTGTGACGATTCCTACACCAGTGGTATACGAATAGCTAAGGCATATGGTAACATGAGATGGTATCGAAGAGGATGAGACTGTAGAGATAGATATTGAGTATACTGAGCAAAGACGATTGACAATAATAGCCATCAAAGCTTGAGCTTCACCTATAGGTAAGATCTATAACTTGGACGCCGATCGACCAGTCTTAATATCGTTCGCGAGGTCGAAATTACCCAACACAATATCCGGGTATCCTATGCCTCCACTGGCACCAGCCACGTCAGGTAGGCGCCAGGCGCCGCCGTCGACGACGAGGACATGGCCGTTGACATAGTTTCCAGACTCGGCCAGAAGGTACACGGTCGCATCTGCGATCTCTTTGACCAATCCATATCTGCCAAGTGGAATCCCTCGACCTGCTCTACCAGAATCCCGAGACTCTTTGCGAGATAATCGTTGTATGCCTTCTGTGTCGCTGATTCCTCCAGGACTGATGACATTGGATGTGACACCCATCGGCCCATACTCGAGGGCGATGTTTGCCGCAAGCGCATCAACACCGGCTTTGGCCGACGCGACATGTGCTTGAAACGGCATGCCTGTGAAGTGGAATGTGGCTGATATGAAGATTATTCTTCCACCAGTGGTCACACCCGGAGACGGGTTTTCCGCCGCCGAACGGATCAAATGGGAAGCAGTCGCTTTAAAGGTGTTGTACGAGCCCAATAAGTCTATGTCAACCACCGACTTGAAGGCGTTGGAAGAGAGGCTAGTGATAGGGGCTAGGAAGTTTCCTGCTGCTCCAGCACTATTTTCAACGCCTTGTCAGTCGAGAGATTCCCCTCTCCCATATCTGAAAGAAAATAAAATGCAACGTACATGACATAGTCGATTCGCCCGAATTTCTTAATGGTTTGTTGAACAGCTGTCTCAAGGCTATCCAATTTTCGTACATCCACGCCCCCGATACCAATCACCTGGGCTCCAGGACGGGCTGTCGCGATCGATTGTGCCATATCTTGTGTCTTTTCGTCATTGCGCCCGATAATACAAGCATTGGCACCGAGATGTACGAGAGCCCGCACTTGGGCAGAACAAATTGTACCGGCACCACCGGTACAGAATACAACCCTATCCTCTGATTATCACGTCAGGCTTGGGGATCTTGCAGTTACGGGAGTTACTAACTGAAAATCTCATCTTTCCAGATTGCAGAGATATACTCATTCTTTGGAACTGACATCTTTTGTATTTATTTGTTCTCCAGCGGTCGGCATGCAAAATCGACGGCTGAGATTCATAGCACCTCAATTTTCAATGATAGAGCGCTGAGACACAGTTAACAGATCAAAGCGATCGGTTGTGGTTTTATACATTTCACCTTGCTCTTGTGACGGGCCAGGAATGTCACCGCAACGTCATGGGGGAAGGTTAAACACCCCCACGGGCTACACAGCAGGACTAGCGTATGGGCATATTGATTCCATCCGAATTGCACGTGAACGGTCATGTCACTATTTCGGCCGTGGAAAATTCCGAAACCCGAGACGGTTCTATTTCCGTGACCAGGAGATCCCAACAGCGGGACCTGAAGTAAGGTTGAATCTGGGCTCTGATTATAGACGTTGGAACTTTCCGATGGATCAGTGCAAATTAAGAACCAGGAACTTAAGGTCTTTCATGAAAGTAGATACTCATAGGAGACTAGTCTACATGAACCTTTTCTGTGCATGAGTAGGTCCTCTACTGCAGGCTGGTAGGATAGGAAAAAAGCAACAAACTCTATGGTCAAAGTTAGAGGCTCTACCACAGTAGTGCACTAACCTAAAGATGCCATGTGTTTGTGCTGGGGGTAACAACGGGACAACACCCTGGGCTAGCTGAGATTCTGTCGGAGTATGCAAGTGTAGGTGCATGGGGTGAGCGTCATAGTCAGGCACATGAGTCAACAATCTGATGTTCAGGGTATGAAACCAACGGTCAATTGCTGAAATAGACAAATGGGGCAATTAAATCGCATGTGGATAGATACAATCTTAATAAGGAAAACAACAACTCAATAGATGCGAATGTCCATTTCTTATCCGACGATAACACACATGGCCATATTTTAACTGATCTCAACCTAAGAGGCCCAGTTTTGTTGAAACAACTGGGAGAAAGAAAATTTATGTCTCCGCGCTGCCAGTTGCGCCATCTGCATCTGTTCTGCTAGCAAGACGGACCAGCCGACTTTTTGCTACAAGCTTATCAACAAGTATAGTCAACGACGGACTCTGCATGACATCGAAGATAGAGCACTCGGCTTCCAGCGTAGCTACGATCCAATTGCGCAGCTCAACGGAGATGAGTGAATCAACGCCGATCTCGGTCAATGCCAGGGATGGGTCAATGTCGTCCTTGGCGCGGCCGAACTCCTTGGCCAGCTTGGTCAACATGATATCTAAAATGACCCCCTGGGCCTCGGCAACCGTTGTGACAGCCGCAAGTAAGACCTTGGCGCTGCCGCTCCCTGCGGTGGCACCGCCTGATAGACCAGCGGAGTCGGCCCCACCAATTATCTCCAGTGGTGCGAAGCGCGGATCGTGGTTCCAGAAGGTCGCCGACGTTGACCGTACAAAACCAGGGGGGATACCTGTAATGATCTGGCTCGACTGCGGCGTGCGGCGGGGCGACCGAATGGCGGACTCGATAAGACGTAGGACCTCGGCTTCCTCCAGGGGCCGGAGCCCAGCCTTCTTGAGTTGGGCAGCCACGGCACTGTTCTTAGCGTCTGCGAGGACGCCTACGGAATTCACGGCGCCCAAATCCAGCGACACAGCCGGCAAGCCGAGCGATGCACGGTGCTTGGCCAGCGCATCCTGAAAGGTACCGCCGGCGGCGTAGTTGGCCTGGCCTGTGTTACCGCCGACGCCGCTGATGCTTGACAGCATGATGAAGTAGTCGAGCGGCGCAGCGGGAACGAGTTCATGAAGGTTCCACGTACCCTGCACCTTAGCCTGGACGGCGGCTGTATAATCGTTGTGCGACATCTGGTCGAAGAGAACGTCCCGCAAGACCATGGCGGATTGGATCACGCCCTTTATGGGCGGCATGGATTGAGCGCATTCCGCGAGTGCCTGGGCGACATCGTTCTTCTGAGATACGTCACAGCTCTTCAGACTGACAACCGTACCAGACGACTGTAATGCTTCGAGGAAAGCTGCATTCTCGGCGGAAGGTGATGCCGCGCTTCGGGACATTAGGATCAGGTAGCGTGCGCCCTTGTCCACCAACATCTGCGCCACGGACTTGCCAATACCTCCGAGACCACCTACAATCAGATAACTGCCTTCTGAAGACAGCTTCACGGGCCGACTTGGTGGTAGAACCTGCGAATGTTTCCTTAGCTTTTGGAATATTTTATCAAAGAATCGCACATGATCCTGGTGTCAGAGATTTGAGGGTTTTCAGGGGAAATACACTTACCTTGACTAGATCACCTTCCCTTGGTTCCAACACAATCTTTCCCTTATGCTTGCCTTCTTGCATGAATCGGAGGGCCTTCTCGTACTCGGAGATGGGAAAAGACGTAATGGGATGCACCGGGCCCAGCTTACGCTCTTTCACCATGCTGGAAATGTTCTGCACAATCTGGAAAAACTCCATCGGACGCTTATAGTACATGAAAAGCAGATCGAGGGCTGCAAACATCGTGCCACGTGCGAACGGCGCCAGGCCGATATTGTTGTCCAATTCGATGTCGCGTTTCCCAATCTCGATGAAGCGACCGAAATCAGCAAGACAGTTCCAGGACGCGCGAAGCAGCGGCCCTCCAAGCGAATTGAGAATGACGTCAACACCTTTGCCACGGGTGCGTTCCATGACCCCGTTGGCGAAGGAAACGTCACGACTCGAGAAGATGTGGTCGTCGGGGATATCATAAATCTCCTTCAGGAATTCGCGCTTCTCAGCTGTGCCGACGGTAGCGAAGATCTCAGCGCCGATGTCCTTCGCTATCATGATCGCGGACTGTCCGACACCACCGCTGGCGGCATGGATCAGTACCGTCTCATTCGGTCGCAGTCGTGCGACATCGCAAAGTCCATGATAGGCTGTGGCATGTACCAGGGGCAGCGAGGCGCCCTCGGCGAAGCTAAGCCAGTCGGGGAGCTGGGCGACCTTGAGATACTCAATTCGAACCGTTGTCGCGAAGCAATCCACAGCTACTGCATACACACGGTCGCCGACATGGAATCCCTTGGCTTCGGCAATCTTGCCAACACGAGAGACAACGCCGGCACACTCGAAGCCTATGCTCTCCGATTGCAGCTGGTCGAGTGCCACCATGAGGTCACGGAAATTGACGCCGTAGGCTTGTGGCTTGATCTCGACAAATTCGTCCTCCATCGGGCTGTCCAGGCGGGTATCATGTACAAATGTCAAGTTTTGCAGCATGCCCCGAGCTGTAGAAGTAAGCTTCAGGTCCATGCCGCTATTCGAGAAGGGGCGCATTTCGGGCAGCTGCCTCGAGACAGAGCTAGCCACGTCATTGTTCTGCTTGAAGTCCTGGTAAATGCGGGGGATCTGAAGGATATCCGACCGCACGGCATACTCAGTATCCGGAAGAGGTAAGTCATCTTTGAGCATTACTCCCAAAACATAGGTAATGTGATTGATGGAAACGACTTCCCATGTGGGCACTGCCGGGTCCAAATCCAGAGATACGAATCGCCGTGTGGTATCTTCGCAACGTAATGTACGTAGTAGACCGTGGTGGAGACTCATAAATGGATTGGGACAGTCGATCTGCGAGCCCTGAGATAGCCACAGAACGCGCCGAAATCGTGATAACATTAGTTTGAGTTGGTTAAACTCTTGGGCGGTAGGTTCGTGCAGGAAGGGTGCTGCTAGGTCACCAAGGAAGATCACGAAGGCGTTCCCAGGCAAGTTGGTGATTTCATCTAACCGATGGAAGCTCACATTTAACGTGTTGAACTTGTCCGTGATACCCTTGCTAAGTTGCTCTAGAAATCGTGCCGGAATCTTCGCAGTGGAATATACAATTGCTAAAGTCGATGATCCGACCGCTTCCTGTTGAGGCTTTGCTTCTTGGGATGCCGCATTTGCTACCGTAAGGTCTTCCTCGATGAAGATATTCTCAAAGTCAGCGCGTTGGAGAACACCAGCCCACTGCTGTTCAAATAACGCGGCGGAGGAAATATCAGTATCATCTGAAAATCGAAGTGATGAGATATTGCCGGATTGCTTGAAGGATTCAGACAACATATCGTTACTCTGCGGCGAACCCCTAACCATAATCCTTCCACGAGGTTTCAGCAGTCTTCGAAGATTGCCCATAGCTTGCTCTAAGTTCTGGGATTCATAGACACTCGCCGATACGATGACCAGATCATAGCTAGCGAGTTCAAGACCCTGGGCATTTGAGTCATCGAGCTTGAATGTATGAAAGCCAATCTTATCCGCGCCATCGAGCGACGTGCGAATAGCATCAACAGTTTCAGCTAATGGGGCAGTGACATCGAAGCGGCCAATATGTTTGGACAACATGAGCGCGTTCTGGATATGGTGAGTGAATTCACCTTTATCTGCGCCGACCTCAATAATGTTAGCCATGGGAAGCTTGTGGCAGAGCAACTCGATGGTGCTGCCGATAGCAGTTAATCTATCCCTGCCACTGAAAGTAAGTTTTGAGGGCTTCAACATATCCACTTCGGGTTTCCACGTTGTGGTAAAGCACAACTTGTCCTGGTCAGCGTTGGTCATGGCGGCTCCGCCTCCGACAGCTTGACAGTATAGGCCGTTCATGATGAGCAACGGCAAGTTACTATCCTCTGTAGCCATAGGGCCAGTGCTTTGCAATGCGGCCGAAGACTCGAAACCCTGAGTCTTGGAAACATTCAGTGTTGAAGTCATCTCGAAATGATCCCCTGGCTTGTTGCTTATCTTGGCGGAGACGAACATCGCACGGATAGTGGTAGGTACCATAGCCTTCTTGGGAGCTGAGGATGGCAAATTGTGAAATACAGCCTGAAAGATAGTGTCAAGTGTTGTGGGATGAATTATGTGGCTCCTCTGGTACTGATATGGCATTGTCGTGACCGTGTCTGCAATTCTGATGACGGACTTTGAAAAGCCATCGCCCTGCTGGCTTGAGATTTGGTTCTGGAAGGTAGGACCATAGGAGAGGCCAATGCTGTTCAACGACTCGTAGATAAGAGGCCCGTCCACTTTGTCGCCAAGAGACGCGTCCTTTGAGACGCTAGCGGCTACCTCATTGCGGATGAAAGAATGCTCTATAACCCCTTTGGTTACACCGACACGCCCCTCACAGTGCACTATCCACTTGCCACTCGAGTGCAGAGACTGGATATGAAAGTCATTCCAGCCCTGACCTAGGTGTATACGGTCGACGCAGGGTCGAATGGAAAGTCGAATCTCGGTGCCCTCAGCCCTATCTTCGAGCACCAAAGCCTGAACAATATTGATTGCCTCGAATTTGTAGCCGCTTATTTCTGTAGTATTTCGTACAGTTTGTCGGATAGCCTCTATCGCCATAGTGATGTATCCCGCACCAGGGAATATGACACTGCCCTGAATGACATGGTCGCGCACCCAAGGGATATCTCGGTGACGGATGCACCATCGCCAGTGGGGTGTCAACGGCGAAAAGTCGTATGCCGGTGTCCCGAGAAGGTCGTGAAATGGATGGGAACGCTTCCTCAAGTCTTGATTGATACGGGGTTCCTTCCAATATCGTGTCTGATGGTTCCAGGGGTACGGTGGTAAGTCAGTGAGAACTTTCAGATGTTGAGGCTGCCCGAAGGGGAAATTGACCATGTTCAGGTCAACAGGGTAGCCTTGTTGGACGAGAGAGCAGACTAGGGAATGTATACTAGAGATTGCGCTATGGCCTCGGTTCAATGTTGATGCGTATGTTATGCCCAACCCCTTTAGCTCAGGCTGCATTAAGATCTGTTTGATAGGTCCCCCAGGGCGGCATGGGGTCCGACTTCAACCACCATATCAACGCTCTGTGCCTTGTTGTTTTTTTCCTCAACGCACATGTGCGTCAAACAATCGAGAAATTCCACTGGCTGCACCATATTTCGCACCCAGTGCCCAGGGTCCGTCAGGCACGCTAGGTCATCCACACGACGGCCGGTCGTAGGCGAAGAGAATATGATTGAACCGTCCATAGGCTCCGTTGGCTCAAGAAGAGGCTCAAGAGCCGCGTGGTAAGGTTCGGCGATCGGAATCATATGATGGGAATGGTACGCCGCACTGACTTTGAGTCGGCGTGCGAATATATTCTCGTCATGTAAGAGAACCTCGAGATCATGAATCGCGGGTATGTCACCGGAGACGGTGACGCTATTTGGGCTGTTCACACATGCCACCATCAACTCCCCAGAATCAGAAGGAATCCGTGAAATCCTGTCTTCGGCTTCCTTACGGCCTAGGCCTACTGCAATCATGGTCCCGTTGCGGTTCAAAAGCTTACTGATTTTCGTGGTTAAATCACCTCGACAATAGACAATTGCCAAAGCAGCTTTGAAAGAAACGGCACCTGCCGCGTAAGCAGCGCTGACTTCACCAGATGAGTGACCCGTCACACAAGTCGGATTGATACTCCATGACCTAAGGAGCTCGATCAAGGCTAGTTGTATCGCCACCGACATGGGTAGACTGTAGAGCACCTCGTTGACGTTGGTTGTGGCTTCGTCTCTCAAGAGCTCCTCCATAAGCGACCAGTTTGCGCCAAGCTCAAGGAGGCACTTCTCTGCGCGGAGAAGCACGTTCTTGAAGACGGGGTAAAGACTGATGAGCTCTCTACCCATAGCGTGCCACTGGGCGCCCTGACCACTGAAGACGAAACCTAACCTGGGAATTCCAGATGCGCGGCGCGGGCTCGATGCTGGTTGCACTTCCCCACTGCTCGCCGTGTCCAGTGCAGCGCGCAGGTCCTCAACCGTTCCTTGAGCACAGGTCATTGTCCATTGGAAGCGGGATCTGCGTGACCCCAGTGTAAAAGCTAGCTGGTCAAGCAGCTGCTCCGAGGTTTCGGTAAAAGGTTTACTCAGGTATTCTTGGAGGCAACCGCGTATGACTTCGACAGTGTGCTTGTCTTTGGCGCTCCATACAAAGATACGAGATCTGTCAGGATGTCTTGATTCAACGCGACTTTGTGAGTTTTCGCTGGAGAACTTCTTGGATAATAGGTAGCTTGGATGCTCGACAATTGCATGAGCATTGGCACCACCATACCCGAAATTGTTCACTGAAGCTCGTTTCAGACTGTTCTCAGGCCAGGGCTTGAGAGAACGTGGAATCTGGAGCTTGAGTTCCCTGAGCGGGATGCCGGGATTTCCTTTCTCATAATTGACATGAGGCGGGATCTGTCCCTTCTCAAGGGCAAGAACGACCTTGATCAAGCTAGCCACTCCACTGGCTGCCTCAGTATGTCCGATGTTCGTCTTTATCGATCCCATCAGAATAGGGTTGTCTATATGCCTTTTCTCGCCGAAAACAAATCCTATCGCCTTGGCCTCAATAGGGTCGCCAGTGGCGGTCCCTGTACCATGTGCCTCAACGTAGCCACTGTCCACTGGATCTAGCCCAGCGCTCTGATAGCATTGCGTCATGAGTTCGATCTGTGCCTCTGCACTGGGGGCTGTTATAGTACCGGTCTTTCCATCCTGGTTTGCGCTGGTGTTACGAATGACGGCACGAATGGGGTCGCCGTCTCGTACAGCATCCGCGAATGGTTTCAACAACACGGCTCCGACGCCATCTCCGCGGCCGTAACCGTTGGCCCTTGAGTCGAAGGCGAAGCATTTACCTTCGGGGGAGAATGTCCTACAATAGATATGAGTAATGTTATTGAGAGAAGCTAAAGGTTTTCATGCTTGATATCAATCACCGTTGGGTAAATGAAATGCTTAGCTTACCCTAATTTTGTTCCACCAATGAACGCATCAGCGTTTAGCAGTAATCCTGAGCCGCCTACAATGGACATCGTCGACTCTCCGGAGCGTAAACTCTGGCATGCCAAGTGCAATGTCGTCAAGGAAGTGGAGCATCCGGTATCGACCATTACACTCGGGCCACGGAGGTCATAAAAGTGTGAAACACGATTAGCCACCATAGCAGCGCCGGTACCAGTGATCATGAAGGTGTTGTCCATTGTAGGTAGATCGCGTAATTGACTATCGTGTGAATCACGAAAGAAGGTTCCGGAATACACTGAAGTATTGGAACCTGCTACCTGCTCTATAGGAAGCCCAGCATTCTCGAACGCTTCATATACCGTCTCGAGCTGGAGACGTATTTCGGGACCCATGGTCTATTCATATGTAGAGGCACAATCAGTTACGATTCAAAGGATTAGAACCGTTAGGTAGCATGAGAGAATATACTAACACCGGCAACGTCGGCTGTGAAGTTGAAGAACGGTGCATCAAAGTACTCGATGTCTCCACTAAGATAGTGAGCTCCCTTCACGTTTGTCTTATGAAACCAGTCAGTAAAAACTAGAACTTCCACCAGGGTTTTGAAGCACACACGGTCCCGAAGTTCCTCTCATCCGGATGGTACCATGCGGCAGGGTTGAAACGTGCCGCATTAAGGGGTGACCAAGCGTTGCGTCCTTCGGAGACGAGCTTCCACAGCTTTTCGGGGCTGTTGGCATCTCCGGGAAATCGACAGGCCATACCGATGACGGCAATTGGCATTGGTTCTGAATCCGGTTTGCTGCTTGGAGCTGTCTTTACTGCCGCTATGTCATCGCCAAGGAGCGTCTCCCGTGGGGGGTTTTGATGTGCCACCATGGCTACGAGTGACTGGACAAAAAAGTATCAAAGGGTCAAAGAATATTGTTCAAAAATAGCAAATAAGTATGCTGTCTATCGTTAGGTGGATGAAGGGTCCTCTCAGGTGATCGGAAGGGTACCTGGTTGTCGCCCTTTTATCATCGGCTGAAGTAGGAGAAGCGATCAGAGTGTAAAATACAACACATATAGACACGCTGGTAGCTATCTCCCCAACGAAAGTAAAACCACTGATTTCAGCCTCCTCAATGCAGGAGTAATTCTCAGGGTCTCACCCGTCTCTCAAGCTTCGTGTTACATAATTCTAGTATTGACAGATAATCATTTCACAACTGAATTACATACGCGCATCTCCCTGCAAGGTTTCTAGTTGGCGCCGGCTGTGCCAGTTCAAGGTGTTCGTCGCCCACGCGGTATCAGCAACTTCGTGAACTGCATTCTGCCCCGAAGGCAGATTCTCGGGACCAACGGTAAGATCAACGCTGTCCCTTAGCCACGAAGCGAATCTGATTATAGTTTCCAGCCTGGCGGAAAGTATGAAGTTGAGTTAGCGGCACGGCGATCCGATATGCCCGGCTCAATCGGCTAGCCAATGAACACTCGTGCGCGTCATGTTTCAGAGTTCCATAGCTTCCGTCCCGTTCCCTAGTCCCAAAGAGTGGTTGAACTACCAGGAACCTAGACAAGACCCTAGGTTACTGTTTATCTGATTTTTCCTATCAACGAACTTGGTCGGCCAGACAAATTGAGCACCGATACGAATATGTAAACTGGAAAGAAGCATGATCCAGCATAAGTCTGTTCTTTTTGCATAGTGCTCTGGTTGTGCAGCGGGCGACGAAGGCAACCGGGGTAGTATGCCATTAAGCGGTGAACTCCAACCATTAATACGTACGCGATGGTGATATTGGCTCTTATTTGCTAAGCCCGGTGCCTAAGAAGGCGTCTCGCCGTCTCGCACAGTCGATACCGGCGGGGTTTCCCACTCAAATGGTTTCCGCCCCTCCCTTGGCGGAATCAAACGCTTGCTTCCACGCACACTAAAGCCCGACGCACATCGAACGGCTACTGATACAATGTACAGACAGGGGGGCTGTAAACTCATTGGTTCGTATGGCAATGGACGGGGAGGTTCCCCACCGGAATCGTGGTTGGATACTGACAAATCCAGTTTCCAACAAGGTGACACGGAAAATTGCGCACCCCCACCATGTACATATGTACAACTATCGACCAGGTGCGCAATTTTCCGTGTCACCAGCCTTGACAGTAATGGCGTGGTTCGGCACGTGGGAGGCTTGAAATGTATCTACATGCACAACCCTGCAATGTGTGGTGTAGTCTTAGTTCCCTTCGTCTAGTGGGAGACGGCCCCCACGTTTGATAACAAACAAAACAATCAAACGGCACAACGTTTCAAACAATATAGTGCGATGGGAAGTTAATCTGTATGTAAACTTGAAAAAGATCCCCAGTCCGATCGGGATACTTTCAGATCAAAGTTTATCGGGGTCCTTTTCCTTGAACTCTATTACAGTTTCGGCATATGCGTAGTTACTGGGCCAAGTATCAACGAACGGGCCATCTGATAGAGGTGATTCCAAAACAAAACAAAAAAACACGACGCATTATGCCGTTAACGCCCGATTTTGATAGTTCATCTTCAGCTTGCGAGGATTTAGATTTGCGTGTGAACAGACGGCAGACCGACGAAAGTGATTGGACATGAGTTTTGCAGAGCTTGATGAGAAATTGCAGGTTGCTTTCGGTTTCATATCAAACTTTTTGAATTAAGGACATCCGTATTGCATGAATTCTTATCTCACAGTTGCGAGTTCTGTTATTGATTGATTGATTCGACTTCTTATTTGAGAATACGTGTATAACGAACCAGTACGCTCCTGAGAATCCCAACTTTTGCCTCCCGAAAGCGTTAGTCTGATCTCGAAAACCCCCTCTATGAATACTTCATCTAATACTACTTTTGCGTGCGATTAAGGACAAGTTTACGAACAGCGGGGCCTAGTATCGCCTGTGATCATGTCCGAACTCAAGGCGACTAAACCAACAATCTTGTTAGCTTCCGAAAGCCACACCAGACTCGATAAGGAACAGCTCCCTGTACGTGACTGGAAGTACGACGCATTTGTTTGGCTCATGTCAGTCACCATCGACCTTTTCTACCGAGAAGTTTCTTACAAAGGAATTTGCCATATTCCTAAGACGCGTCCGACAATATTCATTGCCGCACCACATCACAATCAATTTGTTGATGGTCTCATACTCCAAAGAGCAGTACGTCTCGAAGGCGGTAGACGTATCTCTCTTCTCGTCTCCAAGAACTCGCTCGAAAGCCGTGCAGGATGGGGTGTACGTCAGACCGGAGCAATACCTGTCGCTCGACCACAGGACTTAGCAAAGACAGCTAAGGGCACGATTTATCTGCCTGATCCTATCAATGAACCTACAACAATCCGTGGACTTGGCACGGACTTCAGAGCAGAAGCGGAAATAGGCGGCGCAATTTTCCTGCCCTCCGGAGCCAGCGCCGAAATTGACAAGATCATGGGTCCTGAGGAGATACGCATAAAGCGACCTTTGAACAGGACTTCCCTGTCGCAGCCTATGTCCAAATTCCGACTGTCCCCTTATAGCGATCGGAATCAACTTTACCAAGCCGTCTTCGATCGCCTCAAAAATGGGGGCTGTATAGGTATATTTCCAGAGGGAGGCAGCCACGACCGAACCGAAATGCTTCCTTTAAAGGCTGGTGTTGCGATCATGGCCCTTGACACTCTTTCTCAAGCCCCCCATTGTGGTCTTACCATAGTTCCGGTTGGTATGAACTATTTCCGTGCCCATAAGTTCCGTTCACGGGCCGTGGTCGAGTTTGGGGCACCTTTCGAAGTCCCTACCGAACTTGTGACCATGTATCAAAGCAATGGCGACTCGCGAAAGGAAGCGATCAGTCGGGTTTTGACATCATGCAAAATGGCTCTTGACAACGTCATTGTAACCTCGCCAAGTCGCGAAACACTGGGTTGCGTTAGGACCGCTTCCCGGCTACTTCGTACTGGAAAGGAGAGGCTACCTTTATCGCAGGTTGTTGAGCTCATCCGGAAAGTTTCCAGAGCATTCTCAAAGTCAAGAGACGACCCCAATGTTATCAACCTGCTGGTTGGCATTAGGGACTACAACAAACAACTTCGCAGTCTTCGTATCAAGGACCATCATGTGGAAAGTGCTTCTTGGCGACCGTTGCCAGAAATTGCTTGGCAGCTGATGATCCGACTAGTCGCGATATCTATACTCTTTGCAATTGCGCTTCCAGGACTGATTCTATTCACACCCGTTCTCATTATGGCCAAGTACATCAGCATTCAACGCGCCAAGGCTGCTCTTGCTAGATCTTCTGTTAAGCTTACAGGACGAGACGTAATGGCGACTTGGAAGGGCATTGTTGCTCTAGGTCTTAGTCCTATCTGCTATCATCTCTACTGTTGTGTGCTGGCCTACAACCGGGCTTGGGGATATGTACACGTACCAGACAGTTTACCCTGGTATGCAATCTATATTATGGGCTGGATTATCTTCCCGGCGATCTCCTTGGTGGCTCTCTGGCTCGGGGAGACTGGCATGGACATTGCAAAGTCTTTGCGACCTCTCATTCTTTGCTTAAGCCCGCCATTGAATCAGCGGGTTCAGAGGCTCCGGCTTCGGCGTATTGAATTGGCTCTCGAGATCGAGAGGGCGATACTGAAGATGGGAGAAAGCGGCTTATACAACGACTCTAAATATCGCGTGTCCGCGACGGATTTGGCACAGGATGAAGGCCGAGCCCCCCACAATATATGAAAAAGTAGTCGTGATGCAGATGCGACCATGCCTTTGTTCAGGTGTTAAGATGTATCATTTACGAACTCTAAGTTCTCGCTATATATTTAGATTAAACCATATGCGGTGGGGTTGCAATCGTTAGCTGCGAAGTGTGCTGCAAATAAAATGCGAGTTCGCCGCATCATACTGCTTGTTAATTGATAACGGCCTTACTGTTGGAATATATTATTCGCGGTCTCGTACGACGGTTGACTACGTAGTATAGGTAGTCACGCGGCGTGCTGGCAGTAAGCCACCACAGCCACGATGTGGCTGTCGGCAGCCAGCAGCCGTACTGGTGAACCCCTATCTATAGACCACGTACGAGGGGAAGAATCCCTTCTTCTCCTTCGTACGACAGCGCTGAATAGATCTATTTGTCGCCAAAACTGTACGGAAAGAAATGAATGGAGAAGCCATTCCACACTTACAGATATTCCAGGATCGACTAAAGGATCCCAAAAAACAGTAAGAACAACTGCGTGGTCGGGACATGAATATCTAGATGTGTAATATATAGAGCTGTTTGCTTTTCTGTCTCATCGGTGTATACTTTCCAAAACGATGCCTACTTAGTCTAGACTAATACTAATCATTAGTAGCTGGAGGACTATACTACCAGGTCTCGCTATTACTTCGTACCCCTGTAGGCGAAGCGAAAAGTGACCATAATTACGATAAATTTAGAGTAGGACAACGCTCAATGAAAATACGCCTAAATTACCAGGGGGGCGGGTTTCTTTTTGACGAAAGTGGTTTTCTTGACTAGACTTACGCCCTCTAGTGTCACCCTGACCCCGCACTAAAGACCTTAGTAGATTAGTTAAGTACTCTTCCAACTTCCTTCTGCTGAAGGCGTGCATTTAGTACACCATTATACCTTATTCCTTATTTGTATCCCGATGGCTGCCTGTAAATTTCACTGCTTATTGATTATATCAGATCTTTCTGATAGTACGGGCGCCCAATAAGTGTCAAGGCAAACTATCGGCATGACTAAGAGCCGCCACTGACTTCAGTGCTTACAAACGGTCATAACATATCTTTGGCATCGACAGGCTCCAGTGACTAATTATTGCGCTCACAAATCATCATGGTAAATGAAACCAATTTCAATGATTAGCCGCTAAATCGCTTGGGCGACGTTACAACTGACCTCGATCATATGTGCGTAGAATGAAACCGGCGTCTCAAACCAACGTGGAATATCTACCCACTATTTGATTGAAGGAATCTTCTATGTATCCGCATGTGGAGTTGGCTCTATAAAACTCTTATTTACCATCGTTGAGACTGGTTCCCCTTATATATATGAAATTCTCACCAAAAGGTCTTAACAGCGAAAGTTAAAGGGTGCCTATGAGGGCGCAAACTCGATCTTCCTATTGGGCTTTGAAGTCTCATCTCACGGGCATACAGATTGTACCATGAGTACTAACAAAATGCGATACCAAGGAGCTTGCTTGTAAGAGATTAACTAACGCGGTTTTGAAGTATGGCACTGTGCCTGGGTTTGTGGACAGTTCCCCCAACCTTTCTCATCCCAGAAGAAAACTCCTTTCCACAATTCGATAATGAACTGTGTAAAGTATCTCTAGAGAGTGTGAAGCGAAGGTACCTGAGATATTTCGGCTATGTAGGTGAGCCAGCTCATCAGAATCATCTTGTAGTGAACGTTTTGAATTCTATGGGGTGCTAGAAAATACGTATATTCATTTGGTGAGGTATCTTATAAATCCGTCATAAATCGCCTGTATAAATAAGTGGTGCTTTGTGGTTATTGAATATTGCAGATAACTAGACTCCTTCCACTGTCATATGACAGCAATCCTCATCGAAGATGAATGATGCCGACACGAACGGGCATGCCCATCCCCATATGTGACCACTGTCATTTCTCAATAATCAGTTCCCCAACTCGGTACCCCAGAAAGGCTTTTCGAAACAGAGGGCATGATCCATGAATCCCCCGTATGGCCTATTAAATAAATGGGTATATTCCTTAAATACGTGGGGCCAGGGCTTCGTATAATCAGGCAGTAGTTTAGGCGGAAGATCAGAACTATCGATCATGCCCAATAATACATAGATCATATCCTGTGGCAGCTTTGAAAACCCGTCACTTCCAGTAGAATCAAGCATGCGATAGAGTCGACGTGCCAATGTATGTAAGATGTCACGGTTGCATTAAGAAACGAAGACTTGGCTTGCTGATACCTCATTTGTCGTGAAAATAAGAATGCTAAAGAACAAAAAGACTTAATCGCGAGCTACATGACAATACGTAGTCGCGTAGCCAAGCTTTACGTAGGAGGCTTCGCTTAGCCCCAGCGTCACATAAGGAGTCATCAACCTCTGCTTTGCTCCACTTATCGCTTTGTATTAGTTCCCTTGTAGACACAAAATGGTCGAATGTCCTGCATCCTCGTAGTTAGTATCGTATAATATCATTATCAAAGAATGCCTAACAATCCCCAAAACTAGTTAAGATTTTCCATTGTTGTCAGCATATCCCCTGCTGCAAAGATTAACTTCGGATACGACCACTCCCGATCACAACGGTGTTTATTTTTGTTATTCACGATTGGTAAGTAGGTAGCCTCAGCCACTTTCAGGCAGTTCTAGGATAAGCTGGGCATCTTCGTGCATCTCGGATACCGTTTCTTGGATCGCAAGGGATGTCATGCAGGACTCTAGACCTCTGTTGACTAGCCAGCAATACGCACGAGGCTGGGAAATCGTTTGGCAAGTAGTCTAGTACATACGGAAGCTAGGGTCTTTGACTTAGAGATAAATCAGTATTGGAAAGGTTATTATTTAAATTGATTTAAATTGTTATTTATAATAAAACATTATACTTTGTTATCGAAGAAACGAACATCGGCTTCATTAAAATTTGAAAACAGTTTATACATTTATTAGTTTACATAGAAACTGCGTTTGGACGACCGTGTAAATCTATATACTCCCAGTTGTGTGAGGAAAAGGTTGGGCCGCCTCTACTGACTTGTCTGATAATCCTTCTAGGGAAATCAGCTCTCCTACCTACGGTGGAGAGTCCCAACCATGTTTGTTTCCACAGAGCGCTACTACTTTGTTTTACGTTAATGTTGTGACATGTAGTAGTCGAAGTCGGCGATTGTTGGTTGCGTGTCTGTATCGCCTTTTTAAAACTAGCTACAAAATCTTCCCATCCCTCAGGTCGTCGGCGGTTGGGAACCTCTTGTAATTCGAGAGCATAACCTGCAGCAGGAGCTCTGAATCCGGATTCAGGACCCCCGAAGTACTGCTAATATATAATATCTCCAGCTGTTGCATTCTGTCTTTTGAAAGCCAAGAGTGCACATTAGGGCCCCGGACGTGTATGTATGTGCTCTCCAAGGATTGATATAACATGGCATCACTGCCCAGTAGGTATACAATATCGAGAAGCTCATATATCTCGTTTTGGATCTCCAAAGCCGTTTGTATAAACTCATTGGCTTGTCTGAGCCTGAACTAAGAAGATTTGCTCATATAATTCTTGCTGAAACACGAGGACTTCCGTAGGTATCTCATCACACGACAGAATAATTGCGTCGTAGAGATACTATAGTCAGCCTTAGAAGAGCAAAAGGCCTTGAAATCGAAATTAAGCATTCCTAATAATGCATATACCCTGTCCTTTGCATCTGAGCACTTTCCAGCTTGAACCGCGGAAATCAGGGAGAGCATGACATGTGTGCCACTGGAGTCTCGATCGGTATCCCCGGGAAGGCGCTCATGGGTCAGCCTGCACCCACACTCGCTAAATTAAACTCAGAGTATCAATAAGTCGCAACTAGAAGGAGGAAATATAGACTTTTTACGAAATAGAGCCTGTAGTAGAGCGAGATAGCAATCAGCATTGTTACAAAACGACACATAGCCGTCGTTACTAGTCTAGTCAGTTAGCCGAGAGCGAGAGATAATCACGATTCCAGGGTTCCTTGGTATTGTTACATCAATGATACTTAAATCAGGCGCGTTTATATAGCACCATAACGCGTCAAATCTCAACATCCCGTTTCTGACTTTATATTAGCCCTTTCGAGGTGCTTTACTTGTCCTAATCACCCTGCGAGGGCGTATACTTCTGCCTCACGACAGGGCATACGTAGTTCGCTAAGAACTACGAACAGTATGTGATTCCATCCTCTATAGCCATCTTCTTATTTTCCCAATCTACGGATTGCACTGAGACCTCGAAAGTTGAACGTGCGGTCAACCATCTTCTGTCTATATATCAGCTAGGACGGGAGCGAGGGTTGAAGGTGGTACCAAATTGCCTACTTCATCAATCTTCAATGAACGGTCATAATTTCCCATTCTGATAACATATATCAGTGGAAATGGTATGCGCGGACATTGGAAAATTCGAGCCCAGAGCAGCCTCCCTCTCGATTAATGACTCATCAAACGGAGAGTTCAAACCTCATCCTTGCCACGTTGACGCCTACAATACTCGGATGCCTGCCATTCATGCAAAATCCCCTTGTATTAAGACCGGGATAAGAGATCATCAAGCCGATACGGCTCAGTGGCGAGGATTTATAAGATAGATTCGGTCGTCCTATGTGCTACAAATATCAATGAGTCTACCTGGCGTCGAAATATTTACATGGCCATCTCCCACTTCGTGTAAACACTTATGACATGGTTCATTACTGCTAAGGAGGCATGGTTCTTTTAGAAAACTCCCACGGTCCTTGTGGATCAAAGATGAAGACGTAAAGCAAAGAAGCGGGAGTGAAGGGATGTCCGATAGCCATAGTCCCTCTAAATACCTTTTTAAGTCCCAATAAGCCAATGTAGTTGCCGCGGCCAGGCTGAGCGCAACTTCAGATGCCTTATTGCTTCGCTAGTACTCGTGGCTTTGATTGACTGTCTTGCGCATTACATACTGATTATTACTAAAGCATATGGCAGAAGTAACGACGTAATGAGAGTGTCTTCTCGAATCTTATTAGATGCTCCGAATACAGCATAGCATATCCGTAATGCGTATGCCGGTTCCTAGTCCGAGCCTAAGACCTGCGAGCCAAAGCAATACAGCTAAAAAGAAGGTCCTCTCCTCCTCCTTCCGCGTTTAACTTGATAATCCTCTTGATGCCCATGTCAAGCGCTCGCGGACTTAGAACGTCCTCGTCGTCAGCAAGACTTCCTCTCTCCAGAGGACCCATCCTCGACCCTTCGAGCTCCCAGAGCTTCCCACCGCTCTTGACAAAACTCACAAAATGCCCACCCTCACGCTCACCCGTTAGATCCGCAGCGCTGTCGCCGGCCAGCTCGACCGACTTGTGAGCAAGCTCGAATGGCTCGCTGTTGTACAGCATTTCGGCGCGTTTGGTCATATCCAGCGGTTTGGCGAGGCTTCGTATCACTGCGAGATCGGAATCACGCTTGATAAAGTCGACGGCCGGACCGTTGATCACGCTATGGAGCAGACCGATCGAGCCGCAGGCGTGGCCGATGGTCTGCTTGAACCAGATGACCGGCTCGTCAGGGCCGGAGCCAGTGTAGGGTTCTTTGTTAGCGTCTTCGGCCTTGCGACTTCGATCCCAAGCTAATGTAAGTGGAATGATGACCAGTAGAGCCAAGGCAGGTCTGGGGATATCTGCGAGTAGTTCGGGTTCATCTAGGGAATAGACGTCGTAGAACTGGAGCTCGGACGATAGACCCAACTTCGTTGCCAATTGGTTCATTACATCGGGGTTGTTCTCTGCCATTTGCGATGAGTTTTTTCGCAAAGACAAGTGATCCATGAGGACTTAGGTCCCTTACCAAGCATTACCCATGTCTTCTGTTCCATTTTGGGGAATCAACAGATGGAGGACGTCGAAAGGTCAGAAATGTTGGTAGGAAGGAGATGGTGTGCTCAACAAGGAATTGAGAACGGCGCCTTCTATGTGCGTGTGTGTGTGGCCTCGGCCTCGGCCTCCGGGCTCCGACGAGCAAGTTGCCCAACTAACCACGACTGGCGTCCGTGTTTCTTGTCTAATCTTATTCACAGGAATGCTCAAGATATTTTGCAAAACACCTACAACGTAGTCCACAAGTGAGCGACGCACGCCAATTGGCACAATATGCAATTGAGCTTCCCAACTTAACTTCACCTCCAATTCTAAATGGATTCAGCTCAAAAAGAAGCTTAATTAACCCTAGCGATCCAAGCTATCAAAAACACGCCTAAACTTAGTATCCGGCGTGTTACCCAAGTCTCCGAAGCAACATTACGAGCGCGTCTTAACGGCCGGCAATCACGACGCAATACCAAACCTCCCTGCCTGTATCTGACGAATTTAGAAGAGAATATGATAGTTCAAAGGGTAATTAAGCTAGATTCGCAATCATTCCCTCCCCAGATGAGTGCTATAGAAGATATGGCGAGTCGACTGTTACGCGACCGCGACGCGCTACGGATCGATAACTGAACCTCCAACTTCGTGAAGCGACAACCACAACTCAAAACGGTATTTAACCGTAATTACGACTATTTTAGGGCCTTTTTCGAAGACCTAAAGCTTATTTAAGGCTGGTTCGACCTTGTACGCAATATCATCGCGAAGTACGGGGTTGCCGATACGGATATCTACAACTTCGACGAGACCGGGTTTATAATGGGCCAGATCACCCCCGTCGATGGTCGTTACAAGCTCTAAAAGGAAGGGCCAGCCTAAGCTGGCCCAGCTTGACAATCGGGGATGGGCTACGGTAATCAAGGCGTCAATTCGTAAGGCTAGACGGTCCCGCCGTATATTATCGTTAAGGGCAAATACTACCTCTCTTCTTAGTACGAAAACAGCCTACTACCGAAGAATTGGAAGGTCGCCGTTATTACTAACGGTTGTACTACTAATGAATTGACTATAGATTGGCTAAACACTTCGACAAGCATACGAAAGGCTGGAAAACAGGTGTATACCGGCTTCTAGTCCTCGACGGCCACGAGAGCCACCATTCCGACGTTTTCGAGCAATATTGCAAAGAGAAGAAGATTCTTATACTTTGTATACCTACTCATTCATCTTACAACTTTTAACCACTAGATATAACATGTTTTGCCCCGTTAAAGAAGGCTTACGGCGCGCAAATCAACCGTCTTGTCCGAGCCAGGATTTCGCATATTACAAAGGAAGACTTCCTCCCGGCGTTTTGCGACGCATTTTAGAAGAGTATGACCAAAAGCAATATCCAGGCAGGCTTTGAGGGTGTTGGGCTTGTGCCTTTGAACCCGGAAGTGGTAATATCGACGCTGGATGTGAAATTACAAACGCCAACGTCCTCTCGGCCCCTTACGCGAGAGACCCTACCTTGGGCTTCAAGGACGCCGAACAAGTTAATTGAGGCCAATTCACAATTTGAATTTATTAAATCTCGAATCGCGAGGCATCAAAATAGCTCCCTAACCTCAATTTATGAAGCCATCGACTAATTCTCAAAGGGAGCGCGTAAGATTATACATCGGATGGCCCTCCTTTAAGCGGAGGTCACCGAACTACGAGAGGCAAATGCTATTATTCGCAAGTATTTAGCAATAGCTTCAAGGGTCATGCTGAAATGCCTCCCGCTGAGACAGTGGGGCAGGTCGTTGTGGGGCAATAAAGACACTCCCTGTATGGCCGACTGCCTTGAGGATATCACTAGCTGCTACCCGCCTTTGGCAAGTCTAGCTAACCAAGGCTACGTCGTCCAGCGCGTGCTAGGTAATCAATTTAGACTAGGTTAGACTAGCAGGAGGCCTAGCCGAGCTAGCATATAAGGGCCTAAGCTCCTCAGCCCTACGGCATAGAAACTTGAAGCTTCCTAACAATTTGGTGGATTGTTATGACTGGTCCCATAGATTCCATTTTCAGCCGCCAGGGATCCCCATCTCAACCCTCGTTAAGCCAAGACTTATAAATCTTGTATAACCCAAACTCGGGAGAACCATGGCCGAGTTGTCAAACTTATCAAGGTGTTACAGAATACCTGAATAGACGTGCCTTGCTTGATTAAAGCTGTTTTGAATGCGCGGAACGCAGAATCGGTTTCTAGATGACTACACTCCGTACCTCAGTGCCAGGTCATGGGCATTTCTGAAAACTCACGCGATTTGTACACTCTCTTCAGGGCCGTCCTTGGCACCAAGCCATCCTACGACTCTCTGTGCCGAATTATATATCTTGCCCATGCGGGGTACTTGACACGAGTCGACTTGATTGAGGAATAATGCATCAATCCAAACCAGGACATCTCCTCAGACAGGATCGTAGTATAGTTTTGGCTTATATAGATATCCCAGCATTGCCAAATACGGAGTTTCTGTAGCAGTACGAAGAGACTGATAGTGATGTTGAAAGGACGTCCATTGAGCATGATCGCTTTCTTGGGTGTTCTATTTCCCCAGATATACGAGAGTGCAATATAGGATATTTCAGAGTTTGATGCAGTACGCACCCTAGGCTCGGTCCACCTTAGACGGCACCTTCGAGTACATCTGGGGTGAATTACTCATGTAAACTCTGCATACTTAATCACCAAGTCGTGTTGAGTTGCAAATGTTAGGACACCTACGAACTGCGGCGAGCTGAGTGCTATGACCGAATGAAAATCGAACCAACTACTGCAGTTAAGTGATGCAAGATTGATTGAAACGGACCGAAAACGAGCCTCATTGTTGTTAAGTCTTGTTACAATGGATTTTCTCGGGACATGAGGCCGTTTTCCTAAGAAGGTTATACCACATATACTGACACATATTTCGGGATGGCCGTAAATGCTGTCGACACTGGCGAAGGCATTTATGTGTGAGACGATAGAGTCATAATCACAAGTGATCACTCCTCACGTTTGGAATATCGTCCTTCAGCGACTCACGTGACTAGTATACTTGGCATTTAGGTGAAGCAGTGAGAGCTGATCCTTTTTGACCGTGGATGATAATAATATCCACTCCACTCTTGACATCAACCACACCGTCCTAGAGAATGACAGAGCCAGCCACACGATCAATTCCATGGTCTTAGAAAGTCATATTTGTTATTGGAATGAGCTTGCCAAGTTTTTTTTTGGCTGGAATGGCAATTCAGGTTTAAGCTCCAATGGAGTTGACTCAGGCCTGCTAGTAACAACTCAGATCACGTTTGTAGGAGCTCGGTCCTGAGGCTGTAAATGGAATATAGAGCTCAGCTTTTCGGGCGGGTTTAATCGCTAGCATTTCGGTTTTCTTTTATTCAAGATTCGATCGCTTTGGGCCCTTGGCTGAGCTACGTCGTTGGGCATCTCAGTACCGTCCGCCGGTCTCCTTGCTCTATTCGACATAGGATTTATATATAATTTCTCATGTTGCCTGACGCAGAAACAGATCTCTCTTGCAGTAGTTCTTCATGCCGCGATATATTTTACACTGTTGATGAGGGTGGAAGTGCAACTGACATGCAATGCCACCTTGAGGTTCTAATTGAGTCGATATTTCTACTCTTCGCAACGAAAATTCACTCTTGAGGATGTGGGCTAGATCATTATTCAATGATAGCTGCTTAGCGCAGATTTCTACATGCGCTCAACGAGCTCAAGGAGGGTTTGTATGCGTTGTATTCTCTTTCATCTAGCTAGTATATGTATCGGTTGAAGCATGTATATATGGAATTAGTCTAACCTAGGACCTTTAATCTGCTATAGTTACGCCTGGGAAAGCCTCCCCCTTTCATTTTGGTAATGTATGATGCAAATATACCTCAAGAAAAGTGCTGCATGAATGTGAACAGGACCAGGCAATGAGAACCACACGAGGCTGTATTTCACTTTCGAGACGATGATTTCAAATCGACAGTCCTCGTTACTCTTTCTTGGCCTTGCGTGCCATAAAATAAGCTCCAAACTCTCCTCCTCCCCCAAACTTTGAATCGTCTTGAATGAGAAACTCAAGCATCTCGAAGCCTAGTCGTTTATACACCCCGACAGCCGCCTTGTAAGCCATTACGATTAGATCCACGCCAAGCTTTTCGGACACAGCAATGCCACTTTCCACCAATAGACTGGCAACCCCTTGACGTTGGTAGTCTGGATGCACTGCAAGATATTCCAATTCTAAGCCAACAGTCAGTATATCGCATATAGCGAATCTCGGCAAGCCTCTGTATATTCACCTATGTAATCTTTGGCGCGCAACAATCGCTCCATGATGTCTGCCAAAGGTTGACCTAAGCCAGTCCTATCGGGCTGACGCATCCAATCTGCACTGCAAAACTGCTCCATGAATTCCTTTTCTTCTTCTTTGCTGACTTCAGGAGCCTGCGCCTCGAGCCAGTCTCCAGTAAGTCGATCGGGCATGATCCATCGAGCGTATCCGATTACAGTCCCCGTCTGCGTATCGACAACTTTCTGGTGTCTCTTTGTGGCACGGTCGTTGAGTAAATTGGTAGGTATTCGCTTGGTACATTGTACGATAATGTCCTCAAGTTCGCGATCTTTGAAATTCAGCTTCCAGGTTGTGTCTGTCCAATAAGCCGACATGTTATTGCGGGCTATACCCGCAGCATCGTCAACGGTGCATACATCGACTGTGGCAGCAAGCATATTATGTACTCTGGTTTGCAGAACTAAAATCAGGAATGAATTTGTATATTGGCATGGACAATGCGAGATCAAGCTTGAGGTTCTCGGGGATAGCTGCTGATATAGTGGCCGCGTGGATGATGCACTAGTCTCTAGGCAGCAGTTTAGGGAGGGGGACCGCCGATAGCCACCCCTGCCAAAGACTACGAAGCAAGCTTTCTTATCCAAAATGAACACGTGTGATGAACTCGTGTATTACATAGTATTTTCTCTTTCAGTATGATAAGCAGCAGGGACCTTGACTTTTGCTCTCATCTTATCGGAAGCGTTGATATTTGTATAAGTTTGAAGGGGCATATTAACCTCAAAGCTATGTCTGTCCGGCGATCTGAAATGATTATATCATGCCTAAATCCATACCAAAAATCACGCTTCCAATGTAGGGGATGTAGCCTGTAATGATGCTGGGACCCTAGCTCACGTCGAGTAACGAAGCCACCAATCACTATGGACTCCATCTTCTCTACATCACTGAGAGAAATATTAGGAGTATATGAATGAGAACCAGTGCACTTTCAACCAGGAGGTTTACTCCCTCCGTTGCTTCCCAAAGGGGAGGTCGTCGAGGTATCTAGCCTTCAGAATATCACACACATTAGGTGGGTAACGAAGGCGGCCACGAAGCAAGAAGGGATGATTAATAGGGCAACTAAGCCAGTTACACCATAAATCAACCGCTCATGGAGGTGCCATGCCGTAGTCATGGAGAAAGATTAGAACTGATGTTTTCACACAACTTGGGACCAGAATTAAAAACAGTTTGGCAAAGTAAATTGCTTTCTGCAACGGCTTTAGCAGTTGTGATGAAAACGCCTCGTGATGTTGTTCAATTTGTTTATTACAGCTAGAGAGATTGAGATTAAGAAGCCAATCCTGAAGGCTTGAATGGATTATCATGAACTTGTCCATCATGAAATGGAGCTTCAGTTCTTACTCTCGTGAGAAACAAACCGGTATCTTCCATGTCCTCTTTTTTGACATTACAGAGAATAGGGCACCTTAATACTGGCAGCGATGACGATACAGGCTGCCATGATTCAGGTCAACAAGCTTGCTGTTAGGTGGCTGGATTGATGTCAAGGGCGCAGGTGGAAAGTATTGCAACATATTGAACAATACATCCGAGGAGGGTTCGAGGACATCAGACATTTCATGCCTACAAAGGCCTTTTATCCGCCTCTATCGCTTGCGCCGCTGGGCTTGAGCCCATACTCTATGGTTCGCCTACCCAAAGTTGAATCACTGAATTAATGCCGGGAAATATCCAGGATATCAATTGACAAAAGCAGAGTGTCTTTACGGGGCTTTCCGCCAGTTCAAGGTTGTGAAGCTGCACCCCAAGTGAGCTACCTCTGGACCGCGCTGAAGGGATCCAAAGCAGTAGTGATGAATTGGATTTATAATTGACGTGGAATCCCGTATTCAATTCGAGGTCAACGCCATCATTAGGTGCATCGTTGTTGTCGTTGCTGTTCTCATAGAAGAGTAGGGGCAGTAGTTGACATAGGAGGAGCTCCATAAGCGGTAAACGCACTTAGATTGGGACTTCGGCGAAACAGATGCTAACTTCCTAGGAACACTTTAATGCCACTAAATAACCTAAGGTTAGCATATAACGCTTTGATTTGCATTGAGCAGCAATGGTGCTAAACTGAGCGAATTGCGATCTGGTGGCTGAATTGAGGTATACCAAGCTGGGTGGGGCTGTTGCAAGGTGACGACTACGTAGGTTAGTTAATTGCAGTACTTACCTGGCAAGCCTGGGTACCACACATTTGAGCGGGGTGCCGTGAGGGATCCACCGGCCTGGAGATAACTAAAACCCTACGCCGGCGCCCGCCCGCTCCATATCCATGACTCTATGTCCGTACCCCCGTGACTACATAAGTCATTCCTCACCGGTGACTTTGCCTCAACTAATCTGATATTATCATTAAAAAAACAGATATATATATTATATGGTATATTTGATGGACTTCACGATAACAACTTTCGCCTAAGTGCTTGTACTCCTCATGTCGTCATCCAAAGTTTTGCTCAAGGGTGGCAACCTTCTGGTACACGATGCCCAAGGTCATGTAGTGCCTACTGTGGCCGACCTACTCATAGAGGGTCAGCTTATTTCTCGCATAGCAGAAGACATACAAGCCTGCTCTGGGGCGAAGGTTATAGACTGCCACGGAAAGATCATCAGTCCAGGTTTCATTGATACTCATCGCCACCTCTGGCAGACGCAGTACAAAGCCTCGCACAGCAATCACACACTAATGGAGTACATCCCAGCAGGAAACATGGTTGGAGCACTATGGTCCGCCGAGGACCTGTTTTGGGGCCAATTGTCGGGGATTCTAGAGTCGATTGACGCCGGCACGACAACCGTGGTCGACCATTCTAGCTGCAACCTAACCCCAGATCACCGTAAGTGGTAGACTGCCAGCATATCCCAAGTGCTAACATTGTGCTCAGCCCAAGCCGCTCTCCAGGCTTTATTGTCAGCGGGATTGCGGGCAATATATTGCTATACACCACCACGACGGCTCAAGTCACGCAATCCGTTCGTTACTGAGGATGATGTCTCAGAGGAGACCGTCTCAGTCTACCAGAAATTAGCCCGTGCTGGACCCTTTGGTGATGGGAGACTCCATATTGGGTACGCGAATGATAGTATTTGGGCTCCAGCGGAGGTCATCAAGCCGCTGTATAGAAGATTGAGGGACGAGGCAGAAGGGAAAGCTAAGCTGATCACCACCCATGCCATTGGGGGCCCGATGCGAGGCAAGAACGCACCAACTGCGATTGAGATCTTAAGTTCTCATGGATTGCTGGGTCCGGATATCTTGTTGTCTCATGCCAACTGCCCACATGAGAGTGACGGGAAATTATACCAGAGGTCGGGCGCCCATGTATCCACCACTCCGAATACCGAACTGCAGATGGGCTGGCAACCAGTGGCTCTGCTCGAGGATCACTATAACAACGCCAGCATCGGGGTGGACTGTCATAGCTGGGGCGTTTCGGGGATTCCCGGCCAGATGCGACTTTTGCTTCAAGCGGCTCGCAATGACCGGGGTGTGGAGCTCAAGAGAAAAGAGTTGTGGTCCCGAAAAGTAGGCTTCTCCGTGGAACAAGTCTTCAACCTGGCTACTCTAGGTGGTGCTAAAGCATGCGGCTTGGAAAGAGAGATTGGTAGCCTGAAAGAAGGTCTCAAAGCTGACATTGTTATCTTTGAGAGTGAGACACCGGCTATGTTGGCCGCAGCCGCGGGAGATCCTGTAGCGGCTATCGCATTGCATAGTAACCCAAGTGACATCAGCACTGTTATCATTGATGGCATTGTCCGAAAGGAGAATGGGCAGTTGACAGAAGTCGGTATCGTTTCTGCACCAGATCCGGCTAGAAATGTAGCAAAGGTTGATTCGAAGTTTTCCTGGAGCGAAATCGCCAAGCATGTTCTGGAAAGCCAGAAGGCGGTCAAAAGAAAGGCGGAGGGTCTTGATTTTGCCAAGACAGAAGATGCGTGTATTGACGGCTGGTATCTTGACAGGGATGCTTTACTAGAGGATCAATAGTTCTCCAAGTATAAGACCCTACTCATCTACGCCTATCATAGTCTATTTGATGTCTTTTGAACGTACATATGTCCCAGTTATATCTATTCTACGTTTTTGATGGAAGCTTGTGGAGTATCCTGCTGAGTTTGGCAGCCGAAGCGACGAATATGACACCCAGGTCCTATGTAGAGCTCACAGCAAGACATAACGACCCCCTGTTTGGGAGCCTGTATGGCGCGGTGGCGCGGCGCCACGATCTGCCAAAATGGCGCCGATATCGTAGAGTCGGGTAATCTTTATAGACTTCCGAAAGCAAGGTCGGAAAAACTCTGTGTGTTTGCTACGGCAACAAGAATCTCCGGTGCAAAGCTTTTCCTGCGGCCTTGTACCCTTCAGAGTGACCAGAACACCCTAATCTTAGTAAGTTAACTATAAGCCGAAAACGGGTATTCAATCTGGGCCACAGATAAGCCCTTATTTCAGTCCAGCCTCGTTGTTTATACTTCGCGCAAATCATTATGTAATATCTCTAAATTTGAAGAAGGAGTGTCAAAGTGTATATTTGCTGAGGCTGATTCACAAAATGTTCTCCAGGATGTCGATTTACAACATTACGATGCGTATGTGTGCGGTTTTGTCAACGACAGGCTGATTGTCCAGAGCCTTGGAGCCGTGCCAACCCTGTCTCCAATGCCCCGACACCCTGGCGGCCATCCACTGAGAGCAGCTGAAAACGGAGTGCGGTTGCGCAAGTTGGTGCTGTGTAATGCAGTGGACTGATAAACCTGGGTCAGTGATAGGCTTGCTTTCCACAATTAAGCCAATCGCTCTGATATTACTGGGTGTTGAAAGAAGCTGCCAGACCAAATTGGGCATGCAGCCCGGCTGTGCTGCGCCTGCTTCTCAAATATCAACGGAGGCCCCCATCATTCTGCGGCTGGCGAAGGGAAGCGCTTTTGATTATTTGATAACCCATTAGGACCAGATTGTCCATGCGACCTACCATAGACAACTACACTGTATTACATTCCACGGAACAACTTACGTGGTCCTCAGTCAAGAGCAGTCACATAACATCAATCTAGCGGGCAGTATCGACACATCCAAAACTCCGACATGAGTTTCCGGACAGTTTTGAGACGGACACCGAAGGGAGGTGGAGGTTCAGGAGGTCACGGCAGCAGCAGCAGCAGCTCGTCTCATGGTGGAAGTTCATCATCCTCGAGCAGCAAGGCAGGAGGCGATAGCAGCTCGAAGGGCAGCAGCAGTAGCAGTAGCACCACAGTCGTTTACGCTGGTAGCGGCGGCCATCCCAGCGGCGCGATTGGAGGTTCGCCACTGCCTTGGTGGGCAATCCTGCTGATTGTACTGGGCAGTCTCTTCATCTTCATATTCTTCATAGCGCTTCTTATCTATTACATGAAGGGTAAGCATAGCTTTCAAAGTACGATATGCAGCAACTAACGCAGGAGCTTAGAACGTGAATGCAAAGCCAAAGGGGCAAAAGCTCGCAAAGCGCATGCAGTCTGGAAAGCCTTTTGCGTGGCGAGCGGCCTATGGTTTCCAATATTGCTCTTTAAGCTATTGAAGGAAAGGAAGAGCCTAAAGTCCGCTGGCTCTTATAGTAAGATCGATGAAGGCCATTCGACTAACCATACCGCGTGGCACGGAACTTCCTCGACTGCTGCGGATGCACCATATTCGTATGGCGGCACTGGATTCAAGCAGGCCTCAAGTGAAGGCGGCAGCAGATATGAGCCAATGGGCTACAATTCTGCTGCGGCTACACCAAGGCATACAGAGACATCGGGAGCGCATCCCATCATTATCGGTCCTATTGAACAGACCAGTTCAATTCCCTTGCCGACTTCAAGTCCTTCTCCAGCTCCAAGTATGGTAAGTGCCATGACAGCACCGCCGCCTTATTCTGGTAGACCCAGAGGTGGTGTCGATATTTATAAACTACCAGCACTACAAGCGCCGTATGTGCAAGCACCACAACCAGCAGCATCACAATACAGTCAGGCCGAAATGCAGACTGTCCCAAACTCTGGTCTTTCTGCTACATATTTCAGCGCACAGCCGACTTACGCTAAAACTGGACACAGTTGAGGCTTGCTTCCGGCTTCTGGGTTCTCGCATATATTGATGGTGAATATTAAATAGGTGTGGAACATGGAAGAATGATACGAAATAAGTGCAGCCAGAGATGTGACATGGCCCAATAAAATGGCTCCTCTATTTATGTCTTGCCCGTTCTAGAACTCTGCTCTCATGCCTCCTATAGTCCATATAGTCTATCAAAGACAATAGTTCAGACTGTTACGGCCTAAACGCCATGTGTCAGTTGTCAGCAACACTCTTTAATTGGGAGTGCGACCGTTAAGATCAACTTTGACTAGCTTTATTGACACGGCAGCCGACATGCTTCTGCAAAACAGTAAGGTTTGGGTGGGCTGGAAGGTAGGAAATATTGGAACTGCAAAAGTGCCATATCGATGGAAGGTTGTATTCTTTTTTGTAACATACATTGACTGAGCCTTTCACAGTTAAAAGGGTACATGTCGATTTGCGTGAGATTATCAAGAACTACAATTAAGCCTACATGATTAAATATAACTCGTTCTTCATGATTTCTCGTCTTCTGTTATGACACAAACAATCAAAACCCCGAAAGGTTATGCCATAGTATGGAATGAAAACCTGTAGGATCTTATTGACGACTGTGACAGCACGGAAACGATCGCATCGTAATGAAGTTTCTCTGTTCTCCTTCATCTCTTCTCGTATAACTTATACGTAATTCTTAGGGATACTTGTATCAATATCATTGTGCTAAGCCAACGACTTTGCGCTCACAATTTCATCTAAACCGGTATGATAAGCCCCCTAGGCTCGTCAAGACACCACCAAACTTTGCGGGGCCCGTGATGCATGCGTTTGCGTGCTTTGCTTCTGTGTTGTTTTACCATAAATCGGTTGACGGCATAAAGGGCAAAAGGGATGGCTAGTCGTTGCCCACTCTTCCATACATCGTTGATGGTATAAGTGGTCGCAATGCAAGTGATATATCGTGTCATTGGTCTTAATGGCCTCAAGGCAAATTACACTACATAAAACTCAACAAATTAATCACTAAACGATGTGGGGAGCATTTGTACTGCGACGTACCATACCGGAGAACTAAAGTCAGCCATTACTTTATCGGTCGTGTTTCCATTTTCCCATTTCCCAAACGTCGTGTGCCTGACCTCTCGGCGAAGCGCCGTCAAGATTTGTTTCTCACTGCGCGGAACATTATCTCCGCTGGTTCTACCACGAACAGTGAAGTATTGTATCAGACCGCATCTTGTAGATATCAATAAGGGCTCATTTCCGAGCCTAGTGCGTGTTCAAAGCTACTCACATAAGTAGGAGCGCTCCTATGATGCTCAAAGAAATTATCAGTAGGACTTTTGAGTCCTCGGTGGTAAAGTTTTCATCGTTCTTGGGGATGTTGTTTCCTTGGAGATCCGTTAAATCATTCCCGTCCCGACGAAGGAGGACGACTCCCATCTTTGGTTGGGCTAGGCTAGTCGTCGCCACGTGCTCATCACCATCAAGAGCCTTTCTGCAGCTGGCAGTTGATATAGACCAAAGTAAAGGACAGGGTATCTTGCCACTATGAAACGTGGCCGATTACGCGGGGCGTTTTACTAAGGATGGGACGCGCGGGTTTGGAATAATTGTTAGCATAAAACCCGCAGAGCCTGCACTTTGCGGAATTGATCGGTGATTCGTGAAATGGGGACATTTGGGTAAGGGATATCTGAGATATGTAGAATTCACCTTGGTCTGTTAATAAGAGACACCATAGACTAGAGCCATAATTGGCAATAGAGAGAAATAAAACTATTTATTTCATGAAACAAGGTCTAGAGGTGCAAAGACTTCCCCGCATTAGTCGATTCACCTGACATACCCTACTGTGATCATAAGGTATAAACACATTGTGGCTTCAATATCGTATGATTGTGGATTTATCACTCAATGTGGTCATCAAGGTTCTCCTGCGATACTCATCTCTGGAATAACTGGTTTTTCGTCTTACATAGATGGATTTCAAAGATGCAGGACGTCGCACGAATTACTATCGAACTTCTTGGAAACGGTCGCTTCACAGATCAGCTTATACACGCTAGCATTATGCTCGGTTTCGCACATGGTCTGGAGGGTTGTTAACCGCAACGGGGTATGTAATAGTTCTTTTCCAAGATGCTTCTAGTACCGGCCCCACCGCCGGTTTTTCGGCCTACCACCATAATACAACCATGTACTCTTAAGTGGAAATTGATGTGATATCAAAACCTTCCATTTAGCGCATGCGTTTAAAGTAGATCATACTGTTTGCCTGAGATCTGTAGCTTAAGGTTTCTAGTTTCCCAGAACAGGATATTGTATCAATGAGCAACATCACACATGGTGTCGTGATCAACGCACACACACACACACACACACACCTAGCCATGCATGCCAAGTGTGGAGCTTGGTGTACCAGTAGAATCGCTTATATCTTCCTTTTGTAACTCACCTGTGCCCTGTTGCGGCGATTGAACTTTTACTTTTCCGTTGATGTTTCTTGTTAGTGAAGTTCTCGTTTAGTTACTTGGCATCTTTGTCATTACAGTACTAGCTAAATCCAATTTTATCTTAGAGCATTTGCAACCGCCTACTGGCGCTATTTGAAGTACAACCTGCTTTGTGTAGATGTGATCACTGCGCGTAATGTCTATGCCAAGCTGTTAGTGCCCTTGTCCCTTTACTACAGTGTCTTGGGTAAGGCCAGCTATTTGTGCCTGTTCATCTTTCAGGTAGCATTAAACCGTTATGCCTATTTATTTACAGTATCGCCCTGAGCTTCTCGGCCATCTTAGGCCACTTAGTCTCTGAAACCTTGCATTCAATGGATATTCGGGGATTTTCTGGGGGAATCAGAAGTTGACGGGAGCAGGAAATACAAGATCTTGCATAAGAATACCTCACATACTTCCGAATGTTAAGTTTTCCTTTTCTAAGCCTCTCCACTGCTACCCACGCCCAATCCCGGATTTTGTGATGAACACACCAAGATTTCCTGCAGGGAGGTCTTGCTCCACATGCATAGGCTGAGTAATCCCAGAAGCACACTGTGGGGTATTACATTAACTTTCAACGCATCCCCAGAAATTCCGAGCCAATCATATCGACGTCTCGCCCAACATCCGCCCACATTGCGTTGTAGACAGATTAAGGTTTTGGCTATAATCTTAGCTAACCGACGCTGAGGGTTCATCTGGTAAAGATAGTGTGAAACGTTTTTAGTGTTCACGTCTGGGGTACGTCCAATACCGAAGTTATCCTCGTACCACCTTTTGTTTCTTTTTGGCGTGAGGTTGGACTTGATGAAGACCTGTGGGACTTTGTCAATACAGTATGCTTGAAAGACGACTTGGAAAAACCATCCTACTGAGTTACATTTGTGACGCCAAATCATCCGAGCACAAAGACACCAGAACAAAATGATAGTACAACAAAAAAAGCCCCCGCCATACGTAATTGGTTAAAACACCCTATAACAGCCGTCAACTAACCCAGTACCTACTATTTTCTATTCATTTACGTGAGTAGAAATCATAATCAGTATAATGCACCTCCATCACCCGCGGCCGGGTGACGAGATCCATGGAGATAACGAAAATTGTTATTGGGTCGAAAGGTATCTCATCTCAAAGCAGCTATCTCTGGCAGGCTAATGACCTCTGAATTTTGCAGCATATGGTGGTATATGTCCTTTGCATTTCCAGCTATTGCTGGAGCTTTTGGACCAATAGCATCCGCATTTAGTATTTGCTCTCTGATCCGCCCGTGGATTAAACCTTCTACGGGAGAGGATTTGAATAATTGGAATGACCAAGTGTGAGATACCCTTTCATACTTCTCAAACTACGAGGCAAGGAAGCTAGCTAACTTACTTGAGGCTTGTCATTTCAAACGCTATACAGCTTAGCCTAGCCGTGGGGGCGAACGTACTGCTTTTGGTGAACGTTATCCGCGGGTTGAAATCATCCATTGCTCTCCCGCTTACTATAGCTGGTTGGTAAAAAGCACATACTTCTCTACCAGCACCATACTCATGGAAAGACTCATAAGGCTTAGGTATATATCCGCATTCGTTCTTGCAGCCCTGGCCATTGTAGGGTCTCAACGGGCTGCGGCACTACATTTCGAGTTCGTCTGGTTACAAGCATATTACTATTGTATGTATTCTGCTATAGTATACTTTCTTGTTGCCTCTTTTCTATTGTCCAACTACATCGGCGGTCGGCGAGGTCGTCATGACCACAACACAACGTCACAGGCTTCCGTACGGACATTAATGGCTCACACTATTTTATACTTGACTTATCTTCTTTTTGGGGCTCTGTTATTCTCCCGTATCGAGGGTTGGGTATACCTGGACGGAGTGTATTGGGCCCAGACGACACTATTAACAATTGGTCTTGGAGATATAGTCCCAACTACGACCGCAGGGCGTGCCTTACTTGTTCCATACTCAATAGGTGGTGTCGTTTTATTGGGTCTCACATTGGCAGCTATCCGGCGTCTGGTTTTAGCCGGAGGTAGGACTACCCTCAGTACAAAAAAGTTATGCCGAGCTCGGAACAGTTATCTTCAGGAGCTTAAGAACAGCGGTTCTCGAGGTAAACTCACTGCCCCTCTGTGTTTTTGAAAATAACTTGAGTACACTAACACCAAAAGGGACTCATATCATCACTGGTCGGAAAGAACTTGAACAGACGTATAGGAAGATGCGCGAGGTTCAATGGGCGGTCACCCGTCAATTGCGTTGGACAGAGATGGCGATATCCATCAGCGTTTGGCTTGTTTTATGGCTCTTAGGAGGCACCGTTTTCATGATATGCGAAGCACCAGTTCAAGACTGGACGTTTTTCAATGGCATATACTTCGCATTCGTCAGCTTGATGACCATCGGCTATGGTGATCTTCACCCTGAATCGAGCTGTGGGAGATCTTTTTTCGTGTTCTGGACACTCTTGGCTGTGCCTGTGGTTACGATTCTGATTTCGAACGCCGAGGACTCAGTCGTCAGAATCTTCCGAGATCTTTCTATTCTCGCAGGGAATAAAAGTACCCCTGACATTGAGAATAAGTCCCGAGAAAGATTCAGAGTCACCATGTCAAGCCTTGGGCCCGAGGAAATACAGAGTAACGGTCTTTTGGGAGCTCAAGGACTGATATCGAGAGGCTACGCGGAGCAAGCACCACCGGGGACCATCATTAGATCACGTCGAAAATATCAAGTAACCCTCATCGATGGCATTAGGTACACAATTTCACGGCTTGAAGAGGATGCTCTGCGATCCTTTAATTTCTACGAGTGGATGGCGTTGATGGAGATGATTGGAGAGCAAGGCAGACACAGAACCGCTTCACGTCTGGAAAGAGATGTGGGCGAGCCAGTACCGGCAGTGGCGGGACAGAATACTCAGACTTCTGTAACAGGAATCCATGAAGCTGCAGATAGAAATGTAGGCCTCTTTGAACTGCATGAATTTGAGGCAAAAAGTCCAATCAATGGGCCGAGAGAGGAGATATGTTGGATTCTTGAGAGATTGACAAAAGCACTCAAAAACGAGCTGGATGATATGGCAAGGGAGGAAGGTATGTTGATTAACTGATTGTTTGCAGCGTACGAGAAATTCTCTGTTAGGTGGCACTACGCCGCCAAGAGCAATATATCGAAGGGTTGTGAAAGTATCAGTGTAGCTTGGTATTATTTAGAGCCATTCAGCTGCCGATTTACGTTGTTTTGGTATCTGAGTAGCAATGCCGGATGGTTTTAACTTGGTCTGTATTCAATCACGATTCTGTCAAAAGAAGCGCCCCCTTCCATTGCTATCAGGCCTTTGCGCCCATAATCCTCCGTTTTCGACATCGTTTCAGCAACCATCCAACATCCCTCATGCTGGCGAAAGTGGGAACAGGTGACACTCGTTCCGCGGGCCGCAAAGTTTCCTGTGCCAGTGGTGAATGTGTGAGGAGCTCCCTTGGTTATCGGGCTTTGCGACAGAACCAACCTCAGGACATCACCGTAATGCCATGAGATATACTCCTTCATGCGAATGTCTCTCTGTTAACCGGGTTTGCTCTGATATTGCTTTTCACGTCTTTATCACTTTTCACGAGAGTGCACTCGCTGATTCCACATCGTTTTTATGCTTAGCCTTTGCCGACTTTGAGCTGATAGTTGTCCAAACTGTCTCAAAGCCTCACTAGGGGTTTCTGTTTACGTAGCATTGACTGCTTGAAGAAGAATCCTGCTCAAGAATGCAACGTTATTCCAAGTTGACTTATCAAGGCAGCGAGTACTTGAACCCATCAACCCAAGTTAAAATCGCGGTCCGCAGGATCAAGGCTAAATCCAGCTGGTTCAAGTTCCTCTAAAGTGGTATTGTGGTCCAACTGCATTGCATGTCCACCTTGACCTCGTTTTCACCATCTTGGGGCATCTGAACTCGGTGGAGTTTTGCGGAGAGATGAGCTCATAAATGAAATAACTCAATTCATTTGATATTAATCATCTCAATACCGCCTGTAGTACATTTGGCCTTTGATTGCTATGGTTGAACAGAGCTGACAACGATCATATTGTATGTTCAGATAACGACTGCCCGCTCCCGATTCTTTCTGTGATGGGGCTGTATGTCTGCCCATAACAGAGAGACGCCTCGGATGCTACAGTATTGAGATAGGGGCAACGGCAGGTTCTGCAAAGAGTTGGTAATAGAACGTGGTGTGACTCTTCGTACCAACATCTCTATTCCAAGCTGCCTGTCATAAATTGAACTTCTCCTTACAACATTCTGTCGGGCTATAGCTATATCCACTACACCAGTGTGTACCTATCGATGGACGTTTGCTTCGAAGGCGGGGGAGTTTTGTGCCTGACTAAAGTCCTTGCATTCCTGGATGGTAATGGCTTGGCACAATTTGTGCTATATGACATTGAATTTTTCAAGAGGCAGAAACCAAATCGTATATTTCTACGTCGTTTCCGATTTGGGGATCGCCAGACCCTACTTCTTCCCAATTGCTCATACTGTGTAGTTAGAGGTACGCGCATTTCCGAAATCAGGGTTCTCGACTTCGGTTGCATGATAGTAAATTGACCTAAGTTTATAGCTTTTGGAACTATCTCCAAGTCATCTTGGCGACAAGCTTAGCTAGTAAGACTAGTATCTGGCTGCGTTCTGTCAGCACGCCTACGATAACAGTCGTCGAAGCAGTGCAGTTTCCGGCCAAGCAAGACAGTACAGCAATTCCTGCAGAGAAATCACATTTGATACAATTACATGATTTCAACTCCTTGAATGTCGCCCAAATATGTTCACTTCTTCTGACATTCTAGTGAGAGCGATCACAAATGGGCAATATACACGGAAAGAATCGGTTCACAGGCCATTAGCGGGGCAGTCTTAGGTCATGATGCAAATGCAAAGGTTAACCTTAACGATAGGGATGTGCTAGCGAAGGTAAGTACCATGATATCTCATGATTTTTCAAGCATCATAGTAAGAATCTACAATCGGTATAATCAGGAGAAGCCTGTCTAATGCTATCTCGCAAAAAAATAGTGAGTGTTGCTTACCTTTCGGATTTACCTCCAACTCTGCCAGATTTCTGGATCTCCTACTTGTACGACTACGGGTAAACTTTATGCTAATGGATGACAAGGATTCAACCAGTCATCAAATGCCACAGTAACCTTGAACTCAAGCACTATTTAACTATATTTGGCCACAGTTCATCGAGGCACTGACAACCCAAAGATATAACTAAGACACGACTCACCAATAGGGACAGTTTCCCTGGATTAAGCGAACTACTCTGTTAGCATGTACTCATTCTAGTATGGCCATCTCAAACCTGTATCGTTGGTCAAAATATTCATTTCATTGAACTTTATCTTAGTCTCAGCAAATCATTCACAACAATTTCTTCTATCTTTCTCCCTAGTTTTTGAGGCACGGTTCAGGTTTAAGATTCACAGCCCAAATGACAATACTGGAATTGATAACCATATTACCAATGTACTTAGTCTAACACTGACAGCGACTCCTGTGAATTAGGCAGCACCAACGCCAAATGCCATATTTTTGCCTGTACTCATTTCCCGCATATGACAACTACCCTGATTCGTAGATGGATATCCCACCATGCTCTGTGCAATCCTCTCGCGGTGATATTCGCCATTACTGTGGTAGCCATGGCTTTTAGATATTATCCCGGGTGCTATTCATTACTGCTGAACCTCTGGACTTCTTTTCCTCTCGGTATTTGAGGACAACATAAGCTCCCTACTTTTTGTCAGACCAAGCGAATGTGATAAGACTGTTAATTATAAGCTCGGCTTACCAAACACGAACTGAGCAAAAACAGCATGGACGATATAAACGACCAGGCAAGCACAGCTTGCCAGGACGAACATCCCGCCCAGTTAATGTCAGCGGGACCTCCCACGACGACTGGAGTCCTCCAATAAGAACCCCAATAGAAGCCCCAGTAGCTCCAGTACCAGTTTGCTGAACAAGCATGGGTTCCAGTCAACTAAATAATTGTTATAATGAATTTATATTAGGAGGTTTTGAGTGCGCATAAGTGTCACTTACCGCTTCCAAGAGACAGAATGCTACAAGCCATAGAACAAACAATATTAAATCAAGAGGGAAGGCGAGGAACGAGTATGTAAAAGGGAGAAAGAGAATGATAGAAAGAAATGTACTGATAGAAGCCACGACTGTGGTGTAGACGATCCTGGAATCAGCATACGCATTTGCCTCGCCTACAATGTAAAGAAAACGGCCCAGCAATCCCAAAACTATAACAGACGACACTAGTTCCCCTATACGGCAAAGCACAGCGATGACCTTAGAAGTGGTACCCATGGTGCTTGATTATATTGAAGATGAGGAGTTACCGAGGACTGTCACCGTATATTTTGATTGTCTTGCTGACTTGTGAAGCAGAGAGTTGAAGTTGTAAATATGCACCATAACAATGTCGGAAACTGAGATGCAAACATACAAACTATCAACAGGAGGTTCAATGTCGTTCCAGATAAATTATTTGAAACATCGAGAAACCCGAATCCACATTCTGAGGCTAATGTCTGATGTCGGATTTGTCTCGATGTAGTTAGCATATGCTTAATTGCTACCAATATTTGGGTTTGGAACTAATATCTCTGATGTTTCACTGCATTATGATCCATCACAGGCGATCGTCTTTAACTTTAAACACGTTATAGATCGAGATCTAGTATACTTACCCAATAGAAAACTACTTGGTACAGATCACCCATATGGAGGTACAATCACATGACTTTTGGTATTAAGTTCGATGGGCAAAGGTTCACATCATCCATCTCAATTTAACAAAAGCTAAATACCAAGCATCGCGGTGTTTGAATCCACTGTGCTACCTAAAATTCTTGGGAAAGTTAGTTGGGGTCATGCGGTGGTGGGACCTGTGGGACCTTCAGTAAAGGCTATGTAAATGGTCGGAATCCTTACCAAAAACAAATACAACCACAGCATGATCCCCTTCACCACCCAACACTCTGACTCCATATCCATCCCGTGTAACCGCTGCTTCGTAGTGGTTTAGCCCGAAGTAGCGTATCTTCCAACAAAATCTAACTTTATCGTGGGGTACCGCGCCTGACATCCTGTACGTGACAGAGCCCTCAACGCCTCGTCCTATCCCCGTTGATTTACATTGCCATAGGACACTTTCTCTGGGGCGGATCGACTGGGGTGGTAGCGAGGTTGAGGGCTCCCACTGTCCACAGTAGAGGTGTCTGGACTCGGGATCTAGGTCGAGTCCATCCTCAGTGTGGTTGAGAACGACAACCGTGATGTCTCTGGAAGTCGGATTTGCAATGGGGAGATTCTCTGTGATGCTATTAGTTCGCGCTCCTGAAGCAAATACATTGAGAAATTTGGTTCGAAAGTCCACTCACCTAGTCCCATAACCACGGATAGAGTACAATATTGGACTGGCAGGTTCCCTACGGATGCGATTGTAAATTGATCACGAAGGCACCTGATGACGTGGCAATTCGTGTACGCTGAATTATGTCGTAGCTGTCATTTGACATGGTCGCACATACCTAAATACTTGTCCGCACAAACTTATATACGATGTTTAACGTAGGGGAGCTATCTGCCGTTTATTGGCCCAGGTGTACATTTCGTATCCTGGAAGTCCAAAAGGCAATACTATGGTTGCAGGCATAATTCAACTGCCCTTGTCAATTATCGGCAAGGGTTGTAGTAGAAGAAGATTGTAAAGTTAATCCCGAAGGCGTTTCAGCTTTTAGTGTTTCCATTATTAATATCAATTAGAGCGTGGAACAACTGTTTTCCAGATGTAATACTCGCCATAAGAAGCTAACGTCTTTCTCCAAACTGTAAAACCTTGCGGCTGTGGTTATGACACAACAGGTAACGTTCTAACCATAGTACAGTGGTAGATTCCACCGTGCTAAAGACTAAAACCTACTAAGCTAGTCGATAAGCTGTCAGCACATATTTGGTTTCCAAGTGCGTACATAACAAGTATAATGTGAGAAGTGAGCTAATCCACCTCCTCCAGTCTTCTGTAGTGCACCTGACTAGACCAGATCGCCGACAGACCCCAACCTAAGGCAATTCAATTAAGCTATCTGAGAAGATCATACTTCTTATGTAGAGTCTAGACCTGATAAATTGAGTCGTCACATGCTTCACCAGCATGGCAACGCGCATGATTGGCAAGAAACCTGTTTGTGAATACAATGCGCCTATGATTTGGGCGGCTTAAGTCATAATTAACCTAGTGGATGGCAGGGTGCACTATTCATTGAACCCCACCTCAAAGGACCAATTCCTGCATGGCTATTCCTCCCCGTATTCGTGTCTCATATAAGTTGGTGAGAACCCGTACTTTGTTTTTGGGATAGATTGATTTGCGGCCCCCCAAAAAGCGAAATGATATTCACGTCATGTTATCCTATATTAATCGGCTACAAGTGAAATCATGTCGAGCACTCATAAGATCATCTCTGTGTGTTTCCGAGCCTTTGAATTTGGCTGCGCGATTATCATTCTAGGTATTCTTGCCAGATTCTTCCACCTCATTAACCAGTTCAACGGTCCTAAAGACTCTCGCTTGGTGTATGCTATCTCTATGGCTGCTATCAGTGTTCCAGTATCCCTCATACTTCTCCCACCTCTCAAATATTCGTTTTTCTTATTTCCTTTGGACTTTGCTCTTTTTACCTGTTGGATTGTTTGCTTTGCCTTGCTGGAAGATGTAAGCATTCCGTTTTGATTCCCGAGCTACGGGTGTCATGTGCGGTGTCTTGACACAACTGACGTGTACATAGCTCTCTGGCACGAGTACTTGTACAGCGTCCTGGTACAATACTTATTGGGGAGTTTATTGGGTTAGTGGACCTGGCAACACAACAATCGTCACAACTTCCGCATGTTCCAAATGGAGAGCAGTACTGGCATTCAGCTTCATTATTGCCTTCTGCTGGCTCATTAATGCTTTTTTGGTAAGACATGCCCTTTGGGGGTACGACAAGGTATGAGTGCTGAACCTGACAATAGGGCCTTTATGCCGGCGTCGAATACCATAACTTAGGTGCTCTTACTGTATCTACCGTAAGGTGAGATACTATTGATCCCCATTATTTTACACTTGAAGAATCTGACATGCGTCTAGCAAATGTCTATGGTGGAGGAAGCCGAAAGCAGAGGATTTAGAACGAGACGGACAGAAGCCAGAAGAATCGCAAAATCTACATCAGGTTGGAAAGCAAACGGGCCCAACCGGTTGACTGTGTTCTTTCAATTAGTAATATTTGATGTGATATAAGTTACATTTGTGGAAAGTCGGAAGGGAAGTTCAAGGACAGTTACTAGCTCCAAGATGGACTTGGGCGAAATACAATGCTGGATGTATACCGCTTTTGACTAATTATTCATCTAATAACCGTACTTCAATTTAGCCATACCTCAACTTGAGAATTCGTCTTATTTTCCAACGTTTCTTTTTGACGCTTTGGAACATGTTCACAATACAACCGTCTCAGTGACCGCCACGCTAGAAGTTCCAGATATTTATGCTTTACATTTTCCTCATGGGACCTGGGTCTAAACCAGCCCTGATTAGAGCTTCATACTGTGCCTCCGTGTTTAACATGGGGCGATAATCTCTGCGAAATTATACGGTTTGAGAGGAGTGGCCGGTATTTAGGTAATCACGTCCGTAAGCCAGAGTATTACTGTTACGATTATGCATAGACGTGGTCGTGTATAGAAACCAAGTCGCGGGAACCTATGCATTCCTATGAACATCACCGGTCAATTCAGTTTGCTGAGCACGGTTGCCAGAACCCCTCGTTGCATAAGTCTTCACATCACCGCCATCTGCGAAGTAGCTTAACAAGTCAGAGGAACTGGCACAGCTGCCTTGACGCGCAAGGGAGCTGGAGACGTTGTGACCGTACAGAGCATGCATCAGAAAAGACCATCAAGGCTGCTGCTGCTAGTGCGTGCCGAATGCGAAATGATCTAGGTTAGGACGCTGGTTCGATTAGAACGGGCTGAAAGTGGTCGCTGCAGCGATGGCCTTGGCAACAATAGACGCTACAGTACGCTTGACGATAATTCCAAGGACCATCCATTACAATATATTGGTGTCAGTGCTTCAAGGAGTGATCAAAGATGTTATTGCACATGGTGCACTATAATATCAAACATTATTTTGATCAGTCCGAAACTGGTGTGCAAACACTTGCTTTCTCGAAGATTTATTTCATCGCACATGCTAGGTTGGAACCGAAATCTCGCCCCCCAGCGAAGTCCAGTAAGGGACTCAACACTTTGATTTGTGATCATATGGTTCTGTCTTTACTGTGAACTCAAACTCAGACAGTGGTCTCGCCCTAGTGGCTTGAGCGTACAAGACAGTTTGTTAGGCAACGTCTCCTTTCCTTGTCTTTCAACGGGTGCAGTTGCAGGTGGCTAGTCATAGCCAAACCCATTTCCTTTCGGTAAAAACTGTGAGGATTGGACGGTCCCAGCCTACTTCTACAACTTTGGGTCATGGTTGCAGTCAGGTCCCAGGTGGTTACCAAGTAATCTAGCTCCATCTTATTTAGCAAATACCTTCCAACCATTAAGCGTTTGGTGGACTCAAGAAAAGATAGGTTGGTCAGACTCTTAGCATAGCATTTCTTATTTCACGCGTGGCTTAATAATCGAACATCTTAGCTGTAGACTAGACTAACCTAATCTAGTACAAAGTCAGTCATCCCCTTTCTACAGTACTCAGTTTACAGTGTTGAACGAAGAGAGATTGCCATAGTTCAAGGAACATACCGTGTAGTAGTAGAACATCACGGCCCTATCATTGGCCAGCGCTGATATCATTTCATAGAATGTTCTCTTCAACAACCTTAACCTGCACTTTCATTCCCCATCCGCCATGCTCACCTACCCAATTCTTCTTTTTCCCCACCTTCTCCACAATTCCCACGTGCTCCTGTAGGGCTTTTTTCAGCTGGGCAGGATCATGCTCCACCTTCTGGATCGAGATCGTCAGCCGCACACCCTCTTTGTCTTCCTTGCGCCCCAGGGTATTTGCCCACTCCGCGGAGAGCGCCACTCGGGGCTTTATCTCATCGATTCTGCCAGATGGATAGAGTCGGCTGATCAAATATCCAACGCGACCAAGATAGGCAACCCACCAAGCTTCTTCAGGAGTTATCAAACGCTGGAGTGACGCTTTGAACTGCACATCCCGTGGGGGCAGCTCTCCCATGTATCGGGACTCCAACATAAGCGCCAACCTCGCCCTATCCTCGTGTGAGACCCCGCGAGTTGAAGACATGAGACCTGTACTGCTGCTGTAGAGCGCAGAGATAGAGGCAAGCTCCTTGTCCATACCAGCGTGAACGTAGAGGATATTTGCAAATCCACGAATAACATGGGCAGTGATCGAGTACGGAAAACGCTTTGACCCGTCTTCTGATGCTGGCGGTATTGAGAACTTGAGGAGGTTGAAAATGTCATCTGCAGACCGAGGTGCATATCTCTGCGTAGCGACTTCCAACGGATCTTGAGCCCGAACAGAAGGGGGCAGTTCTTGGAAGAGAATTCCTTCTCTTACGCCTCCCTGGCAGAAATGCGCGGTCCGGATTCCATGGGGAATGGCGTTAGCCAAGGCGCTGACGAGAAATGCCACCGCAGGGACCTGTTGCCTCCGCCGATCAGAGACGCGGAAGATGGAGTGAGCGGTCTGCGCTACTTTTTCCACGGAATGTGTGTCTTCGAATCTCTCTTTGCTAACGGTATACCCATTGATGACCGATATTGGATGGGGCTTCCCATGGATCTGACTCAAGTAAAGCAGTAGATATCCCCAGCCCCGAAAGCCCCCTCCTGAGAGATATAGAGGAAATCCACCATCTCTCTTTGCCCTTTCTACCATACTTGTAGGGACCTTAAGCTTTTCGTAAGCGTCGGTAAAATCATTCATTATCTGGTCCCGAAGCTTTGATAGTGCCTTCTCTGCCTCTTCCTTCGACTTCCCTCTTTTCGCCCCTTCAATCTTCTTTGTTAATGCAGCTGCTCCGAATGGGAAGCTAAAGGAGCCTTTGGCGCTGATACGAACATTGCCGCCGTCGGACATTATCCAGGTAATTTGTGTGCTGCCTCCACCCAGATCCATCATAAGACCTTCGATGCTGAAGAAGCCACTGGCAACGCCCAAGGCACCAATGCGACCCTCATCTTCCTTCTTTAAAAGATCAACTGAAAGTCCGGTGGAAGAATTGATCTGCTTGATAAAGTCTGTGGAGTTGAGGGCAGCCCGAGTCGCCTCAGTGGCGACAACGTGAATGTTGCTTTCCGGCACTCCAAGGTCGGCACAAACGATCTTGAAACGAAGAAGGGCAGCAATCACGCGCTCGATAACATTCTGCGGAATTGAAACCTTCGCCCCAGTTGCTGGGTCGAATTGCACGTCGTAGAGTGAAATATCTACACGGTACATGTGTACTGCTGGAAGGATGCGGGAGAAGGGTGGTGACATATCTGTTACTGAGAAGCGAATTCCGTTGCTGGACGCGATTGTAAATGTCATTAAACTATTTCCAATACGAGTTCAAATAGTATGTTTTGCCTGTAACGAACCGCCCATACGAAAGGGAAACTGCTTACCTTCCCATATCGACAATCCCTCGCAGACTGACGTTCAGATTGATATGATCGGTTCCATCTTGACCAGAGCTATAGGTATAGCCAGGCACCTCGGTTCCGTCGATGAGTTCCCAAGTAGGATACATCGTGTGAGGAGTAAGAAATAAGCTGTTTATGTTCGCAGCGACAACCCAACCTCGGACGTTTCCAGAAATCAGAACTCCGGACGTATATAACCCAGCTAGTCCTGAGTCTTGACAAAGCTTAAACAGATGATATGACCTGCTTGAAGGAAATTTGTAGTCTATAGCTCTACTCGTGCAGGGAATGGAGATATGCTCATGATTACAGAGACTAAATTGGTTGCGTTAAATGAGGCGGTTTATACTTTCCTTAGATACTGTAAAGAGTAGTATCGTTGACATGAAAATAGTAAACCTTATTTACTTGGTATATCTCGCTACGTGAAGTTTATCTCGTAGCCGCCTTAACTCTGTCTCAGCGCATTGTTGTACCAAAGTAACGTTGTGAGAGACTACCCAATGTAGTTGAAATATCAAGTACTATGGTGTTAAACATAACACATGAAAGAAAGCATGGGCATAATTTTGAGGATATTTATGCTTGGTGCAGCATTTTTAAAGTTATGGCTACATCGATGACCACTCAGATAATGGCAGTCATAGGCGGGACCAGCATCCATGCGAACAGAATGTTTTTCTATCGAAACACCTTGCGAAGTCATATAATCCTCGTCAGGTGCGAGGCGCTTACATAGTACCATGTGGCTCATAATGCCAAAACGCATAGGATATGGCCCTCGGTAGCTGATTCATGCAGTTAATGGCTTTTGACTAGATAGCACATAACACATGGCGTTGGCCCGTCGTATTCGTACATTTAAGCGTATTTCTATTAATCACTCCCTGTGACTGTACACTCTCAACAGTTCTGAGAAAATATCACTAGCTAATCCACAACAAATTATTCTGATCATGAGGTTTATCATGTGCTGCACATTTGCTTTAACGGCCAGTGAAGCCGTGTTTCTTGCTTCAGCCTCCTGTAAGTCTTTACCTGTATTTTCCGCGCTTCGACTAGTAGTTCCCAGTTATCTTGTGGCCTGGCAAGTCTCTGTATCCGTGGCTGCTGACATTCATGACCAAAATTTAGCGAACCTTGAGCACAGAGCGCAGGCAAATGCGCCTTCTGGTTATGCTCCAGCTCCTGTCTCTTGTCCAGCCATACGGCCAACTATTCGACCGGCAACAGGCCTTTCAGCCCAAGAAATCTCTTGGCTTAAGCTTAGACAGAACAACACTTTATCTGCTCTGGAGACTGTTCTTTCTCGGGCAAATATCACAGGCTTAGACATTACAGATTACTTTGGTAAGATTGCTAGTCAGAATGGAACAATACCGAGAATCGGTATTGCGGTATCTGGCGGAGGATATCGTGCATTGATGAACGGTGCTGGTGCTATTGCGGCATTTGACAACCGTACGACAAATTCAACAAGTCCAGGTCAATTAGGAGGGCTTCTCCAGGCAGCAACATATCTGAGTGGGCTTTCTGGAGGCAGCTGGGTTGTGGGAAGCTTGTTTATTCAAAATTTTACTTCGGTCGAGTCTATAATCAGTGCCACCGGCGGCTTTCTCAGTACCCTCTGGCAATTCAATAATACGATCATCGAGGGTTTGGCTCTCTCAAAACATCAGCACCCACTCCGCAAATGCTGACCCAATGATTATAGGGCCAGACACACTGTCTTTGAGTCAATACTATCGTCAACTCTACCAAGATGTTACGGATAAGGCCGACGCAGGTTACAACACGACAATCACCGATTACTGGGGCCGAGCATTGTCATATCAGCTTGTCAACGCCAGTGATGGAGGACCCGGTACAGTTCCAATGCTTTTGAAGCCATGGGTAATCTTGATACTAAAGCCGTCTGCAGCTTACACTTTTTCATCTATTGCCGATGACAAAGAGTTTCTCGAGGCTAAAACCCCAATGCCCATCATAGTTGCAATTGAGCGACCGTCCGGTGTTCTTCAGATCTGGGAGAATTCCACTATCTTCGAGTTTAATCCTTGGGAAATGGGTTCCTATGGGATCGGGAACCCAGCATTTGCGCCATTGAAATACGTTGGCTCAAACTTTAGCAACGGCGTCCTCCCAGCCCGCGAAACATGTGTTGCCGGTTATGATAATGCAGGTTTCATCATGGGGACTTCGTCTTCACTTTTCAATCAAGCTTTCTTGCAGATTCAAAGAGCACCTGATGTACCTGACTTTCTCCTTCGATCCATAAACCAAACACTGGCGAATATTGGCCAAGAGAACCGGGACGTTGCGAGTTGGCCCAACCCATTTTATGGCTATAATATAGGTTCCAATATGAATTCGAACTTCACCACCTTGACATTGGTCGATGGTGGAGAGAACCTGCAGAATGTTCCTCTGGACCCCCTCCTTCTGTCCTACAGGAACGTCGACATCATATTCGCCATAGATGGTTCAGCCGACACGACGACCTTTTGGCCAAACGGCACAGCGCTCGTTGCGACATATCAAGGCTCTGACAGTGGGTCCACTGACAACAATAGTCCATTCCCACCCGTTCCAGACCAAAACACATTTGTCAACCTCGGACTCAATCGTCATCCAACATTCTTCGGCTGCAACACTAGCAACTCAACGGCCACAAGTCCACTGATTGTTTACATTCCCAACGCCCCATACAGCTACAACTCCAACGCCTCCACCTTCGATTTGGAATACACGGTTGAAGAGCGTGACGGAATTATCCAAAACGGTTACAACGTTGCGACCATGGGAAACTCGACCGTTGACCATGAATGGCCCGCATGCATAGGCTGCGCCATTCTGATGCGAAGTTTTGCCCAGACCAACACGCAATTTCCATCCACCTGTATCGGCTGCTTTGCCAGATACTGCTGGAATGGTACCACTAACTCCACAGCGCCAACAACATACACACCGGCACAGATCATCACGCCTTCGAGCTCTGGTGGCCAACTCTTGCATATGCCACATTTTGCCTTCGCTACATTTTTCACGTATACACTTCTGTTTCTGGTAATTTAAGCTTCTGGAAGTGCAGGATACAGCCGGACAGATGTGGCTGCAAGCTCCTACCATGTTTGATGTCGTGGTTCGTGAGGACTCCTCATCATCCACGAAAGACATTTTGTTAAATCCTCGTCGAACCATTGTGCTTGTTATAATTAACGGCGTTTTATTTGAGGGTAAGAGCTGGTTGTATGCGAAGCAATACATCAATAGTTACACGGCGATAGGACTAGCTTGTGGGAAAAGCGTGTTCATTAATACCAGCAGCCTGACTTCTACGCGCAATCCGTTTGGTGGCACAACCGATGCGATGATGTAGGTAAAGTTAAATTTAAATGTACAAGAAAATAAAAATAAAAGGCATTACCTGTCAACTTTAGTACCGTTGGTCCCGTGAATAAACTTGATCAGTGTGGTCAGTAATGCAACGCATAGCAGTGAACGCGCTGACAACAGAGTGCTCTGGATCAACGGGACAGCCGGAGCAGTTGCTGGATATACCCATGATGCCTTCTTGTGAGTATATGTGATACTGTGTAAGGTATACTACTTGTTGACATACAGCGTAAGCACATAACCATCCGGCGAAGCGGCTTGTTCCAAATTGGGGAAAGCGGCCACTGTGTACACTGACTGCACTTGTCTCACTGGCATATGAAGCCGCGCTTCAACATCCCGGAAAATAACTTTGACCATGAGTTCCAGACTGAAAACATCCATCTCTCAACTGCCCTTGTGACCTATTCATTGTTGATACACCTACTAGTCTCACAAACAATCAAATATCACAATGTCACCAGCGAACAAAGTAGATGTCGTCCTTCTTTCCGACCGAGACATACCCACATGCTTTGAGGTCCTCTCAGAGTCCTTCGGTCATGACGCACCATTTGTCGATAATTATTTCCCGAATCATGATACACCATCAGGTAGAGCAAAAGGTTCCGAGCGCTTGCTTCTCTGGAAGCAGAACTCCAGCAACTCCATATTCCTGAAGGCGGTCACTCGCACCGGCCCGGGCGACCAGGAATGCATCATCGGCCTTGCCACCTGGACACTCATGAGAGAACCGCCACCAGCTGAGCTTGACATGGCGGAGAACGTCGAAGATGTTTGGCCAGATAAGGATGACCGCGAGTTCATGACTCGACTTTGGAGATCCTACGTGGTCCCACGCACTCAGGCTATCAAAGATTCCAATGGAAAGGGTGTCTACGGTAAAGTCGAAGTCCACAAATCGCGCACCACCAGATATGGGCTTCTGATGTCTTGGGTAGTACTGGAATTGCTAGCAGTCCATCCAAATTACCAACGTCTAGGTGCGGGTGCAGCTCTCGTCAAATGGGGAATTGAGTCCGCAGACGAGCAAGGATTAAAGGCATGTTCATATACTATTTACCTCCCTCCACTTTGGCATACATTTGGTACATACATTTTGTATGCCGTTGGCGTGTGATCGAATCATTCCGAATGTACTTTTGTCTGTGATAAATCGCTGATACTTCAGCTCTGCAGGCAGTCGTTGAGGGGACACCAATTGGTCGACGGCTTTATGAGAAATGTGGCATGCGTGCAGAGATTGAAGAGATCAAGTTCGATGTCGGGGAAGAATTTGCTGAAAGACGCAAGCCAAAGCTTGTGTTTCTGTCAAGAGAGCCCAATTAATCCACATACCATGCAGTCTCAACGAGCGGTTGTTTGAGGCTCTTGTAGCTTAAAGAAAGTCTAGCCTGGATCCAAACGGATGAGGCTAGTTTGGTACATCTTATTAAGGGTCAGGCCAGATCTGTACGCATACTCGATGATCTCACGTCATCTATAAGTGCCACGGTATCTACAACATTGATACGGCCAAGGAGATATCATATCAGTCATCTCCGATCAGCCTGCTTCTCGCCCTGTCTCCAGGGAGTCGATCAACAGCTCAGGGCTCATCGCAACCCCCGTAATCCTCTCTTCCAAATCTTTGCCCTTGTGATCTGCGATAATCCGTCTCAACTCTGTCGAGCTCATACCCGGATCCATGATCGGGGCTTCATGCTGCACAAACCAAATTCTATAGCCCATTCTACCGTCATGTTCACAGACCCAAACACTACTCTTCATCCTCTCCTCATCCCTCACCTCACCCCCTACGTCCGATCTGCCCCACGGCCCGAAACCCTCCAAACGCACCAACTGATCCCCATGCACCGCCCCGGGCACAAAATCCGCCTTCCGACAAACATTACTCGTGACGACGCCATGGTAACCCGAACACTGCGGCCTCTGCTGCACGACATAGTCAGGGCCAAGCAGCTCCACGAACTCCACCGCAAAGCCATCCCCCCGACACGCGGTCATGAGCTTGTTCTGGAACATCCACCAGTCGCCGAGCCCCTCGGGGAAGACCCAGACACCACTTCGTGTCAGGCGGTCCGGGACGCCCTGGCGGACGAGTCTGTAGCGCTGTGCGAAGCTGAGGTGCAGGGGCTCCTCGTCGTCAGATGACGAGGAGTGGGGCGTCTTGTGCAGCTTGCCCCGGACCCAGGACGCGCCGTGCAGGAGGACAATGAGGGCCACAGGGTTTAGGTCGTCCGGGGCGGGCGGCGAGGACGACGGGACAGCGGCGTTGGTGTTTGAGAATACATGGTCGATGAGGGCCAGGTGACCTAGATGCGGCGGGTTGAAAGAGCCGATGTAGTAGATGATGCGGTTCCGACAGCCCTTTCGCAGTGTCGGCACCACTGGCGATCCATCGACAGATGCTCCTGAAGGGGTTATGCCAAATGGGTTGAGCACTTCGGGCGTGTTCCAGGCCTGTTGAATATACTTCTCCAACGGGACAGTGGTATTGCTATTGCCTCTCTTTGGAGACATTTGCACTATTTAGAAAAGAGGGCCTGAATAGTTGCAAGTTTGTTATTTTCCAAGTTGATAGGTGTTCGATTTTATGCCACGCTTTCCAACTTCTAAGTTAGGACAAATACATTTGAGGAGGGAAATATAAAGACAACTTAGTTTTAAAAGTCTGAGGTTTTAAGGTTTAATCTGGACCCAAGTTATGACGCAGCTCTAAAAGGCCGAGTACGCAGTTTGTACCATGACTTCAATCTTCGTGGTTGCCTGCTGGCAGGTTGAACCACATGGCAAACACAGTGTCCTTAGGCTCCACACGAGGGTAGTGCTATGATTGCATAGCTACTGCCTAAAGTAAAGCTGAATGGATGCCATACTGATCAGCCTATTTATGATTGAAACACGTACATAGAAACCATGTGGTTGGCGAAATAGCTGTTTTGTATTATGTGCTGCTATATTGCTCATCGCTCCGCAAGCAAACTAGTACTTTTAATCATTCTCTTCCTTGCGGCAAATGAAACGAGTGGAAGCCACCCATACCCGGCTATGCAAAAGTACATGGTGACAAAGGAGAAAAGAGATTACCAAAATAGATCGACCAGCTACCAAATCACCACCCTTGAGAAACCGAGAGTTGTCGATTTGGCTGATAATGGTCGATAGAAAGAGAAAATGTAAACTACGTACGCGATTATCTAACAATCGTTGTATGCGTCGAAAAGCAAGTGAAGGCGGCGTAAGGGGTATCAATCTAGCTCGTGGAATGGGCATAGCCAACCAATAACAATATTGCAAGGCAGGTAGAATGCATAAGACGGTGAAAAGTCTGCTGAGTATTCTGCTGCTTTCATAAGTTGTGTTACAAATGAGAGTGTATGAGCCAAGATTGCGCCAAGACCAGATTGGTCGTGCGCTCAGGTGCTCATTCATTTAATCGTCGAAGAATCCAGCATCATCGAAATCTTCGATGTGACTAGCATCGGCGTCATATCCAGTTGAGCGAGCCATCGGGGGAGTCACTGGCTCTCTCAAATCGGAGATGCGGCGCGGGGGTGTGCCGGGCATGGGCATCTTCTCGGCTTGTCGCGCAGTCATGGAAGGCCCGCGAGCGCGATTGGCGAATTCCTCGGCTGTAAACCGGCGTCCCGTATTACCGAAGGCTGTAGGTTGAGCCTTGCTTTGTTCAGCTGGCGGAGTGCTGCGCAATCCAGATGCGGGCGGAGTCATCAATCCAGAGAGAAAGTCGTTCTGCGGTAGCGGGCTAGGCTTGCTCCGCGATGGAGTGTGATTTCTTGCCGGCGCAGGAGACCTCGTGCTTGAGAAATTGTTAAGCGAAGGCTGGTTACCTTTGCGCCAGTTACCCCAAGCAGCAGCCAAATGGCCTACAGCCTGAGCAGCTCGCGGAGTTGCAGCGCCTTTGATGGCAGCAGCGATGTCGGGTAGGTTGATGGCCGAACCACCATTCATGGCTCTCTCGCGCTCTTGCTCTTCCATTTGAAGGTTAGCCTTCAATCGAATGGTCGCGTCGAAGACCGCTTGTCTGTCAAAGTTTTCGGCTGATAAAGACACAATGATATCCTGTAGGTCACTGTGTCTTACAGCAAGAAGCTCACGTAGCCACGTGATTTCATCGTCCCTCTTGGTGATTTTAGTAGCGGCATCAGGATCAAGTCTGGATACAGTCTGCTCAAGCTCTTCGATGCGCTGCTCTCTTGCCTGAAGTTGCTCTTGTAGTACCATGATGGATTCGCGGAGTGCCTGTGGAGAAATCTTCTCCGGAACTTGCCTTGCCTGAGCAACAGCCCCGGATCTGACAACGGCTGCAGCAGGAGCTACAGACTCGAATGCTCGAGTGGCTTTGGCAGTCTGTGCCGCAGCTTTAGCAGCTTCCTGGGCAATTTGTACTTTCTCTTCCATGTGAGCAAGGCGATCTTGTAGATGCTCGACCTTAGAACTAGACAGACTCAGGCGCTCGAGCAAGTTCGATTCTGTACGCTGAGCATCCTCGGTCTTGTTGTAAAGCTCGCGTTCGTAGCGAGTCTGGATATCTTCCATGTAGCTTTGATGCTTACGTTCCAAAGCATCAAGATTGGTCGCACTGGTGGTTTGCGACTCTTCGAGCATCATATCATGATGAGCCTTGGCGGTTTCAGCGTCCATCTTGATTTGGTCAACCTGGGCACGAATCTTGGCCAGCTCATCCTCCAGGGTCATCTCATGCTGCTGCTTCAAGTTCTCGTTCACTTGTAAAGCTTGTGCAAGCTCAGCACGGACTTTGTTGACCTCATCTTCAAGTCCAGCACGAACGACATTCACCTGGTCGTTGGCCGAGTCGAGATCGGCCTGGACGGAAGTGCGAGTACGTTGCACCTCACTTGCAGCCGATTCACGTGCTTCCTTAGCTTCACGCTGGAAGTGGAGAGCAGTGGTTTGGATCTTGTGATTCTCGTTTCGAAGCTCGGTGAGGAGAGATTCCAGGCGCTTGACATCGGCCACAGCTCTCATACCGGCACGCTCGCCGCCTTCTAGTCTTTCAAGCTCTGCTTCCAGTCGCTCGCGAGTCTTGGATTCAGCCTGTAGTCTGGCATCCAATACCTCCTGTCGTGCAATGAGAGCTTGTTCTTTCTTCAGGCGCCGAGTATTTTCCTCGGTGATCTCGCGTGCTGCATGGGCCATATCGTCTTGCATAGAGAGGAACTTGACCCGCCAGGTTTCGCGAAGCTTCTCTGTCTCACTGAGCTGAGTTCCGAGAGTGTCAATGACCTTACGAAGGTGTTTAGCCTCATCAATGGCAGTGACAAGATCGTCAGTCTGTCGACGGTGCGAGTCGCGAGCGGACTCGGCTTCGGATCGCCAATGGCGAGCTTCCTGTACAGTATTGCGAAGCTCTTCATCGGTTGCGTTGAGACGGTTGGTGAGATCGATTTGGGTTTTGTCTGCATTAGATTGCGCGGCTTCAAGCAGGGCTAGGCGCATGGCACTTTTGCCGGCCCCCTGCTCGACAGACCTGATCTTCTGGTCGCGCTCCTCAAGTACAGCGCGGAGTCGATCCTCCTCCTCGGAAGAAATGCGTAAGAGCCGTTGGATCTCCGAGAGTCTGTCCTCAGCCTCTCTGCGACCACTAAGCTCAAAATCAGACCTCTGTTCTTGAAGCCTAAGTCGCTCCTCGAGGTCATGCACTCGCTGATCGTATACGCTGCGGTTCATGATTTCGACCTCAATCTTGGTTTCGGCCTGCTCAAGTTGACGACTGAGCTCAGCAGAGCGATCTTCCGCTCCTCGTCGAGTAGTCGTCTCCTTGTCGATTGTCTCCTCCTGATACCTTAATCGTTGCTCAAGCTCATGGACCCTGGCCTGCATCTCTGCCATCTTCATTGTAGCCTCATCGTCGTCTTTAACAACTGGAGGTGGGGTAGTTGGACGCTGGTTCTGGACAGCCTCCTCGACGATATTTCTAACATCTTCGATGGGGAAGTCGACATGCAGCGATTTGCTGAGCTGTTCTCTCATCTCCTGGAGTTCCCTGAGGACTGTTCCGTTATCGACAGAGGGCTCAGTTTGCTCCATTACAGATTGCAATGCACGACTGGCGTGATGTTGGTTGAGGGCCTCCATAACAGCAAAACGCATTTGCTCCATTTTTTTGTTTCGCTGGGGGCTATTAGACTTGCGAGTAACTGGAACGTCATCGTCCTCATCGTCGGCATCACTTTCCTGAATTTCTACAGATGCACTTCGCCGTTCACGACGGCTGGGATGACTGGAAGGTGTCCGCCTGGACATAGCAAGAAGAGCGTGTTGAATCGATCCCAAAGTCTTCTCGAGGGGGTCGAGTCGGTCAGCCAGCATGTCACCAACGAGCTCTTGAACATGACCGTTGAAGTATTGGACACGTTGACCAAGCTTCTCTTGCTCATCAGCGCTGAAAGCCTTGTCCCATTCTTCGCTTTCAGTAGCGTTACCACTGCCAAGATTATGGACTGGACCTTCCACGTCAAAGGTATGCGTACTCCGAGGAGGGTCAACAAATGGATCGTCCACCTCAGGAGACAGCAACTCGGGCGCAGGCTCGGAAGGCAGAGCTCGGTATTGCTGGGGAGTCGGGCTGGGAGCGTCGCTTCTAAAATGGCTCAGTAGCGGCAGGCGCAAAGGAGAATCATTCGCAACGGTCCCTAGGGTGACGTTGCGAACAGGACTGGGTTGACGCCATTTGGGAGAGGATTCCAAGGTTCTGTTGACACCCATGGTAGGATCGGTCTCATTCATATGCTGCATCACGGCATCAATCTCCTCGAATGTCAGCTCATGGTCGCCAGCAACGCGTTGCTTCAGACGCTCATCGGCGGCAACTGATGGAGGGCTAGCGGGTATGGGAATCGACTCGTTAAAGCTGTGAAGTTCGGATGGCTCGTTACTAAGGATATACTCGGCTTCCGATCTTTGGTCTGCTTCAGAGACGGGCGACGGTGACTTAGCGAACCTCGGGGCGTCCGATCCCTTGGGCTGTGGCGGTGGTGAGGCAAAACGTGATGCGCCAAGCCCTTGACGCGATGCTCCCGAAGCAAAGCGGGAAGCGCCCAGACCAGATTTTGTTGGCTCTGGTGTAGGCTCGCGTTGCGGCTCGACAAGCACAGGTTCAGCATCTGCTGCGTGACGAGGCTCAGGACCAGGAGTCGGCGAGGCAGCGCGGTCATCCTCGCTCTCTTCCGGTTGTACCATTGGGGGAGGTTGCGATTTGAACGACGGCTCAAAGGTAGCGGCCACAGGGTTAGGGCCGCCAAAGGTGAAGCCTCCCGGTACAAAAGATGCGGCTGTAGCAGATAAGCTTTTCTTGTGGCCTTTTTGGAAGGGCTCAGAGTCTCCAAAAGGTCTTGAATCGTTGAAGTCTCGAACCTCCGAGCTATTCTTGAACTCGAAAGGAGCCCAGTCGGCCTTGTCCTGGTCTGGGGATGTTGCAGACGGACTCGTCGTGGCTCTTGTATCATGAGACTCTGATTGTAGCTTGGCATCAGTGGACTCCGAGAGCACAGTGGAGTCAAAGATAGCGTCGCCAGCTGCTTCATGTTCATCATGATCAGCAGGCTGATCTCTGGCAGGTGCCATGGACTGCACGATGGTCGATGGCTCGAGTTCGGGTGTTGGTTCAGCGAAGCGTGGGACATCATCTCCATCAATGCTATCCCTGAACTTCTTGCTCCTTCGACTTAGATCCGTGAGACGACCGTCCTTATCAGTCTCCTCCACCGAAACAGGAGCTGGGCCAGGAGTGGGCGACTTGTGACTGCTGGCTGGACGCATGATAGGAACTGCCTTGCTTTTCTTAGCTGGCTTGGCGACTTCTGAGGACAAGTTAAGATCAATGCTGCCAAAGATCGAACCACGGTTGTCTATACTCTCATTGCCAGAGGCTGCTGCACTCGTAACGGAACCCGCAAAAGAACCAGTTGGCTGGAAAGTAGGAGCGACGGGATTAAATTTCGGACCACTAGCAGAGAAGTTGAAGTCGCTTTTTCCGGGCAAACCGAACTCGGCCTTACTAGGAAAGTGAAAGTCACTTGTAGTAGGAGAAAATACAGGCGCGGCAGCATTGATCCTACCTTTGGATGAAGAAGTCGAAGGCCCACTAACGTGGCTGGAAGCAGATGCTTGGAAGGCCGCCGGCTGGGAAGAGCTCGTAGCAGGCTGGAAGCTACTTGCTCCAAAACTGAATTGGCCTGGCGTAAAAGAGCTTGTAGGGTTGAATTTGAACTCCGTTGCATTAGCGTTGAGCTTTGAAAATGATGGCTTGCTCGTATGACTAGGGCGGCGCGAGACTGGCTTGTCCCCATTCATAGACTGTACATGAGCCCACGGGTTGCTTGTTGTGGACATGTCACGCTGATGGAAGTCCTTGGCTGAGTTGAAGCCCGAAACAGGGGTTCCAAGATTGCTTGGGTTCGTCTCGATCTCGTAAGATTCATCGCCCTTCTGTTCCTTGACTGTTTGGAGCTTGGCAGCATCAGGGTCAGAGTTACTGTCACGCACTTCATCGTTCTCAAAGAAGGATTTTTGCGTAAGGGAGTGCCCGCGACTATGCGGGCGAGGATGATGCAGGACAGGACCCTCGTCGGAGTCGTTGCCAAAGTTACCGAAGTGAACCGATGGTCCTCTAGCATGGGCGGATAAACCAGGGCCGACGGGGCCATGGGCATTGACCTTGTCAGTCTCTTGATGTGGGCTGTAATCTTCATGCTCAAGCTGCTCACGAAATTGTTCCTCAAGGTGGTACTCAGCATCATCGATCTCTTTCTGCAGACTGTCGCTGGCATTATGTTTGATGAAACGAGCAGGCTCAGGCGTCTTGGAAGGGCTCCTTTCTTCATAGGGGTTGCTCTGGGTCTCCTCGTCCACCTCACGCAGCTCCTGTAGGCGTGGCGACGCTCGTGCAGATTCCTGGCGCTGTAGGTGCTGATGCGGCAACATAGGATATTGCAAAGACTGATGACGCTGGTGCAAGCCTAGTGGTGAAGGAACGCCTTCAAAAGGCGATGTTGGCGACATCAACCCGTTCAAGCCGAGGACGGACGGCGAACCACTTCGACCAAGGTGTTGCTGTAGAAGCATCTCCCGAGGAGAGAAGCCATGCGGGGATGGTTGGCCAAAATGGAAAGGGAGTTCGTGAGGAGAGATGGAGATGGATTGTGCCCGCGGGTTGAATTTGCCTGGTAAACCGGCGAAAGACAACGGTGACGCCACAGACGGAACGGTAGGGCTTTGTGTCGCTGACGTCCCGTGGAAAGCACCTGGGAACGGGAAGCCTTGAGCGCCACCACTTGTGGCCGAACCGGTGGGGATAGGCGGTGAAAAGGGCAACGGGGGATACTGAGTTGACATTCTCCCACCAAGCCCTGAGGGAACTGGAGAAATGGCTGGCGGTTGTGCTGGCGGCTCGTCACCAAAGGACACACCAAGCGCCCTAAGCTTGGCTTCCTGTAGCTCGTTGACATAATCTTTCCACGCATTCAAATCCGGCAGCAAGACGTGGAACTTGTGATCGACTCGTTCCTTCACGATCTCTTCAGGGTTCGGCCACTGGTTTCGGCTCTGCGAATTGTACTCTAGTGGATCGAGTGTTGCACGAGAAACATCGGCAGGGCCATCCAGATCGAAGCCTCTAGTGTTGTAGCCTAGCTCTTGCCATGACCGAAGCATATCTTGCATCTGTGAGGCAGTAAGGGGTACGGAGCCCTTACCAGTCTGGCCCCGTTGGTCATCCCGGGGAAGATGCACCATAATATTCTTTCCTTTCCATGGTACCTTCTTCTTCAACCTAGGAGTCTGTGCTGGTAGTACTGGCTTTGTGGGTTTAGTAGGTGTGGCGGGGATCTGTATCGAGCCGTTGACACTAGCTTTGCGCTCGACTCGAGGTGTCTCAACCTGGCCTGCGGCCGTAGAAGCCGCGTCCAACGTGTGAATGCTGGCGGTATCTTGGGCGCCTTGACCCTTTTCGAGTGTGAGGGAGTCCATTGTCTTGCCGAGGCGGTTGGCGGTAGCTTGCCTTAGCGTTTCGTTGCTTGATTTGTTTCTGGGATGCCGCGAAGGGGTCCGATGTGGTCGGAGGTGCCGACTGGATGTGCGGGAACGTGACGCTCGGGGTGTACGTGGATCGGCCTCCTCAGACCAACCAGGCTCGTCGCCGGAAATGGAGCCGCTCAATGAAGAGTGCTCGCTGTAGTCACCGTCGCTCAGCCAGTGACGATGCTCTGATGTAAGATCGTTGGTTGTGTGAGCTCGAATCCAATCCTCAGTAATGCTACGCACGGGTTGCTGTCTGCGAACACGGTTGAGGAGCACGGCGGCACTTTCAGATACACCGGATTGTTGTGGTTGCCCCTGAGCAGTCGCGACTGGAGAAGCAGCGGGAATCAGTCTCAAGAAAGGGGTGGAGATCTCGAGCTGGTGGATAGGCGAGTCGTCCGAAGGCTCACTGCTGAAACTCTGGCGACGCAGACGACTTTGTTCACTGGGCGGATACGGTGAGCCCCAACTTGCAGTCACGAACTGACTGCCACTGTCTTCGGATCCAGAGGAATGTTGGGGCGATTCGACCCTGCGGAGATACTCGCGGGCTCTTCCCGGAAGTTGAGGAGCTTGGAGCGACGGGAGCGCCGGGTCAGAGAATATCTCGTCGTCAAATCCGTCGAAGGTTGAGCTCGAAGAGAATGCCGGGGAATTCGGAGATTGCAAGTCCTGATCTGGTGATGCTCCAAGACCGTCCTGTGCTGCGGTAGCACTAGGAGGAATCGACGACCTTGGTGAAGACGTCTTATAGGATCTAGAGCTCGAGGTTTGATATTAGCTTCGAGTACATCAAACGGCCCATTGTGCATATATATCCCCAAGCCAACCCCATAGTGCGAGTCACTATGGCTTTGAAATGCATACATGTTGACCATACCATCTGGGAATATTGGATGTTGGATATTAGCTAGAGCATACCAGAGTGAGATCAGTGCAGACGAGGAAACAATCGCCTGCTACTGATGCTCAAGAATTCCTCCCTCTCGTCTCGCGTCACCTATAACCACCTTGACAGCTCGAGGTGATACGTAAGCGACGAGGTCATGCAAGGTGTTCAAGACTCGTGGTTGTCGCGCGTCGTCTTGCTCCAAAAAAAAAACCCAACAATCGTATTAAAAAAAAAAACCGGTCCAGGGGCTTATTATGGGCAACCGGATTAGAAGTATAAAGATAAAAAACGTCAGGGGTTGAATCAAGACGGAACTAAAAAGAGCGGGCGAGGTAAAGTTGCACGACTCCTTGCGTATGTCGAATGCATCGGATCGCAGTCGCTTGGCCGCTTCGAAAACGAATCTCGAGAACTGTTTTGTTGACAAAGACAACAGCTTAGCTGTTGCAAATTCGAGCAGACAGGCCAAGCGAACAGCACAGCAAACTGACCAGACGAATCGTAGGGGACGCGAGACGTGTGTGGAGTGACAGGACCCTCTCAAGGCGTGGGCCTCTGGAGTGCAAGCAGTCCAGTTGCAGAGGTAAGATTGACTTTCTGGTCGACTTGATGAGCTGTCAGGGGATTGCCACGCTCCCACGCTCTGCTATGCGCCAATGCAGAACAATTTGCTGGGAAGAGCTCTCGAAATTGCTGCCCGCCTTTCCCGTTTGGGTCCAGCTGGTAATCAGACGCAATAAGCTTTAAAATCATCTGTTAGAGAGTACATGGTCGTCTCGGTTGCCGTGAGCCACACGATCCGCTGCATCCTCTCGGGTCTCAAGTACCCCACTATCTGACCCCTGAAAGGCCGGCTAATCTCGAAAAATGACAGATGCCCGAACGCCCTTTCGACGCGACTGCCATGGGCCCCACACCTCTGGTATGTAACTTACTACATATGTATGTATGTGGGCAGTCACTCCAGCTTTGCATCTGGCATGTGCTCAACAGCTCGAACAAAGCTCCCATGATTGACAGATCTGCAATTCGCCATGACTTCGTCGGATTCTGTCGTACATATATAAACTTTAGTCGTACAAGTCGAGCGCTTGATTCCCATCAACTCGGGAGCTTTACATTACCATACCATGCCATGCCAGACAAGTATCGCTGCCTTTCTTGCTCGAGTGCGCACTGAGCTCCTGAAATTAGTATCGACTTAGTGGCCTTGCCGGCATGGTTCAATATGTAGCGAGATTGACTTCAGCCTAACACAATGCGGCTCAGTTTGAGCGTTCCGGGTACCTCTTGTCAGTTATCCAAAGCTAGAAGGTGCAAGCCGTCTACAAACCTTGAGCTTATTTATGAACTTATTGTTGGTCAGATATCTGGATTTAGCATTCATTCGGCCACAAGGCAAATTTCGGATCTCGAGTATGCGCCGTTTTGCTGGGGTTGAGGCTCTTTGCTTGATTTGACAAGATGCTTCACAACTTACGTACGCATTGTGCGAGGGCTGGAACAAGAGACACTCGAGAGAACACAACGCAATTGTTGTGTTCGCACCGTTGCTTCACGATCGTGGTTTGACATTTGTCATCAAACATGCATACGTACATGCACACACAGACGAGAACAGTTAAGCTGGCATCTTCGGACATGTTAATATTCCCAGTTTATCTCGGCAAACCCCCTCCATCATTAAGATGTGTGGGTAGCCGTACTACCATTGCTATAAGTAATCGCCTCAACTACATACAAGTTACGGGGTGAACCGGCTGGGCTACCCGTCTGCCATTGAAGGCCCAGATAGATGTACTCACCTGGCAATAATGTTGTCGCTATGGGCAAGGGGGAAGCTCACAATGGAGTGTGGGTAGTCTTGGTTTATCTTCAACTATGTGGCTCAGCACAAGAGCACACCAGTATATCTGCTAAAATATGGACCTTGGAAGAACTCTTCGAAAAGTCTCAGAAGTGGTAGTGATTTGCAAGATTGTATATCAACAAGTGTCGATCCGACAATACATGGCATTTGCGATAGGGATGTCGTAGCTCTTTCGTAACAAACCAAAACTTGACTCGACTGGTTTAAATGATAGAATCGTAGCCCATCTGATTACCACAATCATGCGTTCACAAATATATGCGAGACATTCCATTGTTCAAGAGAGGTTGAAGACAACCACAAATAACCCCACCCAATACATGCCCTGAGTATAACGCGATTGTGAACCACAATAAACTCACTTGAAAAGCTATACATGGCTGCGGGCTGAGGCTCTCGACAATTTGATACCTACGTATGAGGTGAAGTAAGATGTAAGCCATCGAGCTAAGAACCTCTTTCGTGCGAAGCTGCTGACCGAGGGATGGTGTCGAGAGGTGGCTGTTGCGGTGCAATCCAGACTCTTGGTAAATCGAGACGGCTCGTACGCAGGTACAGCCTGCGTCATCCGGCCGCATGGTGATGTATAAGCACGAAAAATAGCCTCCTAAAAGGTTACCTGGCAGCCCTGGCACAGTAAGCGCAACAACAACAATTTTACAATCATCGGTCTACATTCAGGCCCGACTTCGCCACCACATGTGCCTAGAAGGCCGATCTTGTATTGTTTCTCGGCGGAATGACGAGATGGTGTGCCGGAGCCAAGACCAGGGCGAGCACGGCAATGCACCGTGACGTCCAGAGGGTGCACCCTGTCAGGCTTGGGGAGGGGTCATGATACAACCCGCCATTATGATCCAAGAATTGGAAGATGACGATTGATGCGATTTCGCACCAAGTCAGTTCTGGTCTCTCGGGGTTTGCATGTGTTTCAAGTTTCTGGACTCTGTACTTGTGCAAGCTCCTTTCTGTCCTGGCTGGCGCAGCGGCGCTGTGCGCAGTTGATCGGGGGGTTACATAAAGTTGAAGTCAATTCCGTCAGCTAGGATCGTTTCAGTGGAGGCTTTGCGGCATACTTGGCATCCAGACTTCGAAATGGAACACACGAGTTCAGAGGTTGTTTTCTGCCTGAAGTGCCTATGTAAGTTATTTTCTAAAGCCACTGTAAGCCGTCCTAAGCGCAGGGGCAACCTGGAGCGCGTGGCTTTGTCCTTTGTTAAACGCCGGTGGTCCGAGGATTGTGGACAGAGACCACGGGAGGCTTCATTCATCGCATGTACGATTTTCTGAGGGAATGTTCTGCCGATTTCGTAAGCAGCCGTTACATACGGATTAGTCTAACTACAGGAGAAAGAATCGTCAGGCATCTGGTGAACGGGCTGGCAGGAGTGTGTGGTTTATGCATGTTTCTGCGCAGATGCAGTGTACCGAACGAATTGTCGCAGAGCGCCAATGCAGACGCCAGCGAGCGAAAAGAAACGGCGCTGGGATTGCCGGGAGCTAATGAATACAGTGGGCCAATCTGGCAGCCCCGTTGCCCTGTCAAGGACCCTTTTTGGGGTCATGCTTCATGCGTACGGGATCCGTACGGCCTCTGCTGAGCACTTGGAAATGCAGATGGGCAACGTAATACGAGGCAGCCCCAGTTTAGTGGAGTATCCCGAGGCCTGGTGAGTGGTCAAAGGGGCCACACACTTGTCCCTCTTTGTGCTCAGTAAATCTAACGACCCATTGAATAATCTCTTCAAGGCGCTGAGGGTTGTTGATGCTGCACGGGGGGGAAGGGGGGGGAGGAGGCAGCGGAGGTACTTCCTACTGTCAGGTACTCTGCAGGCACCCAAAGTACCCTGGCCCCAAGCACGAGCATCAAAGAAGCCCTCTCGCGGCCTTTTCCGCTGCAAATCTCTTGTTTCCTTCAGTAACTTCCAGAGACTCCGGCCCTTTGCCAACAAACAGCACACACCACATCACTCCATCCATCCTCACCCACACTCGTTTTCCCTTGATCCAGTCATAGGCATAACAGTTCGCATTGATCCCGTTATTCTTGGTTTCGAGGCTTCTGTTTCTTCTCCTTTTTTGTTCCTTCTTCTGTTTCGACCTTCTTCGCGCCAATCGTTACCCATTACTTGACACGACACGCCACGCCACGCCTCGCCATTTTCTCCTTTGCACCCCCATTCTCATTTGTCGCTCAACCCGACACAATCAACCAAAGCACACGACAGCCGCCCACATATTTTTGTCAGAGGGAGCCGCTCGTGTTTCCGACAAATTCGAGGGCCTACTTCGAATTAGTCACCCCGTCCGTAACTCCGACGGCCACTCATCTGTGACCACCCGGGTATATCTACCTCGACAGCGTATCTCACCGTATCGTCTGGTAGTAAATCACTGTCGACGAAAAACCTCGTCGCCTGTCATCTCCACGTCGCAGATCAGCCACATCTACAATCATGTACTCGACGCGACTGATCCACCTACTCATGGTGGCCCTCTCGGTCATCACCGTCGCTCAAGCCACCTGGGCTGACCTAGGCTTTGTCGGTAAGGCCTTCAGAGAGGTTGTCGCGAGACAGGACGACGAAACCACCGCCTCCTCCTCCTCCGCTGCCGCAGCTACGACGTCGACCAGCGCTAGAGCGTCGAGCAGTGCTGCTGCTCCTACAACCTCCTCCTCCTCGACCGTTGCTGCTACCACTACCACTCCTGAGGAAACCCCGACTACCGCCGCCACCACTCCGACTACCTCCAACGAAGTAACGACCACACCAGGCCCTGCCAACACAGCACAAACGACCCCGTCCACCTCCAGCTCTAGGGTGCAAGTTACCACCTCAACTGATGCTGGCGGCAATGTCGTCACTACCTCATCCACCGTGGCCGCCACACCTACCGACGATGCCAGCTCCTCAGAATCGACCACTCCATCCTCGGTCGTGACGACTTTCACCAGCCAATATACCTCGGTCGTCGTCATCACAACCACTGATTCGGGAGGCGCTGTCATGACCACGACTTCCTCCACTACTGGTGTCGCCACATCTACTGGCCTTACCCAAGCCAGCACTTCCAGCTCAGATAACGGCGGTATAACCCAGCAGACCAAAAACACCATCATCGGTGTATGCGTTGGTGTCGGTGGCGCTATCATCCTTGGTGTAGCAGGTCTCTTGTTCTGGCGCCTGCGCCAAAGACGAGCTCAGGATGGTGACGAGGATCTAGTCAACTACGGCGCCGGCACCAGTCAGTTTAACAGTGCCCCAGAGAAGAGCGAGGCCAGCGGTAGCATGACTGGCACTGGCGCTGGTCGTAGCCCCTTCCAGAGCACCCTCGAGTCATACCACGCACCAACTCAGAGCAACACCGGTACCAACTTCTAAATGCCTACCCTGAATACCTCGGGCCAAGTGGAGGACAGCGACATCGTAGGCGCAATCGTGTACGGATGACATTCTGCCCCCTTTGGCCTCGGAACTGTTTTTTTAACTGGCGTGTTTAGGAGTTTGGGAACTTGCATTGCCTAGCACTAACGGCCTTGGCTGGCACAAGATAGAACATCTCGGATCATTTGACATGCACTTTCCATGAAATCATGGCCTGTCCATGGGATAGGATTTCGTATCTCGGCAGGGGTTCATATGAGCATTCAAATGGATATGAAGCAGCGATTTTTAGGCTTTGGCTCCTACAGTCTTCAGACCAACGGGTCGCCTAGGAAAAAGAAAAAGACATATACTTTCTAATAATACTACCCACGTTACATTCTCAACAGATTGTATATAGAACCCGTCGACAGAATAGATTTGCAATAGCCCGAAGAAAGAACTTCCGTTCCTGAAGAGTGCCCATATTGATTAGATTCCGCCACCATGACTTAACACTGCCGTGGTCTTTTTTGGATATGCATGGGACAGCGAGTTGGAGCTTTAAATCAACGGCTTCAACCATGTGTATATCTCCGAGCCCAAGAACGTAACCTCTAACTAAATTGCATGTGTTTTTTTATGTCGTCCTGATACACTGGTCGAAAAAAATCCGCAGTCATATGGTTGGTTGGAGTGCTCTTAGGGAAGGCGTCTCAGGACTGTTTCAGAAGTGGCACATCGCACCCACATCCAAATATTGAGGTCGAGCCTCGCACACCCGGTCGCAAAGTAACTTGTCAGCTTGCGATAATTCCTTTCTTTCGAATAGCTTTCTTGTAATCAAATACTGGACGACAGGATCGCGAAACCAAGACGTAAACACTCACTCTCACCACTGAACCGTAGCGTATATATATACCAGACTGGACCCGGGGACAGCCTACGACGAAACGCCGGCCGTACTTTCGACCAGAAACAACAACCACGGTCCTTCTTCCTACTCGAAGACGGCGCGACTATTGATATAGTACACTCGTTTATTACCCACAACATTTAAGGATACCGTCCAAAGTGAAGCTTCTGTCATTGTTTGTTTTCATACTATTTCGTCGCTGTCTTCTTGCTGCTTGCGTTCCTATTATATCCATAACAACCATGAAGTGCACAGGGCTCAGTGTGGCATCGCTGCTGTCGCTACTGGTAGCTAGCGCCGCGGCGGGGGATCTTATGGACGATCTGGGGAGGGAGTTCGCCTTTGGGTTGTTCCCCAGGCAGCTTGCGACAAACCTGCAGGTATGTGCATCGCATGTAGCGTCGTCATCAACAGCGTACTGACTCACTACCCACGCAGGCTTTTTCAGGGTCACTGGGTGGTGCTGCTGCTCCAGCTGTATGTCTATACATCTCGGCCGCTGACCAACTGCGGATACTAATAATGTGATGCCCAGATCACGAAATCGTCAGATCCTGCCCGACCCTTCACAGTAGATGGTGATACCTTCGTGCGTTTCATCGTCTCCTTGCCTCTCTGAAGTCACGATCTCTAACATTTTCATGCAGAACGATTTCTCGACGGCCGCACAGCGGGCCTGTGATAATCAGAAGAACCAGTGTGCGGACATTGCGAACAGTCAAAAAGATGGCTCTTTAAAAGTTGGTGATTGCGACCAGCAGAACAGTAAGTTAATCACAACTCGTACATGACCCCGAGCTTAGCGCCGAAACGAACTTCTGACATGGTCCAATCTAGCTCAATGCAAGAACGCAGCCTCGACAGCTACAACGACCAGCTTCGCCACTTTGACAAGCTCCAATGCAGAGTTTGATTTCTTCTGCGAGTAGAAAGCTGGAAATTTGAAGCATTATGTCTCGAGAATTGTAAAAGTTTTCATTGAAAAATAATTGGCAAGGCAAAAGGTCTGAAGTCTAGATTGTCACCACCAACACGAATAGAGCGTTGGTACAGTCCCACAACATCACCAGATCCAAAACAAATAGCAAAAGCAAATGCGACTCCGACACGGGGAATCGAACCCCGGGCATGACGGATCAAGATGAGAGCGTCATATGTTAGCCACTACACCATATCGGATGTGATTTTTGTGCCTTTGTTGCAAGTTCCCCCGTTGAGAGGGCTCAAGTACGGAGGGCGACGACCCGTAATGATTATGCAGTAATAAAGGGAAGCGGGCCAAGCTGTATCCAGAGGGATGAGTTTGAATGATTTCTATTTTTGGGTAGTTGACGTTAGAGCACGCATCGTTGAGAGATGCATATATTTTTATCAACTCATGGATAACTCTGGTTTTGCTGGGCGGTGTCACTGCTCCTTCAACCCCTAATTACCGCAAACGCCTCTGGAATAGGAAAACAAAGCACCCCAGGGCTAAACGTGGGGAATCATGTGGTACAGGTAACAAAGCGATTGAGAAAGAAGTAGTCACAAGATAAAAAGTTGTCCCTTGCTTGACTTGTACAAAAGGGTGCTGGACCAAATCCGGAAGTATGGAAAACCAGATAAGTTTCCTCTGAACTCACAATATCTGGAACATATTGTCGTACAATACAAACATACAAACATCGAATTGGGCGTAAGAAAGCTACATCTATGATATTGAAAACACAAAAGTTCCACCAATCACAAGAAGAAAAAGGCTAGCACACAAAACTACCGACCGAAAAGAAATGGGCAATATAGGTTCAACCCTCGCCCCCCTGCCGGCAGCCACCGCGCTGCAGACCCCCTACAACACCAACTGCGCCGTCTGGTACACCGTCAAGCCCGGCGACGACTGCGAGTCGCTGGCCGGGGCGTCGTGCATGGACGTCGGCAAACTGCAGTCCCTGAACCCTGCCCTCGGCGGCGGCGAGTGCAATCCCAAGCTTTGGGCCGGGTACAGCTACTGTGTGCGGGCCGTGGGCGACATGTCGCCTTGCGGGTTCATCGCGCCGACGCCGACGCCGACGTGCCCCGTGGGGTATATTTGCTACGGGCCTGGCGAGAGCGGGTGTCCCACGGATCGGTACTGCAAGACCAAGCTGGTGACGGGCCCGGTGGTCACGTCGACGACCCTCGTAATCGTCACGGCCGCCCCTATCCAGTTTACGACCTTGTAGGAGGTTCGGATCAGGTTTTCTGGGTGGTTTTCGTAGCCTTCAGGTCTTATTCAGGATGACATCTCCAATTTGCCCATTTCCAAACCCCGTGACGATTTGGCGAGACGCACGATCACATAGAGCATCTGTGTCTAGATATCTCGATAATACCCAATGATTCGTATAAATTGCCATCTATCTCGAAGGCTCTATGACTGGCCTCGACACTAAACTCCTATCGCCCCTAATGATATTCTTCTTATCATATCTAACTTCCTAGTAAAGAAGAAAAAAACATTCGTATATGCTATGAGCTTTTCTCCAAGTCATTCACTGTTGAACACTCAAGAGCATTGCCAGACTCCTCCAAGCTATTTCCTCCTTGTCATGAAACATTCCCCATAGCCTTAACGCTACAGGCGCTCGACAACTACTGCTTTTAATGTACTGAAACGGTTCTTTGAGCCTGACTATATATTTTTGAACACGGCCTAACCGGGAGATCAACTATATATTATGACGACTACTAATACAATCTGCTTTTACTGGGCTTCATCACTGATTACGTACGAACCGTTTTTCCTGCGACAGTAAGTGACGCTGAGTAGCGCACATAGATGTACTAATGCCTCGACGAGAAAAAACCGCGTTCTGGCGTGGCAAACTCTTTCCCTCACCTCTTGGGGGTATCTCCAAGGGACGCACAATCTAATGCTTGCCGAATCTTGCTTCGGTATGATGGGGAGAGCCGATATCGAAGGACTAAAGAATCGATAGAACACACTGTCAGCATTTATATTCACACTGGGGATGAGAGTCAAGGGGACTTTTCCACTCTAGACTAGTTGCACTGGAGATTACTGTTCTCCATGAGCTACTCCCCTTAAGACACCTGCGCTATGGTTTAATAAATGTGCCCACATTGGTTAGACACCGCACATGACATGTAATATCTTCAAGCGCTTTAGATGATAAGTTAACAATGTCACCGCGATCTGATGGCGGCTTAGCATGGCGACAAAGCCGCCGATCCAGAAGATCGTTACCAGTGCTTCACCTGCAAATTACGCATGGCCTGACTTTGTCGATCCTAATTTAGCCAATGGATATCCGATTGTAAAATTGCTTTATATTCTATTCAATTATCCAGTGTAACTACTGATGGCAGACCATGAAACTCCATTGAAAACCAATATCCGGCCGTTGCTACGCACCGCAAACCCCCCTGGTCAAGGCAGGCTAAGGAACAATTGTTCCATGGCCGGGTAATTCGGCGTTCCCAATCCAGTTACCGGATCCCAGCCGGCGACGGCCGAGAAGCCATTGGTCCCACACCCCGGATTTTTCCCGTTCGTGATATCGTTCATAACCTGTGGGTTCTCATAAAGCACAGGATTGATGAACCCAACGGGTCTCTTGCCGGCATCCAGACGCTTCTCGTTGATCATGTTTATGAGACTTGCAAACACGGGCGCGGACGCCGAGGTGCCAAACGACAGCGTAAAGTTGCCGTCGACCGCGGTGACGTAGCGGGCGCCGTTGGCCGACACGTCCGGATAAGCCCGGACACTCTGCGAGTTGTTGAACTGTTGGGCGTTGTATGGCGGCGCTGATTGGCTGAAATAGGTCGACACGGCTTTTTGTTGGTAGGAGGGCATGGCGAAGACGTTGGAGAAGCCTCCCCCCGAGAAGATGACCTCCTCGCATGCGCTCTCTGCCGAGCGGACGGAAGAGCCGTTCAAAATCTGTGTCGCGCCTACCGATGTGACGTATGGACACGTTCCAGGAAATGATGGATTAAAGAGGCCAGATGATCCGTCGTTATAGGCTCCGGTCGTGGGGTCGATGCAGACGGCCTGGTTCCCAGCTACGCCGTTGTCTCCGGACGAGAAGATCATGGAAACACCCTGCAGAGCGAGCTTCATGTACTCTGCACATTGCCTTTGCTCATATCGCGCACCCAGGTCACCCTCGTTATATCCATAGCTCGTCGAAATGACGTTGGTCGCAGTGTGAGTACCACACCGGATATTATCAGAGTATTGACCATCTACATTTGGGTCCTTAGAATCGCCGCCTTCAAATGTGCAGAAACTCCCGTCCAAGGCATCCAGGAGGTTTCCGAAACTGCCTCCTTGAACGAGGTCACCCACCTGGAACACGGTCGCTTGTTGAGGATAGATTAGGCCCATTGCAAATTCGATATCGAGAGCAGACTCGCCATTGAAGCTGAAACTTCTGTTTGTCGTCTGAACGACTGCGTTGTCGATCAACTGGACGATAGGGGACTTGCCGGCAAGCGCAGGTTGAAACTGCGCAAAGAACATATCCAGGTCTGATTGAAGAAATGCCTGTGGGGTGTATTCGACTATGCCCAGCGTGTTGTTTGACTTCGCAAGCGAGCCAGGCGGAACGGCGTACAGGGCGCGGATACAGTCGAGTGTCAACATTGTATCACAGCTTTCCAAAGTGGCCAAGGCGTTCTGAATCACAGCACCTTGCTTCGGAGAGAAACCGTCGTTTTCCGCTGTCCCCAAGATTCCACTCTCCGGACGCTGCCTCTTCGCCAATGACCGTCTCCTGAGTTCTTGTTGGTGCTTCTCGCTAACAGAAGTCTGCTTGCTTTCGCGCTCGTGTCCGACACGCTGATCAAAGTGGACTGTCGGCGTAATCAATTCTATATGCTCCACGAGATGCTCTGGAATATGATACTTATCACAGGCAATATGATAGTTCCCGCGTTGATTATGTTCGTATAGATGGTACTCGGTCTTGAGAAGGCGTTCAACCTCGTGTACGGTCGCCTTGAACTCCAGCCAATGTCGGCCCTTTGAAAGTGTTACACGGCGAAGATCTATCCCTTCGGCCTCGAGCCACTCTTTGACGGCATCAACGGACTCATGTTTTGGGGCGAACGCATCGGCAACCTGTTTGGGCGTCCAGTGTTTACCGTAATCGGCAGATTTGGGATGAGAGACGGCAGTGATGAACTCTTCGGCTTTGTGAAGATTCGACTGAGACAAACCGATCCGGACAGGGAGATTTCTCAAGCTATGAAGACGTCCGGTTTTTGTCCAACTCCTTCGTGCTACAGTCCGTTCTTCATGGATGACGTGGTTCGTTGCCCTTCTGTGAGGCGTTCCCTCCACCGCTACCACCAGGGCAGCTAACAAACTTGCCAGCACAATAAACCTCATTATCACAACTTAGATCGTCACGAGCCTAGCTACCCAAGAAAGCGAAAAACATGGACTGAAAAAGCCAGGAGACTATATTATGGCTTGTAACTGGGTCATGGCACCGTAGCTTTAGCACGCCTAGAGACGCGCACGCCATGTTTAGTGCAAGCTCATGCTTCCTATCTTGTAGGAGGTTGGTTTCATAACCCGATCCTATCTCCATGTGCAAAGCTTTGTAAACATCGATATTTGGGTGCAGATGGGATGAGCACGTCCCGGATTCATTCTGGGAACGTGCTCCCCAACTAGATGCTAAATTCGTCTCAACTATGCCTGTAGATCCGAGACTACAGAAGATTGGTGAACCAATCAATGGTTTTCGCCAGAAGAACCGGCGGAGGGGTTCGGAACCTATACGTGCCTTGGCCAAAGAAGCCTCTTTGGCAGGAAAATCAAACACTATTGCCCGCATTGGCGTTCCAAGCGCTCGATGCGACCCTGGGCAAAGTGCAGCCATTCGCGGACCAATTGGCCGTGCGGATGCATGAGGCTCAAGTAGACCCGCAAGACGTCCCCTGGACCCCCCACAGAACCACTCAATCTTCAATGGGGTCGTGTTTCAGGCTTGGCCGCAACTATGGGAAATTGTGCCCAAGCCGCAAAGTGACGCGTGTTTTCAGAGACTGGTACCATTGGCTCTTGCTCAGGTAGTTGTTGACTTTGCTTCCTGATATCGCTGCATTGTCTTTTTCTGTAAAGCTCGCTGTTCATTGACGAGCTTCCAAAGATCTTCGTTTTCTTTGCGTAGCGCCTCATCACCACCAGCAGTATTCGTAGACTGAGGTTGCCGCAGAGAAGTGATTGCCTCTTCAAGAATCTCAGGCGAAAAGCCCTTCGAGTTCAGCATCTTGCTGAATCTAGTTTCGCCACTCAGATCAGAGTCTAGTTGAGCCGTGAGGTTGTACCCGCGACTGCCCAAGAACGGCTTCACGATGCTGATAGTCCTTACGGCTCTGGGCGAAGGCAGCGGCGAGAGGAACACAAGGTTGCTTACAGAAGCATTGAGATTGGCAACTTCCGTAGGAATGGCCTTCGTGCTGAGGTCCCACCTTAGTATCTGACCATTTGGATGGCCAGAGAGCAAAACTGTGCCATCATAGTTGAGTCCCAAACAAGACGCTGGTCCTGTTTCTCTTGATACTGAACCGAAAGAAGACGAGACTTGGACCACAGTTGAGCTTGCTTCTGCGCTTTGGGCGCCAACCAGAGCCTTTTCTGCGAACAATTCAACGGAAAACATTGAGCCATCATCAGTTGAAACGTAGAACGCACGGGCGCAAGGATCGAGGCTTAAAGAAATGGGGGAGCTTGGAAACAATAGAGTACGCAGAGCTTCGCCGGTCTGATAGTTCCAGATGATACAGGACTTGTCTTTGCTGGCTGAAATGCAGATATTGGTATCTTGGTTGACGCTCTGGCTGGCGACTAGAGTTGAAATAGCAGCTCGATGATTGGATAGAGTTTTCTCGGGCTCATGTTCAACGGTTGTGTCAAGCTCGAGCAGACGCGAAATGTCCCAGACATTAATGTTTGAATCATCAGACCCAGTGAGCAGGTGGTAAGGGGTGACAGCAAGGCAGCTCACTGCCTGGACGTGGCATGCAGGAGTAGTAATCTGCCTGCCTGTGCATGTCTATAGAGTTGTCAGCATGCCATCGTGACCAAGGCGGCGCTGTAATGCAACATACCTCCCAGACCATGATGCGACCCTGGTCTGTGCCCAGTATGAGGACATCGTTCTGGAGAGCGACGCTCTTGATTCGCTCCTGAAGGGTCACGATCGCCTCTTGTTTACCATTCTCCCTCGAATATACATGAACGGTGGACTTTTCATCTTGGGCGGAGAAAACGTGCGTATCGCTCACGGCTAGGCCTCTCGGCGGCACGGAACTCTTCTTGAATATGTTTGCGGTCGAATGACTAGGATGCAGAATATGTTCATAGATGCCAACATCCTTGGCGATGGCAGTGTTGTTGGCGAGCGGCGCCCCTGACACGGACACGAAGTATCTTTCGGTCAACATCGTTTCGGCGTGAATCGGCTGCTGTCGAATGTAGATTGTGTATTGTGGGCGGTAGACCGCGATCCCCAGGCTCTTGCTGTGTTCGCAGGAATGGCGTCACACCGCAACACGGTAGCCTATGTGTAGCTTTTTCAAGGATATTCCGGACCTTGATCACCTTTCTTGGCGCAGGATATGGGTGCGTAAGAGACCAATGGCTGCTGTCTGGTCCTTTCGCAAAGCAATCTGGTTTGCATTTGGTGAAAGGCTTTTAGACAAGCCGATCGAATTTTTCTGCCGTCCTACTTGAAGCTATCCAAAAATTTCAAGACGAGATGCATGCGGGAACCTCGACCCCACTACATAAGTTTTAGAACCCCATAGGTTCCAATCAGCCGAACCTTAGCAGCTTTGCACCAATGCAACCGCCGCCAAAAAGGTTCTGTTTTAGCGGGGTTCTCTGTGCCGTAGGTGCTATAGGTGATGTAGGTGCTGTAGGTACTCGGCACTGTAGCAGGAGAACGGTACTTCTACTACGTAAGCTGCTATCTAGGATCCGAACTGCTAGGATCCAAGCTGGGAGCTCTGGAGCTGGAGCAATTGCCGCATGCTCGCAGGAAGCTCATCCCTCACCATACCTGTTCTGCCTGTATTCAGGGGGACTACAATTGCCGAATTGCATCTATTGTTAGCATCTCACCATCTCACCTGAAAACCCTAGACTGCCGGCGATCTCGCACTCAAATGTGACCGCTCAGGTGAAGAATTGGGTGCTCCGGAAAAGAATTAATGAAAAGAGGACACCCAGCTATGGCCAAGCCATCCGAGCATCCGACGTCGTTGCTCGTCAAATTCAAGGTGTCATACAGCATATTACCTTCCTTTTTGTTCATATGCAGTACGGATCCGTACGTATGCCATGCGTAAGCATAGCTTGTATAGGCAATGACATGAAGGTTTCAGCCGATACACCTCCTCTCGATTGCCTACTAAATATGGAAAAGGCAATCACTTCGTGGCTTAATAGACATACGTCTAGACTCTCGCCACCTTGCTCCTGTTGATTGCAATGTCGCTGCACATTGGGTGTCAATCTCTCTCGCTATCTCGTAATGTCAGCTCGGAGATGGTGTAGTGAGACCTAGGCTTGGTCAACAGTAGTGTGTTCTTATATGCTACACGCTTGTATCTATCATCGATATGACTTGCCCGGGACCCCAGGAACACAATGTCGTCAGCCGCCCTCGTGTTCTCACTGCAGGGCTTGGAGCCTCGCGTCCCGATGGGCCAGGGGCTCGTGTCGTATGAGGCCCATGGTATGTGTTTCGACTCGAGCTGTAAATCCATCATGACCACGCAGTCGTCCAGCAAACCCAACTGCATGCGATGCAGCAATGCAGGTCATCATTGGCGGCAGGGAGACCTTATCAGCCCGTGTTCTCGCCCGTCAACAGCTTCGATAGCTGCATCTCATGCCCAGGATCGGGCGCAAACATCCCTAGCAGCCACGTTAAGGCGGGCCTGGTCATTTCTTTTTTCAGTTCGGAGAGAGATGACACTTTCGTTGCACGGCGTCCAAGCCTCTCTCCACGTTCAAAAGCCCACCCAAGAGATGGAAGATGCCGTCCCTGGTTCCAGGTATTCGTGATCTTGGTATGCGGATATTGGGGCATTAACACAAATTAATCACAGAGTGGCATTGCTGATACCCTTTTCCGTCTTTGGATCAAATCCATTAAAATTAAGCCATTTGGCCCTGAACCATTGCACCCACAGCCTGCCGTTTAAGTTCGGCCCCAGAAGCTGATCTCTTGGCGTTGTGGAGACGAGAAGGGGGTTTCCTACGAGGAAGAGAGCAGCTGCAGCTGCGTCGATCACCGGTGCAGCAGAAGCAAAGGTCGGACTACTGCACCTCCCATTTGATGGCAACTCAAGTGGATGGATGTCTCAGAAGTTGAGACCTTGGTTGTACATGTTCATTTCTCGGGTGTCCCGTACACATTTACGGATCTGTACCTGTGTCGAATCAAGTGCGGGATGTGTCGCTTTTTTTCTTTTTGCTTTACAGGCTCTTGGACACGGCCGACCCACTGTCCACATTCCTCCATCTTAATGACCCCTGCGCAGACTGGGTGCCCCTAGGAATGCTAAAGGTCGATCATGTCAAAAGTCTTCCATTCCCCTTGCTGCTTGCTGAACCTGACGTGTTTCCCGGTTGGTTTGCAAATCTTAGAAATTCCAGAAGAGTGACCCATCCATCAATCTTATTCTCGTCATTAAAAACCATTAATAATTCTGCAAGGTTGGACCTGGTCTGAGTACATGATAGACTGCTGTACGTGCCTCGCATAGGCGGTCCACATCCTCGAGATTTCTCTCGGAGCCACATATCGAGGTTGTGCGACCACCATAAGGACCGACAGCCGCGGTCTTCGGGTTGCCAGAGCCAGTAGAGCGACTCAACCTCGACATTGGCCTGACCAGCCCCAGGAGTACTGCATATTCGAGGCCCTGGTCGAGGAGCTTGCAAGCAGCCAACATGGAATTGTCTGAGCCACTCATGGACTGCAACTTCCCGGAGATGCTGGCCGGGGACTTGGGTCGTTCAGCAGAGGTGTTCAAGTCGAAGAATTTAACTGCTGGGGCGCCCACAGTTTCGCTGTCAGAAGCTGGAGTTAGGAGAGAGCGGCGTGGTTCACTTCAGGATAGGTCGTCGCTGCCGTTTTCGTCGCAGGCTCGAGATATCTTATCGCGAATGAAATCGCTGCAGATGGTGAATCAGGATTGCTATTCGCAGGTAATGGCGTCTATCAATGTCGAGTCAAGGAAGAGCATCGAGACGATCGCTTCTGAATCGTCGGGCGGAATGGAGCCACCTTCAATTGCAGGGCGTGGCGTGTCAATCACTACTGCAGCGACCTCAGTGTCTGGTTGTGGTTCAACTGGCAGAACTTCGCCGAGCGACAAGTCCAATTCACCCACTGACAAGATTTCAATCTCCAATCGCAGTTGGGTGGACCTAGAACTGGAAGACAATGACAGCACCGTCAATGACCATCTGAAGGTAGCAAACAACAACTTCCTCCTCAACCTGGAGAGGTGCCATTCTTTAGGCAACCTCAACCCGCCAACAATACCAGAATCACCAAAATATCTCGGCGAGCCCCGCAGCATGTCGATGACCACGAGAATGGCTTCTCGCCGAGCTGCAGATCCCTTCACGGCTTTCAGCTCGCCGACAAAAACCTCCAGGCGCCCGAAAAATCAGCAAGATGCTCAACCCATCGAAGGCAACCGCTTGATGCAACCAACCGAATTTCCTACAAGGCGCTCATCATTAAGCCATGCTTCCCTAGAGTTATTACAATTACCTCAACCACGAATTGTTCCACGATCTCCGCCTTCCCCAATCCAGCTCGTTCCCAGCAATGTTTCGCAACGCCACCTACACCCAAATGTAACACCAGTCCGGCCGCCCTCCTCTGGGAGAGGTCTGAATCGTCAGATGGTCAGGGAAGAAGAGGAAGAGGAGGAGGAGGAGGCGCGCAGCATGCTATCATTGAGCGACGAGGAGGAGGAGGAAGACAGTCTGATGGATCTCACATTAATGACCCCGCAGGATAAGATAAAGGTCGCATCGCCTGCCATTGTCTCACCGTTGGCGGATATTGAGCAGTGGGTAGATCAGAGCAGCACCGAGCTCTCGCATTCGCATTCATCTCACCCGACCAAGGATTTTCAAGGATCGCGCATCCCAATCGCACCTGAGGTCCTCGACACACTTCGAGTTTCTGTGGCATGCTTTCCTGAGACGATGCTTCTCTGCTCCAGCCTCTCAATCGAAACAATCCGAGGGAACTCCAAAAAATTCAGATTCCGTACTCCTAATCACAACACCGCCTCTCAGGTATCGTTGAATCTGCAAGACAATCCTGCCAAGTCGTCCAAATGGAAGTGGCTCCCTACCAAGAAGATCTCCGAGCACAGTCCGACAAAGCTTGAGTTTCAATCGAGGTCTTCCATAGACCCGTTGGGTGAAACGGCAGGCACGCGCTCAGAGTGTCCAGAATGGTACGCCATCAAGAATATCTTTCCCACTGGGACCGATCATCTTTGTGACGCACTCTATGCACACATTTTGGCATACAATTACATTACCTCGATATGCCCGCGTTCTGCCGTTGTTATCCCAGCAGCACGCCCCGTCTCCAAGCAGTCCAGTCATCCCAGCATATCTACAGTTTCGAACATTTCTTCCCGAATATCTGAGCTGTCGGCACCGCGCTCCGGTAGCAACGGGATCCCCACAAAAGCTGCGACGCTCCTCGGTCTTCAAACCGACCCTTCGACCACGATTGCACCACCTAGGGAAACACCTGCCACAAGACCAAGCACCCTACGTGGCAAAACTTCCTTTTTGAAGGGACGACGAGAGAACGCTAAGTCATTCGTTCCCATCAACAGTCGTACTGCGGATGATCATGATCAATCACTCAAAGATCTTCGGTTGGGCCTGGCCAAATGTATCGCACGACTTGTCGGTACTCTACGATTGGCATCCAGCGAGGATTTTAGCACCTCTTCCAAGCCTGTCGACGGCAAGGACATTGACTCGATGTTCATCCGTGCCTTGTGCGAGGTAGTCAGATGTAACGAAGAGCGGTGATGTCATGGTGAATTTTACTAGCTTGTGTCGCCCCTGGGCCGGGTGCAGAAACATGATCTTTCGATTCGGTTATGCGTTACTTTCACCATTATTATGAGCTTATATGCTTTCTATTATGCATCCTATGATAAATCATCTCCACAAAAAGATGTGGTTTGTCCAGGTATCGACTCTCGATGTTCCGGAACCAGGGTTTCTTTTGTCATAATGAGGAGACAAACAAGGATAGAAAAGAAATCAGGCGATGAGGCGTTGATGGCGGCCACACCGCTGGCAAATGGTTTTCCCCCTCTGCGGTATATACCCCTTTGCGTTATGAGGCTTTACATTATTTTCGTTACTCGCAGATAGGTTGTACGAGTAGTATCACAGGCTTAGTTAGATTGCACATCGCATGACAATCTTTATTGGCTTACTTGCCATAAACATCTTTTCTGGGCCTGCATTTTGTTGCCTTTCCTATTCTTGTGTCTGGAATTATACTGGTAGTGCCTAGATCCCTTGAAACCTTGATGTAGACTTTTGTTGAGCGCATGATCACCTGTAAAACAAAAATATTTATTGTTTGGAATCCTGCAGACTCAAACAACAGAGTATCGCCACATCCATTCCGCCCGCCATCAGCCATCAGCCATCAGCCATCAGCCATCAGCCATCAGCCATCAGCCATCAGCCATACCAGTGTTCATTGCGTCAGATTGCCTTCATGGCAATCAGTACCCTCCACAGTTTGACACCATTTCCAACGTCTCTTCTCGGATACTTCTCGGCAAGACTGAGAAATCCGAGTCCCACATCGTATGCGAAAAGACAATGGGAATGGTGTCAAACTGTGAAGAAACCGATTACAATGATATCAATCTAATGAATCGAACGCTAATAGTATCGAGTGCCTTTGGCGGAACTGAATTGGAAATCATCGTCTTGCATGTCGTCAATACACTACTACCACAGAATGACTCTCCGTAGCAGTCCATAGGATTGTGCGCACGATCTCAAAACAAACTTTGAGAAATCTATACACTGTTACTTGCTGAGCCTCCGTGACCCGTGACCAGCTCATCTCGGTTATGACATTTTACTCAATTACTCTGACCTACCAAAATCGGGTACGAAGAATACAATATGACCTTCCTTATTTTTTCTTCCTTTTCTTTTTCCAAACATTGGGAGGAATCCAGGAACACCCCCTACTCAAACTGGTAATCTGCTGTAGGATTGAAGATTGTGCCGAAACCGTTTGCAGCTAGACAACCAAACAACTTCTCGTAGATTAGGGTTACAAATAAGACTTGTAGTGACATTTTGCACTTTTTAAGCCTTTCCCTCCTACAAGCTGATTATTCTTTGGGACCGTGTAAGTGGTTGAGTTCTAGAAGAGCTTAGTTCCTTCTTCCCCTCTTCTGATAGATGCTATTGTGACTATTCATGTTTTCTTTCTTTCTCACCATTTGCCTTAATTCATGTGCTGTTTTATTCCTCTATTTTAGCAAGCTAAGGATAGGTCTTTACAGGCGGGCATCACAATCGGGGACAAAACCTAGCCTCTTGGGAATAAACTGGGTACTTCACAATAACAGAGATTCCATAACGAATATTCTAGCCCCTCTAAAACCTGGATATCCCCATGGATATATGTTGTAGTTGGGAAAAGCGTCATATACACACATTCCTACGCACCACGTTTCTAGTGATGTAGATACACAGGCCACTCATAAGGCCCCGGTCCAGGGTGGAAATTTCGGGAAAGCTCTTTCAGTATGAACCGTAGTCTTACGGATCCGGATAATCATCGTCATCCTAGCGCGCGGGTTCCTTAGATTTGTTGGTCATCCTGATCTTCTTATAAGCGTCATGATGACTGACGTGCAGGTACCAGCTATCTCACTTCTTGCTCTCGCTAATCTTGACGAGCTCGATGGTCAGCTGCGGCCTTCCCTTGCCTAGCGGTCGCATAGACTTCATGGAGTCCTTGTCGTCGCTATTCGGAAGCCGGAGCTTCTTGAGCCTGCTCAAGGCCTACGACGCCTCACGCAGGGCATCCATAGCTGCCTCCTCTAAAATGCTCCAATGCAACCCCGTCGACTGCGAGATCTCCACACTTATCAGTTTGAGACAGTATTGGAAGCACGCCTTGAGAGATTCGTCGCCGAGACCCAGGGTGTCCTGCAGCTGCACCTTGAGAGGTTTAGACACCCATTCACTGGAGCGCACCTCGGCGTCCATCACGTCGTAGCAGTCGTTATGCGCGTCGTAATCCACATCTATGTATATGAAGATTGAGTCCGCTAGGCTGTGGCATACGCCTTGGCCATGAGCGACGATTTCATTGATATGGGTACTGCAAGCGGTCTACGTTTAGTTACTTGGTTGGTAATTGTGGAGAAAGCGCTTGCTTTGGTCAGCTTGGAGAACTACGAAACCTAATCATCTTGGTTGTGATACCAATCACTTTGTTATACTGGCCATCCCACTCGAGCCTATAATTGTGACGGTAGGCCTCCCTTGATCCTCTCACAACTGGCTGACGCAGGTCAGGGTTCTCGAGAGGGACTGTGGCTACTCGAGTTACACTCTGAGGTGTTGGATGGAAATATGAGGATGATTTTACTGTGGCAGGTTGACATGGCTCTGGTGGCGACGAAGCCGGTTGTGGTAAACTCTGGGGAGAAGTCGGAAGTCGACTAAGGTATGCTGCATATGGCGCGTCTTTGGCGGCGGGTTTCGGCGCATTATACTGTCTACTTCGCCTTCACCGTCAGGAACCCGAATGCTAGCAATGTCGAGGCGGTGCTGACTTTCTTCCGCTTGGCTGTGCGCACTGGCGGCATGGTCAATTCAACATTTAACCGTACATATCTTAAGCAAAGGTATACATATACATGTAAAGATGTGTTGAACCCTAAAACGAAAATGGTGTCAAATATCTTACGAGTCTCTCTAACTGAAACTTAAGACAGCGGCCGCGTGGCCTAACGTGCTCTGGGCCAATTTCGCGTACCATGATATCTGTAACATGTCCGAGCAAACATCCTTCAAAGAATCTACTCTGCTCCATACACCAACTCATTTTTTCAAAACAAAACCTTTCCTGCCTTCCTCAAAAAAGGCGAATTAGACTTTGAAATTTTTCATACTTAATCCTGAACTTGGTCACCGGCGCCACAAGAGAACCTGACAGATCATATCCTGGCTTTTGTAAAATTATTGCTTGAAATCTGAAAAGTAGACTTTCTGATACGACTTTGTCATCACTGGACTTAAGTTGGCATTGGACAGAATCTAAGTATATTGTGAAAGACACGTCACGTATGGTGGTCAATCATAGTCTATTGATGGGTGTGATTAACCTCTGCTCCACTGAAGGCTACGTACGTGGTTGCCCAGATGGATGCCTGAGGCATCCATTATAGTGAAACACTCACTGACCAACATAGCACGTTTACTAATCGAGCTACATTAGCGTCCAATATAATCACAAATACTTGGTGCGAGCATTAGCCTAACGCCCTCTGGCGCTATTATTTCAGCGACCATTCAGCGTTGTAAGTTGGCACTCAGATCAGAACCACATCACTGAGTATTATGCTGTGCTATTCAATGTTGTTTCTCCTTGCTCCATCTCATGCTAGGGACGTGTCGCATATCAGCCACCGATTCATATAATTGTGAGTAAGTTCGTTAGCTGCTAGACTATCGGTTAACAAGGTTAGATGAGACTACTGTAAAGTTGGTAAGGGTGGGCAAGATTCCGATCAATGGATTTGGATTCATTGATAATCAACATGATGCCCAAATGGGTGACTCTCCCTCATTGGCGCTCCAACCTGTCCCTTCTCGGCCCAGTCACTCATGGCAGTCAAACCAGTGTCCGTCCTTTGCGTTGTCGCCGGGAACGATAAACTTCCGGTCCCGACACTCCCGCTGAAGGTAGTCCGACTGCGCGGGTAGGGAAGCTTGTCTGGAGGATATGCCAGTCGCTCTGATGTCGGCGCCGCCAACCTTCCGTGCATTTTTAACGTTCTGGCATGCGCATTACTGAGGCCAAGCAAACCCGCAGTAACAAGCAATAAGGCCATGAAGATAATACCGCCGACCTGTGTCATATTGCCGCTAAAAGCAGCAACCAGGTATACAATGAGCGTGGCCATGGCTTCTAAATAGCCTTCAATGTGTGTCTTATTGCGGAGCCAGGTAGATGTGGTGATAGACTGCAGGTCATCTGCCATCCCACGCAGACAGACAGATCGACCGTTGCCCAAATCCACGAGATACTGCGTAATCATGTGACTGGCATCCGGATCAGGCGGTATAGGCTGTTTCGGCCTCGAGCGCTGCTTGATGACCCATATGTTCAGAAGACGAGATAGCATAAGAGCCATTAGGAACGCGAGACCGTACCCTGGAGTCGCTCGATCAGCACTGAATAGCCCAGGTATGCTCTTAACGACTTACACTCTCTCAACAGCACAAGGAAGACGACTGCGGTGACCGTAAGCATGGGACTAGCGAGATACAGCACATGCGAGAGCCATCCGTGATCAGAGCTCGAACCATGCCATATGGTCGATCGTTGCCCCTGGGGCTGGCCTCGGCTTGCACGGCGGAAGTAACTCCTTTGCGGAATCATGCCAACGTCCACCGTCACTATCTCGCCTTGCCGGCCAACTGTCTGCAGATAGCGGATGGTCGCAGGATTCGTGATGTTGTATGCAGACATCTTGCCCTGAACGTTCTCGAGGGCCTCGCACTTGGCGGTCTCCTTTCCAAGCGCATCTGCCGCTTGTTGGTAATGGAGGCCAGGGGCCAGCAGCAGTGCGTCAAGCCATGACGCCCCGCCTGTTATTGCTGTGCGTTGGGCAATTGTGCTCAGATCTGCGAGAGCAAGAAGACCGCTTGCCGACAAACTGAAGTTAGGGATGGGGACCTGCGTCCAGTTGGGAAACCCAGATGCGCGCCTGAGTAGAGTCTGTAATATGTATTAGTTGCCGTCGCTTGCAGCCGGGAGAATACTGACTTGCCTCCATGGGGCCACTCTCACCGCCACAGATACCCTGAAGTATCCCTTATAAATAAATCAGATATGCATAAATTCTTACGGTGTACTCTGCTTTACGATATACGGCACCAACTACGGGGGAGCACCACTGGAGCAGAGGCGTCATATATGTATGCTTTACACTCGTCTCAGTCGTTCTGTATGGCCTCTATCGGTGATGTACATATGTAACCACACTGCGGAGTACTTGACCCAACCCCTGCCGGTCTTCCGATCAGCGGGTTGTCAAAGCAACCCAATCAACACCACCAATCGAAAATGCCCTTTTGAACACGAGTTTGGTCACTTGAACACACAAAGACAGAAAGTGTCGTGTCTACGGGGTATTACCACATATTAGCGCTGTGTTGTTGTTGGAAGGTTGGTTGTCTCGGCTAAATCGAATAGCTTCATAAATCCAGGCGACGCTTTGCGTTACCCAAGGCAAGAGTCGCTTGACGTGAAGCTAACCCGTGCGACGAGGATACCAGACCAGGCATCGATTAACTCACAACCCAGTCTCACTGTGTCTCATTTCTTTTCAATCTTGTTTGATTCTTCAAGTTCCAACTAGTCTAGACCAACCGAGCTAACATACTGCGGTTGGACTTGCAAAGCAAAAGCTAGGTTAGACTACAGCAGCACGCCGGAGAGTCTGGGGAGCGGCGTGGACCGAGAGCCTCCAGAATCCAGACATGCTTGCATAAATAGAGGACGCTTATGCCGGGCGATAACGCTACCAAGCCTCAACGCCTTATCAGTGACCCATCAGGGGTCTCACGGGGGGCTCTGACGTGCTGCAGCGGCGGTACTGATGTCTGAAGCAGCATCCCCATGCCACACCATATCAGACACACTGTCACTGCATATCCTGCGAGGCTATACAAAGCTGTAGATGCGACGGAGAGAGAAAACATGATCTCATAATGGCTGTATCAGATCCGACGTATACGGTCTTCATTCGCCTCCCATTTCCCAGGGGAGATTTCGTGGATCCCCCCGCTGTATGCTCATGCTCACCGAAAGACATGCATTGCTCCGCAATCACCGTCGCTGTAGCTAATCATTGTTGTAGGCGAACTGGGACTCGTCCAAAGATGAGGCACTCTGGAACATCGTGTCAGAAGTTTCCAAGACGGACATCGACTGTGAGTATTCGACTCCTATAGGCGTCCTATCCTCACAGCACCTAACGACTCATAGGGAATGAGATGTAAGTTTCTTTTTGTCCATCGCAGATACAAGATTTACCAACCGTCCGCCACAGCGCCACGAGGTTTCGCGTTACCGTCGATTTCCTCCTCCAACAAGTAAACTTCCTCACTGAGAGACACACGTCGCAAGTTCGAGCCCAGCTGCGACGAGCAGCAGCAGCAGCCAAAGGCCCATCCGCACCTTCGTCCGTGCCAGGCCCGGAAATAGCGACTTCGGGAGAAGGAATTCAACGAACGGGCTCGGCTGCCAGTCGAACCAGAGCACCATCATCCCTCTCCATAAGAAAGGACTCCCCTCTTCCACGCGCTGATGGAAGTGGTCCCGGCACACCACGCCGCGCGACCCCGCGGCCGCAAGCTACACGGAAGCTATCTTCCAATGCTGGCTCCGTCTTTGCGACGCGAAACCTCGGAGGCAGTAGCAAGGGTAACGTGAGGTCAGGAGAGACACAGAGGCGGAGACTTTCGTCTCTACCCATCGCCACCGCTGCCGATGAAGTCGAGCCTCATCCCCCCTCCCCTGGGCCGGCTGACACGAGCTCTGCCGCATCGTCGTCGGATGAATCGAGTCCAGCGCAATCCCGCATCATCCGCCGCCCGCCCCGGTTCCAAGCCAACGACGGTATTCCTTCTTATGCCGATGACGATGAAGACGACGAGCCAGCGTTCATGCCCTACAAGCCACAAAACGAGGGCACAAGCAGTGGCCAGCATGATTTGAGTGCTACTCTACGAGGCAACCTTCCCAGGAAGCTGCCCAAGCAGCACGGCAAGATACATCTATCCCAGACCTCAGACTCATCGGCAAGCTCGGCTGCGCCTGTATCCAGGGGCCATTCCGGGGGCAAAGGGGTTCCTGGTGGTCCGTTATCCCCTCGCCGAACTATGGAGCTTGCAGGCAGAAGTCCTATTGGAAAGGGCAAGGGCTATTCGAGAGACAGTGACGGTACGCCGAGCATGGGCAGTAGTTTTAGTGATCTTGATGGCAGGTAATCCGGCTCTGACACGGGAATGTTTGTCGCTAATTGACTATAGATGCCTCTGTCACACAATCAGCACTGGAGGAAGCACTGGCAAGCAGAATGCAAGATGGTGGTATTGGAAGCCGGATGAGTACGATTGGCAATGTTTTCAGAAGTCGCTACCTTCCGAAATCCAATAACCAGTAAGAAGTAAGAGCGAAATATCCGGATGATTCACGAAATGGCTTTGGAGTTATGTTTAAGCATGGTCTGTTTTAAGGCTATGGTCGTATAATGATGTTCAGTTTGATAGGCAAAGAACGCAAGTTTTAACCGAAACGTACTTTGTTTTGCTGTATTTCTCTATCTTGTGAGTGTTCCGATGAGCGTGCCAAATCTGCGTGTTTTGCTTGTTGCGCACACTACTTCTGAGCATGACCTTCACTCTGCGGATATATACAAATCATCGTTCCCATTTTATCATGTTTATGGCCTGTGACGTTCAGCCAGCATTTCCTCTCCACAAAACAAAACACGCAAGCTCCCTCTTTCCATTTCTGTATCTGCAAAACGTGACGAAGGTTTCACTGCAAGTGCGGAGCTTCAGTCATTGCCCACTGGTGCTCGATGCTAGGCATGACTTGTCCGCAGTAGGAACCAGGGAGCTGCGAAAAGGGGCGGGTTCCATACTCCATCTAGGCATCATCATCATCGTCATCCTCGTCTTTACACGTAGTATATCTCGTCGGCGGGCACGTGGCTGAGACGCGGGTTCGTGTGGAGGGGGAAGGGCGGGTCGCGGCGGTGGTATTTGTTGCGGTGGGGCAATGCGGACGAGGAGCGGGAAGAGGGCATGTGATGGTGCGTCAGACTGGGAGCTGGACGCGGAGGCGTAGGATCGCCGGCGCGGGTCTCTGTGCCCTCGTTGGTGGCGGCATCGGTGACATCGGAGACATTTGCTGCCGCATGGTTGCCGACCATAGTTGCACCGCTGCTACTGCTGGTGCCGCCGTCGCCAAAGACGCCCATCCCGAGCTCCTGTTCCCTTACGGAAGTTTGGTGGTTCTTGAACCGTTCTTCCGGAGCCGACGCGGGATTTTGGGAGGTATTGGTCATCTCATGGTCTTTACGGCCACTACCATGGTCGCTGTCTTTGTGGGAAGGCAATACCTTCCGCTCAGGCATATCGGAGACGTGGCCTTTTTGGTCGAGTCTTTTCGAGGGGTTGCCCAGAGGCTTCATTTGCTCTTTTGTATCCTATGGAGAAACTCATATCAGCATGACTGACTAACGTGTGAAAGAAGACAGGTGTTGTGATGAGATATGGACTCGGTCAAGAGGAGAAATCGGGGAATGGTGGAGGAAAGATCTCTTGCATGAGCAGCACATATATTCACCTCGTAATTTAACGGCTCATTACCAAGGAACGGCTTGATTGCTGTTGTGACGGTACTGAGGGCTTTGCGCTCCCCCTTTGACAGAGTGTTGTACTGTTTCTGACTCAGGGGTTTTGCTGGGATAGTGAGCCTGTTTAGCTCTCTCACGATGGGAGAGGCATCCTTCAGTGCTAACAGACATACTCTCAGCCTGGCGTGGAATAATCGTAGGCGTGGCGGAAAGAGGTGGCATGTCCCAACGGATCAGTGACACGCTTGGGAGTCTAGGGACTGATGCATTCCCAAGTTGCGTGTTTACGAGTTCAAATGTGGTAGCATGAGCAATAGGCGCCGAGACTTGTGTAGTCTTGTTATAAGTGTTGTCGATCTTGTCAGCCGGCAGCGAATCTTCATTGCTGCCAAGAAGCCGGAGAATCTTCGAGTGCTGTGACTCGTTGATCGCCCCTGCGCCTAGGAGAACCCAAAGACCAGATATGACACGTTCCATGGCGCGCATGGTGCTAGTATCCATCTCCGATACTCTAGACATGTTGAATTACAATCAGACCACAATTTCTAGAAGTTGCCGCTCGCTGTAAAACGATGGTAGGTAGGTAGGTAAGAGCTTTGGCTGGGAGTGAAACGAAACAAATAGAAAGAAGATTATGAACATAGTTCTTGTTCCACGAGCTCACCGTCGATTGAAATCAAAATTAAATGGGTTTATATGATGATTGCTGGGTTGCGGATTTTGTACTCAAATTGAGCATTCGATGCCTCAGTGTTGACGTGGGAAAAGTCGACAAGTTTATCACTTAATAGGTACTCTAAGGTATCGCATGAGATGATTAGGCAGTACAATCCGGGTGTCTGGTAATGGTCTATTATGGAAGTCGGATCCTTTCAGCACCAGCGGTGAGGTAGTGATTGCCCATCAAAGAAGCAAAAGTATATAATATAAGAGCTTATAGTTAAGGTATGTATGATGAACTTGATTACAGTATTTGAGTTTGTCCATGGGTCCTCTCCTGTTAGTCAGAATGGCATTGGATCTGTCAAGCCTTCATTCGATCAAGGTCCCTCGTCCATCTGGCCTTGTTTTGATTATACTCACTATGTCTCGCCGAGGCGCGACTGTACAAATTATTTGTGTCACTACATGTGAATTCGTGATCATGTGCTCATGCCAATCGAGATCAGTAGAACTGATTTCTGGTTTCTTTAAGACGAGGAGTGAGTTAAAGAAACAGAAATTGCTGCTGATATAATGTGTCATACAGGAAATATATAAGCTTTGTGGTATGGAGTATCACATGATCGAAGATAGACTAATATAAGTGTAGTCATTCTTATGTCTCTCACCAGTCATAAAACCAAAGCTTTCTCTCAGTATTACTGGTACCATGCGCAAAACGTGTCATTGTGATTATTCATGTCAATTCCATTGTTTTCTCTGCTCCTAGTTCCCATTGCTGTGATAGTCCTTATGTAATATCATACCTGAGCACTACTTCAAACAACATTCTAAAGATCCATTGAGCTCTTGGTTGTCTCAATTTGAGATGGTTGTCAAGAAAATCCAGTCCATAAATATGATTTGTCTTCATCGAGGTAACCGCTTGTGTGGCCATTGCGACGGGAAAGCTGTGGCCTCTACGCCTCCGGATTTTCATTGTGCATGGAATTTCGTCATGAGACATGGTGAAGGCGACCTGAAGTTGGGTACATTATTTCCATAAGCCACACAGAAGGTACGTCAAGTTTGGACGGGAGTGACTATATCATGGTGGTTACATATCTGTAACACAAGAATGAGTGATGCTTGTTCAGCTCATCTTTGGTAATGGGCTGGTGATGAAATTAGCTTACCGTCACCATCTCTGACGAACTCCGTATCAAATAGCCATAACGGCGGTCGAACGGGTTCCTGAATAAAGAGACCATGACTCCCTTACTGGATACCAGGCTGGGTCATTGTCAGTATTTTTGTCTGCATTGGGTAGTGTATAACCGTTGGCTTTTGAGACAAAACTGCCATCAACAATGATCTCGGCGTCGTCCTTTGCGTTATCCTTCTTTCGCGCTCTCATGAAGAACAGTGCTGAAATTCCGATCACAACGAGCAAGACAGCAGCAAGGATGATGCTAATTTCCATTGTCGATAGGCTGTGCTTTTCATCTGCACCACCACCGTTCTTCTCAGCGTTAGGGACAGAATAGTACGCTGATCCGGGATTGGAAGCAGTATCCTGGTCAACATCGTGGGTGGTTTTTGGTGAGCAAGATCCTTGATCAACCGCTGTCCTAGGAGGGAAGCCCCCATGGTTTGAATGTTCTTTAGTATGAAATGGTAATGGGTGGTGTTTTTTGATCGTCGAAACTGATGCAGAAAATCCTAAACATTATTCCAAACGTGTAGGCAATCATCTGGAATTCCAAAAATGGGAGTAAGTCTTTTGGATTCTCAATTACCTTTGTTTTCTTTTAATCAGATGAAATATGAAAGGTTTATGAGAGGCTTCCAGGTGCTGATACGGATATTTGCAAGCAGAAGTGACAGCATAGTGGCCTCTAACTTTCTGGTCCGACGTGAAGTGAGATTCATTCAAAACTTATTTCGGACACTGACAACTATCACCACACATTACCAACTTTCACTTGGCTGCATCGTTACCTCAAAGAATGGTTGCCATGTTAAGTGCATTAAATCAATTCTTTCATCTCCCCGTCATACCATATCAAACCGTTGGTTGCGTCTTATGATGATACTTGAACTAAGTAAGAGGCTTTTTTGAGAAAACCTCCGCAATAAAAGATATCTCACCCGCTGTATAAGACTATATGAGTGGAAGATATTGCTGCACTCAAGAGGCTTGAGACACATGATGTTCCCCCGACTTAGGAGACTATACGACTGCGATGCTCCTTTTCCTAACTCCCGTCCCGCCCCCTAAGTGACGAGCGACAGGCGGCTTGTTGCATGGCTTGCATCAACCGCAGACAGCCGCATTGGTTCCTAACGGCTAACAGGCTTCTACATCCCACAGTCCTATGTGGCCAATCAATAGAGACATAATTGATAGTGCACAAATCGCCCTGCTGCAATCCTCGCCGCAGATTGCTGGTTGCACAAGCTCCAAGAACGAATACCCAGGCCGATAAGAAGAAAAGTCGTTTTTCCATCTCTTTCAACAGCTAAAATTATTCGGAATGATGGGCAATGTCTTCAATGTTCAAGAACTGATGTCTCTGTGCATCATGAAAATTACGACCCGTCTTTTAGATCTCCGATGGACAAAGACACATCGTTATATGTGCTTGGCTTGCAACGCAGAAAAGCGAGCTGCTTGTGAAGGGAAATCTTATTCTTACTACAGGCCTGAGGGTTTCTTGGGCTCAGGGTTTCAGCAGAGAGACGCCGCCCAACAACTGGAGTCCTAGATGTGACCTCTGCGAGAACTTTCCGTCAGCCTGATACGGGAGAGACTAATCATTGAAGCTGATATCATTCATCATTGAATAAGTGGATAACAGAGATGACAGCCATACTCCTGGCCACAATTTTCGGAGCTATGGTCCGTTGATTGGCGATCAGTGTTGATCCTTTCCTTGCATCTAAGCCTATCAATCGATCCAGAACGAAACTGTGCATCAGAGCATCACACTCCTTCCCAATTGATCCTCGAACCATGAATCACCGGTTAATATGATCCTTCGCATACCGGGATGGCAAGGACTAACGACTGAGCTCCAAGGAAAGCATCTGGTCGACTTCCTCTCTGTCCCAACATTATACATCAACGCTTTCAAGCAATTTCGGTTCTTTGGCCTTTATGTGATCCTTTGTGGCAGTGCTTCTTACCTCTACATGTTTTAATTCAGCTGCGGGCTTCCCAAATCCGCCACTCAGGCGGACCGTATGCTGAGGCTCGGAGAATAACCTCATAATATTGGTTGAGCGTCCTAGTATTGACATTAGTCATGTTTCGATTCAAGGGGAGAGCCAACGAAATAATGAGCCGAGTTGATTTATACCCTGGAAGTCCTAGAGGATGGCCAGGATGAACGGATACCGGCATCACTTCCGACTTCCCCATACCGAACCTTCTCGGTTCTTCCTTCATGCATTAGAATGCGTTGCGGCACATTGTTTCATCATCTAGTCCAGATTCAGCGCTGACGCCACATCTCAGGCGCCCAATAGATGCCTTGAAATCAGTAATGTCAAGAGGTCAGCAATGCCACGAGGTCAGTAATGCCACGAGGCCAGCAATGCCATGAGGTCAGCAATGCCATGAGGTCAGCAGCTTCTAGTCCAACATCCGCTGAAAGTCCCCAGAGCATCAACGTGTTACTTGACAAACTACATTCGGTGGCATTACTGTTGCCTACAGGAACGTGGTGAGTCAAATGGCCCCAAGGAGCATGCCGTCTCCGCCTAAGCCTGGAAGCCAAGCATCGTGCTTTGGCACCTCGACCCATCCGAACTCCGGTGGGCTCCGCAAACCCAGTGGGAAGAGCCAGCTTAGTCAGTGCAGGGTTGTGGATGGATGTGCATGTATGACACAGGGGCAAGGAGAGTGATGATGGCTTTGCGACCAACCAGCGGTCGATATTGAGGCCGCTAGGCAGAGGAGAACCGAGATGGCCAAGAAATTTCGTATTGCCCTATAGGATTTTGAAGGATTGGAACCACTTGCTCGGTACCTGGTTTAACCGTTGATTGGTGGGTCGCTTCGCCGCAGCGTTATTCTCGCATATCACGGTGGTAATATGCAACAACAGGGGCGTTAGCACATGAAAAGGATTATACGCAGCGCGCATTAAGCACCATACGGCTGCCCGAGGCAAACAATTTCACCGGACCGTTCGCGCGATGAACCTTTTGCTCCTTTCAACACTAGTCTAGCTAGACTGAGCCGGCCCTGTCGAATTTGGGGGCCTCGCCAAACAGCCGCGCATGCTTTGCTCAATCGAGCAAGGCGAGCTCAAAATTGTGCTTCTGGCCCAGGGTAGTGATCCTGCAAAATCAAACCAAGAACAGACATCATTTCCACCGCTGCATCGCCCTTTGCCGAGTCACCAACAGTGGCATTACAGGACTCGGTGTTCTGAGAATGAGGACGGAGATGATTGGCTCCCGATGATGAGACGTTTCGGCCGTTCCAAAGATCCCAACCGTCAGCAAGATGGCCGAGACTTACCTACAAATCGAGATGGCTTACTCGGTACAGCAACACAGTGGCGTTGCAAACCGCTGAGTCGATGGCTCACACTAGAAGATCTAAGTTAAGACGTTGCTGTAAGTCACCTGCTAGTTTGGGTCGCTGTGTCGACGATACGCACGTCTAGGCTACATGGAGCATGGTGGATCTTAGCACCGCCCGGCCCGCAACCGATGAGTGCCTTTTGGTGCGGTCTTGTCGTGCTATCGTGCTACAAGGATAGAATCCTACAATCTAATTCTATGCCTGTCCAGTCGAACTCTGCCAGGATCGGGGTTAATCCATCGCTACGACTATTCTTGCTATCCTGAACATGTTGGCGGCGCTGAGGTAGACGTCCCAACAGGTATAAAATGATTGTCCCCCAACCTAGATCGAACATCACGCATAAGCTGGCCAAGTTACCATTCACTACAACTCAAGAAACTCAAAAGATCCACCTTACCGAGAAACAAACCTAATCCTCTGACCCCTTTCCAACACAAATCTATATACGTCATCAACCACCATGAAGATCACTCTCTCCGCACTTCTCGCTCTCGCCTCTATGGCGACTGTCGCCCTTGGCGCTCCAGCCGCCGCGCCCGTTGTCGCTGAGCCAGTTCTGGACTCACGAGGCAGCAACGCCTGCCCTGGGTGCTGAGACACCAGTCAGCTGGGGCTTCACTTTCTTGCCCGCATCGAATTCCGTTTCTATGCATGCCTCTTGCGGCGTGTATAAGTTCCCACCAAGTTGGGGGTCATTGCTCATGGCTCAGCCGAGCGTGGAGGATTTTAGGAACATGGTGATTGAAAGCACGGAGGATTGAGAACTTGCTCCTCTGCTTTTGGGTTTGGGGGTTTTGAAGTGTGTCTGTTTATTGTTAGTCGGAGGACCATATACTGTACATCACCCTCTTCATTGGATCAATTCATGCTGCGCTACAACCAACGCATACTCGTTGAGCTGCGGGAACCCCACGGTCGCATCGATGCATCAGTGCTGATTAACCGTGCATACGTCGTCTCAAATGCTACGAACTATTTACCACCTCGAACTATCGACCGTAGCCCAATATAGTCGTTGAAATAAACTTTGCTGTATATTGCAGCTATGTCGTTGAATGATCTGACCCCATGATATGACACTTGCGCATCTCCCCGTCGAAAATTACTTGCAAACCTCATATGATTTCTCTTTCGAAGACCCGACACTTTGGCACCGCTGCGACGAGATCCGAGTGCGACAAGCGAAACTTTCGTCGCCTATTTCCCATATCCACTAAAAATGCAACAATACATACGTACATACAATCACGACATCATATCATTCGATGTCTAGGTTATATATATATATCTTATAGGCATGCATGGGCTTATAATACAATGTTATCTCCAGTTGTTATTGACTGGGCCACTCGATGCTGGTTTAAACAAATGGGTGCATATGCACAAGGCAGACTTGGAAAGGCTTGCTTCTTCTTTTTCTTCTTTTCTCTCTTCTTTTAACCAGCAGAAAGCTGTTGGCCAACAGCACTAGAACAAGGCCTAATCTGTCCATAAGATCGCCTAACAAATGTTGTCCGGTGTGCTAGTACTCGGTACTGATGGTTAGAAGGACTCTGTGAATACACAAACGCTTGTGTACGGGTATATAAGTTGCATTATCATTCCGTCCAAAATAACACATCGTTTGGAGCAACATCTGTTAGCCGCGAGTGCGCTTGGAATAATGGTTGAAGACCCAGAAAATCTCTTCGGCTGCCTACATGCGGGCAGGCATGAGGATTCCTTGGCATCTGATGCAGAAGGTCCCTAACCCAATCGAGTACACAACCATGCCTGGGGCCCGCAACAGAATTAGCGGTACGTCACGAGGCGGGAGGGTCCGTAATGCTGTTGTTATGAAAACACGACCATGTTCGGATTCACGGAAGATTCACTCAAAATCAATATGTGAGTAAATAGTGAATCCGATGCTAAAGTGCCCTTTCCCCCCCTCCCAGTAAGTACCTTAGAGAGACAGACTACTTTGTGTGAGTTAGCTACATCCATTTTGGTCTTAGGGACCTCGGCTTGGCATCCGTTGTGAAACCTGAAACGCATAATTCTTCTGTACCTAGGTCACATTTGACCTCTCCGACAGATTGGCTCACTGGATCCCAAGTCATGCACGGTCTTTTCATTTCAAATTAGATACCCATAATAATAGGAAATTTCCCCAAAACAAATACTACTACTGCCCTATTCCCAGATGACGCCGCCCTCATGCAAGATATACCAACTAATAGTACGTATCCGTATCCCAATTCAATAAAGCTACATCAAGCAGCAGAAGATCGCTTATCTCTTTTCTGCAGATGATTTTGCCTTCTACCTGGTACCGACACCGGGCGTTCCTTAGCCATTGCCGGCTCGGGCACTTCAGGTATCATACTGGGTCGCGGTGCATGCCCTTCCATGGGTTCATATTGCCATGTCGTATGATTTGGCAGGCAGGATTCGCTCGAGAGGCGGAAGTCTCTTGACTGGCGTGATTCTCTCGGCGAGCGTAGTGCAAAAACGGTTGCTGTGGGCAGGACAGCCTTGCCGCTATTCTCGGAATCGCTTCTCATTATCCCTTTGCCTTTTTCGTCCAATTTCCGCGGCTTGCCACCTTTCACCAGCACGGCAGCTCCGGCGCCTTTAGCGAATGAGGATTGAAATTCGCCCCAGTTCTCACCTACCGATTTGTTTTCATCCGTCATCATAAAAAGGGCTGCGGTCAGCACGGTAGCACAGATGATGACTGTGACAATTATTGCGCCTGCTCGGTCGCCCGTGGTTAGTGGCGCAAACACTATCGAACCTTGAGGGTCTGTCCGTCCAATGTCCGACCCGCCGCCTGTAGGATCGCCAACACTTGTCCCGCCGGTTGAGTTCGTAACAGGAGGTTCGGCATCGTGGATCATGTTGGCGAGAACGATTTCCATAGCGGCCATTTGTTCACCTACTCCAGTCGATCCGTCCCACTGGCCTGAGTTGTTGGCCCATCTCAGCCCGCACATACGACCATTTTCTCCCCCGGTGCATTGCTGCGCAGCGGCTTGTGCCGAGTTCATGAGCAGAGGCTTGATGCGGCCGTAGGTCCAGGGAGCCCATTTCGTAGTCGCAGCCATCCACCTGCTAAGATAAGCCTTGAAGGATCGCTGGTCCAAATTACAGAGTCCAACGCCCTCACAAGCAATTTCGATCATGACAGGCGGACTGCCATTCTCGTCGCTGAAAAAGAAGACATCTGTCCCGTTCAGAAGCCCATCCACTCTCTCGTGCCACATGTCGCGATCGCTGGACAATCCATGCTCGTCAGCGAAGGCGTACATCGCAGCAGCGCCCAGAAGGAATGATCCGGCGTTGTAGGAGAACTGGTAGGGAACGACCTTGGAACAGTTGACTTCGATGTGCGAACCATCGTAAATATGGTAGCTCTCGTCCATGAACTGCACGTTGACCATCCAGTCCCACGTCCGTATGGCCCAATCGGCATACGTGCTGTTGCCGGTGTATAAGGCAAGCCTCGCAGCAATATTGAAGAAGCAGCCTTGAGAGATGGAGTTCTTGTAGTTGTAACCGTTATTCCACTGAAAGATCTGCCACCGAAGACCGCCGTTACATTCCGCATCGTCCCATCGAGCCGCCTGTGTGTTAAAGACTGCTTGCGCTAACGCTAACCATTGAGGTTTTCCTTCGGGCGGATCTGGAAACTTGTACTCTGCTGCAGTCATGACAGCCATACCCCAAAATCCTTGATCGTCGTTTCCCTCTGTCAATGTCTGGTTTGGTGGCATATAATCGTTGTATGGACCGACCTGGAAAAGAAGCGCATCTGTGGTTATCTGATTGTATGTCGTGTCTCCTGTATAATACCAGTAGTCGACTAAAGATCCCATCATGGCGCCGGCCTCCCACCCTGTTCTCTGTTATTTGGGGTTTCACGCATAACGATATGACATATAACTTACAGTAATATGGCTGTGGGAGAAGACCTGGCGTGTTACCCGGTTGGTTGCCATTGTAGAATGTCATCAAGTCAGCAGCCATCTGTTTCGAAACATCTTTGATGGAATCTAACCGACCAATGATGAGCCAGTGATATCGGAAGTATGGAAGTAGTTCACTTACCTGTCGAGTTGACATCCAGATTATATGCACCGTTAACTGCAGAGCCGGCCACCAACAGCGAGATGGCCGTTGAGAGGACCGTATGCCATGACACCCACATTATAGTGGCTGTCTCTTGTGAAGGAAAGGATCAGGACAACGAAGCATGGGAGACAAGGGAAAATGTTTGCAGCTTCGCGGGATATACCATAGCAACAGCTAGGTTAGTAGTAGAATGATTATTATCGCTCATCCAACGCGCGGGATAAATGCGGCTACCACAACCAAAGTGATTGCTTGCTTTTTGCGGGTTATGTATGTCTATTATGGTGAATACTGTAGAGGTGTGACAGCGACAGGGGCAGTGACACCCCGAAGCAATTCATGGGTCGCACTTGGAAACCCGCATTTTATGACCAAAGTATTACGATGATAGTTTTTCCGGGAAGAGGTCTGATGTAAAAGAGTTCAAGGGACCACTGGAAGAGTACGGATGGAAAGGGCTACGAACTAGTCTATGTGAGACTAGACGGCAGCTACCTACTGCTGATGCTGAACGGTGCACGTAAATGCACGTAGTGTAGGAGGGCGAGTAGCTGCCATTCGACGATCATATGCCACCAACGCCGACAAGTGTGACGCAACTTCTTACTACTGGCTGCTAACCACGACGTGCATAAAATAAGCATGATTTCGATGGGGACACCCATATAGGTAAGTATTTGAAAATCCGGGGAATAGAGTTACCGGTAGACAAATCACAGGTTTGAATATGGTCCGAGAATGGAAATAATTGAGGGACCTGTCTACGCATATAGACCCGAATGGAATGGCTGGATTCGAGTGCCCTAATTCCAAGAAAGAAATATCGGCAGACGAGAACTAAATTCTAATATGATACCAGACAACGCGGATGGAAGGTAGCAATGTCTTCATACGCGCATGGTGAGCTTATGGCGGGGGATGAGAAGAGCAAAGCGGGGAAGCGACAGATCGGCAGCGGACAGAAAGGCCTCGACCTTTTGCTACTGTAGGTAGCCAGCGTATTTAGAACTTGATAGAGAACAAAATTCAATCGTCGCTTGGAGACCTGCCGAGTGAGTCAATTTTGTAGCCGAATCGTTTCAGAACTGGAGATTTGGTGAAATGACAATTCGATGTTCATGAAATTGAACGAATTTCCAAGTCTACAACTGCACCATTTTGCTGATCCACGGAACTGAAGCTAAACTCAGCATGAAGTTGTACGAGCTCTTAGAGCAATTATTCTTTCACCAGGATCTTGTCCCATACCACTTTCTTTCCAGGAGCTTGCTGATGCCATGTTTCCAAGACGGTTCTTTTTAGATAAGGGATTGCAAATCCAGTCAGAATGGAAAGGGTGGCTATCGATTGGGACGCAAGTTGACGGGAGGCCTGCCTTGTTAGTACCTCTACGTGTGGGTGGCACCTGCGGAGAATGCTGTATCAACCTAGACTAGGATTTAGTTTTTGAGTCTTCCCTCCATGTTGAGTTGCGGTCTTTGGAGCACGGGACATGGACAAGACCAACACTTGAAATCAATTGCTGGACAACGGATCTATCTTGGATGCGGCATTTATGAATGATTGCTTCAATGATGCGAAGCACCAGAAACAGTTCCTCGCTGGAGCCATTCATCTGAGCTCGTTTGCCAAAGTTGAAACAGAGCTGCGACAGCTTTTCATGAGGTAAAAGCTTCGACCCCAAGGCCTTGGCAGATTGTGACATGGCGCCATGTGATATTGACCAGCGTTGTTGATAACAAGCGTGCCATCCGCAAGTTATCAATTAACTGTTTACGGTAGATGGGCACCAGTGAATGGCAAGTTTGCAGACACATGGAGACGGAACTCCCATTGTCGAAAAATATTCTGGTTCAGGGTCTTGTGTTGATTGAACGACTGACGTAGTAGCCAGCGCAAATCCTTGACCTTGATGACGCACCCTGTTCCCCGAACACAACCTGACAACACGATCTGGGGGCACTGCCACAGTCTAGCCGTTTAGAATGCGACGAATATGGCGGCTGTTGGGGCGCCACGGTTAGCTGATTGCGTGGACTTTGGCTGAGCAAGGCTACAGCTTGAGAGACGAAGAGACAGCCAAGAGGCATTAGTTATTAAGAAGGAGCAAAGATTGCAGGTGGTTGAATTTGCCTTCATGAGAGAGAAGCAATAAATTGCATGAACTAAACAAAGCACCCCCCAATCAAAGCAGTGTGCCAGTGACTGGAGACAATCTATCCGCTCAGCTGCTCCAACCTTAGGTGCCGTCGGCCTTTGTTCACTGATACCTTAAATTGTGGGAGGGTCTTTCATCTCGCAGCGGTCAACTCACTCGGACCCCAGCTTTGCCCAGGCAGGTTGCCCCAAAGCGTTTCACCAGGCCAAGTTGAAGAAGCCAAAGCACGGATTGAACCACAGGTGGCCAGAAAGTGCCAGCGCGAGGCAAGGCAAGGCAAGGCAAGGGTGAAGCAAAGCGAAGCGAAGCAAAGCCGAAGCAAAACAACCCATCACACCCATCGCACCTAGTCAGCACTACACCTACGCTGCTGCGCTGCACTGCATTGCACTGCGAAACCTGCCGCCATTCAATCTCTCTTCCAACCTCTCCTCATTCCACATTTTTACGAATCACGACATCAACAAGACAACGCTGTTCATCATCCGTGAGCGAGACGAAAACTGCACAGCCGATTCAAGCAAGCATTTTTTATCAACTCGCTTGTCCAATTTCAATCGTCGCAACCTAGAAAAACCCCCCCAAAACCAAACCCCAAGTCACCATGGCTTCTACTCAGGATGCTCCATATGACCCCTACATTCCCAGTGGCCAGGCTGGCGCTGCCCAACAGCAAGGCGGCAATGCCAGGACGCAGGCGCTGCAAGCTGTAAGTCTAGAATTCCGAGATTGCATCTCATTGCCGAGTCGCAATGTCCCCTGAATCGCAACATGGTCATGTCCGCCTCGAGTAAGCGCCGAAACTGCACACACGACCACCATCATCGCAGCGGAACAAAGAGACGCCAGAGCCACGACCAACCGGACAGGTTTGCCATCATTGCTACTTGTTACGACCATTGTCGCGAAAGCAGTTCTCGACCAGCCTTTCGGTTCATGAACAAAGGCACTGCCGATTCAGAGTGTCAATGATGCAGCGATTCTGGCACCTACGTGTCCACCGATCGACCGACTACTAGAGCATTGTCCATGAGACTGGATTGATGCGTCAACGCCAACACTCATCCTCTCTCCAAAGACGACTTTGCGATTCCATGGCTTCTCGGTGGACATGACATCTGTGATTTGAAAGGCGCTTTGGATTGTGCAGCAGCTTCCGGAGTGCCAGCATGCTAACACTTGTACTTGTAGCAAATCGACGACACCGTTGGTGTCATGAGAGAAAACATCAACAAGGTATCCCAACGTGGTGAGCGCCTGGACGCTTTACAAGACAAGACAGACAACTTGGCAGTCTCTGCCCAGGGTTTCCGCCGCGGAGCCAACAGAGTGCGCAAGCAGATGTGGTGGAAGGACATGAAGATGCGCATGTGCCTGATCGTTGGTATCATCATCCTCATTCTAGTCATTGTCATTCCTGCTGGTAAGTTTGTGGTCCTGTCTACCTGCATGATCGGTGCATTAACAGTCTCGCAGTTGTCGCAACAAAGCATTAGAATAAATCTTATGATTTCGGCAGCGAGTTACGACGGATTTGAATGATAAATGGCACCGACGACTTGGGCGAGCCTCGCACGCCGCACATGCGAGCATTCGAGGTGGGCCCCAGTCAACGGATCACATGGGATTTATATCAACAGAGGAGTTTTTGTTCATTGGCTTGGTCTTTTCTCTTTGGCTCGCACGAAATACCACGAGGCTCGGCACAGCAATCCTGACAGGCTAAAGAGATATATGGCCTTGGGAGACAATTGCTATTGTATGTATGATGGCGACGTAAGGGAAAGGCGAGGCCGTTTCCCCTTTAATGAGACACATCTTTGGCGCTTGCCTTTCTGTTTTGAAATGACCGTCTGACTGGAACCTGTCCTCGAGTGACTCTGACGCGAGCCCGTAAAGACTGTTGGTATTCTCGATGCTTTCTGGTATTGTATGTGGTCGCGGTCGCTACAAAGTCTCGCTCGTCATCATACCATCTAACGAAGTCATGCGCAAGCATTGATACCTTTACAATATGTCAACTTTAGGAAATATGCACTTTAGAGGATTCGGTGGCCGGAGAATGCTATTTCCCAGCCCCGAGGCAGTGTAGGATGTTGATAAGATATTGGTAGTCAATACGTGAGCCACGTTGTACTGTCGCCAACCCGAGTGAATGACACAGACCTCTCAGCAATAACTTTTCCTCTCACATACTGATATACGTATTGAAACTCTGCATTTCGCTTTCGTATAATCGAGTTCTTGACGTAGAATATCACCTGTTGTATGGTTCGGCATAGTTATGGGAGAATGCTGTTGCTTTTCTGCTTGGTGAGGTGTGACACAATGACAAACATGCCAATAATCTGCATCCCAGGCCAGAAACTGCCGGAGCAGGAAGACATGTGGTGGCAAAGCTGGGCCATTGCCTATGGGATGAATCGGACGAGGACTCTGTGCACAGTGTTGTTCCGAAGACGTACATGTTATGAGGTGACGAGCGAGGTTGGCCAACACAATGGCGCAATACGTCGAGGGTAGCTTGAGGGGCTCTGGCCGGCTTGGTCGAGCCGCTTCGAGGAAACTCGTCCGTAATGTATTACCCAATCTCTCCACTTGAGGCCGTTGCTATGTGTGTTCGGCCTTGCTTTAGAGCTTACAGACAAGGTCCTTGATTAATCTAATCCATCTTATCAATCAGATCTTACCAGAATGTTGTTGCCGGCGTATGACTTGAACTGCCGGGGACGTTGCGCCCAATAATCATTATGACCACTGCTTTTGTGTCTGTCTCGTACCACTTGACAGACCGCCGGCATCCTAACAGCCTATTCCCGAGCTGCTGAATTGAGCAACCCGAAGAAACCATTGCGCCATTTTTGTCATATTTCTCGGCATCTTCACGAATACGTGGGCTGTTCAAAAGCGCAAGGGAGGTGAGGCCTCTGCCACGACTGTTTTCAGGATAAACACGGATTTACATGTGGAGTTTTTTTTTTTAGTAGGGTTTTTTTTTTCCTCCATTGGGGAAAAAGATATGGATGGCAAACGCTGGAAGAGGTGGATTCTGCATGCATTGTATGTACAGTAGTATGTAGTAGGATGGATGGGCCCGGGGACGCTGAGATGTATCTACAGTCCGTATCTTGGTGGAGAGCTACCTTTGGATGAAAAATTACATAACGCCTCATCGAGCTGCAGGAGGTGGGAAAAGGTCTGACTCTGCAATCATATCGTGCATGGGTAGCAGCGATTTTCGGCGTCCAAAATTTTCCCCAATCCCATGGCATAGCTCGGAAAGTGATTGAATGCACACCCAAATCAAAAGCTACTGCCCCTCAGGAACTGACAACTGAAATTTACTTGTGCTCGCAAAGAAAACAAGTCTTGATTCTGAGGTGAGTTGATTAAAAATGCGTCGAGGCCCCCCCCGTACTCACTACTTAGTTTAATTGTCTGGCAGGTCTTCTTGTCTTGTTCTTCGAGAGCTTGGGAGAAGGGAAGCTCGTGCCCCTCCTGGTCCTGGTCCTGGTACAAGTCCAAAAAGTCCCGATTTCGATCCCACCCGGTAGTTCTTGCGCTGCGATTCCGACTTTGGAAGCGTCCGCGACCGCTACATCACGAACCGCCATTCATTCTTCACGATTGGACAGGACGGAGGTTGCGAGATAAGTCAATTGGCTTTCAAGAACATCAATTCGCTTTTCCTCCCCCACGAATCGATTTAGCAACCATCAAGATGCTCTCCCGCGTCGCTGTCCGTGCCACCATTCGGGCTGGCGCCCGTAGGGTGACTCCTCGGGCTGCCCGCCTCGTGCCAGCAGCCAACAACGCTCGTGTGCAATTCGCCCCCTACACGTCCGGCCGAAACAACGACTCCCGGTTCATTCGAAGTGCCGTTATCAAGGTCTTGAACAGCATTGGCACCAAGCGAGAGGTCCAGCAGTACCTGAGCCACTTCTCCTCCGTCTCGTCGCAGAAGTTCGCTGTCATCAAGGTTGGCGGTGCTATTCTGACCGAGCACCTTGACGAGTTCTGCAGCAGCTTGGCTTTCCTCTACCATGTTGGCCTCTTCCCCATCATCGTTCACGGCGCCGGCCCCCAGCTCAACAGGCTGCTCGAGGAGGCCGGTGTCGAGCCCCAGTTCGAGGAGGGTATCCGCATCACTGACGGCAAGACCCTGGGGGTTGCCCGCAAGCTCTTCCTGGCCGAGAACCTCAAGCTCGTCCAGAAGCTGGAAGAATTAGGCGTTCGCGCCCGCCCCATCACTTCCAGCGTCTTCACTGCCGACTACCTTGACAAGGAGAAGTGGAAGTTCGTCGGCAAGATCACCGACGTCAACAGCGAGCCCATCGAGAGCGCCATTGCCAACGGCTACCTCCCCATTCTCACATCCATGGCTGAGACCCCCGAGGGTCAAGTACTCAACGTCAACGCTGATGTTGCAGCCGGTGAGCTGGCTCGTGTCGTCGAGCCTCTCAAGGTCGTATACCTGAGTGAGAAGGGTGGCCTTTTCGATGGCGAGGGTACCAAGATCTCCGCCATCAACTTGGACGAGGAGTTTGACCACATCATGGCACAGAAGTGGTGCAAGTTCGGTACTCGCCTCAAGATCAAGGAGATCAAGGAGCTCCTGGACGGCCTTCCCCGAACTTCCAGTGTGGCCATCATCCACCCCGCCGATCTCCAAAAGGAGTTGTTCACCGACTCTGGTGCCGGTACCCTGATCCGTCGCGGAGCCAAGCTTCTCACAGCCACCAGCGTTGACGACTTCAAGGACCTCGAACAGATTAAGGACGTCCTTGTCCGAGACCGTGACGTGACCGATTCGCGAGCCACCGTCGACCGGTACCTGGATTTCTTGAAGGAGCGCCCCTTCAAGGCCTTCTTCGACGACCAAATGAAGACCCTTGCCGTTATTCTCAAGCCCGATTCGCAAAAGTCCTACTCGACCTTGGCCACTCTCAACATCACCAAGTCTGGTTGGTTGACCAATGTCGCAGATAATATCTTTGCTGCCATCAAGAAGGAGTACCCCAGCTTGGTATGGACCGTCAAGGCTGACGACGAGAACCTCACATGGTTCTTCGAGAAGGCTGACGGCAGCTTGCTCCGAGGCAATGATGTTCTCTTCTGGTACGGCGTCGAGGAAGGTCAAGACCTGACTGACCTCATGAAGGAGTTCACGCTCAACGGTCGCTCGATGTTGGGAGAGTCCAACCTGGAGGCAAGACTCCACAGAGCTGCCCAGATCGCTTCGCAAAACCTCAAGTCCCATGCTGCATCCGGGTCGGTCGCTAATCAAGCCCGTGGTTTCTCTACCTCTGCCCGTCGTGCGGTCATGAGCGCTTCCAGTGGCTTCGGAAAGTCAGTACGAGGATACTCCACTACCACCAACCCCAATCCTCCATACGGCAAGAAGCACGCTTCTAACGACGTTCCTTCCCGGGTTGCCCTCATTGGTGCACGTGGTTTCACTGGCCAAGCTTTGATTGCCCTCTTGAACAAGCACCCCAACTTCGTCCTTAAGCATGTATCGTCCCGTGAGCTGGCAGGTCAGACGCTCCAGGGATATGACAGAAAAGAAGTCACCTACTCCAACCTGAGCGCAGAGGAGGTTGGCAAGATGGAGGAGAACGGCGACATCGACGTATGGGTAATGGCTCTGCCCAACGGTGTATGCAAGCCATACGTAGACGCGATCGACCAGGCACGGGCCAAGATCGGAGAGCGAGACGACAACAGCGTCATCGTTGATCTGTCCGCGGACTACAGATTCGATGACTCGTGGACATACGGTCTTCCCGAGCTTACCAAGCGCTCATCCATCGCACAAGCTACCCGCATCTCAAACCCGGGTTGTTATGCGACTGGTGCTCAGCTCGGTATTGCTCCGTTGGTGGACTTCCTCGGCGGTTCCCCCAGTGTCTTTGGTGTGTCGGGTTACTCAGGAGCTGGTACTAAGCCTTCCCCCAAGAACGACACCAACCTGCTCGACAACAACTTGATCCCCTACAGCTTGACTGATCACATCCACGAAAGGGAAGTTAGCTCGCAGCTGGGGACTCCCGTAGCTTTCACTCCTCATGTGGCAAGGTGGTTCCAGGGTATTCACCACACCATTCACATCCCCCTGAAGCAGACTATGACCTCGCGAGAGATTCGTCAAATCTACCAAGACCGCTACGCTGGAGAGAAGCTCGTCAAGGTCATTGGTGAGGCCCCTACAGTGAAGAACATCAGTCAAAAGCACCACGTCGAGATCGGTGGATTTGCTGTGCATAGCTCCGGAAAGAGGGTGGTCATCTGTGCCACCATCGACAACCTGCTCAAGGGAGCAGCTACACAATGTTTACGTAAGTTCCCTTTCACAATTCGTTATCAAGGATGATAGGCTGACTCTCATGATAGAAAACATGAACTTGGCACGTGGTTATGCGGAGTTTGAAGGCATTCCCCTTTCGGAATAGATCAGGTAGACACCAAAACGGCTTCTTTTATTTCCATATCGGGTTTGTTAGGGATTTTGGTTTCGGTTGCGGTTCTGATTATTGTATATACCTCGAGACCAATTGAAATTTGTTTATACACAAATGTCTTCTTTACAGCCCGTGTCAACCATGGCTCTAACTCGCACGGCGGTTGGCTTTGCCAGCCAATCTGCCTGCGCTGACAACACGGGCATCATGGATCGATGCCATGTGTGGCTTGCTTCATGCAAGCTGCCATGAACGTGCATGATCGAAATGCGATGCGACGTCGGCGGACATGGCTGCGGCATGCCGTAGCCAAAGTGCGCGAACTCGGGTGGTACTGCCCCGCTTTTGTCCGCAGGAGACATCAACCTGGGGCTTGACTGCTCCTTGCGTCAAAGGAAAACCAACTCCGGTATGCTTGGGTATCGCGATGCACGGCACGAGTTGACCATGGTAACACGCATCTCTAACCGAGATAAGTCTGACAGGCAGACCGCGCGACCATACTCGAAGCAACCTCCGGCACGGCACCATCCAAACAGCGCAGCCTGGGCAAAAGGGAGCATGCATATACCGGGGAAGCGCACCGACGTTCCCTCAAGACCGCGCGGGGCCTTCGCTCTATCTGATCGGGCTGGGTTGTGCGGGCTACGAAGGCAAAGTCGGGTTTAGATGAACGGAGCTACGGAGATTGCGTGCTTGCCCTGCTCTGATGCGCTCTCCAACGAGGCCGGACCGTGCCTGCTCGCAATGGCTTGAGAACACCTCGGCAGAGATCAAGTGGTGAGCATAAGTACCATGTATTCAGATCAGCGGGACCGTGAAATGTGGCTAGCATTGCCAGTAGTTACCTCGTACTCGAGGGCGGGTGACAACGTGCAGACAACAGAGGCTTGACACTCGTCTTACGTGGGTTGGGGCATGGCCTTATGAGAAAAACGCCTTTAAGCCTTCGGCCTACGGGGCGCATACACTCCCGGGGACCTGGAAGTGCGTCTGATGCACCGGGAGTACTCGCCGCTTCTAAAAGCGAGTTCGAGAAGAACCCTCCATGGGTAGAGTACTCCAGCATGCTGAAGTCGTTCCAAAACTACTAGAGTGTTTTGACATGTCCGATATGAGCGAGCTTAGCTGAGAGAGCCATGGACTTCCGCCTGATGTTGGTCAAGAACTTACAGGCGGAGCATTCTCGAGCTATTTCGCGCTCGGCTTTCATCATCGTGCCGAAGAAGGTCAAGATGGAGAAGATGAGGAAGTTCCAGATGAAAGTCACTGTTGAGCCATGCCGTGAGATAGCCAAGCGGCTAGGGGCGTGTTTGCAATTCAAGTCGTCGCATTCAAGTAGTAGTACGCCCACAGAATAGAGAGATTCAAAAGCTCGGGACTCGAAAACTATCACAACAACGCCCAGCATGGCCGAAGCGCTGGAACTACACCATTGGTACTCATCCCCCCTGCTAAACAGTCTCCAGTGCTACCGTGTTAAACCCTCGACGTAGCAGAGAGACTAGATTCGCTAGCATCCTCCGAGTTCATCCCGCTTGACAGTGTACTGCCAGAAACCTCGACCGGATTACTTTTCGCGTCTAATTCGATCCATCCCGTCGGACGGCTAAACGCCTACGGAGCGCTAGGCATCTCCGCAGCGTGAGGACTGGGGACGTTGGTTTCTAGTTCCGAGATGGTCTTCTGCCTGCCAGAGAACATGCATCCGCAGCAGATCCGCGAACGTCCGGGCCCGACAGTCCATGTGGTGATTGCGATAACAATCATGGCCAGCACCGCAAGCGGGATACTTAGTCCTAATGCAAGGGGCGAAACCGAAAGAGATGCTCGCGAATAATATTCCCGGAGTCCGGGAGCCGATGCAGAATTTGTGATCATGGCACTCGGAAAGTCCTCAAAGATGTCATCGGTGACATCGTACACAGTCGCCGCTGGGACGGTAGGCCCTGGCGTCGCTAGTGGTATTGTAGCACCTTTGCTGGCGAAGGGCACCACGTTCGAAGCGGTGGTGTATCGTGATTGGGCGAGTCCAAGTTGTTGATTCTCCTGGTCCCAGACGGTATAGACGTTTCGGAGGAACGCTTCACCGAGACCGTTATGGACACCGGGGAAAGTGGGAATGATAGTCAGATAACATTCAGTGTGCTTCGAAGACATTCGGACCCACATGAATTTCATCAGGCTGCACGAAATCGGCAATCGCAGCGGTTAGGACAGGACCTGTAGGACCGTTGAACTGAAACGAGAATGATGCATTGCTGTTCGCCAAACCGTAGTCAACCACGGGCTGGCCAGTTGTTTCGTTGAGAACTGCCCCGGTGAGGTTGTATATGGAGTCGGCCAGAGGCTTGGGGAGAACAGCAGTCGTTTTGCCAATACCCGGCTCGAGATATAAAGGTATACCTGCAAGCAGCTCATCGCTGCCAGTGGAATTATCAAGTCGCGTAGAAGTCATGGCAATTCCGTAATATGTGCCAGAGGTAGAGTCGTTGACGAATGGTTGTGTTTGTAGAACAGTGAGAGGGCCGAAATACTTTCTGTGTCAATCGCCCCAAACAGTAACGTTCCATTGGCTGTGGCATCTTTCATAGCTCTTAGTTTCGAAAGAAACAACACTTCAATAATGTATGAACATACTGAGCTTGTCCAAAGCATAGCTATATGTACTGCTGCTTATCTGTCCATTCTGCTCCAGGAAAGCGGGAAGCGATAGTGGGAGATCAGGAGAGTGGCGTTTCATCAGACCTCCGAGACCTAACCTGAGTTCATCCAGGGCAACGCCAACTGCAAGACCAAAGGTGGCATTTGATAATCGCGTGTTACCCAAAGCCAAGGTGTCATTAAAGATATCGCAAATCATATTTTGGATCGTAGTTGCATCGCCGGTGGTTTCGTTCAGGTTTCCTATGCTGACCACGGTCTTGGTGCTCGAGGCTTGAGGATCGTCTGGACACGGGTTAGCTATGCTAGCATATGTTGTGCGAGACCACTTAAGAAACTTACAACTTCCGAGTTCACAACTAGTCAGTTCTACACACAGCGTAGAACGACTGAAGGAAACAAAATGATATGGAGTACTCGACACCCGCAAAGCCAGTGACTGCGGAGGCGTGCCCAGAGCTGCTTCAACATCATACTCCTGAAAAGGCAAATAGTCTGATACATTGACGTAGGTCATAACGTCCAAAGATAAATAAGTGCCACCCTGGCGGTTGTTCAAGAGTAATTGAGAATACGCGAATATGCCACCTAAATTCCACTCGCAAAATATTGCAATTGCCAAGACCCTATGCCACATGGTGTCAAAATTGATCATGGAGTATATGGCATGAGCTGAGCATACGTAACACGGATCGACAGGATCCTTACCATCTCTGAGGAGGTCATGGCAGCATATATCTAAGTACCGGAGAGATTGTGAGCAATTGTGTCATGCTGGTGCTGATAGCATCGCTTGCAAGTTCAACACGTTGAGGGCGTATTATCCGAATCTCCGCACCCTATACCAGTGATGCTCTCGTGAATTGTTTGCTCGAACCTTGCCCATCCACACAGCAGGTTCAGTTACTGGCCAATCAGGATGTTGTGCAACCACCAGCATGTGCCAGTTAGTTGGAAACGAAGCGTAAATTGGCAGGCTCTGCAGCAGCCGAGACGAATGAAGGTCCACATGTGTCTACTAGGAGTCCCTTGCCTCTCGCGAGTACTGCTTTCCATCATAATATGCAGCTGAATTGTTCCAAATCTAAGTCGATCTAGATCTAGTCCTGTCAATTGTCACAAATACTGTTGGTTCTGATAGTTCCTTGTTGTACAATGCATTGAGGTTTGCGAATCGACGTGAAGACAACGTCCAGGCAATGTAGTCAAAGCGCGCACTGGTTCGTCGACCTTGCCGGAAAACGCAGGAAAACCAGATGATGGTGTTAAGGGATTTTTGCCATTTAGGTTGCGGCCATCTAGCCGAAGACTTTCTATTCTGCTGAATTTTCCCCACCGACGCCGGAAATATGCCAATCAATCACGCCACGTTTGTATGCATTTAGATATAGCCCTTGAGCACTGCCGCCTCGGCATTCAGGATAGACGAGCCAGCAGCTCCAATCACAGCTTCACTATGTCAGTCGCATATTCCATGGCCAGGGAAATGGAACACTTACTGTTGTGACTTAATGCCACGAACTTGATATCAAAGATACCGCTGTCGTCCTCACGCACTCGACCAACACTGACCGTGTATCCGCGGCCGAGGTCACGGTCCAGGCGCGGCTGTGGGCGATCTGCATCATCGAAGACCATGATGCTCGGCTCCGGTGCACTGGGGCACCCAAGCTTTTGCGCCTCACTGACGTAGTTGCGGAGAGCAGCTTTGACGTCCTCGGCCTTGGGCGGAGGTCGGTTCTTGAACTTCAAACTGACACATGCAGTGTGCCCGTCAAGGACAGGCACTCTGTTGCAAGCAGCGGAAACCCGCAGACCTTCCTGCTCGACGAAAGCCGTCTTGTCGTCCTTGATGCCGCCGAGAATCTTTCGTGCTTCGGTCTCAAGCTTGTCCTCCTCGCCAGAGATAAAGGGCACGACGTTGTCGATAACGTCCATGGAGCTTACTCCTGGGTAGCCAGCTCCGGATACAGCCTGCATTGTAACAACGGAAACGGTGTCGACCTCGCCGAACTGGGCCTGCAGTGCGGCGAAAGGAATAACCAAGCCGATGACGGCACAGTTGGAGTTACAGACCAAGAAACCCTTTTCTAACTTGTGGTGTTTCCTTTGGTGGGGGATGAGATCGAGATGCGGCAGGTTGACTGTGGGCACGACGAGAGGCACCAGAGGATCGCGGCGGTAGTTCTTGGCATTCGAAAAGACGGCGATCTCTGCCTTGAGGAATTCCATTTCTTGAGGGAGATATCAGCATGGCCATGCGACAGCCGCTAGCTCATGGAATGCGGAACAGAGCTTACCGACGTCTCCTGCCACATCGGAGTCTAGACCACTGAAAACAACATCACATTCGGCGAACTCGCTGGCTTTGCACTCTTTCACGACCAACTCGCCGACGCTGCCCATGGGCGATGCTTGCTTCCACCGCACGGCATCCTTGTATTTCTTGCCCGCGGATCGGGAAGAGGCACCCACAGCGTGTAGGATAAAGTGCGGGTGCTGTTGAAGGAGAAGGATGAAGCGCTGGCCGACGGAGCCAGTAGCGCCAAGCACACCGACCTTCTTTGTGGGAAATTGGGAAGCCATGTTGTATCAAGCCAATCAGCTGGTTTGAAGTTGACCGTCTATGTTGAGGCAGAATGTCGACAGTATAGTGAGCCGTCTCGCGAAGGTGATCGATCCCGGTTGTCTTAAGGCGTAATTGCCCCGCCAAAAATGTTGACTGGACCTGCCCCGCTATCGGAGGTGCAGTGGGCTGTCACTCGTACAAAAACAGTAGTTGAGGGGCATTTTTAGACCATGAAGCAGCCAATGGGATGCTGTATAATACCTAGCATGCGTACGATGTCATGATCATATCCATGTTGTCAGGCAATGCTTTCAGAAGCATTGAACTGACGATGCGATTGTAAACTCTGCTCGAGGTCGTAATGGCCGCAACGCTTGCTGCCGTTGAAACTTTCAACGAGCTGAGTAACGGCGTACATCCCCCAATCGTGACAATTGTAATCGTTATTAACTCATTCCAATAATCGGAGCTAACTATAAATCTATGCAAACAATCCAAAAGTTGGAATCGAGGACTACAGTAAGGTTAGATATGTGTCCCGTGTACGGATTACATAACTAAAATAATTGGCAAAATTGACAAAAGATTTGGCCCGAACCCGGGATCGAACCGGGGACCTCTCGCAAATTGCTTGGGTGTACCCTAAGCGAGAATTATACCACTAAACCATCCGGGCTGTGATTTGTTGATGTGTGGTAGTCGCTTATGTGGGATTACTATAGATACACATGTCCTGAGAGACGACATCGTTGTGTACCACAGAAATTCTAGTAGAAGCTTGAGATGGTAGTGAATGCGATACTACGGCGTCAGACTTTACCTTATAGATAGCTCTCGAAGCAACGTCAACGATTTTCGCAGTCCTTCAATTGTCAGAAGTGTGGCGCTTCGTCGACGTTCTTGCTGTCCAAATTCGATTAAGTCGGCAGATCCGACAATGGAGTTACCAAACCCACCTGTTCAAAGTTAGTGCACGGCAATTCAACCGCATCAATCGGGGTAAATTCCGGTACCGCAATCTGTTGAACGAATTAGACCACCGTAACTGGTCTTCCAACGATGCTTTGAACAACGAGTCTCTGGGAAGCCGAAAGTAAGCCGATGGATGAGATAAGCCTAGGTCTTACTTAACGAGGACTTGCTGAGTCTGTCGCGTGCACGTAAGAGAGAAGTGGAGCTCTCCCTCCATAGATATATTGTGGATCGCAGGGGTTCATCGCGAGTCGCGACTCACTCCATTTGCTTTAAGTAGTCCAGTTGTGTTGGCTAGCCAATTCGTTGTCAATTCACGATCATCTGGTTGTCTCATACCTCAGTTGAGCTTCGTCTGGTCCGCAGTATAGACAACTTCATCTCTAATCCTTATAATACCGGCACTTCTCATATCTCGGGTCGTAAAATCGCTCAAATCTCACCATGTCTGCGTTCTCCAAACTCAAGAATGCTCGCAAGATCATCTGTATTGGCCGCAACTATGCGTAAGCCATACGTACCTGGCTGCCCTTTATGATTGCAATCTGTTAATATGACCCAGGGACCACATTACCGAGTTAAACAGTGCCAGGCCCAAGCAGCCCTTCTTCTTCTTGAAGCCCACATCTTCAATTCTGCTGCCGGGCGAGGGCTCCATCATCCGCCCACGAGGCGTTGATATGCACTATGAAGTCGAGCTCGCCTTAATTATGGGCAAGACCGTGAGGGATCTCAAGGAGAACGACACTAAAGGCGCTCTTGATGCCATCGACAGTGAGTTCTGACCTCTCTAACCTCCGTTATTTGCGCCTGAGTTGAACGTAAGGGCAGGCTACGCTGTTGGTATCGATATGACAGCCCGCAACGTGCAAAACGAAGCCAAAAAGAAGGGTCTCCCCTGGTCCATCGCCAAGGGATTTGACACCTTCCTGCCCATGAGCAACGTGATCGCAAAGTCCCAAATCCCCGATCCGCACAATGTTGAGCTGTACCTCTCCGTCAACGGAAAAATACAGCAGCAGGATTCGACGGAGCTCATGTTGTTCCGCATTCCTAGGATTTTGAGTGAGATTTCCAAGGTCATGACGATCGAGAAGGGTGATATTGTCCTTACCGGAACGCCCAAGGGTGTTGGACCTGCTGTTCCTGGCGATATTATGGAGTTTGGTGTCAAGGTCCAGGGTAAGGAGATTGAAGAGGGAAAGACGAGGTTCGAGGTCAAGGACTCAACGGGCGATTATGTTTTCGCTGAGACATAAAACGCAGTTGGATGACGCTAGTGAAATGTACACGAAGCAACCGCATATGTGCACATACTGAGGACTGTACAAAAATTTTAAATACGAACGCATTGTTGCGCAGAACTGTATCCCACTCATCAATAATAGTGCACGTCAATTCCAAAATACACTGTGACTGGAACTGTAGATATCGAAGTGGCGGTATCGAAAATCGATAATCAGTGTTGAAGGCTTAGTCAATGATATCGATTAATCGTGACAAATTGTCTTCTCCTCTCAGATATCATTCGCGGCATGTTAATAATTCCGGTGACTTTTAATGCTGGCGGAGCTCGCATAATCTGATTGTATCTTCACTAATGAAACCGATAATTTTGACTACTGCTCCAGCGAGAATAGTGAACTCTATCTCGTCAGACCAGGTCAGTCCAGTGAGCGGCAGGACTTGCCATTGGTAATTATACTAACGATGAAGTAGCATTCTATATCATCACGCACTTTTGCATGTATCGTTACGGCTCTCTCTTTTTGTTAGCAGTGTCATGATTTCACACTCGTAGATTTAAAAATTATTCCTCGAGCTGGTTGCTGTCGCATGATACTGAGCTTTGGAATCGAAGGTAAATAAGTTATAATTGAGAACTCTACAACACAAAAATACCACCTCGACGATTACCATGCTTGGCGAATGGTTCTTAGCATTTTTGTGGAGGAACACAGAACAAGAAAGAAAAGGATTGCATAAAAGTAGGAAAGAAAAAAAAGATAATCAAAAAGGAGTCGTGATTTCGACGCTATGAATCGCGTTCGGAGATCTGTTATGGCATGTCACCCAACGTAAGAACAAACTCAGTCGAGTGACGCGGGTAAAGTGTTCTCATATAGCATGTGCTAGAATAGATATGGCATTCTCATCAACTTACTGCGTCGTCTACCCCCTTCTGGTGTCGTTTGGCCGCCACAGCTTGTTGTAGCTCACTGACCTTGCCTTGGATAAGAGGTAATGTCGAGCTCTTCCATCCTGGCAAACCGCTATGATTACTCTGAATAATAGTACCAACGAGAAACATCAGCGTCAGAACTTCTAAAGCCATGGGTAGGATCAGCCATAACCACCGCACGTGCACAAACGTGTCGCCAGTCCACGCCGTACCAAGAGCGAAGCGGTCGCTGGTAGTATCTGTTATGTTTCCAGTCCACTCGGAAATACTGGCCGGAATACCGTTCGTGCGCAAGGCCTTCGTCATGGCAGCCGCAACGGCCGCGACAGTATTGTTTTCCCCGCCCACTTTCTGGGTTCCAGATCCGGAGCCATCTTCGCCGAACGTGTAAAGTGCCCTGAGGACATCATTTGTACTTGACATACGCCCAGTCGACCCACTTACACTCCCCGTCCAAAAGTCCTATAAATTATCAGTCGAGCCACATTTTACCACAACTGGCATTGAAATCGGCCAGGACAGAATAACGAACCTGTAAGTGCATCCATATAGCATACCATGCATGAAATCCAACCCAAAACTGCGTTTCAGTACCGGAGACTGTTATTGTGATGTTCTGGTCCACCCCTGGGGTTTCATCGCCAGTATAGCTGGACACGATGGTCTCAGTAAAGATACCATTGGTGACGTTGCCTTGGTATTCGTTCACACAAAAGTACAAGACACACTCATTGGAGACCACGCCCAACAAATTGGTCGAGGAAAGGTCATGTAGACCACGTATGCTGGATAATGTCGCAAATGTTGACTGCGTATTATTGTAGGCAAGCGAGTCGTAGCTCCCGGATGCGTTCATATACATATTTCCTCGTGTTCGACCGTCGAAGGACATGCCGTTCGGCAGCGAATAGTTGCATGTGGCCGGAAGTGTGCCAAATTGTTCGCCACAGTTCGAGGTGATGAGCGCCGTCGTGTTCGCGCACTTGCTACACACAGCCAGAGAGTGATATGTAAATGGCCAACTGCAGTTGCCGGTTGCGCACGATGCCGAAGTCGAAAAGTCTGCTTGCGGTTCGTCGGCAGTATCAAACATGCCGTTGTTAATTGCAGCCTTCATAGCCATGGTTGGTTCTCTGATGGCCATGATTGAGCCGTAGGAGTAATCGTTGTACATCGATGCTACTGGAGCAGACGAGTTGTAGCCTGTTAGGACAATGGGCTCCGTCTGATACGTAATGACCTGTTGTACACACGGTTCCACGGCGAGTAGGATGATGGTGATGAGGGCACCTAACTTGGCCAAATGGATACCACGCGTGTCGACAAGCAGCTTGACACTGCCCCACGTACCGCGGCTGGCCTCGTCGAAGGTCTGGATGTCGCGAACGGCGACAGCCTCGCGAAGCCATAGCCACTTAAGCTGGCTAATACACTCGGCAACGGGAACCACGGCGGCGGCTTTCATTAGTGTCGTCATGAATGAGATAAAAGAATTGAGCGTGACGTTCATCGGCCAAGTCGGCAACGGTTTACCGTCCGTCATAGCCACAGTCAAAACGATTACGGCTACTGCTATGGCGCTGACCAGCCAGGCTATTGATTCGATTATCCACCAATTTCTGCTGCCCTCATCCTGAATCTCGAGCCGCGAAAGACGCTTGATGGCTATTTCTTCTTTGGACATGGCTTTTGGACCATCGCCTTTGGCCGACCATGTCGAGCTTCGCTCTTCCTTCAAATCGTCGAGTTCGACATAGTTTCCAGCAAGACGATCCAGAGGTGAAGAAGCATGGAGTAAAATCTGCGGTGAGGCCATAAGTGGCTTCAAGATGAATTCAAAAAGATAAATAAACGAGTGTGAAAAGAGGCATGTAATGAATGGATACCAAGATGAAATGTTGAATGGGTCCGTATGCTCAGCGGCAAGATCCAGCGAAGCCGTCTAGAGATTATTATTTTAGAGAGACGCCAATATAACATTCGACTCGGCCTTGAAATGACAACACATCTCGAGCGGACTTCAACACAGAGCTTGGTGGGTCTGGTGTAATTTGAAAGACGTCGATCGAAGAAAGTCCCTGGTCCACTCCCCACATATTTCCCGTATTCATCTGTTTGAGCTGCTCCTAAGGCCAACAACCTCCAGTCTCGACGGAAGCCGAGTACTCAAGAGTTAACCCGAGAATTCGAAGTTATAGTAACGATAACTACTAGATGAACTACTAGATGAACTACGATATCGAAGCAAAGCGCCACTCGGAGTTTAAGCTTAAAGCAGGGTCAAATCAATCCGCCCCACTAGTAGGGCTAAATGGGAGTATTTCCACCTAGAGGGGCAAGAGGCAATCAAAACTGCCGGAACTAGGATGCATTGAAGATCGTACCATCGCGGGAATTTATCAAGTCTGTGCTACAGGACTGGAACCATGCTCGAGGAATCTTCCGGAAATTCCTATATTCGACCGTGCAAATATTCACTTTTCTACATGTTATGTAAGGCTGGCTCGCTGGACAACTCCGAGATCCGAACGGTTTAGATTCTACATAGGCTAGGAGAATTTTTTGACTATCTCTGAAATACACATTTCGTCTATCATTTCTCGTTTGATGACCGGCCGCGCTTTGTTTGAGGTGCGCGAGTGTTACAACAAGTCCATGTTTTTGATCCGTACTTCCGGGTCGTCTTTATGGCGTGCTTTACTGTTATCCTTTGTCGATATTGTTTTGGCAGACATTGGGTACGTAGCTATGATCCTAGTGCGTCCACCATGTGGCACCAAACGACCAGGATGATGCGGAATTATGATTTACATTCAGTACCGCTCATCAACGGGAAATCACTTCCTACCTTGATCTGGCTTTTCTGTATGAAACAGCACTTAAACTCAACCACTTGCAGCTAGCATAGAGCATGCAGAAATATACGTTTCAGCTTGTCACCTTGTGCCTTTTGTTCTCTTTCTTTTCCTCAGCTACGTATATTACACGCCTTCTTTCATTCCATGAGGAAACTTCGAGCTCGCTTCTGCTAATATGATGCTTCCTGAAATCTGGTACCTGCCGACACCTTGCCGGGCTTTTGAACCTTCATATATCGCATTTCGTTCATGTCGATCGTTTAGTCCCAGTAGCATTACATACGGCGAGTATTAGGAAGCATATATATAGACTGACAGTGGCTATGTTGCGCACACCGCAGAGACGGAAGACATCCAGTACTACTCAGTGTCGGAAACCAATGTCTCATTGAGTGCCACTGGCATGGTGACAGACCGGAGGTGGTACCATGTCGATCTCATGAATATCTATTTACTTCAACGTAATCGGCATAACATTCTGGGGGAGTTTTCTGTTTATCTCGCAAGAACCTCCTAGTAGCGAAATAGAAGTACAGATTCACTATCTTCACGTTTCGATGCCACTCATGAGTTGTACGACGTGGTCGGGTCAGAGTTTCTCAAGGTCGCGCTATTGCTAGTCTCTATTCATTCTTCAGTCATATATCCCAGCTCAGGGCTCATGAGGTAAGTAGATCAACGAAGCACTTCAGCTGTACAAAAGATTATTGGCCAAGGCGACATCAGTAGGCTGAGTTGAGGGTCGATGGGTTACTTCTTCTCGCAAAAGTAGACATCATGAATGTTACACCAATTTCAATATTTGGTTCACCCATACTGTTGCAAAACCAGAAACTACCGAATGGCCGAATTTGTTAAGGAGTTATGACCTATCCGTAGTGACATGTCGGCGAAGTTCCGCAGCTCTGTATGGGTGGTGCAAGCCAGCACGGTACGACGTCACGCTATGCGTCGAACCACAGTGCTTGAGAGAAAAGTCTGCCCCGCCAGAGAGTCAAATGAAGAGTGGATAGCTGCTGGGCTAGCTTCACCTCCTCAACTACGACAATGGCAGGCTCGGTGTCTGCCCAGTTAGGATATTCAAATGTGCAGTTGAAGTATCTGGATGGCCTTGTGGGAAGAAATGCACGCTACACGCTGCGACAATATACGAGACCGTAACCGCCACTAGGGACGAGCTGTATCGAGGTAGTAAATTGCCAAAATTTTATTAACTATACTCAGCTTTCTCATGCCTGGACCAAGGCAAATCACCTCGTCGAGATAAACTTCCTACAAGTGTAAATCAAATTTTGTGACCTTATGACCGCAGAAATTAGGACGTGATTCTCTTCGTTGCTGCATGACGACACTTGCCCCTAAGTCTTCGATTGGTAGCTGGACGAACGTTCGATTAGGCTGGCGACAAGACAAGGGTACCGGAATCAGGTTACTCTCAGAATAGCATGTCGGACTGGGTGAGAATGTGAAGTGTGACTGGTACTCAAATTTTGGAACATGATCTGTTGCAGAATATGTACTTAGTCATTGGGTTCGACCGACTTTCTCCCTTGCTTCGCTGCGAGTGTATGTCTCTTTAACTAACAGAAAATCAAGACTTAACGAGCATATCAATCCCAGCGATGTCAAATATATATATTGGTACGGCTGGTCACACATGATTTGATCCTGACCTTAACATGAGATAACAAGAGTTATTCTTGCTTAGACTACTACCACTTCGAATTCATTCAGTAGCTTTGAGACTATTTATCGAAGCCTCGCTGTTGCATGGCGAGATGTTAGTATCCAACGTCGCGGTCTGGAGGGGGCATAGTATGTTCGGCGGCCCATCGAACAGAGGAAAGGGAAATTTGCATCGGCAAGTCGGCCCGCGTACGCATGTTCTCGATAGGAATATCACTGGTCAGCCAATGTAGAATTGCATACGTGACCACTGACCACCGTGTCGATCTTCAAAACGTCAGTATTTACATCATCGCTGGTCTAAATCGGTGGAGAAAAGTCGGTCCCAGCCAGGCGCCTGAGATGGGGAGGCGGTGGAGGATTTGTAATCAGATGCTGCAAGGCACGAAAGCCCACTGCTGTACTCAAGAGCGCTTTGTACCAAAAAATTACAGAATATGTTGGCGTATATAACATCGCTTCTCTGATCCAGTCATACTTGAGAGTTGTCACCAACATATTTCCAGAAAAATCAAGGACGATGATGGCAACGGAATCAAGGATACGGCATACGTCGAAATATCAAGCCGAATGTTACTGCCAATCAACCAAGAGACCTTGCGTATCAAGGTTATAAGTGCAGCTGCTCGCATAGTCGTTGAAAATGCCGCGATCGGGGACCGATATTCGCTCCGGAAAGGAGCTGTACTTTCGACACTATTGGTCGCTCAGGACAGTTTTTTGTCGATCTGAGTCACATTATTAGAGGCATTGCAGGTAGTGATCAGCACAGCCCGAGTCGGAGGATGCAGTTTCCATCTCTGGAAGTTCGGCATGAAGGTCGTAATTCTTATTGGCTGGAGATCTTGGCTTAGCGACATACGCGTCCACAGCTTAATAGAGTTCTGTATCGAATAGGGTGTCGATCAACAAGTCCCTATGATTCCATCGATCTCATCGTGCAAAATCATTGCGACAATGTTGTAGAAGCATTCACCTGTCCCCGGATGTTAGTACATGTTCGTGCTTGGAGACTGAAGCCGCACGCGCGTGCTTGCTAGGAATCGGCTGAAATATGGTACTTCAACAGGGCTACGAAGTTCAGCTGGTGTCGATTGCTTGAACTGCAGTCGTCAAATGGCGCGTAATCATCCGTTCCACGCAAACCTTGACAGGAGAGTATCGGGCTGTCCAAAAGGCGCCATATAGAACAAAAGTGCAGAGGTGACAACCGTGTTGGCTACGGCCGTCTCGAAGTTGAAACAAGGTGACGTGAAACATGAGATCTGCAAGAAAAGATATACATGGAAGCCGTCTTTGTGGGGTTATAACGGACTCAAGTATCGTGAGTACATTTATAGCCACAGACCGTCATGCCATGCGTAGGAGAGAATAGACAACTGACGCAGGCCGCGTAATGCGTTTTGGAAGGCTTGCGCGTAGCCCGAATCAGCATGGCGGCTCAGGGGTGTGGGACCGGGTTGTTGGTTGAACGGGTCTAGTTTTTCGGGGACTTTCTAAACACTATAGAATCCACACGATGGGGACAAGGTGCTTGTGCGATCGAATGGCGGGTCATAAGGCGGCTCTTGAGACCCTGACATGATAGCGATTGCCGGCATGATATCCACTTCGACATTCGATGGGGATGCATATCAAGCGCAGCCCATGTTTTCGAGTGCTTTTTTTGGGGCCTTGCCGGATTCAGCTTCAGGGAACACCCATGCGATAGGCCGTGAACTCGTGAGCTGAGCTTGCGACTTCGAATGAGAACCACGGAGCAGCCCATGGCGTCTAGAGTATATTGTGAGTTATGTCGATCCACCGCCTCAGTCCGTGTGGCCTTCAGCTCGGTGGGAGGTGTATAACGTTATGAGAATTACGAATGAGGCAATGACGGGGGCTGTGTCACGACACGATGAGTATCCCGAGGAGCGCAATGACCAGAACCATAAGGTCAACTTTGGATTATAAGAAGGACTGGTATCCTCGCCTTGTTTGAGTTCTAATTCCTCAGATCATTCAACAGCTTCATCAAACACAACTCTTTTCCATCTTCCTATCTTTTCTTTCAAGAAATCGCAGCCGGCTGCAAAGTACATTCAGCCTCCGCTCCTCTTCATTCTTTACAAGAACTTCGTTATTCATATCAAAATGAAATTCCTCACTACCGTAGCAGTCTTTACCGTGACTGTCGCGGCAGCTCCATTCGAGCTCGCCATGCGACAAGACAGCTCGCTACCGCCTCTGCCCAGCGGATTTCCCACTGACTTCACTCGTGAGTATAACAACCAAGCCCTGATAAATTTTACAAACATATGAAACTAATTTATTTACTCTCATCTAGCGACGGGGGCTCCTCCAACTGGACTACCAACTGGACTACCACCCCGATTCTCTGGGACACCAACCGGCCCGCCCCCGAGTGATCTGCCTGCTCCAACGGAGCCGGCGAGAAAGAAGGCTCGGCAGGACGCTTCCGGCCCTCCCTCTGGCGTAGCTGTAAGCAAATTCCCAAATGAGTCTTTTATATTATGATATAGCTTCATGCGAGCTTGTTGTGCGATGCAGCAATTTGGGTATACAAAAGGAGCGATCCAGCTGCGTTGCAACCATATCAAATTCCACTCGGTGTACGAGAAATGCTTGCTGACCTCGATACTTGTATTCTAGCCTACTGGACCGCCACCATCAGGAGTAAAGGTAAGCAATTATGCAGCAGACACAATCTGCATCTTCTTCTTCTTCTTCTTCTTCTTCTTCTGCTTCTTCTCTTAGCAACTCTCACAATTGTCTGATATGAGCTTCTAAGCTCTTACAGTGACCAAGCGTTTTCATATTCCTATTAAATTGTCTTGTGGGAACCACAGCTGACACAATGCTACAGCCATCAGGAGCCCGACCGACCGGCCCTCCGCCGTCTGGGACACCAGCTGCGAAGCTCGCAGCCCAGCAAAATGATCCGTCTGCTCCACCTCAAGCATCTGGAACGCCACCTCCGCAACCCAGTGGCGCGTCAGGCCTTCCTCCTCCATCTGGCAAGCCATCAGATGCCCCTGCGCCTAACCCAACGTTGAATGTTCGCCAGGAAGCCTCGTCTCTTCCAGCACCTCCCAGCGGTACTCCACCACCCCTTCCGAGCGGCGCTTCTAGACTTGCTCCTCCCAGCGGTACGCCTCCACCACTTCCTAGCGGTGTTTCTGGACTTCCCCCTCCCTCTGGCAAGCCATCAGATGCCCCTGCGCCTACCGCAACATTGAAGGCTCGCCAAGAGGCTTCGTCTCCTCCAGCACCTCCCAGCGGTACTCCGCCATCACTCCCGAGTGGCGCTTCTGGACTCCCTCCTTCTCCGCCATCGGGAGCTCCCACTGGTGTTTTCTCTGGCCCTCCTGTAAGTTGTTCACTACACTATCGAAAAAGCAATTACTAACTTTTTTGATGCTACAGCCCAGTGGTACACCTCCACCTCCCCCTGCCCAGAGCACTGCCGCCTAGAGTGATAAAGCGTTATCACAGTATGTCTATACTTGTAGGCTCGGATATTTCAGCTTGAGACGTAGAAGGCCGTTTTACACGCTGGTCCTTGACCTACACCGCTGGAAAGGTACCAAGATACTAAGGGGAGGTGAATCTTCGGTGTGATACTAGGTTGACGCTATCACATGCATCATTTCGTCAAAATTATGGGTAAACAGTACCATTACACGCTCGTTCGTTCACAAACAAGAAATAGAAAGTAGAAGAAATAGATGAGTTCTACAAATTTGATCCGACTTTCACTTCCAATTGATATCATTATCACGCTTCGGTATATCGTGATAAGTCAGGCATTCAACTAGATTCCAAATATTTAATGGAAAAATCATGATAGATAGGCCTAAGTATTCTTGATCGGATGATACGCCTTCGATGTTCTCGGGCGATGTTCCCATCCACTTTGTCACACCCAAAGAAGGGCACGTTCCATGTCTTGTCATGCCTGGTGAATTCACTGTCGATTGTGTGATCCACTTGCCGGTAAGCAGATGAAGGTCAACCTGCGGAACAAGGAGAGCTACTGTACAAAGCTGACATTCTTCGTAGATGCGAAATGCCGGCCAAGAAAAAACGTTGTATCTCAGCACAAACTCACAAAGCTTGACTGCGTTGACACGTTTGACACCAGCCTTACGTGTAAATCGCTTCTGATCGAAGGTATTGACCGTGTCATCACAGACAGAGCGATTAGTATGCTGCACCCGTGCTGACATCATGATGGTGCTTCCCTTATTAAAAAGGTTATAAACATCAAGTGGGTGATTGCTCACAGCTTTGCGGGTGGCTGGGCTGGTGGAATGAACTTGCATCGTATCTTTCAATGTCATCAGTAGTATGGGACAAGATAATTTGACAGGAGTGAAACCAATCTGCCGTAGTAGCCAGCGCAGGGGAACTATATCTTTTGTTATACTCAGCTGAACAGGATCCACCAGAAGTTCGGGTGCCAGGTCTGAATGCAGCACGCATACGAAAGGAGTGAATTCAGCAATTTAGCATTCGTGCAGCCAACGATGGTGATTTGTCCAGGACCCTAAGCCATCAGAGCATACAGGTGATATACAAGATAGCATTGAATATTAGTTTATGTTCCAGGTATGTTCAACTTCAACACCATACCTCATTCACTTTACACAAGTTCATCTTGCGACCGACATGCGAAAGAATAACTGGGGCTCGGGCCACTCAAAAAATTTCATCCTGAGTACCTGTACGTGATATTGGTGGCTTCGTTCAATACTGAACTATCCACATGCGTGATCGTGCCTGCTCATTAGAAATGCGAGCCAAGCTTGAGGGGGCCCCTGAATGCTCTCCTTGTTATTTTCGAAGACAACCTATTCAGTGAGCATTTCAAATTTACTATAGACGGGTTAATTAACGGGATTTCATTGATATCCAAGGTGAAGGGCCACTGCAGTCAGAAACTACATTGTAGCGTGCTTGAGTTATCCGTTAGGCCAGACCGTGCTCATTACGAGAGCTGTGGAGCTGAGTGCTTCAACCCAACGTATTTGAAATATGACTGCACAAGGTTCCCTCGATGTATCTCTGAACTTCTTCTGCATCCACAGTCTTCACATCATGTTCTCGGGTAGAAAATATAAGGAGTTCTGGAGACTTTGCGATGATGTGTAAGTGCAGGTGGCTTACACTCTGTTCGTCCCATAGATGCAGCCCGAAAAGAAAATCGTTGGTTCCGAGATCGTATATTTTATTCTGCATGGCAGCGAGGCGATTGCGTGCTGTTTCCCACGACTCATTTACTGCTTCCTGCCTCGCCTTGTTGTTGGGGTCCTGATTTTCCAAGTTGGCGAGCTGCGAATCCTTTCTTGCAGATATTGTGTCCTGTACATGCTTTAACACTGCACATCTGAAAGGGTATACTTTCTCGTCGTCATTGAACTCGTTCCAATTTCTCTTGAAAAGCTCGATCATGTTTTCGATAATATGGACATTAGCGCGGTTTAACGAAACTCCGTTGAAGATCCTGGCTTCAGGGATGCCCAAAAGATGAACCATCGACATGCTAGCTCTCTTTTCTTCACCGGGGTATTGAGCAATGTCGAAGGATGACGTGTTACCGATGATGAAAGTCTGATCGTTCCTTGCCAGCTTTGCGTCTTTGGGGTTTCGAAAGGGTGGATTGGGTGTTAACCATGAGCCCTTCTTTGCTAATGGAAGATCGACGCCATATTCGTGACCCTCTTTGCCCTGGGAGTATGCCAGGACATCAGCTATGGCACACTGGATATCCCAGAACTTTCTGTGCCGTTCTCTGATCTTTGCCCCCTTGCCTGAGAAGTCTTTTAAGGACGAGCCGTTTGCCATGGTGTAATTTAACTGGACTTTGTTCGTGTAACGTTTTGTCGGGTATAAGGTGTCAAAGGGAAAGGTCGTGTTCAAAATATCAATTAAGCTTGGTGACCCGAGAACTTTGATATTCGTATGTGGACTACCATGGATTTAAGATATTTATACTCTATCAGCTGTGACTGTTAGTGCGTAATTGTTGGTTTGCGAGACATTTGAAAAAGGCTAGCGATTCGGATCTGCTTGACAGAACAAAGGATCTGGCCGTTTCGAGACACTTTTGTGACACGACAAATTGCCACGAAATAAACAAAGGGTTTTTACTTACTTAAATATACAAGCTATATTGTTACACACCAGCGTCATTCGTTCTTTCACCATCTACAGCAACACAACGACAACGATAGTGGTCATTTGCAGAAATTGGTGACACTTGTGTTTTTTTCTACGTACTACTATTTTGCGGAGAGAGCTTAATTTGCGTTTGGGGAATAGTGTTGAATCAATATCGGGGATGCAATTTATTCAAGTGATGATCTTCGAATACTCCATCTGTGAGTTAGACAACTTCGTCAGAGTTAGTTGCAAATGGCATACGGAACAGTCCTTAGTATGGATTCTTGTCGAGGGTACTGGTATAGAATTGCCTTTGGCTTGCACTTCCCCGAACACCCGTCTTCTAAATGAAAGGCAGGTATTGTGCATGATAGTGAGTAAAACCTTCCTTGAAACGGGAAAACCCCCAAAACAATATGGCCCTTTAAAAGAGATTCACGACGATAGAGCATCTGCAATTCTTGCTGCCCTGCCTTGAATTTTGAATTTGATACACAATCATCGAGTCGGCTGGTACAAATGAACACGTACCTGCCAAAAGCGCAGAAAGAAGCTTGATTGGAAGTCACCACCTCTAACCTGTATCTATTGCAGGATCTCGTCATTCCTCCCACCACCAACTTGCACTCTTCATCATTCCCGTTGAGAATTTGCTGGAGCTGAGGTGTTCCTGACCCCTCTTTCCATCGTCCCTCTCTGTCTTCACTGAGCACTTGCCTGCTTCTGTGCTGGACTGTGGGTGATAACATTCACCTCTGTTCCTTTCGCCTATTTTTCATCTCCCCATCCACAACATTGTCGACCGTCCGCCTGCCAGCTAACTTCTCTATCCCAGTTTTGCAACAAAGCTTCGACAATCCATCAAGAAATCTTGTATGCATACTGTTGCCGCTTGCTCGTGAATACTCGTTTTTTCTTTCTTTCTTTTTCTTTTCTTGGCGTAAGTATTCTTCCCTCAGACCTCATCACAACCACCATTCAAGGATTCCATCCAGCCCTTCTCAAGTATGCCACTGGCTGAATCAGCTTAATGAAGCCTCACTCAAACGCCGACTACCTTCGCCTTACCACATATTCACGTATCCATCCCCATCACCTTCCTTACCTAGTTTATCTAATCGTATCACCAACCACCTACCGTTTCACACCGTGGTAACCCCAGCCCCCCAGTCACCTAGACAACCATTACCATGGTCCGCAGAGCCAAGCTTATCAAGAGCCTCTACTCTCGGCTCAAGGCCTGTCAGGAAAACGATGTTGCTCTGACAGCGCCAGCCATTGTTGAGATGAAGCATTATCTCCGCAACCACCCCAAGTGCTCGCAAGTTTGGGTCGAGGACATTGCGCATCCCACCAATATCCCCATTACACTATCAGCACCGTCAGAGTTGCCAATATTCTTACAATCTCAACTGCAAGCACAGAAGGGACTTGCTGACAATCTTAGACCTTCTGTACAGGCTTGTGTAATACTACGATTTGCAGCTCGGCATCTCGCCAGAAGACCCAAGTGGCCTGGCACCTTCCCGACTCTTTTCCGCTGTAAGCCTACAGAGACACGACGCAGTTTCTGCCTTTTCGCTTACCTCGATTTCGACATGTCATCCCGAACGTATACAGTCTCTGAGCTGCTAGGACTCAGAGACTCGCAGTCCTCCAACCTTTTGTGCGACAAGGTTAAGGCTAATCCTGAGCTCGGTATGTTTCAGATGACAATTTCATTAATCTGCACCTTCCCGCAGTCTGACCCAAAGTGAACGTTTCCAAACGGTGTCGCTGACCTTTCTTTTAGGTGAAATCATCATCAAGCACAACGGCACAGTCCAGCCACGTCGCCTGAAGAAGGCCAAGGACGATGCTATCTCTTCTACGGACAGTGACGAACATATTGTATTTCAGGGCAAGAGGCAAAGCCGCCTACCTGTCAACAACCTTGATGGAGAGACGCAATGGAAGTACCGTGGTCGTAGTGGATCGGAACGCAACTCCATTGAGCCGATCGCCGCTCCCACCGGTCTTGACACTCAACAGAACGAGGGCTTTCAGCGCTTCTTCAAAGCTGTCGTCTCACCAACACACGTCCGCGTCACGGCTGGTGGACGTATTGTCCCCAACACTCGGAACGCCACATCCCCAACTGCGAAATGGGACAAGGAGCGAGCTGATCCGGAGAGTGACTCGGGTGAATTGAGCAAGAATTCATCTTCAGAGAATGTCACCGATCAAGATGGCAATGCTCATCAACCCACCCCAACTGCCCCGACCATGGTCCTGCCTCCAATGGCTCACCACATGTACCCAGGCTATCCTCCCATGTTCGCTCCCTTCGGTGCGCCCGTGCCCTTCTACCCAATACCAAATGGAATGCCGATGCCTTACGGTTTCCCACAAGCCCCAATCCCAGCAGCCAGCGCAGCAAAACAACCAGCGGCACAAAGCGATAAACAGAGACAAACTGAGGACAAACCTGAAAGTCCAAAGACCCAGTACGGACAAGAGGAAGAAAAGAAGGTCAAGCCTGCTCCCATTAAGATCTCGCCTCCCGAGCAGTTCGACCAGGCCCGACCTTACTTCTTCAACGGTAACGTCTTCTATCCCGGTGGTCCGCTACCAATGCAGAGTCAAGCTACGCCTATGACACCAAGTCCCTACTTTGGTGGCTTTCCAGTTCACCCGACTATTGCTCGCGCCAGCTCCTTCGGTCAGCCCTCGCCCATGCTTCCCATGCCGGGCCCTCACATGTTGGGCTCACCAGCTTTTGCACCACTTCTGAGTGCTGGAGCACCACAACCCACGCAACCTTTATCCCAGTCCGCTAAACCTGAAGCTGTATCGAAGACACCTACTGCGAAGCCGCCCATTACCTCCATCAAACCTAGCCAGATCACACAGAGCCAGCTTACTGCACTTCGATCTCAGCTCAAGTACTACGAGGACCAGCTCCAGTACAACAAGCACCAAATCGATGAGAAATCTACTCGAGATCAGATTCAGACCATTCGCAAGCTGATCGGGCAGTTTGAGCACAACTACCAGGTACAGGTCAGCTTTGAGAAGACCATCTACCCGAATAGTGACAAGAGAGTCGTCACCATGGGATCGGAGTTGCCACATTGCAGGACCCCTTCGACACCAGGTATGAAGGAAAACATTGTGCATAGCGGTTCGCAGGCAGGCTCCATGAGATCTATCCAACGCAGTTACCCAACACTGAACCACACACAATCCATGGATCAAATTCGACACAAGACAGTCAAGGATTTGCGCCAACGGGCTGGTATCAATTCTTCTAAGGGAATGGATACCACTTCGGCCTTGTGCGCGCTGGAGGCACACCTGACCCGGGGATATAAGCAAGACCCTGTCAAGAAGTCTTCGCTTCCCACACGTGCAGCGATGGCGCCCATCTTCGAACCAAGGGGAAACACGCCGTCCATGCTCTCTCTGGAGCCAAGCGACCTCGGCTCTATCGCTGACGCTGATCAATCTAGTGAGTTGGATAACCCTGCCACTCTTCTGTTGAACAAACAAGGGCTTTGGCCAAGCATGAGTTCTTCGGGCCATATTTACCCTGATATTGGACCTGCTGCAACTATGAATGGCACTGAAGGCTCGACAGCGCCCTACTTGGTTGGGAAGCTGCCTAACGGCTTGGGCGCCACATCTGGTCATGCCGGCGATTGTACGTATTCTCGAGATCTCACAAACGAAGAGAAGCGTGCCCGCCATGTTTACTGGGGTGGAATCTCAGTCAAGGGATCTGGCTTGCCCAAGTTCGATGGCAAAGATTTCTATCCAGCATCGCCAGTGAAGTCAAGCGAGAAGATTGATACCACCCCAAAGGCGAACGCTCGACAGGTTCCTATGGGTCAGCCTGAGGCTGAGTATAGTTTTGGGAGTAACAAGAAGTCCGAGGATCCCTTCCACATCACTCGTGATACCGAGAGCACCCGCTCAGCCAGGAAGCTAAGCCACGCCGTACCCATCATCAATCCGGAGACCATGGCCCGCGAGGAAGTGAAAGTCACGCCCAAGGCTGTTAAACCCGCCGAGACTCAGGCTCAGTCCAATACCAGAAACCAGTACTTGGAAAAGTCTCCTGGTGAAAAGCCACAGACATCACCCGTTAAGACTCCCACAGCCTCAACTAGCGAGAAGAAGGTGTCTTCGGCTGGGCGACGAGCTTTGGAACGATCCAGGTAAGGTTTCCTCCTTTCAGAAGTCAAATAAACATATTGATCATAGTGCAGCAAGGGGTCTAGCAACGACCTTTGGCAGAGCATGATGAAGAAGGCATCGACCAGTGGAGCTGCTACCCCTGGCTCTGTTTCGTCAATGACAGCCAACGGATTCCTTCCTCAACTTGGTGGTCATGCTGTGGCATCCCTCACCCCTGCCATGACCAATGCCAATGACTCGCTGCGAGTGCTGTCGGGTGGTAAAGGAGATGCAGAACTCCCAGGCAAGCGTGCTCATTCCGAGAAGACAGGTGAGAACAGACCTCCCACAGATCTGCCATCATCTCAAGCGGACATCATTGCCGATCTCCACCAACGTATGCTTCGCGATGCCGAGCGTCGAGGTGTTATTGGCCCCGGCTGGCAGTAGTGGCGAGATGCTCCCCATTCAAAATCGGTCCAGGACAACCAGGGCTACCAACCCACATCTTATCACTTACTAGGACTGAAGCGAGACTGCTGGCACACTTTTCATCTGATACTCAATCATTGTTTGTATTAGCCTCATTTGTACGTCCCAGGGAAACATAGATATGTAAGGGTCAATGATATGCGATATCGTGCTTGGCATGTATTATAGAGAGAGCAGAGGGCCAATTTGGGCCGACATTATGGTACCGAGATCCGGATAGCATTTGCCTTAGCATCTCGACATCAGCCATTTGGCATGGTATCACTCGAGTACGGAAAAGTTTTCTTTGACAGTTTCTTCAGGCAGGTAATTAAACCGATTGACAGATTAAATATATGCTGGCTTGCGTTCTGATTTCCACAGAAAGTGCAGCAGACGTTGGGAGTAACCTCTGTGGGGGTCATATTCGCGTTGAATTATGGTCAGCGACTTAGGAAACAAGGTTTCGCACTGGCACGTAGAATTGCGAAGTTAAGTAGAAACACTTGTAAATATTAATTAGGACAGAAACGATTGGCGTCTGAACGTCACTCGTGGGCAAGATGAATAAGATTGCTATCACAGATTTCAAGCACAAGGGGATGTGCCTCACCATCAAACTTTCAACATCAAGATATAGTATTCCGCGAAAGTCTGCAGGCGAGAGCGAAGGAGCGGTGATTCATAATTTGCCCCCCCACTTGGTTTGCTCTTCGCCAGTCGTATACCTCGAAAACCATGGGTCTTGTGGTTGACGCGGAGATATCCTAGCGGTTTGAAGGAGATATGTAGAGATGTAGGATACGAATAAGGAATTTCAAGACAACAACTTGGACCTACCTCAGACTTGGCATACTTGCCGCATCTAAAACCGCGTTCGAGTCAGTAGGTAGGCTGGCTGTTGGTCACGTCGCTACACATATCGGAGCGAGTCAAGCAAGGGCTTCGGGAAGAACCTCCCATGGAGCGATTCACAGCTTTTTCCAGAGGAAGAGGCAAGTGAAACGGCCATTGTGTGCGTGAAACTGTTCTGTTTTGATGCAGTCGTGCAACTAGATGCTGAAACCCAAGCAAGTCCCCCGTACCTCTGCCTCGTTTCCTGAGACAGGGAACATGATTCGCAGGACGCCAAATCTCCCCTTTATCGACTCCATCAATGTCATGTCGTCCCATGTCATTGGTGTTCAAGAGCCGTCATGATCCGTTTGCCGTCCGCCATTTTATTTCGTGTCGTTGCCTTTTTGTACTTGATCCGCTTCCGATGTCGTGTGGTTGAGGGGTTTCGTCAAAAAGTTGTCATGTCGTGAGTTGGGCAAGTGCAGGGCATTTATGCCTTCTGCTGCTTGGCACGCAGCTCACGGCCGACCTTGATGCGCTCCAATATGGCCTCACGATCCTTGTCAAGCTTGAGCTTGGTGATGACGACCTTGGAGGGGTGGATGCCCAGAGGGACGGACTGGCCGGAGGCCTTGTCGCGGGTGATACGCTCGATGTGGATGACGTACTTGAGACGGTAGACGGAAGTGACCTTGCCCTCACGGCCCTTGTTGCTGCCTGTGATGGGCGATTAGCAATTGCTCGTGGTCACAGGCGTGCTGCGACGGAGGGGAAGCAGGTTAGGAGACATACCACGAACAATGGTGACCTCATCGTCCTTTCGGATGGGGATGGAGCGGACATTGTACTGCTCACGGAGCTCCTTGGACAAAGGGGCGCTCATGATGTTGCGGCGCACCGATGAGGGAGCAGAGAAATGAGCCTTGCGGCTCTTTCTGCGAGAGTGGTGGATACCTGGTCAAAATAGTCAGCGGCACGTTCGCAGTTGAGCTGTACGATATTCTCATACCGGCGGCAGGCATTTTGGCTGTTGGGTTGAGGTTAGTCGGGGTGAATTGGTGTTGACGGAGTGGTCGAGTTTGGCGGGCACGAGGAATCAAGGAGAAAAGAGAGCGGGAAAAGTTGGCCAAAATTTCGGGCGGGAGATTTTGCTGGTCGTTTGTGGGTTTTCGCAAATTCGAAAGCGGGAAAGTGTGCAATGCAAACGCGACCTCGAAGCCGCCTTCCTTCTCGAGCCAGTGGCTGTTGTGGCTAGTGCAGCAGGGGCTTTGCTGTCTGACGCACAGACCACATGCTGATCGGATCTTGTACTTTGTTGCTTGCCTGCCTGCGCTGCCTGCTCGCCTGCAACTCATCCGCACCGACAAGTGGTGAAGAAAGGAATCGAAAAATGCCAAACTCAACATGGGTGGAATCGCCTACGAGTGTACAACAACCCTGCCGTCAGAATTAGCCAACGTTCTTTGTCTTGTTCCTGTTATTGAAAACAATAGTCTTCATATCCTCGGCTTCCCTGCATTTCACCTTGCTACACCATGCCGCGCAGTAGCGAGACGGGGCGAGACGGAGCGAGCACATTTATATATATAAAGTCGCGCTCACAGAAATATCGTGCTACATGTTCTGATTAACTCACTAACATTGTGTCGTACACAAGGGCGTCTTGTCAAGTGTCCTGCTGAGGAGGTTCATCTGCCAGCAACAAGAAATGAACTATATACTTTGGCACTTCACGATTCCAGATCTGCACGCAATTGAGCCCCTGCGGCAGCCGGGCCCAACCCTGCATCTGCGTTGCCATGCGGCACATGCAAAGCCGGTCCTTGGCCTCATCCAACTACAATCGTCGTAATGCATGTCGTTGCAGTCGTGTTTGCTTGAGACTATTCCGAACTTTTCATGTTGGAAAAACTTCGCATATTCCGAGCCAACATTGCACACGCTCTTCTACCAGCAACACTCATACCAGCCCTAAGCTAAAAGATGACAATTTGTGACGATACTTATACACGTTGCTTTTCGGAACAAGTCTTATAATCGTGCATCTCCGAGGGCTATTGTATCTACAAAATACTCCTAGTCGTTAAGAGCGAACACTAGTCGAGATTCCCCATCCAGGCCGTCGGCCATTCTACGTGTCTGATATTGCAAGTGTCTTCGCATTGGGAAATGGAAGCGAACAGAGTGCTTTCTTTTCGGTATACATGCAAAGTACTAAGAATCCTTCGAGTTCAGCTCGTGCTTGGCTCCATATCTCGGCGGTTCCGCCTTTTTAGCACACTATTGGAAGAGCCAACAACCGTTGCCACAACTAGTGTAACCGACGGTTTGAAGGTTGCAAAGCGGCCGACCGTCAGTCTGTCAGGGAATTGAATGGCATACCCACTTCTCAACAATCAGATCATGCTTTTCGGGAAAGACTCTATGAGTATGATCACTTCCGGCAAACACAAGCATTCCAGTTCTTCGTCTCGTATGTCTACAGAATACCGCTCAGTACTTTCCCCATGGCCGAATATTCCGGCATGAACGTAGATGATGTGGATCATCCACTTCCGGCTTTCCAGAACGAAGATGGCGAAAACATACCGCATGGACAGACTATAGAAGCGGCAGCGCCTGTGGCCGCCGGCTCAATCGCAGGTCAGAATGAGATCATCAGTCAACTGGAAGTTGACTCGAACCGTTCTGACAATGATTCTTCCCTGGGATCCGAGATAACCTCGTGAGTGGGACTTGTGCTGATCATTCGGAACATGCCGACTTACACTGGCCATGCAGCACGTCGACCTCCTTGAGGAGCGAGGACTACGAATTCAGATTTGACCATGGGAGAAGATATCAAAGCGCAAATGACAAATACCATCTACCGAATGATATCGTATGCCTCCCCCCTCAACACCCCTCCAGCATACGGAGTGCTGGTTCTAATAAGTTAAACAGCAAGAAATGGACCGTCTCGAACTTCAACACCTGATCTGGCTTGAGCTATGCGGCGGGCGCTACAACCTCGCGCCGCTGGACACCATGAACACCATGACGCACGTGCTGGACGTGGGCTGCGGGACGGGCAACTGGGCGATTGAGTTCGCGAACCTGCACCCGAGCGTGCAGGTGGTCGGGACGGACCTGTCGCCGATCCAGCCCGACTACGTGCCCATGAACTGCACCTTCTACATCGACGACGCCAGCCACGACTGGTCCTTCCACCAGCGCTTCGACTACGTCCACGTCCGCGCCCTCACCATGGGCATCGCCAACTGGGACAAATTCGTCGATCAGGCCTACCGCTTCCTGCAGCCCGGCGGCTACCTCGAGCTCCAGGAGTTTCACATCCCGCTCGAGTCGCCCGACGGCTCCATCCGCGAGGGCAGCGCGCTGTGGCGCTGGGGCGAGAAGATCAACCGCGTCTGCGGGAAGTTGGGCATTGACTCCATGGGCTCGCTGAAGCACTCGGAGCGGCTGAGGAACAGGGGCTTCGTCAATGTGGAGGAGAAGCACCTCCGATGTCCGCTCGGGCCGTGGGCCAAGGGTCAGAGGCAGAAGAAGCTGGGGTGGATGGGCAGGAAGGATCTCTACGAGGGTATCGATGGCATCAGCAAGAAGTTGCTTGTCATGATGGGCGAGGGCACCGAGGAGGAGGTCGACAAATTCTTGGAGGAGTGCAAGGCGGACTTGATGGACCCTGCGGTAAGTAAATTCGTCCTTCTTGAAGTGATTGAAAACATGCTGACCCAACATGGCTGTAGATACATCCGTGCATGCCTTTGGATGTCATCTGGGGTCAGCGGCCTTTGGATAGTTAAGGGGCCGACCCTGGAGGTTAAGTATATGTAATGAAAAAATTCAGATCTGTATAGAGTTGGGAAACTCTCTCGCAGAAGCCCATCTGGAACAACGATTATCAAGCTTGTTTCGTTTAACTCGTTACTTGCGCAAAAGGGGCAAGTCCGCAATGCCGTGAACAGGCAAAATGGCAACCAGTTGAGATAAAATTACCACCGTCGGACGATTTGAGGCATGAATGCAAGAGCAACGATTAGCCACGTGCAGTGGTGTCTCTAATGGAGATAATCAATATACATGTCTCATCTGGTATAATACAGAGCAGGGCTGATTTGTTTTTCCTCTTCTTCTTTTGGCCTGCTTAAACCTGGTCAGCGTCACCAAAACAAGTATACATCCGACAAGTTTAGCTAATCTACAAGGGCATGGCCGACATCATGACTTCTGCAATGCTCTACGAAGTCGACGGTGTAATGTTCTGAAAGTTCCCGTTATGGTCATATTTCGCCTCTGTGAAAAACACGTCAGTAGCCGAGACTTAAGAGCACAAGAGGCAACAAGTAGCACTTACTGAAGAAGGTATAACTCAACGTTACCGTCTCCACTCCCTTCATGTTCAGATCGTTCAGCAAGTCTGGGTCCAGGTAGAAGAAGACGGGCATGTCGACCGTCTCGCCGGCGTTGAGCCTCTGCTCCTCGAAGCAGAAGCACTGGATCTTGCTGAAGTAAGGGGCCGTCTGCGCGGGGGTGACGCTGTACGTGGCGACGCCGATGATGTCCTTATCCGAGGTGTTGGTCGCCGTGTAGAAGGCTAAGGCCGTCTCGCCGGGCAACACCCGCACCTCGCGCTGCTGGGGCGTGAACTTCCAGGGCAGGATGTCCGACACGGACGCGTTGAACGTCACCCGGATCCGCTTTGCGCCCTCGACCGGTACCAGGCGGGTCGAGGCATCGACCTCGTCGCCGCCGGGGCCGTGGCCGGGCGCGCGTACGGGTTGGCCGCCCCAGCCTGTGGTTTGGCAGATCTGTATCGTGGGAAAGCATTGTCAGTTATAGGTCGCATTGCTCGAGGCCAATGGGACTGGTATGTGTCCCAGAAAGCAGTAGAAGAGGGCATCGATCATACCATCTTGTACATGGGCACACTTCCATAACTGAACGCAACGGTGCCGAGAATAATACTGAGGATGTAGTTCCTGCGGCCAAAAAAAAAGAGTCTCAGCTTGTCACTTTCTTCCAAGACAAAATACCCCTGCCTGTTTGTAATAGAGTCTTCCCGGGTTTCACATACAGTCCCGAGATGTTCTTATGTCTGTAATACGCCCTCAATCTTGCCATATCCGCCGCCACGTTCGGGTTCGGGTGCTGCGACGAGCCTGCCTTGCTCCTGGGGGCGGCACTGCTCGATACATTCCGCCGCGCCGCCTTGGCCTGGAATTGTGGTTGCGACTGCTGCCGTAGCGCGCGGCGACAGGAGTTGCAAGCCCATTTCGAGGTCGCGGGGGACTGCAGGGAGCGCAGCGATATCCTGGGTAGGTAATTCATGGTTTGCTGTACTGAGGGCATTCGGAAGCCGAAAATCGAATGATGTCGTACATTCAATTAGCTTCGGGAGCTTTGAATTTTAGGTAGGTGCAATGGTCTCCCAGCAGGGGTCTCGGCGACTGGCCGGGATCTGCAGCTGCAAGGGGCAGAAATGCACTGGAACATCGATTAATGGCGCTAGAATTCTGCTATCTAACTTAATTCCTTGTATATATTACGTGGTAGTATAGTATTTTCCAATTCATGGGCTCTTATAGGATCTACTTCATGCTCGTCATTATTAGGGTTACTATTTCGTTCTTTCTTGATAATAACTAACACGACAAGGTTACCAAAGCCATTATAAGCGACTGATGTAGGACATCGACAGTGTGCCACGCCTGCCTTTAATTTATCGTACTCTTAGCAGCTTTGTCAATTCCAGACGAACTAATAACACGAGGCCAGCCCCGCCATAAATTTGCCTCTCTATATCCAAAATGTCGGCTACTCGGCCGGCATCGAGGCCAGCGGCTATGACTGACCCGTCGAATGAACAAGGGTTCGGACCTTTGATCTGTTTCGAAAGAACATATATTAAGCTCTTATTTCTTCAATGATGCTACGTAGAATTTAAGACAAAAGGTTAGTAAAATATGTCCTCGAGGATACCGCAAAGAAACTTCTCAAATCTTCGTGTAGAAACAGGCGACTTAGAGCGAAGGAATTCTTTTTAAATAAGGAGCTCATAACTATGTGTATGATTATATTGCATAGACTCGTAAAAGTGCCAATACCGATTGAGCCCAAAAGATATGCAATCCCGAACACCAAGCTATGCCTTCAAATCCCAAAAACCTCTGGTATACAATATAATCATGAAAGCCTCCTGTATCCGTTTGTCCGTACCTTCCATTCCCCATTGACCTTTTTGGATGTCACCTTGGGCTTGATCCGTTCGACGACAGCCTCGAGAACTCCGATGACTAAAACCTGAACGACCAATATGATGACGCGCACAAGCAAGGCCCTGAGGCCCCTGTTCGGCTGTTTGCCTCGGCTGTATGTGGAATCAACAAACTCGAATGGCAGTTTCGCGCCCAGATGTGCTTGCGCCACATACAATCCGCTGCTGAAGCCATCCTCGTGGAAGCCGTACTTTGTCCAGGCTCCCGCGTAGCTGATGCCGCGCTTGTTCTGTATCCTACGCAGCTGGTTCTGCGCACGTATCGTGGCCGGGTTGTACAGCGGCGACGCATACGAGTAGCGCCCCTGGACGAGGTTCTTCTTGGGTTCGTGTATGGGGTTTAATGTGACTAGCACATCTCCAAATGGCTGGCGTGGAATGTGCTGCAGAACATTCATATTGTAGGTCAGGGACACCCTATCGATATCTTGTCGAGTCCATGGATCCGTCAACGTCATGTAGTTCAACGCCGACCACGCATTCTTCCGGACCGGCAGGTGCGTTAGATCCGAATGGAGAACTGCCGTGTTCTCGGAAGTCTTGAAAGTAGACATGATCGATTTCTCCTCAGGCGTAGCGGACGGTCCTATTATCTGATATGCCTGGTCGCCGTGACACGCGAGGATGACGTGATCGTACACAGCAGACCTGCCATTTTCCAGGTGTAGTCTTACTCGGCCATCGCTTTCATTGGTAACGTGTTTGACGGGTGTATCCAGGAAGAGGTGGTTTGGCGGGAACCCCTTGATAACGGCATCGATGTAGGACTTCGCACCACCTTCAATGGTCAACCAATCTGGCTTCTTCGATATTGTGTCTAGTAAATGGTGATTCCACCTTCGAACCAAGTTAGTAAAAAGTGCATGATGAAATACTCCAGAGGCTTACATAAATCGCACGAGGGTTGTGGCCGGGAATTCGAGACTGCATTTACTGGGACTGGTACTCCAGAGAGCAGCTGTCATCGGGATCAGATAGTCATTCTTAAATGTATCCGAGTATCCCTCTCGCTCCAGGTACTGTCCTATTGTCTCCGTCTCGCTCAGGGAATCGCCCTCATCCCTTAGCAGGTCTAATGCGAATTGATTGAAACGAATGACATCAAAAAGCATTCGCCACATCCGGGGCGAGAGGAGGTTCTTTCTTTGACAGAAGACAGCATCCAGACCCGCTCCAGACCATTCGAGTTTGCCATGATCTCGGGAAATGCCAAAGGTCATATCAGTCTTTGCCGTCTTGACACCAACCTTCTTCAGAAAGTTATTGAAATTGGCTACAAGAGAATTAGTGGTCTTGAGACATTACGGCTGTGATTGGATACACACGATATGTGGCTGCATTCAAGGCGATGAATCCCGTGTCGACGAGTGCCTGGTACTTCCCCCGCTTCCAGGTTACCGTGTTGGTGTGGCCTCCGAGCCGATCGGCCGCCTCATAGACATACACATCGTGATGAGTACGGTTCAGAGCCCACAAAGCGCCAATTCCCGCACTGCCTGTGCCCACGATGGCGACGGTTTTCCTGGGGACCCGGTTAACTGATGATGTCATTTGAGGTTTGACGGGTAACTCTGTTCTGTAGAAAATGAGGGGGAAATCGAAGAAGGGCGCGTATATGCGAGACAACAGCTCGTGAATGATCATATAGATGATTTGAATGAAATACATGGTTGTTGGATACCTGGAAGCATGCTAGGAGGGAGTATAGGAAGCATCTTGCTTGCTTTCTGGTAGCACTGGATGAGGCTGGACTCGCGTGTTATGACGAGAGGGCAATAAAGTTATTGGAAGCAATGCATTGAGTTGCAGCAAAATGATGCGCTAGGTGGCTGCTCCAGCTGTAAGTGCCCATCCTCTACGGATCCGTAGGCTGTACATTTCCAGGGAATGTTTGCATGTGATATAGAGCTAAGAATGCCTGGAACAAACTTACAATTCTTGTCGTCCTGGCATATCAAACTGTAACGGATTGGCTAACCTGACATTAATTCATGAGAGGACTCATGGGTGTACTTGAAAGCAATACAGCAAATATTTCCCCCAAGTCAAGGAGGCAAGGCACGGGGGGCGATCGCTGATGAGCGCAATCCGCGGCTTCGGGTTTGCCGCTTGACTTGTTGGGTTCAAGCCGCAGCGCAAAACCATTGTCCAACAAGGGTGCCCCAACATTCTTTGACAGGTGACCTTTGTTGTAGCGAGCTTTTAACATACAAAAACCATGCCGTAACTCAACACGGGTTGTTTATTCCGGACAACCTTTGTAATCCGCATCGCAGACCAATATTGATAGCCCAGGGGATCACGAGTGGCTTCGACGCTACAAGATATCTTGTGCAATTCAATCTTGATATACTCGGGTAACATGCTCCAACCCAGATTTCTAGGGTTGTCGATAACACCACTCGCGATGACCATGAACTCTGTTAAACGTCCAAGTTGAGAAATCCAACCTAGAAATGCCTGGGCACGTCACTGGGCAAGTAGCGATTCATTGAGGAGCTGCCGGAACCGCAACCACGGGGTTGGTTCTAGCGCATATAATAAATAACAGCGAGTGTGGTGCAGTAGAGAGACGATGCGAGTGAGTTGACCGGCGTGGAGATCTTGTCAACGGCGGAACAGACGTTAAGCAAATCACGCGCAACGCACTCTCTCGTCATCTCGTCATAACACAAGAGGAGACCGCAGTACGCGACCTACGAAAGCTGGTTCCCTCAAGTACAAAAGTTTACTGTTCACTAACAAAGAGTATGTCGGCGCTCAACGGGATCGAATACTCATAGGCGGTCTGCCACGAAGGCAAGCCGTCTAACATCCAATTCTTAGAAGCTCCTTTTCCGTCTGCCCAGCTAATACAACTCCGCGTCCGTAGGGGAAATGAGGATACAGAGCCTAGTATCTGCTACCGGGGGTTCAACTTTCTATGAAGAGGAAGGGAGAAAGCAGCGGGGAAAAGCGAATCTGGAAAATTTCTAGATATGCACGATGCGGAATCGTGCACGGACCCTTACATGGTAGCGTTTGCTTTGGTCTGCAGTAGTCAAGTCTAACCTAGACCAGTCTAACCTAGTGGGGCGTTTGTGTCTGGCTACAAAGTAGTGCTTTGTAGAGGCCCGAAAAGGGAAGGCGGCCTCGATCAGCCTCCATCTGGTAACAGACAACGGACAACCAAGGACCCGAATCGCCGGTGCCTAGCGACCTTTGGACCTCGATGCTGCGCGGACTTCCTTATTACATCACCTGCGACAACAACGACAACGACGACAAAAGCGATCCAGCCAAGACACCCCCGTTCACTCATCGAATAGGCGACCATCTCCGGAACATTCACTAACACACACCCCCGCCGATCCGTTCGCACCAGTCAATAACCCGCAACAAGGACGTCACCATGGCCAACCCCCTCGATACCGATGCCGGCTCCGAGCTGTTCAGCAGCTACGAGGCCGAATTCAAGCTTGTACAAGCCGATTTGACACAGAAGCTCGACCAGATCCCCGAGCTGAGCGGCGAGCCCAGAAAAGCCGCTATTTCTCAGGCCGAGAGGGCATTAGAGGAGGCAGACGAGTTGGTATGACTTCCCTCGACTAACTGCGACACTCTACTCGGTGTGCCGTTTGTCTGCAATCACAGGCGTCGCATGTCAGCCAAGAGACAAGCAGTTGTGCTGTAGCCCCATCTGTTCGAATCCACCCTTCTAACAATACAAATAGCTTGGGCAAATGCGCCTCGAAAAGTCCAACATCCCATCTGCCGCCCGCTCCAAGATCAACCAGCGCTTTCGCAACTTCGAGACATCCGTAGACCAATACAAGCGGAAACTCAATGGCTTGGCCTCCGACCGAGCCGCTTTGTTCGGCAACCGATACACAGACAACCCCTCGGGTTCAGGGCAGGATGCGCAGCTCGAACAGCGCCAACAGCTGCTGAACGGCACCGACAGACTAGACCGGAGCACCCAGCGTCTACGAAACAGCCAGGCTCTTGCCTACGAAACGGAGAACATTGGTGCGAATACACTGGCCGAGCTGCACGGCCAACGGTCACGCATCCTACACACTGGGGACATGTTGGGCGAAAGCGAGGGATATGTCGACAGGAGCGTCAAGACTTTGAGGGGGATGGCTCGTAGGTAATGGCTCCTCCTTGACTCCCTTCTGTCCTACGTTCAAATCTGCAAATTGGGGAACCAAAGAAGAAGAAGAAGAAACAGTTGCTGACATTTCAATCAGGATGGCTACGAATCGGGTAATCACCATCGCCATTATCACGGTGCTGGTCTTGTTGATTTTCGCCGTCATTTACAGCAAGTTCAAATAGGCAAATAGGACGATGAGCGGTCCATGATACGGCGTTTGGGTTTTGAGTGGGGTTTTGTGGAATTACTGTATCGTTGTACACCCGATAGGCTTCCCGTGTAAGAAAGATGGTCTAAAGTATTGGCTCCTTCACATCCCACTTCCAGTAGTGCATGCCGCGAGTTCCATCACGTTTCCCCCGTTACGCTCAATTTAATGTATAGTGACACTCCATCCGACCATGTTTCCGAGCACCGCCTGGCATGTTTCAAGCAGTTGTTTTCGACGTGGAGCCACTCTAACTTTTTATGCTGTTTGACTCTTCCTCGAATGTTTGTCGGGTTAATGGCACGGGAGTCTCGAGGGCGTTTGAAGCAAATTGTTATGTTAGACAATGAAGTCTGAGTTTCCAAAACGATCTTTTTCCTCTCAAGGGACTACGATATGACGAGCTATGTATATTACACCTCTGTCACTATACGACTAGGGAAGCAGGCGAGATGCTCATGCTGAACTACCATAGCTGACGCCGAAGTGGATGAGGTCGTTCGGGAATGGACCAGAGACGGGGAGGTCGACGTCCGTATAGGGAATCCAGACGACATACCAACACTAAAGAATCCCTACAGATACTATAAGAACAGCTAAAAATTATTCGAGCCCAGAGAAGGCTTTCTCAGACAGACAGACGATATCTTCCTTCCATTCAACTAGACACTGAGAAGACCTAGGAAAAGGAAGCATTGCACTTGGAGCCAAATATGAATTGGTGTAACTATGTTATTAGCAAGTCGTACTCCTTACTTGGCGACAAGTACGAAGAGATACTCGCTACGGACAGTAACCTGGCCATCCGTTATCCTCATCACTTCTCAAGCCTGCTTTTCCTCAACAGATGGAACGGAAAGAAGGAAAGAGAAAAGAAAAGAAAAGAAAAGAAAACGAAAGACAGGAGGGGAAAGGGGTAAAAAAAAAAGAAAAAAAAGCACCAGACCAGCAGCTACTGACATACCCCTCTGATTCCAGTCGAATAAAAGTAGTACTCAAAACGAAACTGAACGTTGGGCGAATACATGTCATGCGTGTGCGTGCAAAGGATCAGATCGACCTCCTCCTCGTAGTACTCCCAGCCGCCACAGGCTGCGTCGGCGACGCAGGCCTGGTGGCACTTTATCTCCGAGCGGATCCCTGGTACGACGTACCACGAGCCCGCAAAAGGATACACGACCTTGTTGCACTTGACCAGGAAGCCGTCCGCGCACAGCGTCGGCCCGCCTGAGGGACACAGATACCGCTGCAGTGGCGCCGTGGTGCTCGTCGGGAGCGTCGTCGTGGTCGTCGTGGTCGCGAGCGTCACGACGGGCGTGCTCGTGGGGACCGTGCAGCCCCGGGCCGCCGACGCGGTGATCACGATGGCCTCACAGTCGTTGTCCAGATTGATGTCATCCGAGATCGCGATGACGTTTTCATATTTGGTACAGTACTGAAGCACGCTGTACGCCGGCTTGCGGGGGTGCGCACAAGTCAGGATATTGCTGTGGCGGCTCAGCTCGCACGTAAGCGCTATGTTTTCTGCGGTTTCCTGGTCCTGCAGATTCTGGGGGGTGTCAAAATGCAGATATGCGAGGCCTACCCCCTCCCAAGTGGCCGATGTGATGAGTCCTGTGTATGGAGACCCGTCGTAGTCGATCAGGTTGCCGGAACCGGCATCAAGGCCGAATTTCGTCGCGAAGGAGATGCTGTTCACAAAGACGGCATAGATATCAAAGCCTTGGTCGCCAACATTAATATAGCCAAGGTTTGTTCCATTGGTATAGGCGCCTTTGAGGGTCAGGCAGCTGGGTGTCGTGGTGTAGGAAGCTGATGCCATATACACTGCTGTTGCCGCTGAGACAAGTGCGGTCTTTCTATATGAAGCCATTGTTGATTTTCGATATCAATATCGGATGACAGGGTTGTCTAATATCCATCTGAAGAAGGACAACAGGTCGCGCTTACAAAGTCGACATGAAACTCCTTTTTAATCATTTTGGTCCTGAGACAGGTAAACGTAATGCTTATTATTAGGTGAGTTTACGACTCACAACTAAGCATTCTCACACTGGACGATAAAAAATCCCCATCGCTCACTCCAGCTGTCTCAGCGGTTTGTGCTAATAAAGATTATACAACTAGCCCATGTACCCAGGTGAGACCCATGCTAAACTGCTCTGTTCCGAAAATGATGGTTGAGGTCGAATTAAGATTTATGGCACAGGTTACCTTGGACGCCATAAGAGCCAGTACCAATGGGGCAAAAGAAGCACCGAAACAAGAACTCTCAAAAAGAAAGATGAATGAGCTTATGTGCGGTGGCAAGTCTGGCAGTTCATATAGCGTCTTGGCTGTGGCAGCAAACTTGATTTCGTCTGCCGTTCGAGCTTGTTAACATACCGCATCGAACTTTGTTCACATACTTGTTTTTTTCTGGTATTTGATACGCCCTGGCCCACGCCTCTCCGGCAGGTCCATATCCGACAATCTTGACCATAGTGACTTGCTATTCTCTGACGTATGGTCACCTTCGGGTAAAATCTTAACGGCAGTTGCTTAACTAAACTAGAACATGACGCGGAGCAGATTTAAGGGATAATACTGGAAGAACTGCTGAGTTGCTAGCTTGGCGATTGTTGACCACGCACAGAGTTCATAAACATGCTGTTGCAATTCAATATCACACCGTCCTGGATTATGTTAACATGGTCTAAAATCCCGTTAAGGAAACCGTGCAGGTAAATGAAAGTCAATTTGCCGGCATAACCTGCCCGAATGGCGCTTCGTTGCTTCATTGTCGCTGCTTATTCATCGATAGAATTTCACAAATGCCAATATATCTCAGCGACCCCGACAAGCTTTGCGAGCTATTCAGTCATTCCTGCTACCTTACATAATAAACAACCATATGAAGTACCAGCAGATCACTATAGCCGATTATTATCAAAAGGTTAGCTTATAGGCAAAGAACAACTATGGATGTGATGAGGTATTCAGGACTTATGTTGCCATTTGATGGCGTAAGTGGATTGCGGCTGAGGGCTTCTGCGTATGCAGGCCAGTTCACTTTTGAAGTATTTCAGCTGAGAGTGGGGGGGAGAAGAACGCCTCATGACGGCACGCATCTGGCTTGTCAGCCTTGTCAGTCTTTTAAAAGCAAATCACTGACTTTTCCTCTGATTTTGAGCTTCACGAATTGTTTCGTATGAAGTCTACAGCCGATGTACATACTACCACTGGGTCGCGATGGAAGCCAGTACAGAAAGCGACATCGGCGTGTCGAGAGTCTCAGGTTATTACGGACCCGGGGCGATATCCGCTTGGTGGTTACTGACCATCGCGACGTTAATCAGTTCATTTTACGGAGAAATGGTAGCACCTGGAGTCAGAAGGCCGCCATCGATCTGGAATCTCTTCAATATCGATCCGGGCGTCCTCGCCTCTACGGGATATCCCTGCGTCGCGAGCTTCGACCTCTTGTACAATCTCAAAGCATATACCTCGGACCAGCACAACGTCGCGCTCTACTGCGCGCCGCTGTTGGTGGTGATGGAGGCGCAGCTAGCCATGGTTTTACTCATCTCTGCGGTCCTGGGGCGGGGGTCGCTGCAAGATGGACGTCTGCGGTTCACAGATCTTACCTTGGTCTTGATGTTCTTGCTTTACTTTTGTATCGTCCACCACGTAACTGTCTTGGTATGCATCGACAAAGTACTCATCTTCGCACGCAACTCGATTGTGCCTTTGGGACCATGGGCATGGGATGAAGGTGCCAGTTATGTGAGCGAGTGTGAGCGGAATGTCGACAATTACATCAAAAGGCTCATATATCCAGACCGAACAGATTCGAGCGGGGACTATAGACCAGGGGATCCTCGGGCCAGCAACTATGAGGGCTCCGAGCTTATCATGTGGGTGTTCAGCATATTCTGCGTACTCGGGATCGTGTTTATAGTGATAGGCCATAGCAAGGGTTCTTTTGCTGTCGGACAAACACGCTATGATGGTTGCCTCGGTGCACTGGCTCTACTTTTGGGGGTGAGCCTTGCCTGGATGTTTGTTTGGACAATATTCGCACCGCTAATGCTGAACATACTCGTACTATGTGAAAGCATTGTGCTGCGACTGTTATTCATGGGCATCGGGACAGTTTTTATACCTCAAAGCACGGCGTCGTTTCTGGACTTGGATCAGATGGCCGCCTTCATCGTTGGTGGGTTGATACCACTAGTCATGAGTGCAGCGCCTATCGCGAAGAGGATCTTGGAACGTTATCGCAGCAGTCGGTCGCAGCTGGCTGCATTGGACAATGAGGAGGCTACAGTCTAACTTATCGATGTATATAGGCGCAAAGATATCCGATTATCTCCTGTTCAATCTCCGCTGCTGTCGTAATCCTCTTCTTCAGTAATCCAATCAGACTCGGAAGCTTCATCTCCTACATCTTCTGCTGCATAGTCACCAATATGACTGCTGACAATGGCAGATTCATCCGAAACGATCCCATCTTCATACAAGTATGATGTCTCGAGGTTCTTGACAAAAGTGGAAGCCGTGGGAACTTGAATGCTTTTCAGAAGTCTTGGAAGATATTTTCGGATGCAAGCAAGTGCAAAAATCTGCTCTGTCGCATTCAGTCCTTGCTCATTGGCCAAAATATCTTCCTCAATGGACTGACAGACTTTTTCGATATCCAAATCTGAGATTCGAAGGCACGATTCCATGTGAGGTAAATAAGCGTCTGAATCATCATATATGCTGGCATTATCGGATCGTGAAGCATGTTTTCCAGCCAATTCTAGGTGCCGTATCAGGTATACTAATACGGGTTGGCGCAGCACTACCACCACGATTCTAGTTGTCTCTTCCCAAATATCTTTGACGGATTGCATTGGGTGAGTCCTAGTAGCCCAAGGCAAACAAATGATCCGCAAACCTTTGCTGAGATATCTGTTCTGCATCTCAGGAATTGATAAGCCCTTGGACTTCCACGCACATGTATGAAACGACAAGGCAGATAGATGAAGCCTCAATTTCGGTCCACCATTGGCAACTTCAAGATAAAGATCAGTCAGGTGAGCAATCTTGTAAATCAAGACGAGAATCTTTCGTTTATATACCGAGAATTTCTCGATGAAGCGCCGCCCTAAGTCGTCCTGCCAAAATTGGATAAATGCAAATGCGAAATTGATTGCATGCATGAGATTGAAAGGTGGCGCTGCATCTTTTTTTCGGGGGGCCAGAATTGAAATGCTCGAACCTATGTAGGCGGGAGACAGGTTGTTATCGAGGCATTTAAGCTCCAAATCCGGACCCAAGAAAAATCCACGGATATATGATCTGAAGGCATGCAGAAGTTCCACCGTTACAAGGTAACTAACACTGTCCACCATGTATGTGTTCATGGCTGCCAAAATCAAAGCTCCATAGGTCTCCCGTGGTATCAGATGTATGCGCTCCGAAATATAAAAACTGCAGTTGCAATCCATGCAAGCTGCCAAGAACATGAACATGGACCAGGAACTCCCTGTGCGATACTTTTGCCAATGTTCTTCCCGCAGCCACACGAAATTGTCCAAACACACAAGGGGAAACTCAACTTCCCCATTAATCACTTGATCACCCGCCCAGCTCAGCTGATTTATGGCTGCCATTGCTAGGGCTGGGAATTTGTGGTGAAGTTCTCCACTGACTACCAAGACGGATTGTAGTCGAGAATCTGTTGTCAGATCAATTCCTAGTAGATCATGTCTAAACAGACCATGTTCAAATAGATCATCTCTAAAAAGACGGCATCCAATTTTAAGAGAAGGAGCAGCGAGTAAATATTCAAGTCCACCCGCAAGAAGAGCTCGAGCAGCTTCCTCGCTTGTGATCGGCCGGAGACCCAGTTCTTCCACTGTTGCCGGATCCGACATAAAATCGTGGGCCGATCGGTGGACCCAGGACATCCGTTTCAGTTCGAAGCCAAGTACTTCCAGATACGGGAATGAAGTACAGCGCTTCTTAAGCCGGGTATATGTAGTTTGTTGTTTCTGCGGCCACCGTTGATCGCTTGTGTCACTTCTGATATAATAGCCATCGTTGGAGACGACTCGGTCTGCCTCGGACTGCTCGAGACTGACTGATAATTGGCGTATTTCCAAGAGACCTGCGCTCTGAGCCACAATCTGTGTTTCGACCTGTTGGCACAACTCCTTGAATCGGTTCATAGACTCAATGGGCCCATTTATTTTTGCTGCAGTAATAACTGCTACTGATAAGTGATAGCGCCCAAGCAGGTTGATTTCCATGAATTTCAGATAGAGTGCCAAAGATTCTCTATGTGCCTCGTCGATATTCCCGACCATTGATTTGAAGAGATCATTCATGGGTTGCGGGGTCCTCTCAATACGTTTGAGCAGGGTTTCTGTGTCATCAGCTGCCAGAGCTCCCCGAACTATCGCTTGCGTTACAAGCACTGCCCACAAGAAAACTCCTTCTGCTTGTCCGACAATCTGATGTTGAATACGTCCAAGCCCAAGGGAGTCCAAGTTGAGCTGTACATGAGACAGTTTCTGCCCGACGAATGCATCGATATCTGACTCGTTGAGGTCCTGCAAGCGTAGGCTGTCGCAATGTGAAAGCCGATGTGTCAGCTGTACTTCAGGCCGACTCGATACACACAGCTTAACGTTCTCAAATTCCTCCAAATCGAATATCAGGTTGAGAAGTTGGTCATAATCGCCCACATACTCATCCAGTCCATCAATGAAGATACAGAATCGTACGGGTCTAGAAAGCTTCAATGCCAACAAAAACGCGTTCGTCAGAGTCCTCTCATTCCAACACAGATTGTCGGGGAGTTGCCTTAGGAATGTATCGAGGAAAGCTGAGTCTGACTGTATACGGCACAGTTCGAGGAGCAACGCCCTGAGAAGACCATCGATGCTTTTTTGAAGTCGGGAACCAGGGCGCCAGAAGAAGGAAGCTAGAATGTGACATTCCTGATGCCACTCTTTCAATGCATTCTTTGTCCGCTGGTCATTCACCAAATGGGCCATAAGAGTTGACTTCCCAGAACCCAATTTGCCAGATACCCAGTATATACCGTCCTTGTGACGAAGCCAATTACCAAGATCGTCCCATACGGCCTGGCGCCGGTATGCGTGGTTTTTGTTCGAGCTACTTGGCATTACTTTATCAGATTCGAAAATCCAGTCCAAGGTTTTTGGAGCTGCTCCCTGAATGGCACCTTGCCGTTCGTACATTTCCGAAAATTCCAGGCCTCTAAAAAGTTCTTCCTGCCGCCTTGCACTTCGAGACTCTTTGAGCTGTTCTTTTGCTTGGTATTTTAGCGCACGTAATTGTCGCCCTGTAGTGTTCTCCGCCTTATCCAAGCGCTTGTTGACGCCATGTTGTAGAAGCGCGAGATTTCGTTTAAGAATTGTCGTACTACTAGCTGTAGTCGACTCCTGTTTGGCGAGCGCGCTGATTATTTTTTGTACATTTGTATCAAGTGCCCCGAAGGTCTTGCTCCGTTCGGCAGCTTGGAAGTCTAAACCTCGCCTGGAGACGGTTAATTTCAGCGAAAATGTGTATGAAGTGGTAATATATCGTACCATATGTCTTGTACTAGCAAGGAATGCAGTGTCTTTTCCTTTTCTTTCAAGGATATCTCAAGCTTTTCAATCTTCCTTTGTTCCTTTAGCGATCTCAGTATTCTACTCGCTGCACTGGCGTTGTCGCTGCCACCAGAGACATATTCGAGGAGTTTGATCAATTCGTCCGATAGAGCGGCACACTTATTAGCTAATTCAGTCAGATGACGAGGCGCCGATCTGGTATGTCCAGTCTTGAGACTTCGCTGGTAGTCTTTGATTTCGCATGCGAATGCCTGAAGCTCATCGTTGTGGTTTTTAACCGAAGCCTGGCCGTCTCGAAGTTTTCGACAGAGCGCAAATGTCTTGTAGGCTACGCCGAAAAGTTGAACAGAGGCAGCTGCGATACCGACAGCAGATACAGGATCCATGGTCCCAGTCTAAGGTAAACCGATTTGCAATGAATTGAAGATGAAAAGACGATGTGCATGGCTATGCAGACAGATGCTGTGAAGTCTTGGGTGAGGGGGGGCACATGCTGCATAAGGCGGCTGAGCCGACATTACAGAAATTCATACTTGGGCCGCAAGGCAGATTGTCGCGTACCATACGAACCTATACAGCTATGCTAATGATGATAGCTTGACTCACTTGGTTAGGACCGCAGTCAGCGGTTTGCAATAACAATGCTTGAGTATATGAAGGCCACTTATTAAAATAAAAGACTTTTTTCTTTCTTTTTTTTTTTTCTTTTCGCAATAGTGCTTGAAGTCTTGAGTCAGAAAGGTCATTACACATACAGCCGGCCAATGATTGGTCCGGCATCACTTTGCTCTGGTTTACTTCTATGGATAGTACTGGTTGATGTGTGTCTTGTCAAAATTCATCACTGTCTAGATTCTTTTCCCCTCGCGTCCAAACGCCAAATAACTTGAGAGTAAAACAACTATATTGCCCCCAGCGAAGCAAGAAGCAATCCATCATGAGGGTATCAAACACGGTATTATCTGCGTCCTCCCTTGGGGAACTGCGGCTTGCCCACCTTGCCACCTCCGCGTACTGAAGGACCGTGTCTCTTCTCTCCGTCAAGGCCTCGCCGTTCACCGCCAAAGCCGCCTCTTCCGCTTCCACCTCTACCGCCTCTTCCACCCCTGCCGCCCCTACCGCCCCGGCCGCCCCTATCGCCTCTATCGCCTCTATCGCCTCTATCGCCCCTGTCGCCTCGGCCGCCTCTGTCACCTCGGAAGGTTTGACCACGACCACCTCCGAAGCCACCACGACCTCTGTTAACAGTGCTCTTGATAGCAGCGATGTCTTTCTCATCGACGTCCATTTCATCATCGTCGTCATCCTGGTTCCTGTGTTTATTAGAGAACTTGAGCTTTCCCTTTTGTCCGCGGCGAGCAGCATCCTTGCCCTTGAGAGCGGCGACATAAGCGTTGACGCCGCTGGATTCGCCATCAGCAGGTGTATCCAAAACCATGGCATCATCCTCGTCGTCACCGAAGATGAGCTTGCCGTCCATATCTGTTTTGGCCTTCGTCTTGGCCGCTCTGCGCATTTGTACAGGCTTTGTTGACGAAATGTTGGCGAGAGCCCTCTTGTCGAGAAGATCAAGTGGTTCGTCCTCGTCTTCCATGATATAAGCGTTGCCTCCCTTCTTGCCCTTCTTGGGCTTGCCAAGCATTTCATCATCAGAATCCTCTGAAGCTTCCGAGTCACTAGAGTAGAGAGCCTCATCGTATTCGCTCTCGAATTTGCCCCTCCGCTTGCCATCAGTCTGCTCATCATCTTCCTCCTCGCCATCAGCTTTGGCGGCGTCCTTCTTCCTCTTGCTACGCTCCTTGGTCTTGCGAATGTTATTGATCAGCTTTCGGTCATCCTCAGGGCAATGTTTGTTGATAACATCGAAACCAAAGCGTCGAATCATCCTCTCGAGAATGTGCTTGACCTTGGCACGGAAATGGCCCTTGTGTTCGTGTCCCCACACCATCAGGTTGGGAAGCAGAGTAGGTAACCTGGGCAGCATCATCTCGGTGGGTAAGCTGATGATGCACACCTTGGCAAAGCCCAGCACACTCTTGACAATCTCCCTGTTGTTGGATGTGAGGAAGAGGTCCATGGTTTCAACAAGATCGCTCAAGATTTGGGTGGTGAGAGACTCGCGGAACTCGTACAGGATACGGGTAATTGCAGTGATGGATGCTGAGATCATGTGCGGCGTGCTACCTGCAAGACCTGCACTAACCATGGTGAAGTACTCTTCAATACCCGCAGGAACAGATGGGGCATCCTTGGGCATATTGGGAACCTCACTGTTCTTGATCAGCTTGCCCTTGGATTGTTCTAGTTTCTGGCCCATGAGAACGAGCAGGTCGAATGCTGAAGTCCTGGCCTTCTCGTTGTTCTCCTTGCATCCGATCACGACTTCTGAGAGAACAGAGGGGATGAAGTGAAGAGAGTCGTCGGGGATAAACGGGATCATTGATGCAATTGCAGCGATCCGCTCTCTCCTTGCTGGAATAGAGACCTTCTCAGCTCCAGTGAGCAGGAGATTTTGCAACTCAGGAAAGCGTTCCTGCAAAGCTACCTTACCAACCTCTGAGTTTGCTAGTCTAGGAATAAGCTTGTAGGCCTTCTTTTGTAGTTGTGGGTCGTCATCCTTGACAATGATGAGAGCTGCAATGTTGAACAGCGCGGCAAAGCTCTGCCTAGGAAGGTAGGCAGACATGGTGATGACGAGATCCATCAAAGTGTGGCTCGTTGATGGCCCCTGGTCCTTTGGCTTCTGCTTGTTCTTTTCCTGCTCGCTGGCAGCTTCCGCAATTGCCTGTGCGAGCATTGTGCTGACTCTGTCGAAGGTCTCGATAAGTTCTTGCTCTGGCGTAATGCTCAAGTAGGCGTTGATCGTCTGTAAAATCGGACCTCTCGATTGGGGGAGCGTTTGGCTGTACACGTTAAATAGAACTGCAAGTAGGTTGCCTGCAAATGTACCTAAGTAGGTCAGGTTTTTCTTGGCGCCGTCCTTTGAAATCCTGGTGTACAGGACCAGATCTTCAGCTTCAGCGTCTTCTACCGAGGCAGCAGCTTGGTTGGACTCTACCAAGGTCTTCAGCGCTCTGCAAACATCGAGACGCAGTTGGACTTGGGTGTATAGCAGGTTTGCCAACATCTCTGCAAAAGACTGGTCGAAGGCAACAGTCAAATCTAAGGGCAAGTCGCAGTATCCAGGCAGAATCGACCAAGTCTGTTGGACGAGGGTCTCGTATATCTTGATCTCCATAGTCTTTGGTGCGTCGCCGTTGTCCATGACTCTCTGATACATAGCCTCGCTAATTGGGACCATTTCAGTCCTGAAGTGTTGGAGATTGGTGTTGCTCGTGAAGTCGCGCATGATTGGCAGCATCCAAGCTCGCCCAGGCTGGCCCTTGACAGGCTTCAACAGGTTTAGGGGCAGTACGCTCAAGACCGCCTCAGGTCCCATAGCCCTGATAGCCTTGCCTAGGACCTCGTCGGCCTCCTTTTTGCCCATGAAGGAATCGTCACCGCGCAATTCGCCGACAGTCTTCACAATATTTAATAACATAGGGTTCGCGCGATATTTCAAGGCATCGAAGAGGCCACCAAAGACATTGAAGGTTTGCATCCAGGCCGATTGGTACTTGACACTGAGAAAGGTCTCTGCATACTTTGCCAGTTTTTCGAGGATCTTTTCGTCGTAGATAGACGGTTCGGAGATGACCGAGTTCGGTATGCAGTTGGCGGCAAAAGAGATCAAACATTCAGAAGCAGAAACCCGGATGTTGTGGGAGGACGATTCCATGAACTCGGAAACCAGAGCAAAGAGCTCGGGGAGCTTTTGGAAAGTGTCTTCGGGTTCCATCTGAGCAGAAACATCGTATCCGCGGGAAAGGATGGCGATCCACGGCGGGAGCAGCTGAGTATCGTTGGCGGAAGGACGCAACTCGGCAATAATCTCGAGTAGTCGTGGGAGCTTGACAGAGCCGAGGTCTTCGGCTGCCATGCCCTCGAAGATCATCTCGAATATGTCGAATACTGCCATTGTCATGTGGTCGTTTCCGGTCTTGGCGATGCCCAACAAAAGCTCGCAGAGAGACTCAATATTCTTGCTCGGCCAGCCATTGCTGGCAGAGGTGATGGTCTTGATCAGCTGCAGGGCATGGATCAGAGCGGGATCGTGCTCTGCATCGGGCGACTTCTTCTGCTTCCTCGAGGCTGCGGCTTTTGCGGCCAGCTCGGCCAGGCTTCTCATGGCAGTTTCGGCGCAAAGATCCGCGGCTGGGTGGTCCAAGGAGGGACTCGGAGGGGGGCTCTTGAGGACGTTCTTCAAGGCATCTTGAGCTCGCTTCCTGACCTTGGGTCGGGGGTCCAGTGATAAGTTCAACAGACCTGCGACGGCGCGGCGAGGGCTGACCTCATTCGTAGACAGTTTCCATGCTGCCGAGTCCTGGGCGATCAGTAGCGACTCCAAGCATCCGATGGAGGGCTTGAGCAGTGGCGCCTCGGCATTGGCGAGAAGCAATACGGGGGCGAGAAGGGCGAGAATCTGCGAAAACTTGGATCGGAGAAGCGACTGCGGGGCGAATGGTGTAACGACGTCAAGCAGGTAAACCACTGAAGGCGTTAACTCTTTGTTGATCTGCCCGTTCGAAATCGATTGGTTGAGCAAGGCAAGAAGGGCTGCGAAGTAGCCTGTGGGAGTCGGCGCAGTATTTTGCTCTTTCAGCGTCTCATCCACCGCCTTCAGAATCACAACCGTCTTAAAGAAATTGGACGTTAGTTCTACCGGATGTATAGAAAAGAAAGCAATAGCGCGAAGAGCCACCTACCTGCTGCTGACTCTGAAGATTCGGTGACCGGATCTTGTCAAGCTTCTCTTCCAAAGTCGCCATTTTGAGAGCTGTGATACACTATCTCTCGTTGAGGCAGACTCAGACTCGATCGATCATCAACCAGCTTTCAACTTTGAGACTCGGGAATTTGGGAATTTTTTGGGTTATCATTATCTTATCGCAATCTACCCCACTAAGACTAAAGGCGTCGGTTTTTGGTGGGCGCCTACAAAGTAGCAGCTCTGGCAGCTGCCGGCGCACCGTGGCAGTGCAGCGGGTGGAGTTCCAAGCTACAGAGTTCCCCCGACACTCCTAGGTTAGACTATTAGTACATGATATTTCACCAATAGTGTCGCTCATCCAGTCTCACTTTCTCATGTCAATATGACAAACTCGATTGGACATACAATCTCTTAATGCACGTTCAACCTTAAAATCATTTTCCAGTCTCTGCAGTCTGTTGAACCTTGTTCCATAAGTAATACCAGAACCTCCTCCAGGAACCCCCCTTGCATAACTGGCCGGACCGAGAAACTTCTGCCTCTTGGCTCTTGATTGGTTCCTCCGGTCCTGATCTTCCCAATCTTTTAGCAGCTTGATTCATCGTTGTATTCATACTTTCAGGTTCCGTCGCCGTATTTGACTACAGCATGTTTCACTGTCAAGCTGCTGAACATGGGTGTTCTCATTACGGCCATTGACTCCAGAGTGGATTTTCTCTATACTCCCCGCGGAGTAGCTCTCGTGGCAGACGCGGAATAGCCGCGATGCGAACGGCCGCTGGGACTTTTCATACAACAAGATTATCCTCAAGGCCTCCTCCAGAGCTTCCGAGTTGCCTACAGCACATGTTGAGTTTGCGGGAAAGGTATGCCGGCCCCTGCAGCTTCTCGTGAAACATGCGAGCATTCCACTGCCAACTGCGTGGTTTAGGTTTGCAACACCATGTAGGCATACCACTCTGTGGCTGTGCGCATGATTGCGCGAGTAGAAATCCTGCAGGATATAGGGACGCACCTGCTCACCTCAGCGGTTTCTTTTTTCCGCATTCTGGAATCGCTTGATCGTTGGTGTAGTGCTTGAACAACTCCTCAACAAATAGCAAGCATGCGCGGCTTAGAGGTGAGCGCAGATTTTGTTGGTGATGATCTTGTCAGGCAACACGTATGGCTCAAGCTACCAATCGCACAATATCTGGAGCTCGCAGGGCATAACAATCACGAAGTGAAGCAGCCGTTATCTGTCGAGGTCGCTCTTGAAGGACCAACAGTCAAGGATCCAGAAGTCGCCGAGGAGGATTCGACGTCGGAAGGTGAATTCGATTATGTGACTGTCAGCCAGGGCAATGAATCTCGTCAACAGAACCAAAAAACCCTCGAGCCAGGCCGGAGAGTCCACGTACAAGATCAGAGAATCCAGCCTAATCGCAAAGTCCATGACCCGGAAGGGTCACCGGTCATAACTCGCGATGAGATCTGGCGGCAGTGTCTTCCACCTAGATTGCTATTGCACCCAAAGTACTGGACCAGGGGATTCTCGACCCGTCTCAAACCTCCTAGCATCACGAGTCTCAACGATGAAACGAAGACCATGATAAGTGATTCTGGCCACTTTTACCGTCTCGCGCGCCCAAACCCGTTTTTTAAATCGAGCCGGCTTCCCTGCTATCCTCTGGTCTCTTGGTTCTGTCCTGAGCGCGACTACCTCTACTATCCCTACCCAGCGGACAAGGTTACAGGCGTGCACACGGTCACGCAGAATGTCGTGATGGAGAACATAGCCAATTTTCATCCCAAGGAACTTCCCAAGTTGCTTCGGCCACTTATGAATCCGGAGATATTTGCCAGCCTGAAAACAATTCATCAGGCTTCTGGATTGCTATGTGCCGATGAGAAGTGGTCGCCCAGTATGGTTGAGGCGTTTTTCGGATCCGAGTACCTCATTATTGTCAACCTACTAGACCGGGTCGCGTCTGGTAGAGTCGAACAAAAGCTCTTGGATCTACTTGACGTCAACGATAGCAGGTACTACGAGTTCAAACAGAAATCCTCTTGCTTTGATACTATGACTCACTGGGACGAATCCAAGTTCGTGTTCGAGGAGGCATGGTTAAATGCCAAGTGGAAACTGCCATACACTAGGATCATCTGGCCAGATAAGCAGTGCTTTGAGGAAATTGTGCCCACTGCCTTGCTAGAAGATCCGAGGACCAGAGAAAGCTTCAAGGGCGCCGTGGTCGATGCGTCGGAAGATTTCCGCACCCTTGACGCGGATGGCTTCTGGGACAGGACTTCTCCCTATGTTTCGGGTATTCTTTACCACATGCCCGAGCTCCAGCCTGTTTTCGTCTTCGTTCGGCCAGAGAACTTGGGATCTCTATGGCAGCGCAGTGGGGCGGGGAAGGGGGCGGATGAACTTGATTTGGACTGGTACGATGAGATTATCGAAATGCATTCTGAAGGGGAGTGCGTCGTGCAATAATAACCTGCAGATTCTAGTTCGAATGGGGCCAAGCATAACAAATTAATCGAGACGGCAATAACAATATATACCACATACTACCGGCAATCTCTCCTACGGTTCCCCGTTTGTCTCTCTTTCCCGCCGTAGAACAAGTAAAACCATACCAGCTCATCGACGGAAATAGAGCTACCTCCAACGCGGGTCTCGCGACTCCTGCCTGTGCATCTGATCGTTTGCCTTACGGCAGAAGAGGGAGAAACCCATCAACCCCCCCCCCATATTCCGTGTACTGCGAAGAAGGAGCTCGGATCCTGTAATGAATAAATAAATAAAATTAATTTTTTTGGCTTTGAAGCCAGGTTGTTTCTTCTAGTCTGGGTCATGCGACGTGGGAACATTCTGTCGGTTGTGGGCTGGCGGCAACATTTTAAGCCCCTGTTTATGCAACAATTGCTATCTTCGCCCACGCAAAGCAGATGTCAAGCAAGTGGCTTGGCGGGTTAGTTTCGGTGTCATGTCAGTAATGATATGCCACCCCCGCTTGCTTGTTTGTTTGCTCGATGTCCTACGTCGCTACTTGTAACTCATCGAAAGTCAATCTATCAAGCAAAGGCCTCGACCGGAACCGTAGCTCACGGGTAATGATATGGGCAAAGACAGAATACTTAGGCAAGCAGGAACAACAGTGGTCAGTCTTTGTGGTACTCTTGTGCCATGGTATTCATATCTAGACATGACGTAAACTCAACCTATTCGTGGTATACCCGGTTTCGCGCCGCGAGGAGGTCGGCTTTGTTAACCCATCGCCCCTTTCTATCCTGCTTGATGAGGACCTTGTGCGAGACCAAATCTCTTCTAGTAGACACCTATTCGTTGCAGTCGGCCAGATTATCAACCAGTCCCAAGTATTTCGATGCATCTCATTTATGAGAAATCCTCCTCCTCGGCCTGGATCATGTTCTTCACCCTGACCAAGATCTCCGTCTTCCACTTGTCGAGTTTAGACATCTGGTCGAACTGGAACAATCTGTCGGTGAACTCCTCCTGGTTACTAGCCTTGACGGCCTCGGTCAGGTCGACAAGAAGCTGGTGTTCGCGGGTCTGGGTAAATGTCGGGTCCATATCGCGGTACTTCTCGAGGGCGCGTTCGGTGGCCACGACGTCCTGGGTAGCGAGGTGGCAGAGGCCAGCCTTCAGGAAGTAGTCCTTGACGCTGTATCGCATGAGGTTGTTGCTGACGCTGGCGGTGGCTACCTTCTCGTAGTTGCCGATGGCCTTGTAGTAGTCGCCCTCGAGAGCTGCTACGTCGGCGACCTTGAGCCAAAGCTTGTTTGCAAGTCTGCCGCCGTGTCAGCCGAGTTCGTGCGCTCGCGTGTGTTATGCGACATGTGCACCTGTGGCGCATACGAAGGGGTGGAGGAGTACTTACGCCGACGCGTTGTCGCTTTCATACCATGAAGCTGCCAGCTCAAATGCTTCAAGCGCGCGCTTGGAGTCGCCGATTTGTGTCTCGAGCACCTCTGCCCGGTTTTCTTGGTGCTGGGCGGCACGGCGGAAGTTGCCCTTCTTGCAGTACTGCTGGATGGAGAAGTCGACAACTCGTACGGCGTCCTCGGGCGACTCTTGCTTGTACACCTTGAACGCATCGACGTATGTGTTGGCAGCGTCGTCGGGCTCCTTCAGATTGTTGATTTGTACGGCGGCGGCTTTCTCAAAGGCCTGACCTGCTTCCCTGTCTGGACGACAACACAGACTGTCAGCGAGCCGCGTCCCCAGTCTCATGACCTGTTTGCGCCGTGATGGCATCGGGCTATATGACGAAGGCAGACATACTCATCTTCTGGACTCTGAAAGCGTTTGCGGCTTCACTGAAGACAAGAGTCGGTCGAGTTAGCCAACGGTTGACTAGGGACGCCAGATGCGAAGGGACGGGTTCTCCTACATGTATAGATCTGCGGCATTCATGTACTTCTCCTCCCTACCGCCGAAGAAGCTGAAGCCCCCAGAGGCGGATGACAGTGCCTTGTCTGCCTGCGCTACGTATCAGCATACACGTTGCTCTTACACTGCGACCTCGCGGGGGTGAGCTTGGCGGGGCATTCCTGACCTTCTGGAGCAGAGCGCGAGGATCTCCTGCCATGCTGGTCTGTCGTTTTGATCTTGTGTAGATGTGGTAGAATCGTGGGTAACAAGGTCGTTCGGTTCGGGTTGCTGTTAAATGTTTACAAGAATGCAATGTTGTTTAGTAGTGGTGTGCTTCAAGTGTATTGGGAATGGAAATGGGAAGGGGATTGGGATTGGGCCCAATGGATCGGCTTTGCTGATGGCACTCGCTCTTCGGCTTGTTAGTTGGCTGTCACAGAAGAGGACCGCCTAAAACAAAGTTGTCTGACCTGACCTTGGTGGCCCCCATGCCCCTCTAACCTTGGAGCTATGATGGGGGGTTAGTTAGTCTAATGCTGATGCTAAGGTTAGTCTACAGTACTGTAGGTTAGTTAGTCTAATGCTGACGCCAATGCTGCTCGCTCACCGTGCGCCTCGCCTGGGGTCGACCATATGCTGTGCTGCCGTGGGTGCCGCTGTGCTGCTGTGGTCGGGTCTGCTTAGAGAGTTCAACCCCTGCAAGCGCGTCGCGGCTCGGTTTCTTAAAAGCCAAGCCAAGCCGAGCGAAGGGCCCTGCCTCGCAATGTGTTTGGTATAGCTACAGTACATCCGTACATTTGAGTAAGAGCGCATTTTCTACAACTACAGCGTGCGACCAAAGGTCTTGCTTTCATCCCATCTGTCGCGAATCCCAGCCTGCGCATGACACCTCGTAGCTCGGCCCACAACTGCCTGAAAGTCTGCCTGCACTCGTGGTCAATTGGCCTGTCCCCCAAAGCCCGCGCAAAGGCAACACGCAAGCCACAATGAACACGACCATGACGACGACCACGACGACGATATGCGCCGCGTGCCGGGCATCGACACGGCGCCAAGCCTTCCGATCGCCACGGCGCGCATTCCAAACAGCTGCCCCCAAGACCGCCCATCCCACGCCCGCTGAGATCCTGTCCCGGCCAACCTGGTCCGTCCGGTCACTGCTCCCACCCCCGTCCTCTCCCTCCTCGACCACACCATCACAGCAGTCACAACCCAACCGAAAACAAGAAGAAGAAGAAGAAAAAGAAGAAGAAGACGAGGAGATTACCCCTTCCACCCTTCTCCACCTCCTCCGTCTCTCCGCGCTACCGCCCCCGAGCTCGCCGGAAGAGCAATCCCAGCTCCTCGGCACGCTGCGCTCCCAGCTGCACTTTGTGCGGAACATCCAGTCCATCGACACAACGGGCGTGACGCCGCTGGTCTCGATCCGGGACGAGACGGCCGAGGGCGTGCGGGAGCAGACGGTTGGTCTGGAGACGCTGCGGGAGGCGTTGGGGGAGGAGCATGTTATTGGACATAACAAGAGGCCGCGGAGAAGGAGAGGAGAAGGCAATAGGGTCCAGATCAAGGGGGTTGAGGACTGGGATGTCTTGAAAGGCGCGAGTGAGAAGGCTGGAAGGTATTTTGTGGTTAGGAGCGCACCTGCCAAGTAAGAGCCTTGTTTAGAAAGAGGGTGGCAACAGGAAGATACAGTGGTGGATATACCCAGGCATAAGTCTACGCGAGAGAGAGAGAGAGACAGAGAGAAAGAGAGAGAGAGGGAGCATCAGATGAGATAAAAGCATGGCATGAGCATCTCCATTGCCTGAATCTGTTTCTACCTAAAGGTATATACGAATCTGCAAGGAACTGCGAAGACGATGCGCACAAGCGTAGCCATGAGGCCACCAAGCCCGCGGTATATCATGCAAACGTGTTTCATCTCAGGCCTTTCGACCACCAAAATAAAATAAAATAAATCTCTTTTTCCCTTTTTCTCTTTTTCTTCTCATTCTTCTCTTTTTCTTCTCCTTCTTCTCTGCAAGTGCTTGTTCTAATCCGTACTCTCAAGATGTTTCTAGAGAGCAAGCCGAGGACTTTTCTTCACCCTCTGCCATAACGGTGGTCAATTCTTTCTTGCAGAATTTCTTATAAGAGAAATATACACAAGAAAGAAACAGATCCAGGATGGTTCGCAAACCCTTGGAAATGTTCAGGCATCGACCGAAAATTCTCGCGGCATCTATCCACGCTTTCGACCCTTGCCGGAACGACCCTTTCTCCCACCCTTTGGGCCACCAGCAGAAGCAGAAGCCTTGCCCTTGGTAGTACTACCGATATTCTCCTTGCCGTCGGGCTGCTGAAGACTACCCGTTTCCACCTTGCCCTTGTCATCGGTCTCCTAGACCTTCGATCCTGCGGCTCCCGGTGCGGCTGTCTCTTCCTTCATCGAGTTCGACTTGGCATTCCCCTTCTGCTGTCGGGCAGCACGAGCAGCTTCCACCTTGGTTGCGATGCTGGCACGGAGCTCGTCGCGCTTCTTCTCCGCCTCCATCATCTTCACCAGCTCGGCTTCCTGGTCGAGGCTCTCATTAATCACCACATCCTCCCAGCCAAGCTTCTCAAGAATGGGGCCAACCAAGTAGCGGTAGCGGCTATGAGCGGTGACGACCTTGGAAACGTCATAGTTCTGAACATTCTTGACGCCGACAACCTCCTCGAGGCCGGCAACACCCTCTGTGATGTTGCCCAGGCGCTGAGCAAAGCCCAACATGATGTCACTCTTGCTGAAGACATTGACGAGTCGACCGGACACGACACTTCGAATCGCCGCCCAAGACTGTATGTTAGAAGGACCGGGACTACCCATGAGCACAGCATTCTCAACGAAGCCGTAAGCACGTTTCTCCGACAGTATCATGAGAGCCGTCCAGATTACGCGGGCACCGGCACCGAAGCCAACAAGAGTAACAGGACGCTCTCCGCCAATCTTATTCATGATTGCATCGGCAAGGGTCTGGCCACATTTCTCTGCACGGACAAGAGAAACAGACCATGGATTGTCAATTATCTTGCTGTTACGGATCAGGGCGGCCGGCCAGGTTGAGGTGTTGAGAGAGAAGGCAACTGTTGTTTAAATTAGTGCCCTTCGTTGCTTTGCTCCGACGATAGACGGGGAGACATTTCCATGGAGTACTTACCAGACCCGACGTTGTCCGACTTCATCTGAGTCCATCCAGGGGCCTTGAGCACTTCATTGAGAGCAGCGCCAGTCTTACCGAGTATCTCCTTCTCCCACTGAAGAGCATAAACCTCACTCACATCGCCGAGACAAGTCCAGGGGGCCTTTGCATCATCCTCACCAGGGACGCTGGGGTCGAAAAAGCCGCCAACCCCAATTGTGAGACGCAAGCGACGGTCCTCGGGCGGGACGTCCTTGGGGTCGATCATCGCAGTGCGATTCTTCTGGCCGTGAATGGGAAGAAAGCCAAAGTCCAGGATATCCTTTGCGTATGATTCCGTGATCTTGGCAATTGCTCGCGAGCCATACAAGCCGAACAGTTGTCCAACGACGACGGTACTCTCCGCCATGCCTTGGAGCATGCTGGCGGCGGCTGCAGGACCGACGCCAAGTCCTTTGAAGACGGTACTAAGTCCGGCAGAAACAAGGGGTGCTGCAAGACCGCCAACGCTCTGAGCAGTGCTGGCATTGGTCGATTTGCCGCTGTTGGCGGTTGAGGTGGCACTGGAATCCTGCTGGGGGTGGCCTTGAGGCTGAGGCTTCGGCCCACGGCCGCGGAAACGAGTTTTACCCTCCTCAATGCGACGTGCTTGTAGCTCCTCGGGGGTAATAAACTCGACGATCTTGGACAATGCCTTGCCGATTCGAACTTCGTCCTGAGAAAGAACGTGTAAGGGGATCGACAACGACGTTGCGAGGTGGCAAAGGAGGATACGAGCATAAGCTGGATAGTTCTCGAGGCCGAGCAGGATCAATACGGTGCAGTGGAGGATGCAAGCACGCTTCTCTTTGGGTAGGTCCTTGAGCAAAGTTGCGAAAGGGACAAAATGGCGAATACCAACTTGATTGAACTCGTTGACTGAAGTGTCAGGACGGTCTGGAATGATACACATGTTAGTGCTTGTTCAAAATATATGCGGTTCAGGTATGACCAGCTTATTGATCTTTACCTGGGTAGAGATTGAGCCAAAAAGTAATATTTATGATTATACAGGAAATAGTGCGGCCAAAGTTGAAAGGAGGACCAGGACAAATGTGAAGTGGGCGCATTGTGGGAGTACTGGAAGCAAGGGCAATGCGAATGAAAAGAAATTCGAAGAAAATTAAACATAAAACGGACGAAAAGCAAAGAAAAACGACAAAACTCGCATAACAACCCAAACAACCGGGGGAGAAGACTTACTACCACCTGCACTACCACCTTGTGGCTGCGCGGGTGCACTTGTTCGCGCGAGTTGTTGTTGCGGCTGCAGCTTTCCTCGGTGACCATTGTTTGGGATGTTACTACCAGCATGTCGTCTGGCATTATTACCTGGACTCTTGAACGATATCTGAGTAGGCTCAGTGACGTTTCCAGCGTTACCACCCTTGGCGATCAGGATAATGTCGATTCGCTTCTGCACGTTTGCCCTGAACTTGCCAAAATGGGCGAGAGAATCGCGCCTCAGCTCGGTGACCTGACTGCGCATGATCTCCTTCTCAGTCTTTGAGCCTCCGAACATGATTCTGGTCTCATCCATGGAATTGGGCATGCTCAAAGGCAACATATCAGCTGTGATACCGGGCGGCAAGACGGGTGCGGGTGGCTGCAACATGGGCTTCTTGCCAGCATTGATGGCATTGATGTCGTCCACCGTCATACCGGGAGGTAGAACCGGAGTAGGCTTGGGAAACTTGGGCTTGGGCTTGGCGGCGACCTTGTCGCTAGCAGTCTTGTCGTCGCTGTCTGCAGTAGCGCCATCTTTGGGACCTTCACCATCAGGATAGATGGGTGTGTTGCCATAAAGGTGAGCATACTTGGGGCTGAAAGGGTTAGGAATGGTGACACATGAAGCCTGCATCTGGGTCGGACCAGTAATGCGAGGCTCAGCCGTGTCTCGAGCATCTCCCATCTCGTCCCAGAGCTCCTTAAGCGACTTGTTCATGCTGTCCATGACGGTTGTAATCAATGCGGCAAGCTGCTTGTACTGCTCAATATTGACTACAGCAGTCAAGTCAGGTCTCGAAGGCAGCGAACCACGAACGACGCCTTTGTAGGGGAGCTGACCCATCTCGTCAGTTTCGTCTGGGTTACTTGGGTTGCCTGGGTCGACTCCCTCATCGGTTGAGTGGTTGGGTGAAGTTGTTGGAGGGGGAGGGGAAGCTGTTGAGGTTTGTTGTTGTGCAAAATCTCGGGCATGTGTTGCGGTTGCGGTTGCGGTTGCGTCCCAGGACGTCTGTGGCTTTTTCGATTGATTCATTTTGATGCAACCAGTGGAAGCAGCGGGCTTCCTACGGACTAATCGAATGTGATGATGAGGAAAGAGCTATCGCTTGTGAATATCTTGATCGCCGATTGTGAGAAAGATACCGTAGCCTGGTCAGAAGGAAAGGCTTTTTTATTTATTTAGCAACTGATCACGGTAGATTCACCAGGAACATGACTGACCTGGTAAACTTTGTTCTAGAAAATCTTGCGATAATTAATCAACGAAGAAGCCCAAAGGAGAGACTTGAGCTCATTGATGTGTTGGTGAAGCAATTCGATGTGAAATGTAGACTTATGGCAATCCCAGTCGGCGATTTGTCAAGTATGGCTATCAGTCAGCGATTGCCAAATGTGAACGCCAGTCGGTGACTTGTCAAGTGTGTTTGTAGGTTGTGAACAGAGAGAGTGAAGTGTTTCGAAGGTTCAATGAAAACTACTTGTATGCGAGATGAAGGCGATTGAGGTACGTCTCAATCGCTTGGCCAGTTTTGCAAATGGGAAGAATCAGGTCACTTGTAGGTTGGTTAACAAGCAACCGAGAGTGTACTTATGACGAAGGGTATGATTGCCAGTGTCTCAAAGCAGATGGGCAGTGACTTGAGGAGAAATCTGTCATAGCGTGATGATTAACCGATTTTGCAGATGCTGTTTCAAGAAACGTGAATATGCAAATTGCTTGATAGAATGCTTACACCTATTGAGAATGAGTTCGTAGTCAGGTGTGGTTGTGGATTGGTGTAGTGGCCGAAATGGAAGCTAAACATGGAGAAATATCTTGATCAACTTGAACATCTTTGCACACAGCAAGTTTGGCAGCGACCTTCCTTTGTGGGACTTTTTGGGTCTTTACCCATATCAGTACTGCTGGTTGCCGTGTACTGTTTGGTACTGTTTGACAAGGCACTCGTTCAAGTTCTACGGTAGCCTATCGATTATGCCAGACGGGAACACACGGGTCACCTAGCAAACGTGCTTGTTTCTGCAGTGATCCAGATTGAGGCAGTCACAATTCCCGTTGGGATCATGATGGGTCTATTGATGTGTTGGTTGTAGTAAAGGCTGTCGACCAATTACATGATCTCGATTATATAATATTGCCAGTTTAGGAGTTTACAGGGGTTGTCAACTTTACTAGTGCCGCCGCCGATCAACTTTGCAACTCTATCAAACTTCCACCACCAGCTGTCGTGTGACACAAGAGACATGCTCGTGACCCACAAGTCCTAAATTAAATAAGTATAACGACTAATATACCCACGGCTCTGCGTATCTATTGTATTGCATTTAATTGAGCCTGAATATTTCGGTATATTTGAGCCTGCTTCCAGTTCGATGAAGCCCTTCACCCCTTCTGTTTCGTCCTTTCTTTCCACTTTCTTTCAGCCATTCCCCACCCTCTCCACTCCGGTGACTCAAGCACAACAAGTATAATTCATACTTTAAATGCCCACATGGCAGATTTAAGGACTGCATATTAAATGCGCAATTTATAGTCTCAACGTGGTGTGGACTAATACAACATGAGACGACACGAGCTGAAAGCAGCCGTACTTGACTCTTTGGGGTTTGTACCATGTCTTGTGATGAATACTTGAACTGACTAGGCTTGGCAGGCACATTGTTATCTCCGAGGCCATAATTGTTGTTCCCTAAAACGCCCCGTATATTGTTATTGGTCCACATAGTCACCCCAGTCTATGATTTGTGTAAGCTTTTCTGCCCCTTTTAAGCGTGCAGTCTAATCCATTCATCCGACCTTCCATCTATGAGTGTAGCAATGCCAGCTTGGTATAAGCCATGTCCATGCTCTAGAACCTGGCCCCGAGGCACATCTGTCTTGTGGACGAAGAGGTGAAACTCTTTTACTGCCTCTTAGGCATGCGTCTCATATTCATCTTCCATATTGTTACCATCGTACTCCAGATCGGTCTTGACTTTCTCCAGCTGCTCGCTGATGTAATGATGCATGTGTTTATCTGCTTCCTGACGCTGTGTCTCACGTTCTGGATCAAGATCTCGTACACTATTGTCGTCCTCATCTCCATTGACCGAATTATCAAAGTCACTGCGCGCACCGATTGAGCGCGCTGTAGAAGAACGCCGCATTTGCGGCTTGACTGGTTTGTCCTTCTCCCCTCCGCGATGGAACACATCATCGAAGTAATGGGCCATTCCAACGGAAGGCGTTCGTGGAGTCTGTGGCAAACGGCAGCTGATTCTAGGGGAGAGTTAGCTTTTGAATCCGCTTTCAGATCATTCTTGACTTACCCAGTGTCATGGATCATACGGGCGATCAAACCAGTCCAACCACACTGATGTGTCGCGCCCAATCCACGACCAGTATCACCATCGAAGAATTCATGGAACCAGAGATTATCCTTCCAGTGTGGGTCGAAGTCAAGTACGTCGTTTCCATCGTTGATGCTACGACGACCATCATCACGACGAGCGAATAAATGTTGTAGCCTGTGCTGAACCTCTTCCGACACATGACCCAGGTGCATGTAGTCGCCTGAGCCAGTTGGGCATTCGACCTGGAATTGTGGGCCGTAGAAAAGGTAGAACCGCTGCAGGGATTCGACCAAGAGGAAGTTGACACATAGCCAGATAGGACCTCTCCAGTTACTGTTGCCTCCAAAGAGGCCAGTGTCGGAATCGCCCGGGACATATCCTACGGTGAACTTTTGTCCATTGACGTCCATTGAGAATGGATTTTCCTTGTGGTACTTGGACAGAGATCGAATACCATGCTCGCTAAAGAATTCATTCTCATCCAGCATTCTCTTGAGGATCTTCTCCAGACGCTCTTTACTGACCATAGAAAGGAGGATACGATTGCCCTTTCCTCTCTTCCTGATGCTGGCCATGTTCCTCTCGGCAAGATCACATCGGTTCTCCATAAACCAATCAACGCGCTTCTTGAACGACGGTAGCTTGTTGATCAGCTCCGGCTCCAAGGTTAGAGTGGCGTAGAGTGGAATGAGACCGACAAGCGATCGGACTGGGAGCTGCTGAGTCCAGGGACCGCCCCAAGAAATCGCGTCATAGTAAAATCCGTCCTCGTCGTTCCACAGTGACTTCTCTTCGGCGTTTCCAGCCTTGAAGGTCATTGCATCACTGATGAAGATGAAATGCTCGAAGAACTTGGATGCGATATCCTCGTAGATGCGCCTGTGCTTTGCCAGCTCAAGGGCGATATTGAGCATACACAAGCAGTAGAAGGCCATCCAGCCGGTGCTGTCAGCCTGCTCGAGAACACCTCCTGTGGGCAGAGGCTCGGAACGGTTGAATAAGCCTATATTGTCCAGTCCAAGGAAACCTCCCTCAAACACATTCTTGCCGTCCACATCCTTTCTGTTGACCCACCAGGTAAAGTTCAACAATAACTTTTGGAACACACGCTCCAAAAAGTCCAAGTCTTGGCGTCCATATAGCTTGCGCTCAATCTTGAACACACGGAAAGTGGCCCATGCGTGCACTGGTGGGTTGACATCTCCAAAATTCCACTCATACCTATAGAAAACATCAGCCAGAAACATTTTCAACATATGCAATTCGTTGACTTACGCCGGCAATTGTCCATTTGGATGGCAGTACCACTCCCTGGTGAAGAGGTCGATTTGCTTCTTGGCAAAGTCGGGGTCAATCATGGCAAGTGGGATACAGTGGAAAGCACTATCCCAAGCTGCAAAGAAGGGATACTCCCATGAATCCGGCATGGACAGGATGTCGTCAATGTGCAGATGCTTCCATTGCGAGTTCCTGACAGCTTTCCTGCTAGGAGGCGGAGGCGGTTGGGCCGGGTCGCCATTAGCCCACTGGTCCCAAATGAACTGATAATATTGTTTACACCACATCATTCCCGAGAAAGCTTGTCGCTGAATGTTGCGTAGATCATCACTCATCGGGAGTGGGCTGAGTCGGTAATAGAAATCGTCTGCTTCGTCTCGGCGCTTCTCGACAATGTCGTCGAACTCCTCTTCGTCAAGGTACGTCTCGGCTTTCTTGCTGAAACGGAAACGAACGACTTTGGACAAATATCAGTAATTTCTCCCGATAATGGCGTGACCTTGCAAGCAGCTTACCGGCACATTCCCCAGGTGCGACACCACCAGACTCATTGAAAGCAAATGAAGCTGCAAACTTGGTGCCGGTTTTGGCAGGGTTGATGGCCTCCTTCTTACCTTCCACAATGTACTGGTGGAACGCATCCTTGACATGCGGCACTTTGTTCTTTTGTCCATAGAGCAGATCGGTATTCGTGTCGTTGTCAGTAAACAGGAGCTGAGGCTGAACGTCGTCTCCGCTAGGACCAACACCAGGCGAAGGGGAGAGAAGAACATAGCGATCACCAAGTTTATGGTGCTTTGACTTGGCCAGGTTCTCGGCATGAGCTGAGATGGACGGTTTGAGTTTCTCGTCCTCTCTGCCCCAGGCCCAGGTGTTGCGGAACCACACATGCGGAACAATATGAAGGGGAGCAGGCTCTGGGCCTCTGTTCCATGCGGTAACACGGAACAAAAGCTCCTCGGCGTCGTCATCATCCTTTGCGGTCTCAATGACGATATCCCAGTACCTGTCTTCTTCGAAAATGCCAGTGTCAATGATTTGGTATTCCTTGTCTGTCTTGCCTCGCTTTGCGTTTTCTTGCAGGAGATCCTCGTAAGGAAATGCCTTTTGTGGGTATTTGTAGAGATATTTCATGTAGGAGTGCTAGAGTCGTGAGTACTAGCGGTCAAATCTAAGCGGGTAGTACATACCGTCTATAGAAAGCTTCATTAGCATCATTCTTTTGCAGGGCAGCGCAAAGACTTACAGGAGTGTTATCTAGATGAAAGTGAGCTTCCTTGATGCTTTCACCATGGTTGCCTTGAGGGTTGGACAAGCCAAAGAGTCGCTCTTTGAGGAAGGGACTAGATGCCTGTAAGCAGTGGAACCAGCTTGGTGATCCTATGTCAGATGCACGCACTCTTGTTCGTTCCAGAAAGCAAAAGCAATGTTCTGCAGACCGTGGGTATCGGAGACACCGGCGATGCCGTCCTCACCCCACCGGAAAGCTCGAGATCGGGCGTCGTCATGAGTAAAGTCTATTAGACGACATTCTTAGTATGCAAAAGAGGAAGGCTGATTCCAGGGCGGGTCTGTACTCACGGCTCCAGGCATCGCCATCGGCACTGTAATCCTCACGCACTGGAGGATGGTGGTAAGCACAGAATCTTAGATATTGATATGTCGTGGGATTAGAGCGGTCTTGCCTGTTGCCCATTGCCGCTCCGCAACGTAGGGCCCCCATTTCTTCCAGTACTTGAGACGGTCACGATCTTCCTTGAGGCGCTTCTCTTCCTCGGTGAGGTACTCGTGGCCATCGAAAACAACCATGGTGGCGGTCAGGACAGGACAGGACAGGAACCGTGATCCGAGCAGTCTAAGCAGCAGCAACAAGAAGTAGAATTATGCCGTCACTTGCAGGGTCAATCAGGCTCAATGGCAACGAGAACTCGAGTGAGAAACTTGTCTCGGCCGTCTAACGAGTGCACACAGGAAAAGAGCTTGCAGGAAACCTTAAAATGATAAGTAGGTGTAGGTGTAGGTGGAGTGTAGTGTGGCAGAAAGAATTCAGGTACGCGAAGCAGCTTAGGTGCCGTTGCTATCTAATTCTGGCAAGCCGAAGATGAGGAGAAGGGCTAATAACGTCAAGTAGGATGGGCCTACATGTGATTGGGTTGCTACACCGGCAGGTTGTGTGCGGGCATTTCGAGGACAACAATTACTTAGCTTAGACCAAGACAGGGCCGCTCATCAGCAAAGTTGACGATGCAACGACGAGATACGGACTACTGGGGCTCTGTCATGGAGGGGTAGGAATCTCCAACGCTAGACGTGGGCTGGATGCGAAAAGTGTCGCTTCCCATTTGCTCTTCCCTGTCGCTTAGTAGAGCCAAACCCATAATCTCCAAAGTATAGAGACGGGGAACTGTGCGGAGAATTATATGGGGAAGCAAGTACTGGAGACAAGCACGACGAGCAGCTCCCTGTCCGCAACACCGCTAGCAACGGGACTGACATCATTGTGCCCAACTGTGCCCTCAACAATCCCCGTTACGAACTGCCAAGTTTCTCGATCGGCCGTCAAAGGTGCGATTTCAATGGCAGTCTCGAAATTCAAAAAGAGCCTCAGGAGTAACTCATACCCGCATCCTTGCAGAGTTAGATCTTGAAGTTCGAGTCTAGACCGACCGGGTCCACCACTGCATGTACTGTAGTATATACGGTATTCAGCTATCAACCAACCCAAACTCTTAGGAATTCTGCGTCAAGAACTCCTGCCCCGTGTCCTGTTTCGAAATATCCCCTATAGAGTCTTGGAACCATGAAGTCATGGGGAGCGGCATTGCAAAATTTGTTGAGTAGCTAAGGAAGATAAGCCAGCACTTCGCCATTCGTCCCAGTATTTCTGGTGGCCTACCACTGTTACACGAGACGTGTGGTGTGGTGTGGTGGATTTTTGTCGCAGTCACGGAGAATGACCAACTCGAACTTTGAGTACGCAACCATAAGCATAAAGAAACTCGATCATGTGATGTTCTAACCTACGCCACGAAAACTGACCTCGCAGCAGTACTATAATTCTGCTTTCTAAGTAGGCCGCTTAAAGATTCTTACTGCTCCCTTCTATTCAGGCGGTTTACCATTTATTTGTTCGGAAAGTGCATATAACTTGATGCGGAAAGCCCGACACGTTTTGAAATGAGTGACGATAGGATCTTGACACCCACGATCGCTAAATATGTCCAATTTTGAAAATTACCTTAAAACCTCATGTAGCCAGGGGGTCAGTACCGAAAGGAGAGGGACTGGTTACTGTGTTAGTGTCCATAGCAGGAAAAAGACGCTCATATCAAACTGGGGTCTTCGTTTCCGGATCGTGAATCTTTGTATCCCCTGGCCCTTATAGCAAAACATATACGCATCCGGCTATGAGCTCCGTGTGCAACAGGGGCCGTCTCCATGAAGCAAGTATATTATTGAGGAACGATGGCATCTTTGTAACGACCCTTCGTTGCGAGTTGTTGAACTCCTAAAGATCAGCAGTATAGTGTTGACCTACTTGTAGACCATGGCCGTTGCGTATCTCACACAAATCCGAGCAAGAGGGCGATCTAGTGGAACGCGATAATGCAACTGTGCATTACAATTTCGGTGTCAACGATTCTCAACTGGTCTTCACACTTTCAGGGCTCTCTTCAAGCAGTGGGTGGATTTTCTTCTTCTTCTTCTTCTTCTTCTTCTTCTTCTTCTTCTTCTTCTTCTTCTTCTTCTTCTTCTTCTTCTTCTTCTTCTTCTTCTTCTTCTTCTTCTTCTTCTTCTTCTTCTTCTTCTTCTTCTTCTTCTTCTTCTTCCTCCTATTTCTTTCTTTCTTTCGACAATAAATCCCTTCCTCGAGAAGTTAGTTTCGTTTCGTATAAAACTATTCAAGAATCAAGAGCACCATATCTTGAACTAGAAGTTTTATTTTGCTAGTAAAGCTGAGATCGAAGGATGGTTGCTGCAGAGCTGATGTTGGCTCTGGGTCATCGTCAGCAGGTGTAGGCAACTCAGACATTCCAGTCCAACCACTTCTCAAGAAATGAATAACTTTACCATCGCAAATCGCCGCATCCACGACCGTCTAGTATTCCGTGATATTGACTCGCATCCAGGAAGCTGGACTAGGCGCTAGATTTACGGGCTCAAGAGGTCACGGAAAGTAAGAATAGACTCCGCAAAGCCTATGCAGATCGGCTGGCAAGTTGAGCGAGGAGTATCTGCTATCTACCTAATGGTCTGTTAGCTTCGCTTTCTTGCAGTTCTTTCCTGGAATTTCGATGGCTTCGAGACACACGATTTGATAACTATATGTCAAACGAAAAATAGGACTGGACTAGATATGTAAGGGGTAGTAGATCTGACTGGTTTCTGGCGATTTACTTATTGATAGTAGACTGTAAAGACTGCATCGAGAGATTCGTATCACTGGTCGGTATTTAGGCCGCATTTAAACAAGTAGTCATGCGGGCTCTGGTCAGTTCAACAACGACAGAGCTGTCATTATCAAGCTGTCTTCGGAACTCGATCTTACACTCCAACTGGGTTGTGGGCTAGTAGGATTAGAAAATTCGGGGAACTGCCGATCGCCCCTTTCGGCGATTGATGATATACTTGCCACGAGAAGTCTTCGGCGAATTTCCCGTAAGTTGTTTCTTTAAAGTATAAAATAAATGCATTAATATTAAAAGGTAAGAAAATATAAAGTAATTGGTCAAATATACTTATTTTATATACTAATTATTAATATTATGTAATTAATGAATACTTAATTATCGTGTTTTTTTAATTAATATTAGATATTACATAAGTGGGAGTTTTCCTTTTCCCGTACGGATATTATCTACGTATGTACACCGTGTACGACTTATACTTTCCTTCCTTTATCGTTTCGGAAACATGATATTAACTAGGCCTCATTGCTCACGTTATTATCTCATTTGGTAAAGTAGCGACTGGTGACCAATTATGCTGTTCGAATATGGTCTTATCATTACCCGACATTAGCTGTTACGTGAGGTATACTGATCTGATATCTGCGGATCAAGTGCTCAATTCTGTTTCGGTCAAGGCCAATTTTCGGCATAACAAACGTAGCATGCCGTCGATGTCTTCTAGTCATCAAGGAAGTTCGTTAATGGGAGCCATAAACCATCGGTGGTAAGTTGCCCTTGGATTTACTCTTTGATATGACGACACCAGATGGCCTGATGCATGTTACCTACTAGTGCCAGCGCCAGCACGCGAGATGTTCGCGGCCTCAATGGTTCCATCAAATTGCCATGCACAAGGACCATATTGTCTGAATACGTCAACAAAATATGACTTTAAGATGGCTCAGAATAGTAGCAAGTCATCTGCCCCGAGCGACTTGACATCCAATACTGAGTTTTCACCCCTACACTCAGCCTTTTCCAGGTCCTCTATCTACCGGCAACCCTTCTAGAAGTGAGCAACGCACAAACCCGTTGTCGAACGTGGTAAATACATCGCCACCGCCGCCAGAATCTCATGCTTGGCAAATCGTACGGGTAGTATTTGCTCAGCTTGATCTCGCGGTAGGAAGCGCTCCGCCCAGAGATCAGGCGCCGGATGTACCGGGAAAGTCCAGACGACCTCGTCGATGTGGTGCAGCCAGCTAGGGCCCAGGATAAAGTTGTCTATCTTGAGCGTATACCCGTCGTTCTCAATGTCCTGCCGCAGCCGTCGCGAGATATGGATACTAGAGCCGAGGCGCATGTATTCATTATACACCGAGTTCGGCAGTGACAAAGTTGGTAGCGTATTGGTATCGATATTGAACGTCGATGTCGTTTCGGAGCCAGGATCCGTTGCGGCCTTGGATTAAGTACGGATTCGCTTGAAGAGTTGAGGGTCGCGGACCATCTCAACCGGCATATACGCCCTTATGGGAACAGTATTGGCACTGATGCTGTCATTAGGTCAATTTCAAGGCCAGTGGAAAACAAAGTTGAAAGGCAAGAATTGTGGGGTGGAAAGAGAAAAGAGAGAAAGAGAGAAAAGCCCGTACGCTCATATCAAAACCCTTGTGCATCGCCGCTCGTCCCTCAAAGCTGATGCTGCAGGCATTTCTCTCGCGCACAAGCCTGTGTCCAATAATTTTCTTGCTTTGTTAGCCCGCTAATTCCTCCTGACTATCACTCTTATCGTACACGGTCTTGATTTTCATGCTCTGGCGTCGCTCGGCCTCCATTGCCTTTTTGAGATTTGGAGAACGGAAGCCCGCAATACTTATTCGTACATCCCGCTTGGCTGCCTTTATGGGCTTTCCAATATCCGCCTCCTCGTCGCCAAGTTGCGAGAACTCGGACAGGTCGTATATATCCCTGTTCCCACTGCGGGCGTTCACGTTGCGGTGGGTGTTCGACTGATAATAAGCCATACCGCTCGTAGGTCCTCCAGAGCCAGTCGAGGGCTTGGTCCAGCCAAGGCTATAGCTGATTTCCTTGAGTAACGGTCGTAATGTTGCAAGGCACCCGGCGGTTATGGCAAGACCTTGCTCGACGGCGGACCAGATCGCGATATCAACGGTGGCATAGAGAAAGTCGAAGTTACGGAACTGATGTAGATATGGGAATCTAGCCACAACGGCAGATGATGCACTAATAGAATGTTTTAGTTCATAAGCAACATGGGAAAGGTAAACAATCATGACTCACACGCAACCCATAGCTAGAATGGGAATAATAGTAAACTTTATTCTGCGATCGATCTGAAGATCCCACAGCAGGAAACCAGGAAGAATAGCAAATGTGAAGTCAGAAATGACACTGAAGGAGCTGTAAAGAGCAGCAAGTCCAATGATAACCTCAACGCTAACACATGTACCATTGTGAGGATTACCGTAGAAGGTGCCTACTCTTTCCCAGAAAAAATTGACTGGAGAACATTGAAGAAGAGTGACGAGAAAGAAGGCGATGCCAGCGAGGACGGAGAAGAGCATGGCGGTATATATGGTCCATATGTGAACCTTCTTCACTGTGATACGGAGCAGAAAGCAACCGATGGACATTTTCGAAGCGATCATGCAGCACGCATAGAAGAGATAACAAAAAAACCAGCACTGAAATGTCAGCTATCAGCAATGTTTAACAATATTATCTGTGTAAGCCAGCATACCTTCATGGCAGATGCAGCGTCGCTCTCAGTGAGGTCTGCAAAGTGGCGGCCGGTTCCATAGTGTACACCGGCCATAGAGAATGAAGCAAACAAGCTGAACGCAGTCTAGATTCAGAAATGTCAATATTGTCATCCCAGAGATTAAGGTCATCTTACCGATGCCAGAACCATGAACCAGTCATCGATTCCCCATGACTTAACCATGAACAATCGAACGTAACATCTAAGCAGTGTTGTAATGATAGCCAGAGTCATAAAAACAATATCGACACTAAGAAGCTGTGGGCCTCTGTTCTCGATATCGGTAGACATCTTTGCAGATACTGACGGACTGGTCTCCTACTTCGTCGAATCCCTATGGCTGGTCACGAAGAGGCAGCAACAAGGTTTACACATCCTCAAGGCAAGGAATGCGGAGACATGGCGATTATATGGATTAAATCAAAGCAAGCGCCTGCACGTCAATACGGGTATATCGTTTGCCCCAAGTGTTTGGCTCCAATTTGGCCTCCCCGGCGCCCTTTCCTGGTTCCTGCACTACGGTATGCCATGCGGACAGGGACCGCTCTCGATCTGACGATGATTTGTATTACCAGAGGTTTTGCATGGCATTTTGGGATCGCTCGCCTCTTTGACCCATGGCGAGTGTCACCTAGCCAGCCGCTTGCAGCTAGACCTACCGGATACCAAAGATGGTACATAGTACCATTCCAGCAGAACGGAACCGGTTTCCGAAGATGAGTCTGAGGTTCGTGAGCCTATGGAGACTACTGGAGACCAGGCCAGCCAGTAAAATCAATTTTGCAGTAAATCTGGGCCTTGAATACTGAATGTGGCGCTGGAACCGGTGCTAGGGAGCCACGCTTGTCCCTGCATCTGCTAGGGCCGGGTGTATGGGTTGGTACATATGTAGTACTGAACTCCATACCAAAGAAGTGTAAGCCAAGTAGTTATAGGCAAAGTAGTGGCCAAAGCTCACCTGCATATATACATAGTATATCGGTCCCTGCCTCAGATCACACGTTTTTGACAGAACTATCGTGGGGCACCGGACGATAGCTAACATGGTCTGTGATTGGAAATATTGTTCTCTATCGGCACCAAAGAGTAGGCTAAGATCAGCGCTTCTGCCAAGCACAGACGCTTAGAAATACCATTCTGCTTGTGCAAGTTGAAACACAAATTGATTTGCTAAACTGGACCCCTTTCAGGATAGTGTGCAGTCCACATATACGTTTTCGGCTGATGTCAAAGCTCGAGCCAAGATAAAACCAGTGCTTCAAAAATGGACTGGTAATAACACCGTGATCCTCCCCTCATAAGATGGCGGACTCGTTGGCCCGGAATGTTTCTTCAGGTGCACAGACGACGAGATGTTGAAGGATTTTTCGGCTCAATATCTACATTGCGTACGGAGGGTTGTAGATCCAGGTTTAAAGCTCCTCGCAATGCCTCCGGTGAGCTCATCGAATTCCAGTAACTTGGATTTCACGGTGAACACCAACAGTATCTGCGAGCAGCTACAGGGTTGGATAAATGCTGCAACTCTCGATCTATCGACGTGACACCGCGGTATGTAAAATTGTACGATAATCGGTAGCCTCGGTTGTGACACGGTAGTTGGGCTCGTGATGAACATGGGAGTGCCGGTCGTCGTTCGCAAAGCTTGGCTAGATACATACAGACTCTCCCTGTACAGATCCGTACTCTGCAGTAGAGACTGTATGTACTGTAGTCTAGTCTCGGACTACCGGCAACCTCCGACAGAACCACATCTTCGGGTATATTAACGGGCAGGGCTGGGGTCACACACTTCTCGAGTAATGCTATAAGTGGACACGAGCACCGTTCAGGTAGCAATGATAATGGACCTCAGCCAATTTGATACGCAGCAGAATATTATCGTAACGTTTGATCTTCCCTATTCTCCATGATCGAGTTTTACTCCACGTGGCATCGCTGAAATTTGCATTTGACAGGTGCGCAAGTGTTGGTTACTGAAAGCTTAAGCTTTTATAGGATTATCGGGGCTTGGCTTTCCAACTTGGACAATCGTTATTATGGTCAACCCCTAGGAGATTGAAGACAGAGCCAAAATGACCGCTCCTGCTGACACTGTTGCTCGACTATTCATGATGTTTTGCAATTTGGTATGATCTACGATTAGCCACAAGGCCATCAACAACAGCGGCGGTTTCTGATCAGTGGCGTCAATGCATTGGCTTACAATCTCCATACAACAAAGCAACGCAATGTAGAGCAAGGCAGGAAACGCATCACTCATGGAAGCAATCAAACGGGCCATTGGTCCAATGCCGTTGTATCTCCTTGACCGCGACAATGCCAATCCGAGTCAAGTTCTGCTGATTAAGAGGCAATCGATCGGAAGGACTTTTAGTGGGAAAAGTAGAATTACGCATTAGCGACGCGCGTTACGAAGTAGCTGCTACCATCAGCAGATTATGGGTCGATGTACTAGATCTGGAGAAATTCTACACAATGCACAAAATAAATGTCTTTTCTATATATTTTAAAGAGTAGGATTATCTCCCTAAGTAATGTTTACAACGGGTCTTGTGCTGCCCAACTATAAACATGCTACTACCAGACAGAGCAGCTTATTAATACGGTACTGTTTTATCTTACTTTTATTCGAATGATAGCATGCTCAGGTATAAAATTCAAACTTGTATTTGGACCCTTCGTTTTGTTGCGACCGATAGTCATGCTAAACACAGCAAACAGCGAGCGATATTCATGAAACGAAGTGATAAAATGGTTGCTCGCCTAGAATGTCGGAAGATGGAGGTACATAGTCCATAGGCTTCTTGCCCCATTTTCTACTTTCTTGTCTTGTATAGGAACCATATCGCAACCATAGTCGCAGCATTCAAAGACACTAAATTGCGATAAACCATCTCACCGTATGTTATACTCGCGGGCTTCATCAAGGTGTTTCCATATAACCTTGGTTTGTGCCGTTGATCCTTGATAGTACGTTGGACCTTGATAGTACGTTGGACCTTGATAGTACGTTGGACCTTGATATGCGTGATGTTGGTGTCGATTTGGAAGATGTACGACGTTTTGTGCCCGTCGCTTGATCGGTCGTCACGTATGCGCTTCAAGTACCGGAATTCATGTGATCCACAAGCAGAGGCCGTTGGTGCTGGATAAGGGCCGTAATTTGGAATACGATGGACTCTTGACTCCTCAAGAATTTAATCGGCAGTAGTCTAAATGTTGCACTGGGACATCCATTACATCAGAGCTTACAGCTAGAGTTCTTCTTATTATTTATTGCTCAAATGAAATGCTTAGGGATATCCCTTGTTCTCGCCTTACATGGTACAAGTGATATATATACATACTACCAGTGTACTTACCGATCGTTCCCTGTGTCGGTACATTGTAGCAACACGCAGTACGCTATACTATATATCTCTTACCAGGATATACATTACAGATTGCTCCAATGAATGCGATTCTAGTGGTATGAATAAAAAACCGGGGACGAATCATCGCGGAACATTGGCCGACTGCATTGAACGTTTAGTTGGTGTCGAGGATTCCGCGTATCCATTATATCATGGAGGCAACCCCCACGATTTATTGCTAATGTAGTCATATCTCAGTGTGGCCCACGAGATCACAATGATAGAGCGACATGGGATTGCAGAAGCGAAGGAAAGCAAGTGGTGAACATCCACATGGCGGACGGGTTGGATGAGGAAGATTATCCCTGAAAATGATCTGAGCCAGTGAACCGGCAGAACGGTGCCAGTGGGTCCACTGATTGGCTTCCTGGCACCCACGTGCGTTCAAGTGCATTCATTCAAAGTCGCAACACTCGAGCCTACTCAAAACTCCTCCTGGCTGCACGCAGAATGCTGCGACCAGGACCTCTTCTGATGTGCTCCCCAATAGACTGGCTGCGTCCAGCAATATTGCGTGGGCGATATTGGCGATTTAAGCTGCGGCCGTTGAGGGCACACAGCCACTTGCCACACCGGTGACCATGAAATTCGCATACAACAACATGCCCGCACAGTAGCACTGACAGAGTACTCATGTACAGCAGATGGCCAGAATGTAACTCGTCGGCCAGCAGGCGTCGGCCAAGCATAACAACTAGTAACCCACCAACCTATTCGCGTGTACAGGGATTCTTGGCTGTCCTATTTCGATGATGGATATGGATGAAAACGATTTTCAGCTACAGCCCTCAATTAGTTACGCATTTCAGCCTGAGAATGTCTCACAAGAAGCTAGCCGTAGTGTAATGTAGGGTCTTTTCTTATGCTGGGGTAGTTCACATTGAGGGGTCGAAGTCATGTCCCAGTTGAGGTTGGGCAGAGCAAACCCAAACCCAAGCCCAATCAAAGGGCGTGATCCGAGCTCGGGTATTACAGGACATGGCAGTCTGCAGTCCCCTCGTGTCGGGGCGATGAGCATGTAATCCGATCGTTGGTGCACTCCCTCCCGGCATGCTTGGTGTGAACCGAACTTAACTTGAGCCTTCCTCACAAACCTCTGGCCTAATGCCCGTGGTGGACAATTGACTGCTCTGATTTCTGAGCAATACTCTACGGTACAGTATACGTAGAGGCTTGACTCAAGCCGGACAAGACTACGACCCTTTTTCGCGGCTCGACCCCACGAACACACGAGGCTCAACGTGACTAAGGTTAAACCTTGACGGCGCCCCCAAGAGCCCATCCGATCCAATCCAATCCAATTAAGATCCAGTTGCCACAACCTAGCGACAGAACCGTCTCCCAGGAGTCGCGTTGAGGGGGATCAGTCATAGCTCCAACCGGGAAGAGCGACGCCGCTCAAATAATACACCCAGAAGCTCTGGATTAGCTATTTGGAAACATCCTGCGGGTATGAACTGTCTTGATACAAGCTCAATATGGGTTCCAGCGATCGCAAAGCTCAGCATTCTCACAGGCACTCTTCAGGGGATCCCAAGCGCCGTCAATCCGAATCTGTGAAGCTCGAAGGCCGTCGTCGACACGCCGCGAGCGTCTCATCACCTCCCTCCACACCCTCGCTTGCCTTGCGATATTCTACCGCGACACAATCGACGTCATCTGCTCATCGCACGAGCGCGTCAATACGGGACGAGCCGGACTCGCCAGATTCATCCACCTCGCTCGATTCGATTGTTGACGACCCCTTCTTCCAACGACAATACGCTGCCGATAAGTCGGAGCATATTTACGAACGTCGAAAGCCTGCTCCGTTCAGCCCCCGCCATGGGACTCCGCCCCCTAAGACCCAGCCAGTGCCACCAAATCCATTACCAAGGAGAGTTTCGCTGATTGCGAATGAGACCGATGATCGGGTATGCTCAGCTGACTTCGTGACATTGGAGCTTGTATAGGTAGAACAAACAGCTGACTGACTTGGTGAACGCTCAGCCTGCTACTCGAGACACAATGGAGAGCATCAATATTGCAGTCATAGGAGCCAATGGGGTGGGCAAATCCCACTTCATACAGAGGGCGCTGTCTCTGTCGAGGCCTCCAGGCTCCCAGCCATCGGCAGCGCGTATCAACATTGACCATGTACCATACGCGGTATCTTTGTTCGAGCTCGACCTTGAATATTTCGATGTAGATCCAGAAAAGCAGATACAATGGCCGAGACAAGTGGGCGGTGCTATGATGCCTGCCATCCACGGTGTTTTGCTTCTTTACGACGTTATGAACAGGGATAGCATCATTGATTTGCCACAGACGCTGAGTGAGTGGTCAACCTGTGGTCGTCTGGCCATGAATATATCACAAGAGATTTGGAAGCTAAAGAGTCATCAGCTGCCCTGGTCAACTCGTCCCTCCCGACAGTCCTCGTTGCCACAAAATGCGACAACCCCGAGAGCGCCAGGCAAATCGACACCGAGGGCCTTGCCACTGCTTGCAAGTCCTGCATCGCAAATTTCAAAACATCCGCTAGCAAGCCCGAAAGCGCGCGCATGTCGCTGTCCACATTGCTCAAGGCATTGATCATTGGTCGCCAAGGTGAGTAGCTGCAAAAAAGGCGTTGTGTTGTTGGCTTGCGTTGCCTAGCTTCCATAAATGCAACTACCGTTGATCACATGGCCCCAATTGCGGGCCTATAAAAGCAATATCTGTTGAAAAATATTCATGTACTAATGCGTTACAGACGAATCCGGAGAAGCGACTGGCAGACGGCGGGCTGCTTCTGTAGCTCATCTAGACAAACCGTTCGATCTCTCAAAAGGCCGGCCACTCAGCCAGCAGAGCAAACACAGTCGTGCTAGCTCAGACATGTCACTTATAAAGGCATTTTCTCAAGCAGGCAAGAACCATGGGACCCCACTGGACTTCCACATATTAACTGTTCAGTAGTGCCGGGACTGGATACGTATGAGAACGCGGGTGACGAGACAACTGTCTCCAGTATGCTTCGTACCCCGGGCATTCGCCTTGATAAGGGTGCAACAGGGTTTCGAGATATCGACGAATCTGACGGCGAATCGCATCGGTACTCTGACGACATTCCCATACTTCAACGAAACGACGATTTAAACTTCGACCGTCCGGCCAAGAAAGCCGGGGTAACATTTGATGACCTTGTTGACCGCTTGATCGCACCTAGATTCTCCAGGGCGGACTCCAACTTCTCTGACGTATTTCTATGCTTGTACCGCAAATTCGCGGCACCTAGCGAATTGTTCTCTGCAATACTGCTACGGCTGGAGCGTGTGAAAGAGGACAAATCAACACATTATCTCACCAAGACCGCCACACAATTACGCATCATTGAGTCGGTGGCCAAATGGGTGCACTCCTATCCTGGCGATTTTGCAAGGCCAGCTACCAGAAAGAATCTTGAAGAATTCATTCGCCACCTATCAACAGAACCGATATTCGCAGCAGCGTCACAGCAAATGAGGCGCGTCTTAGATCTAAGCGTGTTTGAAGACGACGACTCGGGATGGGCCAAGGCCGATGATGCCGGCGGCAGCACGGTTTACGCGAGTTCGACAAGGGTAGGCTCTCTCAGTCATGACCTTGCTGAAAGTATGAGCTCTTTGAATGTGAGCGAGCCCGTTGATAGGAGGCCATCTGCGAGCTCGTCACTCGCCACGGACTCAACAGCCTCAACGAAGGTTCACCAGTTCCAATTTCACTCGTATGACGACTATGAGCAGGAGGCTGCAACAATGGTGCCAAGCTGTACCATGCCCCTGACGAAATTCCGTTACCATATTTTCATGGACACATCAGATGACGACATTGCCGACGAGCTCACAAGGATCGACTGGGTCATGTTTTCTTCTATACGTATCAGAGATCTGGTGCGACATGTGAGCCTAAGCGCTCAAGCAAAAGAGAACACCAACAGTATGAAGAACGTAAATCGCATGGTTAATCACTTCAATCATATCGCGAAATGGGTAGCAAACATGGTTCTCATGCGGGATAAGGCCAAGCACCGGGCCCAGATGCTCGAAAAGTTCATGAATATTGCGTTGAAGCTACGGGTGCTTAACAACTATAATGGCCTAGCAGCCATTCTGGCTGGGATTAACGGAACAGCTGTTCATCGCCTTACACAGACACGTAACCTCGTCCCTGCTGACGTTCAGAAGCGCTTTGCGAGACTGGTATTGCTGATGGGCACGCAAAAGAGTCATTTCGCATACCGCCTGGCTTGGGAGAATTCACCACTGCCACGCATTCCCTTTATGCCTCTACACCGTAGGGACCTTGTCTCTGCCGAGGAGGGAAGCATGACATTTGTTGGACAAGAAGGCAACCGTATCAACTGGAAAAAGTTTGAAGTGCTGGGCGAGATTATTTTACCCATTATCAAGAGCCAGGGAACTGCTTACCCTAACCTTACCAAACACGACACTGCAAGGGAACTTATCCTAGATTGCCTAATGCCAACTGATGAAGAGGTACGAAAACCACGTTAGTACATCCTCGTCAGAACCGCTTTACTGACCACTGGTTTTTAGGATATTTATCAGCGCAGCTGCCAGGTCGAGAATCCGGGTGGTGGCTCCTTTGACGGGAAGAAGAAATTCCCTTGGTTTGCGAAACAGTAATTAATGCACATAATCGGAAATTGTTACGAATTTAGCGTCATGTTCGTGCGAGTCAGATTGATGAAATTTGCACACAGTAGACGAGTTGGACATTGGGACATAACGATAGATTTTGCAACTGGATAGAAGATTTCAGTGCCACCTTTCAATACTTAGATACCCGTAGCACCTAATAGGCTGTGTACCTAGTTTATTTGCAACCAAGAGCATCATAAAAAATATTAACCTAGTTGATTGTGCCATGCTTCTGTTTGAAGCATGCACCAGGGCTGTCGGGACGAGCCAATTGAGACGCGAACATTATTACTTATATTGACTGTTCAATTGCTCAGGTAAGTTCAGAAAATCCGTTGCCGTGTTCTTCGATGTTCGTCCATATCCCTCTGCATCGACAACTTATCACTAGAGTAGCCCACGACTGTAGAAACTCGTTCGAAACATCTTATCAATGGATAAAGGCTCGGCTACGATCAGACTCTTAAACCTAGGTCCTCGACGACGTGCAGACGCAGGTGCAGTACGAGTAGCTACCGACCCAGGTACACTAGAAGAACCGCGCAAATAATCAGCCACGTCGCTGTTCTGCACTATGTTCATGCAAATATCTCTATCAAGTGCCCGCAGGAAAGGGGTATACGCACGCGAGACTGGGAGCAGTTGATATGACTGGCGCCGCAGCCCCGTGGATGCTGGTTGCAGCAATATGTGTTGCAGTCTGTTGTTGAGAAGAGGGCAGGTCAGAAACGCTTTGGCTCAACTTGTTATGACAAATATGCAAGCCTCCTTAGGATCTTTATTGATGCACTACTTACTGACACAGTCCACGCGTCTCCTGTCAGGGTCGCGATGATTAGCTCCATATGACACGAGAGAAACAGACAAGATAGTTTTACGCACCACCACAGAGAAGAACGGTTCTGGGTTCGGCGATGTCGCGGGTACAGCTGTGACCGCCCCAGTGAGCAGAGCTAGAGTGGCGACAGCAAAATGCATGGTGAGAATGTAAGTTTTCGGGGATCAGAGGAGTTGGTATGGGGATTGGAATTCCTACGGTATAAGTCACAGTTCAATCGACTTTCATGCTCCTATATAATTATACACCAACCGAAAGCGGCGTCTCAGCACTACCTGCGTGGCTCGTGGCTTGGTTCGAAATCTAGAACTGGCCCATGGGTTGCTCACTTGCATCCACGGAAAGGATACCCTGAAGGAATCGTCTTGGCGTGTAAGCCATCAGTCAACTTGAGTCCCCATTGGCCGTGACATGATATTCTGCAAAGTAAGCACGTCGACTACGACCAAGGCAATATCGTCTCGTCACCGAAGATCTCACGCGTTCGTTCTGTAAGGGATAAGCAATGGCGGTGATGAAATACTTCAATGATAGTGATAGTAATTACGGGCCGCCCCTTTCGTCCCCTGCTTTTCTCCATTTCGACGTATATGCCGACCTCAGAACTTCTCATACTCGGTCTCAGTGCAACAAACCAAAATTCACAGGATAAACCACCTCAGTGTGGTAATATACGGACCAGGGCTTGGGTAGCATCCCTCAAATCCTGTTTTCCATGTCAATTATTCCTTCTTGCGAGTCGTACCAATATGGTGCGAGGACCTAACTTATGTTGTCGTCATTCTAGAACTTCACGCAACACTTACTCTAACCATTCATTGATTCGGGGCTGTCGAAGAAAGAGCCTTCGGGTACGGCTTCCCCAAAATGATGCTCCAGCTGTCCTTGACATCAGTGGTCATGCGTCCCCTAGACGCCGGTTCAGCAATTAGTGTGACAGTATTGAACTTCCAAACGACTGCCGGTGCAGCTTATACTGCACAAGACATAGCTGACAGTGCGATCGTGAATGTTTTGCATCATACCGAACCATGCGCATTGCGGCAGGGCGAATATCACTATCGTCCGGTGAAGCGGCAATCGCAAGATTCGGAGACAAATGCTTCTTCTATTTTCAACCGCTATACACAGCCGGCTTTCTTCCAAGAAAACCGGAGATCCTTGCCGCTCTCATTCCCTTGATTACACATGATCGCCCCCCCTAAACAAAGAAAAGGTAATTTACAGGGTGTCGGAAAGGAGCTTGTTCATCTTGGCGATCTTGGAGGAAACGGAGAGGTCGATGGTACGGTCGCCAATCTCAACAACAAGTCCACCAACAATATCGGAGTTCACGGTGTTGGTGACCTTGAGCTTCTTGCCCTGGCCAACGTAGGCAGACTTGGAGACGGCGGACTCGAGGCGGTTCAGGGTCTTGTTGTCCAGTTGCTAGATAGAACATGTCAGCCATTCCCCGATCGCATAACCTCGTCCTGATTCGAGTATCCATGCACACGTACCGTAGCGCTGGTGACGATCATCTCAACCTCGCCGCGGGATGCGCTCATCAGCTCGCTGAACTTCACGGCGACGCCCTTGAGGATGCTCAGACGGTTGTACTCGGCCAGGGTGGAGAGGAAGTTCTTGACGGTCTCGTTGGAGCCGGAGGGACCGAGGGCCTTCTGCAGCTCCGCAACGATCTGGCTCTTGTCGGAGTGGGACAGCGTAGGAGTGCTCAGGATGGTCACGAGCTTGGGGTCCTTCTCGAGAAGGCTGCCGAGGGCGTTGATGGCCTTAGCGGTAGGGTCGAGCGAAGAGGACTTGACAGCGGCAGTGTACTAAATGGCTCATGTGTTAGTCCTACCAATGCGATTCCATGCTTCCCATGTTGTGCTCAGATCGGGTCTACTAGAGCCAATTGACCACTTGCGAGGCCAGTTGGAGAGATCGTCTGCAAACACACGGGCGGACCGAGAGATTGCCGTACCAGAGCAGTGGCATATGTGCCATCAAGACCGTAGACAGCGACCGGGGCCTTGACCTCCTGGGTTGCGGCAGCAGCAGCGTAGTTTCGCACGGCGGCGCGGGCAATGGTGCGCTGAGGAGCGGCAGCGCGTGCAGCGCGGAAAGCTGTTCGGGACAACATGGCGATGGAATGGGGTGGGTTGAAGGGGGATTGAGATGTCGTCTTCCTTTCAAAGCTCGCTTTTCCCCAAGGTCGCTGCAAGAATTGAGCACTTGGACCAGAGACCGGGTCCTTTCGGGAATTTCGCGGCCTGAATTAGACCTGTGGCTTGACAAGGCATGGACAAATCAACTGTGGCGCTCATGTCGTTAGTCTAGGTTAGCGTAATCCATGCTGGCAGGCTGGTGGCAGTCGAGTCGGAGAATGTGGCGCCCAGTTTTGCCCTCTTAAGCCCCCCCAGCTTTCAGGTTTGTTTGCTTGGGTGTTCCTGCCACCAGATTAGTCTAACCGCAAACTTGACGGGCACATGCACTTGCCCACTTTTCGCCGATTTCACCAGTTCAGGCTTCAAATGCTGAGCCCAAAAGTACCTACGGATCCGTACGCCCATCCCTCGCCCGACAGACATACAAACAAACAGACAGACGGACAGACAGACCGGGTGCTTTGCTCGTTTCCGTCAGCCTGATCCTATTTCCATCTCTCCATCTCTCATCCAGTTGTATATTTGCGCGACTAGAGATACACACGTACTCGGGATACTCGCGCTTTTCTCAGCACAGCTTCAGACTGACTTCATTTGCCATCTGCCGAGACCCTCTTGGAGGCATTCTCCTACTGCTACGACAGTCCCAGTATCTTGACAAATCCGCTATCTGCTGTTCCTCTTTACTGAAAGAACTCGCTGCATCCTACTTGGACCAGACAACGCAAGAGACCAACCCACAAGCTCCTCTTGGTGCTGCTGGCGGCCTCCGACACCACTGCGTGTAGCTACGTCCTCTCAAGTCTGGGATTGCTTTGACGGCAGAGTTTTTGATCGCGTGAATTCTGTGATTCCTTTTTCTTTTTTCTTTCTTTTCTTCCCAAGGACATATTTCTGCGAAACAAAATTCCCATCGTCTCGCGCCCTCCGGAGTCAGTACATATCGGTAGGACTATCACCACGGATACTGTAGACACGTGTATCGACCGCATTCCACCCCGTCCAGGCAAGGAGTGATATATACGCCGTCTTACTAGACAACGGATCTTTCTATTTCTGTTATTCTCATCGTTCAGTCAAGCATGAAATATCTGCTGCTATGGTAAGAGTAGCAAGAATTTACCATGGGTCGAGAATCTAGGAAAACGACGCGCCCCGCTGTAGGGGCGCATGCCAAAACCCGTCATTCAAAATTGGATAGAATGGCTATGGCAGATCCTGCTGTCTACTCGACGTTAAACGCGCTCAAGCAAGCACCAACCATAAAGCACAAGACCCACTACGAAATATTCGAGAACACCGACAAGAAAGCCAAGAGGCTAGAGACCCAGGTATATAAGGATCTGTAAACTAAGCAAAGGTATGGTACTCACGAGCCGCAGATTACAACCGATCGAGTTCCTCCGCCAGGCTATGAATTTGTGGCCGCAGGCAATCCGGAACTCACAACGCTTTGCAAGGATATTTCGCGGGAGCAGGATGCTATGATATTCATTGTTTCTGTACGTTCATTACTACGACTTCTCCCACAAGACGGGACTCATGGCTTTAATTTTAGGATTCCAGGGACGACACTGTGTCTGCCCAAACGCATCGCTCTGGATGGCACTTCCGTGAGCGCATTGTGGATCTGGCTCGCGAGAAGCTCATTGCGAGTGGTCACCTCAAGCCCCAGAAAATCGCGGTGAAAGGACGCCCAGAGGCTTTACCCAAAAGCCGTGACCAAATCTTGGAGGAAGCCGAGGCAGTGCTACGGGATCTCTTTCCACGGATTCCCAACATCAGTCGTAGGGAGATCCTAAGTCATTCTTTCGACAAGGTTCGTTCCCTGCTTTGCATACGCTGGTTCGCAGCATGCTGATTGCTCGTTTGCATCAGGACAACAAGCTTTTCAACGGCAGAGAAAAGGTTGGAATGGCCGAGGATTTACCTCTTGCTCGACGTGTTCAGCTCGCAGCGCTCTCACATATTAGGCACACAATGACAAGGTACGATGATCTCTTGAAAGAGGGTCAAAAATGGGAGAATGCTCGAAGAGCTGTAGAAAAGCCTTGTTTGGATATCATAGTCAAATGGCGAGGAGATGAAGAGACTGGTCGCGACCAGCTAGATGAGATTCTTCGGGAAGTCATTGAAATATCCGATGATGAGGACTCCGAGACAGGGGAATCTAGCGAGGAAGAATTGCTGCCAGGTCTTTCAACTGTCAGAATCAGGGACGGCGTCCTTGCAGCCCATAGTGGTGCCCGGGCTGCCATACCAGGATTAATGGCCTCCACAGGTGTTGCAACCGTTCAAGCTCCCAGGCGTGAGCCTTCGATCATTTCTCTGACCACGTCACCGCCCATGCAGCCTAGGAAGCTTACTAGGAAGGAGCGAAAGGCTGCGAAGCAATCGCAACAGCGCTTCAAGCGTTATGCCCAAGTGGCGGAAACGTTCAGACAGGACCCCCCTACCCGTGGTTCAGGGTCACCCAGGGATGTGCATATGAGCAGTCATCCTTTCACAGACCTTTCCAGACCTAGGGCCGGACATATGGACCCTCCCCAACCCGCAAGATATGTTGCGGTGTCCGGTCCACCCTCATATGCAGCAGGACAATCTTATTATCATGTTCCACAGGAAGCACCAAGACTACGTGGTCAGTCGCCGGTCTTCGTTCGGGTAGCTGAGGCTGTTGGACCCAAAGTTGGGTCTGGGGCCGATCGTCCAAGTTACGGTCCAACACCCATCTCACCTGTTCGCAACGAGTTTCAGGATATGTTGGTCCGCTCCATTGAGCCGTGCTCGCCCGGTGTGCAACGCAACCGTGAGCGTTTGTCTTCATATCTACTTCCTTCGGAGAGTAACAGGGTCTTGGAGGCACCCCGCATTGTAAGCCAGACAATGGTTGAACAGCCACCGGGTCGCGCTCGCCCTATCTCTCCTGGATATGCAACAACTGCTGATGGTGCTCCTTTGAAGCGTCACCGCGTGCTTACTCACCCTAGCAGGCAGCCAGACCTGTTTTCGGGCGCTGGGTTCATACAGGTACACAGAGATACCGATCGTAGGCCAATTGGTCGAGATCATGCACCCGGCCATTATGCAGTTCCGGTCACTAGCGAGTACCATGCCAGACCTCGATCGCCAGCCGTATACGTTCAAGATGCAACACGTGCAGGCCCTAGCAACGTCATATACAGGCCAAGATCGGATCCTATTTTTGTGGGGGAGCGGACACATCATCATCATCGCGATGAAGGCCCTCTTAGATCGAGAGACCATCCGATTATTCTAGACAGCCCCCGCGTCACACCCAGGAACGGGGATGCAACTCAGCACTGGGGTTTCACAGGTTATGCTCAGCCGCCTAGGGAACGAGCTGAAGTGGCACGTGGAGTTCCTGTACCTGTGGTGCAGCGCGCTCAGGAGCGGCCGCAAGTGATATATCTCGATGAGCTGGACCCTAGAATGCCTCGACCTCGCGATCATTTGCCTGAAGCTCGACATCCTCATATTATTTCGGCTGAATCTCGCTTACCTCAGAATGCTACGCGTTTCAATACCGAACGGATCTTCCGTGATAACCAGGAACAAATTAGGCAGCAACCCATGGCGTACGCAGATGCAGGGCAACATTTTACCATGCGATCTGGAGATGGACTTTCGCATACAATTTCGAATGGAGATCCTGGGTCCAGAGTCACGCTATCCGGCAACTATCCTGCGCAGATTCACTACGAGCACTCACACCATGGCGTCACTCGGGATGCCGGGTTTGATCGTAATTCGGGTCAGCCGCTGTACCCAATACTCAGGACCCAGGTCCACGAGACTGGCTATCATTGACCCCGCCGAGATATGACCAGGGCAACCACCATTAAGGTATCTGGCATTGCTACCATCAGTGAAGGGCCTCTGGATCGTCAGTCGATCAAGGTGGTGATTACTAGGACGGGAGCAGCCGTTAATTTTGCTCCACGACGACATCGTAGTGTCAGCATGGGTGTTCCGGTGGATACTTGAATCAAGTAGGCATGGTGTGTATAGGTGATGTGAACATGCATCGGACAACGGTCTGGCATTGATACCCATTTCGCATAAGAGCATTGCATTCATTATATAGAGTTCGAGAGAAGCATTTGTTTGGAGTTTGGAGGTTGCACGATGCCTTTGAACAAGATCTGGTCGATAGTATTAGGTCGAAGGAACATGCAAGGTTTATAGGAACCTGTATATATATGCATCGCATAAAGCCTCTAAAATCCCAAAATCATACTATTGCGGTAAAAAGAAAAAGAACAAATGCTAGGTCCCCCAACGCCATACTATGCGACGATATCTTTGAAAACTATGCAAGCAATGCTTCTCCCCGTCCCGCCTGCGGTTCCTCCTTCTTTGCAGCTTCTGGCTCAGTTTGTGGTATCTCTGGCAACTTGTTGCTCGGTGCATCTGGTAATTTGGCGGGACCATTGACCTCTGCTTCCAAAGCCGCCAGCTCGTCTTCCACTTCGTCCTCGTCCTGGTTCGTTATCTGGCCGCCCAGCATCTCGCTGATCTCCTTCTGGTACGCAATAGCCTCGGCGTTCTCCCCCATGAGCAGCTCGACCTTCTCGATCCCGCCCATCTCGGCGTGGATCTCCTGCAGCACCTTGGTACCCTGCTGCAGGCCAAACACGATGTCCTTCTGTATCTGGGCGAACTCGACGCTCCGCACAAGCTGCTCAAGCTGCTCGAGCTGCGCGTCCGTCTTCTTCAGGAGCTGGTCCTGGTACTTCTTCCTCCGCAGTGCCAGCAGCGCCCGCTCCTTGTTGTTGGCCGCCAGCATCTGCTTCGCGATCTCGGTCTCGCGCGCCACCAGGGGCAGGATCCGCCGCTGGTACTGGTGCAGCTTGTCGCGCTGGAGCTTCAGGTCGAGGATCGCGCGGTCCTGCGCCGTTATGCGGCTGTTGTTGTTCCCCATCTCCGGGAGGGGTTTCCTTCCTTTCCTTCGCTATTTAGCCTCCCTTCTGTTGTGGGGTGGCGAAAACGTGTATCAGGGGTTGGAAGAAAGGGTGGTAGAAGAGATGATTGCCGGTTTGGGAACCAGGCACACGAGCAAGCAGCGACAACGTCGTCATCAGTGTATGTGAGCTGCGTGGCTGCGACAACAGGGATGGCTTATCGATAGTGGGGTACTGCGGCCGCGGAGCTGATAAGTAGTCAGTCAGTCAGTTGGCGATGGTATTTGCGTGTGGGTTGAATTTAGTGCTTGTGAGTTAAATCTTACTCTTATTCTCATACCATGTTATCTCAGGTTTCTCAACACAAATACGTCTGGGAAATTAAGGTTGGAAGTTACGTGAATGGTTTACATATATATTTAATTCTGTTCATGTACCTGGCTGCCCCTGTTTCGAAAGGCGCTGCGGACTCTACAGCATGCGACAAAGAACCATTCTCCGAGCGCTACCCTTAAGTTCATCATATGCGGTGCAGTGCTGCGCATTCTCTTGATAGACGATTGTGGCCAGAGAACCGAGAGCATGTATTTGTCAAGATGTGCGAAGCCATTTACAAAGTAAATATATGGTAGTTGGGTGCTCTCGAAGTAGGTCATAATATATACAAGTCCACGCTGAGGCTGGGCATTGCACAATAAGTTCATGACCGGCTCGACCTCATCCTTCAAGTCGCAGCCATAATAGAGTAGAAGACTCGACTCATCAACAAGTATATAATATAAACAAATATATATAAAAATTTCAAGCATGCTTTTGTACGTTCATTGTTCAATTACATGAGCAGCAGGACCTGTTGGCACATGCCTAAAGTCGATTTTTACAAGACAGGTGCGGGATCTAACCTTAGTGCTAGCGCCTGAAATTGGTCCTTTTTAGTCTAGTCTAGTGCCTGTAGTAGCCAGCAGCAAGAAAGACTCTCTAAATTATCCAGTGGTTTCAACGTTGATGTCACAAACGTCTATGGCAAAAGCTAGTAGTTTCAAACTTGTAGTTCTTGAATTATCTAAATCGAATGAGTAATTCAAGATCAAGAGTATCGTGGGCAGCGTGATGCAGTTTGAAAGACCTACACTCCCATTCGTTCTTGTTCAGTATCCGGGGCGCCCACCATGCAGAAGTCGGACCCACTCTATTTTTGAGAAAGTTCAAAAATTCGACAGTGAAGTAACTCGTCAACCAAATATTCCAGACACGTCTCTTGCTCACCATTTCAAGATGCGGCTCACTCAGCGCATAGATCGCGACATATACCAGATAGTTCTCAAGCTTGAGAACGATCAGGCTGAGAAGACGGCAAGAACTGGAGAGCCCCCCAAGTTCACCATCGCTGGGGTCTATGACATTATCAAGAAATCCAATTCGAGTTTGGCAAGGGAGAAGAAGAAGCCACTGGAGGACTCCATCTACCGTGTTCTCCATTTCAGGAAAGAAGAGCGCAAGAAGGACCAGGCAGATGACGAAGATGAGGCTATGGACGACTTCGCAGAGGATTCTGCATCCGCACAACCCAAGGTCAGCCACTATTGCACCGTATCATTATAGCAGCTAGCTAGTGAGTTGTTGTTGTTGTTGGATTTTATGCTTATTTTGCATTATAGGAGCGTGATTACTTTCTTATGAACAAGCAACTCACTAAGGGTTGGAACGTGGCAAGGAGAGCGAGATCACCAGAAGTCATGGCGACAAGCGGCGCTACTACTCCAGCTGCCGAGGCTGTGGAGTCTGCTGTCGTAACGGCGGACAGGCAATCTAACGGCGAGCCTAAAGCCAAGAAGCTGAAGACGCGACAGGTGAAGGAGAAGGAACCTGTAGATCGCACGCCGCCCGCGGGTGTCTCGCTGGAAGATCTCGGTGGCATGGAAGATGCTATCGAGCTTCTTTACAATGAAGTTACCTGGCCAATGTGTTATACCGGGATGTATACATCTGCCAATGTTAAGCCAACCCGTGGCGTTCTCTTGCATGGTCCGCCAGGTTGTGGCAAAACAATGCTCGCTAATGCTTATGCGGCGGACCTTGGTGTTGCATTTATCCCGGTTTCTGCACCTGCCTTGGTAGCTGGAATGTCTGGAGAGTCTGAAAAGAAGATCCGGGAGCTCTATGAAGAGGCAAAGTCACTTGCGCCGTGCCTTGTCTTTATCGATGAGCTCGACGCTATCATGGGCAAGCGTGAAAACGCCCAGAGAGAAATGGAAAAGCGCATAGTGGCACAAATGCTGACTTGCATGGACGATCTTAGTCTGGACAAAACTGGTGGCAAGCCTGTGATTACCCTTGCTGCAACGAACCGGCCGGACAGCATTGATCCCGCCCTCCGAAGAGCTGGACGTTTCAACCGGGAAATCAACATAGGCGTGCCAAGTGAGGAAGCACGTTTGTCTATTTTACAAGCACTGACACGGAAGACGAAGCTTTCTACCGAGGTTGATCTCAAGATTGTCGCTAAGTTGACCCCTGGTTTTGTTGGAGCCGATCTAGAGGACGTGGTGGGCGTTGCCTCTGCCGACATGATGAAACGCACGAGAGAAGTAGTCGAAGTACGAGCTGTCGAAGAGCTGGGCGCTAGCGCTGATGATACTCGTGATTACGATGGCTTGAGCCCCCGACTTGCAGATATCCTCCGGAAACAAGCAGCCGCGAAGCTCGCAATGAACACACAATTACCCGAGGTTGACTTGATGCTTCTACAAGAGGACTTTATAAAAGCGGTTTCGAAGGTACAGCCTTCCTCGAAAAGAGAAGGTTTCACGACGATACCAGATACAACATGGGCTCAGGTCGGTGCTTTACATAAGGTACGAAAGGAGCTCTCGCTGGCCATTACTCGGCCTATCGATACGCCAGAGCTCTTCGCGCAGTTTGGATTCCAGTCGCCTTCTGGCGTACTATTATGGGGCCCGCCTGGTTGTGGTAAAACACTCCTGGCAAAGGCAGTCGCCAACGAAGCAAAGGCAAACTTCATTTCCGTCAAGGGTCCAGAGCTCCTCAACAAGTATGTGGGAGAATCAGAACGCTCGGTCCGTCAAGTGTTCACTCGAGCTCGGTCTTCGGCGCCTTGCATCCTGTTTTTCGATGAGCTGGATGCCCTGGTACCCCGTCGTGGTGACGCTATCGCAGAGTCTAGTGCCAGGGTAGTGAACATGCTGCTTACTGAACTGGATGGCATGGATAACAGGACTGGTGTTTATATCATTGGAGCTACCAACCGCCCAGACATGATCGACCCTGCTATTCTTCGGCCTGGACGCCTGGGCACCTCCGTCTTCGTGGATCTTCCAGATGATGAAGGGCGGATCGATATCCTAAAGACGCGTGTCCGAAACGCTCTTCCCCTGACGTCTGAAGAACAGTTAACGGCCTTGGAACCTATTGCGCGTCGCTGTCACGGTTTTAGCGGTGCTGATCTGGAAAACCTACTAATCGCTGCCGCTAAGGCGGGTGTTGAACGGTTTGACCACGAAGGAGGAGAAGCCAAACTTACACTGGCAGACTGGGCGGCTGCAACAGAAACTGTCAAGCCATCAGTGTCGGAACAAGCGTATAAGAAGTTTGTTAGGTTGAGAGACAGTGGATGGAGCTAGATATTTAATTAGAGAACACATGATTTGTTATTGGTCTACGCCGTCCTACAGTAATTGCATATTCGCTCGTTTACAATTAAACGTGGCAGTTTGTCCTTTAAGTTATCACTTTGCGGCTCACTATAAAAATGGAGCGTGATTACAAGAGGATAACATAAAATTTCTTTTCTTATTTGTATAAATTCAAGCTCTAGTAAGATAAAGATATTGCAAGGTTCGGAAATGCTCCAAGGGGGAAGGGAAAAAAGAAAAAGAAAAAGAAAAAGCAAAGGCCGAGAAACTCCATATAGAGCAGAGCAGCAGGGAAAATGGGATAAAAACTATTCTTACGAAATTTACGCATTTGTCCTGTTTTCATTCACATCTAATGTGACTCGTGTACAAAAAGCAGCGGCGACCATCTCCCGAGGTCGTTGTTGGCATAGTTTGGACGAGGGCTGACCACACTAGGCAAACCACCTTGTTTTTGCTGGAGCGACGACGAAATGATGGCCGAAAGTGAATACGAGGTCTTTGTTTGTAGCTTCATTGCACTCTTCATAGCATCCATAATCGATATCACTGTGATGAGAAAAAACGTTACAGACGTCGCAGAAGACATCGCTTCTGATGCACCTTGGAATAGATGAGAAATTCGAGCCTGGTATTCTTGGGATAGTCTTCCAGGGGAATTATTGTTAGAATTAGTGAGATAAGAGGCAATGGGCATTTCACCCCATCAGCAATGTAGACCAGTGTGATGCTACAGAATCTGTTGCATATAATAAATCAAGTAAAATGATTGTTGAAACAATGAAACCGCAAATGTAAATGCATAATACGTGCCGGCTACCATTGAGGCCTTTACTTTTGGTGGCTTCCTGGCGTCGTGCTGCTCTCATTATGATCGTCTGTTTTCTTCGAGCAGAACCCTCTTTCGTTCCATATATCGCCACTTGTTCTTGTCTTCTTCAGTGGTTGTCTAACTGTTGCAACTTCTCGTCAGAATGTCAAATACCAAATAAGTTCAGGATATCTAGCTTCCAGTTTTGCGAGCAAGTCGGGTATGGGGGGGCCAACTTAGCGGCCACTCGAGCGCTTTCGTCTTGGGAAACATCATTGTAGAAGGTTACTTTTTCCAATCTAGCCATCGTTATGGCACTACGGGGAGGAGGGACGTTAGTCGTCGTTGTGTTGCAGCGTTTCACCTACTCTCAAAGCAGACTACACCCGTGCACAGATGCCATGACAAGGTGTCACATCATCTCGCAACTTCACCGACTTGATTATGATATTGTCTTCAGTGCTGCGCATAGCAAAATATGACCAGCAACTGAAGACTAATTCGTAAAACGAGGTGAAGAGTGGTGTAATTTTACCCTTGAAATACAGTGCTTCACTGGATTGGTTTCTTCACTTTGAACCACCATAATCCGATCGACAACCAGTATCATCCTTGTGTCTTAGGCATCTTGACATTTATTTTCTCTCTCGTAAGGTTATCCTCGTTGTCCACGGGTTAATATACAGACGAACCGGTGTAGTTTGGACAAGCCGCACTACAAAGGGCAAGGCATCCCTCAAAGTGATGGTAGTGTGATAGTACGGCTTCTAGGCTAGATGCTACGGACGATGTATAAGGTGTGCATTGAACATTTAAATATGAGTGATAGTTGGTACAGGTCTCCTTGAAAGTTAAATGCACTAGCGAATAAGTCGTGACCGGTGATAGTATTTGGCAGTGTTCATCGGAGAGCCATGTTTGGCTGCTGAGCATTTAGTTAGAGAGAAGACGATGATGCGAATTCGATCCGGGGACTTACTCATGCTTGTGTATATGCAGTTATACAGAGCAAGTACACCGTTTTTGAGTCGTTTTTGCAGGACAGCTATCTAGAGCCTAAGGCTGGTTTGTCCTTTATCCAAGGTCTGACGGTCGTTACAGCAATCAATCTTCGTTTAATGCCACCTGGGTGATCGTCTGCCTACACAGTCTAGGATCATTGTTGGCGGCTTGAGCGCCTTTGAGGTTGCAATTACTGTTATTAGATTATGCCGGTGTATAGTGAGATTGGAGTAATTGTGAAGGTAGACTGAGCAATACTGGCGTCGAGGTGGTAATATAAGTCAGATGAGCACACAGTTCCAACAATATGGTCGACTGAATGTTGAAAGGATTATAGTGTTGGAAAGTCCGTAGTGTTTAGGATATAAGCAAGAGAGGGTTTGAAATAGTGCTCAACTTGAAGTGAACTGTATCCCAGGTTGAAAATAGCAAAGAGAATGTGGTGAGCATGATTTGAAGTAGAGATCATGTAAAATTGTATTCGGGGTTGAGTTACTGTTTAAAGCTTTGGTGTAGCAGGCAGTAAGGATACATGGTGACTGAAGGCTTGCGACCTTGTGTTGATTGAAGTCAAACTTCTTATAGGCCAATAGACCCGGTTTGTTGGCTCTGTGGGATTTTGATCTCTATCCCATTGAGAGTTGGCGAACTGCCACTTTATTCCTCTATCATTCAATGCCAGATGGCAAAAGGTGCCTACGCCTTTCATGTCGTATTCAGTTCATACATCCAGAAAAAGAAATTTTCATTTTCATTTGCTCTTATTGTCTCCCTCGCTTTCTTAGTTTGTCAATATTGATGGACACAGATGATTGTTCTCTAACACATGTCTTCACATCATCTCCATTTGTTTATCCTGATAACACAACACAGAATGACTCCGTCAACTCGTATGCCCCCACGGTTCAGGTCTATGGTTTATCCAATTCGCGCAAACACATTAGATTATCTGGGATCTATTTGAATGTAACAAGAAATCAATATCGTGACCAGTGCTTCACCGTCAAGGTGTGATCAAGATAAAGCCAACTGTGAGGCTCGGCGCCGAGACACCCAGCTCCGAGCATCAAATACAAATGGTCAGAATCTTTCCTTCGCCTGAAAATCATTGCTTGCACGTTCCAATATTGGCATGAGGAGCAGCCGGCCGTCTTGAGGCTCTCATGGTGCCGCTCCTGCCGACAAGGTAGGATCACTCTGATACATCAGGTTTTGTTCCGTCCGCCAGGACTTTGCGCCCTCGGCCGAAATAAAAGAGAGGCGGTCAAGAACGCCGAGGCCAGCCAGACCGGTCGGATGTCGGCCAAGTCGCTGCCGGTGATCATGTGTTGCGACTCTGCGTTCAGAAATGTGACAACGTTATCTTTAGATGTGACCCCGGACAGATCCAGACCCAGGCATGCAGCATTATCTTGGCATCAATCCGGAAGGCAGCCGAGATGTTGAATCTGAGCCTTATGACCGCCGCTGTGCTAACTCAGCGAACTTGCGCCAATCTGGTCTGGATCTGATTCATGGTGCCTTGGATTCTACTAGACGACAATGATATGCTGGGGGGCAGCTTGCGGCTACGCTATGAAAGCCCAGTCAGTGTTTTGTCTTGTGAGAGGATACACATCCCAAATAGGAAGGATGGGTCTACCGCGGTAGGCGCGCCGCGGCTGTGCAGGGTTGGTGGTTGAACTGTCATTGTTTCTTTGACAGGCTATATTAGATGAGTAGAGAGATCATGTTTGGCCAGGAATAAATGCATGAGATCGGTATTCTCAATGTATTTGGGCTACAGTTCTCGGCTACAACCATTTTAGGTGTACTGATTGATGCCCAGGGCTTGTGTATGCTCTCCAACTCTCCTCGGAAACCTTCCAAGCACTTGGGTTGCTGCAAGACATCTAGCTACATACATAGCATTCTATCCAATGGGCTCTTGGCAACTTGCACATGATATTTTGTCCCATAAATCAATGTTTGTACCCTGAAGTGCCGTCTGCGACTCGAGAAATTTAATGGCTAGCCATTATTGTGCGCAGGCTTGCCGAGTGTCGGTTGACATGGGCGACTGGGACCTGCATCATTTATATACACTCCTTGTTAACCAATAATTAACCATGACCCCTTTATGCCGTTGCCATAAGTGTTACCTGTCACGTGCATTTGCCGAGCAAGGGGTTCATTCTGCGTTGTATCTACATATGTTTCGAACACGGTAAGCACCTACGCTTATGGGCAGGGGTCCGCCTGAGGTAGGGACATGAGTGAGCAGCTAGAGCGAAACCCCAAAGCCTGTTATCTTTACAAGTTTGGGGTGTCTAAAGCAGTGCCGTTACCCAGAAAACCCTCCTCCCTGCAGAGATTCTTCTTTGTTGTTACTGTGTAGAGCGCCCGCTCGAGAGACTTGTGCGTGTTTGGCGCGATGCGGAGGCGAATCCTTGTCTGCGGCTGGTGGGGCGTTGCAGTATAATCTAGTCGTCACAGGTTTAGTTCATTTTGACTATAGGCGATTTGCCTATAACGAACCGCACTGTTCTGGATCATGAACCTGAGAGTAGATCATGTTGCCACGTCGTATTTTCAGATCACCCTCAAGTTTAAATTACACCTGTTGACCGTTATTAAAAATTTCCGAGTACGCGCAGTCGCACAATGCACCCATGAATTTGTCACGACTCTGAGTTGGAGGATGCAACACGATAAGATGCGGGACCTACCTGTCTTGGCGCAGATTTGCGGGGCGACGTCGACCTGAGATCATGAATGCTCGCTTTAGATATGAAGCTATTCGGAAATCGATCTTGTCCGAACAGAAAAATCGTGTGCTGATCGTGGGCGCAGCCCGAGTGAGACCTCTGCCGCTCAATATTTCCCAGAAAGGAAGGTAGTGGGCACTTCATGTGGCAGGAGGTGCTCGACTAGGTAAGCCAAGATAGCTTAAATTGAGAATTGTCTAAGCCTGCACATGTGCATTGCGGGGACACAATGGAGGGACGTAGTCGCTGGCAAGTAAGTCTCGTTATCGAAATGAACCTGGGAGTATATGGGGGTCGAAATCGAGTCGGTTGTCGGTCTTATAATATGACAGCGCATGGCGTGATCTGGAGACCCCATCAATCGATGGTACTGGGTTTGTCATTCAACGTTCATTTTATATTCATATAGTTCTCGCCGGAGAACCATTCCCTGCTATTTTACCCTCCCTGAGCACTGCAGCAATGGCTGTCCGCATCGCCTCCTGGATAGCAGCAGCGGCTGCTATTGCTGTGGTGTTTTTACCGCAATCTGTGATATCGTTCCCGACACACGTATGCGCGACAAATGCAGCTCCGCAAATATCTCTCGACCTGCCGTCTGTCAGTGTCAATGTCGGGAACCGCCCATGGGGTTTGATATACCTGAACTCGAGCTTTGCATTCGTTGCCGTCAACTTCTCAATTGGCGTTCTCGACACGTCAGAATTCACACCTAAATTGACCCAGTTACTTCCCCTTCCTCCCGATTTCATGATAGGTAACGATGATATCAACGAAGATGGATATGGATATCGTGCACTCACTCTGTCGCCCGACAAGGAAAACCTGTATGTGGCAACCGGTTACGGAGCTGTGATCTTCGACGTGCCTCGAACTCTCGCGGGAAGGAACGACTCTATTGTGGGAGTTTTGAGCAAAGATGGTTACGTCGGGAGGAGTTCCATCGAGCTGTCCATCACCGCTGACGGCAAATTTGCTTTCATCAGCCAGGAATTTGGGAGCAATGCCACATACGGGCTCGGAGCGATTGAGGTTTACAATATCACCCGACTGGAGAACAGGACGGTGACCAGTACCTGGAAGGGTTTCATTGCGCTTGGTTATGCAACAATCGGCCAGCAGTTCTCGACGGATCATACCCAACTCTTCGTGACTAGCGAAATGAACAACACAGCACAGTCACTCAACGATACGTCGGGTATTATTAGTGTTCTCGACGTCGCAAAGCTGAGGCAGACTCCCGGAAAATCCTTGATCAAGAAAGTCGACGCCGGCTGTCATCCCGTCCGCGCGCAACTGTCCCTGGATGGAAAATATCTTTGGGTCACACAGCGAGAAGCAAATCAAGTCATGGCTTTTGACACAATTAAACTTTCCGACAACACTTCTACAGAAGCACTGGTGGCCACGGTGAATACAGGAACATCCCCGATCGGTATAACGGCGATCAAGAACCATATCCTGACGGCAGACTCTAATAGATTTGGATATAGTAACGCCAGCACCGGCGTCACGGTTGTGAATGCCCAGGCAGCGTTAGGGCCCAAGCAAAGGGTAAACTTTGGCCAAATACCAACAGGGCCGTTTCCGCGTGCACTTGCGGCTAGCCCTGATGGCGATGTTCTCCTCATCTCTGAGTTTGATGGGGCGACAATTCGTGCGGTGAATGTCACCTCACTTAATGTGGAATGATTAGTGGGCGTTCATATCATTAAAATCATGAGACTGCACATATGTACTTGCGTTATCGTTAGGTATTCTGCGGTGTATGGGCTGTGATGAGACAAGAGGTTCTTGATCCAGTATACGATTCTTATTTGAAGATTTAGTCAAGAACTATGCTCTATGGAAGTCTGATCCAGCCCGGAGCCGACGGCTACACTCATGATATAGTAAAAAATATTCCCTATCTTTTTCAGAAGTCTCTCGACAGCGCCATATTTTACAAGAGTAGACTGCCCTGAACTTTTGTGTGAAGCTGCTTACTGGAGACGTAGACTGCCGTTGGTCGGCACACGATCAGGTTTGACGTCAAGTCTTGAGGCTAGTATTACTCCTCGAATAAATACTGGTTTCCAGGACAATCGAGCGGAATCGAAGCTTTTAAAGACCATGTGACTTGGTGATTTCTTGACGGCTCGGTAGGTAGATCTCGGCACAAACGCGCCGTCCAGCGCGTCACGCATGGAGCCATCAGATCATTCAAGAGCGCGGGCCAGCTCAGGCTCGCTCAAAGAAGACTGTTCCTGATATGAAAGCTTTCGTCCACTCCGCCAAGTTTGCACATGCTATAAGTTAATATCTAAGACGGGCAACCAGGCCACGAGCGAGAAATTTGAAGTCGGATCATACTCACTATACGCCAATCTTAGGCGGGTATATTGTTTCTGCGATTACATGGTGCTTGCCAGTTTATTGATAGCAGTGTGTGCGTGGAGAATGGGTGACGGCCTGTCAAAGAGTTTTGGGGGCCCGAACAAACAAAGCATGTCGTAGCTGGTCAATTGCCTGCGGATGCGAATGCCATGCATGCGTATGCCGAAGCTCTATATGTGTATATAGGGTAAAATGCAAAGCCGAATTGGTTCTCGTTAGATGGACAGCAGTCCAGAATATGGGCGCAAACTCCAGAACGGTCCTCGGCCCGAAAATGCTTTGAGACTACGCCGCATCTCATTACCCTAGATTTTTTTCTACCGCATGACACTCCTTTTCGTATGCCCCTCTTCTCTCTATAAAAAAAAGAATATTGAAAAAAATTGTGATTCTAGCCACCAACGCCTCGAAAATGCATTGCATGCCACATGGTAAGTGCCCTACCAGATGACATTGGTTGCGTCATGAGGTAAAACCGAACAACTCACCAGTCGCCTGCCTCATCGGTGTGAATGGGCCTGACGATCCGTTGAGACCAACTCCCCTAGTGAACTGATGGGAGATATTCGGTCGGATATGTGGTCTAGAGTGGAGAGAAATTGCTGAGAAATCGAGCCCGAATGAAACCATAAACTCCAGTGTCCAGATCTATGCAATTCTGATATCGTCGCCTCGTAATAGTCCTGACCCTTCACCCCATCTATTGTGGATATTTCCATGACACAGATTGATGGTATACCTGTGTAGACGAGGACCAGTGGTGCAAGACACTACCGCTTCATGGTAGACCTTGTCAGAGCTTCCAGAAGTTCTGGGCGTGCCGACAGTGCGTCGTTTGCCTCAGCATAGGTAAACCACTGTCGCTCTCGTTTGTGTTTCTCCGGCCAGTCAACCTCCTCTTTCAGTACGGTTGCTTCGTAGAAGTGGTACAGTGACTTGCTCGAGTCCTTGGAGGACTTTTTGGGTGGTCGCGACTCTACAATCTCCCCGAGGTCGTAGTCGATCTGGATCGAAATGCCTGCCTCTTCCCAGGCCTCACGCGTAGCGGCCTCAGTGATCTCCTCGTCGGTCTCCCAGCCTCCCTTGGGAAGAACCCAACCCTTTCTTCTCGTCGACTGGATAAGAAGGACATAGGATTTATCCGCGGTAAGGGGTACAATGCCGGCGACTAAACGTTCCCCTTTTGCATTGTAGCCTATCAAGTTGATTGGTCAGTTATGTGTATCCGAGATCGCCGGGGATGGTGGCATTGGTGTCAGTGTAAGGTAGGAAGCAGGGACTCACGTTGCTTGGTCCTTCCCGTGCGAGACTCCATCGAACGATTGTTCGAAGAAGAGGAACCAGACGCCATTTTCAAAATGATTTCTCGGAAAAGAAACTGGACCAGTCTTTTTGCCGATAGGGCTAGTGGAGGGGTAGGAATCCAGAGTGTTGCCGACTATGGAGCGCTCCTGAACAAGAACACTTCAACAACCGGCTGTAGCTGGAGTTGGTTTGCGCTCAAAGGCTGTCCAACTGCATGGTTGGAAGAATATCAAAAGAGTGAAGAGCTTGGTGAATCGAACGATTGTGCACACTGGTTGTCGCCTAATCTGTGTTGTCCGTAGTTGAGATGCGCTGATCGAGCTTGGTTCCAGATCCAGATATAGATGCAGATCCACTCAAGTGGTTCTTGCTTAGGTATGCGATTTGGCTCACGCCGCTCAAGGGTACAGGAAGGAACGACTTGAGGTATTGGTTTCGGGACAAAGCTGCAGCCGCATGGACACACCAAGACTGACTCGATCGAGGAATCGTCTGCGAGTGAGTGGGACGTGAGTCGAGCAAATGGCGTTTCCCGAATACCGCTGAGTTCTTGCTGAAGCCAGGCACACGGCGTTACCGGACCTTTTTTTTTTCTCGGGTTGCGAAAAATTGGTTGTTACGTCGAAACGCGGGAGCTTCCAGATCCTAAGCCTGCGGGGCAGCCTGGTGAGGAAGTTCCTTTGTTGGGCAGGCACCACAAAAAACGGTGCTACTGTGATGGACACAGGGTGCAAGTAGCAAAAATGAATTGGGAAGATTTCAGGTCACTAGGGACAGCTTATAGATCCGTGAACAGTGAGGTCTCGAGTCAAAGGACGAGGCAGATATAGGCAGTCGGAGCTGAGCGCCCTGGGGCCAGAGTACAGTTTCGTGTCTCGTGCCATAACAGAAATGGAGGGGTAGAACTTGAGGAAATTAGAGTTGGACTTTATACTAGAGCGCACCTACCAAGACCCTACCGTCCAGCAGTGCCAGGGCAGGCTCCGTTAGCTTCAGCTTCAGCCCACGTCCCTATCCCTATTCTCATGGAAGTGGATGTCAATGTACGATGGCATGTACCCAAGATGCACGCGAGTGTGTGACTGCTCGATAGAGCCAAGCGGAAAGCGTCATCTTTGGGCAATCCATCCACAAGTGTGAGCGTGAGCCCTGGATGCGTGGGCCGTGGCCATGGTCACCGTCACCGTCACGGTCCTAAACAAAAGGAGGGGAAGAGTGGAAGGGATGGAGAAGCTGATCAATTCACAGAAAATGCAAAATGCATGAAAGAAAAATACCCCCATGGAAAACCCCCCATCATGCCTATGTGCATCAATGCACTCCACTATATTGCATCGCTGTTAACCTTCTAAACCGTCACGACATGCCCATGCCCAGTGCCCACACCCACGCAAAGCCACGATCAACAAACACCATGATTCAACCCTCACCGATGCATGCGGCTGTCTCAGGCCTATATTACTCGACATGCAAGTCATGCCAACGAAATAATACCCTGGCCTTCGTTAAACCATTAGCAAGATCTACAAGAGGATTCCTTGACCTAACGTTATAGAGGACAGGGCTTCGGAGTAAAGCATGATCTGATATGCAGCATCCCCCGGGATGCCCAGTTCGGCCAGTCTATACTGACTATATGGTATCTTTGCATATTTCTACAACCTATGGTCCGTGATCGTAACCTGCAAAATACGTGTACAACTGAGCATCGTACTTTCTGGAAATGCAACATCGGCTCATATGAGACTTCCGCACATAGGTCTCGTGAGTAGATCCGTGCCAAAATAAATAAATAATTTTTTGGCCTAACTAAAGTTTTGCCTGTCTAATAAGTCTCGCTTTAGTGTACAGACTGTATCAGCCAGCCGCCGTCCGTTTACCCCCCCCCCCCCCACCCCTTCCAGTCCGATTGACTGCCATGCATTTGAGCTTTGCTCAAAGAACCCAAACCAGCATACCGAAACGAGCAGGTATCTCTGAGTACCTTTCTCTTGAGTGTTTATTGTTGATAATTAGCTTTCTGACGCCGATCAGAATCTAAGGGGACCTCAGCGTAAAAAACACGCTAATAGCAAGAAATCGGGCAATGTCTGTAAAATAGACAAGACGAGGGTATTAATATAGAGCATCAAAATATCATCAACGACCATGAAGGCCTGTTCCTTGATCCTGCAATTACATACACAGGCTATTGTTTTCTAGTATCTGTAGGGAGGGGCAGATTCGCGGGGTTGAGTACCACCATATCAGAGAGGTTACAAGTGCGGAATAACTTATGTACAATCCTTGCCCCTCTGCATGTGGACTGCATCTGGTGATTGACATTGGTTCATCTCTGACTGCAACTGGGGGATCCTATTTCTGTTGTACTTTGAGGTCATCAACCCGTTGTTAGCCACTAGAATGAATCATTCGAAGTTACACTTCCATTTCACGGACTGTCTTGTCTTGTCTTGTCTAGGCGCCTGGTGCTGCGGGCGCGGCGGCACCTGCATGATGCAAGTTGTAAAGAACCAACTATGACAAAGAGCCATGTTCGGGATCGTCCTAGTCCTATCAGGCTTAGGCTGGCTTTCCGCCACTGCATCACCTCAAGTCTGTTATCATCTTGCCAGCAATAGCAAATGGCTGCAGGTCATTGTCCACTTCATCGGAAGACTGCCAGTATTGCACAAACCTCCGGTCTTGGGCGGATTTCCTGAATCTCGCCAATTATCAGTTAGCATCCTGTGCCGGCTTAATTTGTCGGCCGTTCTCATTAATACCAGTATACTCGACCGCCCGTCTTAACTTCGATACCGAATTTCACCGCCAGGACTCCGGAGGCTCCATCGATAATTCATTGCCCCATCAATTTTCGGAAGAGTCGACCAATCCAACATATCGCAATACTACTTGCACCCAGCCTCCAGTATTGACACTAAATCTAGGGTGTTGTCGGGACAAATCGTCCTTGGAAACAAGGATTGCAGCATCGCCTGGCAGGCCCAACCGAATCACCCTGCTTTTGAGCCTCATTGGGCGTTGGCCGGCTCGTCTTCAAGCTTAAGATTCCTTCTCACTTCCGATTTCAAAGAGACATCTTCCTCGGGAGTCCCAATATACGCCTCGCCTCGTTATAAGCATCATGGCCACGTCTGATGCGCAGACGACCCCTGAAGATGCATTTTCATACCTCACACCAATCGGTGAGTAGGCCGCTGTCGTTGGCTCCTTGCCCGGGTTCTTTCTAGCTTTGATGCACATTCTCACCCAACCGTCCAAACCCGTGCAACATCGGCTTACTGCCGTTGGCTACTCAAACTTGCATGAGCTTTATGGGGAACAGTCGCTATGCAGTAGTCTGCGGCAAGCCGCTACCGGCTTCCTGGTGCTGCCTGAACGCCGCAAAGCCTTTCACGATGCAACTTTCTACCATTTCAACCCCAGGACTGCTGTTCTCAATCGTCATTTGACTGGCAAGGTCAGCCGACATTGACAAGTATGCCGACATGAACCTTGAAAACATAGCCTGATGACGTTCCTTGGTTCAATAAGTGTAAGATCGTGCTTACTCTCAAGCCACCGCGAAGGTCGGTTTCATCAAGTGATGAACTCTATTCCTATGGACGAGTCGAACGGTTCCCGACACGAGTTTTTGTTGCTATTGTGCATATGATTTCGTGCCTTATCTATGTCCTACAATGCTTGTGTACCCGAGTTCTAACCACGGTCTCATAGGATATAGGTCTTCATCTACTTGTGGTTACTGCCGCCGACGTGCACCTCAGACCGGTCAGTCTTGGAAACGTGTGTAACAGCTTGTGCTCGCATGCCCAATGTCCCATAGCATCAACCTTGGAAAGCCGTGAAAGTCAAAGTTTCATCTGCCGCCAGGTCTTATATGGGTGTCCGATATTTACGGGTGGCGGTCAGCATGTTTTCGATGCAGACACCAAAATTGGTTTCAAACCATCTCTCTGACAGAAATAATACTGACAACATATTCCATGTAATAGGGCATTCCTTCTACGTACGAGCATCGTCCATGAGCCCTACCTTCTATCAATCGCTGATAGACCGATCTTGGAGACGCTCAGGGAAATTACTCTACAGGCCGAACCAGCGCGACTCATGCTGTCCTCATTACACATTGCGACTAGACTCAAGTCAAGTCCAGCTTGCAAAAGACCAACGTGCAGCCATCAACAGATTCAATAAGTATATCCTTGGTGATGATTATATCAGACAGTCTGCCCGTCTATACCCTCGATCACGCGAGGAGTCCAAGAAACGTGACCGTGAGTTTGATCTTGTTGAGAGGATCCATGAGGCAGAAGTAGCATCTTTAAAGACTCCGCCAAAACCTGCACACAGGTTCGAGGTCACTTTAGAGTCAGATGACTTTACAGAAGAGAAGTATGCAGTATTCGAAAACTATCAGCGTATCGTCCATCAAGAGAGCACGTCGGATATCTCACGTGACGGGTTCAAGCGGTTTCTTTGCGACTCACCCCTTCGAAATGAAGTGTTCAGATCCACGAACGGTGATGAGAGGCCGGTGGGGTCTTTCCATCAATGCTATCGACTTGATGGTAAACTGGTTGCTGTGGGTGTTTTAGATCTACTTCCTCAGTGTGTAAGCGCCAAATACTTTCTCTACCACGAGTCTATTCACAAGTTCCAACCGGGCAAGCTTGGGGCGTTGTATGAAATTGCATTGGCAGCAGAGAAGGGATACCGCTACTGGTATTCCGGCTTTTACATCCATACCTGCCCGAAGATGCGATACAAGATCGATTTCAAGCCGCAATATGTGCTGGATCCGGATCATCATGTCTGGCTGCCACTTGACAAAGAGGCCCTTAAGCTTTTTGATGAAAAAGGGTATCTGCACCTTCCGTCGGCTCCACCTCAACTTCATTCAAATATCGATCCGAGAACTGAGAATACTCCGATCGAAGTTGGAGATTCACATGCTATGGACGAAAACGATGATGCAGAGGACGACGATGATGGTGACGACGATGACGACGATGACGACAAGCCTTTACTGGCAAGCAATATGCCTGGGCTACCATCTCTAGATGTCTTGCAGCGAATTCCCCTCGACATCATACCTGTTCGACTGAAGTATGGCATGCTGTCTGCCGGGGATGTTTTTCAATGGGAGGACGAAGACATCACCGATGCGAAAACTGCAAAGGGTATGATCGCGGAGCTCGTGGCTGCTACAGGCCCTGATCTTATGTTGCAATGGGCACTAGACTTCCGGCGATGATTCCACTGCCAAGCGTGTCAATGCGCTCGAGAAACGGCAAAGCTAAATAAAAGTTTCTGGTAACTCCTAACGACCTGCGCGCGAGCAAACTTATTTACAATACTTGGCCTATACTAAAGCGTTGCACATCTTGGAGTAAGCCACCAACTATATGGCATCTGCTCAAGGGCACGTCTCGATGAAAAGCCAGGCGCAAAGGATCAAGCAGACTCGAGAGTTGTTGAAATATAAGTGTTATTAGACTATCCAATAAAACTATGGTTATGCAAATATCATTGCAAAAACGCACTCGTCTCTGGAGCCTTGGCTACCAGCTCGGCAGTAATCTCTTTCCAAACCTGAGTCTGCATTGCCCGTCCCGCAGCCGATGTAATCACTTTTCTTTCTAAACTATGCGACAAAGCTTGATTAGCAGAGCTTATATATGACATACGGATTGACTTACACCTTCATCTGGCTCTCACTTTTGTAGAACTGGACAAACTTGCCCTATCGTCAAGATATAACTGTTTAGCTTTCTCGTAACCATTCGCAAAAGCAGACAGTATGGGAGCGACTACTTACATGTTCGCTTTCACTGGTAGTCACACTGGCCATGTACGTCCTCGCGCCGTCCTCGGGTGACTTGCCAAATAGTGTTTGAAAGACCTCTACCAGAATGACGAAGGCGACGCTCTTATCTCTGAAGTTGCGCGCGAGGTCCGTCTTGACGGCGCCCGGACACAAGATGTTGAGTATCACCTCCGGTCTGCTTTTATGCGAGTCAGCATCCATACCAGAACTTGTTTCTCGTTTCTTTCGTCGACTTACTGGCTGTCAGCGCCGATTGCCCGCTCGACTAGTTCCCGGAAAGCATACGCGACCAGCAGCTTGGTGGCTGCGTACATGGGCTGCGGTCCAGGCCAGTTCGGAGGCTTGCTCAGGTGCTCGAGTACGCCCTCGTTCTTCTCCGACTGCCAGGTTGCCCACTCGGTGATATCCGGGTCCACGAAGCGCATCGATCCTACAATGCTGAGGTGGGCTGGCGTTGAGCGATTCGTTCTCTCGGACTTCATCTGTGGTAAGAGGAGAGAGGCGAGAAGAACGGTGGAAAGCGTGTTGACCTGGATATTCTGTTCCCTTCATCGTGACGTAGTCAGTTTCTCGGTACGGGAGTCGAATATGCTCTGACGGTGGACACGTGCGCGTGCTTCGATGCCCTGATGAGCAAAAGTGCGCGGGCGGGAATCAAGACTTACCATCCTTCTTTCGCAATTATGGGATCAGTACCAATGGTACCTGCATTCAAAATCACGACATCAACACCCCCCAAACCTCTCTTAACATCGTTGACCTTGTTTGCAAAGCTGACGACACTTTCGTAACTTTCCATATCCAGCTCGAGCACTTTCACCTTGCCGCTACTCTTCCCTCCTGTGGCTTTTTCGAGCGCTTCCAAGGCCTTCCGTGAGCGCGATGGGTTCCGGCTCGAGATAACAACCTCAGATGCGCCCAGATTGATCAGATGTGTCGCCGCGGCCAGACCGAGACCGCCGGTGCCGCCGGTCACCACTGCGGTCTGTCCTGAGAATGTATCAGGTGGCGGAAGGGGTATGGGGTTCCATTTCATCCATGTCTGGTATAGGTGGTCGACGAGTACACCCATTGGAGAGAAACACAAGGTACACGATTAGATTGGGATGCGTGTCTCACGATAAGGACCGTAGTTGGGCTGGGATGGTAGCCGCGAACAAATTTGTGGTGTATTTGCTGTCATAATTCTGATGCTGGCTCCGTCTGACTACAGCTTATATAGCACATTCCGTGCGTAGAGCTCGCCACGAGACGATTCTCAATTTGTAATCGTCCTTCACTGTTCCTGAACCTCGAAAAGATGCGATGAGCCGGTACGGAAACTTTCCACATAGCCACATGCAAGCGCTGTGATCGTGGACGCCGCCAGTGAGATTATGTCGCAGAATTCAGTGTCCTAGGATGGTGCCGGTCTAACCTCCTGCCGAGCATTCTTGAATGTACCCGACCTTCCCTACCGATAGACCATCTTTGGCAACGCGTGTCTAAGGGCCCTTGCACCTTATATTAACGAAACTGACAGGTTTTGACTTGATAGTATAATGTTTGGTACCACGAACCACATGGTGGAATATCTCCCGGCTGCTTGTATGATTATCATATTATCCTGGCTGTCGGAGGCGCCATGCCACAGATGAGTAGTAATCTGACTTGTCCACTGCATGCAATGAAGAATCGCGTTCACATGGCAGACCATGACGATGACCAACTGACGTATACTACCGATAGCGTTGATTTGATTTGCTCTCGTTCACGGCCAGCAATCGTGAGTCCGGAGACTTCCTCGAGACTCGGGACAATTGCTCTCTATCACGATGCGCGGGTGGTCTGATACCGGGAGGTCGTGCAGTACATTTCGATCATGCAGGACACCAGATCCTTGAACGTCAACTGCGTCCAGCGCTTGCTCTGGTAAGCTGAGCAGTGCACACAGCGGCAGGGACCCCACTGAACTTTTCAAGTATGTAGGCCCAGCCCCCTGTGGTTAGCAGCCTCACGACACCCCCACCATGACATGCAGGCACTAAACATAGGACGCCAATAGACAACCCTACAGAGCTCAGCTCAGCTCCAAAAAGAAAAAAATATCCCACTCCAGCCTTGCGATCGTCATGGAATTTGCTTTGGGTGATAGCCTCGCAAACCAACAATAATTCTTCAACCTCCGATCAAATTTCTACTCACCCCCACCCCAAATAGAGGCTATACGTCGGTTTCGAAATCTTAGGGCACGATGGCGACGTCACAGAACCTCCTGCTCTCGCCGGCAGAACTTGCGTACCTCCACAGCACACTCAGTCTCACCCCGCCGATACGGCCCGACGGTCGAACAGCGACACAGTTCAGGCCGTTGAGCGCAGAGACGGACATTTTGCCAGGCACCAACGGGTCGGCGCGGATATGTTTTGCTGATGGAACAGAAGCCATCGTCGGCGTGAAAGCAGAGGTCGAAAAGACCAGGATTTCGCCATATGAAGATGCCAATGGTCAGATAGTAGGTGCCGAGGAGAGCGAAAGCAGCGAGGACGAGGGTGAAACCCACGATACGGAAGTCAAGGGCTCGAAAGACTGGGTCGATATCAGCGTCGAGATTCCGGGTCACAGAGACGACGACAGCGCCACGGTTTTCTTGGCAACTATGCTTAGCGAGGCCCTACTGGCCGACGGAGAGTTCACGAAGCGATTATGGATCAATCGGCGGTTTCACTGGAAGGTCTATCTTGACGTAAGCCGCTCATCTGTCGAACGAAAAGCCGTGAAATACATGGCTAATCTTTACATAGATCATTCTAATCTCCCCACCTCTTTCCTACCCTCTCCCTCTTCTCAGTCTCACAACACATCTTGCCCTGCTCTCAACACGGCTCCCAAGATTAAAGTCGGAACTAGACGAGGACCCCATGTTCGACGACGACTGGGATGCCTCGACTTTTGTTTATCCAGCATCATCAGATGGAGATACAAAGTCGAGCAGATCCGTATCAAGACCGCCCATCACATTACTCGTCATGGCCGTGGGCGACAATATCATCTTTGATCCATCAAAGGAGGAATTGGCAGTCGCTGACAGCGCCTTGGCGGTCTCAGTGAGCGAGGGGCAAAGCCTGAAGAACACTAGTGACGGAGGAGCCATGGACATAGATGGCAAAAAGTCTGGTCGAAGTCTCCGATTACTATCAGTCCGGACGATTGATCCACCCTCGAGGCTAACGCCGCCCGGTGTGCCCAATTCTATCAACGCAGCGGCATGGGGACAAGGAGACGCAACGCAGAAGAACCCCGACGCCCGGCAAGCAGAGGTAGCAGTTGTCGATGGCGTGTGGAAGGCACCGAGAGGTGGCATGAAGCCAGCCGTGCTCAGTGCAATGATAGCAAAAGTTCTAGAGAAGGGCGGTGTGGTAGATGAGGTATTAGATGGCCTGGAAGGTGTTGAGTTGGGCTAGGTCTCGATATTGATACCCATTTGATCACTTGGACAAAATTTTCATGACGTTTCGAGTGTATACGTTGGTATCTGTTTCTATATGTTTGCTGTCTGTGGGTCTCTCTTACTCCAGATTAAAACCAGTAAATCTCACAACAGCAGCAGACCAAATATGGTTTGCTATCACCTGTTATAACCCATTAGTTCCACGTCATTAATTCTGCGGCAGCCGGACAAACTTATCAAGACAACCAAACTTTGTCAATTGTTACGCCACCGGCTCTATTTAGTAAGAATCTGCCCTGAGATAAAGATCAGCCTCACATAAATGGTGATGTGTCGAGCCCCTGATAAGGCAGGCCTCATGAACTTTGCTTTTGAGAATCAAAGAGTACTCCCCACGAAATACTTCAGTACTTTATCACAATTATAGTCTTAAATCAGGCGACGAGGTTTCTAAATACAAAGCAGCATCGCCGGATGTCAAGTAACTGGCCGTATTGGGGAGAACTTCGCCAAGCCGGACAGCAAATGGCAAGATGAGTTGATCGGCACAGCACGAAGTAACTTGGAGCATGCCCGATCGACAACAAACACGGGTCAATTTTCCGGCATTCCTCTCCAGTGGTGCAAGACAGGGTCGGTATCGGTTCCTCAGAGGCCGCTTCCTGGATTCCCTAAATTTCTCGGACATGAGGTATCGGTTCGAAACGACACCCGATGCTCACAAGAGAAAGTTTAACCGAATCTTTGACAAGAAAGATGGCACAGAAGATCCGACCATGGATGGAATAAATACACCGCTTGGCTTGAACCAAGCAGGCAGCTCTACTAAGTCACGGCCAAACCTGGCCCGGGAAGATCGAGTCTGATGAAATATTGCTAGAAGTTGGGATTTGTACTGCTTCTATCCATGTGGCGGGCAATAAATGAGCAAAGGCGTTAAAGTCAACCAAGAAGCAATGCATGTTCGTGTGAGCTATGCTTCCGATAGGTCACAGAGAACCTGGCCTGTACTACGACGTGGCATTGCCATTCACCTTGTCAGCAAGACACTTTGAGCCAGGAGGGCCAAATGAGAAATATTTCGAACTCTCCGAAGACATCTTCACCAGAGCACTCTTTAGCACTCTTCTAGAAATTGGGCTTGCGAAGCCTTTTTGCCAGCACCAGTTAGAAATTGCCCATCTGAGCGGAGTAATCAGCGGTTGTTGGGAAGTACTATTGATCAGACTCGGCGCGCTTTGTACGACTTACATGATACCCGCAGTCGGTTCAGAGCCGTTTGCAGACTCTGGGTAAATTCAGAATGAGTTTTCATTTACCACGATTTGAGGTATATTGTAATATTCTTCTTATGTATAGGAGAGCGCAGTGTAATTCGGCGCCGCCGAAACATGCTTCATCGTGCATCAGATGGTATCACCATTCCCTCGCCACGTTTGACATTACGAAGGCGGACGACGTTCTGAAGAAGAGGCCAATACTCAAGGCTGGATGAGGTGGTTTGAGCCTCTTTGCTAGTTACTTGTCGAAGCATGAGAATGTAAACGGCCCTTTGCGAAGGGCGTATGCACTTCCAAGTTGTTATCCCGGCAAATACCATGCCGAGTATTATTTAACGAGTTCTACATGTGCGGTCAACCGACTTCAAAGAGATACTAGCCTCCACCTCTCGTGGAAAGCCGGATGTTCAAGCTCTTTTTCATGAAATGAGGTTCTGCAGTAATCATTATGGACAAACTCCCTGTACGACTACGAGTGTTTCCAAGGGAGCCTTTACGGCTGAACTTGCACAAATGGTATCAATTGTCGTGGCTGTTATACATCCCACTCCGTGGGACCACTCTATGTTTGCAGCGGATAGCATGCTGAGTTTATTACATGTCACTTACTTTGTCCATTGTATTGCTGAGAAACCCTAGGCGCCCTCCGTTGGACTGGCCTTTCCAACTTACTGCTCAGACCAGCAGTATTGCATGCAGGCAGAGACAATTCCATCATGCGCCTCAGTCGTGTATGCTGGAACCATAGCGAGGCAGTGCGACAAGGGCCTGACTAGCCCCAGATTCCCGGTTCTAGAAGATGCCCAAGAACTTCTTGCGTTTGCCCTCCTCGGCGACGTTTACGTCTGAGTCAAACCCCTGCTGCGCTGGTGCCTGACCATCAACCGGTGCAGTCACTGGAATCGCCGCATCGCCTACAGCTACGGCTGGGGCTGTCGCAGATGGCTTTGAAGATCCCATCCAGCTTTCGATACCTTGCGCAGAGTCCAGACCATGAGCCTTGCGGTACTCGCTGCGCTTAGCGACATCCTCAACCTTGCGGCGGCGCTTCTCAGCTGTCACGGCAGAGATATGCTCTTCATGAAGCTTGAATACATGAAAGCAGGTCCCAATGTAGTCGATCGGATGCGAGTAGAATTCAGAAAAGGGCGGGATTTGGTCTGCAAACGGAGAGTTGGCGTTAAAATTCGCGGCGGAGGTATAGGCCGCTAAAGATAACAGAGTTCCCTTGTGGCCACATTAGCTTTTCCCAGAGCGAGCCAGATTCGTTTGATATCATACCAGAGTGATGAACATGTGGATATGGCGGTTGTTGATAAACCAATGGGACCATGTGTTCGGGGGCGGAGGAAGGCCAGGGTATTCTTTAGTCTTTTGTGCCTGTACTTCTTCGAACGTTGGTGCACCTCCGTAATGTCTCGGTGTGCCCCTCGGAAGCCGGGCGCCGTGAGACGGTGGGTTGAATCTCTCTGGCTTTTCAAGAACGATGGGTTTCGAAGGATCAGGGATAGAGGATGGCTTCAGTGCAGGCTTGGTAGCAGGCGCTTTGGCGGTGGCCGGTTTGGCCGGTACCGTCTTGGCCAACGCAGGCTTCACCGGAGATGCCTTGGTTGAGGCAGCTTTTGGAGCTCCGAACTTGTTGGTTGCGACGGTCTTTGAAGTGGCAGCGGTCTTGGATGCATAACGTACCAGGACCCGACTGAGTTCAGCATTGAGCGGCCTCGCAAAAGGAGCTGCGCGAGCTGTCGTCCGCCATATCGCGCCAGACTGTGGAAGCAGGAACCGTGGGATGGACGATAAAGAGGCCATGGTGAATAATAGTAAACACCTAAATGGCGGGGGCCACTAGGGGAAGTGATGGATCTCTCCGGATACGCGGGACAAATTCAATTGAGGCGTATTTATGGGCAGAGAGAGGCGTGTGAGTGAGTTGATGCTGTTCGTGCCTGTTATGGTGTGTCGCGTTGTGCATGAATATCACTTGCAGCTCATTTCGTTGTAAGCTTTGGGGTCCAATACTCTACGATGGGAGTCCCACTATCTCCAAATTTCTCCAGCTGTTGGAACGCGGGCCGACGTTTTCCACTTGAGCACTTTGACTTGAAGCTTGCACTTCACCCCCCTGTAATTTACTATGTATGGCAAAAAGGGCGAGACAAGGCGCGGTTTTTCTTTTTGTTGGCGTCACGCTTCGGAGATATTGCCGTCAGGGATCTCGCGACGGGAAAATGGCTAAGGATACGGATACAAGCATACGGGAGATAGGTCGAAGAGGTCACGTACTGTATGTACAGTACAGTACCAAGTATGTGCGGTGTAGGTAATGTGGAGTCTCAATATAGTTTGTAAACAATGACGAAAGTATAGGATTTTCGGAAGACCAGAAAGCCCCACGAGTGAAGAGTGTATCGAAGACGACATGATACAGAAAACTGCCAAATCACCAAACCCTACGCAAGGTTAGAATGAAGTGATGAACAATAACGTGCACCAGCACCGGATCAAGTCATGTGGCTGCACCTGAATCAGAGAGGCGAAATTCAAAAACCGTCGAAGTCACTGAAGTCAAAGAGAACCCGATCCCTCCCGGAGGAAAGGCTGCGGGTGGGTTAGGCCTGACAATTGCTGCGCTTCTGATTCGGTAGGTACAGGCGGATACCGCAAAGCCTGCTAGGCCGCTTTGGGCCTACTGAGCTCATAGCCTTGGTAGCGCTGGAAGCTCCCTCGTTTCCGATGAAAATTTCAGGGAAATAAAGAACACCTGCAACTTGCGCATCCTACTTTCCTTTCCTCATCTTCCTCATCCAAGAACATCCCTAACGAACTCTTGCCCTGACGAACAGTGACGTTTCCTCGTACACTCCTAATTCTTAATCAACATCTTCACTCAACACACACAACACCGTCAAAATGGGTTTCTCTGCTGGTAGGTCCATCGCCCTTGTGCCATCATCGTCCAGTCACACGCACCACACGTCATTGAGAGATGGATGCCATTGAACATCCGCCTCGCTTTTTCTGTATGCGATATTCGTCTCGCCAGCCAAATCAGCTCTGCTTAATCTGCCCCCGCCCTTCGAATCTGTTTGCGACACTTGTGCACGTCTTCAGCGTATCCTACTGCCACACACGCCTGCGGTATTTACCGAGTCATGACAAAGTACACTTGGCGCTCGCAACTAGATTCGAAGATGGCGTCCAGAGTTGCTTAGCGACGACGATTTACGAGACGGATGGATCACACAGGAAATGGAGAAAGAAATGACGACGTTGCCGCGATTGTTCCGGGATACACTATTACACGCACCAAATTACACATGCTGATTGTCTTGCCCCAGGTGACTCCAAGAAGGGTGCAAACCTCTTCAAGACCCGTTGCGCTCAGTGCCACACCCTGAAGGAGGGTGAGGGCAACAAGGTCGGCCCTGCTCTGCACGGTCTTTTCGGCCGCAAGTCTGGTCAGGTTGATGGTTTCTCTTACACCGACGCCAACAAGTCAAAGGGTGTTACGTGGGAGGAGGAGACTCTCTTCGCCTACCTCGAGAACCCCAAGAAGTACATTCCCGGCACCAAGATGGCCTTCGGTGGTCTCAAGAAGGAGAAGGACCGAAATGACCTCATCACGTGAGTACTCCCCCCGTCACATTACCAAGTCCGACCAGCAACCCCATGCTAACCGCCTTGCCACAGTTTCTTGAAGGAGTCCACCGCATAGATTTATTATGAACGACCTGTAACGATAAGGACTGCATAGACGGACTGGCCAACTGTGTATTTATAGAATAGACTGCTTATGGCGTCCCCGTTGGTGCGATCAATAGCCGCATATATCCCCCCCCCCCCCCCGAATCTCCTCTTTTTCATGTGCACTGGGGTTTGATCTGCTGGAGTTCAAGCTTCTGGGAAAGGAGCATTGGATTTACATACTGGCAGCAATTTGACTTGTGCGAATACCCACTACACTGTTCTCTTGCCTAGATGATGTGATGTCCCTATTTCTGCCACTCGGAATGCGTTACCCTGGCCTTGTCTACGTTCTCGGATCGTTCGAAGATCAGCGTTATGTAATAGATCTGGGGGCGCTTGAAAACGAAAGCGCACGCGCCCGTTAAGATTTAATTTGGGTGGGTCCCCTCGGTGGTGTCCATGCTCACAGTTCCAGCTGGTACCGAGTCTCCTCCCTTGATGCACGGGCCCACTCTGCGCATGCCGGTCAATGAGAGCTGTGAGGACTATATCAACACTATACCAACCCACTGCCCACTTCATGCTTGTAGTGGACTCTTCAGTGAAAAATGAAACAGAATATTCTACTGCACCTACTCAATGATTGTATTTCGAGTTGAGAGGTGTGGAAATATCATCTCGCTCGCATGTTTGCTGCATTGCTTGCGGACATTTGGGTTGCGCGCCCTGCAACACGACATGAACCTGGCTGGCGGACCTTAATCAGTGTACATGCGCGTCGATGACAACGACAGCCCAAACAGTTAACCGTATGCCATCAGAGAACGGGGATCCCCGCCAGCCAAATTGAGCCTTACGCACAGCACCGTCTCGACTTGACTTCATGTGCAGAGTTTTGCAGGCGATAGATACGAGCTAGTTGACTTTCTCGAACGATAGCGATGCAACCAACGCGCAACTTTGAGTCTCAATACAGATACTAGTTAGTCACTATTTGAAACATAGGGTCTAGGACAGGGGAAATGGGCTGTGAGTACTGTGAAGCAGTCATGTTACCCCCCCCCCCCCACGATAGAGACTGAAATGGACTCCTCGTTGATCAGTCGTCAGAACCCGATTTGTTGCTCCGCGAGATACTCTCTAACTCGTTGTTAATTTAGGACCGTTTTGGCATATGTCTTTGACCAAGAACCTTCACATCTCGATCCAGCGATCGGATGCTACTCAATCAAGTTGGCGAAAATATTCAGTCCTGCATTTTCCATAAATAGATTATTGTAAAAGGGCGGTATCTTATGCTTTTAATTTGAGGTGTAATTGTGGCAGGAGGCTGTGGAAACCGCGTTGGTAGGGCGATGACCTGAAAATATAGAAGTCCTGGCTGAAGAGCAACCTGGTCGCCAAGGATGTCTCCCGGCCTGGTAATTCACCTGCATATGGCCATGGGCATTCTTTTGGTCTGGAACTGAATACTTTGGATGAGCCGAGTCATGTAATATGAGCCTTCCAGACCACAAACAACCGATCACAACTCCTGCGGCAAGACATGTTTCCACGTTGAGGACTCTGCTTCCGTACTAGGATGTATTGAATTCACGAAAGCCTAGCATCATCGCCTTGTTAAGTACTAGTATCTTCATCATTTATAAATGAAGTCCGCAGTGTCACTTACCACTTTCTCCATAATCGTGGCGTGCTGTCTGCTATTCTCCTTCGAGTTACAATTATGACTACTGATCAGTATTGAGGTTAGACGATTAGGGATACGCTTACAAACTCTAGATTGTTCCTTGAATAGGTCGTATTACTATGTATACACTATAAACCTGCCGCCTGTAATAGGATTAATGCTGTATCTGCCGCGACCATTCCCACCACTACAGACATCTCAAGCCTTCCTCTCCTTGTCTCGCAGCCTGCGCGCGGCATCCTCCCTGATCTTCCCAATTAGTGCCGGTCTCGGCCGGTTGACCACACTAGGCGGGCCATTTCTCACCATTGGGAACGCAGCAAAGCTTGGCCCCTGCCTCGGCCCGCTCTTGGGCAGCCTAGGAATCGTAGGCTGGCGATCATCAATATTCGCACTATCCGTACGCATGAGACTGCTCACGCTCGCCATGCTGAAGCCGCCCTTGGGCTGTTTCCAGCCTGTTGCGTCTGATTCTGGCACAGGATCGCCGGAGTCGCGGAATGCGAGGCGCTGCGCCGTGTTGATGGATTTTGTGGAATTTGCGCGGGAGGCGCCACGGCTGCTCGGTGGGCGCCAGCCGGCCTCCCCGGCGGCGTCGGGCTGAGACATCATCGTGTAGCGCCTACTCTCGCGGTCCGGTACAGGCTCGGTTTCTATGGAAGCCGTTGAGATCATTGTGTAGCGACTGCTTGCTCCACCGCTAGCTTCAGAGGTGGTGGTATAGCGTTTGCTTTCTCGTGGTGGTTCGCTTGGTGCTGTGGAGGCCGGTGTCTTCCGCCTTTCGTCGTTGGGTCCCTCTATAATGGGAGTTACAGCGCTGTTCACTGCCACCGGCTTTCTCATGAATTGAGCTTGGGCTATTTCAGTTTTTGGGGAAGACTCTGCTTGCGCCGGCTTGATCTGCTGTGGTAACGGAGGGCTTTCCTCAGGTGCTCTTGAGGACGACGGGTCTTTACCCTTCTTACTATTGACCCTTATAACGCGCACAACTTCGGCGCTTTGCACAACTGGGGGTTTTTGTAGCCGGAAGCCAGCAGTAGGCCCAGTACGCAGCGTTTGCCCCTTAGGCTTTTCCTCAACTGATATGAGGGTCTTCTCTTTGAGGTCACTATAGTCACTCATGGCGAAGCCAAAATTCAGTGGCTCATCTTTCCTTGCTGACTGCGGACCGAAAGTTGGAATTTTCAGTTGACCGAATGATGACTGACTACTGCTGAACGGATTGAGACGTGATCCACTAGTCGATCCTCGGACTGCGACTGGTTTATTGTATCCTTTCTCGTCTGGAGTAGGCGACCTCGGATCACGAGTTTCTCTCCTCTTCCGACGATAGCGTAAGAAGACGCAGACGATTATTGACGTGAGGATCACTGCGCCGCTGACAGATGTGGCCACAATGATCGCCAGATTTGTTGTGGAGATGGCATTTTTCTGGACTTGATCCGCAAAATTATTCGCATCGCTCTGTGCATAAGTCAGTGAGCCTGCGATGTTTTAGGTACCGGATTGACCTACCTTAACAGCAGTTGCCTCGGCTCTTACTGCTTGAACCTGGCTCATTGCTGCATTCACAGCACTGGCCATACTCGAACTGGCCGAAGCTTGCGCAACACTGATAGCACTACTGGCACTAGATTGGACACTGGCCAGATTACGAGATATCTGGCTGCTCATCGAGGAGCTTGCCTGTGCGATCCGGTCGTTGGCTTGTTGACTTGCCTGAGAGGCAGCACTCGATGCGGAGGACTGTGTCCGTGACAGAGCCTGGCTGTTCTCCCTAGAAGCCTGATCTGCTGATTGTTGAACCTGTTGTGCCGACTGTGAGATTGATTGACTCGCAGATGATGCCGATGAGAAAGATATCGAAAGTTGTGCTATTTGCCCCGATAATGCTTGTATTTGTCCGTCATTCTGTCGTTTCTCGGGAGCCGCTGTTGGTCGTGGTAATATAAGCACTGCTGCAGCACCCTTTGCTGACGTCGTAGGTTCCGGTAACCTCTCTAATATGACTCTTCTCGGCACGACCTCCGCTTCAACAATAACATATTCGACTCGCTCCCATATTACGGCCGGTGTCATCTCATTAACCTGCCTTGGAACTGAAGAGTCATCGCCATTTTGTATGCCCATTACATCCTTTGGCCACGAACCAGCTGTGGCCAGCCTGGTCAACAGGGTACAGTATAAGAGCCGGCTCTTTTTCATCATTCATTATCCATCACTCGTAAGGGAAACAGACTCGTTGTCGCCAGGACGGTCTATGAAGGCACTTCGGACCCAAAAGGTGTAGTAAACATAGTAAGCTAGATGAAGGAAGAAGGCTCTTCAAGCGGAGGTGGCCAGTGCCAGTATGCGAGGATACCATACTGGGCAGTACTGCCTAGGCCTACCAAGCGACGTTGAAGCTTTCGACAGATCCATGTCATGGTATTCATGCGTTGGCAGCGATACCATAGTTTCGAGCTTGTAAAAGCCTGGTCAAGTGCCATCGGCTTGAAATCCATGCCATGTTACAGACCCAGGTACTGGGGGTTGAGGCTCGCACGGCCACAACTTGGACCGGGGTTGAAAATGCAACCATCCGTCCGATCTTGTTATTCGGTCGACGAACCCCACTATATCCATTGAGATATGTGTGATCTCCTACTGGAAACAACTCAAAGAAAATGCATTTGGCATCAAGCAAGGTTAGTTGACCGAAACAGCAATGACAATATGAGCGAGCATGAGCAAAGTGTCTTCGCATTGAAAAAGTTGACCAATCAAGCGACTGGCCCTTGCAGCAAGCTACCAGCAGTCCAGTCCCCCAGACCAAGGACATGCTCGTCAACTCGGTACAGTTTGGGGGTTTCAGGAACAGAATATTTAATTATGGCCCTGATCGACAACGGTCAAGACTTCTGACCTGGTCATCAGCTATAAGCAAATGCGCATATTAAAAACACTATGATTTATCCTAAATCAGAATGAATTATCCAGAAACACTTGTTTTGTGTAACTCTTGAAGCGTTTCTTCCAAAGGAAACGAGACAACGCAACATAATAGAAAACTAGGGACGGCCTAGCATACATCTGTGAGGGGCGCCACAAGCGGAAGAGGCACACATGAGACCGTTGATGAGTCCAAAGTCTCGTCTCGTCATGCGGAAGTCTAAAGATCGGTAGACTTCTGCAAGATCGCAGACTTCAGACGATGAAGAGACGAGAACTTACAAGGGTTACTTGGGACGCGCGAGTCTCATTTCGCGGAGGACTGAAGGAGTGGAAGTTGCAAAGGTGTGGCTCACGTATCCAAAGATTCCACAGGTAGGCCATTTTCTGGTGGAGTGGGGGCGACTGACGCTGAAACGGTCCCTACAAGACGTTGTCCCGGAGGTTTAGTTACCGGTCATCCTTAACCAAGAAAAGGAACAAGAAAAACATTCTATTGCCTAGCTAATGAAAGCATGTATTTCAACTTATGATGTGCAGCTGGCTTCATGTCTCCTCAAGCAAAAGCCGCATGGTGTTGGGCGAGGATGCTTCAAGTTAACCGTGGAGAGTTGTTGTCGTGAACAATTGAAACCTCTCAACGGTGATTGCGGCACGGACAACGGAACAGCATGAATCGCTGTTCTCCCATCAAGCGAAGAAATACGATAGCCCATGCCAGCTGAGGATTGTCGCGGCGGATATGCTCAAGAAGTCTGTGTGGTCTTTCAAGTGCCCCTGCAAATTGCATACAGTTGAATCAATCTACATTGGCCACAACTAAGATGGGAGAGGCTGGACATGTCCAGGAATGCTACCAATTTCTCAGTACGTATGAGGAGGAGAAGTGATTAATCCCAAATTGTTGTTGATTTCAAATTTTTAAATTTTTTTTTTAAAATTTTAAACCATGACAATAGAAGCCCATGCATGGAAGGAGGATATTATCATCAATTGGCCCCAGGTTAATCCAAGTTTGACTACAGTAACGTCAGCCATGTACGGAGTTGCTACTGTATTTAATACGTATTAAGCTGATCTTGAATCCACAGTGCTCAAAAGCTTGCAACTACTCCATCTTGCACTGTCATCCCGCCGCTATCGCGTCAAGTTTCTTCCGGTGCGCTCGTTGATGCGCCTCCCATACAGACGGCTGAATTGGTGACGTCTGGCTAGAATTCACGTTATACCTGAACTTTATCTGTGCCCAAACCTCAATGGACTGGACTTTAACACCTTGTTAACGAGGTGTGGGAATTTGCGCTCAAAGTAAGAGCAATTTTCTCCATGGATTGGACCAGGCAAACCACTTTCATTAGTACACCCACCACCGACTTCATGACATGATGGAGAACCTGACGATACACGACACACCTCCGCCCGGCCAGGGCACGCCCCAGGGCCAATTCGCTGCACCGGGGCCGCAAACGATAGGAGGACGGGCACCACCTCCGCAGCCCCAGCAACTTCCTCCTCAGATGTTCACAACTGCTGCCCAACTTCTTGACCTCACGGACAGTATGCTACGCAACGCTGGCGACTAGTACATGGACTACAATGCTGACACAATGCGCAGAGAAGCTTCTCATTTGCTTGCGCGACGGCAGAAAGCTTACTGGTATACTGCGAAGTTGGGACCAGTTCGGTAAGTTGCGACGACATGGGGTGGTGTAGTGGTGCTTAGCGGGGCAGTCAAATCTAATAATGAGCCCCCAGCCAACATCGTCCTGCAATCCACTATCGAGCGGACGTATTACTCTCTGCCTGACGCCACAGAGGAGTCACCTATTAAGGGATACTTTGCCGACCAGAAGCACGGCATTTTCCTTGTCCGCGGCGAGAACGTTCTACTTCTCGGCGAGATCGATCTTGACAAGGACGACGAGACCCCGGCAGGCTTCGAGGAGAGAGAACCCAAGGAAGTAGAGCAGATGGTCAAGGAGAAGAAGGCCGCCGACAAGGCCAGGGAGAAGAAGAGATTAAAGAAGTTGGCCACGCTCGGTTTCGAAGGCGAGAACATGGGCGAGATCCTGCTATAGGACAAAAGCGAATACCACGGCTATTGCTACTGCTGCCGTATCAGGGACCGTCAACGGTGCTGACGCATACCAGTAGCAGCCATGATGTCAGGGCAGAATATTGTGAAATGCCTACCATCCTTTGCGTTCTCGAAGCGCAGGATGCTATCTAGTACTAAGCTAGAAGCGAGATTCGAAGACTTGAACCCCCTAAATAAAAATGAAAGCGCCATATTCGATCATGCATGAACAGTGCTTTTTTGCATGTGTATCTGGTTATCAGTATACGAGATTTGGCCCAATTGCAATAACTGCGAAACAAGTTGTGTGTACAGGCACTTAGTATTTCATTTGCTGATGTTAAAGAATATAAACCCTAGAAGTAGTAATAGTAGGCAAGGTGGCAGAGATTCTGTTTTTCGACAATAGACCTAGCTCTTACCACTTCTCTTTTCATCTCGATCCTTGAAAAGTTATTGGCACGCTTCACGTCACCAATTCTCAGGTCAAAGCGAATATCAATTAGCAAACACGTCACGGAGTGAGTTGTTCAGAAATCGTTCACAGAAACGGCGATATCAATTTCGCTCGATCACCTCCAACGAACGGCATTCGTGGTCAAAGACAGCCGTGGTCAGGTCCTTGGGTTTGCTCAACTTATCCGCAGACGAATCAATTCCACTCCATGTGCTGATCTGGCGGCGTGCGTGACTCTGCATAAGCTGTAGAGAAGACCAGAACTTAGAGGCAGAAGAATTGGAGGTATGCTGTTACAGGCAGTGGAGGACATGGTACAGGATGAGGAATACACCAGTGTTTGGCTGCTAGTGTATGAAGCGAATGAGTCTGCCAAGCGACTTTACGATAAGAGGGAATGGAGAAAGGCTGGCGACGTTGACTTTAAGTTGAGCGGACATCACCTGACAGATTGGGCCATAGAGAAAGAAGTTGCAGGTCAGGATGAAAAGAATTCACCGAATAAGCGGTCGGGCGTAGGAAGAGAGTGGATTGCAGAGCACAATACACCATGGGACTAAGTAAAGAGAGCGGATAAGATCAATTTGATCGTAGGGATGATATTACAGCCCAGGAATGAAACCCTCGACCTTTGCGTTCCATTCATCGGGGAAATGCGAGCCTTCACTGCCATCCCACCCACCAGCCAACATGGCCATGGCCAGGAGGAAACTTCCTGAGCCCGGAAAATATGGTGTGGCAACCCTCACCCCGCCAACCGGATACCCAGCATCATCAAACTCAAATAAAGGATCCAGCAAGTACGCAATGGCCTGTTCTACATTTCCTATTCTTAGAGAGTTCATTGCTAGCATAGGAAAGTCCCAGCCCCAGCAGTCCGCAAGGTCCCATAGCTGAGAAATATGGTCGTGCGTGTTCTGAACTATTGTCATGTTCAGAGGCGGTCCGCTGCTAGGAGGCGGGAGGAGCCCAAAGATTCCAGCCATTGCTGGGTGGTCTTGCACGGTTGTGTCCTGCCACATGTTGGGGATTCCTTCGTACACTGCATATGTCTCGCTGTCGGAGGTCAGGGGCAAGAGCGCCAGATTATCGCGGACCCTAATCCACTCTTCCGGGATTGAAAGTCCCTGTCTTTCCTTCCACTGTATCGCGATATCGAGCCCAAACCTCCAATACGCAATCTCGAATGCTGGGTTCACCGTGGAGTTGGGGTTCGTGTTTTCAGAAACGGGATACGTCGGCGGACCCAGATCATATACTCCAGTAGTCTCGTTCCACCAAGCGAAACTCGCCATGAAGTCCGCTGTAGCGGTCAAGACTTCATCCCAGGAGGCCAGGGTCTTGTTACAGGGGAATGATCGGTATTCAAGCTCTGCGAAGTACATGGGATGTGGCTGCTGCCAGATGAGAAGCGAGTTGATCTCGCCTGGTGTAGAACGCCCTGTTGGGTCTGTCATCTTTCCCCAGCGAGCGCCCTCATAACCCTGTGTCTGAGCACGTTCGAGAGAAGATGAGAGGAACTGGTAGTAGGTGTTTGGCATGCTCCGTCGTAAGAGCGGCCATTGGTTCCAACGTGCGAAATGGGCTAGGTGCCAAACTACCATTTCCAGCTAGAGATACAAATAAGCGAGGAGCATGTTCAAAATGGATTTGCTATTTACATGAAATTTGCCATACCATCCATTACTGACCAGACCAGACTCTGCGTATCATTAGCCATCTTGCAATCCTTGCTAGGATCAGCGTCCAGCTTACCTTGAGGCGGATTTAAAGAAGCAGCATTTACGGCCTCTAAGTATTGTGATAAAACTGTTATTCGCTGTAGTTCAGTAGCATTGGCCGAAGACGACGCAGTCAAGTCGATAAAAGCTCCCGAAGTCCAGTACTCCTCCCACCATCTTATAGAGGCCTTGCTTACATCCTCCAAAGATGGTAATTTGGAAACAGGCTCTGGTGAGTAGGTGACCACGAGATGAAGTGTTTCGGTTCCATTTTCTCCTGCCAACAGATACCGGTGTGTGTTGTTGATAGGGCCAGATATCTTGCTGGCAAAATCCCACTCAATCGAAGCAGAGTACGATGTGGCATCCAGGTCATGCCTGATCGTGGCATTCTTCTTTCCAGAAGTCAAAGTGGTGGTATGATTAGCAGTTGCGTTGAAGACGCCAACAAAAGGTGTATCAAATTTGTTTCGAGTCGGCAGGGGGAAGTCGAAGAAGATCCCCAGCGTATTATCCGACAGCAAGGATGACTCGACACTTATACCGACAGTATCGGAACCCGAGTCTGACCATGTCTCAACGCTGACTCTCTTGCCCTTGTAGGTGAAGGTTGAAGACAATTTTCCAGTCCAGAGATCAAGGGTCTGCGACTTGGTTTCTAGCATGTCTTGAGTAACATCTTCGTCATCGAAAGTGAAACCGATACTACCTAGATTGACTCTTTGGGGGTTCTGTATCAACCAGTTCGAAATGTCATTTTCAGCAGGATTTGGCTGATTGAAATTAACCAGCCGGTCATGACTCCACCAGTCCAGGCCAGTGAAGTCTTGCATAACTTAGTGATGCCCCCGAACAGGACTAGACGGGACTTACCGTCCACCGATGTTTGACCAGGAGTCGTAGGGAGACTGAAGTTGTGCCATCCCCACGTTGACAGAGTCCCATAAGGGTTGAACGTCTGCAGCCCTGTGATGTCGGCTCCGAATGCGAAGTTGCCGTTTCCTACTTGCAACGGCGTAGTATCTGAACTAGCACGGCGACATGGGTTAAACTGCTGAACAACCTTCCGCCTGTCAATCTTGGTCTCGCCCTTGTCTCTGGCAAAGGCTATCCTGCAAAAAGCGAAAACGTAGAGCAGGAGCTGTAGGTATACCATAGTCAAATATGATAGAAACACACCAACACTGTGCGAAATTCTTGTGCAGCGAGGTAGTATTAGAGAAAAACTACGCGGCCATGTCTATTAGGTATACTTACAGGCTCGACCCTGCCCCATACTGAGGAGTGGAGAGGTCTACTTTAACCGGGTTGCCAGTAGCATGTGCAAGGGTGAGGATCACCAGCATTATTATCATTGTGCGGGGTCCCCATGGGGTCCTCGGGGAGTTGATGTACCGACCAATAATGCAGATCGTTGGGATTATGAGAAGCTGATCAATCAGACGTCCACTTGGGAACTTTACCAGCTATCGGTGTCGGTTATCACGAGCCAATAGAACGGGATCTCAAAATTAATGCGGTGCTATAATTTTGCCGCACGTTTTGTCCAGACCTGTGCATGGAGTAGAGAGGCACTTAGCGTCGGTCAAATACAAGTTTAATCTAGTCTAGTGATCAACTTGTTATAGCTCTGAAAGTATATGGCAACTCTGATAGGCAATGTCCACCCTTTATACATGTTAGAAAAGGTAGAAAACAATTCTGAAAATTGCTTACGATTGTGCAGTCAGCGCTGCCTAACGTAATGGATGCCTCAGGTACACACCTAGGGCAACCACTTTAGGTAGCTTTTATTGGAACAGAGGATAGCTCTGTTCCTCACCGTTAACATCACATTACATATCAATAGTCTACTATTGATCACCATACGTGACGTGTCTACCATAACATATTGCCAATTTGCGACCATATTTATCGCAAATGGCATTCTCTTACTTCATCTTCTGCAAATCTTGTGCAAAGACCAGGAAAGCACCCAGTGGCTTGTCCTCAGGGCACACTAGTAACCAATGACGATTCACACAATAATCGATACTATTGCGGTGATGGGGACCTATGTTCTGAACTAGGCTGAACTGGTGGTTCTATGGACCTTGTAGGTTCTCCTGCAGATAGCTCCCTACAACCCGTATATTTTGCATTGTTTTGTTTCTCCAAGGATCGTGCTTTCATTCTCTTTCGGGCACCCTGTTATTGCATGCAATCCATCATCGTCTTCACAAAGCAGGTCCGTTGATGCGTTTCTGAGCAATTATCAAACCCTGTCCTCACCTCAACCGGAAAGGTTAGCCAGAACACCGGGAAATATGTCGGCTGCGAAATGTGTATTGGGTGAAGTAATTCGGGTCTAAAGTCCTCAACTGCCTCCTTTTGTGAATAAGGTAGTGATCTTGAGGGTGTCTATTATACCCATTCTAGAACGAGTATCAAGTTGACTGGACAAAAGTAGACCAGCAAGCGCCTCCCAAAAGAACACATCAAGTACATTCGCTATCTATGAGCGGTGGCTTGCCTCGCTTGAGGTATGAGGACCATTTCTTTGCCTTCGAACAAGCGCCCGACTCCTGAATAATCATTCGCCCTCGAAGATATTTGATAGGCGCTATGATTTCACTCATCAAGCAGGCCACATGGCTTTTACATCTAGCCCCAGTTGCGGCAATGGTGACTGTCTCTGAGTCTTCAATGCGAATATTTGGGAAGTATTTCAGCATGACTTTCAGAACATTCAATTCCACTCCAAAATTCTCACCGTGATTTTGCCATTTTTCTCTTACATCGACAGGGATAAAAGAGTCTGTATTATCACAACTCTCCCTGATATTCAAGCTACCATTCTATTCCCCAATGCCTGGTTCTTTAACAACATGAGCATTGCGTCGATTAGTAAGACATCTCGTGGCGAACGACAACGGATACATACTGAAACGTCTAAGCCGATGCCATTTATATGGCATTGCAACCCAATTGAAAAATGTGAGGACGTGCTAGTAACTGATGACTTCAAACGTGTGCTAGTATAGAGTACATAAATATCTAGGACAACCCCGAAGGTTTGTTCTACATGGGAGTGCCTGTCATACATGGTAAACGAAAGCACAATCAAGACGAAACCGCGGTCAGGATTGACGCGTCTCATGTCAGCCACCCGGGTAGACAACTTGTGATGATGATGATCAATTTGCATTTTGCAAATGACAGCTGCAAAATGGTCTTCATTAAGGCCTACCTTTTGTCTCTCGTACCTCTAACTAGTAACCTAGTTGACTATGTAGAGCCATATACTTTATTTCTAAGTATACTTGGTAGCGCATCGTTCAATGAAGTTCCCACAATTCAGGGATGTCGGCGAGACAACTTTCTCGACTAACCGATACAGGGACAACACCATACCATTTCTGGCTGATTCTTTGGGCCCCTGGTGATGCCCTTCCAATCAGTCTCAGCCTTACGACCATACTCCCACCAGAAGCCAAATACTTAGGTTAGGTCTCTCATGAGGCGCTGAACCGGTCCAAAATAATCCGTCTGACCCCTACTCGGCATAGTCTACGGTCATGATGACTGTCTCGTCGTCGATGCGCAAATCTTCATCGCTGGGTTACTTCTTCCTTGGCTACCTCAAGGCGCTCACTATTTATTTAATTGAAACACAAACTATGTCAACTCCGTGCAACATATAGGCAGTAGAAAAAAAGATCTTCAGGATGGATTTAAACCCAGTCTCCCGTGTCGCAGCCTATCTCCGCGAACGAGGCCACAACTTCAAGGAGAAGAAGGACGTCGGCGCTTTTCTCACAGACGTGAAGAAGACAAAATTACCTTTTAGCCCGAGTTTCCTGGCTATCTTCCTTACTGGATCGGACAGTAATGAGGCGGTCAGAGAGTTCTCAGAGGGCGAGATCAATTTGACGCCATGCAATGCCGCAGACGGCGCACTTCTCCTGCGGCGATTCCCACTCACAGCTCTCGGATCGCAGTACAAGTCCGAATATAAGGACAGAGAATATCTAGTCAATCATCACAGCTCGTCTAGTATTCTCATTCCTCTGGTGTGCTGCGACAAGACCAATCCCGATCGTCTCTCGATCGCGCATCTACTTCTGAAGAACAAAGGCTTGGATCCCGACGGAAGACTATTTCATTATTCAGAAATCCCGACGCGCAATGTATGGACGCCAAACCAGGAGGGACTCACCCCTTTGCACATTGCTGCCAGCCGAGGAGATTTGGAGATGGTGCAGCTCCTGGTCTCCTTTGGAGCAAAAGCGAAGACTTGGCGTGACAGGCATGGAAAGACACCTGAGCAGAGGGCAGCAGCCAACGGATACGAGGAGGTAGTACAGTTTCTTCAAACAAATCGCATCCAGAAAAATGTTGAAAAAGCAGACAGAACCACGAAGTCTGATGTTTATACAGGCACAGGCAGCAGGGCAACTATAACTGCGGCATCCAGAAGGAAAGTTGGACTGGCGCCCACGATAGTGAGGGTGACCAAAAAGGGAAGTGTCCAGAAATCGATCAAAACCACAAGAAGAAACAATTAGTAGCATGGCCATCATGATGTTCGAAATGCTGAGACTGGATCTAACTCGACTCAGCGAGGAAGTCGACTGAGAATCGTTCCTACCGCCAGTAGCATTCACTAACGTTAGCATATTACAAGTCAGTCGAACTACTTGGAATGGTTCAGATAATCGACAAAGTTGCAAGGGATGTCTCTCATGCATACTTGGGCTCACCCATCACTCCAAAGGAGCATTGGTTTTACCTTATCCTTTGATCCTGTTGAGAATATTTAGAAGGTGTATCCCCATCATCTGTTCGACTTCAACGTCAAAGGCCGGAGAGTCTTGAACCAGATGATCCTTCCACACCTGCCGCGGGCGAGGAGAGCCTATGTTAGCAAACGTTTCACTGTAAGCGTTAGGTGAATAAAGATGAACTAAACTACCTCTCATAGTAAATTGTGTCATACTTGTGGGTACTAATGTGCAACTTAACTTCGCTGCTTCCTTGCGGGCTTGTGGGTGCCACTTTCCGACAGTGGCTGGTAGCTTGGGCGCTAGTGCTAGTGCTAGTGCTGGTGCTGGTCCCCTCTTGCCAGGCTTACATAGTGGTGCTATCCGCCAATCGCCAATCGCCCATGGAACAAACAAACGTCACTCAGTTGAGCTAAGTTAGTGCTGCCGCCGTGCTCGGCAACGGAGCGCATTTCAGACAGTAAACATCAACCAACTTGGCTTGACGACAGACAACTTCACCATTCTCAGCTGCGAGACCATTCGATCTCTACACTACATATTTCCAATTTCATTCATACACGCGACTAGCTGGTCTCAGCCTTGTATTCCTCCGCTAAGAGGTGAGACGACCCTCTACGAAGCTGCTGCCATTCGAATGGCGTGTTATCTTGATCCTTGCCCCGCTGACAACCAACCCAAACAGAGCCCCAGCGCATCCCGCCATCCCACCGCGACGACTTCAGCCAAGATGACCTCTTTCATAACGACAGTGTAGGTCCAGATTGACCCCGTCGTAATTCTCGTGGTGTTGATGCTGATGTCCACGCCTCTAGAAACCAGAGAACCCGGAACCAGTTCCGACCGCGCGCTGGCGGCAAGGGCAACACCTCCTATCAACTGCGCCAGTATGCCGAAGCAACACTAGGCGGCGGCTCCCTACGAAAGGTAGTCAAACTGCCCGAGGGCGAGGACGAGAACGAGTGGCTCGCCGTCAACATGGTGGATTTCTACAACCAGATCAACCTGCTTTACGGCGCTATCACCGAGTTTTGCTCGCCGCAGAGCTGCCCAGAGATGAAGGCTACCGATGAGTATGTCCATAGCTTGCACCCTCCCTGGAACGAGAGACCCCGGAAGAGTTGGCCCATCAGTAGAACACGAGGGGCAGTAAAATATTAACAAAGACCCTGCCCAACAGGTTCGAGTACCTCTGGCAAGACAGCGAGAACTTCAAGCGCCCGACCAAGATGCCCGCGCCCGCTTACATCGAGCAGCTCATGTCCTGGGTACAGAGCAACATCGACAACGAGTCCGTCCTGCCGTCGCGCATCGGCGTGCCCTTCCCCAAGCAGTTCCCCAGCCTGGTCCGCCAGATCTTCAAGCGCATGTACCGGGTCTATGCGCACATCTATTGCCACCACTACCCCGTGATCCGTGAGCTCGGTCTCGAGCCACATCTCAACACCAGCTTCAAGCAGTACGTGTTGTTCATCGATGAGCATCATCTCGCAAGCGGAAAGGATTACTGGGGACCATTAGGCGATCTGGTCGAGAGTATGTTGAAGAGTGACTGAGTATTGCCCAGTCGAGTTTGATTTGATAAGCGGTGTACCATGAGTTCGGGTATCAAATGCAAAGAGGATGCTCTACATTGTCTAGTGGGACCCACCATGCCAACTCGTCCCAGGGTATACAGAACATGGAGTTTGATTGGGTTTGGCGTTCACAGGGTTATTGGTGACAGGGTTCATTGTCAGGCATGGATGATACAGGGGGTAATAGCATATCGCACGCACATTGCAGATTCGACTTCCGGTCTGGTCTGAAGAAACCCACGAATCAACGATTCGTTTTTCCTGAATCGAGTTTGGTTTTCATCAATTCCAAACGTCTCTTACTAGTGATTGTTTAAGTAGACCTCATGCGATATCTTTCTGCTGATTCCAAATTTTGCTTAGACATCCACTTCGCCAAAAATCAATCATATCCCCCAAGTAGACCTAATCCTAGGTCCAGACTTTCCTCGAGTCTCTGACATTTTGGTTGGTGTTCCTTTTCGACAACGCTCATCATATGCTTCAATAAGAACCTTACATTCTTTCCGCCTGTGTGGGCTCTGTACGTAGCTAAACAGTTGGCTCAGTCGACCCCAGCCAGTCAAATCTTGTGTCACCCCATCGTCACATCGATTACTCAATGTCCTCTAATTTATTGATCTTCTTTTTGAAGAACTCAAAAGCCGAGAAGAAGACGGCGTTCACTGCAGCCGATCTGGCCATTGATACGCCGAGGCCACGGTACATGTCTTTCCTGAAGAAAGCGATCTTTGGGAGTGGTATCTTCTGGCCCTTCGAGTACATGAGCGCGTTACGCTGGTAGATACTCTTCACCGAGTCAATAGGGTCTAGTTAACTGTCAGCTATGGTCCAAGTCGGGACTAAAACAACCTCGGAGCGAGACGCACAGATCAAAGCCCACGACACAATGCCGCAAAGGGCTCCGGCAACTAATACGGCGATTGGGTTCTTGTGAGCGTCTTTGCCGCTAAACGTAGTCAAAAGTTGTTTGCTGCTCTCATATGTGGCGAAATAGATTCCAGTGCCTAGTGTATCTCTCACTATGATGTTTATCAGAAACGTAAGATCCAAGGGAAGCCCAAAGCGGTCTTACTTAGATGTAGGTTGAGGCCTGTATACATTCCCGAGAGTCCTCGATGCTTGACCAGATTCCGTAGGGTCATGATGGTTCCCTTGTTATGGTAACTCATCGCGACTTCCTGGCACTTCGGGTCTGCATTCTTTTGGCTCGCCATGAGGACTGATACTTGTGCACTTATCTTAGTAAGCTCGAAAGGGCCTATCAGTGTGAGTATAATCAGTTAAGGCACTCTCGTAGACGCCTGAGATACAGGGCTCAAGGAGACTCACAAGCGATGAAGGTAATACCAGAACCAGCAGTGGCCCCTGCGGCACCAAAACACGCTATCGTCCCCAAGGTCGGGTAGGCACCATTCTTGTTGACATGTTCAAGTGGGCAAAAGCCAAAATGCCGCTTCATCCAATCCGAGTATGCATATTTGGAACGTTGGTATATCGAGAAAGAAACAGTTCGCACGAGTGTTACACTGGCCAAGGGAGCGGTCACACCTTGCACACCCGGCAAGTTAGCAAAAAGTTGGTCCAGTTTCTTTTACAGGAGAGTCCGCCATGCAGGTAGGACAGTGTAACTGTTATCGCTCTTGCATACCTCTGAAGAACCCACGAATCCCCTCCGATTGATATGTCCTGTGCACACAGTCCGAGAAACCTTTGTAGGGATACGTTTGTAATCGTGTCTTGACACTGTCAAGTGGAAACGCGGTGATTGTCGACAAAACACTAGCCGAGCTTGCAGAGACCTCGGTTCTGTAGCGCTTTATCCACCGCTTTGGCTGCTGCTGCTGTTGCTGCTGCTGCCGACTGGTTGCCGCTGTTGCGTTGTTTGCACTGCTTAACGGAGGCATGCTGCTGGCGGTTCGGTTCTGGAACGGTTCTCTGGTCCTGGTGACATCTTGTTGGTTGAACTCGACCACATCAGTAGCAGCCGGCATGGCCTCCTCTTGGCTGTATCGAAAGATAGTATAGCGGGGCAGGCTTCAGACAGTGGCCCCGGGCAGAGACCAGAGTCATCAGCGCGGTCGCGATACTGTGTCTTCGGTTGCTGGCAGCAGCTTTGCCATCAAAATAATTCCGGGTTGTCGTCGAGTTCGTAATTATGATGGTTCGAATGTTTGACAACTGCGGGGTTGGGTGTTCTTTTGCTACTGTATTGTAGTTGTCTTCTCCAAAGAGGGCTGGTCAATCGTACTTGTGGTGCTACTAAAACACGACACGACCAGGACAGGGTGAAGCTCAGCTCATCAAAAGTGCCCGTCCGTCAAAAGGGCGATGCTTCAGGTAGCTAAACCGTAATTTAATTGGAGGGAGCCCAACCCAGTCTGTATCATTGGTTATTGTACCTCTTTTGCGGGGCCTTGAGGAGCGACGAGGGACGCCTCTATTATTGTACGTTGTGACGTGACGAGAAACCTGGAGGGTGTTTATTAACGTGGTTGATGATAGGCACATGTATGAGAAAGGTGGGCGGGATGGCACCACCCAAAAGCGGCTAACCTAGGGAACTAGGAACTAGAAGAAGAGGGGATCTGATGCCGTTACTGTAACTCTCCCTCTCCACAATCAAACTCAATGAACTGGTCGCTCAATGACTCGAACAACAGCTGGGTAAATAGTGTCAAGCACGTGTCGTGTCGATCTCATGTATTTGACTGTGGTAGCTAAACTGCCTGCTTCTGCAATCATCTAACCTAAGGTGATGCGGTGAATCAAATGGCCAGGAGTAACGCTGCGGTCCTAGCCGCATTGCGTCACAGCGCTTCAAAACATTCTGCCTCGCTTTAATTTGCACCGACATTTGACCACAGTCCAAAGCCGCCCAATGTTACCCCTCGATGATCATTTTTATATGTGTGTTAGGCACGCTGGCATATGAAATTGATCACAGCTGTATGTGGTACAAGCGGAAGATCCATGTTCTACTAGCCTTTCTTTTCTCATACCTTTTGGGATCAGGGCGGAAGATCATGCCAATACGGAAGAGATGGCGAATGATCGCTTATTAGCTTTGGTATAACGTGCCTACAAGGACCGGCTTTTTCGACCACTTAAAGTCCTTGGAATATGTCGCGATCGTTTGTTGGCTACCGTATAATAAGGAGGTAGATATTCTGGAAGAACAGGAATCTATGCTGAGGCCATATACTACAGAAGTTCCGGTTTATGGCCAAGTGGCTCTCTACCAGCCAACCTATATCTGCTTTCAATCCAGCTCCAAATGTTAGACCAAGGAGCTATTCACCATACGCGGTAGCTTCGACGAGTACGGCTGATCTCATTTCAGTAATCTCCGCATCCGTCTACATTGTTTTGCGACCTTTGTCCGAATACTCGCACCTGAACTACCACGATCTTGAATACCCTCATTTTCCTGTCGCGTGTTGTTGGTGTCCTAGTGTGCTTGAACTGTTTAAGCTTGGTGGTTCAAGTTATGAAGCGCACTTGAAAGCAACGGCAACTCCGTATAAGGCTGACGGCAATCGTCCAGCTAGTTTCCATGAAGCCAGACAGAGTCCGGCCACGGATAAAGTTGGCTATGCCAAATGCTCAACGCCGTTTTCTTACGAAAAATCAATTGCTCAAGTCTAAAATTTGGGCGCTCCGACGTCGAGGAGTTTCAATCGATGCTACTATGAGATTCATCCTCGTAAACAGAGCCCCATGGACTTGTTGAGCATCGCTATAGTCATGTCGTAATGTTTAAAGGCAGTATCTCTAACCTTCCTATTGAAGGGTGTAAGTCTATCGGGATAGTCAGTAATGTGGTTTTTTTTTTTTTTTTTTTTTTTTTCCACTCGCGGGGGACACATGCCTCGAGTCATCCGACGTCCTTGCTTTTAGACTTCGGGCTTCATATCGATGAAATGCTACGAATAGCAAGTTCTTGAGTACTTTGTGTTCCAGACCGCGAGACATTTGCGCTGCCTCCAAGAACTGGACGGTCTTTTCAACACCGGTTTCGTCGAGTTTGGCAGCATTTTCGCGAAACGCGACCCTCAAACGATCGCGAAGAACATAGCGCGCTGGTTTTGAGAACTGAACCGCTCGTAGACCATGGCGGTAAAGACGACGATAAGCATGTATCACTCGACTGTCGGCCATGGTGTATTGCGGGAAAGGGCCCTGAGAGGATTTAGCATTGTACTTGAGCGCCAATTTGGGAATCCCTACGTAGTAATAGATACCGTCTAGAAAGGATCATGGATTCTGTATGATGCTGCTGTGTTCGTTGCATCAAAGTCCGCTGCCAGCCGCCCGGTGACAGCCTGGAAACCCAAAGAGCCGGGACCGCAAGAGCCGGCGGGGCCTGGCAGCGCCCGCCGAGAACGCTAACCACCAACGGCCATAGCGTACTGAGTTTATAATGGACCCTCCACCTGGGCACTATGTCATGGGTCTGGGATGAGGATCCAGACTCAAGCCGTCAATGGTCTCAATGTCACACGATCCGGTCGTAACTTCCGTTAATTTTTGGGTCGTGTTTTATTTCCTGCATACACCTATCACATGCATATGGAAATTGTTTGTTCACGATCCATCTACAGATAGACACTACCTCGAAAAACACTTGCGTCCCATTCGCACGGCATGACCCTCCAAACATTGATTACCCCGGACGTCTGATGTCGCATTCGCCATGTCCTCCATGGTCTCGGAGTACATCATCAGGCCTGCCCTACAACAAGTTCGGCGATTCTCTCGTTCTAGCGCAGTGAGCGAAGCCGATCCTCCAGCGTCACCTCATATCAGATTCAAAGACCGTCCATCGAGTCGTGATGAGGCCATATCAGAGACCGAGGAAGGCTCATGCCTCAAAGATGGTGACGACAGCACCTCACCGCCAGCTTCGCCACAAAGTCCTGTAGCACCACGGCTGGGCTCTGAGGCTGTACAATCAATCGGACAAACAACGTTTCCCGCATTATCGCGGACTGTCCCAGTCCGATCACCACAAGATGAGGCTTCCGCAAATTCCGAAGCTGTTGCAGAGCATATACCCGAGAGTCCGAACACTACGAGAGAAAGAGACACTTCCGATGTCTCCATGCGTTCCGCCCCGCCGCTAGAAACCGCTGCTATTGAAGATGCAGCAAGAGATGTGGTTACTTCTGTGCCGCCGGCTGCTGAGCGGCCAGACCCTTTGCCAGAAGATGATGGAATGGGTGCTTTAAGAAAGCGGATACTGGAAATACAAGCAAAGCAGCTTCCTGCCCCTGAACAAGCTCGATTGATTCACCAGTTATTGATGGAAAGCTACAAGAGATCGCGAGGCACAACCAGTGCAGAACGTCCCGTTTCGCCCACTAGTGCAAATGGATGGGAGCAAAAGCAGTCCCACGGAGTGCTCGACACGTTTATCTGGCAACATCTTCTTGGCGAAGAAGCGGAAATAGAGAGTTTCCATCTCACCGAAGACGATGTTAAGCCAACTTTTGCTCCATTGAAGCCTGGCGAGGATGACTCAGAATATCGTGCTCTTGGATGTGAGCACTATAAGAGAAACGTCAAGTCGGAGTGCTCCTCGTGTGGCCATTGGTATACCTGCAGATTCTGCCATGATAATACCGAGGATCACCCAATGACCGCCAAGGATACAAGGCATATGCTCTGCATGTATTGCGGTGCAGCGCAGAAGGTTGGAGAAGCATGCGTGAGCTGTGGGGAGATGGCTGCAATGTATTATTGCTCCATATGCAAGCTTTGGAACAACGATTCCGAAAAAAGCATCTATCATTGCCCGGATTGTGGTATATGCAGAGTAGGGAGAGGACTTGGAAAGGATTTCTTCCATTGCAAGGTATGTTACTCTTCTTTTTCTTCCACTGTTCTGCCGCAGCTCACCAACTGCCACAGAAATGCAACGCATGCCTCAACATCAATTTCGAGAACGCGCATCGATGCATTGAGCGACTTCTAGACTGTGACTGCCCCATTTGTGGTGAGTATATGTTTAACACAACGAGAGGAATTTGCCATATGAAGTGCGGGCACACTCTTCATAAAGATTGTTGGGATGAGCACATCAAGCACGCCTATAAATGTCCAATATGCAACAAGAGCATCGTCAATATGGAAACACAATTCCGGAGGCTGGATATGGCCATCGAGACGCAACCAATGCCGGAGAAGTTTCAGGATACTCGTGCTGTTGTATCTTGCAATGACTGCTGCGCAAAGACAACCGTCAAATACCACTGGCTGGGACTAAAGTGTGCCGTTTGTCAATCATATAATACCTCTCAGTTACAAATTCTGGGCACAGATGCAGACATTTTAGATCAAGCCGTTATTCCTGCGACCGAGCCTCTGGTGAACGAATCACTAGCCGGTAGCAACGCGGATCTTTTGCAAACCCCCGCACAGTCAGTTGCTCGAGAGATACCAAGAAGGCGGCGCCACTCCTCGAATTTGATACATCTCAACACAGAAAATCCTGACATTGGCGCACTTCAAATTGGGTCTTATGTGGTAGAAGAAAGATTCGCCAGATCAGTCTCGGTCACCGGTGCGTTGCGTCCAGCAAATGTGGATGATTCGGACGAAGAAAAAGAAGACATGATTGGGTTATGGAGCAGGGTTCCACAGAGTATCATGTCTGACGATGACCAAAATGAAGACTATGATTCTGAAGATGAATCCGCTTCCTCAGTTGGAGACGAAATGGATGAAGATGACGCCGACGATGAAGAGGAAGATGAGATCAACCTTTTTGGTCATCGATAGAGACAACGGTTTGCCAATTGGAGTTGGGTCGGTTCAAAAGAGGTTCATGGCCAAGGTATAGCACCGGCGTTTGGGTATGATTGCTTGCTACATAGGAAAACTCGTATACTAGGCGAGCTTTGATCTCGTATATGGCTTACATAATACCACATCTTTTTCAGCTTTCGAGATGCTCCGGGGTGAAGCGTCGCTTTTCGAATCTTTTGTTGGAAAGTCCCGAAAGCGACATAAAACTACGACGACGCCCAATGCAAAACAGCTGCGATAGATTCTTAATAAATCTAAACAGTAACGCCATGGTGGCAGACTAAGTCCAATTGTTACATAAGAATTGAGAATAAATGTGACTTTGGCATTCGATATTTACTGATTCCCTACGATTTCCGGTCATGGCCTTTTAGCTTCACACTCCACAAAAGTATCATCCCCCCACTATTTCCCTAAATTAAATTAGAAGTACACTGCGGAGGCAGAGCAGGGGTATCCTTCAGCCTTGCTTAAGAGATGCAGACGAACCACGAGGTCGAATCTGGATTGCTGATTGGCTATTTGAACAACATCTCTCGGTTCGTGCTTGGCGGATGGGCGACCTTTCAATGGGCAGGCATGTTGTGCATCTTGTCATGTGTTTTCAGCGAGGGCCCCTCATTCTTCAACTCACGGATCAAGGCAAAAATTTTGTCAGATACATTTCTCAGAGGTAAGAAAAAGAGCAGGCGGCTTTGCGCCAGGTATCGCTTGGATGTGGAAGCTGAGGTGACTGGCAGATTTGACGATAAGCGAGAAGATCGAGATATCTTAATATCAAGTTGCAAGAAGTTACAACAAACGTCCGGTTCGTCCCACCATTGATTGACTTTGGCTTTCTGAACCCCTCCTTACCCGTCCAAGAGCCGTAACCCCACTATCTGTATCTTCCAAGGGCTCGTCCCAGTCCCCTCGAAAACTTTCTTTGAGCCTCGTCGACCAAAACCCTAAGGGCACCTGATCACTTGACATATCACCATTGATCTGCTTCTCGCCTTGCTTGAGTCGAATTGTTGCGGCAGGCACATAGGCCGTCCAGACGCCCAACGCTGTTCTACTTTAAGCTCTGCTTGGATCATCTAGCTGTCTACTATTTAGAAGACTCGACGGTCGTCTTATAGTACCCAACTACTTATACTGTAAGGTACCAAGCTCCCAACCATTCGGTTCGCCCCCAAACCCTTCGAATCGGCCACTGTCATATTATACCCCTAGCAATGCAATATGAGAGTCTGGACTTGATTGGGCCTTATCAGGCAACCCCCCGCATAGCTGCAAGTCATCCAGCATGTGCCACTCGGGGAGTCACCTCGAGGGCTCCCCTGCAGTACAACCAAGTCGCAGTAGTACAGGCGTTGATACACCTAAACTGGTGGCCGCTCAATGACGACCCGTGCCCGCAACAAATTTCCCCCCAAACCAATCGATGCAGCTCTCATGACCTGACCCCCATCTGTTTCTGCTGTTATACCGTCATTGCTTTCATTTCCAGAGCTCGGGCCGTTGTACATTATCTTACATTACCTAGGTATTCACTGCCCCGCGAGAAGGCACACAACACTGTATACCCCGGTAGATGCCTGACTTGTAGTCCGCCTCTGAAAGTTCCGTGAAGGTAAGGTTCCGATCCTATTGTATCAAAACATGAATGCGACGGATCATAAATTTCGAAGAAAGAGCATCACTCTAATATTTGAACGCCGAACTAGATCAGCCACTTGCTCATTGTGTGTAATATTGACCGGTATATATACACACCATCACATGACCCACGAGGAATACTCCTTTTGGTATTCCGCCCGCTTGAGCAGCACCTATCAATACGCCTCTTGAGGCTCTGTGGCCAACGATAGACACCACGTGCCATCGCCTTGCGGTCACCTAGTTCTCCGGTTAAACAGAACCAATTCTCAATAGCCCAGGTTCCCTACAGGTTCATCACTTCAGGTTGCAACACTGCGGCCTTTTCGGTGTCGAACGCAAGCATCAGCGACTAGCATTGTACTAACGCTGGCTACTCGCGTAGAACCCAACATTGCATCCAATAGTGCACAAATCAGCCCGCCCAAGCATCCTGTTAAAATACCCATTACTGCCATTCTCGAGGACTTTGCCCAAGCAAGCAGCCCTTCTAGGCTTGCTGCTGGCACCCACGCTGCACCATGTGAGTGATGCCCCACGCTGCACCACGATGCTTTTTATTCCTTCAGACGACGGTAATATCCTGTTAGGATATGTTGTTAAAACCCCTGCAGGAAGTTCGGTAAACAGATCCAGAAGCGTCAACTCGAGGTACCAGAGTATGCCGCCAGTTTCGTCAATTACAAAGCGTTGAAAAAGGTATGTCAGTCTCGAATCTGTCCACGATCCTCCCATGTACCCCATTGAAGGATGAGGCAGACAGGCGAAAAGCAAGTTTCGTTGCGAAACCACGACTAAACCACACCCCCAAGTGGTCCGCTTATAATCTAGAACCTGTACCACTAACATCGTGTCAATAGCTCATCAAGAGGCTTTCGGCTACTCCTGTGCTCAGCGCGCAAAATGACCCTCACCAGCCCTCCACGCCTATAGACTCGCAGGCTGCCCTGCAAGCCAACAGAGCAAAGTTCTTCTTCCAGCTGGTAAGCCTCCCCTGATTTGGCCATGAGCGTGCTCTCAAACATTATTGATGCTTTCCAGGAACGAGAACTCGAAAAGGTGAATGCATTCTATCTACAAAAGGAGGCAGAGGTAAGCGTACAGATTTTCTGTCCAACTGTATCGTTATTGACCAATCTGTAGCTCAAAATCCGGCTCAAAACCTTGTTGGATAAAAAGAAGGTGCTTCAATCACGGCAGGGCGTCTCAAGACGATCCGCCAAGTTCACAACACTTCAGGAAGGTTTTCAGCAATTCGCAAATGATCTTAACAAGCTTCAGCAGTTCGTCGAAATCAACGGAACCGCGTTCTCCAAGATCCTGAAGAAATGGGATAAGACATCAAAATCCAAAACTAAGGAGCTGTACCTTTCACGTGCTGTAGAGGTACAACCATTCTTCAATGCCCCGGTCATTAGTGAATTGTCGGACCAGGCGACGACTAGTCTCCAAGAACTGGGGGCTTGGGCCGAAGGTGATAATGTCAGCTTCGAGGTTCGCCAGGAGCATACGGTTAGCAGTCAACACTTGTTAGGCACGGACGAAGGGGATGCCGATTCTTTACTCCTCGATACAGCTATCTCCGGCAATCTCGAATCGCTGCGTGACATGCTTACCAGAATGAGAAACGCATCCAACGCATCAGCCACCATGGAAGCATCTCTTATGGAAAGAGTTACAAGGACGTTTCTTGCTGCGATACATGAAGCTCCTCAGCCTTCTCTCGAGGTCTTACTTGGGACGGAATTGGTTGATATCCAGTCTGAAGACGACATCAACGAGCGAAACTGCCTGCACCAAGCAACTATTTACGGCAACTCATTTGTGCTGAATGTCGGCCTATCGGGGGGAGTCGCGGTCAATCGGACAGATGTCTATGGCAGGGTTCCACTTCATTATGCCAGCATGCATGGAAGACTAGATATGCTCGATGCTCTTCTACAAGGTACGTCACGTAATATGCATGGGTTGCTGAGTTGCACTGACTTTATTAGCCGACCGTTCGACCATTGACCTCATAGACCACGATAACTTTACGCCTTTGATCCATGCAATCATACATGGTAATCTGGCCTGCGTAGAGCACCTTCTAGCAGCAACTGCTCGGTTGGATCCAAAGTCAGACACTGATCACGTTCCTTTGAACCTCGCTTGTGAGCATGGCTCAGTCGCCATAGTTGAGCTTCTGCTGCGTAATGGAGCCAATATTTTACCCGATGCTGAAGGACTATATCCTCAGCATCTTGTCGCGCGTTCCGGTCAGACTCCTAAGCTCTTACTCCTCCTCAAGCACTTCGGTGCCGATCTGGACCAGATTGATAAGCTCTATGGATGGACACCTCTTGTCCATGCTGCCAGCGAAGGTAATGTGCCATGCCTGCAGGAACTACTCAATGTAGGTGCCAATGCCAACATATTGGACGAGAAGGATCTTCCCGCAATGTACTATGCTGCATGGGAGGGTCATTTGCAGTGCATGAAACTACTCACACCATATCAAAAGGGGAAGACGACGAGTCCCATGGTTATGCAAGCATCGGGATCTTCCTTGGTACCTTTGGGGGCTGACACTGGTCCCATGTCTATGGCCCTTGATCCGGATGACATTCCCTCTCTGGAGTTACCGCCTCCCATCATTCCTCTGCGTAGGTACGGACATAACTTCCTCGACACCAAGGCTGTGGTCCAACTCAGTTTCGAAGAACATGGGGAGCACCCGCTTGTCTTCTTCCACGACAGCAAATACCCAGCGGCGCGACTCACCATCTCGTCCAAGGTCTCTGATCTTATACCGAAGAACATCATTCTTCCGTTCCAGGAGGACACCCGATTGGTCTCATTTCAGGTTGACAATCTCGAGACATTTTCTCTGGATTTCGATGTGTTCCCGGCATATGGGGCCAAGGTGATTGCTAAAACGGTGGCCCTACCAAACACCTTCAGAGCATTGTCTCACAGCTCGAGTCGATGCTGCTTACCCCTTTTCGACCCTCGACTTCGAGCTATAGGTCAAATCAGTTTCACCACGCAGGTCATCAAGCCATTTCAAGGGATTCCGTTGGAGATTACGGATTTTGAAACATATTGGAAGGCAACGAGTCAGCTCGAATCGCATCAGAGCATGTTCGTTACAGGGTCAAGTCTGTCAGGCGACTTTGTTCAATTATTCGTACAGTCTACAAGCGACTGCGTGCCGGTATTATGGCCACAGTGGCGCATAGATTGCGGTGGTGTTGACATACCGGTATCACGGCTCACCTTCGAGCAATTCAATACGGTAACAGCCCACAGCCCTGCCCGAGCTCATTTGGCTGCGGTATCATCTCAGCGCCAGGAGAATATTGCGGATGTGCATCGTGTCTTGGCCACTGCCGGCATAACGCTACAGCATGCCCTGGCCATTCTACCCGCAACGATGCATGTCAACTTGCAGATTATCTATCCTTCAGAAGAGGAAGAACGTGGACTAGATCTTGGGCCCACCGTGGATATCAATGTGTTTGTGGACGCCATACTTGCAGTCGTTTTCGACCACGCCAGAGCCCAAAGACAACATGTCAAGGCGCCGGAGGTCGTCCGGTCAGTGGTGTTCAGCAGTTACAACTCGACCCTCTGCACCACACTCAACTGGAAACAACCCAACTTCCCGGTATTTTTATGCAATGACCTGGGCAAGGCAGACGATCTATCAGGAATCCAGAACGGTTATATGCAGAGCAGTGGTCGCCGGACAAGCAGTATCAAGGAAGTGGTCCGCATTGCGCAAAACAACAATTTCATGGGCTTGGTGTGCAGCGCGCGGCTTCTGGTGAGTCAAATTGTTTCCTCGGCCTTTGCTTTCCTTTTCCGCTCAACCCCCAACTTACTACCTGACTGTGTGACATATCTAACAAGGTAAACAGGACATGGTACCAGCGCTTGTCGACGCAATCAAATCTCAGGGCTTGGCTTTGGTCATCGACAAGTCGGCCGACGCATCAGCCGAACCACATCCGTTTGCTGATCCGTTCCCGCGGCTGCCGAAGGGTATCGATGGCATGCTGAAGAACAATGGTGTTTTACGGTTCAATGAGTCAATAGACGTGTAGTTTTGCATTAATGATTCGTGTTCACTGCATTATGGGGAGGGCCAGAACCAGTCTGGGGAAATAGCATTGTGGCAGAAGGCAGTGGGAGGTTAAGGTCTAGATTGTAATCCATCTGTTATAATATACCTGATCGTGCTTCACTAAATGCGCGCAAGGGGCGAGGGAAGGGGTAAGGAGGTAGGTGGTGGCTGGCAACGTTCGATAGCGGATGGATTTGAGGACTAGCTGGAAGACAGAGAGCTGCCAATCTCAAGATGTATCTCAAAGTCGTCGCACGGGATTTGTCATTAGCCGTAATGAGTCATTTGGGTTACTGTATATTTATAAAAGCTGCTCCAAATCATCTCGTAACGACTGTGGGTATCTATTCGTGTCCATAACCCGTCCATAAGGGACGACCGCAGTATCATCCACGTGCTGATCATTATGCGCCCTTGAAGTCATACTTTAGGCCACTCAGCTCCTTTTCGGGGTCCACGCCGCCCATCAGCATTTTGGCAGCCAACACGACCACGTACACGACACCAGGCAGATTGGCAAGCCCAACATGACCCCAACTACCTCCCCGACGTGCACTCGGCGCAAACAACCCCGCCAGAACTAACGTGCCACACAGGCCCAAGTTCAGGTAGGGAAGCCAGACCTCGAGCGGCGACTTGGTCTTGGCCACGGACACGGCGGTGGGAATCGAGAAGCTCTCCCGCCTGCTCCTCCGCCTCGTCGAGATGTGGTGTCCGTGGTCCCCGTGTATCGTATCCTCGGCGCCGGTGCTGGCGGCCAAGCGGTCCAGGAACGCGATGCCCGTGACGCCGGGGACCTGCGACCAGAGGAGCCAGGTGGTGACGGCAAGGCTCGTCAGGCCCAGCACGGCCACCGTGCGCGAGATGCCCTGGGAGGCCGGGTGGGCGACGGCGAGCAGGTAGGGGATCGAGGACAAGACGGGCAGGCAGAGCAGGAAGAGCCGGAACTGCGAGTTGGTCTGGTGGTTCTGCGTCGAGAGCGAGTGGATCACGTCTTCCTGCTCCGTCTCGTCGAGGGCCGACGAGGAGGATTCGTCGTGGGGGTCGGCTTGGTAGGCGAAGGTCCGCCGGAAGCGGGTGCGGGTTGCGTCCATGTCCATGCTGTGTATATGGTGTGGCACCTGGATGCGCTCTGGTGGTTGTCTTGGGCTGTGGTTGTTTTTCTCTGGTGTAGTACTAGACTAACCTTGGGGTGTAAGTCGTAGGTGTGAGCAAATAACCTACACACCATGCTCGTGTGTTTTCTTTTCCCCTGCCTGTTCCGGTTGTCTCAAGAAAACTCGGGGAAAGAAATGAAACAAAACAACACGTAAATTGGGTCTCCCTCAAAAAAGAAGAAGCATGTGCAAAGAGAACAGGTATGCTCGGGGCTGGAAATGGTCATCAGACAGGTTTATGATTGCATCTCCTGCAAACAAATCTGGGGAATTCAGGGTCCAAGCAGCCAACCGCATCCAGCGGCGCTGTGAGAGAGCCCTGGCGCATGGTAGATCTGTGACGTATGCAGCTTAACTTACCCTGCATACCGTGACGGGATGCAGCGAGCTACGGATCCGTACTCCGTCCAGTCCTTACATAGGGGTAGCTGTACGTGGGACGACTGCATGCTACTGTATGTATGTATGTATGTATGTATGTATGTATGTATGTATATATGTATACGCATCCTTGTAGTCGATCATCGATAACATCGTACTATACGTGACCTCCGTGACTGCAAAAGTGCCGCCTATTTTACATACTGTACGGATCCGTGGTGAAGTGTTCACTTACTGTATGTACAAGTACCCAGCTACGGAGTACTATAGGCTAAGGCTGGTCCCCACCAGCTGTCGGCGGATCAGTAACGCCGACTAGCCGACTGTAGCTTCGGCCGGTCCTCTCCCTGCAGAAGTTCCCATGTGGGATGATGCTCAGCGCTCGACCTGGGAGGAAGCCATATTGACATCAGGTCGCTGGTTTCTAAATTTGAACGGGCACCATCTGCAAACATGTTCTCAAGAGCCCTGAGGAGGCGGGCTCTGCCCAGTCTGCGGGCCCTCGAATCAAGAATATCAACACCAATCCAGCGCCGCACCCTCGTCCGCGCACCCAAACCCGGCGATGGCCCTCTGATGGAGCGTCGACCCGACCGCGAACTTCCCAGTACGCCCTCAGGCTTTCTAAATCCTACGTTCTTTCTCTTCTTCTACTGAGCCTCTTGCTAACAGTCCCACACAACAACAGGCGTGGAATCGGTCTCCTTCCGCTGGATGCGCACCTTCCCCATCTTCGTCTTCCTCATCACCCTCTCGAGTCTGGCCATCTTCAACTACCAGAAGCTGTCCTCGCCGACCGTATCCTCGACCCTCTATGCCCTGCGCACCAGCCGCAAGGCCCGCGAGTACCTGGGCGACGAGATCTACTTTGCCCAGCAGATCCCCTGGATCTCGGGCACCATGAATCAGCTCCGCGGCGTCATCGACATCTCCTTCCGCGTCAAAGGCAACAGGAACGAGGGCGTAATGCGCTTCGTCAGCTTCCGCCCCGGCCCCAAGGCCATGTTCGAGACCACCGAGTGGAGCCTCGAGACCAAGGATGGGCAGACCATTGACCTTCTGGATGCAGAGGCTGGTGACCCCTTCAAAGCCCTCGAGGGGAGCGCTTTCCTGGATGAGGACGAGGTGCAGCAGAATGGCAGAGGCTTCAGGACGGAGCTCAAGTGAGGGGCTTGGCTTTGTTCGACGTCTCGTTGAGGTCTTGCGAGCGCTGGGCTGAAGAACGAAAGAGCGAGGCAGAGGTCTGTGCTTTCGCTTCGCCTTGTCACCGGTCTCACAATGGGCAGGTCTGAGGAACCTCGAAACGAGTCGGCCAAACAAGATGGTGTGATGCTCGGCCAATATTTCTCTTTCCCGAGATGCCGGGCAAATGGGAGCAAGTTGGTGGGCGCCTACGGTGATCACCTGCAACGACGGCTGGGATGGCTCGCAGCGATGGGCGTGGGCCGAGTCAATCAGGCATATAGGGGTCTATCTGTATAGTTTGCGGTGAAATGGCGTTTGGAATCCACCAGGGAAGGGTTCACCTGGTCACACTTGTCACACTTGTCAGGACCGCGGGAAAGAGTGTGTGGAATGCCTCTATTGATGTCTTGAGATGACATCGTATAAGTGTACACTGCTGTATATATTACATATGAACACAATGCTCTCAACTCTTGTAGCAGTCATCTTCATCGTACAACCATTTTTGCCCCTTACTGAATCAAAGCACCACCAATTGTACCCTCCTTTCGCATCTCCTTCAACTCCAAATGTCGTACTCTCGCCGCCTCCAGGTTCTGCTCAACATCAGGGTTTCTCTCCATCGTTATCCTCCTGGCCTTTTCAATGAATGTCTTCACCGGAGGATCCTTCTTGATGGCGTCCGAGACCATGACCAGACATCCCTTGGGGCCGGCCACATGTCCCTTGATGACCACGATGCCCATCTCGTTGTCAACCTTCAACACCTGGAGGTTCTGCATCGTCACTCGCTCGCCACCCATGCGTCCCGGCATCTTCTTGCCCGGGTGCACACGGGAACCACCACCTTGACTGGGACCCGTGGTACCAATCGTCCTGTGATTCTTGGAGTTACCGTGCGACGCCCCCTGACCAGCGAAGCCGTGCCTCTTCATACCACCAGCGAAACCCATACCCCTCGAGTTACTCCTCGCGTCGACGAACTGGCCCAGCTTGAACCAGTCCGGCTGCAGCTGCACGCCCACGGGCAGCAGGCCCTCCTCGGTGCGGACCTTGAACTCGGCCAGGTGCCTCTTGGGCGCCAGGCCCTTGGCCTCGTAGTATCCCAGCAAGGGTGCCGTAACGTTGCCCGGTCGCTTGAGCCCTGTGCCCAGCTGCACGGCCCAGTAGCCGTTCTTGGCCCGCGTCTTGTTGGCGACCACCTCGACCTGCTCCATCTGCAGGATCGTGCACGGCGTGCGGCGCCCTGCGGCGTACATGGCCGACACGCCCTTCTTGATGGCGAGGACGCCCGACCGCAGGGGAGTGGTCGCCTCCTTGCGCTTCAGCGCCGCCGCCGGTCCGGCGGTGGGTGCGGGCAGGCCCGACGAGACCTGGTTGAATCGCTGTGTGGGTTGGGATCGGGGCGGCGCCGTCGACCAGCCGTATTGCACGCCGCGCTTGGCCGTTCGGGGGAGCAGGGCGCTGCCGCGTTCTGTGATAAGGACTCGGAGGCTGTTAGTGGTCGTCGTCGTCGTCGTCGAGGACAACAGCTGCTGGGGCAGGGCGGCTGCCCAGCGGGCTGGCATTCGCGGTGCCATTGTCGCTGGGAGCTTTTATTCCAAGTAGTCGCGACTTGGGAGTTTGGCTCTACTTCCAGAAGGCGGGGTTTGCTTTGTGCTTCGGGGCTTGAAAGAAGGAAAGAAAACAATTGACGTTGTCGTCGTCGCCGTCGTCTTCTGCTGGGAAAATCTGTCGCTCCAAAGCTCCTATGATGGAGCTTTGCATTCGAGGTCCTAGCAAAAAATTGGCCGGGCCGTAAGGCGAGTGAGTTGGCAGCTGGCTAGCCGAATTCACGGCTGGCGGGGGCTGGTCAGGTGTGCAGTTATCCAGGCTGTGAACAAATGTGACTTCGAACTTGTGAATATTCTTGAGCCACCAGAACATCTCTGTTTTCAATTCTGAAAATCCCATTCTCTGCTACTGAGCTTACAGAATTTCAGAATGGTTTATTACTTCACCTCAACCGTGGTCAATCCGTCGGCGTTTGTCTATGTTGGCAAGGACAAATTTGAAAGTAGGCCATAAGCCCCTCAGCAGCTTGTGTCTGCAAACTAACAACTTGATTTAGATGAGGAGTTGATCAAATTTGGCTGGGAGGAAGATGTCTGGTGAGTGTTCAAAAATTATCTGTCTACTCAGGACGAATGCTTATGTCTTATAGGGTATGATTGTGTCCTACGGTACCAAGTCTGGCCTCTGGAGTTCTTACATGAGAGTACATAGTTCCACGTAGACAAGCTTTCCTCTGCACACATTTACCTGCGGCTGCCCAATCCTGACGACTCATGGGAGTCGATTCCGCAGGACCTGCTCATGGATCTAGGTCAGCTCACCAAAGCCAACAGCATCGAGGGCAACAAGAAGGACAACATCACTGTTATCTACACGCCATGGTCGAACCTGAAGAAGGACGGGTCCATGGCCGTAGGCCAGGTATCGTTCAAGGATCAGCGAAAGGTCAAGAGAATCTTGGTTCCGACGAGGGAGAATGCCATCATCAACCGCCTGAACAAGACCAAGGTCGAGAAACATTCGGACCTCATGCAGGAGCGGGAAGACATGCTGAAGGCGCGCAGACGGAAGGATATGGCGGCTGTTCAAGCTAGGGTAAGCGGATGGCATTGTCATATTCTTTGGCACATCCCACAGAAATGCTGACCTGAACTCATAGAAGAAGGAAGAGGCACGGCTGGCCAAGGAGAGAGCGGAGAAGAAATACCAGAAGGATCATGCATATGATGACATATTCTCTGAGGAGAACATGGCTGCTTCTAGCAACCAGGATCGGGACGAAGGATGGGAGTCTGATTTCATGTAAACCTGTCACAGTACAGCCTGTCATTTTGGGACAGCCTGACCCTAAGCACAATACAGTAAAATCCACAGGAACTTATGACATATGCATGTTCAAGAATTGCTTGTTAGAGAGAGAAGTCCTATATGTAGCTTGCGACGTTCTCAGACCAACATACTGAATGCACACTCTAAAACGAACAAAAAGCACCAAAAAGTATGGCTGGCTATGAGATGGAGAAATAATCAGGAGCTTGTGACTGGGGTGTGACACATTGCTTAGTATAAACAGGAGCCGGCACTAATTTCCAGCGTCTTTTACTGAAATCTTTCTACGTTGAATACAGTATCTAAATACCAAGAGACGATCCTGATATGGTGGAAGTAAAGAAATACTACGGGCTCACCGTCCCGCGTTAAACAGACATATCAAACTCCTCACAGCCACCATCAAATGGAGATCTGATATAGCGTTCACCAAGCTTTTCATAGTCGTTCCGCGTGTTGCATCTTGCCAATACGTTGATCGCGTGTAGCAAAATAAGCCTACTATAGCCGATGCTGGTATTTTCATAGCTACCAGAGAATCAGTACTCCGCGTGTACATACTGTCTGGTCTGGGTGACCTGGAGGAAGCGCGTGTGGAATTCAGGAGACCGAGCATGAGGGCGCGAAAGCATACTGGACCAGATTTATTGACGGATGCTCCAGGAGCAACGAGGCAGTGTTAAGGGCAGGCCTCATAGTATGATTTTGGTAATTCATGTTAGATTTTGGTCCGATCATCGAGATAGAAACATTCGCGCAGATTGAACAACAACTGGAATGAGGGATACGAGGGCAGCTTCTGTACCTCTCGGCTCCCTTCTCACAATGATTTTCTACACGTCTGGCCCCCTTCCACCAATGCCACTTCCCATCGCATTTACGTTCGTGCCCTTTAGCGCATGATCGTTCGGGTTCGGCGCCGCCTCATACAGTATATTGACCGGGGCGCGACCCAGCTGCATCCACTCGCCCTTGAACCCCAGATAACTCAACCGGGTGACGTCCTCGTCGCCATCCCCAAAGTTATCCTCCAGGAACAGGGTGAGCCGTTGAACCTTTCCGAAGAGAGCACGCTTGACGGGCAGCTCTTGAATGTCCGAGGTCTGCGAGAGCTCGAATTGCTGTGTCGGGTCTAGCTCCGACGCCGTCTCGAAGTCCATGTCCGAGCGGTTGATGAAGACCTTCAGAGTTCGCGGTGCGGAGTCTGAAGGTGAAGAGCGCAGAAGGATGGAGTGTAGTTTTACTTGGCCCGTAAATCTGGACTGTGAGTTAGTATACATATGTTGCTTTGTGGCTTAGGAAACCATTTCTTCTCAGTGGAGGGCAGGTGGCGGCAGGCGATGTTGGGAGACACAAATCCATCATTTCAAGACAATAAAATTTTCCCAAACTTGGAAATGGCGGCAGATTGTACACTTAAATTTTCAAAAACATACGGTATATTTAGAATGATCTGCTCGTCAGCATCGCTCTCGAGCTCCGGTTCGATCTGCAAACGCTCAGCCCACGTCTTTTTGATGATGGCCTTGCCCGAACCTGGAGAAGCCTCATTCATGGTGATGACTGCGTCAAAATCGATATGTTGATACAAGCTGTGCTGCAAGGCTGGCGTGATGTCGTCGGAGTGGTCGTGCTCATGGTCATGGCCGCCCCCACCATGAGAGTGCTCATGCTCGTCGTGGCAGTGTGACATGATGACGAAAAGTTAGAACGATACGACAAGTACTGCGATACGATCGGCTGATGTTCTCGAATATTTTGAGCCTCTGCATTTAAATGTCGACCTTGCTGCCTGTGATGGCTGATCTATTTAAATGCGTAAAGCTTAGGAAGCTCGAGGTGGGACGGTTACAAACGGAATCCACAACACCGCTATATTAAGTCCGAAGCAAGATAATTTCTCATGAAAAATGCAACCACATCTGAAAAATACTCTCGGAAGATGCAACTGAGCATGATCTCAGGATTCATACTCTGTTACATAATTCTGGATTGTTGTTACACAAAATGTGCATCACCGTGCCACGTGATGTCAATTGGCAAACGGATCCCGCCCGTGGGGCTGCTGAAATTTTGTCTTCGTGTAGGAGCGAGGAAAACAAAACGAGTGAGGATATCAAAGTGACGGAAGAAACAATGATTAACTATACATATTTCTATTTTGTTCGGCGAATTGAGATACTCCATACTCGCTATTGTGAAATTCGTGATTTCCGGCAAGTCACAGCCCGCTGAGCGAGCACCGTCCCGTATCAAAACCCACCCTTGCGCCGCTTAATCTTCTTCTTTGGTCTCTCCAAGTCGGACCTTCCTCCGAAAGCTCCTGCGACTGGCTGAGACATAACAATAGCCGGCGCAGATGACTGAACTCTCGGCTGTGAAAACAGACCATTTATGGGCTGGGTAGATTGTGCATAGAAGCTCGTTCTCAGTGCAGGCTGCGTCGATGGAAGCATGTTATGCTCCACCTGTAGCTTGAACAGATTCTCGGCTCGTTTTCGTTTCCGAATTTCCCGCGCTTCTTGCTTAGCTCTCCTCCGCATGCCCTCCGTAACTTCAGTGTTGTTGTCAACGTTGAAGACAGTCCGAGAGGAGTCCTCATCCAAATTCCAGGGTGCTGGGAGCTTCTCCTGAGCCGGAAGTCCTTCACATCCTGTAAGAGCTTTAAGCAGGGGAAAATCTGGGTGCTCTGGAATCTCTGTTGCCGTAGAAAGAGCCGTCGATGCAGGTGTAGATGCACGGCTGCTAGCTTGACTATTTATGACCGAGCTCGGGGCCAAGCTCGATGAACGAATGGTGGAACGAACACTTTCTTGGGTCTCCATGAGCAAGTATTCTGGTAATGGCGGCAAAGACGAGCGAGTATCTGTCGCTGGCATCCGCGTAGGTTTTATGATCTCTGTTGGCAGATATGTCATCCCATGTTGAGAGAGAAATATCTCGCACGCGATCCTGCACAGAACCAAGAAGACAAAATCATTAGTGCGATCATCTGCAAGTTGAGAATCATCTGGTCCCAATGTCAGGCTCACGAGATCGGAGAGCAGGTCTTCAATCGACAAGCCATTTCGCATTGTACGCTGCGGGTGTCCGAGGCCTGTGATTTGAAGTGCAGGGTCTGCGTGGCGCAGTTCATCAATCTCAGCTTGCCATTCCCGACAGGTTTCTCTGTAGTCTTCCGGCATGCGAAAGTGCTGCACCATCTCGGAACTGTTCTGTATTTAGCCTTGATATTCTACATCAAATCACCGTGTAACTCACAACAACTTTCGTGGAAAGCTTTTCGTCTCCAATGCCTCTTGCAGCGCGATGAAAACAGGATCGAAAGGAGCGTCTCCATAAATACCCAGATCTATGGGAGAACCATGGGATTCAGCCAACAGTGCTGTCAACGCATGGCGATATGACTCCATGACGGGTGCTATCATTCTTTGGAAGACCTCGGTTGCCTGAAGCCTGGTGGCAGACTTTGTAGGGGCTGCACGATCTCCCCTATATCTGAACTCGGCGACACTATCAGCGAGAACAAAGCGAGTGCTTAGATAACGAACAGCTCGTTTTCGTTCGAGCTCTACACGAGAGAGTCTGCAGAATTTTGACCGGTACTGAGAGTTTTCTTCAGTGACTTTCTTCGCTCCTGCTTCAGGTAATCTTCGGATTGATAGCAAATCGTCTTTCCACCGATGGTTTGAGCTCATACCGAGGCAGTAACTCAGGCTGAAGTTTGTTCCAAATGAGAAGATCTGAAAAAAGGTTGATTCTCTACTTGAGTGCGCATGTGCACCTAAAGTGAGATCCAATGGTTGCTTGGCCATTAGCAGTGTTGGATGAAGGCACAATGTTTGTAAGCCCCCATCACTAGTCCGTGACGAACTACAGCGGGAAACAAGAGAACCGTGGTGGCACACGATCCTTTCAGGAAATTTTCTGGAGAACCCAATGTAAAACACATCATGCCATTTGCTATGCTGTGAGTACAGAACAACAAGCGATGTGCGATCAGCTGATGAGGTTGGTCCAGCAGTGACTGTCAGCTTCAGGTGTCGGTCGTTCTTATTCCGGAGATGCGGGAATGACTCGAGAATCAGAGCTCTCCTGATTGTCCGCTCCTGCGAAAGGGTATCTGGCGTGAATACCGCGGCCACGAATACCCTCAAGGTCGTGGTAACATAAAAGTAGCGAGGATCTTGGGAATCAAGTTGCACATCAAGTATCAAGTCCTTGCTTCCGTCTGTGATTACGCGCAAATCCGGTAAGAACTCTTCTAAATCAACATCTAGTAATCGTAACATTTTCTGGTTGCAAAGAAGCAGGGTCGAAGATCGTTCTAGCGAGGGGAACACCGATGCTGGTTTAGAGCCAGAAGGACTCTCTTCGTCGAAGTCGTCATCATGGACACTCGAATGACCTAGCCAGAGAACTTTATGCCACTGTGGGTTTGGTGTGTGTTTGCGTGGTAGCCGCGCCAAAATACCATCAAGGATACTGCCACATTTGGTGAGATGAGCTCTTGGTTGTTTGTAGGTCCGCTTTCGAGTTCCTGTGACATCCCAAATGCTCCAATTACCCCCTTCATCGATAATAGCAAGTTGTGCAGGTTTGGATCTGGCTCCAGGATTGAAAGCTACATCGCAATGCAAATTGCACCCAGTCTGGCTCTTCGGGATCGTAAACAACAAGTTGGGGGCAATATAAGATGGGGCCTGTGGCTCCGTGGCAGAGAATGTTTCTGACACGACTGGAACTTTCTGGTACTCTGGGCGAAAAACAGAGGTGCCAAACTCCCTCTGTACCGCCAGCCATCGTACGGGCTCAAACTTCCTAGTGCTGACAATTGCTCTAATGCGTTGGATAGTCCCGATGTCCTTGGTCCAAAGTGTTTCTTGATGCTGTGCATGCTCGAGGAGATGAACATTAGCCTTGCCGTCATTATCCAGTTGCCATATATTTGATACAGGCCTGACAATCCGCAGTACATCACCGGCAGAACCTGCAGCCATCGCAATGAGCGGCGCTCCTATAACCTCCTGTCCATTGCTGGTATCAGTCATTTCGCCAGCAGCGAACTGCGTGAGCTGCCACGAGGAAGTCTGAGCTGTTTGGCCAGACGAGCTCCCGACAGCTAGAAGTTCTCCGAGCTCACTATTGCCAAGGACGGCTTCTGGATGGCTCTTGAGTAGCCACGTTTTCTGTTTCCGGATTTCGTGCCAAGTATCCCGATTCGAAACTGGAGACGGGGAGTGACTGGCAGTGGCAAGCCATTCGTGATGAGAGCCTAGCTCTCTTGTTTCCGGTACTGGTCTATGTTTAATGCAGTGATCAATAAAGCTTGTAGGCCTTACTTACCATGACTCGCATGGTTTCGAACAGTCAGCCAACCTCGATCTTCCGCCCGTTGCACATCAAGTGGATAGTACTCGAGACGTCCCGGGTTGCCGATAATCGTTTCATTGGGACGTTTGTTAGACATCCGGCAAGCGGCTCAGCCCGAATTCCCTTTCTATAGCCCGATCCCTGGGACTTTTTCATAGTAGACAGCCAACGTTAAAGCTCTTTATCACTAATGATGAAAGGTGAGAAGACATGAGAAGATTGTGTGAAGGTGAGAAAACAAGGATCTCGACGCATTTGTTCTCTGATCCCTCGAATAAGCAAATATGAAAAATTGTATGTTTTCTCGTTCACGAACACTGTTGAGCGCAAATGAGCCTGCAACAAGACAGACTTCTGCAGTTTGCCCCGCTAAAAGGTCGGTACCCACCAAGGTTAAGTAAGGTAGGTACTAAAGTAGGTACTCAGGTATTTACTGTCCATAACCCACTGGACTCCGTCCATATCTTCCATATCCTAAGGTTACATATTTTACAGTAGACTGACCTAACCTTTGTGCCCCGCACTGATGGAGCCTAGCAACCCATCGGCGCAAGTAAACAAAGGCACCGACAGCCCTGCAACTTGCAACTTGCAACTTGCAACATTCAAGCCCGCATGAATTTCATATGAAGCCTTCGCATCACAGCACATCATCGGCAACAGCTTAAACCACGACATCGAGGAGTATACCAACAACAACAATAAGTTAAGGCAAGCATACGGTAGCCGACCAATATGGCATCAGTATTCGAGCCTTCCATGTCTGCAAGCTTGAGTCGCCAGCTCCCAATCTCTGCGACAGCACCCTCGATGGCCGACTCGCTGCCCGACATAAACTTTGGCTTCGACGATCTACGCGATCGCATGGCCAAGTTCACCGCCAAGTTCGACGCATTCATCGAGCAAGGCCGCAAGCGCGTACTCGAAGAGCGCAACCAGTTCCGGATGAATGTCGCAGAATTGCAAGGTTGGTCATCCCCGAGGTGGCACAGGTCTAGGGCGCACGAAAAACACACTAACAAACGAAGCAGAGGATCAACGCATGAAGAAGAAGGACATCGAGATCTTGCAGCTCAAGACCTCGACGCATCAACAGACCATATCCAAAGAAGCCGCCGAGACGCGCGAAATGCAGGCCGCGATCGCCTCCTTGACTCAGCAGCGCGACAAGAATCAGGAACACCGCGATACGCTCAAGCAGCAGATCGCCGAGACGCAGAAAGAGATTGACGCAAAATTGGCTGCTCAGCGTGCGCATGCTGCGTACATGGAGACACAGTCGCGGTTCAACGTCCCCGAGTTAGACTTCTGGATGTCCAATCTGTGCATGAAGATAGAAGGCGCAGGCCAGACAGACAGGTTAAAATTCGTATATAGCCATGTGGACGAAAGGGACTGGGAACGAGAAGCTTATTTTGAGCTGTGCACGGGTTCTAGGGACTACGACGTGAGGCACTGCCGTCCAAAATTGGAGAGAGAGAAGGTTGAACGGGTACTGGAAAAGGTCAACGAGACGAGAGAGCTTACTACACTGTTGAAAGGAATGAGGGAACTATTTGTTGAGGCGATGAAGGGGTAGGCGGAGGAATATGGACAACCTAGCAGACTTTGAAAGAGTATTTGAACACTCTCTTTCATCTTGTGTCGGGTGCCATGCATCATACAACTGTTCACACTTTTCTCCCATACTTTCTGGATACACATACTGGCAGGCCATACCAAAGTTGCCAGGACTGTAGTGGTTCTTGCTCTCCAGGTTGGAAGATTTGCAATACTATTATTAAGAGCAAACGCCTTAAGCATAGGATTTGGTGGTTCCATTTGAGTGTCTTGACTAAGCTTTCACAGCTTGCATACCATGGAGATTGGAATGATAGAACATTGATCATTGTATTAATTCTCACTTTCTGGAACGGGATCGTACCGCAATGATGTTCATGTTTTCCAAGTGCTACCTATATAAGTATACAAGCCACTGTTGGTGCAACATTACTGTACCTGAGTACGACCCACTGACTCCACGGATATTGGAGATGTACCGCCTGAAGCTCCAGAGTGCCCCACTACTGCCCCTCGACGCGCCAGACAGAGAGGCCCCAGCCCATGGCTTTCCTAACACGCCTGGCGGAGCGATCCGACTTCTCGAAAGTCCCCAAACTCGATCCTTTGTCTTCGAAGATGCCGCCAACTCGAGAAGAAGGCGAGAAGCAGCAGGCGGCTCAGCAAGCCGTGGACATCTTACACGAAATCTCGACCATTCTAGTTCGTCTCCCAATTGAAGGTCAACCAAGGCAGCCCGCCTATCGCAATACACATAGCGGGGCATTGCTAACCTATTTGTGTGTTTGTTTCAGAACTGCCAACTTGATAGGAGGACGCTATCTATTTGTATCTCCATGATTGAGAACGGTGTGAACCCTGAGGCTCTTGCTGTGAGTTTCTCGTTACAACCATCAAGAGCGCAAAGAGACGCTAATCATAAATGGGGTGTAGCAAGTAGTCCAGTACCTCCGGAAGGAGGCCCAGAAGGAGAAGTTCAGGGGCAGAGATCGTGGCCAGGAAGTTTAATGTGCGACTTAAGTTTAACCCATTCCAGCCGCTATGTATGGTTAGGAGTGTGGTGGTATATTTCTGCCTGTTGATGCGTTAAAGGGTTAGGCGTTGCACTGGGATAGGAGTTCGTCGCACAGTCTTTGGACGAGCTGTTCGCTGCTTCTAAGAGCACTGGAGTACTATGAAGATTCATACCTCAAATTCCAGCAGATCCGTACTACAAACGACTTCTCAGTTGAGAAACATCACAGCTACGACTGATCGGGATAGTTTTTGCTCGCAATAATGGCTAAAAACAGATACAAGTGGCCTGTCGAATCCTCTGGCTCAAGTGTTGTCAAACATAAGCCCAAAACCAGTATATTGCCCTTATTTGGCCGCATCGCCCTTCTTTGCATCGTCCACTAGACTGTCCGCCATGGCATCAGCAGTTGCTTGCTTCAACCTCTCATTGTCGTCCGTTTTGGTATCTTTCGATGTCTTATCCTTGGTCTCCTTCTCGTCTTCACTGTCACCAAGACTGAAGGGATCGTGGTCGGCAATAGGATTTGGGTCAACGGCGGACATTGGCTGCCATTTGCTTGCTTTGCTTCCGGGTGATGGAGCGGCTGTGTTGTCCTTTGGGGGCAGCTTCGGTGATACGCTATAAGGGTCATCAATGTCATCGTGGCCGTCTTTGAAAGCGACCTTACGGCCCTCGGGTCTGGGCGACGGGGACGACCTGGGTGGCGGTCTATACACATTGGAATTGCTCGGCCGCCCTTGAGGTGCGGCTGAAGCCAGTTAGCATCGGAAATTAACAGATTTGACACTATTTTCGACTTACTGCCATCTGGGTTCAACCTGATTCCCGCGAAATCGTCGCTTAGTACCTGAGGATCTGCGTCATACCGATCGTAATCTGTGCTCCTGCGACCCGCCTCGGCACTGCGGCTGCTACTCCCCGGCTGGTTTCGTCTCGAAGGCTGAGACTCATCTTCCTCGGAATCATACTCGCCGTCGATGCGCTTTTTCAGGGCTGTAAACCAGGTGTTAACCTTGGACTGCGTCTCCAGGAAACCTTGTCGGAACTGTTCCTTGATAACGGGTAGATCGTCGTCGATGAAGCTGTGTTCCCGGTCATACATTTCGTTGGGCTTCAGACCAGTGGCTTGGCGGCGGTACGGTGGCTGCCCAGGCTGCCCAGGACTACGGTTCTGGGTTCTTCGCTCGTAAGCCGCATTGTCGTAGTGTTCGGCCAGTTGCCTAGCATATAACTCGTCGGCCTCCATCTGGGACATCGGGGCACGGCCCGTAGGTCGGGGCGGTTGTGGAGGCGGAGGAGCCTCGCGCTCGGTCGGCTCATCCTTAATGGCGTCAGGGTCGCTCATGCTCAAGAGCGCATTGAAGGCCGGATCGACTCGGCCCCCGCTGGCCACAAGCACAGCCTTGATAACTGTAGCATCGATGCTGGGGAAGGCCTCCTTCAGAATCTGCTCGTTCTTTTGAGTTTCAGTCATGGGCCGAGGAGGCTTCGGAGGAGCCGCCTCGTCGGTCGCTGCCGGAGCCGCAGTTATTGCAGTCGCGGAAGTTCCAGCAGAAGTCGCAGGAGCTTGGTGCGTGCCATCGTCGCCAAGAAAGCCAGCCTCTTGGACGTCATCGTCGTCCATATCGAATGGCTTGACAGTGGTTGGCGACTCTGGATTCGAGATCATCGACGTCCGCTTGTTCTATTTCAAGTGAGTGTCAGCGCTTGGCGTTGGTGCTCGTTATCGATACCAATGAGGATCAAGTGCGGCATTGCTCTATAACGTGCGAATGAATGAGGCCGGTCATGTGAAACTTACGGTCTCAGTCGGAGCTGCCATATTGGCGATATCGCGCAGATAAGGATGATTCTAAACAATCCGTGTACTGTTGAGAGAGGTCCAACCTAGATGAGCGACTCTTCAGGCTAGTTTGTAAATAAAAGCAAGACAATGAAAGCCTTCTGTGGTCCTTATAAAGTCCACCGGTCTGAAGAGGATAAGTCGCCTGTTGGCAAGGCAGCTTAGAATCTCGGTGTTAGGGGCAGCCGATCAATCGTAAGGGTCGTCCAAGCGTCGTCATTCTTGCCTTGGGAACAAGAGCATCAGTCGCGGATGATTGGCTAACACAGCTTAGCCTGACAGCTTGTGCCACGGTGCCACATGCCAATTCCATACTTAGAGTCGTTGCGCCAAAAGCCACAGTGGAACATGTATGCTGCCTGGAGAACAAACTCAAGCTGAGCTCAAGCTGAGGCGCTGGTAAAGAGGATATGTATCTACTCGAACTTATAACTGTGATTTACTATTTGCTGCGAGTCGTTACTAGTGTTGTAGGTCATTATCGAAGCATCTGTGTCGGATTCGACGCTGCACACTTTTCTGGGTTCAACATTTGTGACATGCACATATTCACCTCAGCCTATTTGGTGGTGCTGAGCTAAAACGCAACGGCACACTACAATTTTTTGCGCATTGCATGCCATTGAACCAACCAGATCCAGCGTGCGCTACAGGGTAGACACGGCGCCTCTTTGCAAGCAAGCACGGTCTTTCTTATCTCTGCCACAACCTTTGCTGTGTTTTCGAGCTTGAACAATGGCAGAGTTAGATCTTGGCTCGAGTTTTATTCCTGCCTTGCATAAACCTTCAGCCTTGCTTCCAATTGCAAAGCACCGAGACAGTCTACTTTACTTGATCGAGACAAAGCAAGTTACGATTGTCGTGGGGCAGACGGGCAGTGGTAAAACCACACAGCTTCCTCAGTTCCTTGCGCAAGCAGGATGGTGTGACGACGGGAAGGTGATAGGCGTCACGCAGGTACGTCCATGCTCCATGTGCAGGCTCAATTGTTGAGTAACGAGGCTGATTCAATACAGCCAAGACGGGTAGCTGCCACTACTGTTGCTATCAGAGTGGCAGAAGAAGTCGGGTGCGAACTGGGCACGGATGTTGGTTATTCCATCCGGTTCGAAGATATCACTTCGGCTGCGACAAAAATTAAGTTCCTGACAGATGGACTTCTCATTCGAGAAGCTCTGGTTGATCCTCTACTTTCTCGATATTCTGTGATCATGGTTGATGAAGCCCATGAGAGGTCCATCAGCACAGACATCCTTCTAGGACTTCTGAAGAAAATTCTCAAGCGAAGGCGAGATTTGCGAGTCGTCATTAGCAGCGCCACACTTCAGGCCAGAGACTTCCTAGATTTCTTCGCTCGGACACCAGACGACAAGGGAACCAACGGATCAAGGGATCATGAGACGGGCTCAATCATCAGCCTCGAGGGGAGAACATATCCCATCGATGTCTTATACCTGGAATCGCCCACAGAAGACTACGTGGAGAAGGCCATATCAACAGTCTTGGACATCCATACCAAAGAACCTGGGGGAGATATACTGGTATTCCTTACTGGTCGTGAGGAAATTGACAACGCAGTGGAAACCATTTCGGCTAGAGCTGCCGAATTGCAGACTAGATCACAATCAATCTTAGTCCTGCCTCTTTATGCTGGACTTTCGACTGAACAACAGATGTATGTTTTCGAAGAGGCACCTAAAAATACAAGAAAAGTCATCGTATCCACAAATATTGCTGAGGCATCCGTCACCATAGATGGGATCGTATATGTCGTCGACTCCGGTTTCGTAAAGCTTCGCGCCTTCGATCCAAGAACGGGGATCGAGACTTTGACAGCATCCCCCGTCTCAAAGGCCTCTGCATCACAGCGTGCGGGCAGAGCCGGTCGAACAAAACCTGGCAAATGTCTCCGCCTTTTCACCGAGGAACACTTCCAGACACTCCCAGATGCAAATATACCCGAAATTCAAAGGACGAATCTCGCACCTTTCGTGCTGCAACTGAAGGCATTGGGTATCGATAACGTCGTACGGTTCGACTACTTGACACCCCCGCCTGCGGAGCTCTTGATCAAAGCCACAGAACTTCTCTTCTCTCTTGGAGCTTTGGACGACTATGCAAAGTTGACGAGACCACTCGGAATGAGAATGGCAGAGCTTGCAGTTGAACCCATGATGGCCAAAACTTTGTTATCAGCCGCATCTTTCGCATGTCTTAGTGAAATTCTCACTATAGCTGCAATGACTAGTCTGGGCGGATCGATTTGGATTCAACGCGACGGGGAAAAGAAGCAGATGGAATCCGCAAGGCGAAAATTTGCAGCCGAAGAAGGTGACCACCTCACTTTACTCAACGTATATCAGACGTTTATAACGAAAGGAAAGAAGGAGGCGCGATTCTGCTACGAAAATCAATTGAATTTTAAGGCGATGAGCCGCGCTGTAAGCATTCGTGCACAACTCAAGCGGTATCTTGAGCGCTTCGGCGTCGTGGTTGACCAGACTCTCAAGGCCTCATCGACAAACAAAAGCGAACAGATCAGAAGGTGCCTTACTACAGGCTATTTTGCTCATGCAGCTAAAATGCAACCTGATGGCAGCTTTCGCAATGTGGAAGGAGGCACTGTACTCTATGCGCACCCGAGCTCCTTGATGTTCAATCGAAAGGCCGAGTGGGTAATATTCCATGAGATCATGGAAACTGGAAACAAAACCTTCATTCGCGATGTAACCAAAATCGAAAAGAAATGGCTCCTGGAGTATGCCTCCGATTTCTATCAGCTAATGCCTTAACACAGGGTAGGCTCAAAGCAAGCTCAAGCTTTACTTGACATAAGCAAGCAAAGAACGGCCTGGCTTCACGCCAACTGGTGACTGCATCATCCATAATAATATGCGATCAAAGTTCACGATCCCCGCAACTTCACCTTTAGTACTCGGGTTCCATACGGTGAAGGCTGCAGAAATCTCGTGGAAGCTACTGAGGACTCGGAAATGCGATTTAGGTGCAAACCTATCAACCTTTCTAGGGTTAGGAAAGTCGCAGAACCCCTGAGTCGTCATTCGAGGTACATGAGCGACCCAGTGTCACAAACATTATGCTTGTGATGAATCCTTTTTGACTTGCATTGTTACTCGATCATTGTTGGCATAATTGCGACTGGCCAATTGTCATTACAGTTTGCGAGTCAGTTTTGGATCTATTAGAACAGCCGTTCGCCGATCTTTGGTGGCGTTGACATATAATAGTAGCCCGTGAAGCTTCAGTCTTCGGGCAATGCTTCTCGTAGATTCCCAATCTTGACTCACTACAATGGTACTGGAAGTGTGTGTCTTGCACATACCGTGAAAGATCGGTTTCAGCCAGTACATATCTCTAAACAATTGAATCTATTTCATTTGTTCGTCCCCACACTTCATCTGATGTTTTTGATTCTTGGTCCGTGAATCCCAATCAAAAGAGCCATCCCATACTCCGGGTACGACACTTCGACGCGGGGATTCTTCAGCCCCTTCATGTATGCCGAAAGGTTACTGCAGCTCGAAAAGTACATAAGTAGTCCTAGTTATCCTCGGGCACACGCATTCACCGCAATATTGAAAACACTCAGAGCACATAAGCCTGCAACCACTTCAAATTAGAAGTTAGTGGTACAATAACTCTCACACAGCCCTGCGGGGACTTCTCCACCGCAAGGTATCGTGCTCTTCTTGCAATTTCATCCTACCATAACTCCGTAGACAAGTGTTCCAAAAGATTGATCTGGAAGGATGCACTGATGTCATCTCTGTTGTGATTTCAGCAGAGTCTCGCCATGGCCGAGAATAATAGAAACAATCAAGCCTTTTTATGCGCTAAAGTTCGAGACTTCAAAGTTCTGTTCTCCTGCACACAATAATAAGCCTCATTGGCAGCCTTCGCCCCCATGGACGGCCCGCAATTCTAAGCAAGCCCCAGCCGAGCAGACCGGCCGCCGCCGCTTGTGATTCGCGTCCTCTCCTCGACAAGCTTGAAAATGCCTGGGTTGTTCCCCTGAGCCATTCAGTGTTGGAGGAGTAGTGATCGCTTATTTTCATCTCGGGGAACAGTAGTAGCAATGTATCGTCCCACTCGAATTTATGAGCGGAGTGACCTGTTCATCTGAGCGAGGGGGGCACCGTCTGTTCGCCTGTAGCGGTCTAGCAGGCTACTGGCTGGGCAATAGCAGGGCACTCCTGGGCCTGCTCTTTTGGAAACAGGTCGAGAGCCATCATTGGCGGGACTGATATGGGCTCGAGGCAACGACAGACTTGGCTCTAAGAAACAAACAAGATTAGCGCCCGATATAATCCATGTCGGTTCTCCTGTTCCTGCATTGAGCCCCTGCACCGTTCCTCCCAGGATTCTCATCCAGAGGAGGCCCGGAATCTCATGTGTCGAAGAACATGGATGGGCAGTGACAAGTTGTCAAGATGGTGCTAAACGAGTTGTTCGCTTTGGAGACAATCCTTTGCGCCGCGATCCTCGAGATGGTGTGGCTGTAGCTGTAACTGTAACTGTGACTACATACAGATTTGTCTGCGAGGAATTCTGGCGAGGCATTCTGTTGCCAATCGACGACTCCAAGCTAAGTACATAGTACGCTCATACCAAGCAATCCCAAGGTTGCGAAGCCCTCTCCACCCCCTGCTTCATTTCCGCCAAATCAATTTCAATTCGTCGTCCCCTGGTCCCAAGCACCATCAATCTAGAGCATTAGGTACATGGAGGTTGTATCCATCGTTCTCCACACATTTGCAGGTGGCTTTCATCTCCTTCGGGTTGGCCTGACTTCTTCCGTTCTTTTCTCCCTTATCCCATTCTTCGACCGCCTCAATCCTCAATCCTACAGGCGTTGCTTGAGAATCGGTCAATCGACCTTTTTTTTTTTTGCCTGCTTTTGGCGTGCCATTCTTTCGAACAACCAACTATCTAGTCACTCTTTTTCTATACACCTCTTGGGTCACTCCTTTCCCAATATTGCTTAAGGAGGATAATCTGTTGCCAAAAGTGCTTACCCAATAATTTTCACAACTCGATTTACGATCTTGAACACTATCCCATACCACCCGAAACCCGGCTTCGAACATTTCTCTTGTTTCCCGGTTATGCTCCAACCTTTCTACCAAAGCTAGAACGCGTCGTCTTGCCAGCCCTTTGTAATCATTTCTCTGTAATAGCGACCGTCTTTGGATTACTATCAACCAACGTTTGTCCGTTCGAAGGCCAAACAGACCTGGGGAGAGCCGCAGTTATGGAGGGTCACTTTCACAGCCACGGGCATCACCATCTGCATAGACGTGCGCATCAGGTCAGCTCGAGGATATCTACCATGCCGACCGAAGAGGTGGTGAGTTTGGCAAAGCGAGCCAAGATTACTGAGCCGGTGCCTTCAACCAACACATTTTTATCCCTCTTCCGACGAGCGACTTGCGAGAGCGGCGATACCTCATCTGCCTGTGAGAAACCAGTTGGTGGCTCAAGTTTGACTTTGATCATTACCTTGGCTGTTTGGTAAGTGGCCCGCTCCAACTCGACGTTTTGTAGTCCTGACTTCCATCCAAGTATTCCTATATTCCTTGCATTCTGTGTGCTCATCTACTTGCACCGCCGAACCAAGAGGTTACAAGCGAAGGAGGATCAGGATGACAGATACAAGTCAATGGATTTTGGAATGGGCGAAGCTAACGCCAAGGGTTCCAAGAGAAAGAGCAAGCTTTTTGGGGGTGAGAAGGAGGGCAGCCACGCCAAGGGGCTTTCGATGGACATGAACTTGTCAAGCCCGTATTTGCTACCAACAGGTCCGCAACAGTCTCACGAGTCGCTCAATTCATTGGCACGGACGTTGCAGAACCAAGAAGACCCTTACCGACATGTTGATTCGTATCTTGGAAGCGATGCTGCCTCGATGCGGTCTTTCCCCAAGGGAGCTGACGGCCGAGCATCTGTCTTCACGGCCCGCACGAACATGAGCGGCCGTGACTCTCCCAGAGTGGCACCAAAAATGAATTTTCCTGCCCGCCAGGGATCGATACCTACTGCTCCACTGCCCCAGATTCCTGCTGCTAAGGAAATTTTCCGCGAGGAAGCCAGCGGAACCCCCCCTCCGCAATATGCCCCTCCATCCAAGAATGGTTTCAACTTCACCGACGATAATACTGCGGCGCCCCAGGTCGGTGGCGAGCATGTTACCATGCCTGCAATGCCTGAAATCCAAGAACCAGCGCCAATTGCGAAGCCGCTTGGTCAGAAAGGCGTCCAAGTGACCGAGCGCCCAATTTCGTACGAATCAATCAAGGCTGCTCAACCTTTCGTGGGTGCAGTTGCTGGGGATAGGGACTCTTCCGCACTGCCGGCTTCGGATTTATACCACGGAAACGTTGGCGGACTCGGAATCATGGGCGCAAATGCTCCTCAATCAGCATCCAAATTAGCCCCGATAGACACTACACCAGTGAGCTTGCGACCGGGCAGAAAGGACTCTGCACCGGTGGTGTCAGAAGTGCCTTCCGAGTACTCTGATTATGCAAGCTATGGCCAGTATGATTACCCAGAAGAGGATGACGACAGAGGACGACGGGCAAGCCGAGCACCTGCGGAGCAAGATCCCCCTCATCCTGCTGCACTTGGCGTCCCGAACATGGACAACAAGCGCTTGTCCGTCGGTGTCCGCCCGTTGCCTCCGGCTGACTATCTTGAGTCCGAGGACCCGGAGTTCAGAGCCAACCGCATTCGATCCTTCTACAAGGAGTACTTCGAGGATGGCTCGGAACCAAGGCCTCCCATGCCCCAGCCTCAAAAAGCGCAATACTACGAGGATTACGACGCAGGCTACGGTGGCGACGCACCTTACTACGACCCAGCGTCCAATGCCTTCGTCATGCCTTATGCTGAGCCAGTCACCCGCCGCGCCATGACACCACCTCCTAATAACAGAAGACCTATGCCTGGTCCTAGACAGGGTGGACCTCGTGGCCCCCCTGGGCCCCGTGGTATGGGAATGGGATCACCAGGACCAGGAGCCAGGCCCCGCGCTGGTTCTACCATGTCCGGCGGACGATTTGGTCCTATGAGCCCCCGACCCGGCTCTTCCGCCTCGGCACGTATGGGTGGCCGTCCCGGACCGAAGAAACCCGTTCCTCCGCCGTCCGCCCTTTCCACTTTGCCCACCGCTTCCAAGGTCCAAGATGAGCACTTCATGATCTTGAACCCCATAGACTTCGCTCCTCCTCCCACTTGGAAGGATAAGGCCGCCGGCCGATCGCAAAGCCCCATGGGTGAACGACGTGCCTACAACCTGAATGTCCCGGTTTCCTCGCCCCTGGTGAGCTCATTCGACGACACTCCAACCCTGCCTAGCCCGTAAGTGCTCCCACTTCCACAAACTGAGACATGCATCTAACAGCCTCTAGTCACTTGTTGCGCAAGTCAGGCACCTTCACGTCATTGGACTTTGCGCCTCCCAAGAGATTCAAGGATCCCGACTCCATGAGCGATGCTGGCAGTGTGCGCAGCATGGGTAGTGGCATTTCGGCCATGCAGAACAAGGCTCTTCGCGACGGTGCTGGTCGTATCAGCCGTCTGCCGGAAGATCAAGTCTTCACCCAAGCAGCGCTGGGCAATGTGTTGAAGCCGAATTGGGGAATGCGAGACTAAGCTCCATCTCCCAATTGTCTCTTGGTCTTGCATTTCCAGCGGCGTTGTGATTTTCGAAAGCTTCTTGCCATCTGTTGTACTGATAATGTCTTTTTCTCAATATTTTTGAGACCGGAGTATCTAAGGGTCATGATGGATTCATATACTTGCATGGCAGCACTACACATTTTGATATATATAGATGAGGGAAAAGGTTGAATAGAGTGCTATGCTTATAAGCTGTCGAGAATCTTGCAAAAACACATTCAGACAAGCCAGAAGTCGAAAAATAGAAAATTCCGACAAAAAGTTCCCATAACAAAAGTTCAATAAATCTCGAACAAGCTGTCCTCTTCAAGATATTGGGGTTGCAGTTGGATTAAGCTATGAGATATGTGTAGGTCGTTTTATCGTTGGTGCATGATTTAACTGTTTCCGGCAGGGCAGGGTCGATTCAACTGGTTCAGACAGTCGAGTTAACAAACGAGAGCCACACCCTCAGCTTCAATATATGTAGATAGGATTAAATTGATCAGATCCATTGAAAAATTGGGCAATACGAGTCTCAGGCAAGGTCCTTATTAACAAAGAGCCGCTAGGCACCCCGCCGATATAGTGATGTTGTGCCTACGTATGTGTAGTGCACAGAGCTCTTATTTGATAGCGTGAATAGTATGAATGTTACGACGAAACACTAGCAACGATGGAGGACGAAGATGATCAACATCCAGCTACCCGTCCTAACTTAGATCGGGCGGCCAATTTGGAGACCAAGTTGCGCTCGCTCATCGATCTTTGGCCGGAAGACAAGGAAAGGACCACCTGCCTTTCTGGGTAACCTGTGGCTCACGCAGCGAACGAGAAAGCTCCGACTGCCGGCTGGCATATCCGGGTGCATATCTAGATGACGTTGGATTGTTAATGCGGACCGATTACCAGAACGTTGGGGTAATAATAAGCAAGGGTCAATTAGATAGGTTCGCAGAAACTTTGAAAATAGCCAGGGTTTGGAAGGGTTGTAGCAGATTGTTGTTAATGCCAATCGTGGTGACGGGATTGCACTAGGCACGTCATTTTGATATTGAGCATGTAGTAAAACCTGGAGCGCTAGGGGGTTTGGGTGGTTTGGCCGGATTTGAGGATAATGGGACAGCGTGCGCATGCCAGGTCTAATCAGACGAAAGAACACATGTTGACAGGGCAAGACCAAGTGGAAGAAAAAAATAAAAATAAAAAGGCGAGATCTGGTAGTTCCCTACAAAGGGTGGCGACCATAAGGACTAACGATACCGGTAAAAGTTGAAGTATAAAGGGAGGTGCTTAAAAAGATACATCTGTACAGGCCGCGATAACAAACGAGTTCACTATGACTAAGAAACTAAACTTGGCAAGATGAAATGTCTAGAGCTCAACGAGAGAAGTCGACCTGTGCCGGCGTAAGTTCTGCAATGCACACGAGGAGATATCCATGGAAAATGCGATGGGTATGCCGTCTCACCATGAACTTTGAGGTTATCTTGCGGCCTAGTAAGGATTTGGGTCCTCATAGCAACTCCATAGTCCAAAGCTTAACAATGGTTTCTTGGCTCGCTAGAGACGTGGATAGGATATGGGATATCACATGCTATCGCGTATTTGGGTGCCAAAATATCAGATACTGGACAAAAGGTTCGGTTCAAACGAGATGGTATTACGGCATGTCAGGGGAACGGTCGGCGGTACGGCACAGAACCTAAGTACCTAAATATTACTCCATTCCAGCCCAGCCGTATTTTTACAGTGTATAAAACAACTATATGGTGTATAGAACAGGCGGACAATAGGGTTAAAATATTCAAGGTCCCCATCAAGTTTCTAGCCTGCCGTGATTCCCGGAATATTAGCAGGCCACTAGCAACGAGTTCTGGGAGTTACAGGTATAAGCTTTGTTGTTAGTCTAGGCATAGAGTGTAACCGAGCGAATTTAGCAGGCACAGAATCCAGCCAGAATTTTGAAACTATAGTGACGAATGAATGATGGTCGCAGTTCAGAGAAAAAAAAAATTGTGGCTGTCTAATTGCTTTGATAACATTGTGCGGCCTGCATGGCATCCCGTGAGCTATGTTAAAATTTCACCCGAGATTGGATTTGCTGCCAGGATAATATGCCGCTTCTGCTGAACATGTAAACATGTAAACATGACACGCGACATCACAGCTCACACGTTGTTAGTTGTATCGAATCCACATAGCGCTATACCCACTGAGACTTGCCAAGACGACAGAACTTGAACGGCGTGGGAAAATCGGTAGACTTGACGGCATAAAACATGCCTTTACGAGATCATCTCCTTGTCGGAAAAAAAAAACCAGGAACCAAAAATCCCCCGAAAAGGGGACCCGGAGGCTGAATCAAGGTTCTGGGAGAATAGATATGACTTACAACGGGCAATCCGCCCACTCCACGACGCCACCACTTCCAAAGAGCGCCGACTATCTTCTCGGGAATCACGAACTCAAAATCGGTACTTAACTTCCGGCAACATTTAACAAAACAAAGGAAGATAGTGCGAGAAAAGTACAGTGAGTTCGGAAGGCTGAAGGGTTATACGAAAAGCGATTGTCAGACACGAGAGGCGAAACATCAACACGAGACGAAGCCATCGATGGACCTTGCCTTCCAAAACATCCAAAAACCTTTGAGAAAACAACAGGCTTCAGAAACAACAAACAGTTGGGAAAATAAGACACAGTTGTCATTGGTTGTGATCTATGGTCTGTCGAACCGATCAAGCATTGCATGACAGCTCGGCATTGGATCTGAAACTATAACGAACCCCTCGACATAGAGCGAGCGGGAAGAATACTTACAGTACCACCAACTGCACACAGCACACTCGACAAATCGTCACTTCTCACGGCCAATCGTCGATGCTGGCAGCAACGATTCCAACGAGCGGAATACGAGCAGCAAGTTTCTGGTTCTTGGCAAAGGCACTCCGCAACAGCACACATCAAGTGCCTGGATCGGCATAGCGGGCTCCAGCCTAACGAGTCGCTAGCAAGGCACCGTCGTACCGGCACCGGTCAAATCCGCCCGAAAAAGGCATCAGCAATAAGGTAGCAGCAAGCAGCAGCAGCAGCACCACAAAGAACCACGACCTCTTGCTTTAGTCCGTGAGTTGGTGCGAAAACTACAGCGATTCTGCACCAAGTTTGTCTCTGCAGCCGCGGATCCGAAGAATCACTTTTGCGCGCTTGCAAATTGCAGTGTAGCCACTCGTTTTCATCCCCTTTCAATCCCTCCTTCAGCCTTTTACGTGAGGACATTCCAGCTGTCAGTTATATCTTCAGCTGAAGACATTCATTTTCATTACTACAAGGCCAACTCAAAGGTCTTGGCGCATGCCTTGCCCTCCAGCTACGGTTGTCCGTCCCAAAACAGATTGAATGCGGAGATTGACGACAGGGAACACCGGCTCATCTTCATTCACTCGCTCCTAAGAATCTTGCAGCATTCTGTCATTGGCCTCGCCTTGCTGCTGGAACCCCTACCTGCAGCAGCCCACCCTGTTCGCTCTGAATCAGAATTCTCCTCTTTTCGCAATCTCACATCCTCCCCTCATTTAAAAGAAAGTTGGCTCGGCGACATCATCCTTGAGCTATTATCACTTGGCCTCGAATTGGACGCATTCTGATATTTTTCGAATATTTCATTTCCTGGCAACGTCTTTTGAGACATTGTGCCAGTTTGGAACATAGGGACCTCCTAGGATCAGCGGGCCGGGCGTCATTCTGTCCAGTCGTTTTTCCTTGTTTCCCCCCAGTCGACGCTCACAACGAGCCGAGAGACAACCAAAAAAACGACACGAGGGACGCACTCAGCCACGCTGACTAGCGCCCGTCGTCCAATCGCCCCTAGGTCCAGCTTTTACCTCAAGACTGTGCTAAGGCGCTGGCTGCAGCAGCTCTGCATTAAGCCTGAGCGCCGTCATCCAAGGGCCAGCCTGGGTCAGACTTGGACTCTTACAGGCCAGAAGTCAAGTGTCAGGTCGAGAGGTCAGAGGCCAGAGATCAACGTTACTTTGTGTGGGCGCTGCGTTTAGCTCCATTCAGTGTACTGTGTTTTTTTCTTAACCCATTCGATATCTCCTCCCCCCATCACTGTCTCGCATCTCCAGCGTCTCACATCGTCAAACTCGAAACAAGTCGTCAAGTCATTCACCAACCACTTGCGCTTCTCTCGTCCAGTCTTTTGGACTGCGGGAAAGCCTAGCACGACCGTCGAGTTTGCTCAAGGTACGCAAACATGCCCTCTTCCTGCTGATCTCTTATTGTGTCGCGCTCAGTCCTGGGACTGTTTTGAGACAATTGCCAATTGGACCTGCAATGGGGTTTGTCGCAGCGCCCTGACATACATCGGCGCACATTTATCACGTCGGTCGCTGATTATCGTTCACTCGCATTGCAATCAACAATTCAATTGGCGATGTCTTCATTATTTGTGGCTGTTATTCATCGCCTTCGTCATCATCACCTCTATTTGAGCCCGCTAACATGATCCCTCCTGGCAGGCACTTCTCTAGGGTGAAAGTCGTAAGACAATTCACCATGTCTTCCAATACTACAAGTACGGGCACTGGCACCACTACTACCGCAGCTGGCCCGACAACTGCGTCGAGTCCGCTCACCACTCCCACGAGTCTTATTTCTGTAACTCAAGAAGAGGCGTCCACTAACACTCCTACCACCACAGCTCCCACGGAGACCACTGCGGAGACCACTGCCGCAGCTCCCACTACTTCTACAAGTGCGGAAACGACGCCTACTACTGCCGCTCCCACTTCAGAGACAACTTCTACAACGCAGACAACTCCTGCCACGTCGACCACACCTACTACACTTGCCACATCAACAGCGGCCACAACTACGCCAACGAGCACCACGACAACACCAACGTCTGCCGCGACTCCAACAACGACAACACCTACTGCGACACCAACAACAGCACCAACGACAGCGCCCACAACCACCTCGCCTACTAGTCCCACCACAGCGACAACACCCACCACATCGCCAACATCTACCACGCCCACGACTACTGTCGTCACGACAGAAGTCACCTCTAGCCAAAATGGAAGTACTATGGTCATCACCATTACCTCGACACGAGCTGTCGATGGAGCCGCAACTTCCAGTGGTAGCAGTGCTTCGTCAACATCAACTTCTGGTATCATCACAGGTGACAGTTCTAGCAGCGGCAGCGGTCTGAACTCATCTGGCAAGATCGCCGTGGCCGTTGTAGTGCCAATTGCCGCCGTAGCACTTCTTGTTGTTGCCGCAATCTTCTTCTGGCGGAAACGAAAGTCTCGAAAGGACGCCGAAGAAGAGAGGAGGAAGGAGGTAGAGGACTACATGTACAACCCGAATGCTGATCCCACGCTTCCCGATGTTGCTGGCAGTACTGGCGGCGCCTACGAGATGAAGGAGGACGCCTCTTCTTCAGGCTACCGTGGTTGGGGATCGACTACCCTCGGTGGCTCTACTGGACGGAAAGCATCGACTACCATGTCCGGTGGTGCAGCAGGTGTGGCTTACTCGGACGGCACTCCCGCCACTCAATACGGCAATGCATCTGACACGCGATCAGGAGAACCTCTGATGAGCGACGGCTCTCACTCGCCCGAAGGTGAAATTTTAGGTGCCATGGGTCCGTCAACCGCAGAAAACGCCCGGGGAAACGTCCATCGTGGACCGTCGAACGCTTCGTCCTCATACAGTGCTGCCGGCCGTTCTGACGGCTCTGGCGAAGTTGGCGTGGCTTACGGCGGCCCTGGATATTACGATCAGTATAGCCCCTACGACAATACCCAGCAGGGCGGAGGTCAACCAATCATTCGTGACAACCCGGCTCGACGAAACACTCGGATTGAGAACCCATCTCACTTTCCTCAGCAAAGCGCCGGCATCTCGCAGAACTTCTAGTTAGACTGCGTCATGAGAGGCTTTCTGGTGGACTTCTTTTTTTCTGTACTTCTGAGATACCCCAATCAGGGTGGTTTCTGCCGCCTCTTAATAACCACGTCGCCCTCTATGGCGTAGCATACACGCTTCGTTCTTTTATTCTCGACTTGGGCGTTCATTGATTATGCATATTTAACGGTCTTTTAAGCATAACTCAATTCTGCCGCCACATTCGCAGCTCTTTCGACTGCTCAACTTACACACGATCCTAGCATCACTTGTCAACAATGAAACATTGTTGATGATTCTGGACAAAAGTACATATTTTGGGGACATTTTCCTACCCTGTATTTCGAAAAACAGCATACACAAGCGACCCCCTATATTTCCTATTTTTATCGAATTAATGCACTACGATCCAACGTCATCACTCGGTGTACATGCTTTGAGACTTAGGGCAGTGCACAATAAGCGCTTCCTGTCAGCTGCCAATATGCAGTCATGACACGACGCAGAACATGACACAGTGGGTGTGTTCATGGACCAATAAACGGATATTTCGTTGCTCTAAGAGCATGAATGAATTAGAGCTGACGGATCTACGACTCTGGAATTCGAAGTTCGGTGGATACTAGTCATGGCCTGCACGGCATAGTTGCGAGACGTGAAGCTCAGGTTACTGTTACAGCACGGGCGTACAATTGTCGTTATATACTACGTGGGGGAAATGTAGAGGCAATAAGGTCACATGGTGTATGCGAATGTCTATAGAATAATTCACAACTCATAGTTGTTTGATCCTTGCGTGTCGCTTACATCTATCTGTTTCCAATCGTATCGGTTTACCCTCCTAAGATGTTTTCTACGGCAATACATCAATCTTTATGCGGTGCGCTCAACATCTTGAGCGCTGGTTTGCACATGATTTGATTCGAGACTGAGAAACGGGATCTTAATAATACTTGATTCGATCAGCTTCTTTCTCAAAATTTATGTGGTCACCGGTGGTCTGAACATGATTGCCTGACAATCTAACCAATCTTACAATGCTCCAGCTACCGCCGCCCCAACGTCAAACAACAGCAATGTTGGAACAGAACCTCAGGAAATGGTGGCAGTTCCGCACCTGAAATAAAGTATGGCGCAGCCAACAATACTTTCCATCGTGGGCGGCTCCTGGCGATCAATCCACGTCCGAAAGCATCTTCCCAAGGCAACAAACTTACTGTGCAACCCCGGTGGGTTAGACTAGAAACGGGCTTGATCCTCCTCGTGGATTCCGCCACGAAAACCTTTGGTCCAGAACATGTTGGCTGGAGTAATGGCGTGAGGTCTGGCGATATTACACTGCTTCCGTACCGCTGTATAGACTATGGCAAATATTTTACTGGGACAGTAGAAAAGCCGAGTGCGAAGATACCTTGACTGCACTTGAGTTATCTGGCTTCTAATAGGAATCTACGCCGACTCGATAACAAAAAAAAAATTTTCTTTGTATTGGCTACCCAAAATGTCCGCTTATTTGCACACCTATGGCGTTCGTTAACTCCGGCACATTCATGTCCGAACCATAATCTTCACGTCGCCAACTGTAGCGCGCGCCATTTTTTTGAGTAGACTCCTTTCATCTGCTTCTCTATATCTTTCCCAGCCGTCAAGACCTTCTTTGGCCTGGATACTCAACGTCTCGTAACCTTGCTTGATCACCTCTGCAACCTCAGAACTCGTGAGGTTCTTCTTTGAACCTCCTGATTCTAGCATGGATTTGTAATGCGTGCTAACATTGATCAAGGTCCCAATCGAGTTCGAGGGTCTGTTGGCTAGTCCATACGTATCTCGGAATTTGACTAGGACATCGCCGCTTTCGACAGTTTTGTAGAAAAGATCGTCATATGCGGCCGGAGTCGGAAGAAAAGCCTCGCCTGAAGATAACGACAAGGCCAAGAGGTTCACCACGAGATCCAGAAGTGTCTCAATCTGTGAAAGATCTTTGAGGTCAGCCGCATATGTGTTCAGAAAGCGGATCAGAGCGAGCAATGACCTGAAAAGTTCCGACCAATGGTATTGTAGCCGCGTGCGAGAACGCGACAAATATGATATGATGCGCAGCATGATGCCTGTACAAAGATTGTACAAACTCACATCCAGCCGCCTCCGCAAGTTGTGGTTGATACCGTCGACCATCGTGTCAAGGACGCTTGTGGCGAGGATACGTTCATTGCGCACAATAGGTAGGTAGGGTTGGCGCTGCCGGCACAACCTTACTGCCACCTTACTTTCGTCGCCGCATATCCTCTTGCACAACACCTGGTCTTCAATGACAAGTCTGAAGACCATTAAGCTCAGATGAGCGTAGCTGGTGGCGCGGTTTGACAGAAAAGCGTGCTGCAGGAGATATGATGTGAGTGAGACGAGACTAGCGATGGGTTGCTCGTCGCCCTTCTCTGCGGGCAATGAGACCAAGTTGAAGCAAAAGAGCTTGTTAGCATGTGAGAAGTCGTACGTGCCAAGAAGAATGGCTGCCTCGTCACCAGGGCTTTCATGGGTCAGCAGTGGCTCGATGAAGGAGCTGTGCCACTTACAGGTTTGCAAACATTTGCTTGGCCACCTCGGTATCATAGGTAAGTTTCTTGGGGGCAGATTTGGCTCCCGGAGCAATAGCGCCCAACTTCAGCATGCTCAGTGTTGAAGCAAAAGTCCAAACCTCAGGAAGATCTTCCTGGATGTCTATGTACTGGTTTCTCAGACTACGGCAAGTTTGGCCGACACAGTGAATTATCTTCTGAATCGCAGCTTCGTTGACGAAGTCGTTTAGACGCAACTGATAAGGGTTCTGAAACTCGAACTTGTTGTAGTTGGCGAGCAAGCCCAGCAATGTAAACGGCTCTAGGACTCTTTTCGGGGTGTCCGAGTCTTGAATGAACTTCATGATGGCGGGGAAGAGGTCCCGGTGAATGAAGTAGGTCAAAAGGCTGGTCTGGTAAGCACCCGAAGTAATGGCCAGGACCACCTCAACAGCACTCTGCCGTAAATCCACTGGTTTTGCGTTGTTAGTATTGCCTTGTACGACGACCCAAAGTGCAGTAACTTACACGTCGTCCCATTTCGTATAATGACGTCCAGAGCAGCAACGAAATCAGAGAAGACGAGATCAACATGATCAAGACCAGCCAAGATACCAATAATATCGGAACTCGGATTGGTATACTTCTTCGGCAGCACAGCAGAAAAGAAGGTGGTTAAAGTCTGCAAACAAGTTAGAGCCTGTCATCATCTTCACTGTGCTAGAGGTTTGGCGGACCTCGAGCGCATGCAAGCTCGCATTTCCGCCCCCTTTCTTGAGGCACGCGACAGCCCTCGAGAACAATTGCCTTGTTTGCGCATGCAGCCCGATCAAGTTGTCAGGACTCAAGTCTGCGAGTATCTGTTGCAGCGTCGCTCGGTCAGGTTTTAAGAGAAAGAACTCTCGCCAGAAGCCCTCGGGCTTGTCGATCTCGGCATCGGGGTCGTTTTCTTCCTATTGATGAGAACCCATAATCAGCGACAGTACATTTGCCGTGATGCAGCTACGAACGGCATACCTTGAGGCTCAAAGTCAGCTCACCAGTTCATGGACGTGCGGTGGGTTTCCAGAGCTCCCGAACCTTGAATAGCGCTTGGTACAATTGTACAATCTTCGGCTGGAATATTTCAGGACGTGCCTGTTGCGTTAAGGGAGATGCCTCCATTGCTGCCAGCCGTCTGTGGTCGATGCATGGAGCCAAGAGGAGGAGGGAGGGCAAGAAGAGGCAGAAGCCTACTCAGTGATTCAGCTCACGTGCTTGAACCTCAACTTTCTCAGAAAAGAGAAAAGAAAAAGGAGCGTCGAGGCAATTTGATTGCCGCAACAGATACAAACTTGCGCAACAGCTCTGAGCCTCTGACAATATCCTGGCTGGGCTTGCCAAGCTGTCCTCTGCGAAGCCGTTAACTTTCACTGCTTCAGCCTCCCACGGCACTGATCCATTTACCAAACGCTAGGCTACGGTATGTACAGTACGGCATGTACGTACTGCGATCGCTATCGCTATCAGCTACAGGGGTGAGTGAGGTTGGGCGTCAGGGGCGTCGCAAGCCGGCAACTCTGAATGGTGGGGCAGGTTCAGTGTGGAGATTACTCAATCTGGAATAACTATAGACCGCTTCCCCGAGCACGGGCACCCGGTCCTGCTTAGCCAATTCTTCCCCAAAACAGCAAATCTGCGTGCTCACTACCGATGACAAAAGACGCCCCGTGATTGGTTGCATGATGGATCCGGGATTTACCGCCGCCGTTGTATGTCATCGGTTGGTGGCACTCGCACTCTGTATGCCTGTTGGTGCTTTCAAAGCAATACATCGAATGATTGATCGACCTTCGGGATTGTCTTGCGGTTACTGCATTCTGTCTTCTATGTTAAGAGCAACAACACATTTCTCACATCACATCCACACAATCTTGCCTCCAACGACTTGCGCCCAACGTGTTCCCCTCCCGATCGATATCTTTCAAATGCACTCATAGCATTTACCATCGACATTCTATGCCCTTGTTACACACCTAGATCTTTGACCATGAATGCGCCACGGTTGGCGCTGGAGAGGTCAGCACCCTCGCTGCTCTTTGTTCGCCTGGCAGTTCCTTCTTCTCAATCGACAAGACCCTGCCAGCACCTTTTGCGGCAATTCTCTCAGTCCAAGTACTGGACTGCTTCATCCGAGAAGTTTGCGTCGATCCCATCGTATCAACCATATCCTCTCGCCAAGCCACCCACAGGGCCACGTAACAACGACATACCCGAAAGCTCGATAGCGAGCCCAGTGCCACAAGTACACGAGACAAGACCACCACAGACACCTACGGCACAGTCACCACCCAAGCAGACGTCTCAACAGAATGCCGCACCTGCCTCTGTCCCCGAGCAAGAAGCCCAGAAGCCGAAACCTGCACCGGAGAGGAAGCGCAAGCTACGGCCACGCAAAGCAGCTATGAAGCTCACATCAGCCGCTGTGGAGCAGTTGCGCGAAATGATGGAGGGCCCCGAACCAAAGATGATCAAAGTTGGCGTGAGGAACAGGGGCTGCAGTGGGCTGGCTTACCATCTCGACTGGGTAGACAAAGCTGGTCCGTTTGACGAAGCGGTCGAGCAAGACGGCGTCAAGGTCTTAATTGACAGCAAAGCACTCTTCAGTATAATTGGTAGTGAAATGGACTGGGTGGAAGACAAGTTGAGCCAGCGGTTCACCTTCAAAAACCCCAACATCAGTAAGTTGTGGTCTAACTTATGTTACTACTGCGCGTGCTAACATATTGACAGAGGAGGAATGTGGCTGCGGCGAGTCGTTCATGGTGTAGGATGAGTCCTTTGGCATTGAGATACCAATTTTGCATATGCATTGGGTGGCGTTCAGGGAATAGAGCCTACAATGGCCATTTGTACACTATGACCAACTTCGAGCGTTATGTAGAGGAGTTCTGACGACTCAGTCACGGTTCAATTTGACAGTTTGGTGTGTGGAAAGACAATCACATACTGGGGCTATAGGGGCTTGTATAATGGGATCATGCGCAGTCCTGGTCCAGGGTTGAGACTTCAGAGATGCCTGACGAGTATGGAGTTGCTCCAGATATGGAATCGCATGATCAAGAAAGACCTTGTAGGTTCTTTTGCCACGAAAGCTCGGTGTCCAACCAATTGCGCTGAACTATGCCACTTTAATCCAACTACACGTACATTCTTTAGCACATCCCCTTCCTTGTACTCAAATCTACCATGTGAATTAAAGTGCATGCTCACATGACTTAGCTTTGTGAGTCATACAGACAAAATTTTTTGAATAAGCCTAGAACGTTTCTTTCGGATATTCCAACCGAAGACATTTGGCAAGACTACCGTATGCAGGGTGCCAAATCATACCAATGGACAAACTTGACCTTAGACTACTGGATCATCCACTAATATAGTCTCCATACTGTAAAATTCCATAAGAGGGTTTAGAATTGTCCAATCTAGGCAGAACTGCAATCGAACAACATGGGTTCACAGCACGATAAGGGATAACTAGGAGCACGCTTCGTGGAAAGCGAGCTGCGATGGATATGATTCAATCTATAGAAGAGAGATCTTGAGTGACGTGAATACAGGCGGACTCATGGAAGCTCTATCAGGAATATTATATCGTTCCAGCTTCTCATTGATTAAGAAAATTTCCTTATTATTCATTTAAACACGAGCTTAAACTCAAATAACATCAATACCGCGGCCAAGCTTAATAGGCATCATGATCACATGAGGACTGTCTTGTTTTGATTGTCATCTCGTCTCCTGGTCGTTCTCTGTTATCAACACTTCTTCGGCATCTGGAAGTAATAATATTCAGGGGAAGATCCAGAAGAAATGTGGATCTTAATTTCGTCTATTCACTACCAAGCCATGTCTGAGCATGAAATCCTTGAATCCGAATACAGGACGAGCAGTAGTCTTTCTGTTGGCTGACAACAGGTACCAAAGTTATGATAATACCTAGATTGGCTATAGCAACGACTAATAGCGATTCGCAAGTGTTTTCAACTTTATAACTGCTAAAGATAGTAGTTTTTAGAGCGTACGCAGTTGTGACTAAGATATATTTACAGAAACGAGTCTATTGCTTAATGAGCTCATGAACAATAGTTATGATAGCATGCTTTTTTTCACATTCAATTTCTATCACGAACTACTTGCCTTCTATTCTAGTAAAATATTTGGCCCTTGTGAGCTTTTCGTTCCACAGCAGCGACGCCTAAGTCGCCGGCATCGATGAGCATGGTGCTACAATGTCATATCGATGGCTCTACAAGTTACATATCACCTATGGACACATTTGTCGAGTTCATCCTAGAACCGCTGATAGATGTGGGCTGCTCGGTACTGGTGTTACACCCATAATGCGGAAAACTTGGAGAGTGACCGGGCGTGCAGCGGCGGCTCGTAGGCCGAATCGAAGAGGAAGTACTCTAATGGATGCCATCATCTTTTCCATTTATTGAAATTGAGTTGGACAAAGATGCTGTGGTTAAGGTCCGTAGTAAGAGTCAATATGCGCAAGCTCCTTCAGAGACACTGATATTGAACTGTGATGCGTGGTACGACGGTAGCTTTGAGGTTCAATGTTTATGAGCTCCCTGTACTGCCATTATGGCGTAACAGCGCTGTTTTGCCGTTGTAGTGATGCAAACTGTGGCGCGACACAATTGTCAGCAACAAGTATGTCGCAGTAATTTCATGTTAGCCGAGCGTTGAACAAAATAAGTGCAGCGCCGGCCGTGATCAACGACTTGAGCTTTTTGACGTTACCTTCAAGTTGATGGACTCCTCTACCGAACATCGCCATCGCCGCTTCTGGGCTTTCGTGGTAGTTGTCCTCGCCATTGAGAGACGCCGAGTGTCACAGCTAGCATATTTCATTCCCCGATCTAATGCTCTTGTATTTTGGCTTATACGTTCGCCCTCTCTTGAAAGGGGAGACGCGGGCTGGCCTCCATCAAATGCACCGACGTATTATAGAGTTGGTGTACGGCGGCGCTGACCGGAAGAGTAATGCGTAGTTAGCCTAAAGCCGAACACTGACAACTTTTAAAGCTTTATTGACTAGTTTTGTCTGGTATGGAACGGGACGATTGTTTATAATCCTTAGAGGTAGTCGCGAAGTATCACATGATGAAGAAAGCTTATAATGACACAGGTCTGGCTACTTACAGTATGTAGCGGTCTCATTGAAATAGGGTCCCCTGCCAAGAACCCCTGACATTGACACGCAGCAACTAACTAACCTAAGGTTAAGTAACTTGCCTAGGTTAGCACCTTTCAGTCTTAAGGCACGGTCTGGACTGCATGCACCTGGCGCCTGTAAAGGTTGATACGGAAATATTGACATCCCTCAAACAATCATGGGATGATTCGGCCCTATCGGCCTCGTCCCAGCACGATAAAGTGTTAGTCTAGGGGCGAATCTCTCTATACCCTAGGTGTGGTACCATCCTTATCCTCCGACAATGCAACGTGATTTGCTCAAGCGTTGAACACGCCATCTGCCAGCTGCACGATGTGGCTCGAGAGAACAGCGAAGATCTGCACCAACAGGAACCGTCGACGTTGTCAAATCCTTTCGCTACCAATGATTGTGGCGTACAGACTTCTTTGAATGAAAAATGAGATTTCGGGTGGATTGGCGTCGCACTTATGCCCGGTAAACCACGAATCCGAAGGGTCCTTTCGTCTGAAAGGGTCCTTATCTTTCATACACCACTTACCCTGAGAAGCTGTAACGCCAGAGGTGCACCCACCACATGCGAACACTGCCAGCGACACGGTGACGTAAGATCTTCTGGAATGTACATGATCATGTCCAAAATTCGACAATTCTTCCCGGCCTCCATTCTCACAGGTCTTTCATGACCGTTTTGACGGTTCGCTACGAACCCGTTATTGGGCTCGGTTCCTTGCGACTGATTATATTACTCAAATATCTCCAATACCGAGTTATTCAAGCAAGATCTATACCGACCGAAAGTCTGCAGGCGAGCGAGGCAGCAGCAAGGGCGCAAGATGGACGAGCTCGATATCAAAAACCCCGAGCGATGCATTCAACTCTCAGTACCCTCAGTTCCCCATTTCGTGGTATCTTGGTACGTATTGACTTGATTCCACGACCCTCGATCTCTCAAAATTAGTCGATGTGGGTGCGTCTAACATATACATTGGTAGCCTTTTGGTGGGATGGCTTCTCATTTCTTACGCACCGCAATGGGGTCGTATAGTGTCAAAGAAATCTTCTGAAGGACTGTCACCTTTCTACATCCTACTCGGTTCCTTGTCTGGTGTCTGCGCCGTCGGCAATATTCTCATGCTGCCAACAACTGAGGCAGACATGGGTTGCTGCACAGTCAACTCGCGGTTTTCCTGCATCAGCGGCCTTTTCGGGACGTTTCAGGTCATTTTTGGAGTAGTTTGTTTCTGGGTTGTGTCAGTACAAATGTGTTTCCATTGTCTTCGCATCCTCCAAGTTGCAACACGATAACGGAAATGACTGACACAATGTTATGGATAGCCTCTTCATGTACGTCTACTATTCCGAAGAAGAACATGATGCCGAGATACATGGTCGACAGTTGTCTTGGTCAGGGCCTGTTCGAACAACGCGTCGCGCGAGGCGGGCCTGGATGGTGCTTTTGGCTGTGTGCGGCTCTGCATTCGCTGTGCTGCTCGTGTCGGCTACGATCCTAAATCGCTTCGATGGCGCCGCGCAAACCTGGGCTGACACATTGGGTGTTGCTGTTGCTGCCCTCGCTTGCGTACAATGGATTCCACAAATTATAACAACTTGGCAACTGCAAGATTTAGGAAGTCTGAGTTTATTGTCCCTGTTACTCATGACGCCGGTATATCTCACCATCTTTAAATATTTTAGTCAGTAGCTAACTCGGTGTCATGTTAGTACACTTGGATTTTTGGTATCAACATGATTCTTCGTGTTGGTTTTGCAGGGTGGAGCGTCTGGACGGTCTATGTCCTGGTTGGCACCATGCAGCTCGTTCTAATCGTCATGGGCATTATCTTCGCGATCCGCAACTATAAAAGTCCGCCCTCGGATCCTCATGATGACCGCGCTACTCTTGCCACTCTTCAGTACAACTTCGGAGGATGGAACCCGAATGGCTCAAAGCGCTCGTTTGCGTCATCGCAGATCGCACCGGATGATCGCAGGCCTCTACTTGCGGATGGGAATAGGTCTTCAGACCATCTTTCCGTAGACGGTATTCAGCCTCAATCGCCATGACACCCCGCTTGCGACCACAATTTGTGGTCCATAATGCTGCCACTGCACACTTAAGGACACGCTATCTTATATCTAGATTTTGTGCGAGTCTCGAGTATGTTTTGCATTGTTTGATATTGTGTTGCATTCGAAGTTTTATGCTCCGGTTGGATTAGTCGATCTATAATACATATTCTTTGCAGACGCCCATTGCATTTTGTTGCAGTATACACCATAGTACCGTACCTATTCATGTATTTGTCTAACTTTGATCCTGCTTTCTGAATTAAGAGTCCGGACTGCGATGGCCCTAAGCTTGTGGCTCGGTGTCCATCCGGATAGCGACACCCCTTTCATGCTGAGCTCCTAGTTTTCTTGACTTGGCTCTATTGCTATCACCAAAGCCGAACGAAACTGCGCCGTTCTCATCTGAGCGCTTGGCAACTTAGAAGTGGACGAGCTCGACGTATAGTAAGGTTGCTACTCCAAGTTCAGCTAACGATAGACCAACACTGCTGGGGTACTATTCGGCTATTCCCTATCCATCGCACTAAGGGGCTCGGAGATCGGGGGAAATGGCATGCTCCAAGGCCGAAATACGAGATTGCGAGATGTCAGCAGAACCACCACAGTTCGCCGAAGCTACATATTGAGAACGACTTTGGATTTGAGGTATCCCTTTTCAAGCCAATAATTCGATATCCTGCTCTGCAACCGGCTCATGATAATTTGCCGCACAGCATCATGTTGATGAGATATGCCAGTGAGTATTCACCGCTGACATTCTGTACACGTTTTCCGAAAATTCTAACATCAGCAAGGTCCAAATGAGCGGCGCGTCATAACCCGAGAACATCTGGGTTATTACAGATCTGTCGTTGTTGGAGCTGTGTATGATTTTGGCAGCAAAAGTGTGGACCTAAGATCACCGAGTTCTTACTTTTGGCCTTTGACAAGCTGCCTGGACGAACATCCATTTTTGAGTGTTGTTATACAGGATTCAAATACCGAGAAGCCATTCTACGACCACGTTCAAAAGGTCAACATTAATGACCATATCAGCATCGCTGACGATCTGAATGTTGATGAAACTGTCGGATTAACGGAAACGAGGAGTATCGAAACAATATTAGGTTCGGGACTTGATCTGTCTTGGCCTTCGCACATCCCTCCCTGGAAAATCCTCATACATCCTATTGTATCCCCGACAAGTACAAACCCGACTCGATGCTTCATTGCTTTCTCGTTCTCACACTCGCTAAGTGACGGACTTGCAGGACCAGCCTTTCACCACACTTTCTTGAACGCGCTACGCTTGGGCGAGCAAGGCAAAGAGGTGTCTGAGGTAGTGAAAACTTCTGGTTCCTTGCCAGTCGCTTTTGATATAGCGGAAAGGCTTCCTATATCATGGGGTTTCCTCTTGCGACCACTGCTGGGAGTTCTTTTGCCAAAGCTTATTGCTAATTTTCTTGGGATCCGCGCCGCTACCACTGCAATTGACAATGGGACATGGCTTGGTTCCCCGACGTTCTTCAAACAGCACGAGTATCACTCACGGTACAAACTCTTAGAAATCGAGGCCGCCTTGCTGCAAAAAATTCTGGTTGAATCGAGAGAGCATGGCGCCAAGCTTACTGCAACTCTTCATCAAGTAATCATCCAAGCTTTGAGCCGGTTGATTCCAGCTTCGAGAGCTACCAATTTCGTGTCGCAGACGGCTGTCAATATGCGAAAATCTGTTGGCGTACCAGAAAACGAGATGGGCTCATACGTCACAGGCTATGACGAACTACATGTAAGGACCGACGGTGCAGGCTCTTTGTCGGACACCGCTTGGGCTGCAGCTAGCACAATGACGAATAATTTGGCCAGCTATGCCGTGCGGCTTCAAGACCAACCTATCGGTTTACTGAGGTACGCGCCAAGTATCAAAGAGTATCTGACTGGCAAGCTAGGGCAGAAACGGGACTGTTCCTATGAAGTGAGCAACTTGGTGGCTTTCTCCGACACGGCCAGTAATGCAGGATGCAAGATAACCAAGATGGTCTTCGCCCAACCGTGTAACGTTGTGAGCGCTCCTCTAGTGTTTAGCATCATCAGCGTCAAAGGTGGTAGTTTAATTCTCGCCATCAGCTGGCAGTCTGGTGCTTTAGATATCGCCGAGGAAGACGAAAACGAGTTTGTCAAAGGCCTATGCGAATTGATCAAGTCAAGCCTGCAGGGACTGCAATAGCTACGTTACAGCCTCGCTAAAGATTGAACCACATCATGTAATGTCTAACACAAGAACAAGAACATCCAAAACAGAGAAAAGCGCAAAGTCGTATCGAGGTCTGTTAGACTTGTAGTTGAAGTGCAAGTGCTTTCGCGTGGACCATTAGCCGTATTGTAGGGGCCAAATTACTGGGATCTTATCACGAGCGGATCTGGTCGCTATACTGATCAAAAAACTGCAACGTGAGTGGCTGTAGGCGATAGAGACCGGCAATTGACGGTTGCCGGCGCTTGCACTTGCTATTATCGGCAGTATTAGCCCAAGCTAGCCCCCGCGTAATCGGACTTCGTGTGTACAGCGTCATCGCCTATCGGTGTCCCAGCGAATCTTCATGACTTCTACATAGGCCCGAGGCTTTCAGCACAGAATCATCTCTTGGAGGGTAACAAAATGTATTCACTTATTATGATTTTGGCAGGTGCCATTCTGTTGGCGTTAATAGGACTGAGACTGAAATCATCATCCTTGAAAACAGCAACAGCTAGATTTGTGAGTCTACTCTAGAAGCTGACTCTCTGGACTTTTCATACTAAGAGGCTCCTCAGCGCCATTGGAGCTTCACCACGTCGAGAGAAGGCCAATCCCAAGATACCTTACATATAGAGAGTTTGTCCAGTTTCGATTGGTCCGTCACGGAACCTCTCAAACTCCGTACCTTTAAACCTGTGTATTTTATCACGATGGGTATGTATGGACGTTTTTTTCTCTTCACGATTTCGTATTTTACACTGAACATCTATGTCAGGGGTACGAACTGCGAAGCCAGCAGATCTCATCATGATCGATCACAATTATCTTGAAAGACTGGAGATTAGACAAGAGACACTACGGAATCACGCTGAGAAGACCCTTGGGTGCTTACCAGTAGGAACAGCGGCTGTCCAGGAGGTGTATAGCTATCTATTGGATAGTTATCTGCCTGTGCGCTATCCCTTGATGTTTATGAAAGACGAGAAGAAGTTCTTCAATCGAGTCACAAACACTGCATTTCCATTAGTGCCGCCAGCCGACCCTGTTGAGGCCCTGAGGCTGATGGCTGCTAATGTTGAAGACGACATGTTCATTCTTCAACAGGAACCACAGGGGCATCGGTGCATCGCAGCTATGTGTACAAGTCCGTCAGGATTTGACCCAAGCCAAAAGCTTGGCAAGCTGCTGAAAGACATCCACGCGCCTGTACCTGCGTACGACAAAATTGGACCGAGCATGGAGAAGTATTTTAGTCGCGTTGAGGTTGGGAAGAATGCCGTCCGTAACAATGTGAGTTCAAAATTAATAAGACATAGCCAAGCTCATTTGTGGTAATATTAATCCTGGTTAGTGGTCTGTAACGACAACCCCGGATCTATTTAATGTTGCAACAAACCATATCAAGGAAGATGATCCCATTGAAGAAGACATAAATGTCGACATCTCAAAGGTAAAGTGCTATGTATACTTTAATCAGGGTCACTTGAGTGACATCTTGCAGGCAATACTACGATGTGAGCTTCAAACGCTCAGCCGGTTGCCAAAAACAAGAGCTCTCTTATTCTCTTTTAAAACATTTACATACCCCATCGAGGACATCAAGGCTGAAGGACTTGGACCACAATTGGCTGATGCGATCGAGGGTTTGAAATCTGGTATGTTATGCGGGTCGCAAAATCTCTTGTCGCCCTTCTCGGCTATCTCAGTTGTATCTCAATAATAGTGGCCTTGAAACCGTGCTTGTCAACTCCCAAACACAATAGTACTGATCTTCGATTGTTGCATAGGTAATGCAGAAGGAATGTGGATTTACAAAGGTGGAGTGAGATGGGGCAAGAGCGTATGCGAATACCTCCGGGCCTAGTACCAGCGACGTCACCGTGCATACTGTCATATTCGAGGCTTGTTTGGCTAAAGATTCGTTTGTAGGTATGTTTCATAATATTATAGTCATGCTTTTATTCCAGGACCTGATATCAAGCCGATTCAACATGCCTCAGTATCAGTATCATGATGATCGCAATTATGTATTACTGACATATTTCGGTCAAATGAATCGTCTGAATCTGCTATAAGTAAGTATTGCGAGGAAACTCGAGCCTGGTGCTGTAAGGCACGGTTATCTTACAACGGCTTACGACTAAGCTCACAACGAGTGTGGTCTCAGTCCTTTATTCGAAGAACAAAGCAGCACAGCGCCGGCTGCTTGCGGCGATGCAAAGTCACAATGGCGAATTGAGTTCACGAATCCGATTCTACAGGCCATATGTGGATTTTAGCACAAAATATAGTTGTTACGCGCACATCGGATTAGTACAATATCCCTCAAATTGAACACTTCGCCTGACTACACTCATGATCTCGGTAACTACCAATATATCAATGCCAGCCAAAGATAATAAACTTATAAGAGCCAAGGCCGATACGGCTGGTACGGTCGACGAGATTAGATTAGTACGAACTGCAGGTAAATGCTTTCATACTCTACACCGCGGCGATCGGTCAATTGTGATGGAATGCCTCGGCTCTGATGATTCGATAATATAACCTGACTCCTACTTAAATGCTGACATAACTGACCAGTGCTGTGCAATGGGGAACTCGCGACTTACGGCAAGATCAGATCTCACAATCCGCGGAACAACGCTCCCAACTCTCTTCCCAAGAACTTGAATGAGGTATCAGATGCACTGTACGCGCTCAATGACCTGCAGCTCGAGAGGGCTGAGCCGATACACCCTTTGAGCTTGACTCATGCTCTACAGTCTGTCTTACGCAGTGTACCGGAGTCAGTACAGAGTCGCATCTCCATCCCGAACGCGACTCTAACCGATAAGTTATTCGGCGAAACAAGCACGGATGAATTTGAGACAGTCGTGGCCAAGAATCTCAGGTCTGAATTCTGGCAGAAAGTTCGACAGAAGGAATACCTATTTTGGCCGGTGTACACTGGCCCTATACACTGGGCCACAATAGTGATGCGCCTTGAGAATTCCGGCAAATCTGCTGAATTCGATGTCGTTACCAATTATGCTGTAGTGGATGCAGAGCGCGACTCGGATATCAATCGTGTGCTGTCGCGTGTGCGCGACTTATTCAATCGTGCTGGGATCACGTTCAAGCCGGATACTGAACGCCATATATGGGTTCCACCCCAGGTCACAGGAAGTACCTGGGAGTCGGGACTACGGTCATTCCAGTTGATAAGACAACTCATCTATCGTGTCACGGACGATTTCTGCAGTGGTTCATCGTTTAGTGACGCCCGTTTCTTTGACACACCAACCAATGGCTGGCTCAACGTCGACTTCGTTCGTCATGAGATGATCGGACTGGCACTAGAACGGTGCAATGATATCCTCGGTTATTCCTGCCGCTATGCTCTTGAGCCGATACAGAACATTCGATTGGAAGGCAGGGGCAATTGCTCTCCAGATTGCCTTGAACCACAAAACGATGGAAAATTGGCTTAGTAAGTGCTTTTGAGTAGCTTGCCAACGATGGGCGTTTACCAACTATTCTCAGTATCCCAGGCACAAAGAATGCTGTCGTTGTTCCCAAACCCGATGAGGACATTCGAGACGACACAGGTTTGACAGTCTTGGAAGACATCAGCGATGAGGATACTGACGGGGAGCCCGAAGCTACCAAGCCAATCAATGGTCACGACGAACGTGTGTCCACCGATGGTCACAAGGGAGTTGTCAAGGTTATCGAAAAAGACAGAATGAGAAACAGTACAGAGCGAAGTGCCCCTCCGGTTCTTACGAATCGCGACACCAATACTACAACTACCCCAAACTTATATGGTATGGTAAGCGGTGTTGTATCTCCCAAAAGATATATCGACGAGGCTGAACCTGAGGGCGATGAAGGAGACAGTGGCTCAAAGCGCGCCAAATCAGCGGAATAACGTGCTGCATATGTTAAAGCTTGCATAGGTCGACATATACATTATCCCATATTCAATAGTGTTTTCTCTCGTTGTCGCACTCTTGAGCGCTGCTTTTTACATAATATGGGACTGAATATTATGGATAGACCTCCAAGAATTTTGATTTGTTAAAGCGAATGGAAGGTGTTAGAATCGGAAATTAAGGATTGCTCCTGAACCTCATGCGAAACATGATCCTAAGAAATTTGCAGGCATTCAACTCATAACATCTAAAAAGATAACTTACTAGGCTACACTTTGAATTGCATTCAACAGATAAGGTCCGAAACTCTTCAGAATAATAACGGATACGACTAATACACGTCGGCGCTTTCTAAATGATTACTAGGTAGTATTAATATTCCCATTGTACCGCTAGAAGTGCCATCTTCGGCTTAGATATGGCAAGATCACAGAACCAAGCTTGGAAACCAAATGCCACCTTCAAACATTTTCCACTTGGTTACGGATATCCTCGACCGGCACAGAAGGTGCACGCGATATGGTTTGGGTGGCAGGATCAGACCCATCCTTGCGGCCCAATCTATCAACCAAATATTTACTTAGTCGGACACTATTTACATCGACCGCCCTCCAATACAGATCAGCTGCGATAACCAACATGACTAATGTTGATGTGTAGAAAGCCCAGAAGCTGATAAGTTCGTTCCACCCATGGATCCGCAAGTAAATATAAAGCTGCTTTCCAGGTACATGATACATGAGCCAGTGAAGGAGATAAAAAGAAAAACTTATCTCGCCAAGATAGAGGAACGGAGTCGTGGATAGCAGCCATTGAACAGAGGTCAGATTCTCCAGAGCTGCCAACAGAGTGAATGCACCGAAGCTGCCCCAGTATACCATAAAGTCTTCAGGTGTATTCCGAAATACCACGGGGGTCAGAACCACTGCCGACCTGAACGGCTCCGTTTCAGGGCCAGCTTGGGGCCAGCTGCAGCAGACAAGCGAAAACAGCAAGAGTAGTGTAACAAGAGCGAATTTGGTGGACGAAGAGCACCTAGAACTGATGCGAGAGAATATCCGAAAGTCGTGGGATAGTGGACAGTGATGTAATTCAGCCAGCAGCATCCCGGAGGTGAACGTAGCAATATCCCATTTGCCATAGAAGAGTGACATGAAGGTTACCCACTACAGTATTTGGAGTCAGTAAATACTTCTTAACAATGGTCAAGGTGTTCTCAAGAGAATTTTGAAAAAGCCAAAAGCGACTAAATGCTCCTAACACACAGTATACGCTCCATAGGTATGCTTGAAAGGGTAGAAAATAATCCTAAAATCTACTTACAAGGAGGCCCGACTTGCGCATCAATGTTGTCAATTTAGAAGCAGCCACACAGCAAAGGTAAACGATTAATGACCCACGGTACTCGAAAGCCAGGGTCCAGCAATGTTCGAATGAGAGAGGAAGCCCTGAAGCCCAAGGACTCATGGCGCCCAAGGTAATTTCGATATAATGCCCAACATAGCCGAAAAACGTCATGTTGTGAGGGAGCCAATGTGGCGGACTTGAGGCAGGAAAGAAATATGTGACAAGACAAGTAGTTATCGCGAGGCCGACCATTGGCACAAACAGACGAATACCTCGACGAAGGAGCGCACCGCTCAGACTGGCGAGTAGGTTGTTCGAAGAGCCGTTGGAATCGATTTTTTGAAGTGGCGAGTAAGAGAGAACAAATCCAGACAGGACGAAGAAAAGACACACCATAGCCGTTCCAGCGTACAAGACCCTAATTATAGGGAATTGCACGAATATTAGATTTTGTGCAGCAGGCTCGGCACCGAACGCATGAAAGATCACGTCTCCGAAGAAGTCGCCCATGATGTGATAGTTGTAGACTATCAAGCATGCAACTCCTCGTAAACCATTGAGATATGATGTTGATGAAACCTTTGGAAGTTTCCGATTGGACTTGCCTAAAGGTGCTGTGAGAAAATAGGGTAACACGCTCCATAGCCACTGGAAGTGCAGTTTGCTATGAACGCAGCCCCTATCGACTGGATGGTGTTTACCCGACAGCACACCGTCAGGCGTGTCTGATGCAATACTGTGGTAGCCGAACCTCCGTGTAAGCAAATAATCGACAAGCTGGCTTATCTGCGACATGGTGTCGACCTTGAGAGACGGTTATTCGACTAGTACATGTGGGTAGGAAAAAGTATAGATCTTTTAGTCGAGAATCAGAGCTGGTTTTGCTGCGAAATGCTGGCTATTGTAGAGATTTCAAAAGACCGAGATGGTGTTCTTCTCATTGTAAATGATAAGAACAACCTGGAAGTCAAGGCTTAAACAATAACTGTCTGGCTCCATTGGGGCAGACCTCATGACCGTCGTTGTTGGATCTGTTTCGGCGCTATTCATAAGGCGCCCACTTCTTGTGCTTCGTGTTCCAACTCTTGCTTGAAATGAACGGTTATGGTTGCAAAATTACCTCTCAGTCTGGCTCACATTGCTCTAAGAGGAGCCTATGAGACATGTAGCAGGGCACTGAAGCTGATGTGCAGCCTTATTTTAGTCTGACATCTTCAGGCTGAGATGAATATATTACAAATTAAGAAAGAACTTGGAATTAGGTATTTGTATAAACTCCTTCGAAATTGCGCCCATTTCCCCTGAAGATAAACTTGTATTCGCCACAGCACCTGCTTTTCGTCCATCTTCCCATGCTGTATGAGTGGCTATGTTCATGCAATGACCCAGGCCAATTTGGATTTTAGTCGTAGTGAAGATTAGGTTTTCAGCCACTCTCGCTACCTGCTTCTTAATCTTTATGACAAAACGCCACCAACTAATATTGGTAGGTTTTCGCGGATGTGTCCTTCCTTGATGTTCATTACAGTCAAAAACTGCTATTTGACCAACCCTGGACGCTAACTTACAAATGTCCGGGCCAAACCATAAATAATTGTTTAATTCAGGACATCATCTAAAGCTTAATAAAATGGTGCACGTGTACCAATGCTAAATTATATGTCTGTTAGATTCTTGGCATGTTTTCCTAAATCTTGTTGGAGAAGGACAAGAAATATTGACGAACAAATCGGCCAGTTCAGCTCATAATTATACCGGCCCAAAACCCAGGCGCGATGATATGCGGACTCACTGTTCTAGCTTGGTTTCAACGTGATGCTTAATTAGTGCAGATTAAAATATGCTTATTTTGATCTCCTCGCATTCCACGATAGAAAGCAATACAAAAGCTGGTGCCTATTAATTGCGACCTGCTGCTCACAATACCATGTTAAGACCTCCACCTTGGCCAAGATACTAATGCAGTATCAATTCCTCAAGGTATCGAGCACCAGGCTTAAAAATGTAAGTTTTTAGCTGAAGCTACTGCTTCGGATTTCCATAGATCACCTTGAAAGCACGTCGTAATGATATCGACTGGCTAAGCCTTTGCCCAAATATATACGTACATACGGCTTTCATGCGTTACAAAGTAGCTCGGAGTCGTATAGGAAATGTCACAAAAGTCGCCGGGCCGAGATTCAGATACGAAGTCAGATCTAGCAGCTAGCCTTGTTATACACATAGCCAGCGAAATTTGTGTTGCGCTCATCTGGTTTTCAAATACCGCACAGCTTGGCACAGCTTGACCCGAGATTCAGGTGAGGTCTTTCTTCAAACCGTCTTGGTAATTTCCACAAAGCGGTGACCTTTTAATTCTGCAAAAATTCTTAAGCAATGATGCACAGTAGAACCCACTGGGAAGGAGTTTCGAACTCGTTCTTCTAGGCTGACGTCAGACTCCCAAGAGTTCAAAGACGCTTTAGGGCCGTTGTTTGTGGTTGTACCATTTTCATACGCTTCTTGCTCCGGTATCAACCCTGTGATAGCCTGAATAGGATGCTATGGTGCTAATAAATGTAGCAAGTTTACAAAATCACTGTGAAGACATTTTTAATACTCTTGAGTAGCGTGAAGACCCTCTCCAGTGTCTATATCATGTGTTGCTCACGCAGCAAGTGCACATAGCTTGGCAACCCTCTTGTAACAGCCATCCTAGCTCATACAATTGCTAGGCCTTTTAGAATTTCGTCATTCGCACATACTCCCTACCTCTTGCGAAATGTATCTCTTAGCCCCTTTGTTTCTTAGATTCACAGATTAAGGTGCTCAAGTGCCTTTCCGGGCAGAAGGACTCCATAAGGGGACGATAATTGAAGTATCCTTGACCTCCAAGCTGCATTTCGTCTTCGGCTTTACGGATAGTTGTATATGCCTTGAAGCTTTCACAGCTTTGCTTGTGGTCGGCAGTATTAGTGATGAAAATCTGCTCCCAGCACTCTATTTCAGTTTTGTTGGCCCCTATCACACCCATCATTCGTGTCATCCCATTTCCATCGATCTTTTCAAGCTTACTGTAAAAATCCTCCGCAACTCTGCATTAGTCTGTCGATAGTTCTGAGAGGCAGAGGGGTGCAGCCCTTAAATTCAATTGGTCGACGTCGAATACTGACGGCTTTTGATTCATGCTTAGATCATTCTGCTCGACAATATAATATTCTGTTGGTGGAAAGCTTAGAAGCAAGGAAGGAAGTATGGCTCCTTTGGGTGTTCCCATAGATATAGCGCCCATAGTTTTCCAAAGGTATCGCCTCGCTCTTACAGCATTGTTCATTGGACGACATGACGAGGGCACCGCCGAAATCATCTGAGATGGCTTGGATTTTTTTTCACAGCTGCATTTTTATTTTAGGGTCAATGGAGATCGTTCCATTGGCATAGAACCATTATTTTTGCCTTCGTTGAGGCAAGAAGAATGACCCCGAACTTAGAACGAAAAGAACATTGCGGTATTCGCGCAAGGCTGTACAAAGTCTTCCTCCAGCGCGGGCTTCTCCGAGCATATCTAAGCAAGGTATTGGGCGCTAGACGTGGTGTCAATTACAGTATAACCTCCTGTTGACACATTGAATGCTTGTAAGACTATCCCGTGACGGAAATCTCTGTTAAGTGCGGACTAGGGGAAAGAGTAAAGAGAACATAAGATTTCATGATACTATTCTCAGTCTCAGAAGTGGCATCTACGACCTGCACAAGGAGAATGAATGTCACGACATTGCGTTATACTAAGCCTTCCATCATGTAGCAGCTGTCGACTTTTCGAACTTCCAAACTTTGCTGTATACCTCATCCTCATTGGGTGTGGACAAGTCGTTTTGTGCTCAAGTCAATGTCTGGGTACATTGCTCATTCTTGAGTCCTCCAACCGCCGCCGGCCCGGCCCTACAAAGCGTCGACTGCGCTTCGGGGGAGAAGATGTGAATCTCAGTGTTGAGATCTAGCTAATGAGAGCCTTTCACAGAGAGGGAAAACAAGTGTCGTTTGACATGGGTTCTGAAACCCGAGAATTCCTCGGAGAATTTCGTGTCGTGTCATATGCTTTACGTCGTTTATCATGCGCGATGTTTGCACTAATCTGTGCCTTGATTGTAACGGTAACACTTGCCAGCCACGGTAGTCCTTAATACCCGCCTTTTGGCTAGTTTTTCTTTGTTTGAGTATAAACCGATGTATACTTCTCAGCCGGGCTGTTGACGATCGGCTGGCTTACTACGCGTTGTGCAAACCCCCTGACAACGGTACTCAGCTTTCAGGCGAGCTCTGAATGTATTCTTTAGTAGTGATCCACCCCATAGCATGGTGGACCAGATTAATCAGATCAACCCAAGATAAGTTGTGATCGCTTGTGTTGAGGACTGCTTGGCTGCTTGGGAGTGATGGCCACATTCCTGATTCAAAGAGTGGATTAGGCGCAATTTTGTACGATATCAATAAAAAACGGGCATGTATATTTACATGCTGCTTGGTCGTTCGTGTATAAAGTTTACGGCCTCCCAGCTCGTCACCATAGCATGATATGTCATGACGGTATAGCCGCTCGTGGTCGAAAAGGGGCTACATACAAGTAGAAGCTGTACCCCCGGGTGATCCGGCGCCGCTTTGTGGCTGTTTTTGGTGGGTCGATGATGAATACGGATTAGTGATGGGCAAGAACTGGGTTTCAAACGCCAACTACCATTTTATATGGGAACTGTGATGATAAGCCGAATTGACAGTGCAGAGTGATGCTTCTGCCTGCGTTGTTGGAACGAGGAAAGTGCCAATTGTGGACCGACTAGCAGATCACATCTCTAGTGCGGCATAGTACGAGATACAAGATGAACGCGCAAGACCTTTTATTTAGATCCTGGTACGGAGGGACAGTCGTAAATCAGATGTGACTTCCAGCACCAATTCAACTCGTTAGGGCATTCACTGTTGCGATTTTTTTCGTGATGACAAGTTAAGCTCGATTACCATTCTCCTTTGACAACTCGCTTTTTGACACCTTCCGCAATTCTATCACTTATTTTGAGACCTGCGTCCCCCGGTGGCTTTATGGCAATGCAGTCGTTTCTGCGCTTGTAGTCATGGTCTTCTCAAAGCTGTCGCGCATCTATATCCTAGCCGGCTTCATCATCATTCTATTGGTTCTCAGCACGAACTCCTACCTCTACAATGACGAAGAAACATACTATGCATTATCTTCAGGCGCGCAGACCGGGTTAAACGGAGGAAACCCAAACGAGGCAACGAAACCCGAGGATCCTGTAGTGGTCGTGGAAAAGCCAATTGTTGATGACGGAACTGGCAGAGATCCTGTGCCCGCAGACTTGGGCACGGGAAAGGCTTCTGTGGCTGCGCCTGCAGGTACTGTTGTGGAGCCAGCCAGTCAAATCGCCTCCAGCGCCAAGGCAGCCGCAACGCAACGGCTGGGCAAACCGCTGGGCAAACCGTTGCAATATGTTAGCGATGACGACGAGGATGAGCATCATGAGGATGATGATTTAATGCCAATTCGCCCGCCGAGTCAATGTCCGGACCTGGACTTCTTGAAGCGTGTGCATTCCGAGCAGAAGCTGAGCGACAAGGTACGCTACAAGAAAGTCTGCATCCAGCCAGTTTTCTCAGCGGATGTTGATCGCAATACCATCGACAGTGTCCCCACATCGCTGTTTGGTGACGAGGTTACGGTAAACATTGACAAATGCAACGAAGTCGATATCCCCAAATGTATGCCTGTCAAACTCCACGTGCCGGAACCGTACGGGGAGTACAATGTGTCACATTTAATCTTTGGCGTCTCCACGACGTTTGATCGGCTTGATGACGAAGTTGGCACTTTCGCGCATTGGCTATCACGGCCATCTGGGGATGGAGCAAAACTCATTGCTCTGATTACGGATTACTCTTCGCATCGGGAAAACGAGATTCGAAAACTGCAGAAAAAGTTTCGCAAGGCCAGTATCAACATCGATCTGGTGAAACCGATCGACGACTCGTACACAACGTCTCAGTCTCACTTTACCGTTCTTTCATATATGCTCAACAGCAGCAGCCCTGAAACGCAGTGGTACGGCTTACTGGATGATGATACATTCTGTGAGTTGCTCCGTAAATGACTGTCATTCGTCGTGTCTGAAAGCTAATGATAAACTGTCAGTCCCTCGCGGCTTGAAGCCATTATCGGATGCACTAGCCAAGCTTGACCACACCGAAGACTACTATGTTGGTGCCCTGTCAGAGGATTTCAGGGCAGTTAGCACTTTCGGGTTCATGGCATTTGGTGGCGCCGGCGCCTATCTTTCAGCTCCACTCGCCAGAACCTTGGGAAGCCAACTACACAAATGTATTGAAGAAGCTGGCCATACTGAAGGAGACATTATTATCCGACATTGTGTTTACAAGAATTCAAAGGCCAAGCTGACGATCCTTCCTGGCCTTTTCCAGCAGGACTTGGAGGATGATGTAAGTGGATTCTTCGAGTCTGGTGTCCAAGCCATCAACTTCCACCATTGGAAAAGCTGGTACAAAGAGCCTGTAGTCCCCATGGCAGCCGTTGCATCATATTGTGGCGATTGCTTCCTACAACGTTGGCGCTTCGGCGTGGACACGATCTTTACCAATGGTTACTCTATTGTAAAGTATCTATATGACACTGATTATCTTGACCTCAACCAAATGGAGGGAACATGGACGAATATTGCTGGAGACTTTGATTTTAGCATTGGGCCTTTGAGGCGGAAGCTCGTTCCGGATGAGAAAAAAAGTTATAAGCTGAAAGATGTCGAATGGAGCGACAACGGAGATTTCAAACAACTATACGTCTGGAGAGGTAATTCCAAAGCCAAGGAAGCCGATGGTATCATCGAAATCATGTGGCAAAGATAGCATTCAGATCAACAATGGAGGTATGGCGTTATTAAGGATCAACACGTGGATTATATGGCATAGCGACACATGGGAAAGGCATGTTTTTTTTTGTGTGGGGGGGTGTATGGTTGCATTTGTAATTTAGACACCCTACTACCATTTATAGAACACTTCAGTAGAATTCAAGATATTTCTGAGCGCATTAAAGCACCACTTTTCGTTATTTTGACCATGACTGTGCATTCCTACACTTAAATATTGTGACTGGGATGTCTGGCATGTGCTAACAATGAAATAAACACAGGCACAGGATTAAAAATTCTTGAAGATACTGGTGGAAATTTTGAGTCGTGGCATTATCCTTAGTTATGCTTGATGGCTATATTTTCCCCCTTGGAAACCATGTCTTGTAGAGTCTGTTGTGGTAGACAATTAGATATAGGTCTCGTTATATCTGAATGACGGCTCTTGAGTATTTTGTTGAGCATTCTCAAGTTTGTGCAATCATACAAGTTGCTGAGGATGCAGAATGAGTTTGAGTGTTTGACGAAAGTACCAAATACGGCGTAACATAAAGACAATTTTTGTCCATCATGTCTCCCTAGCCTTTAATTGTTATTAATACAAAGCAGTTCGACTGAATCAGCAAAAGTCACCGACATCAAGAAATATTGCTGTCAACTGATGTCTATGATCAGTCCAAGCACATTCACTGTTACGGCCGGGAATCCTAGTCGGGATTCACTGCCAAATCAATGATTTTCTATTGATTAAGACCTGCTCAAAACCAGCTAACACCTCAGGGACTTAGAAAGAAAAAGACCATCGGTAATTTTTTTTATGGCTGTCTTCTAAACAATTGTGCCTTCACCAGCCGAAATGCCTTCATTGATACCAAACAAGATAAGATTCGGCTTGGCGGCGCCGATGGCTTGTATGAGTCCTATCAACCCTTCCGAACGCCATCGCTTTCATTACCTCTGCTACAAGTTGTTCGAATGGCGCAAAAACGCCGCTTGGATGATCTATAAGCTGGAGTATCGCTTGATGAGAACGTTCTTCTTGGCCAAAGGCTCTTCCGAATGGTATAGCGAGCACAGCGAGATCGAAGCACATCTCCGTGAGCGAGGTATCAGTGGGAAGTTTCGATTCGAACCTAATAATGTTTGTTGACAGGTCAACTGCTAGATGACATGCACCGAACCCAGCAGTACGCCGAGCAGCTGAGGGTGACATACATGAAGCAGGAATACAGGTTGAGGCTTTTATTCCTGAACCAGCGCCTACAGAATGCATTTCAGTCTCGGAATCAACACAAGAAAAGAAAGTTAAACGCAAAAAATGGAAGCTAAAATGAAGTGGGACATAGGTCCAGCACGGTGGAACAGGGGGTTGAAGCCGAAGATCGATGGATTCTCTAGCAGGGTTTCTAACTCATACATAAAAGATCTATCTGGCAATCCCCGAAGAATAGCAAAATGATGAAGCCGTTAGGAGCCATACGACGGCAGAGCTCGAAGTGAGAAGCGACAGAGGGATAAAATGCGGAGTAGGAAGCACAGATTGAGCTGGTGATTGAACTGACAAAAACTCTTGGGCTGTATCGAGGAGTTTTGAAGAGCTTTTCGGGGGGAATGATCAGAGTGCAGAATAAGCCGAAGGGTATGGCGATACGAATTCCACATTGGTCTGTAGGACAGCCGGTCATGAGTTTATTTGCATATAATTCACTGTTTTTGATACGGAATCTTAGACACTGATGGCAAATTACGCGGTCTTCCGGGGAAGTCGTTCAGGTGTTTTTATCTCAGCCCCTATATCGCCGAACACGCAAGTATCCTACTTGCCCCACTCCATGAATCCGTCATATCTGCCCGCGACGTTTTCTGTTCTCATATCTTCGTTGTTTTTCTGGAGTCTAATAGCATCGACAACCTTTGCTTGCATGGACCTCCCATATTGAGTGGCACTCGGAATCTGGCACTGTGAGCATTTCTACAAACAATAGTCTATAGCGGGTGTTGAGTTGGGCCTACCACGAATAATAAGTTTCAACTTCCCCTTGTAACAGGAGTCGACGGCCTTCCAGTTATTTGCATCATGGAGGATTTTTCTAGGCATATCCCAAGAATTCACGCTCTTGATATTGCTTTGAGTGGATGTAGCACTAGCGGCGATCCCGTCGTAGGATGCCAGCCACACATTTACGTTATGTACATTTCCCTCGTCACTTATTCTGATCGTTTCTAGAGATATGGGGAGCATATCTAGCAACATGTCTCATGAAACCGTTCGTGTGCCAACCCCATGGTGCCATGAAAGGTCCAGATGCTTCAACTGGCGATAAGCCGAGAGCAGGATGTCAAAGTCGTCGTTTGCAACCCGCGACTAATTGACGATGAGAATTTCTACGGCCGACGTCCTTTGTGGAAATACACTTCCTGCGCCTTGTCCAGCGCCTGCTTGTGTGAGACCATCGAAGGACAACCACTTGAGCTTCAGGGTTCGTAGATAAGGCAAGTGAAGGACGGGGGCAATTTGTCGCCCATCAGCAAAAGTCTCCTTCGTCCCGCTGCTCAGCGACACTGACTCGAGCCTCTAAAATTGCTGCAAGCTGAAATCCCCCTCTACACTACATTGATCGATGACTTTGAGGACTGCCAAGTTCACCACTTGAGCGGGGATCGCCAAATCCATAGATTCGAGATTTGTCACCCACCGAAGCAGTACCGCGAGCAGTGCGCCAGATATCCCTAGTCATAGCTGACGTACTAGAGAGTCCGAGTCTTTCAGAGAACTAGATACTTCTTCCACGACAGGGTCCTTCTCACTCCAATCTACGGTTGGCCGCGACCAGGATTGTATCGGAGGAAGATGTGTCTTCCAAACATACTCGGTAATCACAGAGCGAAGCTTGAGCTGTCTTATCTCTCTACGCACTTCTGGATGGTGATGGAGATGTTGTACGAAGACGGAGGCGTTTGTGTGACGGCCATGACGCCACGAGTAAACGAGCAACGGCGAAGCGATCCTACAAGCTCGCATAGAGATCTCAGCGATGCCTCGTCAACGAACGACTGTCTTTACACACCTTTGAAGCCGTCGATCTACAAGACAGACCGGGAGCAGCAGGCGCGGGTTGTCGGTTGCGAGTACGGCGCATACATGATGTAACATCTCATCTGGAAGAATATACACGATGGGAGATTGATTGTGGAAGTCGGACAGCCTTGTTGATCGCTTGGTACTACCCTCGGCCATCATACCTAAAGTAGTTTGGCACATAAAAGCAAGAGCGATGACGCGAATGGGTGGTCATAGAGTTCTTGCGTACTGAAGGCGCTCCAGCTGAGTCACGATCTATTCGGTTACGGCACGACATGGTAACTTGGACAAAACATTGGTCGAGGGCCGCATTTGGTGCAAATTATAATACAAGAAACCCGTTTAACGAGTTAGACTAGTCTAATAGCATTAGTATACAGCTTGTGTTTCCAACAAGGACGAAGAGATAGGTACTGGCAAATAGCTAAACCAGCCCACTGAAATAATTAAAATGCATAGTATGCAGCCCAACGGAAACTGCTGTGGGGTTGATGGGTGTCTTCTCGGAAATGTCGGGTGTCACGGATGTCCTCCCAATGCGGTGGCATACAATTAAATAGTGTTTATATACTCATGGTCATTCTTTTTTTCAGAGTCTCATACGTGACATTTTCCTGCAATGACGAGAAAACAAAACCATTTAAGTACAATTGCTATTTATTGATGCATCCTCTCAGCAGAGCATATTCTGTAGCCCCCTCCCCTTCCCGGCGCGAAGGGTGCCTGAGTCAGGATTCATATTCCCCAATCGTAACAACAACATGAATATTTTGAGAAGCATTGATAGAAGATTTACGTAGGGGCCCATTATCCTTCCACTTATCTGGAAGGCTCATTGATTCGTTTTACACGCTGGTTAGTAACGGTATCCTTTTGAGGCTGTCGCGGGGTAGGCGTGGATGTTTCTGTGGGTGTGGGGAGCTGGGGAGGGAGAATGTAGTAACCTAGGTTAGGTTAGGTTAGGACCTTCCTAATAAATCCTGCAACCCTGGCGCGATGGATTAGAGGCGTCGCCGGGTTGGGACAAGAAGGCTCTGCAGAGTATCTGCATGAAAGTTCCAATCACAAATCGTTGCCGGCTTGCCATGAACTTGCACGACACCCCTAGACTTCCACGACCCAGCACTACCCATGTGCTAGATTTATCGGTTCCATAGCCCGAACTTGGCTAATTACCATAGATGACTTCGCAACCAGCCCCTGCAGGCGCCGTCTGTAAACAACGCGCAACCATGAGGATGCGCAAATGACAATACCTGTTATCTTACCCATCATGAGCATGATGGTGTAGGTTCAAGGGACGCCATGTCCAGCGCAGCTCGGAAAATTTGACACTGGAATTGGTAATTATCAAGCATATTGAGCTAAGAGGCCGACAACTCTACGCAAGCCATGGCGCACATCCAGAAGCCTATTTTCATTGCATTCTCGTGAGTAGCTTCCGCATGTCTTGCCTTGCATGTTTTTACACAGCGCCGCAGCTAACGCTCTTGTTTTTTCTTGTCTTGCATAGGATTCTTGGGTTGTCAACAGCATTCCTCTCGTCGAGATACTACAAGAGCGCAGCCTTCGGTATGCTCGCCCCGTACCCCGCGATAACTCTAGATGCTTCAACCGTGAAGAGGCTAATCCTTCCGTGGCAGAGCGTCCTTTCCACTTTTCGATATTGACGTTACTCGTCACCGGCGGATTCCTTGTGGTTTCGTCCAAGATATATCTCGGCCAGAATGCCCAGTTCGAACCGTTGCGCCCCTCAAATGGGCATGTGGCCAAGTTCTCCAACGGTCGATTTGGACGCATTGAGGGCACTCTAAGATCTTTTCAGCCGGCATTGCTCTCTTCGACGCCACTCATCGTCCTGTTACTGTCCGTCATCTGTCGAACAGTCCTGTTTTGGCGAACGATCCGAACGATACATTGCTCATGGGACGGACTCCAGGTTTGTGCACTTGGCTATGCCACCACAGAAAAAAACCCACAAGAAAAGGAACTGACATGGAATTAGACTTTTCTGCCTTTTGTCGTCTCATCATACAGCGCGTTAGTTGCCCGTGCCACAATCCTGCCACGAAACGGACATGAAATATCATCTCGACCCAGAGCGGTTTTGCCAAGCGCATATCTGTACATTCTTGTTTCTTTGGTATGGGGTTTTGCTGCGACGGACACGCTCTCCCAAACCGAACGAGGCACAGGCGCAATATGTCCACCGGGACTACCAGAGCGTCTTATCCCTTTTGCTCAGGTAATTATGCTCTGCTGCGATGCAACGATACTCGTTCAGATCGGACGAGTGCGAAGGGAGTGGGAGAACAAGTACAAAACATGGAGCGCCATAGGCTATCTTTTTTTGTTATCAGCAGCAGCATTAGGCTTTATGGCTTTCTGGTCCTATTTCGATCGCATCAACTTCCGATGGAATCTTTTTCTCACCGCTGTATCCGTCAGCGACCTTGTTTTAGACAGTATCGCTGTCTCTTCAGCGTTGGTGGCGGGCGTTCACTTACTCGCGAGTATTGAACCTAGCACAATTGCTCTTTACGTCAATGCTACGGCCGTCCTCGTCTATTTAGAGCAACGGATATTCGATGGGAGCCTGACTAGAGCATGGTCGAATTGGCGGGGATCTCTGGCTGGTTTGGTCGTGTTTCTAGGCGTGGGGGCTCTTTACAACCTTCAAGGCATGTCCTCAGTCACTTCAACCGTGAGAACACCCTTTTGGAAGAGCAAGGCCGGCATGTGCTCTTTATTAGCATTTATCTTGGTCTTTGTTCAGAGCCTCTTTCTCAACTGTGACAACGTCGGATCCGATGTTATCAGTCGTGTCATTGTGCAATCCAGGAAGGACTCAGACAATTGGATTGCTGGTGCCAAGACGAGTCAGAGCTTGGGTGAGGCGACGCTGGAATACAGCCGGCGGCATGGGATACCACCACCGCCGAATTTTGACAAGTGGTATGAATATGCTACGTCTGTCGAATCACCCATCATCGACGATTTCACGCAAATACATTCTGACCTTCTTCCATACTGGGGCGTCTCGCCAGGGATTCTGCGGGAGAGAACAACCCATCTACTGACTCATCCAATCTATTCCTTTGGTGGGCTTATCATTGAAGGAGGCAAGGTGGACATATCACCCCATATCAGAGGGACGCATCGATGGATGATGGAAGTTATGCAATCAATGATTGAGCCATTTGCTCAGTGGCTACCTGATATGCAGCTCGCATTCAATCTGGACGACGAATGTCGTGTATCCATCCCTTTCGATCGAGCCATCGCCTACAAAGCAGACGGCTTGAAGTCCCAAGCTCGTTTGGCTACCCATGTAGAGTTTCATGGTTTCAGCACTTCACAAGACCTGACGTGGGAAAAGGAGTTTCTGGGGATCGAGGATGAAAAACAGCGTGAAGATCTATGGAAGAAGGAATCTCCATGGTTTCAGAACTGGTCCAAGTCTCCTATATTCTATGAGTGGGTCTCCTCAACCTGCCCATCAGACGCATTAGTCAATCAACTTCATTGGTGGAACCGGAAGGCAGAGTGTTCAAGCTGTTCGGCACCTCACATGACAGGAGGTATCTTGTCGAATTGGACTCTATCTGGAGATTTATGCCATCAACCAGATCTCGCATATCTCCACGGGTTTCTTCTATCACCATCTGCAATGGCTGCGACACATACCATGTTCCCAGTTTTCAGCCAAAGCCGAATGGAAAATTTTGCCGACATTTTATACCCAAACCCTTGGAACTTTGGAGACAAGGTTCAGTATGATAATGGGAAGGGGCTGGCCTGGCACCAAAAGCTTAATAGTGTCTATTGGCGCGGAGCTTCATCGGACGGGTTTGCAGCGCATGGAGCATGGCAGACATTTATGCGTGCACGATTTGTGCATATGTCACGACGCTTCAAATCATCCAGCAAATCTTTTCTGAATCTCGTGTCCAAAGCTCAAGAGACTCTACACCCTTCGACCGCGTCAAGCAACAACTCGCCATTGACACTGAACGTCTCCTTTGTGGGCAATTTCAATCGCTGTGACGAGCGCGACTGTACTGCTGAACATACAACCTTCTACGGTGGCCCAAAAGCCGAGCCAGCGCCGTCAGTAGACTTCCAAGAGCACTGGAAACACAAACATCTCGTCGATCTTGATGGCGCAGCCTTCAGTGGTCGCTTCTTACCGTTCCTCAAGAGCGGGTCGCTCCCATACCGTGCAGCCCTTTTTCGTACGTGGTGGGAAGAGCGAGTACACCCTTGGCGGCATTTTGTGCCCCTCGATGTGCGGCTCAGCGACTTTCGGGCCGTTGCCAATTATCTTAGCGGTAAGGGTGACAAGGAAGCTGAGACGATTGCAAGAGACGGAAGCGAATGGGCAAATAAAGCTCTGAGAAAAGAAGACATGCGAGTGTACATGTTTAGGCTGCTTCTGGAATGGGGCCGCCTCGTTGATGATCGTAGGGAAGAACTGGGCTATGTTTCACGGTAATATGATGATGAAGACAGTTACTTCATGGCCAACATTATTGAAGGATTTGATGTCATTAGTACTATACCCAGCGGATATGCATTAATGAAGTAACGATTCATGTACAATGAGCAATGCCAGGTTCTCCTGGTGCTAACAATTGTGTGTGTGTGGGATGGGGAGAAGGTTATGATATTGCTCACCCTCTTGTTTATGCCGTGCGTCAAGAGCTATGAGCTTGTATCAAAACCAGTCGATCGACCCTAGATTTCGGCATTGGAGATGTTGAGCCATTTCTGCATCCTTGACAACGCGCTCCCTTCACAGCTGCTGAATATGGGAGGTGGGTTACAGCGGTCAAATCTGACAAACTCCCGTGGCTCCTGCGGGTTGTTAGTCTCAGTACCATGTCTTCACAGTGGCAGGCATCGAACCGCAGGTGGCGGAATGATCAGACACAATGAGTGAACCAGCATCATAATGGCAGCCATGAATAAGCATCTACACCATGCTTTTCGTGCGCACCAAACCGGCGCATGCACGGGCTTCTCGCCGTTCATGTGAAAGGTGGGAAAAGCTTCCTTCGCAGATTTGGTAGATCTCATTAGATGTATGAGAAGATTTGAAGGGGAGTAACGGAATAATACACACATACTAATGTGTATAATTCAATCAATTTATTTGTAGTGAATGGGTAAGGAATATTGTTTGCATGGAAAGCTATGGTGCGGCCGGCGAAGTCTTTGTATTGCGAAATTTGCGCATGGCGTTGCAGCTGCAAGTTAGTACCCTAATTTTGCCAAACCCGTTCCAAGAATGCTACAGCATGCTTAACAGCGAGCAGTCGGTGCTCCGTGCTGGAGATTAGCTACTTTGTACACATGACTGCGTATTGAATTGAAAAAGATTCCTCAGGAGGCAAATACATTTCATAGTGACCAGCTGACATCACCTGGCCAGTATGGACGGACCATCACAAAGCGACTGCAAATCATACGAAGAATTTAGCTTAGTCCATAGTTTTGTTTCCGTCTTTTTTATACACTTCTTCATTCTTTGACATACTGGGATTCTTTCTGACAAAACCCCCCTCCCACCCTCCCTTTCGTTTGACACTCGTATCTCTTACAATGCTAAACTGCGCAAGTAAAGTCTCTCAGAGCCTCCTTTAGCTAGTAATCTTAGGTGGGGGCATGGTGGTGTAAACGATTGTTGCAGTCTCGTTGGTGTAAGGAGCGTATATTTGGTTCCCGTGGAACAGGTATCAAAAAGAAAGAGAAAATTCAAAAAAGAGAGAAACATAAATAAGTAGAAAGTCTTAACGTGAACGAAAGATGACTATTTTATGCGAAATAATCAGGTGCATCTTATTGGCCCACGAAAACATTAGTAACCTATTAGGTTTAGAACCGTGTTGTACAGTCCCATTCTGAAGCAGGCTGACATGTAAGCTGGAGCATAGCCCCTCACTTCTTCATGCATTATTAAATTTGAGAGAGGGGGGTTGGAGCTGGTTTCCCATTTGGTATCGTTTTTTTTTTCTTGAGCGAATGTGGTATATTAGTGCAACTGGTAAACTTTAGCTATCTGAAACATCTTGAAAACACACGATGCCTGTTGATTTCCATCTAAATCCGTCGGAGGCGGCGGTGCACAGGGCGGCGGCCAACTTTGCGCGGAACGTCCTGAAACCTGCAAAAGCCAAATACATGGAACATCACGAACACTATAGGCGATTTCAAGCGACACGGCCCACCTACTCAGCCGCTGTAGCGGGCGGACTTATCAAAGGAATGATCTCGCCGGTTTTGGGCGGTAGAGGCGGGAGCCTCATCGAAAGCACAATACTTGTCGAGGAGTGTTACGCAGTTGAAACATCACCGGCCTTGACTATATTCGCGACAGGCCTCGGGCTTACGCCGCTCAATCTATTGCAGAGCAAGGACCACCAAGAATTTCTTGAGCCCTTTCTCAGTGGCAAAGGGGAACCCTTGGCGTCATTGGTCTTCAGCGAGCCAGGCGGTGTAGCCAACTATGTTGAGAAGGGAGCCCCGGGCCTGAACACTACAGCTCAACGCGATGGCGATGAATGGATCATCAACGGAGAGAAAATTTGGGCGACAAACAGCGCTGGATGGGACTTTAAAGGGGCAGACCTAGCCTGTGTTGTCTGCCGTGATATAACAAACGAAGCAGCAGAAAACCCAGAGGACGATATCATGATCGTCTTGGTCACCAGGGCCGATCTTGATAGAAACGGCAATGAGCAGTGCTTCCAAGTCATCCGCCAAGTGCCGACCGCTGGACATACAGCTGTATCGGGACCGCACATCAAGTATACTAAGGTGCGTGTTCCAGCCAAGAACGTGCTCTGCGGACCTGGTGGCAAAGGCGGTGCCATTGTGTCTGGCTCTTTCGATGGGAGTGCTGTGCTTGTTGGAGCGATGGCTGTAGGATTAATGCGAGCAGCATTCGACGCAGCTATTGCCTTTGCAAAGAACGATAATCGACGTGGCAAAGCTCCTCTGCTTGAACGACAAGCTGTCGCAGATTTGCTGTCAGGCGTCAAAATGCAAGTAGAGGCATGTCGTGCCCTGACCTGGAAGGCGGCTCACGCCATGGAAAATGGTCCTGGCAACTATAATGTTCGACGCGAACTGGCGCTGGCAGCAAAAGTGTACTGCAGCGATGCAGCTGTAAAAGCCGTCACCGATGTTATCAATGCGGTAGGAATGTATGTCAAGTGTTTCAAGTCCTTCCTCTCCCTACGTCGTTGTGCTGCTAACAGCAATTTCGCAGCACTGCCTATGATGCCGAACAACCATTTGCTGAGCTGCTGAACAATGCCATGGTCCTTCCGATTTTCGATGGTGGCAATGTTGGTATTAGACGCCGGCATCTTCAGGAAATTATGCTATCCGCAAGTTACGATCCTTGGGCAGCAACATACGGTCCTGCGAAACCAGCCGAGCAAGACGCTGGGGAGGGGAGGAGCTTCAATGACCATGTCCTAGGCACATTATTGTGAGTTGTAACAGAATATATAAGCCGTCACGTCCAATAGAATGATAGACTTTGCCAAATCCGCTCTATTTTGTTCTTCATTCTCATTAACTGGGTATAGCAAGTCTATGATATAATACACCCAATTGATTAGCTGCCTGCTTTTCATTGCCTCATACCATGATTCATTTAATGCCTCTCGCGTCTTCTCGGTGCGGCGCGAATGATGTCGTCTACTCTTAACAACAACTAAATGGTTGTTAGTATCAGTGAACCAAATCAGAACGAAACAGCGATATCTACTCACCTCAGCAGCTTCGCTTGCCGATGACACGACAGCCTTCTTGAGCTTATGAGCCTCGATGACACCCAAGTCCCGCATGTCTGCAATACCACCGCCCGGTGTCATCAGATCCAAGCCATATGTAGACATACCGTCATAGATAGCCTTCCGTAATCTAGCAACGAGATCACTAGAATCCAAACCGGCGTTGTCGGCAAGGATAGTTGGAAGCTGTCGCAGGGCGACCGCGAAAGAGGACACGGCCATCTGCTTCTTGCCCTCAACGCGTGTAGCAGCGCCCTCTACGGCCTTGGCCATCAACATTTCAGCGCAACCGCCACCCAGAGTAGTTTTTGGCTCCTTGACGGTTTGTGAAAGAACGGCAAGAGCATCGTGTAAAGATCGGTCGGCCTCATCAAGAAGTTGATCAGTTGCTCCACGCAGGACAATAGTGCACGCTTGGCCTGCAGCAACACCAGAGAACTTGATGAGGGTATCCTCACCAATGATGACCTCTTCGATAACATCACAGTGTCCCAACTTGACCTGTTCGGGGTGGTCGAATGTAGATGTGATCTCACCGCCTGTCACCAATGCCAAGCGCTCGATGCCATCAAAGTCGGCGTGCTCGATAGACATGATGCCGGCATCGGTGAAGAGTTGCTCGGGCCAGTTGTAGATGAGCTGTCTGTTGATGAAGCAGTTGATACCGTGGGCCTTGATCTTTTCTACCTTCGCCTTCATCTTCTCCTTCTCCGCCTTCTCGAGTTCGGCAAGTTTGCTAGTCGAGCTGACCTTGACACGGGCGCCGAAAATCTTGACCTTATCGGTGTCCATGGATGTGTTGGCAACCAAGATCTTGGCCTTCTCCAAACGCTTGGGCTGGTTGACACCGATCTTCTTGTCCAAGATGAAACCCTCGTCCAAGTAAGAATCGCTCAGCTTACCACCAGCCTTCTTGATGATTTGGATATGGCTGAGGTCGGATGATCCCTTCAAGCGCAACACGGCATCGACAGCGAGCTTGGCAAACAGGTCGCGATCTTGCGCCAGCACCTTGGAACTCAGGGTCGTCCTGGCAATGGCCAAAAGGTCCTTCTTGAAAGCCTCGGGGTTCTTGCTGTGATCGACGGCGGACTGCTCGAGCGCCTGAAGTGCAGCTTGACTGGCTATCCGATAGCCCTCGATGATGGTCTGGGGGTGGATCTTCTTGTCGACAAGCTTTTCTGCCTCTCGGAGAAGCTCGGCGGCCAGGACTGCCACTGATGTTGTGCCATCTCCGACCTCATCGTCCTGAACCTTTGAGATGTTGACGAGCACCTTGGCGGCGGCGTTATCGAGGGAAATGGCCTTGAGAATGGTGGCACCGTCATTGGTAACCATGATCTCGGCGGTCGAAGCGGATTGCAGGATCTTGTCCATGCCTTTGGGGCCCAGTGTGCTCTTGACAAGGTCGCCGACGGCAATGGCACCGACGAAGGCGGAGAGACGGGCATTCTCACCCTTCTCCTCGGTGGTGCCCTCCTCAAAGATCTGGGTGGGACTGAATGAAGACTGCGTACAGGGAGGGGTGCAATCAGTATATTGTTTTCCTTGAATTAGGGGGGTTCATGAGGTCTCATTTCCAGGGGTCGTGGTACCTACCATGTTGGCTCAGAGCGAAGGGAAAAATCGGCTACTCAGTGATCTCGAGCTTGCCTTTTCCTTGTAAATGTTTTGTTCTGAGGCTACGATCGATATGGTCAGTCAGGGTGGGCTACTTAGGCGGCGACGGGCGAGCTCTCCCAGAGAGCCTTCCGCTGGGAACTTTTTTTGCTGCGGCCAATCAGGCTTCGGACAGGGGGCTTGATTAGAAGATTACTGCTCAGTTGCTGGCAGCTGCTGATGGACAGCAGCGACTCGAAAACTCCGGACACGAGTATTTGGTTCGAGGTCGGTGTAGTCAATGATCGCTCTCTCATATGGAGAACAGTACATATCAGTTTGTTTTATTCCTTTCGTATGCCACCGAGTCCATGCGAGGCTTTATTCTATATCTAGAGACTACCTTCATGTGAACCTGCCCATTGCTCCGTCAAGTCAGTGCCTGTCCGCAGCCAAAAAAAAAAAAAAAAAAAAAAAAAAAAAAAAAAAAACCAGTTTGATACCACGAAGCTGCGTGTGGAGGGGCAGGAGGGGTAAGTGCTGAACTCACTGTCCGAAATCAGCTCTGGGGGGGGACCCAGCGCTCAGCGAAAGGTTCGGCCAAAGGCCTCTGGTTGGCAATCGCGGGGCACGGTTCCCCACCTTCCCACAGATTGAGTCTGCCAAAGCCAAAAATTATCACCACCAGTCCCGGTCGCGATCGATAGCAAAGTAACTGAGCCAACCAGCGCTGCGTACCTAACAGAAACATCGCGGAGGTCCATAGTACTGTCGCTCGCATCTAGTCTCTGTTCAACCTCCAAATTCATCCCACTTCCAGTCTGCTCCTACACAGTCACGAATTACTGATAATCAACCCCATACTCCGTCAAACCCGCCAATATGGCGCCCTCATTCGACACCCTGCGCGACGCAGATCTCGACGACGATTATGATGAGAGTGAAATCGACATCTCCGACTTGAAGGAACGCTTCGATGTTCAGCTGACACAAGGCTACGACACCTTCATCGTCATCGACGGTCTCCCCACTGTCACCGAGGAGCAGAAGCCCAAGCTCGTCAAGTTCTTGCTCAAGAAGCTGCAGGCCGCCGGCAAGACCAAGGAAGAAAATGTCTTCATGCCCATGGGAGACGATGGCAAGTCTTTGAACTTCGCCTTCGTCGAGTTCACCTCCCCTACCGAGGCCGCCGCCGCCGCGCGCCAACTCGACCTGGTTCCTCTCGACAAGAAGCACACCATGAGAGTAAACAAGATGACCGACATCGAGCGATACGGACGCGAGGGCCGCATTGAGGACGAGTATGTGCCCCCCAAGATTGAGCCTTTCGCCGAGAAGGAGCACCTGCGGTCCTTCTTGGCCGACCCTGCTGGCCGTGGCCGCGATCAGTTTGCCATGCACCGTGCTGAGGCCGTCGGCATCTTCTGGAACAACGAGAAGGAGACACCCGAGAACATCGTCGACAGGCAACACTGGACAGAGTCTTTCATTCAGTGGTCTACGCTAGGAACATACTTGACGTCCGTTCACCAGCAAGGTGTTCAGCTTTGGGGCGGTGACTCCTGGTCGAGACAAAAGAGATTTGCTCACCCCTTTGTCAACCTACTTACTTTCTCCCCGAACGAGAAATACCTCGTTACATGGTCTAACAGGCCCATCTCGATACCAGAGGAAGGACACCCCCAGCTTTCTATCGACGACGATGGCAAGAACTACATCATCTGGGATGTCGAGACCGGCAAGCCCCTCAGATCTTTCGCCAACATAGATCCTCCCGCCCCTGCTGCTGACGGTGCTGTCAAGGCTCCCCCCAAGTTCAGCTGGCCCGTCTTCAAGTGGTCTGCTGATGACAAGTACGTTGCCCGACTGATCCCGGGCCAATCTATCTCCGTCTACGAGCTTCCTCGCATGAACCTTCTCGACAAGACCACCATCAAGATCGACGGTGTGGTAGACTTCGAGTGGGCCCCCGCCACTGTCCAGCGCGAGGGCAACAAGCAGTACGAACAACTTTTGTGCTACTGGACGCCCGAGATGGGCAGCAATCCCGCCAAGGTCGGCCTGATGACCATACCATCTAAGCAGGTTATCCGTTCCCTCAATCTTTTCAGTGTCAGCGACGCCAAGCTACACTGGCAGTCCGATGCTGCTTACCTGGCTGTCAAGGTCGACAGGCACTCCAAGTCCAAGAAGTCTCAAGCCACCACCCTTGAGATCTTCCGCATTAAAGAGAAGGGTGTGCCGGTCGAGGTTGTTGACACAATCAAGGAGACTGTTATCAACTTTGCTTGGGAGCCCAAGGGCGACCGGTTCGTCATTATCACGACTCCCCCCGCCGTTGGAGAGGTCGCCGTTGCTCCCAAGACCACAGCCTCTTTCTTCTGTCCCGAGAAGATCAAGGGCAATGCGGTGGGTAACTTCAAGCATTTGAGGACCATGGACAAGAAGAACCACAACGCCATCTACTGGAGTCCTAAGGGTCGATTTGTTGTCCTTGCCACAATTGCCAACACGCAGAGCAGTGATCTGGATTTCTACGATCTTGATTTTGAAGGCGAGAAGCCTGAAAGCGACAAGGATTTGACTGCCAACCTACAACACACAAGTACAGCTGATCACTACGGTATTACCGATCTCCAATGGGATCCTTCCGGCCGCTACGTCGCTTCGTGGGCATCAGTGTGGAAGCACACTATGGAAAACGGTTACCACATCTACGACTTCAAGGGCGCTCTTCTTAGGGAAGAGCCCATCGACAAATTCAAGCAGTGGGCATGGCGGCCGCGACCCGCAACTCTGCTCAGCAAGGATGAGCAAAAGCAGATCCGCAAGAACCTTCGCGAATACTCGAAGGTCTTTGAGGTTGAGGATGCCGAGCGTGTCGCTGGTGCCGACCAGGCTGTTATCGATGAGCGTCGTCGCATTCTCTCTGAATGGCTGGCCTGGCGCGAAAGCGTGGAGGAGGACATGCGCTACGAGAGAATCGACGCTGGTCTGCCCGAGACTGAGGAGGAGAAGCCTGAACCCAAGGTGGAGGACGGCGAGGGAGAGGTCATCGAGGAGATCGTTGAGGAGGTATTGGAAGAAACTGAAGAGATCGTCCAGTAGATGGTTCTTAATTTGTTGACCTGGTGTCTTCCAGATAAACAGGATCCGGGCCTTCTAGATTTGGCCATTTGGGAGGGGCGTTCATGTATGGCATATTTCTCGCTGGTAGCATAAAATGGCATTTGATGAAAGAAACTCTGCTTATCCAATTATACAGCGCTCTACTGTGGACTTTCATCACAGAAGCACCGGTATCTCCGCCAGAGGTAATCTTTATGTCAGGAGATCGGTATCAAAAGCAAAGTATGTAGGTTGCTCCCGGGTACAAATCAAACCCTGATGGCTTGGATTGTTGATAAATGTGTTCCTTTGTTCCACTTTACGAAAACGGATTATATGGTGGAACTAACCCGCGCAAAAGCGATGACCGCAGAGACGAGACAAATTTACAACTCTTAGCATCTGAGACGTCTAGCGCGTGGGCGTGCAAAATACTCAGTTGTCGAACAAGATCGAGATCACATGTCGTTCAGACCGAGCGTCTCGAGAACATGATGGGAGCAACTTCCATCATTCCTGTCGACATGCAGAACACGGCACCGGTAAAAGCGACAAGTATGGGTGAGCCACATCCAACATCACCGCTACCAAGGAGCCTGGGGATCGTGGCGGCAGAAAAAAGGCTACGCGAGCTAAAACGCCCGGATCAACGACCCAGAGCACCTGAAGCTACTGGTGCAAGAACACGTCAAGATCAAAAGCTCGAGTCAGAACAAAAGGCGCCCGAGCTCAAGCCACGATCAACCAGGCAATCAGCTTTTGGGATATCGGCACCAGTACACAGGTCTACGGAGCCCCGAAATTATGATAGGAGGGAGTGCCACGTGGGAGGCCGCGAACGCAAGAGTCGGATACACCGGGAGGCTCATGTAAGGGAGCACCGCCCAAGAGAACCTGGAGGACATAAAGAACGAGATTTAGTTTCTGGAGAAGCTAAGGAACCAGAAACCACAAGTCGCCAAGCTAAAAGCTGGAATGCCAAAAGTCGAGAACCCTGGAGGAGAGAACGAACAGCAAAAGACCACCCCTCAAGAAATCCACGATCTCGGCCCACTTCGCTCCCTCGGAAACCCATCTGGGGTGAGCGTGGCGAGGATGTCGGTGTCCCCAATCATCAAATCCTCAAGGACAAGGCGCCAGATCATATGGATGCGCCGTGGTACGTTCGCATGTGGATTGCGGCGTACATGCGGTATCGTGGTATTAACGACAACCTGGCTGCCAATGTGCACTACACGGGTGAGGAATTTCAGAGGCTGACCCTACCGGACATGATAGAATTTTTTTCAGTCAAATGTGGTGTTAAGCGGAATGAGGCCATAATACTAGGGCGTGATGTTTGGGAATGTGTGCACGTAAGTCTTCTGAAATTCCTGTTCGCAATGATCTAATAGAAGCAGAGCTAACCCAACTCTAAAGACGAAGCAAGCACCAGCGGCAAAACTCATGAGCCTAGACAGGTATGCCAATTTTGTGGGCGAAGATGCAATGGGGCTCCGTGCGTTGTCGAGAGATTCTGGGATATTTTGGCGTATATGGAGCGTCTTCTTCTGGGTCAGAGCTGTGGTCAAGACGATAGCGCTTACTTATGTCGGGGTTGTTTTTGCAGTCTTGATAGGAGGTTGTGTCTCTGTTTTCATGTTCGATTCAGAGAAAGCTAATCAGTGAAATATATGGATACGGATGCCGTCGCCTTCGAGTGTTTTCTCGTAAGAGGGACTTCCACGGCAATGATGGTTAGTCACGAAGTTTTGCAAAATGAAACAGGTACTCTTCAAACTGTCATTATGCGCTATTTGCACTATATTCTATCTATCAATGTGCGCCGATTGATACAATAGATCGCGCTTATAACCTCTAAACAAAACACATCGCGATACATAGCCAATCTTAATATCAATCGCACCAAGAGACTTTGTATTACTAAGACAACCCAATACCACCTAGAGCTCCCGAGCAAATCAGCTCAGTAATCGACGGCTGTCGGTGCAGTGGGTCTGAGCAGATGTCGGATACGGAGCGAGTACAAATGCATCACCAATTTAGCGATTGTAGTGGTTATACGTATGGCGTGTGACCAAGTCCCGGAGCAAGACGATAAGTCACTTACATATAATTCCGTACCAATGGCTCTGCAAAATTCTGTTTCAGAGAAAGGTCAAATCAAACCATATTTGCTTAAAGCAGAGCATGTCTAGTTGGTTCAGCGATTAGACGACTGACTTCGGAGACATTTGGGTCATAGTAATAATACCCGAGAGAACATATGAAGCTGCCTAATCAGGAAGTACGGTCGCAGGGCCTATAGTCAGTCGCTTCTAGTCATCACTTTGTGGCTCAGTTGGTTCTATGATACTTGATTGCTAAGGAGCAAACTAGTTGCCCCTATATTCACACTGGCAGTATGTATTGCTGCTGCCTTGTTGATATCTCAGAGATGATTGCAAGTTTGGAACATATACCTGACCTATACATGGTTCATCTCCCTGCATCAGAAGCGGCAATTTGATTTACCTTGGCACGAAAATGCATTTGGGTTTTATACGCCTGGACAATGATTTCCAGTCTCATGAGACACGAGTACGCGATCTTGACTCATCAGAGAAGCTCGAAAGAAAGCATGGGTGTGGAGAAGTGAAGATATAGCCACCTGCTGCAGATGAGACTATGAGATTTGAAGCTCTTTGAAATATACAAAATTGAGCTGCTAGAAAGTTGTGTGCAGTTTCAACATACACAACCATCAGCATCTGAAAGACTGACTGTGCATTATGAACATTGAAGTGACCTACCTCTACAGTACCCAGAATCTGTATTCAAGCACATTAGGAAAATGATACTGCTAGTATATTCGCTTTTGCGATACAGACATAAGCATCCCATACCCGTGCTACTCCCCACTTTTTACAAGGAATCGCAAGCTCACCAACGGGTAAGTATTTCTTATGGTGTGAATGTTCTAATCAGCCCAACGTAGTGCCATGGGATATCTACCGTGCCAGCCACAATGATACAGTCTGTTGGTTCACCCGAAGAAACAGCATATAAAATTTTGCAAATCTGGCCCGTCGCCAACCATGTTTGATTAGAATGACACACGGTGAAGTACGGATCCGTAGATCATGTTGTGGGTACACAGTCCATATGTAGCTGAAGAGTCCAGCTGGCATGCTTGGTCCACCTTCAATAACAATGACATTATCCAAATTTCGGCCTGCACGCATGTTTACGTCACACAGAATGCTGCATACTTCAACTGAATCTGGGCCTGTGAACGGACGAAAGCCCGGGATACAGTAGAAATCGAAGCTGTCAACCAGTTGGGAGCTGGGAAATGGACGTTAAACAAGTAATTTCCGAGCGCTGCAGGCTTTGAAAGGGCGGCATGGTCCGTCATTGGTCAGAATATACGCTTGCATTTTGACGAAATTAAAGCTTGTCCCTGAATGATAATTTCACACCGCGGCGTAAGAGGCAAGACAGATCCCCATTGCCTGGGATCTGTGCTTTCTCTTGATTCCAGCTGTAACGCTAGAAATCCATTGGAAACAGAAATTTGCTTTTGATAACGTGGTTGTTCAAGAGTGAGTTCGAAGTTCAAGCCCCTGGAGGACATCCAAAACTGGAGCTCCAGAAGGTTGACCACGTTGTGACGACTTCAAGAGCGGCCTCACCATCCATTAGCCCGGCAGCTGCTCGGCTCAGCCACTCCGGAACTGCTCCAATTGAGCGTGACATTAGCCCGAAAATGCATCAAGTCAGTCTCGAGCAAGAAATCGTGCAATTGGTTGTTGCATATTGACCGGACAGCTGTAGTAGTGCGAAATCGCCAGTGCCCTGACCGTTGATCCCGTCCTTGGCGGCGGCATGTCACGTATTGTAGTGACTTAACTAGAAAAAAGTTAAGCTCAAATCACCATGCACCACTATCGAATGCCAAAAGACTGCACTTGGTTTCGACATTGCCTCGAGTATTGCTTCGTGGTTTCAGCGTTCAACGTATGGTCGGATTACCTACTGTGCCTCTCACAGCGGATAGTTTGCTTCTCGAGCTCGCAATAGGCGCGAAGAGAGCCGACAAATAGTTAGTTATGCATTCCGCCTTCCGTGCTGTGTGTCGTCCTCGTAACAGCCATAAATATACCTTCAGCTCACCGTATCAATAACAATGTGTAATTATCTACGGATCCGTACCTACTCTGCTACTGTACTCAGCTACTATGGTGCAGCACAGTATGGCAGAAGATGGTCCACAATCATGCAATCATTTCTGAGGGGCAGACGCTGGCTCTCATGCGCCATTTCTTGTTATTTGCACGGGGTACAAGTACGTGAATGTTGAAATTAAAGTTGTCAACCCCTTCCGTACCGCTAAATGCACTGGAGGCCCACCTTCTGTTCCCCGGCAAACGTGATCACCCCCACCATCAGCGCCGCGATTGAGTGACACTGTCTCCAAAGTCCCAGTAGTCACTTTGTAGCACTGAGGCGAGCTTAAGGCCCAGACCAATTGAAGCGGCGGTGTCATCCGACAGCCATTCAGGGATGGTCGGGGGACGGTGCAAAAGCCAAGACGAACTGGTCGTCTCCTTTTTGCACTTGCGCTGCAGCATTTTCAGGATTCCAGGACTGTACAGCATCATCACATTTCCGCTAGTCCCGCGCTCTTTACTCGTCCTTCCCTCGCTTGTTGCATTCCTTATCTCATTCCTGCAGTTTCGGGGTTGACGCCATTCAGTTCTGCTTTCACTTTACGGTAGTTGACCAGAGTCATTCTTTTGCTCATCATTTTGTTCGATATCAATCTTTCAAGCTATTGCTTAATTCACAGTCAATAGTGGCCACTCTTATTCCACGGCTCTCACTCAATCGCGCCCGATCATTCGCTATTCGCGAGCGTAATACTCAATACACACATAGTATTCTTCAATACCTGTTCATAATATCAGTACAACACACCCCCCAGCGAGATACTTCACCGACAACCAACCGTTAATGTCTTTTTGGAGCACAGCTGCCTGAAGAAGAGGAAGGCTTCCCCCGTGCAACACCCTGCAACAAGCTTCGTCTGATCTTTGACGAACTTGAAACACCCCGGCCACGACCGATACTTGACACCCCAAAGGCCGGCCGACTTGACACTCGTGAGATCATAGCAGCATCGCTCACACAACGCCAGACGATTACGACATACTACCTAGCATTTCAACAAACTATTGTGCTAGACTGTCTGCATCACAGTCAGTGTTGCTCTGTTTGCTATTCCCGGTAATAATTCTTGGTATTCGAGTGCCTTGCATTATTTCTAGTACAATAACAGCTTGTACCGCACAAGCTTTTCTAGGGGGTTCTCCGGCCAGGATCGTGAGACACTCTCAATCCAATTCGTCTGGTCAACCACCACGAGATCGCAAATCAGGGTCTGTTTGCAAATCCTCCCTGACACGATCGCAAACATTTTGAGCAACCTGCGTCCTTGTGATTCGGTATACTCTTCCATAAGCTCAAAACACTGCAATCCGTCCTATCTTGCTACTCCCGGATCCTCGGAGACTATCCCTCGTATAGCGTACAGCCTCGAGTAACACCGCTGCTGGATAACACGCTATTCTATAAGGACGGCCGGGGAAGAATCGTTGCCTGTTTCAATCCCCTTGGTCATCTCGAATCAGTTCAGACGAAACGTGGCACAACTCACGGCCCTTTTGTCGACAAAGTTTTGAGGTGCATCTGAAGTTTAGATCAATTCTATACCTCTAACCACGTCATAACTGTTATTGTCACCGTCAAACGACAGGAACATCTAGGATTTTTGGCCTGTTGCTACAGTCAGCAGTCGCTTATACAACAAATTTTTTTATTTTTTCAATTTTTTTTTCATATACCTCTTAAGTCCATGGTCGACTATGCGAACATGACTTACGATAGTTCACGTTTTAATGCGCTAGATATGCACATGATTGTGCCGAGTCCTGGATCACCGCCCGGCATGAGCTCCTCGAAATCTTCCAAGACTTCATCTGTCCAATCTTTCGGCTCAGATGACGATAACAGCGTCTTGGCTGACGCCGGACATTTCGAAGAGATCGGCCTTGACGACGATACAATTACTATTGACAACGCCCATTCTCGTGATATCAATCAACCCAAGCCAAGCCCGAACCCTTACAGCGCATCTTTCACGACCGATCTGCGTGCCCATTCCACGAAGCACAATGGTCCCAAAATACACCCTGCACATTCTGTTAGTACCCGAGAGCTGGCACGACCCAAATCTCAAAGGGACATCACGGCCACGCAAATGAACCGACCGAGGTTCCCAGCTATCCGAACACAGTTCAGGGATACTACTACGCAAGGTCTTAGCAGTATTGGACCACAACCTCATACCAAACCTTCACCTATCCGTAGTCTGTCAGCACGCTCAGCGTCGGCAGCAGGCGCCAATCGGCGCCATCGAAGCCCCAGCCCAAATTTATCACTTCGTTCTCTCAGTCCCAGAGATCCTAACATTGTACCGAAGCCGCGTAGGGGTAGTTGGCAGTCTACATTGGAACGCAAGTCAGCAATCGAGCTGGAGAAAGAGTGCGACGATGATGACGACAACATCCCGGAAGGCTTCATCCTCGACAATGTTCCCATTTCTCCTCGGCCGCCTGTCGAGCGCGCGTCAAGCCGACCAGTTTCTGCAGCAACATCCCCAGAACGTCAGCCAAAAGAACGAGTGCGCAGTGTCGGAAACGGCACACCAGCCATCGCAGCCGCACAAGGATCCTTGCGCTCTCCTAGTTGGAGATCCGAAGCATCGTCGAGCGACTCTATAAAGTCTCCAGGTTTGCCTCCTCTCAAGGGCCGAGCCAAGAGCTGGAACTCTGCCCTGTCCGAGCTTAGCGCCGAGGCCAAGGCTTTGACGGAGAAGCTGGAGGAACATGCTGACGAGCTGGATAAGAACGGTTCTGTACTCCCACGTCCTGCTCCCAAACCACGGGTCAAATCAGCACTAGCAGAACTTCCTCCGCTCCGCAGGACTAATATCATGATTGATCCCTTGCCTGTTTCGAAAGAGAAAGAAGCCGTTCTTTCTCGTACTCGTCCTTCATGGTTGCCACCCAAGGATCCAGCAGAGGAGAAGAGGCATCTGAGAGAATATCAGAGGATGATGGCTAACAGCATTGGGGCGGATAAGCGCCGCCAAGCAACCAGAAGGGAAAAGGAAAAGAGTAAGGATACCATGGCGAGCAATTTGACACGTATTTGGGAAGAGGATGTACTGAGCAGATGGAACGAAGCCATTCGGGAGCGACGAACTCGTGAGCTGTGGTGGAAAGGCGTGGCTCCACGCGCAAGGGGCAATGTTTGGTCGCAAGCCATCGGCAATGAGCTTGGCTTAACTGAAACAAGTTTTCAGGCTGCTCTGAATAGGGCACAAGAAGTGGAAGCCCGCATCGCTGAATGCAAGGCAACCACCGAGGACGAGCGAAAAGCAGAATGGTTTCAGAAGATCAGAAGCGACGCTGAGGGCAAGACTTGGGGCGAGCTGAACATGTTTCAAGCTGGTGGTCCGTTGCATCAACCACTGGTGGATGTGCTCAGTGCATATGCCATGTACAGGAGTGACATCGGTTATGTGAACGGTTGCAATGTGAGTAAACCTTTTTTACTGAAGAGGCCCAGCGCTAACAAATGTATACAGACTATTGCTGCCATTCTGCTCCTGAACCTGCCATCGACTACCATGGCCTTTATCGCTCTTGCGAATGTGCTCAACCGCCCCCTTCCCCTCTCGTTTTACGCCTCAGACAGCGGCGCCAAGGCTTCAGCATACAACCTACTTCTCCAAACGCTGTCTTCCAAGACACCCCAGCTCCATAAGCATCTCACCAAATCAGAACTCGCTTTGGACCCTGAGGATTATCTTTTGGGGTTATTTACTGCGTTGTTCACACAACACTTGTCGCTTGACGCGTGCACACGGTTATGGGATGTTTATGTGTTTGAAGGGGATGCTGTTCTCGTCCGGGCCGCCGTGGCGCTGCTCATGGAGCGCGAAGGCGCGTTGCTTTCAACCACTAGCTGCACCGACATTCTACAAGTCCTTGCTAGTGGCGGCCAGAAGACCAATCAGGGGCGGGAGGAGAACTGGATGCAACGCGTCCGCGAAGCTGGCAAGGCTTGATCGTCATTCCTGGCCAGCACTCTACCCAATCACAGTGTTTTACTGACGTTCCGGCACGTACGGAGACTTGTCTATAAAGCTGTCACCGTTGATTTATTGTCAAAAATTAGCAACATTTTATTGTGTAGTATTCATTAGAAGTTGGTTTGGCTGAAAGAGTATGAGAACGACTCATGCCTAATCTAGTGCAGATGGGCTAAAATATGACTTTTCAGTGTACACCATAGAGGGCCGGAGTTAATTGTTAATGAAGAAATCTATCACCATCTACATGTGATTATTTTCTCCAAAGCTTGCTTTACCTTGTCAGTTGCAATGATCTGTCATGGACAGCTTCAATGCCGACAGGGCTTACTGAATTTTCCCACCAATGCCAGAATTGGCCATTGCAATACGTATTGTATCACGTCGACTTCTTCTTTTAAGAGTATGTCAAGAAACCCCTCAGTTCATGCCAATCGTGGGAATAAATTAATATGATTAGGGTGCTTGGAGTGCTACCTCTTCCGATGAATTACGAAACATTTTCTCCAAAGAGTCATGCAAACATTTTATTGTAGGTCGAAATTTTGACCTTTAACATGCGAGTTTTAGACACCCTCAACGTTGTTCTCTTGTGACACTCTCAGCTTGCTTGCGCTTTGCTTACCCCCAACTTAAGCATCAATGGCAACGTCATCAGACAAACCCCGAACGGGCAACAGATGGCTATGATTATATCATAGTTGGCGGTGGACAATCGGGTTCCGTTGTGGTAAATCGATTGTCAGATGATGAGCATTGCTAGTGGAGAAAGGGGATCGGACAACCATCCAGTACCAATGCCATGATGACAACTGTGCTTGTGGTTGAATATAGCTACTTCGATACTCAAATAAAGAAGGTTTGGCCTTCCAGTGTTTGCGCATTCCCTCCATAAGAACTTTTCAATATCACCCCTATACCACAAATGGTCTTGGAGGTTCGCTACAATCTTTCCTATCTGCTTGCGAAGTGGGCAGAGGTTCGACCATGAATGGCACGTTACTCACTCGTGGGGTAGCGGATGACCATGAGAACTTGGCAAAATCGAATAACGTTCCCATTTCGGGCTTTGACATATTTCTCCCTTGATTTCATCAAGGTCCACACAATCGATTACTATTTCACACAAGACATAGTCCTGATGAGAATCTAAACAGAGCAGTACATTTAACCCCCCCCCCCCTTCTTGGGTATCGACTAATTGAAACATCACCTGGTATGCATATGCGTATTGAGAGCAGTCTCTTCTGTCGATATCTTCCCATTCCAGTAGCCGGGAACTAATAAGCATTCCAAGACATGCTTATTATGTGTAGCTAATGAACAAATCTCCTCAGTTTCACGACATTCAGGACGTTTGTATGGCTGCCTAGACTCGTGGTGTGAGTGGTCATTTGTATGGTGTCTTCTTAGTATCATATAACTCCTCCTTAAATTTCGATCTGGCCAATCTCAAAGTGACCCCATCCAGAATGCTTCGGATAGCACTACCGTGCCACGGTCATATGTGGTGAGCGGATATTATAATGCAGTTTGCCAATCGCGCCAAGTTAGACCTCCTAATAGGGCATTGTGTGAACGAGGTACTTCTCGACGAGAATCGGCATACAAATAGCATCCGTGTTCAAATTTGTAGGCCAGTGACCAACAAGGGGCTTAGGACTCTAAAGACCCGAAAGGAGATTGTATCGACTCCCGGCGAGCTGCACAGTCTCCAGGTTCTACAAAGTAGTGGTATGAAGCCTGAAAAGTACTCGAAAGTGCAGGTGTATATATCGGTTGGCCTTCCGGGCCTTGGCAGCAATCTACAAGACCATCAGAATAGTGATACACATTCAATTGTAAGTATTAAGTAAAGTTGTATCCAGCTCCCGTTGCCACTGGGCGTATTTTGGGCGTATTTCCAGATATGAAGGACTTAACCCACAATCCTCAGGATTTGAGCAAAAGCCAAAGCTTCACTGATGGGGCACAGGAGCTATGACTTGCAAGTCGCATAGGTATAACAATACACTCTACAAGACTATGCATGTATCATTAATATTGAACTAGCTCCAATGTCAATGACTTTTGGTAACACAGTCTCACTTATACAGCAAGTGACTCGAAGTCGATGGGAGGAGAATAAAAGCGTGATGGAAGCACATAACTCATCCGAACTTCTTCCCGAGTCATATTATCAAGAACAAAGAGAGGGCTTGGAAGTACACAGTCGTCCACTCACCGACTCTGGAAACGAACTGATAATGCCGCTGCGGAAATTCCATTTCACGGAACAACCTCGGTCCCGACTGATTTGATCAAGTGATCAGCCACGGTACCATGCTTTTAAATTCGTGTGTTATCTACACTGAGCCTATTTTTGATTTCGTACCAGTGAAAACCCAGTTGATGCGTATGTCATATATCGTAGGGGAGAGCCATAAATTTGTACGCAGATGGTAGCAGTAGCCCGCACCCCAAGCTCACAGATGACTAGGCACTTGCAGGCACATGCGTCAAGATGCTACGACACCTCGGAGGAGTGGTAGGGACTGAATTACGGATTATAGGACTAATTATTATAGACGCATCCGTGATGCTGCTTATTCCCGGAGCGCGGCTTTTTCGCTGCCTACTGTGTACGCAATTGCTGAAAAGGCAAGCACAACTTTCATCAAGGAAAAGCGTATAGATATTGAAAGTGACTATCTAGTCTGCCAACATTGGCAAAACATGATGTAGGGAACACTTGTTTTCTGTATTTAGTTATACCCAACATTAGTTAAAGAGCATTACGTCGATATCTGCCATCTTCTCGATTTCCCGTAGACCGGATACAAGGAGAAAAAGTTCAAGCGGCTCCTCTGAGCTTTTTAATTATCTCCATTCCCCATGCTTTCGCCTTTTCATTTTTCTCTTCTGCCCTACAGTGTCGGAGCTTTTTGTAGTCCCATCAACCAGGCTTTTATTGAGGCGCAATTCTTGAAACTGGGTTCTATCGTTTCCTTCTGCTCCTTGATTGACTTCTTGATGGATTTCACCACTGTCTGGGTTTCCTTGTCGTCATTCACCACCGGCCGCAAGACACTCTGCGCCGCCTGTTTCAGTTGCCTTGTGGGCATTACGGCGACTCAGCACGCGAGCCCACCTATTCAGCAAACAGCCCAAGTTATCCAGCCCCGAGAAGGTAGCATCTGTTGATTATTGATAACGTAATTATGTCAATCTTTGCACAGGTCTGCCGTGTGCTTCCGAGCGAATCTCCAGTCACCGAACCGCTTGGTTTCACTCTCAGCGTTGAAACGTGTAACTACCTTGCCCCAGAATGCCTGATCGGGCTGAAGCTCGGAATGATTAAGCTTCTGTCACTGGTCAACACCTCTGGAGCAGTCTGTGGTGGTGGCATGTCTTCCAGCTTGATGGGAAGTTCTGCCGAACCCAACACATTAAGTGAGCCAGGAGCCTGAAAATTTGGAAGGCATCGATAATTCCTTGTAACGCTGTTTGTAGTTTCGGATTGTGGGTGGTTGTCGCCAAAACCGGTAACCTCGGCGGAAATTAGTTCATTTCGAATACAATAGAATGTTGGGTTGATTCCTTAAATATCATGTTGTGTTTGCTTGACGTGATTCTGTAAACAAAACCAAGTTTATGAGTCCGACGATGAAATGAAGACGTCTGGAGCAGAGACACTCGCCTGCCTAGGGAATTGTTGGAATCTGGAACAGAGAGATTTATTGTGCGGGAGTGTGTGAACCAAAGCGTCTTGAGGATTGAGGCCGCCATGGCTGATCATTCTATCGCAACTCACGGTTGTGCCAGTCTCCGTAACTGGCCCTATAGGAGGGAGTTCCTCTCTTATCCGGCGGACGACGCCGATAATATTCAGAACTGGTGTTATAGTTCTAGGAAACGTTAGGTTGATAACTATGGGAATAGTGACTCCCTTGACTCGAGTTTGTGGCTCTGTAGTTTGATATGATGGACAAATCTTGATTTTTTCTTCCAATAATGTTGCTTGCGACATATTTAAGAGTGATTGACTCCAGCTGGTTATACAGGTTCTTGGTATAAAGAAAACAGTGGTAACATACCAATGAAACCTTTTTTCGCATCAATTATTATGTGAAAAAAATACGTTCGGTTATTTTCGGCAAAATTTTTCAATCTTTCAATTTTTCAAAATTGCCAGCGGAGTAGTACAGGGTGAAAAGTTCACGCCGTTATGACTGCCACCGTGCTAATATGGGAAATATAAGTTCTGACCTAACACAACTTTTTGTTAGGATGCTTGAATTGCAATGCAAACAATAAGACAATCCATGGAATTAACCATTCGCGGTCGTCCGACAGCTACATTGTCAATAGAATTCTGCCCAATAACAATGTGCCGATGCCCGAATATGTTGTTGGCGGCCCAGGAGTTTCCGCACCGTAAGCAAGCGAGCAAAGATGTTCAGAAATAAATGTACTACATATCCTCAAACTATAGCACGAGGTGCTACCGTGCTCGTCACACGGCATTCCAGGCGAGACTATAATGCTAATAGTAAACCAACGAATATGGCTATCATGCTTGTTGGTACACGTTTCTAACCTTAGTAGACTAAGTCAAAATTGCCTTTGTTGTCTCGGTGCCATAGAACGTACCTTTTACAAAACCAATTACGCTCATCCTGCCACTATGTGCTCAAAACGCGTTCACATTGGGAAAGAAAAAAAAACCCCCTCTTCATTTTGCATTAATTATATGCTAACCTATTGCTTTTCACACCTCCTTGTGCCGTTGCGTTAACATAATGTACGAAACACATGAATCCCAAAAACATCCCTGTCATTCGTCGGGACAGCTAACCATACATCTAGCTCTTGTTGCGTTTGCATTCACTTCGTTGCATGCTTCTTTCAGGGAATGCCGTGCATCAGGCCACGCCTTGGGGGGGTTTTTTTCATTCCTTTTTTTTTCTTCTATTCTTTTGTGAGGACCCCTGCAAATACATCATCACGATCGTATGGACGCGTCGGATTTGCTTTTAGAGTAATAAGCAAACGGACTGCAGGTATTCCCATCCGTATCAGTTTACCTAGCTTGGGTTCACAATGTGCAACATGCATGTGTAGCCAATGGGAAGTCAGTAACATATTCCGCAAATGATCGATGGACCGACATGCAAGCCAAAATTACATCACTATAAGTGCTCCACTCATTGCCCTGAAATCCCTGAAACCATACCGGCCAGGCCATGTTTGATGCGTATTGCTGCACAATTTGATTATCTTCAACCAAAGAATGTCACTTCCCAAAGACCCGCTTGGCTTCTAAGTCAACAGATATTGCTAGAGAGATTATGTGGCAATGACTGCATAAGGGCCAGGGGCGTAATACCATGGTCCCTTGCGCCCAACAGGTGTGTACATGGACCGACGCAACCCAAGTACCGTACAAACAACACGAAATGTGCATCACAAAACTTTGCATATCCACTTTGGGCCTTAGAAAATGGTCCATTCAATGTACCTGATACTTAGATCAACCCAGAGCTGGACGAACTTGCTCAAAATAAATGCTCCTCCAGTTGAGCCCCACCCTATTTCATTTGAGAGTTTGTTAAACAGTCGGTCGGGTAACGAAACAGAAGCGATACCACTCCTTAAAGCAGATCCTCACGCGTATCTATACAGGGTCAGGCCTGAGACCAGGACCACCACATCCGAGGGAGCATGGCCTCTTAATGGCAGACATATCTTACGCTCTAATCTTGGGTGCATACAGGCAGCCTACTCCCGAACTTCTCCGGCTTTACACCTCAATGTTTTTGTGTGAACTGGTATGCAGCACGATTTTAAGTTCCAAATTCGTACTCGAACAATTGCGGTATCAATCCTAAATCTCAACTGCGACGACTTCACAGCGAGTGGTAAAGTTAGATACAATGTTCGCTCTCAAGCAGAATCATGGGCGATATCCGTTCGCGTCCAAAACCAAGTTATCTCATGGCTTGCAACCACTTTCTCCGATGCCATCATCACAAACCAACCCGGAATCAAATCTCATATCAGCTAGTGCCAAGTCATACAAAGCCCCAAAGACTCGGAGCAGTAGGAGACACCGTGATTACCCAAAAGTTGAGGGGGGCTGGAACGAGGCTGATGACACAGATGATACAGTAAGTAATGTGAGTCTGATAATCAACAAACCGTTGCTTAAACCTCTGTTAGGATTCTAAGGTTGTTTCCGAGTCATCACTACACCAACACCAGGAACTACCACTTGGGGATTCAAGTCCTTCCAATGCCACTGAATCCTATGTAACCCATGAAATCCCTGGGACTGGAACTTTTCGTGGAACTCAAGTCGAGGAGCATAAGGATATTGAGATTCTAGAGACTCTGCATGAGCTTCGAAATGTTCTACTCACATCGCCTCCCTCTAAGAGATTCCCCGATGAAGACTTCTGGACTGTGTGCAATGATAAGATAACACAGAAACTAAAGCAACCTGAGTTCGAGAATTGGTCACACTTGAAGAAGTGGGTTCACCGTGCCACGAACAAGCAAAGGGCTCGTATTCATGCTCCGCGTTTAATGGGAGGGTCCAAGAAGCAGGCTCTGATACATGACTGGGTTATATGCTGGGCATACTGGGAACTGTTGGTTCATGCTGCAAAGTACCGTGACTCGGTTGTTGAAGTCTTTGGACGAGGAAAATTACTGCAAATGCTTCGAAAGAAATTCTCGGTCGCAGAGTCTGAGACCAGCTTCATGCCTTTCATTATCAACGAAAGGCTTTGGGAAGGAATGCTGCGACGTGAAGCGAGATTACACCAACCTTATCGAAAGACTCGGCATATATCGCAGTGTTCCGAGGAGAGCGACTTAGCAGACTACGCCGATGAAGATATCGAGCGTAGCGATAATGACGGCAACCCCCCAGCGGATGATATTGATGCAATTCCGTCAATTGAAGTGCTTCAGGCAGCAAGCAGTGATGATGGAGACACGTATCACAGCAACGGCAATATCAGTTCCTCGATGATGGAACGCAAAGCTGGTCCAGAAGTACAATACACGCCTCGTACTTTGTTGCACACTTTGAAAACTTTTGAGGAAGAGGGCAAGCGTCGGGGCACTTTCCGAAAACTTGAAGAACATAGACCTTTGGACGGTGATTCCCCTTCTGCAAATTCTGATACAGAGCATGCCCTCACCGATGCAGGAACTAATCCTGGGCTCACAACACCAGCGAACACGCTGACTACCTCCCAGGATGGTAGTGGTAAGCGTACGTTACAGGCTCTCAATAGGACAATGTCGTTACCTCCGTTATCAGCAGCTGCTACGTTGCATCCAGAGGCGTTTGCTGAGATTATTGGATGCTCTGCCAGTACCGATCTGGCTTTTACTAAATCAGATGATCGCCCGGCGAGTCTGTGATTGGAACAGCAGTCCCTCCCCTAGAGCATGATTCTAATCAAACTTCCTCGCACTCGCTGCGCCGAAGTTGTACGGGTATAGGAACCGGGAAGAGTTCCCAGTTCAATGATGCCTACGTACGGGAATTTGGTCGACCTGGCCGGGAGGCTACTGCGCCTGAGATTCGACTTGAGAACCGGGATTTTGCACGGCGACAAGCCACAAGAAAAAGGAGCTCATTTCTCCCGGTCCATGTCGAACAGCTCCAGGCCTCTGTTGTTTCACACAGAACTCCTCTGGTGCGGACGGATAATGTAGGAGGAGCTTTACACAAGACTTTTGTTAATTCTGAATTACCTGTTGAAATCAATCTTGGAGCTCGAGGACAAGAGAACAATAACCACAGCCGGCCTATTGTTGTGACAACTCGTGTTTCAGGTCTCCCCAAACCGCCTGCTCTCTATTCTGGAGCTCGCAAGAATGTCCAGGCACCGTTTCGGAATGATCACGTTAACCATTCTGGCGTATCTCAAGCTCTTGCTGACGACGACAAAGACGATGACAAGAATATCGGCTCCACAATGCCGTCACACGAAGCCTATACTATGACTCATGCGCAGGGAAGGCCAGGCCCCATTGTAAGACAACCGCTCCATCAATTTCCAAGTACGACTTTCAAAAACACGTCTTCGCTGGCTTTGGGACAGCCTCCAACCAGAAACTATGCGGATCGCGCTTCTGTAGACAAATCTGCTCCAAAAGAAGCCTCGGCTTCCTTTAGCAAAACCACTGTCATCACAACTTTTGATAATACTAGGGGTGCAAAGGTAACAACTGAGCAGACTGCGACAAATGACAGAGATCAACAAGGCCGTATAGTGGCACCAATCTCTGACAATATGCCCAAGAAACGGAAAAGAAGCAAACGAAGATCTCAAGCAAAGACGCAGGCGGTTGAGCAACCAAGCGACGCGAAATCCAACGAATTGCTCAAAATATTGCAATGTAAGTAACATAAGTAACGCAGGCTTAGAATCCATCCATGCTCTCATAAATCAATTGTGCATCCTCGGGGACCATTACTAACTCGGCCAACGAAAAACAGACCCCAAAGAAAAAAGTGTAATTTGCAAATCATCGGCTCTTGCAAAACAGAACAAGGTTTCCTTTAGCCCTGTAATGATATCTGATATTCAGCACGATGTGCTAGCACGGCCAATCTTGACTACGCGCAGGGGTGATGATGATGATGACCAGCAGCGCCGAGATCAGAAACGGAAGAGAAACGAGTCAGGTTCAGAGCAACTTACGCAAGACCCAGATGATGCAGATAACCCTAGGAAGACAAAAAAGGCCAAAAGTGCTGACAAGAAGCAACGACCCAAGACAACCGAACAACCAATGAGCGAAGCTCATGCCCAACACTCTCAAGGTGCTGGAGTACCTGTTAGTAGAATGTATCCAGCTGGCGAAGAAGATTTTGCCAATAGGCAATGTACTATCAAGTCTAAACACCATAAGAAGGCAAAAAGGAAGGTGAATAAGTCTGGCCAAGATTCTACCATTACACATGACCTTTCCAGACCTGATCCGCTCCAGCCCTTGCCGACGGCACCAGACCCCGGACGACTGCACAATTCGGAACAACATGGGATCGAACAGCTTGTCCATCGGCGTAAAATGACTTGTACACAGTCCAGCCCACTTGGTCGAAGCATACGCAACCGGACTGGAGAAGGAAACACAGAGTCACTGCTGCAAGTCATTCCACCACAACAGGAAAGACCCAAAAGCCACACTAGTAACAGAGCGGACCAATACTTGGACCAGTTAAACACCAGCTCCAATCAAAAGCAGGTGGTATCTTTCGATGCTCTCAAGTATCGAGATTCCAGGCCCTTCCACAAAGTCACCAATCCAAGGAGCTCGATAAACAAACCTGTTCAACACGTAGATCATCATGGGTCTTGGTCACCACAGGAGCGTCCGAACACCACACACTGGCAATCTTCACCCTGCGTAAGACAACAACACAAACGCATGTATGCTCAGGGGCTTCCCCAAAAGTCTAATCGTAGCGGTAGCTGGGGATCAGGGCGGCGAATACCCAACACAGCGACAAGCAAAGCTAGCAGCAGCCTCTTCGTGAGTCCAGACACAGCCCAGCGGATGATGAGCACAATGTCTTCCAGTAAGCAGCCATACAGATCCCGAAAAAAGAAAACTCAGTATCATGGAACCCAAAACCATGAGCAAAAAACAAGTCAGAGCGCACACGTGCGGTCGGCCACTGTCGAGACGGATATGCTGTCTAACTCTGCTCCCACACCAGATCCAAGGCATGTGTTCGGTAAGGTGACCAAAATGGAGCGCAACATGGAACGGCTGGAAGAGCGTTTGGGAGGAAGATTTGAAGAAAGATTAGAACAGAGGCTAGGAAGTATAGCCAGGAACATCGTCACGCAATACCTTACTTCAATGGTAAACTAATCTTTGTCGTTGGAAGACGCGAATTTGTTCAAGTACTGGACAGTACCCGGCTCATTGATTGTATTACCAATCTTGCTATTCACAACTATTGAAGCCTCCGAGCATAGGTGGTATTATTCGCATGCATGAAACAAAAACAATTGGGGCCCGAAGTGAACACTCTTTGCAACCATTTCTTCCCGCCATTGTAGCTACAGTGTAGTTCCAGCTCGTGATGTAGGCAAACAAAATACGATTGACTTGTGTACCATCTACTCCGCTTTGTCCATGGTAGTGGTTGTTTCTGGCTCTGGTGGCTCATGGCAAATGGTTCTTAATCAACTGGTAAAATCTTGAGTATCATTGTAAGCTATTACTTGAGTTGCGTATGGAGGCTTAGCTTATGCGTACATGTTGTGAATCATGCAAAGCGAGAAAGCGGTGTTATGGGCTTGCAGGACGTAGGTAGTTGTGGTATGCCACCCCCACGCCCATCCCCACCCCTATGCATTGTGATGAAGGTACGGTGAGGTTTTGGAGGGAAGCATCAGCGTAGGTACACTTTTATGTACTTTATAGAACAGGGTTCCGCTTTCTTAATCAAGAGCTGATGCATATCTACGCCTGCATGACCTTTTTCCAAGGAAACTAAGTTAATGCATTTGTACCCTATAAGAAGCAACTATAGTTTCGACGAACATAATAGACAGGTGTTTTCTCAGAGTCTGTTATATTGCACTCGCAGTGAACTTTGAATCACATCTACATACTACATGTTAATCAATTAACAAACAATGGTTGACTGCGAACCGTCACTGAAGTTTTTTCGCCTGTTTGAGCAGCTACCCGTGGTGTATTGTGTAACTTGTTGCCAATGTGGCCATCAAGGTTTTGTTCTCTTTCCACTACAACCACGCTGACGCGACTTTCCGCAAGTAATCGCTTTTTTTTTTATTCTGGAAAAGAAGCAACCAGCACTGCGCGGGGATGTTTTCTCGGAAACAGAATTTCACTGTAGGACGATGCAGCACTAACCAGGGACAAAATGATGGCTGGACAGATGGTTAACCTAGGTCAGATTGTCCATCATTGCAAGTAGGTACGTTTGTCCCCCCCCCCCCCCCCCCCCTGTAAACATAGTTCTCATGTTAGGCAAAAGCTTTGTTCGAGATCTGATAGATAAATGATATGCACTTTTCATCCAAACACCGACTGCATCGTACAGAGCCGTGTGGAGAATTGCCGGCCAATGCGGATGCACGCTGTACTTGTCAGACAGTCAGGTAGGGGCACGTACATAGGTAGTTGAGTGATGTATTCATGTGTGTCTTCTGTAGCTGATTCTTGGCACTCCAAAGAGGCACTTGCAGAAACTTCTATGGAACGTCACGTGACTTCTAAAGCTAGTAAGGCCTGCTCCACCGTTCAACAGTACTGAGTCTTCAAGTTGCAACTCTGATTGGCACACACACTATTTGACTGCCACAAGCTAACTCTATCCGACTAACCTAGGTTAGAACCTCATATATACCAGACTTGAGTACCTGGACGACTGAAAATGATAGTTCACTCAAGTTGAGTGTAGCCCCACCCTAATTCTTGAGGTTCTAGTGGGAAACCGTTTGTCTGAATGAGATACGAGCACATCAAGTACAGTCGAGCCAGAGCAAGGATCCATGCTTTCTTGAGTATCAAGCCTATCGATTCTTCCTTTTTCGAGAAATACCCTCGTAGCCAGGGATAAGATTCGTCTGCCCAGAGAGACCAATGCTATACCTGAGTACATCTATGCCTATTGGAACACTCTTGATCATTTCCCAGCCATACCAACCCCAACCTTGTTCCCCTCTGCGCTTTCGCTATCGGCTCTTAAATAATGGCTTTCAAGTATTGGTTGCCTCACAATTTGAGTAAATGTATCCTATCTTTCACGTTTTGTTAATTTCCACGTCATCACACTTTTGTCATATTTTTGGCCTCATTTTGAGACGTCGCCACGGTGAAGATGCCGCGTGCTTCGTCAAGTAAACAGCGAGGCTTCCCTGCACCCATGAGGAAACCTAGTCCAGATATTCGACTGTTAGTTCCGCCACCCTCGTCATACATATGTCCTGACACTACTTCTCCATCGGATGCAATAATTTATGAGACACCAAAGAAGCGCAGAACCAAGCCAGGCTCGAGGATCAATCGTAAAAAGACACAGAGGATTCAGTTTTTGGAAGATGACTCGGTAAGCAAACTCATATAGTCGATGTATATTAAACACAGCTTACACCGCTACCCATAGGACCTTGAATTAACTTTGAAGGTCGACGATCACGGCAAAGATGTAGAGAGCCCCAACTTGCAAACTGTTGAATCGGATTGTAGGTCGCCCGTCAGTTTCAATGATGTGGTCCCAGCGACAGTGAGAGAGGGAGAAGGGTGCATTGGAAAAAAGTATATTAATGAAGAGGCGGGCCTATCGGTACTAGCAAACCATTCGGATACACTGCCATCCACTATAGGGGATCATCACAGAATGTATGACCTTGAAAATTCAGACGACATCTCGGTGGCTTTTGGCGATATTTTTGCAGAACAAGGCGATACGTCGGAAGTTCTGGTGACGCCACGGATGACAGAAGCGCAGGTCGCGCATCAAGAATTATTTGGACGAAAAAGATTTTTCTCTACGACAAGTCGCAGTCAGCAAGTTCGGCAGAGCCCTGCCCGATCAAGCAAACCGACAGCATCGGAAGAGACTCATAGATGTTCGCCGTCTGCAGCAGCTGAGGCCTCATCAGTTGGTTATAATGAGGTCTACTGCAACGGCTTGTCAGACGACAACAGCTCTCAGCACGAAGAGAATTTTCACACAGATTGTAGACTGTTTCCCATAGAACCAGATTGTGTTCCAGAAGAGGTATCCGGAGGGATGCTTGCTCCTCCATTTCACAAGTCTTTTGCTACACAGGGGCGTGGCGAGGACAACACGCACAACAGTGCTAGCCAGTCCGAATTACCGCAGCAGTCGGCAGTACAAGGCATTACATCTCCAAGATCGTTTGCTGCTATTAGTGGGACTTCAGCACATCACCACAGTCTCCTACAAGCCGCGCCAATTGACCGCCGATTAGAACCACATCCAGTATACTCTTTGGATACGATTAATGACTATGATGACCCATTAGGCGAGCTTGTGATCGATCCTAAATACCTTCCGGAAGGTTATTTTGAAAATCAACAGTCCTGTCCACCCATCTGCTACAAGAGCAACAACGACGAAACAGGACGGGAGATCTCCACACGCAGGGAGCATGTAAGAACCCCTGAACATTTGGCTCGTCAGAACACACCACCCAATGTACGGCAAGAAAACATGGAGCACGCGCGGAAGAAACCGCGGAGAGACAGCAAACTATTTTCTTGTTTGGACAAAAGTAAAGTATATGTCACAACCCACTCAAGTGCTGATCTGGCACTCGGCGGCGACAACAACACTTCCCCGCTTCGTGGATGTATCCAGCAGGAGATCAGCTCCAAAAGATTTTACGAGCCACTGGTTGCAAAGCAGTCACAGAGGCCAATTGCTCCTGAGCTTTTCGATAAACCCAGGCTCAACAGGAAGCACATCTATCCTAGTGACCGTCAGTTCGAGACATCATCAGTGGTTGGACATGCGGTGCGACCAAAAAAACAATTGACTATCACGACCAATCAATTACAGCCAAGTTGTGAACCTATACATATCAACACAATCAATAAGCCCAGTACAAGTGGTAATAGAGAAAAGATCGTGACTGGACGCGATGGAAACCGACAATCCAACCTGACAAATCAGCATTTGACAATGACTGGGACTAATGGATTAGGAACGCTTAAGCGGTTGCCAGACGAGACTCACATGTTGAGTAAGAGGCGTAGAAAGAAGGCCAAAAGGCAACTTAAACGCAGACTCAATGCTAACACGCGCAGTGTACCAGAGGCTCTGACCACGCACGACCAGCTGCTTTTGACAATACCTCAAATATCTACGCCACCCAACTTGATAGAGGTGAGGACAACCTCACCTCTTTGTTCTCCGAAGCTATCCTCCGGTGCGCGAGATGGCTTATTACCCCTTGCATTACCCACATCAACGTCACAAGTGACTATTGCAAACTGCGAGAGCCACAATCACGACGTGTTGTGTCCTTTACCGCTTGATGGGAAAGGGAAGGGGGCAGCAAAAGGCCCCAAGCAGGGGAGAAGCGTCTTCTCCACCAGCGAGAGCACTGTTCAGCAGCGGTTTGCAGCACCAAGAAGCAGACATAGCCTATCAGCAGCAATCTATGCAGAGAGAACGGATGACTCTCAAAGCACTAGGAGTTCGCAACTCGAGCCATACTTGGTGGATCGAAGCAATATACTCGCCAAGAAGAGAGATCCGCAGAATTTATTGCAACGTAGAGCTACAACCCCGGGGCATAGCCATCGATCGTTGGATGCGCACCTTGAGAACCCGTCAACCCTCATGCCAAATGAAGCTGGCCAGGTGGGCGAGCACCGTCGTCCTCCAAAGGGAGCTTTAGATCAGCGAAGTCTCCAGAAACCACCCTCCATGGAATCTTCTCACAGGCTCACTGGGATGGCTTGGCGGTTTAGTCGAGACGCTGGCTCAATGTCAACATCACAAACCCCTAGCGGCAATGCGAACGAAGCCAGTAGTTCGCTCCCGGTGCGGCATGACTCGCAGGATATCGGTCGGTATGCAGCCCTGCGATCTCCGAAAACAATATCAAGGCCAGCTGCAGTAAGGTATTTGGTTTGTGGCAGCCAGATCATCAGCCAAGCACCGCACTGCCATGAGGGTTTTGATACGATCGGCACTGGGGTTTGGATATCTCAAAGTCCAGATACCAGCCTTGTCCTGAAGAAACATAGGGAGCTTGAGAATCGTCTGGAGAAGTTAGAGAAGCTTATCGAAAAGCTAACTTCGGATTGCTAGCCCTAGTCCTTGTTACCCATGGTCTAAAATTCGCGGTCTCGTAACTCGTCACTTTCATCAACTAGACTACGGAGTAGTTAGTTACCACTTGGCACTCATTCCCTCCCTTCTTGAGACACTCTAATGGAATTGCGTTTATCGGTACCTACTACAACAATCCCAGACAAGCATATGTTTTACCAGTATCAATTTTACCATGGAAGACCCGTGCACAATACTCAGGTACTACATAGCTTAATCCAGATCCATTCTCATCCCAACCAGGCTACATGGTGATCACATGTTAAAATTCACCATTCAAAATTAAGTCTTTGTTTCTAAGTACGGATACAATTACAAAACCAAGCCGTCCCCAACAAATATATCAACGGAATCCTCCATTCGTTGACCACAGAGCCTTTCATCACTGTCTACTAGTACATAAATTACAACATGGTTCCCGGTGAAAATCGCATGACAATCAGAAGCTGATCGCGCGGTTTCAATCTGTTAGGATTCCTACCGTGCATTCTTCTGGAAGCTTTGTGCAATGACCGAGAGTTGAGGTACCCCACGGCTTACCGCACGTGGCTTAGTTGGAGGGCAGGGAGGAGTCAAGATGCTAATGGAGCTTGAAAGTCGGGAGACAGGGGTAGCGATCTCAACATTTTGTTCGGCTCGGCAGAATTTTCTAGGTTCCCTAGCTGCGGCTGCCCCAACAAAAATAGCACCCTTGTTAGTGTTGGACCCTCTCTCTCCCCAGTGGGCCCCCAAACCCTGCATTTCACGATTCTAGATCAGGGGTACATTCAGATTCACGACCATCTAGTTGGGTTGAGGGGCAATGCACCCATGATAGTTGAGAAATCCTTAGGGAGACCGCACATTACCAAGTGCAAGAGTATCCTTTCATGTTGACAAACTGGATTAGGATGTAGGATTTAGTGTATCGAAGGCGAGTGAATAGTTAGCTGAGTAATCGATATCCCACGCATAGTTTGCTTGTGCAGCACGCAGTAAGCCACCAAGGTACTTCCGTACTACCGTGGTATCACCATGGCTTAAATGACCGCAGCAGATTGCACATTGGACTTAATAACCCTCAGTGTATGCCATGAATCTCAATGAATAGACACGACTATCTATAAGCTTACGTGAGACACCAAACACCCAGAATGAGAGATATCATTAAAGCAAGTACAGCATGGTGAGGAGTCGGAGTGTATGGCAAGAACTTTCCAATCCATTAGTCTGACGGAGACATGTCACTTTCACATGAAAATGTGCGTGCCGAATCGCCATTCGCCAATCGGAGTGACCAATTCCAAGCCTAGCGCATAATACACGCACACTGCACACATGTGGTCATGGTACAGGAGAAGCATGAGAAGATGGGCGTGATGGTGGTTCATGGCAAGTACCTGGTACTAAGCAGGAAAGGTTCGATGCAACTCGCAGCACTCCATTGTTTCAACCAAGACAGACGTGATTGTCCGCCATTGAGACAGGTCGAAGCTACATACGTATGTAGGCTGGTAGGACGGTGATCTTTCCGCCTCAATCCAAACTGTGTTCTGCAAGAGATTACCATCGTCTGGCCCAGGGTGTGGGTTTTTTTTTCTGCAGTATTTAAAGCAATGCTTCAAAGCGGTGAGAAGTGTGAACGACTGGCAAAGAGCTAGGCGCTCCACCATTGTATGTATGTAACGAAACAACATACTACCTATCATAAATCATACACAAGTCGTCATCGATAGCCTCAGCTATGAAGGATTGATCATATCGATAGTACTATACGAATTATGCCACTATGCATAGGAATGGTTTATGTGAATGAAGCCTATTCGACGTCGTCTTTTGAACACAGAGCACCTCCAATTGAGATCACTGGAGCGTGGTAGGGCAGCCCCGTTCCGAGGGAAGAGACATCCCTGAGATTGAGCTACAGTAGCATCACGGGTCTAGCTTCTCCTCTACAGTAGCGCCAAGCCCCAAGCCCTTGTCTAGCCCGCCTGGCCTGCCGCTGGTGAGTTTCTTGCCCCAGATTCCACCGCGAAGAAAACGAAATTTCTTCCGTTGAAGAGATCCGCCTTTTCGCCATCCGCTTGTGCTTGGAATTGCAGCTGTTTCTCATTGGTCCAATGCTTTACATGCGTGAGAACAAATCCCACCACAACTCAAAGCACAAGTCAAGTGATCGGTAGAAAGGGGGCCCAGTCTGTCCAACGCCTAGCCAGTGGTGGTACCAAGTATATATCAGTTTCCTCCCAAGTCGGCACTCAGCATTTGAATCTCTACTTTTTCACTCTGGTCGTACGTGCCATTGTAGATAATTGCTACTTCGTGGTTGCACCTCGTAACACCAAGTGAGCTGTTGGTCAATACCGAGCCTAATCCGCCAAGTCCAACTTTGGTACGCATCCCAACAAATTATACACAACGTGTTGAAACTGCACACTACACCCCCAGAACTTTTCACGGAGGCACCTTGTCGAAGTACTACCTCGGTTCAGTACGCCACTGACAGATTATAATATTTTCGTAATTTGCTGGTTCGAATTTCGATCAACTGTTTTTCAGGCTGCTCTGCCACCTCATTTCTCGTCCATTCAGTGGGAAGGATCAACCTACCAACAAACACCAGAATCATGGCTTCCTCTACTGCCACTGCCCCTCGGCAGAACCCGGCGCTTCGCCGTACCATGACGTCCACCACGGCCGAATCGGACGTCTCTTCCCCTTCGACTGCCATGGCCTCCCCTATGGACTCTCCCAGGCCATCGGCTTCTTCGACATCCCTTTCCTCCATGTCTTCTATGGACGAAAAGCCTTCTCACGGCAAGCTCATCGACACATACGGCAACGAGTTTGTTGTTCCTGATTACACAATCAAGGACATTCACGATGCTATCCCGAAGCACTGTTTTGAACGGTCAGCCGTGAAGGGACTGTACTATGTATTTCGGGACATTGTCCTCCTCGGCACCACTTTCTACGTATTCAACACCTATGTGACGCCTGAGAACATTCCCCAGACTCCCATCCGCACAGCTCTCTGGGGTCTTTACAGCATCATGCAAGGTCTCTTCGCAACCGGTATTTGGGTCCTCGCTCATGAATGTGGACACCAATCCTTCAGCACTTCCAAGGTTCTCAACGATACTGTCGGTTGGGTTCTCCACTCGGCACTGCTCGTCCCTTACTTCAGCTGGAAGATTTCGCACGGCAAACATCACAAGGCCACCGGCCACATGGAGCGTGACATGGTCTTTGTGCCGCGTACTCGTGAACAACAAGCGTCTAGACTCGGCAAACTAGTCCACGAGCTTGGTGAGCTTGGCGAGGAAACACCTATTGTCACTCTCATCCATCTCATTGGCCAACAACTCATCGGATGGCCCAACTACCTGCTAGCCAATGTCACTGGCCACAACTTCCACGAGCGCCAGAGAGAGGGTCGCGGTAAAGGCAAGAAGAACGGGTTCTTGAGCGGCGTCAACCACTTCAACCCATCCAGCCCTCTGTATGAGGCCAAGGATGCCAAGCTCATCTTGCTTAGCGACGTCGGTATCGCGATCACCGCCACTGCCCTCGTATATCTTTCCAAGATATTCGGCTTCAACAACATGCTCGTCTGGTACTTCATTCCCTATTTATGGGTCAACCACTGGCTTGGTAAGTAGTAACTGCCTCTGTATCTAGTCAAGAGTCTGCTAATAAAGCTTGTTTCAACAGTTGCTATTACTTTCCTTCAGCACACCGATCCCACCCTGCCCCACTATACTCCCCAGTCGTGGACATATGTCCGTGGCGCCGCCGCTACCATCGATCGCGAATTTGGTTTCATCGGTCGCCAGCTCCTCCATGGAATCATCGAAACCCACGTTCTTCACCACTACGTTTCCACCATCCCCTTCTACAATGCCGACGAGGCTACCGAAGCCATCAAGAGGGTTATGGGACGCCACTACCGTGCCGACACAAAGAACGGTTCGTTGGGATTCCTCCAGGCTATGTGGCGCAGTGCCCGTTGGTGCCAGTGGGTTGAACCTAGCGAGGGCGCCCAAGGTGAGGGCAAGGGTGTCTTGTTCTTCCGAAACAGGAACGGACTTGGTACGAAGCCCTTGAAGACTGTTTCGTAAACGACTATCCGAAAATTACTGGTGTGTTCATTCCGGTTGTCAGAACAAGCTTGGCTTCGATCTGTTATACAATAGTAGACCGGAAATACATTGTCTCCAGCCAACTTCAATTTCCGTTTTGCTTCCTGTTTGTCGTCATTCGGCTTTGGGGCGTTGGGTTGACTTTGAGAGCTTATATTATCTCGAAAATTGGTCTGCAAGAAATACTGAGATAATTGTCTAGAGTGGGCAGATGGATAAGAGCAAGACATACTAGATTTAGACAAATAAACGGTGAACCTGTTCATACCTTCTGCACAACCTGCACCTTGCTTAAGTAAAGAGCTTGTTGAGTGTTCCTACTACTTGACATATGCAAGCTTCTCAAACAAAGCATGTGAGACAAGCTAACCTTTGTATCCAAACATATCAACTGTAATAGTAGTCAAAACTCAACTGCAATGTGTGTCAAATTGATCCGGAGGATTGTATGACTTATACAGAATTATGATGTCGCAGAGTGGGGTGAGTAGGCTGTGCCCGTCTACGGTGAATGAAGCCGGATACTCCGGATCGCAGCCCCCTATCACAATGCGACCTTGCGGCCTCAATGTACGATTACCGGCCCATAGCAGGGCCCATAAAAGCCGATACCATGGCCAGACACTGAACCAGGCGCGTCCTTAGGGGGAACCATATGGCGAAATCAGAGCAGTGTGTTTTCGTCACCTCCTATACATAACATATATTCGACCCAAACCACACAGGCCGGTATAGAATGATTAAAGCTTGGCAGTTGGCAAGCACAGATTGTGGATTTATACACTTTATTCCTACGTAGGGCAGGTGGACGAGAGTTTCATTCTTCATTCTGGCCACCACCAGACTTCATGTCGCACCTGAGTGGTTCAACCATCACCATCAACCAGGATTTCTTGTTAACTGCCCATAACTTTGTGGTGCACTGAAGCGAGCGCATAAGCTGGAGCCAGCAAAGACGTGAAGGGCCCCTGTGACCAAGTTTGTGAGGTAATTGTTGCCAACAAAGCCTCCCAACGGTTTATCATGAGTTTACTTTCAGCCATTGTATATTCATGACAATGCTTACTGCGCTAAATCCGGATCAGAGACCCCATACACTAACTGCCGGAAGTCACCTTCTGGTGTACCCAGGTTCATCTGCGGGTAAGTATCGTGCTCACATTTTTATTTTATTTTCTTGACTAACCTTAGGGTCCTACATAAAATCGACAGGCTTCTCTTGAAATCAAGCACATATTAAGTACGGTACATATGTTGTGAAACGGACTACACAAAAGCAACATTTTGCAGCCCCCTGGTGAACCTTGTTACTCTTCCCAACCTCTCAAATACCTGGTTGGTTGCCCACACATTGAAGGTTTCTTGACAATATCTCGAGGTATGACAGCAACAAACGGACCCACAAGTGATCTTTTTGGTCCTTTTTTTTTTTTCTTTTCTTCTTCTTTCAATTAAAAGATCAGACTTGGAAAAACGCACTAGCATACCGTAGTCGCGCTAGATTCTCAAGAACGCGCTTGACCTGCCACCTCTAGTGGGCAGCATCGTCAAGTCTGTGACCATGCAAATAATTACTAGAACTTTCAGCAAGTGATTGGCCACAAGGACAATTGAAACAATCGCGATTGTTGCTGCAGAATTCACACTGGGTCACCAAGTGTTGTTCTTCGCTCGTTGATCCCACCACCACTTCTCATATCCCCATAGGTTGATAGCTTCCTTTGCCTGGACAACACCAAGCTTGACATCGCCAATCCTTTACAGCATAGTTCATTGTATTTTGTTTTCAATTTCCCCTGATTTTCACTTGGCCTCCCTAAACGCTATAGTCCAAATCTGATTCCACGCGACGTACTCTTCATCATTGAAACACCAATCCCGAAGAGCGCGATTTTACGCTCATTGTTCTCACTTTGCGCTCGACTTATCCTGTCTATTGGCACAGGAGCTTTCTGATGTGAGAATCTGGAAGACCATTCAAATATTGGCTTGAAGACACACGGGCATACTTTTTCACCTTCCTACCGTTACCATAATTAGGTGCCATGGATGGAGGCGATGCAACTAGCACCAAGGACATATCTGTCCGCGTCCATATCTTTTCTCGTGGGACTGTTACAGATAAGGCAGCAACACCGCTCAAAGCTTACAGACTGCGATTGAAGAAGGCCTCGAGATTTTCTGAACTTGCCAATGTTGCACTCGCCAGATATGCCAAGGATGACCCGTCAACAGGAAAGCAAATGGAGATCGTTCACATCCTCGACGAGAAGGATTGTGCAGTGGATTTGGATGATGCAGTAGATATCATCCAGTCTGGAGAGATCCTCAAACTTGTGATGACAACTCGTCAGGATGCTGCCTTGTCAAGCACCCCAAATGATGTTAGCCACCATGCATTCGATCCTAGAATGTCCTGCTGATCTGTGTTGACAGGAGACTTGTGGATTAACCGCCGCTCAGCGACGTCCAAATCAGACGCCTGCTATGAAAAGTCTTAGTCCACGAACACCATTATTTCGTTCTGCATTTACCCTCAAATATTCCCACCCATCTCAGCGGTCCACCAAAGCAGCTTCCCAAATCAAGCCGTCACCGCCACAGACGCCACAGACAATCGCAGCCAAGCCAGAAACAGAGACACCGAAGAGTGCTTCAGGCAAAGGTTCTGGGGGTAAACAAGACCCCTACGAAGTCCCGTCTGATACTGAGCATACCGTACCGCACAGCAGCATAAGGCATCATCCACTGCTTACCATTCGAGATACATCAAAGAGCAAGGCTCAGGCTACAGTCTTGATCCCGCAATCGACACCGAAATTCCACCAGCCTACGCCTATTGCAACACAACGACAGGCTGCACTACGGAACACTAAAACGATTCCCAGGAATGTTCAAGTCATCTCGATCGATGATTCAACATCATGTTCCGATGATTCTGACGACTCAAGTTCCTCTAGTGAGGATAGGAAGTCATCGCTGCAATGTAAAGTCCCCAAAGCGACCAGTGGTCCTCCGCAAGATCGCCTAATGGCCCGTGGAAAGCGCTCTGACTCGTACAGTACCAATGTACACCTCGACATCATCGCAGAGAAGAAAGACGATGAATCAAAGGCGGATCAGCGAGGGTCGGCATATGTTGTGAAGACTTCGCAGGCCAGGGCACCAGTATATCACAGGAAGGAAACACCAGCCATGATCGATTGCAAGGCAAATAAAGCCATTGCTTCATCTGCGTCTTCAGTCAAGAGTACGAACAGCTCGAAGAGCTTTAAGAGCACTGGATCGCTGGCTTTGACCCCATCGCGAGTAGCTGAGTCACTGAAAAAGTACAAGGACAAGCTTCGGCGCGATGCCGCTGATCAAGAATGGGGGTCAAATCTGGCCGCACAACGCAAAGTTCAAGAGGAGCGTGCTCGGAAAGAGGCAAGGGAGGAAGCCAAACGGAACTTACCCAGCGCTGCAATTGCACATGTCAAGAAGCTCACTCGTGCCAAGTCAAGTGGTAAAGGCAAGCAGCCGTTCACAATAACGCCCAAGTCGTCATGTATTCCAGCTAACATGTACAACAGGTTCAAAGCCACCAATCCCAAATTCGTTCTTTGTTGAGACAGAGCATTCTGGCGAGGATCTGGGTAATTTCAATACTAGCACCGCACCACTTCCTGTTGTGCCTGGTGTAACACCTGACGGTTGTTGGGCACCGCCTAATACTATCGCATTGCAACGCTCTGCTTCCCTATCTCAAGTAATACCACTCACCACGGAATTCAAACCTATCAACAAACTGTGGTCTACTCACCAAGCTGTCTCAGAAGTTCTACCAATCACGAAATTCGGGGCAGGGTATTCACAAGAAGTACGGGATGCATTTTCGGATTCCGAGAACTCCGACGTGAGCGGCCCGCAGAACTCTATGTTTGAGGATATTACAAACCAAGAATTGGAAAACGAGGTGGATTTGAAACATCACAAGGCCTTTTTGCGGTGGTCCAGGACCTACATTACTAGATTCCGGCCCCATATGGGCTATTGTTCTGTGGCTGATGGCCCCTTCGAAGGTCTTATCCAAGGTGGGCCGAAAGACGGACAATATTTGCCCGGCTATAAACCACCCACTTCCGAAAAGATTGCTCAGCTAGAGAAGACCGCAACACGAGTCCGCGAGTCGAAAGAGGCCGACTCGTCCGAGTCTGATTACGCCGTATCCGCTGTCGCTGAGAGCGAGTATGATTCTGACAAGCTCCCAAATTCCAATTCAAAATCCACCGCCACTGCATCATCGACGGATTCAGATTCGACATCAGTTCTCATCCTGCGACAGTTGTGCCAGGAGATACCACGGATCAGTCAAGAGCTCAGCCCGCTCATTAGTTCTAGTTCCTTCAGACCGCCGAGAAATCCATATGTTCCTATGGAAACGCCTACTTGTCGACACTCCATACAGCTGAACTCCGTCCAGGAGGGAGCAGAGCTCTGTGTTGTAGCGAAGCCTGAACCAAGCATCTCTACGACAGGTGTGGAGCCGACATCGCCGGTTGTGAAAGAAACGCCAAGGCGCAGCAATCGGTTGTATCATGACACGGACCTCGATGTCACACCAAGTTTCGAGAGGGCATTGTCCCAGGTCGAGACACCAAGTACGAGATCACGATCTCAGAAGGAGACGCCGATAAACAAGAAATTTCCCTCAAAAGGATGTGTTCGGCCTGTGGGAGCCAGCCAGATTGTGGTTAAGATTCCCCAGATGACTGTCGCATTGCAAGCCGAATACGAGAAAGTCCCCGGACTTACAGAGAATGGAATGCCTGTTGCCCATCTACGATCTTTCAAGGATATCAACAACGACTATGCAGATGACAGCCGAGTCTCGCAAGATTCCGGTGTTGCTGCAATCGAACTAGTCTTGAACGCATCTCCATCATGGCTCACAAGTCCCACCAAGGTTGGTTCCCAGTCATGTCATACACCAGGCAGACTACCATACGCTTTGAGAGGTCAAACTGGGAGCAGCCCAGCAAAAAGAGAAACTACAAACTTCAGGACGCTTAAAGTCGACGAGACTAAGCACCAAGATCCGACCTATCAGCCTTCAGAAGCAGAGAACCCATCTGAAAGTTCCGACTCTACCGAATGCAATGTCTCGAAATTGATTAAAAAAACGCGCGTGGATGCGACAGCTAGACAGGCGTTGCAACACCACAACCATGTCACCCAAGGTCATAATATATATTCTCCGAGGACCGCAACGATGTCAACCGGAGGAAGGCGCGCTCGCAATTTGTCCACTGTTATGCCGGCCCTCATTTCGTCTACTCCTATACCAGCGCCCAGCATTAATGATTTACTGCAGAAGATCAGACACACTGTATCGCCCAGTCATTCCCAAGCTGCACTCAATGCTCGAGAAGTAGCAAAATCCCCGTTAGAGCCGAAGACTCCTAATCACTACCAAAATGTGGTGGGTCCGAAGAACTTTTCACTTGCACCTATAACCCTAACTGCTATGCTGGCCACTACTTCAGAAAAGAATGTCAACGACACCGATCCGAGACCAGACAGCAAAACTCGCAAGAGGAAGCGTCGTGATGATCGCGATGTGGACACGAAGATATCCGGTCACATTCCCAAGAAACAGAAACGGCAGCGAAGTTTGAAGAAGCATAGATTATTGGAGAAGCGCAAGGATAGAGCACGTAAGGCCGAAGGAGGAGAACAGTCTTATCGCAACAAAGACATCGACGGCAGGCAGGGCAAACCGAACACACCAAGTCAGAGCCGCGACAACATGCTAGACAAATGTATTGTTGAAACGGTATGTTGTTATAAATCGTCAAAGGTTGAAGTGCACTCTAATGATTTCTAGTCACACTCCGCCCATGGGCGAGCTTCAACAACCTTCAACTTTGAGCAACACATACAAACTCCGAGCGATGTCGCTGGCCATCCCCATACAGTAAATCCGCAAGCGCCACCAACTGGAAATGATGTGACAGCGGCACGCAGGTATTCGGGGAGGACTAAGAAGGTCCAAAATCAAAAGAGAAGACTGTTTAGTCTAGGCGTTGATGTAAACAGCAAGGCGGTGATGGCAGCACCAGAATATCCTGCTTTGGCACAAATATCGCTGGGCACAATGCAGAACTTCAAACGCAAGGCAATGGAGTTGAGGCCTAGCCTCTATGACCATAGTCCTACTCTTCCCGTTTTAACTGTCAAACCAGAGCCTCCCGAGGAGTATGATGCTACGAGTTTGGACCAGTCCTTGGGCGTTTTGACGAGAAAATCCGGTAGCAAGGAAGCCAAGAATAACAACTCCAGGGCCGCAAGGAAGAAGCTTCTATCACCACCCATTACTTCGCGGCCCTCTAGTGCAGGATCGAAGATGTGAGGTGGTCAGAGCGGGAAGGTGGAATGCATTTCATAAATCATACCCTGTACGAATAATGGCAGACTGGCGTTCGATATTTCGTATTGGAAGGCAGCACCAAGGTTCACACTTTGCAGTATTGTTTCAAGCTGCGTCGCAACGCTTGTTGTTTTGTTTGAATGGACAAGCTCCCAGTACAATGTGTTCATACATTGCTATTTTAACATGGGCAAATTGGGAAGTCTAAAATTCAAGTTAACTGGATTTTCGAGTGAATCGTAGATTGACTGCGTTACAGAACTATATAAGCATTGAACTGATTATGCCTGGGACCTGCCATAGCTCCTAGTCCGTGATTTGCACCTTTACTTTATTGGAGCTACATACTTCTATCATTATCGCGTTGCAGTCTATGCCATGCCTTGCATCTTCCTGCAGTCCGACTCAGAAGCTTCTTTATCTAAACTACCAACAGAGAGTGCTGGCTCTTTGTTGGATGGGTCAACCTCTACGATAACACTCGTTACAGTATCCATCTGTATCTCGTTGATCCCGGCACCTCTCAGTGACTCTTGGCTGACACTGCTCAAAGCTCCCGGCCATCTCTGACTTCCGCCGCCCCTGGACGTTTGATGCTCTCGGTCGCTGCCGATCTTCCACCAACCCCCACGATTTTGTCTTCTTTCACCAGTATCACGATCAGCCCTGGATCCTCCCTGGACCCATATCATGTTACCATAACGTCTCGTAGGTGGTGTTCTCATGAATGCAAAGGTGCTGAGACCCGTATCTGCCGAGCCCGGCGATGGCGCAAAAATGATCGAGCTACGGGTCCAAGAGAACAATACAACATCCAGCCAGCCGTTTGATGCAATCATCGAACCTGCGAAACAGAACAACTCAACACTCACTTCTCTTCCTGACATTGTCGCCACTCGGAATAGCGCGAGGGGAGCAGTGCAGAAACCGTATATGACGGGGTATATTAAGAAGCCTGGATGAGTGCCCGCAACTTGCTCAGACTCCGCACCGGACGCAATTGCGGTGACCGCTCGCCCATCGCGAGAGAATCGAATTGGGTTATCTTGGCGCCGAAGAGAGAAAAAGATCAGGATGTATAGTCCGCTAGTGAGGGCCAGAGAAACAAATATCCAAATATAATGAAGCCAAAGACGAAGGTTCTCGTATCTTACATTCATCCAGCACTGTAATTGAGTATTAGAAATCATATCTTCTGGTGGTCTCTGAGTATCAACGGCATCCTTACCCAAGCAACAGCACGGACATACAAGCCTCCAGCGTCTCGTCCATTGTTCGTGAGCACAACTCCAACGATCGCGAGGGCATATATGAAAAACCATAAGCCTCCAATTGTGAGGTAAAGAAGCCATTGAGGTGGTTGGTAACCTCTGACAACCGTCAAGTATGTATGGATAGCGATAGCGGTGATGAAACAGCTTGCTGCTAGGTCACCTGTCGATATAAACCATCCCTGTGCCCAGCATGTCGAAGTGCCAACGAAGACTCCGTTTGACGATGCCCAAGACACATTCAACAAGAAGGCCATCGACTGTTGCATTTCCGCAAACAAAAGATTATAGACCAGCAGTAGGAATTGATTCAGATGCCTCCCTGCAGTATCAGTGTTCGCTCGTGCATCCGTTGCGACCGTTCGTGTAACAGTTGTCTGCTTGACACCGAAGTGTATCTGCGACAGTCCGAGCGATAGGTCTGTTGTGGCGGCGTGGTGCCCGTTCTCTCGAGGCGATGCATCGGTAAAATGCCATCTTATCAACTTGACCGTGAGGTATGCGAACAAAGTAGTAGTGGTGATGAATGACAAGAACCCGAATGTGGCTACCGCGATGAGACCACTATGATGACTGGTTGGCAACGGGTACAGTGAGTCGCTGGCTTGAAGAAGAACCGACACCATGTTGTCGAAGACATTGCCTATAGTTGAGAATTATAAGAGACTATGTCAAATGAATGCACGGTGTTGACTTGGTAGCCTGCCGAGCGATCGGGAAGGCGAAGAAGCAAGATCTGGTGGCGCTACTTCTGGAATGAAATCGAGCCAGAGTAGTACTTATCACACACAACGTTGCAGAGAACACAACACGCTTATGCGCAGTAAGACGAAGGATGCCGGATGGATGCTATCCCCCCATAAACTGGGGGGGGTTACCATTGGTGAGCGATTGAATTATGTGGCTTGCCAAGCGAGCCTTAGAGAAACACTGGCGTGATTAGTACGGCATTCCGCCAGTAGGAAGGTGGTATCAGATATTGCCCTCAACGGTCCCTTGCCCTGATCTTGTCAAGCTTGGAAAAGGACGACATGGGAATAGGCTTTTGACTAAGCATTCCATGATGACCCCTGGCGCTGTGTGATGGTTCACAGGAAAGGCTACTCGGCAGGCACCGACATGATTCCCACGTGGAAAATGAACACCGTTTTCTATACCATGGACGACGACCTCCACTCACAATACTTCATATGACTTGCGGTTATGATGCACATCCAAGGCCGCGCACACTATGCATTAAAACCAGCGCTTCTGAGAACTTCAATCCAACAGCAAGCAGTCCGTTTAGCCTCTTGTATGTGGAACTCAATCGAGACTTAACTTTATTTGTTCTATGCTCCCGAAGGTGTCAGTTCGTTCGATCTATGCTCAGCCTGCATGTTATATCGTGATCTCCAAAATTTGAAGAAAAAAATTGATGTGCGCGATGCAGCCCAGCTTCAGGAATGACATCCTAGCTTTCAGCTTGTCACGCTCCGGCCGAAAGTACTTTTGTCGGCCTGGCCGCACTACCCCAGCTGCTTTAGCGCTCAGCTGAACCCAGGTACACACGGATCCGTGTGTAACTTACTTGGTAGAGCAGTCAAGAGTTGTGTTCTAGGCCCCACGACCCGCTAATCATAAGCATAGCCATGTGGATAAGTGCGCGAAAGTCGGAAAGCTTTCAAAACTTTACTTTGATCACGACTCCACTAGTAACAGATACGTGAGGGTAATAAGCTCGAGGTCGCTTAGACAGATCCCACACGTCCAGGCGCACGCTTCAGTCGCTTGTGATTATCCTACGGATGTTATTGCATAAGGCCTGGTCAAAAGGCGAAAGGTCAAGCGAGCCATGCTAGAAATTATAATGTCACAGTCAGGTATGAGAACTACGTAGATATAACCCACTCCATCGACTATGGCTTCATTGGCTCAAAATATTCCTTGAACCGAACAGCGTCGGTCAGCTCCAAGTTCCAGATGACATCACAGCAGCCGACCAGCAGGTTGGGAAAACGTCGCGTCCAGAATCCAAGATATTCCTCGTGGCTGGTGCCGACGGACTTCTTCAGTGATTCACTCAGGTCTTCCCGATGATTCCACTTATTCCTGAGAGCACGAAGCAGATCAAGGAGACGCGCACCAGTGTACTTGCGTTGTTTTCCAAGACTTTCGACAAAGTCTTTAGGCAACACCTTGAGAAAATCGCCTCGGCATACCCTAGGTGCAAAAGACTCGAGCGTGACCAACGCATCCGATGGAGGATCCCGCTGTTCTTTTTCGAAATGATCGGAAACGTCACAGAGGAATGACAGACGCTTCTTCGAGTCCCAGAAGAAGGGGTGGGCCATAACGTCTCGAGTTCTTGGCCGACTGCGAGGATCTGTGCGGAGCATAGCACCAATCAAATCCCTTGCTTCGAATGCAAAGTCACCCAGCACATCGAGAGGCTGCAGGTTCAAATGGCCTTTGCGAATGTTGACCTCACGCATGTAGCGGTCGCCACAGTCGAAGGGGTGACTTCCTTTGGTGAGTACGTAGAAGAAGACGAGGCCCAAACTGAATATATCAATGGCTCGGGTGGCGCGTCTGTTGGGTCCGCTTTCCCCTCCCATCAATACACTCGATTCGCTGTGTGTACTTGCCATGGAGGTGGGATTCTCACGAGCATCTTCTTCGGCCAGAAGCTCTGGCGCTCGCCATCCAGAGGTTCCCGCTGGTCGGGTAGCTGTATGGCCGAAAGACGATTGTGCTCCGTCCAATTTCTTACACAGGCCGAAATCCGAGACCACGAGCCTAGGCTTGCCATCTTTTGCCACGGTCACAAGGATATTCTGTGGCTTGAGGTCCCGATGTACAATTCTCAAGTCATGTAGATGACTCACCCCATTAGCTATCTGGAGAAGCACATTGGGAATATCTCGCTCGCCTGCATGCGCCAACTCTTTAAACATGTGCGGCTTGTCAATGATATCAGCAAGGGAAGCCTGACAACGCTCCAAAGCGATGTAAAGAAACGTCTTATCCCTATGAATGGCGTAGTATTGAATGACTGCGATGGGAAATCAGTCTTAGATCATATTTCTGAATACTTGAAGAAAAGCACTTACCATTAGGATGATTATCGCTCTCTAAAAGTAACTTCGTCTCTCGCGTGGCAAGATCGTTGAATTCGTGTAGCATGCGCTTTACGGCGATCTCACGACCATGGAAGGTTCCGGGGAACACGACAGTACCATTACTGCCCATCCCAAGCTGCTCGTCCAGGTCAACCTTTAGCCCGTTAATTTCGAAGCCACCTACGCTGATGTCATCAGCTTTGCCGATGGACTTGATATTGGGGTTAAGCTGTGGCTCTCGAGCTTCGACCATCTGATCGACTTGTGCAACAGGGTCTACTTCAACTAGTTTTGCATCCTGGTGCGAGGAAGGATCCCGATTCTTCTTCCTGTGTTTAACACCGCCCCTTCTTCCGCGATGGGCCTTCTTCTTTTCCGGAGATTCGGTGGTCGGCTGAAGATCAGGTTGTGGTACCTGCACCCGTTCTTGATCTTGCTCCTTGCTCCACGTTTCTGGTGCTGGTATCGTGTTGTGTGCCTCTTGTTTATTGTTGTCTTCAATCTCCACTGCCTGGTCTTCCTGGGAAGGTTCGGGGACCTTCGGAAGAGACGGAGGTTCGAGAAGCTCGTCAACCGCGCTTGTTTGGTCGTGGATCTTTATGGGTTCAACGGGTTGGTAGGTTGCGTCGAGTGACTTCCGACCGCGCAACTCGTGAACAGTCACGTGAGCACTGCGTGTTTTATACCACAGTGCCAGAATAGACAGAGCAATCAAGTACAAAATAGGGTTTTCGAATAACTGTTTTACGCTCGTAACGACGTAGCTAGGCATTGACTTGATGCTGACACTGCGCTTCAAGCCTGGGGTCTTATCGCTTGGAAGTGAACCGGTAGAGGTGTTTTTGGGCATAGCTGCATTCGATTCAGGCCCAGGAAGTGCTGGAAGGCTAGGCCATTGCGGTGCACCTTGGACGAATTCATCGCCCGTGAAGCTTCCTAGGGAGTGAGTCCCTACTAGACTGTCATCGCGGATCTCGTTGCTGTACTTGTCGAGATCATCCTCGTCTCTCAAATTAACCGTTGCGCGTGGAGCGTCAACAACAAGTGGATAGAGAGTGCCAGACAGAGCATACCAGCTACCAGTTTCAGTCTTGTTAAGATAGATACTAGAAGTTCGAGCCCTGGCTGACTCGCGCTCCGTAATGGGAGGTGCAGGCTGCGGCAGAAGTACAAGCTCAGGGTTGCCGCCACGAGGGACATCTTGTGGCCGGGCTATATCAAAGACTCGCGCCACCGGTGCTGGGAATGCAACAGATATTGATTGCAAATCGGCGCTGTCGTCGAGTGCATATAGTCGACCGTCATGGCGGCTTGTCAAATAGCGATTGTCGCGTGTACTGCTATATTGCCTGTGCAGGTCGTTGTCAAATGCGTTGGGGCCCCATTCGCGATAACGCAGAGTGGCAACCAATCTGCCGTCGTCCTGATGGTGGATGTTGACAGTATACTCGGTACGACTGAGAGCAATTGTCCCGGCGCATTCTTCCATGTCCGCATCAACAAAACCGGTTGGCTGGAAGCATGTCGCCACAGGAGCGACCTGCCCTTCGCCTTGCCCATACCACCGCAAAACTTGGCCCTTGGCAGCATTGAGTATGTACATAGTAGTCTTTTTGTCGCCAGTGTATACGACTGGAGGGTCATGAACTGCGTAGGGACTGTACTCATCGACGAGTTGCTTCATGGTGAAGCCGGCACTCATCAGACCAGAGCCATGCGCAGAGGACATCCAAACATACACCGGGCCGGTGTGTGAAGGCTCGATGGCCCAAACATAGTCATCGTGAGGAAGTCGGCTATCTTCGTCGAGGAATGTTGTGTTTGGTCGATGGTGGATAGTCTCAACGGCTGGCTCCTCAACTACGAGGTGCCAACGTTCTTCGCCAGATTCTTTACTGACGGCCCTGAGATGTCCATCGACGGTCGCCAGAAGAACATAGTCTTCCACTTCCCATCTCTCCAGACTCCGCGCAGACTGCGGCGAGGACAACCCAGCGCCTGAGAGGATGCTGGATGGGTGTCGTGGAGATTTGGCGGCTCGAACGGGATATTCCGGAGCCACAGTCGCGAGGGCGCTCGCATCGTGAGGATCGGGGTAATTGCGACCAAGTGATCGCGACTGCCTAGTGGCATGTTTGTTTGTGTAGGCCGTTGTTACGGCTTGGTGCCCACTATCGGGCTTAGGCAATCCTGCCTTTGGGAGATGGGATGCCTTTGAAACGGTTGATGCGAGCTTGCGAGACGATTCGTGTCCCTCGAATGGCGATCTCGACTCGGCACGATTGCTGGTCGATTCCTGTTCCCGTTCTTCCTGGTCGTGGTCGTAATGTTGATTTCGATGCTCGGCGTGCTGACCGCTGTTGCGTAGGGCCTGGGCGATTGGTAATTCTTGATGTCCTATCGAGTGCTGCTGCTGCTGAGCATCTGCAAGCGGAAACCAAGACAAGAGAATAACGGCCAGGACGAGGAAGACCTTCGTCATCCGCGGGTCAGCGGCAAGCCTTCCTTCGGCTGGAGGCCGTCGCAGCATTTTGTTGATGCAAAGTCCTGGCAGTAGTTCAAGTTCAGAGAGGGATATCGCGTAGAGTTCACATTGAGGAGTAATGACTAGGCTGGCGATGATAACTTCGAGATGGCTTGGCGACTGCCCCGATGGAATGTGCCCGATTGATACAAGTCAAGATGGTAGAACGGACGAGAGGAACGACAACAATCCCTTCGTCGAACGATGCGATGAGGGATGCAAGGCGGCAACTCTGGGCGGACCTGGTTGAGCCGCGAGACACGGTAGGCGACTGCTCGACAGTCGAGTATAGTCAGGTCGGTCAGGGAAAGATTAGGGCGAACACGACTTGAGCTCCGTATCGTATCGTACGGTGTGGAGAGCAAGACCGGGGATGAGATTGCCCGCACTTGGACGCACAAAACAGAACCCCGAAAATGTTACTCCACGAGTTCCGTCGACTAGTCGGCGGATACCTGTCGTTGTTACTAAATGCCTGGAGCGCTGAAACGTCGCGGTCGATTGAATGGGCGATCAAGCAAAGCGCTCGCCGACTATCGAAATACGGCCAGAGTGATTATAATCTGGATGAAATCAATACTGAGATGAGATGGATGGGCCAGAGATGTAAATGGCCAGCAAAGAACGTGGTAGAAACCTCCCACAAGACCTCTTTAGATTGGGGCAGGATCTTCTGCTGATGGTGAGACCAACCCCGGACGCTGGGCGCTGACCTCCTGAATGAGCGCTGACAGGACTTTCAAGAAGCCCGACAAGGGGCGCGGGCAGGCTTCAAGTTGGGCTTCTCGGCTGCATCGGCTCTACGTAGCCACTTGCTTTTTGGATAAAATGGTGCCTGCGTGCATTGCGTCTTTACGCCGCATACCTAGGCATGACGCCACCCAACCGAAAACTCACCCATGTGCTCGTGTCAATCTCCCGGCTTCGGGTTAAACACCTTTTCATCTGCAAGTTGAACAATCTCGCGTCCTAAAACTTTGTCATAGAGTATTGCTCGTGCTCTTGCATATTCGATTAAGACACTGGCTCGTCTTTGGCCCCGACTTTGCGTCGTCCTGAGCAGTGGCACAGCCTCAGGAAATGGCCCGTGCGTTAGCATGCTTCCATAGCCTGGCAGCCTGGGCTAATTTAGCTTCCTATGTCAGTCAATCACCGATCTATGTAGGTATCAAGGTTCATCTTCACCTTTGATATGTCTCAGGATACCGCCCAAGGGAACAAATTCAGGTCTGGATATGCTCTGCTCTGTGCGACTTCTGAGATTGCCCCGTTGCACCATAGGCTGTAATTAACACAGCTCAATCAATGTGGCGGGTTTTGTAAGATTTAAGTGAGACTTAGCTATGTTTGCGGCTATTGCTAAGAGTAATGTTTCACACGAAGTCGTCATCATGATTGCTTTATCCTCTTGCGGATCCTTTTTTTCGCCGTGTCTCTGGACTCAAGAACAGGCTCGCCATGAAGACAGAATGCTGTTGAAGGTCAGTCGTCATATACCATGCATGCATATGAGCGAGGAAGCCAAGCACTGAAAGCATACCAGCCCTACCTGTCAGCTGAACACTTCGTAAGTTGATTTGGGTTCCTTTCTCGGTCAAGCATTCACAGTAGGTAATATCCTTGCAATGTCGCAGATCAGTGACCGGGGTGGGGGTTTATGTAAATTGACGACAGCCCGCGTATCTGTTGGCTTTACCAGAAGAAGTAGTGTTTCCATTTTGAGCGGGATTGGGTGATTTTTGTGACAAACTGCGATGACCCAACTGCGCGATATTTCTGCCAGCTGGGAAGCGTGAGGCCATGGGCGACTCTCGGTGGCATAAAACAACAAAGAGGAACATGTGCAAGAGATGGATTCATGAAATACGGGGGCTGTCTGGGAATACACACTACAGCCGGCCTTTATCTGTTTCCGCCAACCTGTACGCCAACCATCAACACAACGCCAGGAACTATAAAAAATCTTAGACCCAATGCCTGAAGCTCCAATGTTCCAAATGCTATGATCGACTGCCTTTGGTAACCACCAAATGACCGCGTTAGGGTACTCCTAGTTCAAAATAAATTGTCGACGGATTCATTTACTGTGGTTCTTCAACCGGATATAGATGATCACCAACTATTCGGTTCATCTGGAACATGTCAACCTTGGCCTGCTTGAATACAGCTTGCATCTTCTCATCACACAGAATCTGACGCTTATCCTTCGGGTCCTGTAGGTTGTTTTCCTTGATATGCTCCCACAACTTCTTGACGACCTGAGGACGTGATAGCTGTTACATGGTCAGAAAAGAGTAATGCCTTCACAAGAATGGTATGACTCACTGTAGCCACACCGCACACTTCAGCCAGAGGTTCACTCAAGTTGAAAGGTTTCTGGAAGCCGCCTCCCGCCTTGCGCTTTTTAGGGCCCGACCCATCACTTGCAGACAGGTCGCTGTCGTCTTCAGGGCGGACCTTGTTGGAGCTCTTCTTTCGAGGCGTAGCCTTCTTCTTGGCTGTTTTTGTTTTGGTACCTCCACCCCTCGTTGAGCGACCAAGACGATTCTCCTGCGCTTGCAGCATAGCGGCCAGTTTGGCATCGGCGTCCTCGGTATCCTCACTCTTCCTCTGCTTCTTCTTGGGCGGCTGAGTCGAGACCCGTATTTCATCACCGTCTACTTCATTCTTGGCATCTACATCATCCTCGTCATAGCCATTTGCGTGTCTCTTTGGCTGCGGATCAGGCGAGCCACTTGTGGCCTGCGGAAGGTCGGTCGCATCCACCTCGGCCTCGGCTGGTTCAGTAGAGATGGCATCGAAACGTTGCTCAATCAGGACTTTGATGGCAGTCTGACATCTCAGTGTATTAGATACATTCAGTTCAATATTTGGTCATTTCGTGAGGGCAGGAAGAATTGACGTCAACTCACCTTTTGATCTCTAAGGTCTTTGCCACCGAGAGCTTTTTCTAGTCCTTGCCGAATTTTCTTGCGAGATATAGTCTCGAGATTGGCTGTCGCAAGAATACCATCGATGATTCTTGTATATTCCTGCTCCTCCTCAGACGTTACTGTTGTAGAATTAGTATCTCACCAACATTTAACAGACCCGCCGGTAGCTTTGCACTGCCCGCACAAGTCGCTCAGAAGCCGTAGCAACGGCAGAATATACGTACGAGGCGTCGACATGTTTGTACTCGTGCCAGTCACCAGAGTGAGACTGACGGGTGGTTGACAGAATGCGTTGTTAACCGAGAAGGTATTCGCGATCGGCGATCGGCGAAGCGCTGGTAACTACAAGAAACTTGTTGGTCTCTGGCGCCCTTCTTTCAGCGCCACTCCACGACTGAAATCAAGCAGTCGCGCCTCCAGCTGTGCAGGTGCAAGTTTAAGACTCGTGGTGGGCTTCGACACGTAGCAGGTCTCTTCAGAGTATGCAGGTAGCACGTCAGCGCAGGCTACAGCTCGCTAACCATGTATGTAATTCGGTCGGCCTTGACTGCAGAGGAGATATCGTTTCGTGTATTTTATACGTTTAAATGAACATCCATTGATGATGCCGGTGGGGATGGATCTAGGTATGCGAAGTCGGTTGGAAGGATTGTTGAAGACTTTCGAGATGTGGTGAAGGATTTCAGATTCTCTTTGGCCGTATAGCATCGGCGCGAACCTTTATCTGAGTGATGCTGGTAGACAGAATCGGTGTGCTGTTCGGAGGGAGGTAGGTGGGATGGTATAGCAGGGTAGTAGCTAGACGCGGGTCGTGACGGCTTTCGGTTTGGAGAATGTAATGGCAAGGAACACTGCCCTCGTCTGTCAGGCACGTACTGAATGCCAACAACCGGCAACCACACACTTGTTGCTGTATTCCCAAGCAACTAAGCCAAGCGTATTCCGTAGACAACAATCCAGTGTGGCTGGGATCCCATTCACGATCTCAATGGGGTTGACACTGCTTCGCGATTGTGGAGAGGGCCGAATGGACGAACCGAACCATGCAAGCGAAACAGCGGGCTCATTGACGGCCCAGGGATCCAATAGGGATTTTAGCATGGCCAGCCAATGGCGGTAGTTCCCGACGACGCGGCTAAAAACTGGGGTCAGTGTGCGGCACTTGTTCGTTTTCAGCTTAATGTATGGTCCAATTCCGGAAGAGGTTTATATCAGTGGTCAGCTGAATCAAATATATATCCGACGTGCTGGGAAACAACGAAATGGTGAGTGGCTTGGCAACCATGGGTGATTGCTCTCGGTGGATAACGGTTGAGCTTGTGTGCCATTGTATGTACTGCATGTCACAGAAATGGCATGTCTGCGAGCGCTGTATTTGTAAGTGGCCTTGTCCCAACGAGCAGTGGCTAGGGGAGGTCTGGCAGCGAGACAACTGCATGTGAGGAGATAATCGAAACATGTAGCATGGTATATTCCGGCAAGCCGAGGCAAAGGCAGAGGGAAGGAAAGAACTATTATCTTGACAAGCCGAGAAGTGATCGAAGCAGATGTAGAAGGATGATGCAACCATCAATTATCAGATAGCTGGCCTTGAACAGATGGAACTTATACCTATGACTGTCACTCGTAGCACAGTCCCAAAGTGCTTCAAGGCATTGAAGGCGAGTCTCAAAAAGACACTGATTTATCGAGCGAGGCCTTCATAGAGGAGCCACACCAATTCTGCGCCAAATGCGTTTTTATGTAAAACTTCTCGAGCAGATATTCATACATTTGAGCCGACCACGAATATTTCATGCACCGACGGGGTACGCCGACAGGTGTAGCCAGATGGTCTTCGATGTCCCTTGAACAGGACAGTTACAGTCACAGTCAAATGGCCGGAACTCGTTGGCGTTTCCGTAAACCAATTTGTCATCCACGCCACAACCAAACCAGCCACATCCAGCCAGGAGTCATACCGAGCCTGAGATTGGCGGGGTCTTGTACTGCTCTCACACCGAACGTCGATTTCCAGGAGCTGACTAACCTTAGACTTTGCCCCACCATTATCCGTCAACGATTTCGTCCACGATTTCCACCTCGCGACAGACCAACCCAGCAAATCTCCCACGGACTATTCACTTTGACCGTGCATTTCGAAGCCGAATACCTACCTTCCTACTGGCGGCGCCAACGCTACCAACTTCACAGAGAGGGCTTGCAACATACGTTGGCCCATCGCAGCCAGAGTATCTCAGCAGGGCAGCTCTGCACCATAGGCGAGGAGCAATTTCCCAAGTCCCGCGTCTTCTCGAATTCGAATCGGGTATTTTTGCCCCTTTCTCCCCTCCCTCTTTTCCTCTCGCGCATCCAACTTCAACAACCACCAGCATACGATGGCGTCTGAAGACAGTACCCCCAGTGCGCCATTAGGTGGAGGTGTAGGTCATGGACGAGTCGATACGCACGGCCGGGGAAGGGGTAGGGGCAGAGGTCGTGGCGGACAATCCAACTCAAGAGGAGGCAGAGCACCACGCGGAGGTCGTGGCCGTGGAGGAGGAGGAGTAGCAGGAGCATCTGTGGCATCTGCGGCATCTGCTCCTCCACCAGTCGATACATCGTCAGAGCCGAGCAACTCCGGCATCGCGATAATCAAGCAGGCCACTAATACCCCTACCACGTCCAACGTTACCGGTGCTGCCGGTGATGATGATGTAGAAGCCGAAGTCTGCTTCATATGTGCCAGTCCCGTCGTTCACCAGTCTGTCGCGCCTTGCAACCACAGGACATGCCACATCTGTGCTCTGCGCATGAGAGCACTGTACAAGAATAAGGAGTGCGCCCACTGCCGAACCCCCGCAAACTACGTCATTTTCACTGACGATGCCACGAAACGCTTCGAAGATTACTCCGAGGGAGCACCTGATATCACGACAACCGACGAGAACATAGGTATTCGATACAACAAGGAAGATATCGTGGGCGACACAGTTCTGTTGCTACGGTATAATTGTCCTGATACAGAGTGCGATTTCGCCGGCCTTGGTTGGCCAGATCTCCACCGCCATGTTCGAAGTGCGCATCACAAGAAGATGTGCGATTTGTGTACTCGCAACAAGAAAGTGTTTACCCACGAGCACGAACTTTTCTCCGACAAGGAGCTTGAAATTCATATGCGCCACGGCGATGATCGCCCCGGTGCTATTGACCAGACCGGCTTCAAGGGACACCCTCTGTGTGCTTTTTGCGGTCAGCGTTTCTACGATGGAGACAAATTGTATGAGCATTGTCGCAATAAGCATGAGAGGTGCTTCCTTTGTGATCGTGAGGATCCGAGGCAGCCCCATTACTATGTTGACTACAACGCGCTTGAGCAGCATTTCAGGAGAGATCATCACCCATGTTTGGACCGAGAGTGCCAGGAAAAGAAATTTGTCGTCTTCGCATCTGAAATGGATTTGAAGGCTCATCAGCTGAGTGAACACGGAAGCTCGCTTTCCAAGGACGTTAGGAGAGATGCGAGGCTGGTTGATATGGCTGGTTTTGACTTTCGACAACCGTACCAACAGGACAGACGCGGTGGTGGTGGGCGAGGAGGCTCTCGCGCACATGGTGACAGGGAAAGAGACGGCCGAGGACGTGGGCGTGACCCAAACGCTGAGCCAATACCAGCCAGTTCTGCACAGCCCCTGCGACGTGATCAATTAGCTTTCCAACGACAAATGGCTATACATTCATCGCAGTCCGTCTCCAATCGTACGTTTGGCGGACAGCTGTCGTCCAATCCGGCAGCGCCGTTATCTACTCCAGTCAATGAATCATCTCGACGTTCAAACGTACCCATTGTATCCGGAAGTACCAGCAACACGGCACCCGTCACGGAGCTGGAAGGTCTCAGCTTGGTCGACCCCAACTTGACACCCGAGGAACGGGCGCGACTTATGCGCCACGCTGCCGTCATCGAACGTGCTGCAAACCTCCTTCAGAATGATACTACGAAAATCGCAACCTTCCGGGGGCACATTTCGTCTTACCAAAAGAACAAAACGTCGGCTCCCGCCCTGATTGATGCGTTCTTCTCGCTGTTTGCCGAGACTTCCACGACAGCGCTTGGAACATTAGTCCGCGAGGTTGCTGATTTGTTCGAGGACAAGGCTAAAGCTGAACAAGTACTCAAGGCATGGAATGACTGGCGAGCCATCAACGAAGATTACCCAACACTGCCCGGACTGTCGGGGATGCATGGTGCAACGACTTCGAACAGTGGCTGGGCAGCAGCGGCAAACTCTCCGATTGCCGTAATTGCTGCACCGTCACAGCGACATACGACAAGAGTATTGAAATTGAAGAACTCCACACAGCAGTCGCAACGATCATCGGCGCAGTCTCCAACTTGGTCGGCAGCAAGTGGATCAACCCGAACTCCACCGCCAGCCGCTTCATTCCCGGCTCTGCCGACAAGTCACGGTACGTCAACTGGCTCACGGCCTGCTGCATCTGGATCGTCTTGGAACCCAGTTAGCTCGAGGCAACCTACCCCCAAAAGGAATGGCAAACCAGCTGGACGTGACGATAATTTCCCTGCGCTTCCTATGGCTCCAAAGCCGACAACAACCATCTTCGGTTATGGCGGTGGTCGTCCCGTAAGACGGGACACACCTACCCGGACTACAGGCTTCAGCTGGGGTGGCGATGCATCTGCTGGTATAGCACAAGATGCCGGTGCTATTACGAATGAGGAACAAGTCGATGAGGGCAAAGGCAAGAAGAAAGGGAAACAAGGTCGTAAGCAAGTACTAGTTCAATGGGGTTAAGACGAAGATATTGACATGAACCATTTTACGAAGGCTAAAAGTCCACTTGATTTTGGTTTTCAATGTGAATGTATATGGCAATATGGATGGCTATAGATGGTGAACCAGGACCACTGTCTTGTCCCTTGGTTATAAGCCTCACGACGAGCTCGCTCGTGGACTGATCAATAAGTAATGAGTGGAAAGGATGAGTTCGACAACCAAAATAGTATTAATTGGCGACAATGAGCCATTCTCGTTGTCTTCCGAATGCACTGCTGCAAAAACCAACAACTAGCTGTGGAAAAACATTGAAAAACATGCCCGAAGAAACTGTCTGTGTTCCATTCCTTAGACCTTATAGTGATCAGGCTGTGAACAACTCCGACGGAGGTTGTACGACCCACTTAGCCCTCTTGTTATAATAGTACAGCTAACACTCACTACTTTAATACACTGCTCGAGCGCTAGGCTCACACCTTGGCCAGGTCGTTATAGTATTATACTAGACTTTTATTATAATAGTGTTTAATATTAACTATAAAAACTGTTATAATATTACGCGTTAAACCGAGAATACGGTGTTATGGTCGCTTAATCCGGCGTGACATACCGCTATTTTAAGCGGTCTCGACACTAAGGGCTATATGTCTCTCATAAGTACACTCTACTCTATAGGTTACTCGTCACACGAGTGAAGTCCCACCCCTCTCCCTAGCTTAGCGTCGACAGCCCCACTACCTTACTAAGGGCGCTAGCTAACCGATTGTTATTTTCGTTATGTCGATATCCCTTTTTCTGTTCCCTAACACCAAGTTAATAGACACTGTTTCTGGCCTCGAACTCGTACTATAAAATGGTAGCGCCGGCTTGCTCTTTAGGCCTTAAAGCCTTTTTCGTTCTTTAGGTCTTAGGCTGTTTTATGTTTTTATTTGTCACCGAGGCGGGCTTGATCGCACGGTCGCGTGAAAGTACCTACGGGCTGGATCCCAGTTCCTCGTTCAACTTTGCACTCGTCGCTTCAACGTATTCGGCGCCACCAAATCGCCGTCCATCTTCTGTATCGCCGAGCCCCCTAAGACGCTGCCGGGCTTGATTAGCGGTTAGCATTGATCGGCGTTTCTGAAGCCACTTGCGTTTACCCATCTCCCTTAAAAGGTAACGAATCGACGTTAGTTTAACTTGAATGAAGCCGCCCAACCAGGTGTCGGCAGACAGTAAACGGTTAAGCGAGCTAAGACAGAGACACGTCATTCACGCGACTCGAACGTGTTCAGCCCGACAAAGGGGCATCTGCAAATCACCCAGCAATCTTGAGACATCCGCATGGCAGTCCTTATTTGTTTGACGTGGCTTATGTACACCCGAACACAGCCTCGTCTTTCGCCTGTTGCATGTTGCAAAATCACGCCTGAGTTGTCGTTACTTTGCCTGGTTTGGCTAATGAAACGGAGCATAGCTTCTCTCTTAGTTAGGCTCGGCGCAATGAGGCTGTACGTGAGCTGATTGCAGGTCTCCTTTCGCGTGGCTGAGGCATGCGCCCAAGCACGGTAACCTCGTACATACAAAGGACTTCATGTATGCCCCTCACTCGTCTCAGAGACGAACGACACAAATTATCTATCAGGCTGTCTGCAGGGTTGTCTTAATCTAGGGTCATCTGAAAAGGCACACTCACGAGGGATTGCATTGAATGATTGGCTTGCGGAAGTGGGAAATTACACATTGATGAGGCTGAGCTATCCCCTGTGCATACACCTTTCTGTGATAGGTCTCGTGATCACGAGATGCGGGGTCACCAATTATCGATGAACTGCCGACTTGCATCACTTGCTCACGAACGGTTGCGGCTTCTGACTTACGCAGAGGCCCTCATCCGAGCTACTCACAATGAACAATGCTGTATCTGACTTCTCAGATCATTTTATCTTTCACTCCGCTGGACGCTGATCGGCGACACTGATCAGTTGGACTTGATTTGAAGCACTTCGCTCGGTGCTTGTTCCCCACGATGCGCCTTCTAAGCCTTCAGGATGACAAACTCAGCCTCACCAAATTCGACAAGCAAACCCCTCAGTATGCTATTCTCTCTCATACTTGGGGTGCAGCCGAGGATGAGGTGAAATTCGAGGACCTGAGCCAAGATAAAGCAAAGAACAAGAAGGGATACGAAAAAATCAAATTCTGTGCCAAGCAAGCCGCCAGTCACAATCTGAAGTTTTTCTGGATCGATACGTGCTGTATCAACAAAGCCGATGTGCAGGAATTTCAGAGCGCTATCAATTCGATGTATCGCTGGTACCAGAACGCGAAAGTGTGTTTCGTGTACATGGCCGATGTTGTTAGGGAGAGAACCGATGAAACATCCCAAGAATCAACCTGGAAAAAGTGTTTTCGACAAAGCCGGTGGTTCACTCGGAGCTGGACGCTTCAAGAGCTGCTTTCCCCGCGGGTGATGGAGTTCTATTCCTGTAATCATCAGCTCCTTGGCAATAAGGAATCCCTGGAACAAGAGTTACATGCCATCACAAGAATTCCACTCTCTACTCTTCGGGGCGTGGACTTGTCTCCGTTCAGCGTCGAAAAGTGCATCTTGTGGGCTAATGACCGTGAGAGCACGTACGAAGAGGACCAAGCCTACTCTTTACTGGGCCTATGTGGCGTTTCAATGGCGCCCAACTATGGTGAAGGGGCACAAATAGCGTTCGAACGTCTTCGTAAAAGGTGTAGCAAACAGCTCAACAAGGAGAGAACGGCACCGGTACATGAAGCAGGTGGAAAGAGCAATTCGAACCATGCCAGCCGAAGCTACGAGCTTCCTTGGTTAGTGCGAGTCGATGAGGACTCCCCCTTTACGGAAACTCGCATGAATAATCTCCCGGAAATAAAAAGAGGACCACTGAATAAGACAACGAGACGACTCATCGACCTCTTCGATACATCCTTGACAGCATTGGAAAAGTTTCAGGATGTGGCAGACCATTCGCTGTATAATTCGGTCAATTCAGAAGTCAACAAGCTCCAAAAATGTCGTACGGCGCTCCTACAATCGGTCGGTCAGAACAAGACCAAGGATGACCTGAACCTATATTCTTCGGTCGGAAGCCTGCTAACATCCATCGAAGAGGTGTCTAGAAATACTAGATCAAACCTCCTCAATTCTAACCTCGAAAACCAGAAATCGTTCAAGGCCCAAGGACCCTCTAGTCGTATTACACAGTCCGACTCGAAGAGTATTCGTTTTCGGGAGCAAATTGACCACGCGGCCCAACTTGAATTGCTCACCAAGTTGGTACGAGTGTTATCTTCTTTGCTGATCTCCGATTGGGCAGAGGGTCCCCGCGTGGGACGAGGAGAAATCACAGCTCGGGATGATGTGGACTACATGAAAAGTAAATATTTATTACGACCGCTTACTGCGTCAGCTGATCTAATGTGTAATCAGACACTTCCGAGCCTCATGAATTCTGGATGTCAGAGTTTCAGAAGATTCGAGCTAAAAAAATCAAGGAAAGAGAAGGTTAGTTTTTGCAAGTCGCTTGAAGAGCTACCACTGACAAGTGCAGCCGACGCCCGAAAACAAGTGAGTTCTTGGCTGCTTCACGACTATGTTCCAAATGAGGTGTACGATCGGTTTGCTCCTGAACATCTTGAAGGTACCTGCAACTGGATACTAGAACGCGAGGTTTTTCGCAGTTGGTGTTCAGACAGCTTTCCTCGAAATACGGCCAAGATCATGTGGGTTCATGGGCCTGCTGGGTTTGGGAAGACCGTCTTATGTACCAGAATTATAAGCCACCTCTTTTCTAACATTCAAGCACCTATTGCATACTTCTTTTTCTCAACCGACTCCGAACGCGAAGACCCCTATGTTGCGATTAGGTCGTGGACATGGCAGACAGTGGCACACTCTCAAGCGTTAGACCTTGCTTACGATGCGCGAGAAGCCGACTGTATTTCGGGAGCTACGCGGGCAAAGCTTGTCGACCTGTTTCAAAGCATTGTCCATTCAATCCCCGGTTGTACATTTATACTCGACGGACTGGACGAGTGCTGTTGGGAAGACAAAATGCGACACAAAAGGAACTCGGTGGTGGAGTTTCTTGGCAGTTTGAAACAAGCTGTTGCGAACACAAACACACGCATCCTGATTGCTAGCCGCAATGAGCCTGAAATTCAGCGAGGGCTCGGTCTAGAAAACGAGGAAGTGTATGAGTACGGTATTTCGATTGACGATGTTCGGTCTGACATCGAGAAGTATTCTAGAAGTATCGTCGAAAGGAACCTGTCAAAGAAAAAGGATGCCACAAAGCAACAGCTGGCCGTGAGGTTAGCGGATCGTTGTGAGGGTCAGTTCCTTTGGTTAAGGATGCAGGAGAACTCTCTGGACAGTTTGATGACTGAGGGTCAATTACGAAAAGCTATCGACACAGCACCGGCTCAGCTCGATCAGGTCTACGACCCGAACTGGAGGAAGATCATGTCATTGCCGAGTGTCCAGTTGAACCGTGCCATCACTATTCTACGTTGGGTCGCTTTCGCATTTCGGCCACTGACGATTGGCGAGATCGTGGAAGCTCAAGCTATCACTGACGATTGTGAAGATCTTCCAGTTGATGATATACAAGAAGTTCTCAATGAAGGAGATATTGATAAACAGATTATAAAAGATTGCGGATCACTGCTTGAAGTGCGAAGCAATCCTTCGAAATCGTTCGACGTGCACACTGTGCACTTAACTCATTTTACAGTCAAGCAGTATCTGGTTTCACATCTGCCACTTCCCAGTGCGCCTGTGTCTGCTCTTGGAGTCCCGAGTCAACAGAATGAGAATGAACACAGCGTGGCGATTGGTAAAATCTGTCTTCAATACATAAACTTCTCAACCGTTTGGCAACAACCTATACAGGCGGAGCTAGGTATATCACAGCACGCTCTACTCGGTTATGCTGCGGAGTCATGGTATAGACATGCTGCTGCAAAGCAACCAATTGACAGAAGAATGACGGATCTCATCAATGTCTTCTTTAATGTGAATAAAGCAAATTGGGTTTCGTGGAGAACATGGCTCGATTCAATTGGCTTGGGCCGTGTACCGCCACGGGAAAGTGGAAGTGAAAGGAACCATCCCCTTTATTATGCGGCATTACTTGGGTTTACAGCAACAGTCAAGCATCTCTTGCAAGCAATAGACCAGAAGCGGGATCAGACCAGCGAGGGGTTTGCACTGAGAGCCACCTGTGAGAGTGGGAATCTGGTTATTCTAAAAGTCCTACTTGAAGCGGGAGTACCGACGACTATGGTAGATGCCAATGGAAACAGTCCAGTAAACATAGCTTCTACGAAGGGTCATATAGAGGTGGTCAAGCTGCTTCTCGACAAGGAAGCCGATGTCTCCGCTGCAAGCAAGGATGGCTGGACGTCACTTCATAGTGCATCTTCGAACGGACATACAGACATAGTCAAGCTGCTTCTCGACAAGGAAGCCGATGTCTCCGCTGCAAGCAAGGATGGCTGGACGTCACTTCATAGTGCATCTTCGAACGGACATACAGACATAGTCAAGCTGCTTCTCGACAAGGAAGCCGATGTCTCCGCTGCAAGCAAGGATGGCTGGACGTCACTTCATAGTGCATCTTTGAACGGACATACAGACATAGTCAAGCTGCTTCTCGACAAGGAAGCTGATGTCTCCGCTACAAGCAAGGATGGCTGGACGTCACTTCATAATGCATCTTCGAACGGACATACAGACATAGTCAAGCTGCTTCTCGACAAGGAAGCCGATGTCTCCGCTGTAAGCAAGGGTGGCTGGACGTCACTTCATAATGCATCTTCGAACGGACATACAGACATAGTCAAGCTGCTTCTCGACAAGGAAGCCGACGTTATAGTTCAAGATGAGGATGGCGACACAGCACTTCATAATGCATCTTCGAACGGACATATAGACATAGTCAAGCTGCTTCTCGACAAGGAAGCCGATGTCTCCGCTGCAAGCAAGGATGGCTGGACGTCACTTCATAATGCATCTTTAAATGGACATACTAATGTAGTCAAGCTGCTTCTCGACAAGGAAGCCGACGTTACAGTTCAAGATGAGGATGGCGACACAGCACTTCATAATGCATCTTCGAACGGACATACAGAAATAGTCAAGCTGCTTCTCGACAAGGAAGCCGATGTCTCCGCTACAAGCAAGGATGGCTGTACGTCACTTCGTAATGCATCTTTAAATGGACATACAGATATAGTCAAGCTGCTTCTTAACAAGGAAGCCGATGTCTCCGCTGTAAGCAAGGATGGCTGGACGTTACTTTATAATGCATCTTCGAACGGACATACAGACATAGTCAAGCTGCTTCTCGACAAGGAAGCCGATGTCTCCGCTGCAAGCAAGGATGGCTGGACGTCACTTCATAGTGCATCTTCGAACGGACATACAGACATAGTCAAGCTGCTTCTCGACAAGGAAGCTGATGTCTCCGCTGCAAGCAAGGATGGCTGGACGTCACTTCATAGTGCATCTTCGAACGGACATACAGACATAGTCAAGCTGCTTCTCGACAAGGAAGCTGATGTCTCCACTATATATAAAGACGGAATTACAGCACTTCATAATGCATCTTTGAACGGACATACAGACATAGTCAAGCTGCTTCTCGACAAGGAAGCCGATGTCTCCGCTGTAAGCAAGGATGGCTGGACGTCACTTCATAATGCATCTTTAAATGGACATACAGACATAGTCAAGCTGCTTCTCGACAAGGAAGCTGATGTCTCCGCTATAAGTAAAGACGGAATTACAGCACTTCATAATGCATCTTTGAACGGACATACAGACATAGTCAAGCTGCTTCTCGACAAGGAAGCCGATGTCTCCGCTGTAAGCAAGGATGGCTGTACGTCACTTCATAATGCATCTTTAAGTGGACATACAGACATAGTCAAGCTGCTTCTCGACAAGGAAGCCGATGTCTCCACTGTAAGCAAGGATGGCTGGACGTCACTTCATAATGCATCTTTAAATGGACATACAGACATAGTCAAGCTGCTTCTCGACAAGGAAGCCGATGTCTCCGCTGCAAGCAAGGATGGCTGGACGTCACTTCATAGTGCATCTTCGAACGGACATACAGACATAGTCAAGCTGCTTCTCGACAAGGAAGCCGACGTTACAGTTCAAGATGAGGATGGCGACACAGCACTTCATAATGCATCTTCGAACGGACATATAGACATAGTCAAGCTGCTTCTCGACAAGGAAGCCGATGTCTCCGCTGCAAGCAAGGATGGCTGGACGTCACTTCATAGTGCATCTTTGAACGGACATACTAATGTAGTCAAGCTGCTTCTCGACAAGGAAGCCGACGTTATAGTTCAAGATAAGGATGGCGACACAGCACTTCATAATGCATCTTCGAACGGACATATAGACATAGTCAAGCTGCTTCTCGAGACGGGTTCCAATCCTAGTCGTGTAAATACCCAGGGATGGACACCGCTTCATTCTGCTGCCAAAAAGGGGCATGCAGAAGTAGTAACGGCATTATGCGGAAACCCGTGTCTGAATATGTCACAGCAAGATAACAACGGTCGTACTGCACTTTTTATTGCTTCGATGCGTGGTCACCTTAACGTTCTGCAGATCTTACTGTCAAAAAGCCCCACTGACGTTTATACCAAGGACCGGTACAATGCTACACCATTATTTGTTGCTTCACGACATGGACACAAGCAGGTGGCAAATACCTTGCTGTCTATCGACGTTATGTCCTTAGGGTCGGCCGATGTTTTTGGAAGAACCATACTATGGTGGACCCGGAAAAGCGGAAATTCTCTCAAGGTGGATCTTGTCAACCACAATATCGGTTTGGCTTCTAGGGTGGACGATGCAGGTGCTGAAAGCGTGCACTCTGAGGCGGCAATGCCGGATGACACATATGCTTGGTGTGATGTCTGCACAATGGACATTCAAAATGATTGCGACCACTATAGCTGCGCAATCTGCGATGGTGGCGATTTTTGTATATGCATGGCATGCTTCGAGTTTGGTGTGCAGTGTCAGGGTGCGGAGCATGAGTGGAGCTTGGTTAGGGGACAGCGTGAAGCATCTTTGGCCTGATACTCTCTGTATGCTCCGTCATCTAAACCAGAGTAATAGCACT